TATTTTCTACTGCATCTGATGATTACATAGTTCACCCGACGGGAACCGGGTTGGCGCCTGGTCCTCATGGGGAACAACATAGCACATCTTTCGCTCCTATCTGATATTGTACAAATAACGCACACGCCTGTGTATGAGACCTGCCGAATGGCTACATGAAAAACAGAACATTAACACTAGTCCTGCAATTGGGTAATTAGGTAATTGACCGACAGGCCTATGGACATGCTGCTGAGCAGATCGTTGTTAGGACAATTCACGAAAATAAAAATAATATGATAAATATAAACAGATCGTAATGGTCATTTGAGAAATGCCTAGATAAAATGAGAGGATGAACTACAAGTTGTGAAGGGACAATTAAAAGATGAAAGGGGCCAAGTACGTGCCGCGCACCGATCTACGGGCCCACTGAAGTGCTCTTACAAAAACGCTACCAACGCAGGACACTACAAGATACTTATATACTGAAATCCAGACGATGAATAATGTACGTGAAGGCTAGCAAAGCATCAACAAGAGCCCCAATACCGTTCCCATGGTGACACATCTTGCGATCCACCCGGCAGCTGAGGATTGAGAGCCTCCCCCGTTGTGCGTTTGGTGGACTCGAATCTCTGGAAGGGTCGTATCCACCGCTGGTCGGACTAGGCGCATTTTATGTGAACAAGACCAAAATGAATTGTCAGCAGCCATCTTGATTCATGTCATGCATTCACCTGCCTTTCAGCATAAGATTGGTCTTACATCGAGGGACGTCTCGCTGGACATCTGAACATTGGGCTCGACAATCAGATTTCCATTTTGCACTGAGAACTTGTTCGGGACCCTTAGTGCAGATGAAATAGTTGTTGGCGACAGAACATGCACGCCAGGCGTGATGGTTATCCATGGGAAGTGGTCCCGAGAGCAAGTTGTTGGATAGGTTCACAATGGTCAAGTTTAGACCTGCGGCCCAGGGTGGAAGTGGCCCTGAGAGCTGGTTAAATGATAGATCGAGGACTAAGCGCATTCAACAGTGAGAATGAGAAATCGTTAAAACGCTGCCATTTCCTGAGGGAGTAAGACTTGATGGCTCGATTACTTTTATCCTTAAACGCGTATTGACACGTCTGATGCGTACCAGAGAGGTTATTCAATTGCTGAAAGGATGGGATCGGTCCTCCAAACTCATTCCTATCCAAAAGCAGAGTCTTGAGTCCTGTGAACCCATTGATGAAACCAGGGATCTGGCCTTGCATAGAGTTATTGGAAAGATCCAATTTGGTCAGGTTAACCATCTTTTGCTCCCACGAAGGCGGGAACCCACCCGAGAGTCCAAGCGAGTCCAGTTTGAGCTGCTTCAGCTTTGGGAGTTTCGTGAACGCGTCCAGAAATGTGGATGCGGGTGGAATATAGTTCGCGGGGTTGACCGAGGGCGGAATAGAAGAAGGCGTTGCTGCGCCAGCGGTACTGTTCATGCCTGGCTCAGTGTTGAATGTGAAGGCAGGATGTGGATCTCCTGTAGTGAAAAGGTTCTGTCCGATAGCTATGGAATGCAGGTTCGGCAAGGTGGTGACCCAGTCAGGAAGCGGACCCGTGAGCGCGTTTTGCTCAAGGTTGAGCGTCCCCAAGTTGGTCCAGCCAGGTGCTGAGGAAGGCAGGCTGCCCGAGATCCGATTATGGCTAAGATCTTTACGGAATCAAAGGAAGGGTGAGGTTGACAAACGATGGTTAGTGCAGGCGATTACACTGTGATCTGGAATTTCCCAGGGCATGGGTTGCAGCGATAGACTAACCAAGGATAAGAAGTGGTGCATTGGTCAAACTTGGAGGAATGGGTCCCGACAAGTTGTTATAGTATAGTAACAGGTACTGAAGGCTAATTACAAGCAGCGTAGAAGAGGGCAAGGTCAGTCCAGTCATCGGTTAGACGGGGATTAGCTAGAATAAAGAAGACACCACCCACCTGCTAAGGCCCCCGAGACTATCGGGCAATGTCCCTGAAAGTCCTTGACCTGGTATTACAACCGCAACGTTATGCTATGAGTATACGTGAATATCTATTTTTTTGTACGCGCATCAGCCATGGGCCATGCCTAATGCTAACGTACCTGCCAGGTAGATGTAAATGATTTGGCCGTTGGCATTGCACTTAATCCCAGACGAGTTGGGATATTCAGCATTGCAGCAGTTGGTTGTATCAGGAACGAACTTCCATGGACCTGTCGCCTTGTAAAGATCAGCTATGACGGTACATTCTGCATTAGCTGTACCCGGCTTAAGGATCCCCGAAGGGGACGTAGATACGGGATTTGGCGGCACCTGTGAAGGAGAAGGAGGCGTTGGAGCTACGGTAACGAAATGAGGTGGAGTAAATGGGACAGCTAGGGATGGAATAGTGCCAGGAGGGGAAACGGAATGGGTGGGCGTTGGTGTCGCTGAAGGATCGTCTTCGATATTGACTGGGTCCGGGAAGCTGTCGTCGTCGTTATCCGAGCCCTCTGCAGCGACGCAAAACCGATCACTGACGATGGTTAGGAGAAGGAGAAAAAATAGTAAGGAAAGCAACAAAGTCTTTCGTGCCCGCCATCGTCCTAAGTGATAGTACAAAGGAGGCGCATCTGCTTTAATTGCATTCAAAGATAGTGGAAGTTCATCAAATTTGCTTTTAAGAAGCGCGATCCTTACCCGAACATCTTGTGGAGGTAGCCATAATGTTGTGTTGATATGATAATGTAGAATCCCGGTCGATAGGAAATAAAGGGAACCTTGGCTGGCGTGGAGGAGGAGGAGGAAGAGAAAAGAGAAAAGAGAAAAGAAGGAAAGAATTGGATGCAAGCACAACAATGATATGTTCTTGAATGAAATGGCATCGGCAGTTGGACTTGAAGGAGACTGATAAGACCAGATGCCCCCCTATTCGCACAGTGGCCTTGGCTGAATGGGTGGGGCCTGCAGACTATGGCACCATGTCTGCAGTAGAGGGAGGGGCCACCATTACTACCATTTGGGAGTCGAATGCAGAATTTCTAGGAAAAACTATAGATGGCGATACTGTCGAATCAGAGCAACACGTTGGTTGGCTGTGGCCAGGGCAGCGTGCCAAACAGGGACAAGTAACCGGGGTTGGACAGACAAAAGAGGAGGGAGCACCGATAGCGAACTAGGAGATATCCAAGGGGACATCCAAGGAGGCATACATACACATACACCCATGGCCATCAACAAGAGAACCATAACTCACTGGAAATAGAAGAGGAAGAGGGGCGGTTAAGACAGCGATCGATCCATGTGCAAAGGCAGCCCTACAGGCGTATGGTGGGAATGGCCACTTACCTCGAATTGCCTCTACTATGAAAGGAGACATAAGAATAAAGCAGCACCGCGGTCCTCCGATGTGGTATTCTTCATTTTTAGTTTCCTCCGTCTTCGCCTCCTGATTGAATAGGATGGTCCTTTTCGCAGTAGCACCACGGCGTGCTTATGGTCCTTCTGCATGCCTCGATGGGCCCGCTTCCGGAATCAGCCATCAGTCCAAAGCGTGTTCTGTACAGTGTCGTATAAGCATCGTACGAGCCGTATATGCGTCGTCAAAATACCATGCATTGGTAAAAAGTAGCTTGGCAAGGCAAGGATGTGGGCCATGAACTCCTCCGACTCCTTATCCATGCGTCTATCATCCCATGCCTCCTTCATTCGTTCAAACGTCTGCACTTTTCTTTTCTTATCTGTGCCTCCTAGCTCCCGTAGCGCCTCTGCACACCCTTACCATATCATATCCTCGCACATCTGTGCAGCTAAGCTACACAACGGCATACAAGGGACGCATTCTTTTTTCTTTCCCACTGCCTCTTTCTGAACTGACCACTTGCCTCGTTTCTGCTTCATTTCCCTCCAGTGCGACGTTCAAACTGGTGCTTACATTTGTTACCCTCATAGGCGATAATTCGACACAAACCATCAGACTCTCGTTCCTGACTCACTTTCCACAGTTCTAAAGTACCCTCGTCTGCCTTAATCCGTTCAATCAACACCTGTACCGAGGAACAACCATGCATCTACGACGACGTGCTGCTGGATGATGCATTCAATCAGCCCGAGATTAGATTCGCCGAGCAGCGTAGCGAGATTGACTATTCCGTGGTTATCGAGTCTGTCACGGCTTTTTTGGGCAAAATAAAGCTCCTCCACTATCGACCAGACGAGGTCCGTTTTATTTTCTTCCATAGATAAATTCTTGGCGCCATTATCTCGGCAGCCGATCTGGGCGATTCCAGGTGGAACGGGGGATATAGATTTTAACAAGGTTCCTGGACTTCTGAACAGCGCTGGACATCCACGAATCCGAGAAAGGAGACCGCCTGATGATGATATCGGACCTTGATGAGACCCCACGGAGATCTGTCCTTGTGGCTATGAAGGACGTGGACCCATCGACAGGAGCAGGATGACTCTTATGGAATGGAGTTATTGGATTAAAAAGCAATTTATTTCAGCTAGGACGTCAGTTCTAGAACCGCTCCTTCGAGTAACCGATATAGAGAAGAATTCTGGATGCGTCTGGTCGTCGTCTGTTATCGAGAGCCTGGTTCATTGTTTTTTGTTAATTCAGCCGAGCGAGGCACAGGCAGTGACGATGCAGGACATTGTCAAAAAACGACTGGAGAGGGGCCGACGGTCAGTTGAGGAAGTCCATATTCAGCAGTGCAGCGATCAGTCTGCACGATGCATGTTTCCACTATAGCTGGTATTTCTCCAACATCACATCTGCACCCACAAAGCTAGAGTCCTACTCGCATTTGGATTGCAACCAGAAAAGGTTCGGAGAGAGCAGGCGGTTCCTGAGCCGGCAAGGGGTTGGATCTGTCAGGGCGTCAACAGGAGACATCTGTCTACGTTGAGACTAACCAGGGCATATCCCGGTATGTGCACGGCAATCGGGATCGGTTCCAGTACATGTTATTCAGAGAGAAATAGTCAAATGCTGAATCTGTGGATGTTGATCCGATGAGCTTCCTTGGAGTCTGGTATAACCAACAGAAGCAAGGATTAAAAAAAAAAAAAAAAAAAAAAAAAAGAGCATCGCGATAGCAACGAGACAAAGAAGTGTTACACAAAACTTGGGACAAACTTTAATCTCATTTTCTCCAGAGCACTCTGAACACTACAAAGAATAAAAGAGATAGCAGGCTTTATCGCTTCTCTCTTTAATTATTTTAAGTGTTGGAGTGAGCTGTCAAGTGTCCTGTGCCAAATCCTGCTCCAGAGGGTGCTCCCATTCCATTCTCCAGGATGGTGCCCATGCCTGCTCCTGGCTCTGGTGGGACATCATCGTAGAGGGAATATCGCAAATGGGATGGTCCCGATGTCGTCGTCGTTGTCGTTCCGGCAGCTGCGGCTGCCATGCTGTTATGCACAGGTGCGGGTCCTATATGCATGCCTCCCAGGGTCTTGTACAGCTGATGAGTCGGTGAAGCAAGAGGTGGTGGGATGGTTGCTGTACCCTGTCGTGTATCAGACTGACGCTTAGCTCGAATAATATCGATTTCCGACTGCAGCCTCTTAATCAAATCCGCCTTCTTGCCTCCCCCGTGCTTCCCACGCTGCCGGAGCATCTCCTTCAACTCCGCCACTGTCACATCGTCGAAGTCAACCCGCTCCATAGCAGCATCGAGCTGTCGTTGCTGTTCTTCCGTCCGCGCTTGAGAGGAGGAGTGCCGAGGAGTAATCCTTCCAATCTGTATCGGCGCTGGCGATGATGCTGATGTCGAGAGAATCGAAGGACTCGGTAGGGGAAGAGTTTCACTTCCAGGAGTAACATTTGGAGAGAGAATAAAGCGCTTCGCCTCCGAGTCCAGACCAAGGCTGGGGGGGATGAGGGACGCTGGTATCGATGATACTGAGCCAGGCTTAAACGCAAGGGTAGACGATTCCGACGCTGACCTCCGTCTTTGGATTCCTGCCGCTGCCGCTGCCGCACGTCGCTCTGCCAGTGTGAGGACAGGTGGTGCTCCTTCTGCATGGTTGATGCCTGTTAAACTAGTGTCCTGTTGTGCGATCCCTTCCAGTACAGCACTCAATACAGCTGGAGTCGGAATGGGTATTTCGGCAGACATAGTCTTTGCAGGTTTCTTTTTCCGAGGGGGAGGCGGTGTTTTGGGAGGCACAATGTTACCGGCTGTCTGATTGGCGGCCATCAACGTGGCTGTCAGTCCCTGTTGTGGCGGTGGTGGTGGAGGCAGGTTGATAGATGGCTCCGTTTTTAGGTCAAGAGAGATGCGGTTGCTCTTGGATCCACCTTGTCCAAAGAGCGCCTTTATACCACCTTGAGACATCCTGGCCCCAGCGGTCGAGGGCCTGGGCCTCGATTTGATCTTGGACGATGCACTCGGCGACGAGGCAGGGCCTGGTGATGCTTGCCTTGACGAGAAGTAGTCGTCACCAGCGTAATTGCTAGGAGAGAGAGGCGATTGGGCGGGCGAGTGGCCGGATGGAAACTGCACCATTCCATGAAGATGATGTGGGAATTGCTGGAGGGGTGTAGAGTACCCCATTCCTGGTGCTGGACTCTGAGGCAATTGCGTTCGGCTGGCGAGCTCTAATTGAAGGCGAAGTTGCTGCTGCTGCTGGAGCTGATAAAGACGATGCTGCTGTTGCTGCTGCTGTTGTTGTTGTTGCTGTTGAAGTAACTGTTGCTGTTGTTGTTGCTGTTGTTGCTGTTGCTGCTCATGCTGCTGCTCATGCTGCTGCTGCTGCTGCTGCTGCTGCTCTTGTTGTTGCTGCTGCTGTAGTTGCAGCCGCTGTTGTTGTTGTTGTTGTTGTTGTTGTTGCTGGTGTTGCTGCTGCTGCTGCTGCTGCTGGACTTCAGCTCCTGGATGCTCCTGTGTCAGTTGCTGAACTTGTGAGGTTGGATCCGGCGCATTAAGCGAGAATTCAGTACTCTGCCCTAAGGCCCACTTTTCGCCGTCAAGTTCGTTTTGTATCAGCTGCAATTGCTCAAGGGTCATGCTCGCTGGCATATCCGCAATGTTGCCCAGAGAAAGGAATGAGGTCCAGTCATTTGAGTTGCCATTGTCAAGGTCGTTGGGGAGTGACAAGTCCATAACATCCCCGACCTGCTCTTGATCTGGAAGTCCCATAGATGAGGAATAAAGCGGGATTGAAGATGGATCAAACATAAACTGGCCTTGCCCTGAGAGCCCCGTCGCAATCTGTCTTTGATGATAATTGACGATATGTTCTTGCTGTTGTTGCTGTTGCTGTTGTTGCTGTTGATGCTGCTGCTGTTGCTCTTGTTCCTGCTGGAGCTGCTGAAGCTGCAATCGCTGAATCTGCTGAAGCTGCCGAAGCTGCTGCTGCTGCTGTCCATGGAGTTCTCGGTCTGGGGTTACGGTGTATAGGGCCTGGTAGTCAACCGGATATTCAACCTGAAACCGTGGATCGATCGACAGCGCCTGTGTAAGCAGGCTATTGCTGGATGAGTTTTGAGACGATTGATGATACATTGAGAGTGCTGAGCCGTCTGACGAGGTACAATGCGCGGTAACAAAGAAGAGGGGCGAGGTGTTTCCGCCTCGCTCTGACTGTATTGCTTCAAGGAGCCCTTGTTGGCGTCGGCTTTTAGCTGAATGAGAACCCGAGTTGGTTAAGAATTATGTTCCACCGAGGATTCGTGCTAAAAGAGAGGGAAACAAAATGCAGTTTAGCACGGATTAGTGGGACTCGGCTGAATGGGCCCGAGTCGTGAAGATAAGGATAGCACAGGACGGGAGTGGGCGCCTATATATCCTCTCTCCATCGTCGCAGGTGTTGGTGTTGTTCCGAGTCGAGTTGGCAAGAGATGCTTGACTAAGAACTGATCAGCCCCTTACCTGGAGGAAAGCACTCAGCTCTGGGTTTATAAAAGCAGGAAGAGGAAGAGGGGGAGGGGTCCTCGTTTGTAGACCAAAGACTCAGGACCAGTACGCAGTAATTGAAGGGAAATCGAAAGGGAAAGCGAGGACAGAGGGAAGGGGTTGCGGGCGCGGTGGGATTGCAGGGAAGGATCAAGGCCGATGGAGCGAGAGATCTGTGGAGGTGTGAATGGCAGCCAGGGGCAGTTGGGCAGTTTGTTTGTTTCTCGATGTACGGCTGCGTTGTATTTTTTTTTTTTTTTTTTTGGTGGCAGCAGGGTCGTTTCTTCTTTTTCCCTTTCTTTCACTAGGAGGGAGAAAAGAGAGAATAAGAAGGAGATGGGTGGTGGAATGAGGATGGATGTTGAAGAAAGAAAAACAGATGGGGTTGTGCGTGTGTGTGTGTGTGTGTGTGCAGGAGGGATGATGAACGTGAGAGAACTAACAGTGGAAAAGACCATTAGACTCTGGTATCTACCAGATACTCTGAGCACCCCTATGACGAGGCAAAGAGGCGGAGGGCGCAGGAAAGAAGAGCCGGCAACCAGGCGGACACAAGAATATTCAGTGCATGAAACAGGTTCTCACGCATTCACCGTTGTTATGAACTTACGGCAAGAACAGCAGCTCTACGGAAGCAGGGCACCATCAAGCAGAGCATCGTTGAGTCTTCCCTGCACACATCGCCTATAATACAGCGACCAGTTGGTCCTCCTTGCAAGACCTTTTCAGATCGTATCTATCGCGCTCAAAGAATCAAATAGAGCAGCGTAAATAACAACCATCTCCGCATCGATAATAATGAATCGATTAGCAGCCTTTCAATTTAATAGAAAGGCAGACAAGGCACTTTAAATTGCGTTTCATTGCGCCCTCATCCTCTGTCGAAGCGAGTACCCGACTCAGCGTTTTTTGCATGCATATGCTAATGCATGAAAACGCGCATTTCTCTGTATGTCCGAATAGCCTTTGTCAGCGTTCTCCAGGATCCACGTACTGTTAGGGCCAACGTGATTATTTCTTTCTCTTTATAATATATGATTTCTACAGCAATATATCCCTCAAGTCAATGGGACCCGCGAATCTATCCAGACCAACTCGCAAATGATCCACTGCAGTTGTCCTTTCCACCAAAGCAAAACCGATCTACAGTCACCAGAGGACATAGAACAGGTAACATTCCTCGGGTTTGCCTCTAAGACCTGCGCAACAATTACCACACCTCATCGCTGTGTTAGAAGCTGAAAACAACTGTTGCAAAAAGCGTATCCTCCCGATCCCCTCCAAAGTTGTCAACCATCTCACCCCCTGTAGGCAGTTCAGTAACGTTCAATCCATAGCATCAATTTTTTTTTTTTTTTTTATTAACATAAATCCCCATGAGTTCAATCCATAGCATCAAGACTTAACACGAGGCTAAGGCTGCACTATTAGCATGATCAACGCGGTCAGCGTCGCAAAATTTACCCTCTTTTTCAAGGATCCTCAAAGACAATTTTTTTTTATAACAATTTGTCTCTCGAGTCGATTGACCCTGCGAATCTATCAGACCAATGATCTACTGTAGTCATCCTTTCCACCAAAGTAGAGAAGGAAACTTGCAGGTGGGACAGAAAATAAATCCCATCATGGGACCTTACATATTGCGCCCATTTCATAAATGGATTTCCTAAGTCCATTTAAGTGGATTTCCCAAGTACTTTGAAGTGGATTTCCTGCGCCAAAATTGCATGGATTTCCAGCATGTAAAGTCTACATGATAATTTTTTTATTTATTATAGTCATTCTACCGATCAACTCTGTAATCCAAGGAGGATTGGCGCAATTGGCAGCGCGTCCGTCTCCAAAGCGGAAGGTCGGGAGTTCAAGTCTCTCATTCTCCACACTTTTGCCTCTCCAGTATGGACGACGCACTTTTTTTTTTGGGAAAATTCAACCCGTCCAGAAATCCATTTACCACGTTGAGCATGCCAGGCAATTCTCGCAGAAATTGCTTGCTGAGACTGAATGACTGATTTTTTTTTTCGGAGAGTTCTGTGAAGTACGGGTTTGTTTGCTCCTCTTGAGAATGCCAAGACGGAAACGGTCAGAAAATGTTTGATCCCCATCCCGGAGTTGGATGAAAGACTCCAGCAATGCATATCAATTGATGTCAGCCATCTAATGCTTATTTGTTTCCAGGTTTCCTCCATGCTTGCCATGTTTTTTGATACGGTTCTTTTCCGGAGTGGCGACAAGCACTAAGAGCATACATAAAAACTAACCTACGAGGTCAAATGGAAAGAATTCCTATATCTGACGCAGGCCTATGCAACTATGTGATGCTCCTTTAGAGGTACTTTCAGGCACCCGCGTTCAGGGCAATTACTCCCTGCTGATCCACGCGCAATCCTTGTCAACTGTATGAGTTCTTGTGTGGCATAACGCGCAATTTAGCGCATTGTTTTCTATCATTTATCCCAGTCTGCTGCGGAAAGACGTCTTTTATTGCTTGCATCCATAAAACAAGGGATATCACTCATCATTCTTTGACTCTTTTAAGGTCCGTGAATAGATAAATTTCGAGAAGGTTGAAATGCAAACGCTCTCTCTCAGAAATACATGGGATATGGACTCGTAAAAAGTTCTCAAAATTACGAGTTAACCGGAGAAATTTACGAGTTGCTCTGTCTTTATCCTTGACGAGTAGAGTCGCGGGTCCTTATCATCCAGGGATAGGATACGATGGACGCAACAGCATGGGTATGCGCAACCTGCAGAATACTTTGGTAGAAAGTGGAGGGACCGACGTATACATTAACCATTAGTCACGCAGCGCATAATAATGTGCCCTGAAGGCACGAAGAGTCGCCGTAATTGCTGTGCTTTTGACTCCTTGTGGAGTCATCGTGGCTCCACGTGATGGTCCGTGACTTTGCTTATGCGTTGTTTGGGCAAGGGGGGAACGAACATGAAAGGTCTTTTCTAAAGGATTCCCTCAGTCCTTGTTCTCTTCATTCACTTCCTCATCAACTTCCTCGACAACAACAATCATGTCCGCTGCATCCACATTCAACAGACCTGCGCTTGAGCAGCTGCTCAGCAAGCGCTTCTTCTACGCCCCCGCCTTCTCGCTCTACGGAGGTAAAATAATCGATTTGTATCTTATCAAACCATATCCACCATTTCCCACCCTGTGCCTGCTCCCATCCAACATCCCAACATATCACAACATTTGGTCCTAGCCCACTCTAGGTCCTTGTCCCTCTTTTACTGCGGGCCGCCCTCGGCATCTTCTTCTCGTTGTTTCATTCAGGTCGCCGATGACTCACCAGTATATCTTGTTTGATCGACATTTACAATTCGCAAAATAGGTGTTGCTGGTCTTTACGACTACGGTCCCCCAGGCTGTGCTCTCCAGGCGAATGTGCTCGAGATGTGGCGTAAGCACTTTGTTCTCGAGGAAGACATGCTCGAGGTCGACTGCTCGATCATGACCCCTGCCGAGGTCCTCAAGACTTCTGGCCACGTCGACCGTTTCTCGGACTGGATGTGCAAGGATCTCAAGACTGGAGAGATCTTCCGTGCTGATCACTTGGTCGAGAACGTGCTCGAGGCTCGCTTGGACGGCGACAAAATTGCGCGCAACGCGCCCGTTGAAGCCAAGGCCGACAAGGATGAGAAGAAGAAGAAGAAGGCAGCCAAGGTCACTGCTGTCCGCCTTGACGATGGAACTGTCCAGACCTACAAAGAGATCCTTGCTCAGGTGAGTTGAGGACACTTGTCCTGCAACTCTAACATCAATTTCCCGCATTGCATTGTTGCTCCAGTTTGTCATACATTGTCATGTCACTTATGCAGTTCTTTTTCCCTTTAATTGTGCTTTGTGTCGACTGATGGGTATATCCGATACACATCCATGTAGATCGACAACTACTCTGGCCCGGAACTCGGCGAACTTATGCGCACTCACCAGATCAAATCCCCCGAGACCGGTAACGACATCTCTGAGCCCGTTGTTTTCAACCTCATGTTCTCTAGCAGCATCGGACCCACTGGCCAGTTCCCCGGTTTCCTGCGCCCCGAAACTGCCCAGGGCCAGTTCCTGAACTTCAAGAGATTGCTCGAGTTCAACAACGATCGCATGCCTTTCGCCTCTGCTCAAATTGGTCGCTCCTTCCGTAACGAAATCTCGCCTCGTGAGGGTCTCTTACGTGTCAGGTAAATGTTCTTATCGCGAAGCAGGTTCATGGTACCAGGTTCTAGTTCTCAAGGCGCAGTCAGAGTAATCAAAATTGCTAACGCTCTTGTTATTGTTGATAACAATAGAGAGTTCACTATGGCTGAGATTGAGCACTATGTCGACCCTGCCAAGAAGGATCACGCTCGCTTCAACGAGGTGGCCACCTACAAATTGAAGATTTTGCCCGCTTCTGTTCAACTTCAGGGCAAGACCGAACTTCTGGAGATCTCTGTTGGCGAAGCTGTGGAGAAGGGCATCATCGACAACCAGACCTTGGGCTATTTCTTGGTTCGCGTCCATATGTTCTTGACCAAGATCGGTATCAACCCTGACCGTGTTCGTTTCCGTCAGCACATGAAGAACGAGATGGCTCATTACGCCTGCGATTGCTGGGATGCTGAGATCCATACTTCTTATGGCTGGAAGGAATGTGTTGGCTGCGCTGATCGTTCTGCTTATGACTTGACTGTGCACTCGAACAAGACTGGCGAGAAGTTAGTTGTCCGTGAGCGTCTGCCCGAGCCCTTGGTCGAGGAGAAGCTGCTGCTCGAGATCAATAAGAAGGTCTTTGGTCCTCGCTTCAAGAAGAATGCTAAGGCCGTCGAGGAGCACTTGGCTTCATTGGATGAGGCGGCCTTGGAGGAGCTGAAGAAGGCACATGACAGCACCGGCTCATTTTCCGTCACCGTTAATGAGGAGGCCTTCGATATCACTAAAGACCTTATCAGCAGCTTCGAGAAGGTCTCCGTTACCACTCACAGTAAGTATATTTTTTTCCGAGCTGAGTACGGATAGATCAAGGGCGATGCGCATTTATTCACTTCGTTACATTTTCAATCTAGTTCGCGAATTCACGCCCAATGTCATTGAGCCGTCGTTCGGTATCGGTCGTATTTTGTATTGCTTGATGGAACACGTTTACTGGACCCGTCCGGAGGGTGAGCAGCGTGGTGTGTTGTCATTCCCACCTGTTGTTGCTCCCACAAAGTGCTTGCTCGTTCCTTTGTCGACGAACGATGTCTTCATTCCTGTTTTGAACAAGGTCTCGGCGCAGCTCCGCCGTAGCGGTGTCTCGAGCAAGGTCGACGATTCTGGTGCGTCCATTGGTCGTCGCTATGCCCGTAACGACGAGCTGGGCACGCCCTTCGGTATCACTGTCGATTTCCAGTCTGCTCAGGACGACACTGTTACTCTCCGTGAGCGCGACTCGACAAAGCAGATCCGCGAGAAGATTGAGGTCATTGTGGAGTTGGTCAAGGATATATGCGAGGGCAAGACCTCCTGGTCTGAAGTGTCTGCCAAGTACCCAGAGTTCGTCTCTCAGGAGGTCAGCGAGTAGATGGATTCGCCTTTAGTGTGTTATAAATAATTGTTTTCGCCCAATTTTTTTTTCCGCAGCATCATGACACGATGTGGCTCCAGCAGTATTCTGAATGCAATGCAATATGTGAATAGTAGTGTAAGGAAATGTTTATTTCTTTAAGCACGGTCCTTGCGGTCGCCACGGGGCTTGCGGTGAGTCTCCAAGGGAGCCTGCTTGACCTCGATGGCGGTGACGCCGGCCAAGTCCTCAAAGTTCAAGGACTTGAGCAAGTTCTGGGTCTCGGTATCGATCTCGATGGCCGAGGTATCCAAGGCCGAAACCTCAGGGATGTAGTTGTCCTTGCGCTCTCTCTCCTCCTCCTGGAGCTTGAAGGAGATGCCACGGACGGGACCACGCTGGATACGCTTCATCAGATGGGTGGTGAAGCCGGCAATCTTGTTGCGGAGACGCTTCGAGGGAATGATAGCGACCTCGGAGGCGATCTTCTTGTTGGTCTGGAAGTCCAAGGTCAAACGAGGATAGTACTTCTCGATGAGGACCTTGGAGGCTCTCTTGACAGTCTTGGTTCTAACGCGACCCTGTTTGATGAGCGAGTCCGAAGGCGAAAATAGATATCCCGATTAGTTGCTGCGAACGCCAGGCACCGAACCACAAACACCATTGCCGTGTTGAGCCCCTTGTTCCTGAAAAAGTAGATCGTCCAGCTGATTTCCTCTGAATATACTGATGAATCACAGGCTTCCCATCAAAAGCATATGTTCGTCTTTGTCAGGAGCTCTAGTTTCTGATACGTCCAGTCGACTTGTTCCATGAGTTCCTGTAAGTCCTGCAAGAGATGACTGGCCAGCTCGAAGATGTACCCATTGATAACCTTCCATCAAGACCGCCATCCTCTATGAACCGATCCTTTATACAACTCTCATCCTGATCTACTCTGCTTCCTCGATTATGCCTTCACCTGTCTTGTCTAGTGCAAAATATTCACCACGAGAGGTGGATCGATATCGGGCAAAAGAACAAACAAACATGGCGAGCGCAACTGTCGAGGACGAAGATTGATGGATAGAGGGCGATAAAAAAGGAAGAGAACCGAAGTTGGGGTGCTCAATGGATGGATGGATATGTGTGTGTGTGCAGTGGTGGTTGTCGCCGATATATACACAGGCATCCTTCCTCAGTTTGTATAGTAAACTGCTGTCTCATAAGATCCGTCACGTGGGTGACATCTCTTGATGACTTGCCATTGTATTGGTAGGATTGAAGTGGAGGAGAAAGAGGGGGAAACTCAATTAGCAGCCCAGAGAACTTTAGACACACATTTCAGTTGACCCTTAACAGCCAATTCGCTGGACGGTAAATACGATGTTTATCGCGAGCATTGACACGGAAGGAATGATGAAATGGGGCGCTGCACCGTTACGTTACCCAGTGGAGTAAAATGCCAAGGGCTTCACACTCTTAGACCATTGTGGAGTAAGAGTAGAGTCCTGGTCTGGTATCAAGTTGTTTAAAAATGGTTGATGCAGCCTTGCATACACAATCCGATCATACGTGCAGTGCTGATACGATCGATCAAAGGGATGCACTGAGTCGAAATCAGTGCGCATGTATCGGTTGGCCACACAGCCCCTGAGTACACAGGACGTGGTGGATGCATCTGTCTCCTACTGCGTTGAAGTCCAAGTGCACCCCTCACTTCCCTTCTCATCGATAATTTGAAAGCGGTGCGTCAGGTTGCCAAGCCAAATCTAGCCCCAACTTAGCCTGGCCGATAAAAATAGCTGTCGAGGCGAGGTCAAAGATTCCTCTGCTATTTTCTCTGAATACGACATCACAGCAGCAAATAAAAAACGAAATGACTACTGAGACTAAGAGTAGGAAACCTGCCAGTAAGTCGTTGTGTGCATGTGCTTGGTATATAAAAGGAACAGCGAGACGGTTGGGATGAGAAACTGACCCCTCGACTTGAATGCATGCAACGATTCTGTCTTTGTGCGAATGCAAACCAATCCACAGACACGGCGTTCAAGCAGCAGCGATTGAAGGCATGGCGGCCGATTTTAACACCAAAGACAGTGTTACCGGTCTTTCTTGTCGTCGGTGTCCTCTTTGCCCCTCTCGGAGGTCTGCTACTCTGGGCTAGCGATACCGTAAGGACCCTTGTTTTTATCGTATCGCAGTGTATGTGTGTGGCATGTAAAAATCGATGAGTGGACCCTGTATTTGATGCGTAGTGGGTATGCCTTAACCTCACGTCAGGAGGATGTTCTGGAGATTATGTCACCGTTGGGTAGTTATGAGGAGTCCAGTTTCGACCACTGTAACAAGAGGTGATAGTAGCGATAGACGATCTTTGCGGACACAGTTGCATACATGTTAATCAAGAATTCGTCTACTTGGCTTACAGGTTGCCGAAGTCGTCATTGACTACACAAGATGCGACAAGTCTGGTCCGAACTTTGTCCCAGTCCCGCAGGACTCGTACTCGTCCAACTTTCCCGGCTCTGCTGGGGATGGAGACACTCCGGAGTACAAGTGGATCCAGGCTGTGGGGTCTGGCAACAATGTGACCTGGCCAACGACGAGGTGCACGGTCAAATTCAACATACCTGTCGCGATGAAACGGCCGGTCTTTGTGTACTACCGCCTTACAGACTTTTTCCAAAACCACCGTCGATATATCAAGAGCATGGACTCGAAGCAGCTCTCGGGTGTGTATCGGTCCGCGGATGAACTCAAGGGCGGAGGGTGTGATCCACTGGCGGTCGTCATGGAGAGTAATGTCGCCTACCCAATCTATCCTTGCGGACTTATTGCCAACTCTATGTTCAATGGTACGTGCCTCAGCAGAGCGTAAAAAAAAACTGCAGTGGCGAGTGGAGTGTTAAAGATCTAATTGTTGACACGCATGATGTTTAAAAAATTAGACACATTCAGCCTTGTCTTGAATCCGCTGGACCCAATGACCAACAAGCCCTACGCCCTCACAGACACCGGCATCGCATGGACGACCGATGCAACGAAGTATGGTCATAATCCGTATACGGATCTATCCAAGGTTCGACCTCCACCTAACTGGAGAAATTGGTTCCCCCAGGGATATTCGGTAGCCTCTCCGCCTATCGATATTACCAAAGACGAGCATTTTCAAGTCTGGATGCGTACCTCTGGCCTACCTAACTTCCGAAAGATGTATTCTAAGAACGAGGTTGAGGATCTCCCGAGCGGTACTTACACTATTGATATTGACATGAGTACGTCGACCTCGAAGAATTACTTGCTCACTTTGTGTTTCTCTTGAGTGCTTTGAAGTGCGCGCATGAAGAACTGACCGCATCCGCTTTCAAATGTCTTTATTACAGACTACAATGTGTCGTCATATGGAGGAACAAAGTCGATCGTCATATCTACGGTGTCGTTTATGGGCGGACGTAATCCTTTCTTGGGTATCGCCTATGTGGTCGTCGGCGTGTTGTGTGTCGTGCTCGGGCTTCTGTTCACGGCCCGTCATCTGTACAAGCCTAAGCGCTTGGGAGACCACACCTACCTCTCATGGAACCAACAGAGGGAGCCACAGGGAGAACCATTATCGGAAGACGATGAGCTGGCTCCTTCTGCGGTTGCCACGGGCGCAAGCGCGCGCTACTAGTTTTTATCCCTGATGGAGCTGTTTAATTATTTTTGGTTTATTCAATTCCATAAACGTTGACTTGTTCTTTTATTATTCTTTTTATTATTCTTTTTATTACTCTTTTTTTTTATTGTTTTTCCTTCAGCAGACGTCATGGCAATATGCCAAGGTTTCTGAAATGGCTGATATTGATACAGTTACGAAGAAGAGCCGAAGGTCAGAGGGCCCACAAGACAGAAGAGTTCGTTGCCCTGAGCGTCCTTGGCTTCAGCTCGGATATCGACAGAGATTCCAGATGGGATGCCTGATGGCACTTTCACGCATTCCTTGATCGTCCCGTTTGTAGGTTGGATCGGACATTGCGTCGTCGAGTTGCTTATGCTTTGGAGACTGTTGCACAGATCAGTCGTTGTGTTGTACAGGGTTATTCCAACTATGGATGAAGAAAGGAACCGGTCAATACAACTTGAAACATGTTGCATGCAATACTTCCCCCTCAAAGGAACATAACTTACAGATGCTCGCTGTGATGACGACAGTGGATCCATTATTGATAGGCTGGGTCAGATTGCCCTCAATGGTCATACAGGCTTCCTGGCCTGGAATCAGAGGATCTGGGGAATAGGTCGCGTTCGTCAGCTGGAACGCGGTGGAATTGGATGCGCAGGAGTAGAACCCGGCAGCTGATACAGCGTCCAGCAAGGTGACCGCAGTGGCAAGAACGATGGGCAGGAAAGACTTCATTGTGTTCGAGTTGGTTATTGCAAAGGAGAGGAGAAGATTATGGAGGCCTTTTCAGCTCGCTTCGTAGGTCCTTTTATTCGTTTTTCTTGATGTAGGACTCGGTAGCGCAGTGAGTATAAAAAAGCTTCGTCTAGCCTTTTCCTGTCAAATTGTTCGTTAGACCCTTGATGACAACATCAAAGTCGCCGATAGATATCTTTAGATTGCATGATTGCTGACGCAGTTTATCGCCATAGTCCAGACTATGCTGAAAGCTCAGCACAACACGAAAAAAACAGCCTTCCCTTCGATCTTGGGCTGCATGAACGTCATGGTGAGTGAATAGCAGCAATCCGCAGCGCACGTATGGAAAGAACACTTATGTTTATTATATAGGTTTCAACGGGTGCATTAAAGTTACGACGACCCTTTGGGCGAAGCACCAACGCGCGGAGTACGCTTATCCTCCAAAAAAAAAAAAAAAAAAAAAAAAAAAAAGACGGCGCTGGGAAAAAACTTCGGGAAGACTGTTCTAAGTAGACGATTTGGCTGCGGGCAGGCGCTTGCGGATCCATTCGATATAATAATCGATTACGACCTTACGATCATCCTCCGGCTCATTGTGCAGCTCATGGTAATGATTCTCGTAAACCTTGTATTCCTTGTCTTTGACCTGAATCTTGTCAAAGAACTCCTTGCTCGCCTGGTGATCCGTCAAGCCATCCTCAGTTCCGTGACAGATCAACAGCGGCACATCGGGTGTGATATCCTTATAGCGGGTTGTCAACAAGGCCTGTCCGTTCGATAGCATATCATACAAGCCCTTAGTCGTTCCGTATCCGTGAACGAGTGGGTCCGCATCGTATTTCTCCACCGCCTTGGGGTCACGGGAGATGAACTTTGAGGAAAGGTTGGTGGGGATCTGCAGTGAGGGGAGGACCTTGGAGACAAGGCCTGCAAACCCAACCGTCAAGCTACTGGGGCGCGTGGGACCAGAAGCTAGAATCATGGGCGCTGAAGCAATCAGTCCTGCGAGCTTGTGCTTCAATGGTCCGATACAATCATAGTTGAGCACTAAACCTCCGCCCTACATTTGAGATATGACGATTAAAAACAGGAGAATGGTTTAGACCCTGCTCTTGTGAAGTCGCTTTATAGGTTAGTCTCCATGGGGCATCGCCACTTACATAACTGTGTCCCATCAAGAACAGAGGAACGCCTTCAGCCTCGGCACGCTTCAAGGCTGCGGTAATGTCGGGGATGGCCTTGTCATAGCCCCCAGAGCAGCCCAAGGACTTTGACTTTTTCCCTATTTTGCAAGGTAACCATTTATAGTGATCCCGTCAACAATCGGTGCATTACGTGTTGGAGTGCGCACACAACCGCATTACGCGACACGCACCTGTTTCTCCGAACCCGCGCTGGTCAAAGGCTGAAACCTGGAACCCAGCCTTGTTGAACTCTTCAAAGACATGATTGTAGCCTAGAAAATAAGAATAGTCCTAGTGTTATCGATTGCTATAATTATATCAGGGTGCAAGTGGTTCATAACCAATGCCCTGGGACTAGGAGATAAAGGTTTGGAGTGAGAACTTACGAACGATATGCTCGCCCAGTCCGTGGACAAAGACGATATTGGCCAGGGGCGCTCCGACAGGGTGCCAGGTCTTTGAGAAGATCTCGTGGCCGTCCTCGGCGGTGATCCATTCGACCTTGGATGTTGAGTTGTCGGTGGAAGTAGTCATTGCTGCAAAAGAGTCGGGGATGGTGATGGGATTGCGAGGATGAGTGAGAGGAGAGGACGGATTGTGATGTAGAGATGAATGAGAAGGAACGGACCAAGCGCTTTTTTCTTTTTCTTTTTTCTTTTTTCCTTCTTCGCGTGCTTGTGGAGAGATACGATGTTCGGGCGGACTGGGTGTTCATTGGCACAGGGGTGTGTGAAGTTTATTGTGTTTGTACAACTTGTCCGCGACTACATGTAACCATACAATCCATGCGACCCCGCCTTGTCATCTGTCCGCATGATGTGCTGCGACCGCGTCTGGGCAGCAGGCAATGACTGTGGGGGCAGCAAGATGGGCTCGCTCCGTAGTCCATGGTGTCGCTGTTGCTGGTCTACTGACGGGCGAGGTTGGGTTGACCTCGCGCCATTGTCGAAGCCATTAGGTCGAGATGAGTACTGTTGTTGCTGCTGCTGATGCCGGATAGTGTTGTCGGTATGATACTGTGGACGACTGGCTGTGCTCTTAATCGTCCCCGCACTGACTGTTCGATGCAGCGCATTCTGTCCCTGAGTCGATGTCGATGGTGGTGTCGCGGATGACTCGGGCTCTGGCCAAGGGAAACGCGAGGATTTTGATTTTCTCACCGGGGGATGCTGAATCCTGTTCATATCCTCACTAGGACGCGTCGTCCCCCTACTCCCAGATTGGCCCACTCCTGTCTCACTGGGAAAATATGCATTGAAGTCCTTCCCATCCTCGAACAACGAGGCCGACGGGATCTTAATAACGCTCGTATCTAGCATCCGCGCTGGCGACTTTCCTCCTATGTTTGACTTTCCTGCCGTGTTCGACTTCGCTGCCGTGTTCGACCTCGCTGCCGTGTTCGACTTCGCTTCCCTCGAGGACGGATGACGCGCCAGCTCTATCGCCCCTGCCTTCTCAGCCCCGACACCTGCACCGTCAGCCCCGACACCTGCACCGTCAGCACCGCCAGCACCTGTGCGCTCTATGGTTGCACGCATCCTCTCCTCAGACTTCATTCTCTCCAGGCCCCGATGGACGGCCTCTTCAGCCGCCTTGGCGGCCGCAGCCTCATGGAACTCTCGAATTGACCTCTGGCGTCTCATCGTTTTCTCACGGTAGAGTGCATATCCATCAGGTCCACCGTATGCCCCGCTGTTATTCTCACGGCTAAGGGAGTACTGAGAGCTCTGACGTTTCACGCCCGTGCTCGAGGCACTGGTCATGTTGCGTCTGAGGACAACACATACTGCGATGAGCAAAACAGCTACAACACCGCAGGAGATACCAATGATCATGCCTTTGTTCGATGACGACGATGATGACGACAACGAGGATTTAACATCACCTCCCTGCTGTCCGCTTTCCGATACAGAAGAAGGAGTCGTAGTTGTGTTCACTCGGCTGCTGGTAGATGTGCCGTTGCTGCGACTCAGAGTCGGACAGGTCGTGTCGACCACACATGTCTCACCGTTGACCACGACCGAATCTGCACTCGGCGGTATCCCCGCCAGCACCGTCGCCGCCAACACGGCGATGTGCCCAGAATTATCGTCCTCCGCAGATTTCTCCTCGCGCTCTTGCACTTTCGCGCCTTTGCTCAAGAGCGTAATTCCATCAGGCATGGCTGTAATGTTCGGAAAGGACACGGCGAATTGATTCTGGCCGGACGACTGGCAGCTGACGGTTCCACTAGATAAGAAGGTGCACCCCGAAGGAACGGTGACGATGAGGTACGAAGCCGGAAAATTGATCGTAGCCTTGTAGACCATACCCTGGGAGTCGACGGCTATTTGCGAACTGACCGTTAGTGAGACCGCATAGGATGACGAGGTAGCGGAGGCTGGGGCTAGGCTCTGGGATGTGAGGGTATAGCAGCACTCTATTTGGAATAAAATTTTCAGGAACCACGAGGGTTGCAGAGAACGATGCCGTTGGTGGTTCGTTCCCTCATTCGAATCTCATTCGCACGTTCGACATCTGTTAGAAAAACATACTGGAGAGCGCGGGGGCGATGAAGAGGCAGATGTAACAGGCTGCAACGGTGAACAGCTTCCGTGCGCGCGGTGTCTTATGTGTCGTATGCATGGAGATGCTGTCCGAGAGCTTGTTGGTGTGCAGAACTACGGGTGTGGGACGATGTGGACAGAGATACCCCACGCGATAGAGTCGTGGGTGGAGGAGTAGAGGAAGATGGACAGAGGAAGCGGCAAGTTGGGGGATTGAGGAGAGGAGAGTAGGGGTTGAATCAGAGGAGCTCTGTTCGCTATTCTTGCCGCGGTCCTGCTAAGGAGGGAACTCCACTCTGGGCAGTGTTCAGTTCTCTCTTTTTCCTCGCCTGGGACAGGAGCACCCATGTTAATGTTTGTTTTGGGTACCTTTTGTTCTTCATTTTTTGTCTCTCCAATTGCTCGCGGTCCCCTGAGCATTTGTCTCTGTTTGTTTGCATCTCTGTCGACTGGATACTTGGGTGTTTGCCTATTTGACCCCGCGCCCTCCCCTGTCCGCCTTTGGGTTCCTCCTCAGCCTGCCATGCATCCACACCGAATAGTCTAACCTACTCTTGTGCATCGCTGCTTGGCCACAAAAGTGTGGGCATGCACTCTCAAAAAAAACGCTCTTTCTGCTGTACGACGTCAATTATGGCCATTTTTTTCTTTTTGTTTATACCCGTTTTGTTTTGTTGTTTGTTTGTTTGTTCAGCCTTGAGCGTCTTTGAGAGAAAATGCAGATGCGGGCGCAATTTTTTTTTTTTCGTTTCATTTTATTCAGTCCCAGGGATACACCCTCGATGATGTATTTATTGTTCGATCCCAACGTGGTGTGGCCTAATCCGGGTCATCCCCACCACAGCCTGTTAATACGGCTGCCGCCAATTTTTGTCTGATGTCCTGATGCCCCAGATTCACAATCATTCAGTCATTCGTATCTTCAAATATAGCGTGTAGATATGTACATGTGTTTATTGTAAATGAAAGTACAAAAAAAAAAAAAAAAAAAAAAAAAAAAAGATATATGAAATGGAATGTAATCCAAGGGTAACCGTGATCAATACCGCTTTACAACCAGAGGGAGCTGCTGAACTGGTTCTCAGCCATTGGCCTGTTCACAGCGACTGAGGAATCCTGCTGCAGCTGCGCCGGGTTGAGGGTTCCGTTGTTCGTTTCCGAGAAATCAACCCAGAACTTGGCGGGGTCATAGTCAAGACCATCCGTCATCATCGCACTCATTGAGCCCATGTTCAGCTGTTCTTGCGCCATCTTCTGTTGAGCCTCCATTGTAAGAGCGGTCATGGTCATGGGCATATGTACATGGCCGTGCGGTTGCTGCTGTTGCTGCTGTTGCTGCTGCTGAAGCATTTGCATCGCATATCGGTGGCTAGGGATGACATGGGCACCCATGCTGTTCAAGACTGGTTGCTGGTGATGCTGATTCGGGCTGGCATCCTGCTCCTTCATCTCCAACTCGAGCTGCTGACGCTGCTGTTGACGTTGAAGCTGTTGTCTCATCAACTGCTGCTGCTGTTGCTGCTGCTGCTCCAAGAGGGAGTCTGTCTTGTTTTCTGAGGGCTTGGTCACAATGCTAGCGCCGAAGGTCTGCATTTGCTGGTACAAGCGATGATGTTGCTGAATCTTGAGCTGTTGCTGCTTCTGCTGCTCCTTCAGGTCGATAGGGCGCGATTGTGCCTGTTGTTGCTGTTGTTGCTGCTGTTGCTGTTGTTGCTGCTGTTGCTGTTGTTGTTGCTGTGCAGCCGGGCTGTAGATATACTGGTAGGGGGCATTAATGGAACCGTTCGTCGTCGCATTCGCCGCCGCTGCCGATGCAGCGTTCATCATAGAGAGGGTCGTAGCGGTCATAACGTTCTGTGGTAGTGATGTTGTTGTGGTCGATGTGTATTGGACTGATGCCGAAGAATTTTGTGACAACTGTGGGGCTGCCTCGAGTTGACGCTTCTTGCGAGATGGCTGAGCATCCATTTCCTGTTGTTGATACATGCCTCCCATACTGCTTCCTTCACTATTACGCCCTTCCTCTGCTGCAGCCTTCGATGTGCTCTCCAAGAATTGCTCGAGAATCTGAAAATGAAATATTCGTTAATTCATTAGTGCCATGTTTGAAGTATGTGGTTACAACGACTGGCATAAAGCGGAAGCTTTTTCTCTTTCTTCTTTTTTTCGTACCTTGATTCCTTCAGAAACACCTCCAGAATAAGATGAGCAGTTCAGGAAGCCTTCAAGGACAGCGAGCGTGCGCTGGTAGTAATCCATCGCCACCTGGAAGCCTCGCTTGTCATACACCGCGTTCATGGCATGGATCACGCCAGCTTGCAAAAGGGCGTAAAGAGTAAATCGGTTGACGACATAAGAGCACTGCTCCATGTCCAAGCCCTGTGCGATGTCGGTAATAGCGCGTCCAGATCCTGTGCAGATGGTATTTGATTGAGCTGCTGCTGGGGAACCAGCGGCACCGACAATATAGGGGCGATGCAGCAGGATCAGAGTGGCATTATACACAATATGGAGATAGGCAGGATAGACTTCGCCTGCTTCCTTGGTAAGGGCAACAGCACGTCGTGCCTCGGCAATTGAAGCTTGGACAGTTGGAGGCGAGCGCATGGGCGATCCAGGCGTGCCACGCCTGGCGATGTTGGGGTTTTGCCAGCGCATTTCGGGAGCGAGATTGCTTAACCACGATGTGAGCGAACCTTCAATATACGAGACCATCGAGTCGTGACCGCCAAACTGTGGTGGCAGCGACTGTGTTGAATACGAGTGCTGCAAAACACTTCCAAGAATCTGTGTACAAAGATATAAAGGAAAATGTGGGTAAAAAATTTAAAGAGTTCAGTGGCGACAACGAGCCAGTATTTTACAAGCGTACCTTGACGAGGCGAACCATGCAGACAAATCCACGCAGGTCCTGCTGTGAAGATGTGGGGTCCATGGGCAGCTCGACATCGCTTTCCTTGCCATGCATCATCAAGCCCAGACCCAGCCAGGCAGAGAATTGATGATCCTAAAAGATAAATGAGAGCAAGTCGGTCAATGGCTGTAGTTTGAGGAGTGCATCAACTAGATGAAAAGTTAATTCCTTCATTTTCACGTACAAGGATGAACATCGACCACCAGAGGTATCGCAGCCCATCGGCCTCGGGGCCGTGGACAATATTTTCGGGGTCGCGGTGGAGACCGAGCTCGTGAGCCATGCGGATGGCCATCGAGAGGTAATTGCTGCTCCGCGTGGCCTTCCACTGACCTTGGTGATGGTACTGCGACATCAGGCAAAGCGCCTGGACAGTGCTCACTCGGGGCACATCCATGAAGTCGTCCAACAGCAAGCGTGCTGCGTCAAAGAAACCCTGGCTGAGAGCTCCAGAGCGCTGGCGCTCCTCTGCAGTCATCTTGGAACCCGTCGAGGGGACCCTGGCGGCGACAGCCAGCAGGGCATTGAGCAATAGAGGCGAGATGGGTGCTACAGAGTCCGGAGAGTGCAGCTTATGGGCATTCATCTCGCTTACTTGCGGTTGACGGTTCTTTAGCTGTGCGTTCGGGCAGAGGACGCAGTTTTGGTGCTCCCATTGCCTCATGAAAGTAGGCTGGTGAACAATTGGCAGGTAGATATTGAACCGCTCAAAGAAGGACTCCAGGAGTTGATGTATTTGCTCGGTGGAAATGGTGGGAGGGAAAGAGCGGGCGAGAGTCGGAAGCGGAGGCTCCAAACTCTCGAAGGAGAATTGAAGGTGGTTGCGACCGTATTGGCGAGATTGCTCTGGTGTGAGCCATGGGAAGGGGACAGTGGTGCGTACAGAGGTCGATCCCAACTTATCAAACATGCTGGTGAGAATAGCGATGTCTGACTGGGCATTGACCCCCTGTTCGTTCTGTCCAGCGATATGATGGGGTAGGTTGTCGTGTGAGAAGGGGAGAAGAGCTGTCAAGGAGCGGTTACGGGATATAAGCGGTGAGTGGCGACCCAGTGGGGACATTGCAGCGGAGCCAGAGCGGATGTTGTGTTGTGTAGGAGTGCTGGAGCGTGTGGGACGTAGCGCTGGTGAGGCAGGCGGTTGCTGCTTAACCTTGACGAGATCGTTGGAGTAGGTGCTAGCGCGGTCGTCCTCGTCCTCGTCGTCTGGGCTATCCTCGCTGTCGGAGTGGGAGGCTGGGGGGGCACTAGGAGCTGTGCTGGTGCTGGCAGAGACGGTGGCATTGTCGGAGGGTTGAGGGGCGACGTTCTTCTTCTTCTTCTTGACAATGCCAGCAAGCATGTTTTCGATCTTGCCGAGTCTGTCCTCAATAACCTCAACGTAGCCCTTGGGGGGACCACGCTTGGTGTTGCTGGTGGTGTAGACGCACTGTGTCTTTGCAGCCTTGCATCCTCCGCAGCCGTCGGGGACTCCGTCGCACTTGACTCTACGCCGCCGGCAGTTGTCGCATGCCTTTGTGATTTTTGACCTCTTTTGCTGGTTGCTGTTATTGTTGCTGTTGAAGTCCAGCAGCATCGGTGAGTTAAACATGGTGAGTCACTTTTTCGGCGCCGTTGCAGGACTTGAGTGGAGTCGAAAATAAAGATGTGAGAGCTTTTGTGCCTGAAAAATAGAGGAGCGAAGGGGATAGGAGTGTGAGATGGTGATTTTATATCAATAGGTCAGTCAATATGCGGATCTATCGATCGAGGATGAGGAGCGAAGGAGAATGCCGGCGAGCAAATTCAGAGATCTGGAGGGAGGGGGAAGGAGGGATGGGAGTGTGAAGTGTGAGGGAGCAGGGTCAAAGGTGATAAAGAGAGGGGCCGTCGGATGGCAGGATGTGAGAGGGGGAGGAGGGGAGGATGAAGTAATCCAAAGAATGGGCGCGATGAATGATTGGCAACGATGCTGGTGGTGCTGGTGATGCTGGTGATGGCGATGATGATGGGAAACAGAAAAAAAGGGAAGAGAGAAGAAAGAGGGGATGATGAGGGCAAAAAAAGAGAAACCCCCCAAAAGGAACAAAGAAACAGCGTGGAGACTAAGAAGCGGGACACCATTGGACCAACTGGGCCTCGATGCTCTTCCCCTTTCGTTCAAACAAAATAACAAAATACAAAAAACCTGCTGGAAATCGTGGGTCGGTGGAGAGAGAATGAGTGAATGGGTGGAGAGTAGACAAGCGAATATGAAATCAGATAAAACACACGCAGCTCAGTCCCAGCCTTTCCCGGAGAGGGCTGTCGACGGTACTTTGCAATTGCTGCCGCCGCTGATGTTCTTATTCCCCCGCTATGCACATGTAGTCCTTCAACCGAGGCATCGCACTCTCTTCGTCCTTTTTATTTGGGTCGAGTGGACAGCAGCAACACCGGTGGCAGTGGCAGAGGGAGCCCTGTGTCAGCCGGGACCCATGGGCGACACCATCAAGAAACCAATGAACTAAAACGGGGGCCCCGTTCCCGCCATCGTCCTTCGATTGCATTTCAAGGTGCGGACAATATAAAATAGAATAAAATAAAAACCCGATGGCATCACGTTGAGCGCCAGCAGCGAGGAGATTGGACCAATTTCATTCATCTCTCTGAAGCTTGTTCCGTTATCACCCAAAGAATACCTGGGTCTGTCTACTTTCGCTTTGACACTGCTTTCCAAGCAGAACATTCGGTCTTCCCATGCTTCTTTTTTGTTTTCTTTTCTTTTCTTTTCTTTTCTTTTCTTTTCTTCTTTTTTTTCCCTACCATTCCTTTTCTGCTCCCCCGAAATCATTGAATGGGCTAGCGAGGCAGAGGCAGTGGACAATGTATAGTGCAAGTGCCGCTGTAGCATGTCGCCCAAGTCTAAATGTGTCCTTGCAATTGAGCAACCACCCTCTTTCGGTAAAGGCGTAGGTCATCACTTGCCGCTTTTCTTTCCCGTTGAGACACACCATCATCATGCTTCGCACTCTCGCTCTTTCCCCCTGTTCAGTCCATTTCCAACCTATTCAGAAAGCGCAAAATATATCTATTTTTACATTCCCACCATACACCTCTGTAGGTTGACCCCGGGCTTAACAATCAACATCAAAAAAACCCAAAAGAGCGCCACAATCTGCAGACACACTGATATCTACCTACCTTGCATGGCAACAGGACTCTGCCTCTCTCGTACTGGGCGCGCAAAAGAAACGCGTTGACCCATTGGTTGTCATCATCTATATATTTTGATGCAGCAGAATGCAAGGGCCTTGAACAATAGTGATCATGAAACCTGGGCTGTTGTTGTAGTCGGATGCCTCATTATTTCCCTGTCAAGCAATTGACACCTTGCGTTGTCTTCAAAATTCTCCGGAAAGGGGAAAGTGTGTGTGTCTAGACCAACTGCAAGCTATGTAATATCCTTTTCGCAATACAGTCGTAAATAAATCTCCATTGGCCTCCTCACTAATTGGAGACGTTCATAGTCTACACATGTACCGCTGATGTTTGGGAGTGCTGTTTCCTTGCGCCCAATTAGGCACACGTGGTTTGTTTTCTGGCCACCGTCCGTCGTCCATCATCCATCGCTACTTTCAATCCAATGCTCTGTCGCCATAGACTTTAACTTCAGCTGGAAGGCTTCCAACTTCTTTGTGGCCCTCTTCTTTGTGGTTCTCCACGCACTGGTCATCAAAAATGTACCGCATGATCGCAAAAAGCTCCTGAATCTGTACCTGGGATGTATGCGTGAAAACCATGAACAGTGACTGAATGTATTGGGCGCCATAAATGATACAAACTAACGGGGATCTTCAGTGTTTTTCTATTATTACGGCCCATTCTTTGCTTCCGCATTGTCGAATTACGCTTTCTTGTCATGCAGAGTGCTGTGCAAGTTCCCTTATCTGCGTCAAACATTGCATCTGAGTTACGCGATCGCTATATTATTATAGCGCTTGGCGTATACCTGACAGTGATTCAATAAGACCCAATTGCTATCCAAGTGGATTCGGTTTTGCCAATTAATGGATAATATCGAATTTAAAATATACCGGGAATGACTGCAGAGACTTTGCAAAGACCGCTCGAAAGCGAAATACCATCCTCTCCACGAGTACACGATCGACTGGCATGCCCGGCGATCTTGACCGTAGCACTTGGTACACTGAAATGCACCATGGATTATCGCTCTGATTGGTATCTCGGATAGCACAGAGATATGGAGCCGGATGTCCTAAGTCTCCCGCGATCGATTTCGTGGCCTCAATACCGGATCCAGTATATCCACATTTTGCTATCGCATCATGACCCTCAGTGTACGGAAACGCGAGATCAATGGATGGCAGCTCCTTAAGGAAATAAGACATCATCGTATGTGTTCATTTGTGTGCTATGTATACCGCACTTCCGAAGATATTGTTCTTTTGACCCTGATATGTCCTGACGTGGTCCAGTTGAATCCACGATATAGACATATATATACACAATTATATTCCTGGCCATCGTTAAGGTCATGCTCATAGCTATGATGAACTCCGAAGAGAAGACCGTATTGTTTATTCGCTATTCTTACGCTACCGATCTGGTTTCGATTGATCTTTTCTATACACCGAGCTGACCTTGATCTACCCCGATCTGACGGCCTGTGGGTTCAATCATTTGGCTCTAATGGATCGTATCTTAGAATTTAAGGCCGAGAATTTTTTTTTTTCGTTATTCGGGCAGGAAAAGTAGACGATAACATAGCACAGGATTCAAATAGAGAAGAATAAAAAGAACAGAGCGGCCAAGTAAAATCCAGACTTTTCGTTGGTAAGCCAAAAAAAAAAAAAAAAAAAAAAAAAAAGGTGCCCGAGTTCATGCTCCCCTATGTTCGAGCAGACGTTTGAGTCTCTTGTTTGTAGGGCCAATAGTCGGTCAATATACCTCATTACTTATCCGTCCTTACGCTCCAGAGTAGACAATCCCAGTGATATCCGGTGCTTTATACTTCATTAGTAAGTTTATGCGAGCGCGTTCAAGATACAATGTCCGTACGGCAATAAAAAAAAAAAGAGGACGCTTTCATCTTTGCTTCATCATTGCTTCACTGTAGTCCTACACCCTGACCTTTGTCAAAACGGCGCAATAAGATAAAAAAGAATTTGGTCCGCATCCGTTTTCATACAGAAGACATAACGACAATATCAGATCTTTGCAACTGAAAAAAGCACAAAGGCGATTCAACTTTATTTCGTCTACAGCTTCCTCGTCATTGTTGTTGGTGGATGAGGCCAGATTCTCGTTGGAATCTCACTCGTCTTCAATAACACCTCCCACTCATACAACGTCGCATTCGAGACCACGTCCTTCAACGACAACGCCTCCTGTTTGCGATGCCTCCGTCGTCCAGAAGCCTTCATCAACTTTACGACCGCAGTCTCGCATGACCCGTGTCGATTCTGCTTATGGAAACTCATGACGCTGGTCCCAGACAGATCCACCACGTTCACAGTTGTCTGTACTCTGCGGGATGGTATATCGAAATCAGTCGTTGAATCAAGCGATTTGTGCTTTAAATCCTTGTCCTTGTCCTTGACAATGCCGTGTCTGCGGGATGGAAGGCTCTGTCTCTTGGATAACGAGGTGATGGATGAGGTGGAGGATTCGTCCGATACTGTCGAAGACATGGAGGATGAGGAGTTCACTCTCTGCATCTCGAATGGTCTCTTTGCATACTCCAGCGGATTGCCACTACTCAACGTCGCCGAGGTATCCGAGTTGGTCGTCGGTGATTTTTCAAGCTGCTTGGACAGTAACACAGGAGATGAGGCTGCGGAGGAGGACAGCGAGGAAGAAAGTGAGGACGAAATGGATATAGCGACCTCGTTCTCTCCATAAGAACCCGTAGCACGGTCTTTGTTGACAATTTCCCGGATATAGGCGCTTGTTCGGTCGAGAGCGGCTGCGGAGCTGGCGTGGAATCGAAAAAGTGGGAAGATATGGGGCATATCCTCGTGAATGTCGATTCTGCAGGGTTGTTGCTGGTCCTCCAGTCGTGCTGCCATAAGCACACACTCGTTCGCGAACCTTTCAGCTGAACCGCATGTCTAAAACCAAAGATTCCAGACGGGTTAATGATTTGTGTCTATGGATAGGGCATGTCGGATATAGAAGACTCGGGTTGGAACATAACGAAGGCAGAGATGAACTTACAATGAAAACACTGGGAATGCCGCTAAAGTCTGTCTCGAAGAGCGGGCTGACATATTTCATCCGCAGGCATGAGTCTGGGCAATATACCTGCGCGCGCTGTCTGATCCTGGGTCCCGCGTTATACGCTCCATCTTCCTCTACATCGACATCCTGGCTTTGCATGCTAAACATCTCATCCACAACTGCTGAATGGGAGTGTGTAAAGTCCTCATAGGGAATGCAGTCTGTTATGGCGTTCTCCTTGAATGACGGCAGCGCCTGAGTGAGGTCGAGCCATGGCGACCAGGCGACGATAGAGAGGGGCTGGGGAAGCGATCCGTGATCCCTAAGCAGTAGACTGAGACTCAAGGCTAATCCTCCTCCTGCAGAGTCGCCCATAAATACAATTTGGTTTGGTTGAAAGCGATCATGGAGTACTCCTGAGCCGGACCCCGAGTTGTTGAGGGGACCTTGGCCGAAGGATTCGGAGACAGACTGATCCAGTAGCCACATGTATGAGGACAAGGCGTCGATTAATGCCGCTGGGAAGGGATACTGTGGAGCAAGTCTGTAGTTGATCTATATGAAAATTGGTCATAGAGGTATTAGAGGACTCTTTCACTTTACTTATTGGCCATTTCCGTTATTTCGTTCCTCGCTTAGATTCATAACTTACGATAAAGATGCGGACATTTTTCCCCAGTCGTTTCACAAGCGGACCGATCAGCACGCGGTGCTCCTCCTTCGAACCAGTGTAGTATCCTCCGCCATGGAAGTAAAGAACCGCGGCCTTGTTAGCGTCGGCACCGGTTTCAGCTCCAATTTCGTCTGGTCCGATGTACTCTAACCACTCTGCGTCCAGTCCTTCTGCGAATTGATCCTCCCGCTGTCCGTGTCCCTGAGCTGAATGCTGCTCCTTCTGATATTGATTCTGGATGAAGTCTATGTCCCTGTCTGTCTCCTGCTGGACTCTGACGGAGAGCTCATGTTCCTGTTTACCATCTCTGGTCTTTCCGTTGTTCAAATGCGGAAGGAGCGCTCGTTCCTGATCAGTCAGACAATCATATACAATAGCCTCGGCCTTCGATCGATACGGAAATGTGGGTATTTTGACTTTGTTGATCCGGATGCCTGCTGGAGCGGTCATGAAGGGGATCGATCTCGACCGACTCTGACACTCTTCAATCGTGAGGCGTTCCGCATAGCGAAGATAACACTTGAGAAACGAAAGCGCCAAAGCCAGACGAGCTGACCAACCCCTATTCACGAGCAAAAGGAGAAAAAAAAAGTAGAGTTAATGATGATGCAGCTACCAACGACCACTTTACATCGTCTGTTTCATCATCGGGATATGTGTCATACCTGCGCATTCCTTGACTCTTGTCTCGATCTCCGGCTTGACTTGTTCGGATTCCCAGCAGCCAGGCGACAAAGCAAGGAATCCAGGTGAAAGCGACCAGGATAAGCATTGGGACCTGTGCTATGAAGAAAATGGTTGAATGCAGGTCCAATGGCTCGGGCTCATGGGGGAATAGCCATACAGTGATTCGGTTGTAACAATTGTGGATGTAGACCCATATCCAGCTGAGGATGCCAGTGATAAAAGAGTTGCGCCATGGGGAAGGAGAAGATGAGCGCTGTGGCTGTGGTGAGGATGTGTATCCGTGTCTTGTCCGCGGCTGTTTTGAGTTGCTGTTGTTGGACTGATTGGAAAGGAGAGGTTCTCGGTCGGGGTATTGTGCCTCGTCGTCCTGCTCGTTTTGGTGTCGGCGAGGGGATGTCCAGGAGGAGGAGGAGCGAAGCGGTGGAGGCGATGGTGGGGGTGAGGGCGTGGATGGAAGAGTGATGAGTGTTTGGGTGTTCTCTGGGGAAGGGCCATGTTTGGGTCGGAGGGATGGAGGCGTGAAAGTGGTTTCTGTTGTCAGGGCGTTAAAGGCAACCATGATGCTGAAATATGATCTGTGCTGCACCGGACGCTTAGGGCAGAGCTATTGGGCAGGAGATGGAGGGGTGAAGGGTGTTATTGAAAGGAAGGGAAGTGGGAGTGGAAGTAGCTGGAGGGGTAAAGAGAGTGAGAATGGGGATGGGGATGGGATGGGAGGAGGTGTGAAAAGAGAGGAAGAAAAGATGGAAGAAAAGAAAGTGAGCAGAAAGCAAAAAATAAGGTTGGCAGACTAATGAAACGATGTTTAAAATAAAAGTGGCCTTATCTTTGAACGCAAACCAATGTGACGGAGATGGAGTGAGCTGATCTTTTTGCTGGCGGTGGTGATGCCGATTCTGGCTTGCTGCTTGCCGTCCATCGTCACTAGTCTTAGTTCTTGGAATGAAAATCAGCCCAGTTTAGGGTTCTCCACAGTGTCTGTTTCCATTGGACATATGTCAATGATATTCCAGTATGAACTATATTTACCTCAACGTAGTACAGTTCTGCACTGTGTTCCATTGTGCCACCATATGGAGTGTGTGCTGTAGACTATGGGCGAAGTGGGCGAAGGTGCTATAGGGGCCAGAAACCTTACAACCTTACAACGTCGCAAAGAAGATCCTCTCCGTCATTTTTCTTAACAGCCTCAGCCGGGGGGGGGGGGGGGGGGGGGTTTTCAAGGGCCCTTTCAGGGGTCCTTCAGGGATTCAGGGACGCAATTGGTCAGCGAAATAATGAACCGGTACATTCCAATTTGTTTTGAATTTTATTTTAAATAAAAAAATGGGGTATAAGGACACCTCGTGCTCCATCTTCACGCGAGGGCCCAACGGCTGCCGTCGCCACCAAAGCTCTCGACCACGATCACCAGCATCCACTTTGACACCGCAACCGCATACAGTATCAACATCCATGCCACCTCCACATACACGCTACGCGACCTCCATGACGACAATAAACGTCCCTTCCGAGGCAAACTGTCCTTCTCGGACTCATATTGCTCATCCTCCTGCGCATCCTTCCACGCACTCTGGAAATAGACTGCACTCATGCCCATTCGCAAGGCACTATTACTGGTCCTGTCCTCCTGCAGTCTCTCCTGGCGATACTGACGACGTTCTCGCATGGGTGCCTCTCTCTTCAGGAACGAGCTCTCGGGCGCAGCAGCAGATGGGGCCAATTGATGCCTAGATTCTGCAGTCACGATTCTGTCAATGGCCTGCAAAGCGCTGGCGACACAACCTTCCAGCAATGGGATCCCTGGGTATGCATAGCTTCCGGCGAACCAAATACGATCGGACACGGGCATCTCGGCAATCGTCTGCGATGGTTGTTGTTCCTGCTCTCTCGATTCTGCATTCCAAGACTGCCACCGGTCAGTCTGCTGCTCCATCAAAAGATCCAATTCATCAATGGCCTTCATCGATGCAGGGTTCACAACTGCGCGCTCAAACCATGCAGATGAGATCACACTGTCGGGTCGGGGTGGATAGATGGGATTACTTGTCTGCAAGTACTTTGTGGTCGATCCAAGAAGGGCGGTCGTACTGTTCATGACATGTGTCGCCATGGCCGAATTGTGACTATGTGCAGCCATCGAGGAACTGCATGAAGATGTCGTCGCTAGTGCGAAATGTGCCCGAAGCCTAGAATGGCTAGTCTTGCGAAGACCGAGTCTTGTACGACTCATCGCTGATGTTGCTCTCAGAGAGAAGATCGACGGCCTGGGCGCCTTGGCCTTTCTAGACCGGTAGGCCATCTCCGCTTCCAGTTCCTTTGAGATCTTGTTCATTGGCGACGCAAGGACGTCTGCTGATGAAGACTTTGCAATGTTCAGCAGTCGCCAGTGTGCCGGATTTTTGGGCAAGAACGACGTGTCGGTGTGGCACACGACCCGAATCCTTTCATACGGAAACTTGAGCAGAGCCTTAATCTGCTGGGAGAACGGATGATTCGGCTTGATGGATTCTATGGTGAGGTCATCGGTTATCTCAGATTCCGTTTGGTCGTGTTCATCCTTGCACCCATAATCACCCTCGTCATAGCCGGCCTCAGGAGAGATATGAAACGGTTTCGGCAATGACTGCTTTGCCTTGTGGCCAGCCAGAGTCGCAGCAGCCTGGTTTGCCTGTGAAGCGAAGATGACATGATCGAATACCCTTCGGTTCCCATATGAATCGACCAGCACAACGGGCCCCTCAGAGCCTTCAGCCGAGTCCATTTCGTCGGTAATGATATCCTCAATCGTGGTGTTGTAATGGACTGTGTCAATGTTCCCTGAAAGTCTTTCAGTAACATCCTGGATACCCTCAGAGACAAACTGCATGCGGCCAAAGGGCATACACCTCGCCACATACTCGAGCACAACGCAGGCAGGGTACTCCATCATCCGCTCAAAACTGCATGTGCAGACGGACGCAAATAGAGGAACAAAGAACGCAGCAAAGTCGTGGCTGTACCCTCCTGCTTCGAGGAACTCGCGGAGAGTGATCATGCGACCATTACCCCATTCGATCGGATGTTTCCCAATGTCCATCATGCGGCCCTTGGCCATGAACTCCTTAGAGACAATGAGCATTCGAAGATAGTCCTTAGCGATCCTGTAGTAGCCCAAGATGCGGCGTCCAAAGGGGAAGGGGTTAAAGACCGAAAAGAGCGGCAGATCCGGCAAGGTGATGGTCTGATCAGAGCCGACCCTGTATGACCTTGAGGACAGGTACGGCTCATGCACTCGGACTTTTGAGGCTTTTTGGTTCTGACCTTGAGTTAGCTGGGCTGAAGACGAGTCAATGTCGACATCAAAGCATGAGAGAGTGTTATCAGCATCGTGAAACTTAACCCCAATGGATCTATAGAGTCGCACGAGGTTGGGGTAGTACTCTACATATTAAATTTGCATTGGAATTAGCTGTGAGGATCGACATGATTGAACGCACAGACAGTGAGGCTAAAGACAAAAACATACCTGGGAAAAAACTCCTCATGGGCACGTCCATTCGACCTTGGACGTGTTCGTGGTTGGGGTCCCCGACCTCGCGCCCCAAAGATTGGGCGCATTCTTGACAGGGACATGACACTGAGAGCGATGCCGCATCCATTCCTAGAGACCGATGAACAGGTGTATAATGACGAGGGGATCACCAATCGGCAACATAGACCGAAAGAGAGATTGGTATAACACATGTGTATAGAACAACAAGCGAAGGAGCACATGCTAGGTTAGTTCCATATGTTTTTCTCGATTTGGCGTCGGACGATATCGTTTCCGCGAGCGCCCATTCGGAGCCAGACGTGGGGTACGGAATCACAAGCAACGCGCGCGCGTGTCATTAGATAATTGTTCGGGCGCTTATTATTACAAAGTGCTCATGTACAAATGCAGGTGTGCGTGACTTCAGTGCATGTGCTCGACCCGAATCATGGAACATGGAATGATTTTCGTATTCCCTTCTGTATTAATGGACGATCATGATACTGTACCTAGTTTGTGGGCCTTTTCAAAAAGATGGACTTCAACACCTGATCCGCCCTGTCCATTTTCGGTGTGAAGTGAGGACAGAAGATGGGCAGCTGTCAGCCCAGCGAGACCTGATCCTACGACGGCCACTCTGAGTTTTGGGATCGATTGGTTGGAGAGTCGTGTTGTGGGTGCGGTAAGTGGGTCGACCAGGGAGTGTTTTGGGGTCTGATCCTGATGACCGTTGGAACAGGCTGTAGTGGCGCTATGATGACCGGATTGGTTTGAGAGGGATCTATCGAGGGGAATGGTAGCTGGAATGGTGCTTGATGGTACGTTTACAGTGTGCTGGAGTTTGATTGATGGAGCAGAGACATATTCCAGGATCCGTTCTTGAGGCAATTGAGCGGGCATGACGGTACGAAGAAAAAAATTGAGGTGTGACAAAATTTGAAGACTGTGGTGCTAAGTGAAGAGAGGAGATGAATGAGAGGGATGGGAGAGAGATGTATTGAATGAAGACGAAAGGGATGAGGAGACGGACTGGAGCATCTTTACTTTATTGTTCTCAATTGCTCCATAATAAGCATGACATATCCATGTGCATGTAGATGACATCAAAAGCTTAAAATCGCTTTTAGACGAGACAACGGATCGTACCTGGATCGGGCCGTCTGTCGACCAGTCAGTCTGTCAGCCAGTCGACTGGGCGGTGAACCAGGTAGTTGGATACAATACGCATCCTGTTGGGGCTAACCGTCCAGTCGTCTCTGATAGCAAGTAACAGACGATGAGTATACTCCTGCCTTTGATTGAGTTAGTTTCCGGTTATTTTTCCTTTGTTTGAGTGTGCGTCTTGTCTCCCAGAGGAATCCTGTTCTTCAGTCGGATCGGGAGAGGGTGAGGGGTGACCCCTCTTTCCTCTTCTTTCTACCACTCTCCTTCTCTGATTTGTTTTTTTGAGCATGATCAAAGTATCCAGTTGTGTAATGGCTCGCCTTGAAGGAGAAGAAACAGGTTATGCGGACCCTTGGTGCGAGTCTGCGCCAGTGTGCACCAGTCTGTAGTCTATTAATCTGCACCATGGCCCTTGGAGCAGACCAGGAGTGTTTTGCCACCAAAAAGGGGGTCGCCCACGAAGGCTAATGGGACATGTCTCACTCCTTCCTCGCCTTTAGTATACCTGTTTGTTGAGTGGCATTGCCTCCTCAATCGCTCCTCCCTCATTTCTCATCTTTTTCTTTTCGCGACTACCACCAAAAAAACAAACAAACAAGAAAGTCCAATCCCCCATCAATCATCAATCATCAACCATCAATCATCAACCATCAACCATCAACCATCAACCATAGCTTCCTTCATCTCATCTTTTATTTCCATCCATCCATTTTTTTTTTTTTACTTGCATTTCGTGCGAATCCTCTCCCCTCTCATCCTTCACCATCCTTCGGGTGAGAAAAAAAAGGTACGCACATATTCCAAGCGAGGGCGAGCAGGAACCCTACTCTGACTTTGATATCTCCCATTGGCGTTCTCCCATCCTAAATATGTCCTCGTCCCTGGACCCGGCACAATCTTCCAACTATCCTCTCCACCAGGAAATCAACAGCAACAGCAGCGACTCCAGTATTGACAACATCAGCAACAACGGCCATCCTAAACGGCCACAGCACCTCAACCAGAACCAGCAGAACCAGGGTACTCACTATCAGTCTCAGCAGTACCAGCCCTATCATTACCAACTGAACGATTATTCCAATCAATTGCGACAGCAGCAACAGCTTCAAAACTTCACGCGCAATACTAGTGGCTCCCACCTTCAACAGCCTCAACACTACTACCACCAAGACCAACAACAGCAGCAACGACCACAGCATCCAGGAGACTACTATCGCCAGGACTATTCGCCTCCATCCATGACTACTCAAGGAAAACCTCAGCAGCAATCGCAGCAGCAGTACCATCAGCAGTACCAGCTTCAATACCAACCCCAATACCAATCGCATCCACAGCAACGACATCCCGGTATGAATAGCCCATACCAGCAGCCGCAATATCATCTTCAACAACAGCAACAGCAACAGCAACAGCAGAGCCGAGTGTTGCCTTCACCTTCTGTGTCCTTGAATTCGGACGATTACGCGACGCAGCGCGATTATAACAACGGTGGAGAAGCCCCGATCTCTGTCAGTTCCTCGACGGGACAGAGTCAGCAGGAACAACAAAGCGAGCAGGCCTCGGTATCTGCCTCAGGAGCCTCCGAATCGGTCGAAGGCTCCTTCTCCCCACAGCCAGAACATGAGTCAGGGTACGAATGTGTACTAACAAAAAAGTGCAGGATGAAAAAGGCTTTCAAGTGCAAGTGTGCGATGAATACTAATCGCCAAATTTGTTTATAGTTTGAGGTTCAAGGTTACATTAGATGCGCAGACAGCAGCCATGCAGCATCAAGGCGACACTCCTGTCACCTATCTCAATAAAGGTACACCAACGAACTCAATCAAGGAACCAGTCCAAGAAGAAACAAGAAGCAGGGTGGAAGTGGGGGGGGGGGGATTTCAAAGAAGAAGAAGAAGAAGACGACGACGCTAGAAAGTGAATAGACAGGCGGTGCTAACCATTGTTTATCTGAAATGTCAAGGCCAATTCTATACGGTGACGCTTCAGGATACGGAGGAGTACGATGGCGATATCTGCAGTGTGATCAAGGTCACTTTCCATGAGGAGCCTCACAGGAAAATGGCGGCTCGGTACTGGAGTTTTTGGCTGAGCCAGCAGGCGACCCCAAAGACTGCTCGAGCCTTGGACATTGGTATGTTGACAAACTCTTCAACACGACTCCAAAAAAAAAATGCATTAGCAAATTCGACAATTCGACAACTAACAATTTTTCTCATCGTTTTTTTCTGTTTTTCTAATGACAATAGAAAAGGCGTCGTCGACGGGTATGACGGAGGTGCAGTCCAAGACGTTTGACAGGATCTCGTTCAAGTGGAATGGCAAGGTTGGGGCTAAGTTGATGGTCCGGTTCAATTGTTTGTCGACGGACTTCTCACGCATCAAGGGTGTCAAAGGAATTCCTTTGCGTGTTCATATGGATACGATCCTTGACGGGAGCACGCTCGATAGCGGCGATCAGGAACAGCAGCTTGAGCGGTCTTATGCCAAAATCAAGCTCTTCCGAGACAAGGTACCTCTATCACGCATATTCCTTTCACTCCATTGTCATTATCCCTCTTTATATCCGGGCCATGAAATTGACACAAAAGGACAATCGTGTATTGGTAGGGCGCGGAGAGGAAGAACAAGGATGACCACAAGCACCTTGAAAGGATGTGGGATAAGATGAGGGGCAAGAACGCAGACACGAATCCGCTCTCCCAAGTACTCGCGCCCGTCCAGAGTGTGTCCGCCTTCTGGGAATGCTTCGATCATCAGGAAGACTCAGCGGAGGACGAGACATTGGGTCTTTCCGAAACCCTGGCTCAGGAATCACTCGACTCGGACCCCAGCCATTCTTCAGTGAATGCATTGGATGTCACGGGTTCCGCGAGTGCACCTTTGACGGGCACTGACGAAAATGGCGGACTGTCCTTGTCCGGGGACTCGAACGCGCTTGCCCCTGCATCTAGGAAGCGACGCCGACCCAACGATGCCGGCGGGGGCAGCGGTACTACGGGCATCTCGGGCGCATTAGAGCGCTCATCGCAATACGGAAGCAATGATGAGCCTGGATCGTCCGACCAGCTTCTGGACAAGGATCCGACGTACGTGCCTCAGATGCGGAAAAAGAAGCAGCCGGCGCTATGTCTTTACATCAAGATCGGAGGCGAGGCGGTGTATCGAGCGGTATATCTAGAGAAATTGACGCTCTCGGAGCTCATACAGAAGCTATCGGAGAAGCTTGAGATCCAGTCATCAACAATCTCGGGTGTTTACCGTAAGACAACGAAGAAGGAGTTAATGGTACGGGTGGACGATTCGATGGTCGCGCAGATGACGGACGAGTTGGATATGGTTGTAGAATATGATTTCAACCAGCAGGACGGAAGCGTCAACCTCACATTGAAATACTGAGTGTAGAGCGAAGCATGCAACTCGAGGAAGACATGCGCACCTGTCTGGTCATCAAAGTAGTAACCACGGACTTTAACAAACGATGGTAAACAAGTGAAAAAAAGTAGGACAACTAGAACGAGGAGACATTTAGCGACATAACATAACAACATAAGTAAATCAGAAAAACGAAAAACAATCCACTGAAGCAAAATAAAGAAAAATAGCCAACATAATGAAGCAGCAATGCGTATGGGTCGCCGTTTCGTTAAAGACATGGATCATAAAAGGTTTCTCTACAGCCCTCATGGCACTCCTGAGCCGCTTTTCGATATACAATTTGCTTTGGTGTGTTTGTATTATTGTATCTATAGGTTGTTCGGTCCTACGGATTGTATGCCTTTCTGCCCTCTAAGTGCTGCTATCAGCTTCAGTTTACTATCCTCACATTCAGCAGCTCTTCTTTCTCCGAAAGCGTTCCTTGTCCTGGAGGTGAGGGGAGCGGGAATGCTGGTGTCATTGGTCGTGCCCTTTGACTCTTTTCTCTCATATCCACATAGCTAGAAGGGGGGGGGGGGGGGGGGGGGGGGAGGACGGGGAGGGGAAAGGCGCAAATATACAAGGGGGTCAGATCTCCATCATTCCAATGTGCAAACGGCGTTCTGTTATCCACGATGGAATCCATACCTGTAACAAGCTCCTCCAATAAGAGTCGTGATGATTCCCATGCCGTTGAGGAAGCCGATCGTCGTGTTGAACACCGTCACCGCCACAACAATCGACAGCACCTGCTTGACATTAGCTATAGACCCACATAGAAAACCACAACAAGTAATAATCAGTAACCACTTTCAGTAAATAGCCGTATGAGGTCTCCCAATGATGACAGTTCTCCCCGTTTTGCCCGCTCATCCGTTCCCACTCCCGCCTTTTTGAGTTCCACAAAAAGAAGCTAAGAAATCGGGATTGAAATCATACCTGCGACGGTCATGGTGAGAGCGCTAGTTTTCTTGTTGGCCGTGAATGAGACATAGTTGAGGAAGAAAGCCACGATTCCGTTCACGAGCAGGGCCATGATCAGTTTGTAGCTCATATTATCACCCTTGCAGAACGAAACCACCTCGTCGAGCTCTCCATTCATCCAGGAAAAGATCACCGTCTGGACAAACGCCAACGGACTCATCCTCAGCAACAGATCAAGTGGGTGAAGCTGAAGTCGTCCGACTTGGATCCGGTTCGTGACCACGGTCTTGATCGCCGCCAGGGCTGTGCCTAGCACCGTGAGAAAAAAGCCCATGGCCGTGTACGAATACTCGCCCACCGTCGCCATGTACACGCCCAGGAGCAGCGGCAGCAATGAGAGATAAGTCTTCCCACTGTATCTCTTGGACAAAAACGCGACCGAGATTGCGATTGTGAACACGGGTGTCATGGCCCGCACGACTTGGTGGAAAGCAACCGACACCTCATTCCTGATTTAAAGTGGAGCCCAGTGAGAGTGAAACGATAAAAAGAAAAAAGAAAAAAGAAAAAAAAGGAGCGATTAGCAAAGAATCCTATCAAAGACATCAAGACAGTGCCAGATCGGCTGATCGATCGATCCCCAGTGCGGCCAGGTGTTTCGGAAAGGGCGAAAAAAGGTGTGGTGCTGCATGCCAATATGTGTGAATGTTGTTGTTTGCTGCCCTGTTCGATCCTGCAGGGACCCAATCCCTTTCATCTGATCCAGGGCCTATAATAGAAAGAGGCTGTCGCCCTCCTCCTGCTTCGAATCTGCTTCTCTGATACGTTCTCCCATTTTTCATTTCACCACTGCAATTTCAGATCTCTCCCTTGTATTTCTCCTGTGGTATCCTTTAATGTCCGTGGCGGCGCTACAAGGGCATGTCTCACAAAGAAGAGGAAGTAATCACAAAGAATAAAGGACGTAGGCATTAAAAGCAAACTTACAGAGAGACATTGCTGATGGCGATGTTGAGCGTATACAGGAACGAGAACATGAGCATGACCATGTTCTCTCGCTCGCCGAGCTGTGCTGGGGTGAAATAGCCCATCTTGGCCATGGAGAGCGCTCCAATACCCGAGCACAGCGTGTGGATGCCGGTGAGCGTCCATGGGTATTTGAAGCGGAAGGTGCTGAGAATCGCCTTGTTGTAGATGGTGAGAGTGAGATTGAGAAAGAAGTACAAGGCCAGCCATGTGTACGACGTGTCAACCTTGGCCCTGGGAGCAGTGTTGCCGAGCTGCAGCGGTACAGGGCGGTCTTTCGGCATAGTAAAGCTATGGGGGCGTTGTTCCTTAATGGTGGATACTGCTTTGTGCTGTTTTGATAGAGATGTTCAAAAGCGGTTTCCATGGTCAATTGGCCTGTTAGGTGGGTAACACTCAGTGAAGAGAAACCGGAGATAATAGAGAGAGTCGCCTGTACCTGAAGTAGGAGGGGCCTAAGTTCTTGTATATTTCGTCCTGGTGACGATACTGGCTGAAGAGAGGCGAAGGAAGGTGGGTGGTGCTGACTTGTTGACTTGTTGACTTGCTGACTGAGGAAAGTCCACTTGTTTTGAGTAGATGTTACGAAGGGATAGCAAACAGACCAAATAGCGAGCACAAGAATTGGAACACGATAGAATATGAAGAAGTGCGCAGAGGGGCGTCTTTTTGGTGCTCTTTGCCCTGACAGAGGAGATGAGGGGAAGGTGGGATGATCTAGTAGAAAGGAATCAAGCAGGGAAGAGATGAGGTTGGTGTTAAACAAGGACTGCAAGCAGCTGTTTTTTGTTGTGTGTGAGAAGAGAAGGAGACGGAGACACTGCTCACAAATGCTCCAGGGCTTCAAAAAAGACAAAGAGGGCCAGGCATCAACTTTGTTGTACGGTGCCGGTGTAAAAATAGCAAACGGAACCAAAAATATTCGTGCGAGCGTTATCTCCGCCATCGATGGGACACAAGGGCACACAGCAGCTATCATGGCACAGTTTACTGTAGAAGGGTCCCTGGCTTAACTCAGTAATATGTAATGGTCCGTCTTCCATGATCCGCATTGAAAGAATCATCTTTGAATAGGAGAGAAAGAGTAGGGAGAAGGGGACAGAGGGAAATGGAGATAGAGACAAGGATTTTTAAGAGATGTCATGTCATGATGATGGGGTCGCACAGGATGCATGGGAGCTCGCCCATCTGCTAACGATCCGTTGCACAGAAGGATAAGAGCAAGCGGGCGAGGGAAAGAGAGAGCAGCGCGGTATTGATATACAATGAGAAAGATGGCACCAAAAACGTGCGCAAAGCCTGGTAAAGGTCTCTTAAAAAAGCGTATGACACAAAACAACAATCGTTATGTAAACCACATGATTGCAATGCAACGATAGAATAGACGTTCGTTCCTTCCGCAGTGGACCCCAGCAGAGAGACAGAAAGAGTCAAGCGAGAAGAGACTTATCGAACATCGAGCGATCGAGTTCGACATAGGGGTCTGGCGCGGGGACAGAGAATTATCCAAATCAAAAGGGAAAGAGCGAGGAAGCCGAGTCGGCCTCCCCCGCGTGAAGTAACTACTTAATTGGCACTGCCAGGGAGCAACCAACATGGTCATTGCGCTCGATGGAACATCAACGCTTTTTGCTGTTCGTTCATGTTGTGATGTAGGAATACAATGCGCCCTTTCTGCAGTATATCTGCTTGAAGGAAGATCTGTCTTACCTCAGCTAGTCGAGAGAAAACAGGTGTAGAGGGTGTGGTCCCCAAGGGCGAGGAAACAGGACAAAGACCGAACAAGGAGAAAAGAAGACAGCTGGAGCGATGTCAATGCGGATGGAGGGAAAGGCTATGAATAGATGCGATCGATATAGGGTGTAAGATGGGTCATTAAAAATTGGTGGCGAAACAGCTTATTGAAAGGCGTGAATGCGGAAGGTGTATTGGCAGCAATGACGTGCTGTGGACTGGCTAACAAGGCAGACAGGATGGGCGGGTAAAAAAGATGCAGGGTCTCTATGGGCCGTAAAAACGTGTTCAAAGGTGTGCAGGGTTTCAAAGGGTCATTACGATCATTAGCATTAGAGTGAAGGGATGAATAAGGAAGGAGGATGACGGTGGAGGGGCGGAGGAGACGAGAGAGAAGAAGAGAGAAGAAGGAAGAGGACTCAGTATCGCTCCCTGCTGCCGATTGAAAATGGTCCCAGGAGAAAGTGGCATCGACCAGGGCTCTCAAGGAGCCTTCTTTTCATAATTCGCCCTGTGGTTTAATTGCATTAGCGAACATCAGTTGCTTAGGTCGTTGTTTGTACAGATCGGATTCATACAGCAGCAATATCATCGACAATTGGCATCGATAGCAATAGCGACAGCAACAGCAACAACAGCAGTAACAGCATCAGTGTATTCAGGTACGCTGCAGACGCCCCACTAGATGCAAGGGGCATCTGTGCTCACACACAGCCTCTACCATCATGAACTGGGTGTCACCATTGATTCCATTGATTCCAACGGAAGCAGAGCAAAATCAGGAATGCCCAATTAGCTCCGCAGCCATTCCTTTTGCATGGACCATTGCTTAATTGGCGATGCGATCGATGTAAGCGAATTTTCCCTCTGTGAAACGGAGTCGATGGGCCATCATTCCGAAAAGCGACCGCAGCAGATCATGGAGGAGATTATTGAAATTGTCGACCCATGTCTCCTTATGAAATAAATTTCCGCGCATTTCTTTTCGCGGTGCTGAGCTAATGTCAAACAGCTGTGCGGCCCACTCCACCGGGGGAACCAACGAAGAAAAGGAGAGAAGACACTAGCGCTACTCGAGGGTTCTTTTTATTATGAACACATAAGCTGATGTCACCGTAAAAAAGCTGCCATGCGGTGCGAATGCGATTCAGCCCTTTTGAGTTTTCGAGTGGGAAATTGTGCGCCCGCAGCCCTGTCTTTTCTTCTTTCTTGCCCCAGGAACTAGGGCCGCACGAGAAAGTCAGCGGAGGAAGTGGAGGCGAAGTAAACCAATATTTATAGGTAAGACATCTCTTCTTGTTTCCCTTTCTGTTCCTTTTTCCTTCACGACCATCTCACACTTCCTATCCCTCGCGATAACCCTTGCACCATGGCCGCCCAGCAGCACCAACAGCAACAGCACTACTACCCACACCAAACCTTCTCACCTTCTTCCGATAACGCCCACAACACCATGCATCGTGCTCCAGTGCAGCAGCACACCTACCAGCAACACCCACAACCCTCCGCGTACTCCTCCTACTCAACTTCGCAGTCAAGAGCCGCCCACACGGCTCCCTTCAGTACCCAATCCTCCTCCAGCTCCCTCGTCCAGCCTCTTCAGCAACAGCAACAACGACAACCCTATCAGCAGTACAACCATTATAACACCTACCAGCAGGGCTCTACCAGCGAGATGCAGTTCCAGCGCCAGCAATACCAACACCATCAGAATACGCTGCAGCAACAACGGCAGATGCAGCAGGTAAATGGACGCCGGGCGTCTAGTAGCTTGTCTGCGCTGAACTCGCTACGGGATTGGTTTGATGCCGTCGATACGGATCATTCGGGTACTCTGTCGTGTGAGGAGCTCCAACGGGCACTGATGAATGGCGATGGCTGGACACCCTTCAACAGTAAGTTTTTTTTTTCTTTGCTTTGGGCTGTAGTCCTCCAAAATGAGGATAGATCAACTGTTCAATTGTCCGGCCCATTTTCTAACACTTTTTTATTATGGTCTCACTTTGCTTACTTTTTACTTAGTGGAAACTGTGCGGATGATGATGAACATGTTTGACCGCGACGGCAACGGGACCATTTCCTTTAACGAATTTATCGGACTATGGAACTACATTGAGAAATGGAAGGCCTGCTTTCAGACCTACGACCTCGACGGCTCAGGAACTATTGATTCGATGGAGTTGCAAAAGGCCCTCAGAGGATTTGGTTATAACCTGAGCGAGGTCACTGTGGCCTTGATCATGACCAAGTACGACGTTCGCGGTCGTGGCGATATCAGCTTTGACAACTTTGTCCAGTCCTGTGTTACGGTCCAGACACTCACGGATGCCTTTAGACGGATCGACATCGCTGGAACGGGTATTGTCACCATGACTTACGAACAGGTAACGCTTCTGGCGGTCTAGGAGAAATAAATAAATAACAACGATGATGGTGATGATGATGAGCAAGAGATCGCAGCATGCTAACGACTTTTTTTTTTTTTTTTTTTGATTCTATAGTTTCTGGGACTAGTCATCAGCAACCGCTAAAAGACCATGGATCGATATGAGATACAACGAATAATAGTCGATTTCGATCGTTTGTACATACACCTTTTTGAACATCGCGTTTTGCATTTGCCGTAGCATTTTCTTTTCTGTAAAATATGGAGCACGAAGTTGCTTCGCCTTGTATAGTAGCTTAACCTTCCCAAAAAAAAAAAAAAAAAAAAAAAAAAAAAAAAAAAAACCATCAACCCATCAACCTAATTCTGCTTCGCCAGCAAATGAACCCAATTGACGAACGTGCGTTAAAAGCTCATGAGAAGTCTACCGTGGGGTGTTTTTTTTATTACTCATAAGTGTTTGCAATGATTTATCCTTCGCTATCATAGCCTGCCCTCGTCTATTGGTAGGATACGTGGGGTGAGTTCGAAAGGGTCTCGCCTTCGGGTGTAACGTAGGCGGCACAAAGACCTCCGTCAACCGTAAAGTCCGTTCCAGTCATGTAGGAGGAATCATCCGAGGCCAAGAACAGGGCCGCCTTGGCCTGCTCGATCGCCTCTCCAAACCGACCCATGGGCACATGAATCAGCCGCCTGTTCTTCTTCTCCTCCGTATTCAAGAACTCCATCAGTAGGGGCGTACGCAGAGGGCCGGGGCAGAGGGCGTTGAAGCGGATGTTCTCCTTCGCGTGGACGACAGCCAACTCGCGGGTCATGGCCAGGACAGCTCCCTTTGAGGCTGTGTAGGCCAATTGAGGGGTGGCCGCTCCACGGAGGGCCACGAACGAGGCTGTGTTGATGATCGACCCACCACCGGTCTTGCGCATCTCCTCGATGGCGTATTTGCAGCCCCACCAGACACCCTTGACATTGATCTTCATCGTCAGGTCCCTGTTGATTCGAGTCAATTAACCACAGAAAAACGAGGGACGATGTTAGGGACAAGGTAAAAGGATGCACATTGCAGGAATAATGGTGATGGCAACCAGTGAACAGACATTCAAACAGACGTACCAGATATCCTCCGAGGTGGTGATAGCGTTGTCGTCAGCAGGATGCATGATTCCAGCATTGTTAAAGAGGACGTTGATCTTACCTAGTAATGTGCGAAAGAACAAAATGAGCGAACAGCGTGTCAGCCATCCGCATTCAGAAAAAAAATGCATACGCATGGGAGCGAGGATCAGTTGATCAAAAAATGTAACATTGCTTGAACAGCCACTACGCCCGGTCCTTTGTTCGCCATAATGAAGGTAGAGTATCCTCCTGGGCCCTTACCGAACTGCGAGACAGCCAACTGGATCATCTTCTTGACATCCTCCTCCTTGCTGACATCTGCGCGGACAGAGACAGCACGACCCTCGCCAAAGAGCGACGCGATCTTCTCGACCGTCGCAGCCGCACCCTTCTCGTTGATGTCCGCGCAGACCACCTTAGCGCCCTCTGAAGCAAACAGGACGGAGGACTCTAAACCGATTCCACTGTTGGATGAGATAAATGGGTCGCGATGGTTAGCCTTAATGCTTCGACACAACAAGGAACACGTTAAAAATGATTCATGAGTGGTGTTGAAATGTTAAATGAGCTTGCCTTCCAGCACCGGTGATGACGGCGACCTTGCCAGCGAGACGGTTTCCTTGGGGAGAAGACATGTTGTGAGAGTATGTGTGTATGTGTGTATGTGTGAATGGATAGGTTTGGCTGGTAAGGCGGGTATAGAGAGAAGCGAGGAACAGAGTGTGGGAAACTGAAGAAGAGGGGAAAAGAAAAAAGGAAAGGAGGGAGGGGAGGTGTATTTATATCAGTTCTGGCTGACGTTTTTAGAAGACAGATCGCCTGAGGGGCCCCCCATTACCATACACATGCCTAGGGCCATGCAACCTAGATAGCGGTTTACGTATATTGTTTGTCAGCTTGTCCATTTGTCCATCTGTCCATGCATGGACGTCTACGTCTGTATTTAAGCGCGTCCTCGTCCGCAGTGCTTGATCTAGTCTCCCCTCTTTACGATCCATTGACCGTGCCCGTCAAGGAGCGAACCGAGAGGAATGCTTTTGTCTGGGGGAAGGCCCTCTTCGTTGGGCCTGCTTAGGGGTTCCGCATGATCACGCCCAGCTCCTCTTCAACCCAGTCCTGCCTCTGCATCCCCATGGGTATATAGCAGAAGTAAACCCGGAACTTTTATTTATAATGGGAACAAATTTTTTTATTGCCGCGTGTATGTATCCATTGCTACCATTCAAGAGAGGAATGTATCATTTTTCTGCCGGTGGTTGAGTGTTGACGAGGTGCAAATGAACCACATGTACCTGCGTGCCTGCATCGGCAGCACCCTGGCACCGCTTTTTTCTCGATATTACTCATGCGGCTCAACTGTAAGTAGGCTGGCGCAGAGCAAAATGCTTCGCTGCAAGACCGATCTCCTACGTCAAGTGGTGCCGTTTCTTTTCGCGCTAGAAAGTAGTATACACTCTGCTATGCATAGCTTTCGTGTTGTACCAATGGTTGTGCTGGACGTGATATGATTTGACACCAACGACTACAACATTCCAACCGCAAAAAGACTGAACTTTTCGCGTCAATACATGTTCACTTGTTGTTTTTCTTCCTCTTCATTCTGTATCTGTCGATCTATCTATCTAATTGTCTAGTCTATTGTAATCGGTCTATGGGTCTATCGAAAGATTGTCCATGATATCTCACTTCTTCCCAAACAGCCTGGCCAAAAATCCTTTCTTCTTCTTATCACAGTCATTGGTCTCTTGTGCTGAAGTCGAAGATGGCTCAGTCAATCCATTGGTCCCCAGTGCTGCCTTCAACAAGTCCTGTTGCTGCCTCTGCTTCTGCTTGTAATTAAAGCCCTTCTTTCTCTTCCTGTACCTGAGTGCATTATTCAGTATATAAAAATAACACGAGAACGTCGTCCATCAGCAACATGATGCCTTCGCTACAGGTCAACCTGCGATAGCTTCAAAGCTATACAAAGAATGATGCGTCGACATGTTTACCCATTCAAGAATGTGATCTGGACACGATTTAATGCTCCATGTCTCGCCTTCCGGATATAGGCGATGGCATCCTATTTTCCAACAAAAAGAAAAGAAAAAGAAAAAGACACAACACGACACGACAAGTCCGTCCCAGCACACAAGATCGAGATCTTTAGAACGGCTTCATGATCCTCTTCGTCTTCCAGGCATTGTCAATTGAAAGTCATGCGTCGTTGTTTAGAACGTTACCAGTGCATCCATGCCGTTCTCGACCATTGATATCGCCACCATGACCTACAAGAATAAGGATTAATCTCATGGCCAGAAAAAGGGATGACACGAGCTAGACAGACAGAGCATGTTGAGGCCATTTACCGGTGCTCTTCCTATGCCGGAGACACAATGGACAGCTATACATCTGTCGGATGTGGGCGATTCAAAGAATACTTCGTCGTTCAGTTCTAGCCATCTGGCCACGATCTCCTTCGATGGGGCTGTCCCATCCTCGAATTTCCTGTAAACAAAAAAAAAACACACGATAGTAAGATTCTATTCTATTCTCCGAGAGGGGTTTCAGGCCCACTTTCGTAGAAAGCCATGTCAGGGAGCGAGAGAGAGAAGAGAGGACGCACATGTCATCGTGCACTTTGATGCCAATGGCGGTCAATGGGTCGATAGTATAGGGCGAGCCCTCGCAGATGCGTACAAGGTCCGTGACATTGTGCTGCTCAAAGATGGGGATATAGGCCGGCAGTGTCTGGTCGGAGGGGCTGTCAAGGATAAGAAAGCTGAGCGAGTCGACCTTGATAGGACTGATATTGAACCGGGACATTTGTTTGCTGGTCCCAGACAGTTGGGCCACACACACAACTGGGAGTGGAAGAGGGTAGATGTGATAGTATATTGATAAAAAAGAGAGGAGAAGGAGGGAAGGAGAGGAGCTACTCCTGCACCTTCTCCACGATGATGAAGGCGGATGTACTGTTAGGAATGTGCATGAAGGGCCGACCTACTGCGTCATGGCACCCAGAAGATGTGGGTGTGACCCCATCACCGGATGGTTGTGGGAAAGTGATGGCGAAGACGAACAACGCGCCTCTGGCCAAGACACCTCCAGCCATCAACCCTAAACCCGATTAACCCTCTTCTTCCTCTCCTTCTAATCCATCCTTGACATCCATCCGACTCCACTCCCTCTCTCTTACGTGCGACTCCTCTCATTCTACACCCAGGAACACGCTCTCTTTTTTATTTTTATTTCGTAATCATTTTCCATAAATATACGATATGTACGCTGGCGAGACACAGCACCAGCAGTACCTGCGGCAGCTACAGCAACAGCAGCTTGAACAGCAGCAGCAACAGGTCGGAACCAACACCCCCGCACGCGAGTTCACCGTAGTAGCCATTGGCAAGAGTGGTGAAGGTAATGCAAAACACCGATGTGCCAAAGAATCCACTGGCTACTCTCCAGTTCCGGTTCCCTTTGACAAGGCACCAGCTCACACTTAACACACAACTCAACATTTGGCTGTCTGTCCTCTAGGAAAGAGCACGCTCCTGAATGCCATCCTAAGCAAAGAGATCTTCCCGGCCAAGGCCTCCGTGAGCGTACGTTCACAATTACGGTCAATTACTTCCCACTCGTCTCCACAACAATGAGGGATAGGATAGATTGCAGGCTAGACCAATCCTTTACTAAAACCTTCATACACTCTGCCTGCTATGGCTAATGGACGACTTTCTAGGAAGTAACGCAGAGAGTCGACCAGGCCTCGAATCACTTCCTGAACATCGCCTCGAACCCGATCATCCACTGTATCGACACTCCATCCTTCAATGGCCAGCTCCACAACCCCAACCGCGTCAATGAGATCGGTACTCTCCTGACAAAAGTCGCTGCAGGCGTCGATGCCTTCCTCTTCGTTGTCAAGTGTACACATTACCGGCAAGTCATGATTACATGCCTTTTCGCTTGCTTGCTTACTTGCTTGGTTGAATGCTTGGAAAAGCAATCTCTCACGGCTAACAGCTATCTTGCCTCCGATCTTTTTTCATGTGTGTACTTGAACATCGCCACGCGATAACCTGCTCTACCCGCTCCTTGCTTGCTCTCGCCCTTTTTTTTTTTTAATTTATTATAGCTACGACAACACTTTCCACCAAACCCTTCAGACCTACCAAGGCCTCTTCACCCCGGCCTTCTGGCCCAAGGTCCTCATCGTTTTCACGCATGCGACCCCAGAACTCCTCCCGCCAGCCACGGAAGCCCGTCTCCAGCTCCTGGCCTGGTCCCGCCAGATCCAAGAAGATTTCAAACTCCCGTCCCCACCGCTTACAGTCTTTTCGATGGACTACGCCCGGTTTCCGTACCCTTCAGGGGGTGCACAAGAGTTCTGGGAGGCGCTGATGACTCTGGATGCCAATACTGCGCCTTATTCTCATAAGCCGTTTCTGGAGAGTTTCGGGAACGGGATCGCGATGGAGGGGTATGTGCAGAGGATCAAGGGTCATCTGGCACAGTTCGAGCCGAGCTTTTTTGAAGACCAGGCGGAGGAGCAGTTTAATGAGATGAAGAGGAAGGAGAGTCGGTTCAGTAGTCTCTTCCGAAAGAGTGGGCGATCAAAACGACTCAGCGATACCCCTTCCGCGACATCGACACCACAGCCGTCAGCAGCATCGCCACAGATCGGGTCTACAGTATCTGGAGGGGCTTTATAGGACTTTTCTGTAACAGCAACACTAGGCAACCCTCCTATCCTATAATAAATAAACAACTGAACTGGGCCGAGTTATTATTATTCCTCTATGCGTATTATTGATACGTTTATTATTATTGGGGGTTTTTGTTCTAAATGCAAAAAAAGTTCTTAAAGCAGCGATGATCCCTCATAGAACTCTCCACCAGGCTGCTGTCCCTGCGCGCTATGGTTATGATTGCTAGCGGCCGGAAGTGGCGCCGGTGAGACCGATGGGGAAGGGTAGGCCTTGTTCGCATGGAACTGTTTCACGACCGAGGGAGCGATGCGCGGAGAAGGTGCTCCAAAGACCTGCTCGTTCACGGGCTGGATCTGCAGCGGCTGTGGGACCGAGATATGCTTCTGCTGCACAAACTGTTGTGGCGTGACCATCGCCGGTGGGGGCGAGGGTGACCGTGGCACGGGGGGCATCACCGGCTTGACATATCCTGGTGTTGAGGAAGCAGGGGGCTGTGGGGATTTAGGCGAGGAGGCCGATGTAGGCGAAGGAGCCGTCGTCGAGGGTGGGGGCACAGTCTTTTCGACCGCTGCCAGGACATCTTCGTAGAAGCCATGTCCGAAGCCCGTGTCCAGGCTAGGCGAGTCCTCAGCGGCGGTTGGCTTGAAGGATTGCTGTGTTGCTACTGGTGGTGGGGGAACATATCCACCTGGGGAGCGGATCGGAGAAAAGTTATTGAGGCCCGCGGCACTAGTCTGAGGTGAAGACGAGTTGCCGACGGCGGTGTCAATGTAGGGCCGCGAGGAGGTGCTCGACACAGGGCTGGGGACCTCTGTCTCCATAAGTCGGTTCTTGATATCGTCCTCATCTTCGTAATCCTCGTCGCCGAAATCCATCTCCGTGTATTCTGCTTCCGAGAAAGGACGGCTCTGTTGACGTTGCTGCTGGCCCTGATCCTCCTGTTGCTGGTAGCGCTGCTGACGCTGAGCCTGGTGTTCTTTGGCGGCCTCATGGCTTGGCAAGACAATAGGACCCGAAGGAGGGACTCCTGTGAACTTGACGGACTTCTTACGCTGGATTTCGGCTCCACCGGTGGCCTGCTCCATCGATGGTTGCTCCGTGTTCTTCTGGGTCGAGATTTGGGCCGCTGGCAAGACGGGGACAGCTGGGATGGATGATTTATGCTCGTCCTCTTCATCCTCGTCGTCATTGTGAGCATAAGCTCCAAAGATGGTGTCGCGGTATCCGTTGTAAGCGACGACGTTATCGTCCTCTTGGAGCTCGGCTTTGTCATCGAACTGAGTCGGGTTAATGGATTTTTGGGCTGCAGGCATCGGTGCAGGCACAGAGGCAGGGACGGGTGCAGGGACGGGTGCAGGAACGGGGGCAGGAACAGGTGCAGGTTGTGTAGACTGCTGCTGCTGTTGCTCTTGTTGCTGGCGTTGCATCATTTTTTGCTGCTGCTCATAATGGTGTTGCTGGATATCAAGCGGCTGCATCTCAATCTCTTTCATTCTAGGCGAGGGAGCAGATCGAGCAGCGGGGCTTATACGAGGATCCTGCTGCAACTGACGATGGGTCTGACCTGGGGACGAGGCAGCAGCAACGGCAGCAGCAACGGCAGCAGCGACTGCCATGATCTCGTGTTCCGGCTGAGTGAATGGATTCTGAGTCTGGTTCTGGGGCTGAGGACTCATATTATGAGGAAGCCGGTTGCTGTTGATCGATTGTGCGGAAGGCGAGTGCTTCAATGGGGATCCAGATCCCAGGGGCGAGGCACGAACGTTCGCCGCAGGGTTGCTGTTAGGCGCTACGCGTGGGCGATTGGGGTCATAGACCGACTCAAGCTCGGAATCGATAGACTCGCGGTTGTTCTGTTGGTAAGGGTTCTGATTCCGTTGAAGCTGCTGTTGCTGGTGGGCATGAGATGGTGCCATCAATGGATTGGACATTCCATAGGGCTGTGCTGGTTGGCTGAAGGGCGACATCTGCTGAGGTGGCGGGAGCTGAGGGGGAGGCTGATACAAATGCTGTTGCTGATTTTGCTGACGGGGTGATGCTCCTGGTGGGGGCATCATCATATCTGGTCCATCAAATGGACTCCTGGTGGGGCTGCCGGCATGCTGCATGAGATGCGATTGCTGTGACCGAGGACCATCCTCAGGGCGAGGTGGACGAGTTGCGGGACCACCGTTCAGGGGAATGGCTACCATGCCGCCGTCAACAGGTCCGCCACCAGAGCCGGCAGATCGCGTCAAAGACTCCTTGTCCTGACTCTTGGATCCATAGGCGCCTGGACCAGAGGTGAAGCCGGCTTCCTTGCTATCGTCTATGGACCGGCTGTCGACCTTAGCCTCGGCCACGCGACGACGATGGCGACAGAAGAAGACGAGGGCAATCAGGACCAGGACGACGACGACGACGGCGATGATAATCGCCAAAGTTACACCAGAAATACCAGTGTCGGCTGAGGGAGTCGCACCGGGTGCGGCTGTGTGTGTAGGTGGGTGGCTGGCTGAGCTTGTGCCTGATGGCGCAGGAGCGGCCGAAGCGGTGGTGACAACAGCACCTGAGATATTGAACTGGCTGGAACTTGCGGTCTTGGCACCAGTGCCTGAGTATTCAGCATAGAAGCTATGCTGTGGGATTAAAGGAAATGAGGAGAATTGCATCAGCAACAGGAAGGTACACAAGCATGTTGCTGCTGCAGTTTTAGGAGTAATCGTTTTTTGACCAATACCTTTCCACCTGTAGCTCCCGCGGGGATTTGGACACGGAGGGTTAGGAGGGTCTGAGCGACATTGCGCTGGAGATCGTATCTTTGGCCAGTGAGTGCACGCAAGCTAAGATTGAAGGGATCATTGTTGGCGGCTGTTCCATTGACGGCTGGGGCACTTGTCCATGTGATGTCCATAAAGTCGCCAGGTTTGACGCTCGTGTTGTTGGCAAAGGGGGTGAATGCGATGTTGGCGAATGCTGTATTAATCCAGGACACTGTCGCGAAGACCATCAACAGCAGCGACATACTGCTGGTCTTTGTAGCTGACCGCATGGCTATTTGTGTAGTTTCTGATGGGTCTGGTTGTTGGAAAGGAAGAGTAAAATAGCGACGAGAGCAACAATATTAATTTGCGAGCCTTCACTTCTAAAGGAATGTCGGAGAAAGGTATGGTTGGGAGATGTATTGGGGTCGCTGTATTCCCGAAGGGTTGATGTGTGTAGTGAAGAAAAAACGAACCTGTGCTGTTGAGAACCGGGAAACAAAAGATGGGATGTGTTCAAGGTGTACAGCCGTGTGTAGGGATAGAAGGAGGAGGGGAGGAGGAAAGACGCGAAGAAAAGCAAGGCAGTATAACACTCGTTGTTTCAGAGAAAAACGATTGTGTTCGAGGGAGAGGGTATACAGGACTGACGATCCAGTCGAAGGAGGAATCCTTTTTGCGAATCAGATGGAATTGGGTTCTCAAAAAGGTGATAAGAAAGGAAGGAAGGAAGAGAGAGAAAAGGAAGAGAGAAAAAGAAGTAGCGGGAAAGAGCGAAAGAAGACGAGTGTGAGGGAGCGGAGAGGATTTGGCGGAGGAAACTCGGTGGATGTGCCTAGCCAGGGAAGAGGCCAATTTAAAAATATAATTTAATTTAGTGCATGCGTGCCTCTTTTTCTTTGTTGGATTTGGTTTGGTCTTGAACTTTTTTATATTTGTCGCCGCGGATCTCTCGTCTATGAATTGATTTAAGATTTTGTTCTCTGGTTAGAGCCATCTTTTCTGCAAGGGCTACAGACAAAAACGTACCAACCTCGCTGGTTCGCTGACCTCTTTTGGACCCAGGCTGGCAATGGGACAATGGACCGGGAGAGGGGGGGGGAAGGGGGGGCATGGGGAATGTGGCTGCAGTCTAGGTACAAAATAGCACGTACTCTTGAAAATCTGCTGCCGCCCCCCAGAGCCCGGCCCGCTCGTAAAAAAAGAGAAGGACCCAATGGGCTACATGATACCCATGTCGACATACGTTCTTGCTCATGTCCAGACGCCATAAATTTATCCGCCTATCCCATCGATTGCGTGCCATCGATTGCCATCGCCTGTCTCGATCTAGACGCGATTCTCATCCATTTCCTATGTAGATTGTGTCTACAGGCGATTCCTGGTCCCTCTTTTTTTTCTCTTTATCTCTCTTTCTCTCTCTGCGCCCATTTCCACGTTTCACGCTTACGCTAAATATCCCTCCGCTGTCAGCTCGGAGATTTTTTTTTAGTAGCCCACTACCTGAAACGACCGATTGACCTCTTCAAAAAATGGACACTCGGGAAACGCAGTTGTTCCTGTACGACCCTGCTGAAACGTGCCATAGGCTCCTGTGTCTTCTCTCGAAGATTCCCCCGATACATGCCATCGCCGCCACCACCTATCCCCCCACCATCTTCTACATCTCTCAGCCTCCTTCTATGTGTCGTTATTTCTGGAGCTGGGGATATGTAGAGGAACCGCTCTTATTGCTCGCTTCGCTCACGGTTGTGCATGGCCTTGCTTCATCTACTAAAAAATATATTCAAGCGCAGCAGGGTATCTCTCAGCAGCCAGCTCCCTCTCTTCTAGCCCTATTCATGTAGATGCTTCATATAGTGCTTGTGCTAAAAATGTCAAATTCAAATCTTTGAGCGCCATCATTATCTGCTTTTGGGCGCTCTGAAGGGCCCACATTTCGTATCATCAGAGAACCCATGACGCCGGTTTTTTTATAGGAACCGGCATCATGCCACACCGTTATTGCCTGCTCTCCGGGGGGTAAATGCAATAAAAGTTCGACAACAAAGAGCTATGGGAGCTAGACATGGCTGCAAGTGCACAGGAGCAGCAGCTTCGAGATTGCCAAAAATGACGGCGAAAGAATCCTAAATCTATTTTCTTTGCTCTTCTTCACTTCGATCCCATCTTTTTTGTTTCATCCTCGCTTTCGTTTTCTCTCTTTCGTACGCGTGCATAAAGCGGCGATGGCATTATATAATTATATTTTTTTGAGGTCTCATAATGCATAGATAGGATGATACATATCATAAGAAAACTGACTTTTTTTTTTCTTTTCTTTTTTCATTGTTCATGACCAGTCATCATCTCGACGGTTGTGCCACTGGGTCACATACTCATCTCCATGAACGGATGTCTTGTCAGGTTGAGTTTCCGTCTCGGGCTCTGAAGCCGGCTGTGTATGTGTCTCCTTGAGTCGCGATGGTCCTGCTCGATACTGTTGAGGCTGTGACTGAAGCTCTGTATCCGTCGATGACGACGGAGGCATCGGTCCGCTGTTCCAACCAGCTCCAAAGAAACCTGACAGTCGAGCCGCAAATGAAGGCGCCAGAGAGGAACCTGAAGCCTTGTTACGCAACCTCCGTACATCCTGCGATTGTGCCTGTGCCTGTGCCTGTGCCTGTGCCTGTGCTTGTGCTTGTTCCTGTGCATGTTGCTGGAGAGATCGCTGGGGTTGCTGCTGACGCTGTCTCTGGGGTGTTGAAGGCCTCGAGTGCTCATAGCCCTCCTCATCCCCGTAAACGCCTTGCTGCTGTCCCCCTGACTTGAACTGGGATGCAATGGGTGTCACGTAAGCCAGCTTAGGCATCTGGATTTCCTCATACTGCATATGGGAGAAATTGTCCATCGAAGGATCGTTGTAATTCTGCGTCCCGCGAGCCATCTTTAGATCGTATTCTTCCCGAGTCATGTTTGGTCCTTGATTCTGTGCCCATCCCTCGTTCTTTCGCCACCACCAAAATCCTTCCTCCATCATTCCGCAGACAATGATCAGAGCGATAGGGGCCCAAAGCAAGAACATGATGGCGTTCATGACGAGGGCGGTATTGACGCCGCGGCATTGGAGGGCATATCCACTACGGTTGGACAGGGATCCCTCTTGACAGTTGGTTTTAGCACCATCTTTGTTGGAGGCGAGAATGATCCAACTGAAAAAGTTGAGAATGGTCAAGATGATGGAGAAGACGATGGTTATTGTCTGGGTAATTGGGTGGTTGATGATCCTGGGCCAGAGAGAGAGCGGGTTCATTCGAATGAGATATGGACAGCACGATTGCCAAATAGCTGCAATCGATGTGCTCACAGTCGCGACGAGGACTATCGGCGATAACGTTATATACAATTAAGAAGGATGGATGTTGGTCATCAATGTAATCAATCAGAGAGCCATGCTGTAGCCCGACCTAATATCAAATACTTCATTCCCGACATTTTCTTTGTTCGAGGGAAAATAACAACAATGGCAACCACAATGAAGACCCTGACTTACAGAAAGTGTACGTCGGATTAGAAAAGCCGTTGGGTTCGTACTTGTTTCTAGAGAGGATTGATGACGAGAATGAAAACAGAAGTAAAAAAAAAAAAAAAGAAAGTGGCGAATCGTTAATTAGGGAAATTTCTACGATGCTGCATACTCATGCACTAATATCCCCCTCGTCGTTTCAGATGACGCGATGCGGGACAGAACAGGGGTCGTACCTGAATGCATAGGCTGGCATTACTGCCAGCCAGGCCATGGTACCGAAGAGAGCGAGGAGACCCCACAGCACTCGCAGAGTCAACACAGTTGCCATGCTTATCACCTTTAGGCGGAACAGCTTGCCTCGTGTTGGCGGCGGGCGTGATGGCTCTGGAGTGTCGGCGTAGGTGTGCGAGTGCGAGTTCACTTCCTCATGGGGATGCTCTTCATCTTCAATATAACCCTCCTCTTCCGGGTATTGACGGTTTTCATGGTACTCGAGGTGCTCATCATTGTACTGTTCGTGGTGGTGTGCTGCGCTAGCTTGATCGAGGTTGTACATCGGGCTGTGAATTGTTTCGGGTGTTGGAGATCTCGCACCATCAAATTGACCATGCTGTTGATAATGTTGTTCGTATTGTTCCTGTTCATATTGTTCCTGTTCGTATCGCTCCTGTTCGTATTGTTCCTGTTCGTATTGTTCCTGTTCGTGATGATGGTGACGCCCGTCGGGATAGTGATCATCCGGATAGTGGTCGTCGGGATGGTACTCTTCATAAAACTCTTGTTTCTGGGGCCTTGGAGAAGTCGAATTGGCCGGTGCGTGAGTGTTTCCAGAGCGAGAGACAGAGCCTCCTCTGTAGTGGGAGGAGTGAGCGGAGCGGTCCGACATTGCGGATAAGGTGCGAGTTGTGCTGTGCTGTGCTTTGAATAGAAAAAAAAAAGAAAAAGGAGAGGGGTTTAAGGAAAGAGGAATGAGGAATGAGGAAGGAATGAGAAAAGAATAAGAAGAATGATCTTGATGAGAAGGAGGAAGGAAAGGAGCGGTAGTCGTGTTCCAGGGAGAAGAGAGGGTAAGCACTCGGGCACTTTCCTGGCTAGCTCGTGCTAGCGTGCTTTTTTAATCCAAGACTTGGGAGGAGAGAGGAACCTATCGTGCGTGTTTTTGTCTATGGCGGAACAAGGGCGGCCATATGGCTATGGTCAGCTTTATTGTATACTATTGGATGGGGCGCTGTTCCAACCTGGATATGGATATGTATCCATGGGATCTGAACCGGGGAATGGTTAGGATGAATCCCAAACCCAGTTACTGTGCTGCTGTGTATCAAAGACGCGTTTCGTTTTTATATTTCAAGAACCAGACGAATAAGAACGCGTCCCTTGTTTTGCCACCAACTTAAGGTGTTTCCCATGGGCACAGCGGGGAGAGGAACATATCGCTGGCACCCCTTCATGCTTTCGATGTAACTGTTCCTTTGGAGCTTGTTTGTTTGTGTCTGGAGGAAGACCTGGTCTGCTCCCAGCACCGCCCAGCACCTGCTTCAAGTGGCAATGTAATGAATGTCTTCAGGGGCGTCTGTATGGACATGTACAGTGCATTCGGTATGTGTGTGACCAAAAGTCCAAAATCGCTGAATCGTTGGTTGGGCTGCGTCAAGTTCTTGGCACAAAACCAAGAGATCATTTCCATCCCTTCCATCCTTCCATTCTTCCATCGACCTTTGTTTATAGCTCCCACTCCATCCTTGTCCATCGCCTTCCTCCTTCCTTTTTCATCTCCTCTCTTACCACACCTTCCACCTCCTGCCTCTCGCTTCACACTTCACACCTCAAGAAGCAGCCGCTTGACGATTGACACAATGGAAGCTCCACTTCCTGCCGGATGGTAGGCCAAACTCGAAGGATCCCTCACTCGCTCGCTCGTCAGACTTTGCAACCCAGGGACACTCCCCGCTAACCCAGCTTCTTCATCTCCCTTCCGGCTCCACCCAGGATCTCGCAATTCGATGCCTCCCATCAACGCAACTTCTACGTCGGTATGTTAAAAGCACACGACCAATTGGCATCCCTAGCAGGTTTCAAACTACCTCTTCTGACTAATACCTGCATGGTACTAACCGGAAATGACGTACAGAAACCGCAACGGGCAAGACGCAATGGGAACGTCCCGGTGCCGCCCTTGGCGCCGCCCCACCGCCCTATGCCCCTCCAGAGCCCAAGGCCACCCCCACAGGCACCCCTGCCGCTGCTGCTCCAACTACTTCCGCCCCCCTAGACAAGAGCTTTTACTCCGCCTCTCCCTATCCCGCCTCGCCCTATCCCCCAACTCCTTACGGAGCTGCCCCTCCCCCCGGCGCTTACGCCCCACAGGTTCCCTATGGTGCCCCGCCCACTCCCTATGGTGTCCCGCCCACTCCCTACGGTGCCCCTCCTGCCCCGTATGGCGTCCCTCCAGGTGCATACTCACCCGCTGCCCCCTATGGCTCACCCTACCAGGCTAGCCCATACCCTCCTGCGTCACCCTACCCTGGAGCACACTACCCCGCAGCTTCACCTACACCCTACGGATACGCACCACAGCCACAGTATGGTGCTCACCCACCTGCACATGCGCCGGTATCGCACGGTGGCATGCCCCATATTCCTGCAGGAGCCGGAATGGCGGTTGGTGCGACGGCGCTCCTGGCTGGAGCTGCAGCCTTGGCGGCAGGACACCATGGAAGCCATGGACAGCACGGATACGCTGCAGCAGGTCATCATGCACCGCCGTTTATGGCTCCCATGATGGGAGCGCCGCTTGTTCACTATGGACAAGGATATGGACATGGACAAGGCTATGGACATGGACAAGGATATGGACATGGACATCATGGAAAGCATTATAAGCATTATAAACACTATAAGCATCATAAGCACCACAAGCATCATGTAAGTCCGGGTCACATATCTATCTATTCATCTATGCTGCGCAAGATCTAACTCGTTCCTGTCATGGTTTTCCTTAGAAATGGTTCTAAACCTCCATGAGGATGCCCTCGTAAAGTTTTTCTATTCCCCTTCCCCCCGCCCATTCTGCTTGCTTGTTGGTCTTTGCCCACCGCTTCTTTTCCTCTATTTCTGCTACATCTTTTGTCATTCAAGTAAATAGTAGTAATAATAATATAGTAAAAAAATGCCATTGTACATTTATTCTGCTAAAAGGTTCTAACCTTTTTTTTTTTTGCGCCTGATTGCCTACGTGCGTGCATGCTCGTATGTGTTTCAGTGTCTATGGACGAGTCTTGCTATCCTCGTCCGCACTATTATTCTCTCTGTCATGGTTCTTCTTCTTGCTCTTACTCTTGCTCTTACTCTTGTTCTTCCCCCGTCCGTCTGCTGCAGCCTTCGCAGTAATGTTGGCACTCTTGACACGATACGCCGTCATGACCTGCTTCCAGACATCCTTCATATGGGTTGTCGTTCCCTTCACGAGCGTCAATGCATCCCCGCGAACAACACTATTCTTGATCCGCTCAAGTCCTCGTCTCTGAGACCCATTCGTCCATGAATCGATGTACAGACGCGAGATGCGGTAGGTGGGTGAGAAGGTCCGGTAGAAAAACGCTGTTGTTGCATCCTTGGACCGGACCAGACCATCCTGTGCCATCGTTGCAACGGAATACAGAGTCGCGGATGAGGAGAGGACAAGAGTGGAGGTCCGTGAAGGCGTGATGGGTGTTCCACTCGTAGGTGTGGTTGCTGTGCTTGAGGAGGGTGGGATATCAGCAGTCGTACCGGTGCTGTTGCTGTTGTCGTTTGTAGTGGTCTGGGTGCTGGTGTTACTCGTCTGCATTGCCGTATCTTTATCGATGGCTGCATTCACGGCAGTATTGGAAGATGTGATCAAGGAAGCAGGACTTGGACTATTTGAGGATGCCGATGGAGAAGATGAGGAGGGCAAGGTATGCATGGTTGTCGCTAGAGGTGCAGCAGCTGAGACGGCAACATTCGTGTTAGCAGCAATCTCGGTCGGCTGCTCTGCCGCCAATGGATTTGAGGATCCGGTTTCAGTCTCGCCTGCCGAAGTCACCGCCGTCGCTACCTGTGCTATGGACGCATTCGTCACCGGGTCGGCCACCATCGATGGCGATGATGATGCACTTGGCACACCTGCTGTTGGTGCTACCGCTGCCGCAAACGAGGCAACGTCTTCCCGTCCAGCGGCGTGGCTCTCACTGCTGGAGACGAAATATGAATTAGAAAATGTTGGTGTTGGGTACGCCCTCGTGCCAGGCGATTGACGGTGGGGGTGATGGGGAAGGGATCCTTCCGAATTATAACTAGGATGAGGCGGTGTTGCTGAAGACGACGGCTTCGACGCTGCCTCTTCTGCTCCATGGCTGCAGCCGTGGATGCCTCCTTTGCCTGATTCTGCGCCCTTAGAGAAAGCTTCACAGAAAATGAAAAAAAAAAAATTAGTCTCAAGACCATTCGTCCCAATCTCATTCTCAGTTCCCGGTCCTAACGAATTACTATTGCAGCGAATATTGCGAATATTACACAATACCTTCGCGTAAGTCCACGTGTGTGTTAAGTAAAGCCCGAAGTTCCTTTCTGCTCGGATGCAGATGCCCTTGATCATTGCCGTTCAGAGCAGCATCTTGAGAGGGCTGGATCAAACATTTCAGCCAGTCCAGTGCATTCTGTGGTTGGGGATCCAACAACGCTTTGCAGTGGGTGCTCCTTTGAAGGAGGGCTGCTGCTGCTGCTGCCACCGAGTTTGATTCCTTGGCTACAGACGCGGAAGAGAGCGTGAGAGAAGGATGTGGAAATACATGGGCCGTAGAAACAAGCTGCGTATGCTGGTGGAGATGCTGCAAGTGCGGGAGACAGACACCCTCGTCTGCGGCCTTGAGACTGCAGGACCCTTCGGCGGCCAGGTTCCAGATAAAGGGATCATTCAGACGCACGACCTCGTACCAGCTCTTCATAACAGCGGTGTCCATTTCGTTGTCGTTGTCTTCTCAAGGAATGGCGGAATCAGAGGAATGAGTGCTGTTGAGGGAATGGGGAACAAAGAACACGCAACTGAGGGAGGGAGAGGGGGTATAAAGGAGGACACGGAGCACCCTTTGCACAAACATGCATTCCTTCGCAGAGTAGATAGCACCATTGCTTTCATGCTTTCATGCAGTTTTTGAGGATTACGGATTTATGAACAAACGGCTCTCGGGGCAACTGTATGTTTACTATGTGCAGAAGGTGGCCCCAGCGCAATTGCAATTGTGGTTTCCTTCTTTTTTCCTGCGCCCAATTCTGTTGGCTTCTAAACCTGCGTCCGTCCTACACACCGCTCGACCTTATCCTCCAGGATCGCCCTCCAATGAAGTGCCCGTCCCTTAACAGTCTTGATGATCCGCTGCACTCGCGCGCTCCACCTCCAGACCCCCATCGACGAGCTCCCACCCTGACGGATCGTCATCCCCAGCCAGACCGTGCACATGACGACGCTCACACCGAGTCCTGCAGCGATCTCGAACAAAACCAGGTACTCCATCTCCCGCATCCCTGCCACAGTCGTCGCCGACGAGAGGGATCCAGATCCCGATGATGAGCCTGTCAAGGACGACGATGGCGGTGATCCTTTGTTGATCGTAGAAGCATTCATCCTAGACGAGGTGATTGACAAAGGAGCGAAAAGTCCCGATAGGTCCCATGCTGCAGGTAGAGCGTTGCACAGCATCGAGATATAGTATGCTCGAACAGTGGCGACCACTCCACCTTCCTGGCCGTGTCCATATCCCCCACTGTATGTGTGCTCGAGATCTGCGCCCGAGTTTCCATTCAACATGCTTATCCTGCCATCCGCACTCAAGGTTTTACTATTACTGCTACCATCCCCAGCAGTCGAGAACAGTTCCATCTTCAGAGCCCGTCGATGGACGTCCAAGACCTGCATGGCCACGACCCAGATATTGAACAGGACCATGCACTGTCCATGAGTCCCAAATCGCTGGACGAGTTTCGCTCCCTGGATCTGAAGTAGGAGCCATCCGAACTGGATCAGGTAGGTGGCCAAGGCCAGGGCTTGTGGGTGCGTTTCGGCAATTCCGGAGATGGTTAAGAGGACGCTGGCGAGGAAGCATCCTGCGGCGTATGGGAGGAGTGGGACCTAAGGGATCATCCCCATTTTGGCAAATTGATAGATGATGTGTTAATTTTGTACGTGACTTTTTGCGAAGCAATGAGGTTTGAACCAATTGTCGTTGGTTTCGTTACCAGACTATCGTCTTTTTGGATATGGGCAAATGTCAGGAGCATGCCCTCCATTGGGGAAGTCGTTCGAGTGGAAATTGATGGGGGGGGAGGCTTGAAGGAAGATGGAACTGGACGAGAAATATCGAACAGGACGAGGGAAACGACTTTGAATGATAGCGTTGTATGAGGGAGGAAAGGGTGTTCTACGCACACCGAGAGAGAGAGGGAGAGGGAGAGGGAGAGACAGAGAGACAGAGAGAAGACAGGAAAGAAAGCAGGAAGTAAGGGTGTACAGGAAGGCAGGCTAAACGGAATGTGAAGAAGAAAAAGAAGAGAAATGAAATCGGTTGCTGGGTTTGCTTTGCCAAAATGGAAAGAAAAGCCAATCTGCTTAAAGGCTTTCTTTCCTTTCCTTTCATCATTTGCCCAAAGATAAGCAAGTCGCAAAAGACGAGAGAAATGAAGCCATTTTTTGCACCTCTCGCAGGCGGACTACACTTTCAAACCCTCCCACATTAAAAAAAAAAAAAAGAAAAAAAAAAAGGAGCTGGTTTGTTTCTGCCCGTTTTGTTTGCATATCGTGATCAACCGCAGGACTCGGACGAGCAGCTCAGGGGAACAGCAACCATACGTTTGATAGCAACAAACACACGTAAACGATTACCAGGGCGATCAAGGGATTTGTCATCTGCTGTTGACCATGGTCTAGCACCACGCACATGGTGGGTTTGTATGTCGATCAGCCTTCTGTGCATATGATTGGCGAGTCCTGTCGCGTGAATTTATATAAATTAGTGAACAGCGAATCCCCGAGCCAGCCAGCCAGCTCCCTCTACTCCTCCCCCGCTTCTACAGTTCAGTAGCCTACACGTTCCAGAAAGTATGCTCCAGCGGGTTGCTACTCCGCCCCACCGAAATCCGCATCCGAGGCTGCAAACATTATGGATCAAGGCGGATCCACTTGAGTTTTTAAATGAATAGACAGCTATGTCTTTGATCCGCTTCTATTTCTTTAGTGCTAAGGAGTGTCAATGGAAGAATCGGATAGGAAGAGGAGGTCTATGTAAAGAGCGCGAATAATTAATGAAGACGATGCTAGCGGGATTAAAGAGACAATGAAGGATATGCGAAGAAAGATAAAAGAAGAAAAAAAACAAAAAATAGAAACTAGAAACTAGAAACTAGAAACTAGAAGCTGAACAAGAGAAAGAAAGAAACGAAAAGATGCTCACTCAGATTAACGAAATAGTAATGTCCCCACTGCTGTTCTTGGCCATGATCAGTCCAGTACCGTGGCCGATGGTTCCGATGACCTCCTTCGTCACCACCGAGTCCTTGTCCTCGTCCTTCTTCTTACGTTCCTTCTCAGACTTTGTCGTCATCACAGATCGTGTCTCCGCGATCGACCCATTAATCGAGTTTGCACGCGAGTTCGATCCCGATCCCGGTGCAGAATGATGCTGATGCTGATGCTGATGCTGTTCATCGCCATTATACGGGTATTTCAAATAATTCTGGTGATGACGAGGGTCATCGCGCTCCCAGACGGTGCTGCCCTGAGACGAGGTTCTCGAAGACATGGCTGTGCTCTGATGGGTCGAGGAGGCCGATGACGAGAGATTCGAGCTCGATAACGAGCTGGGTGCATTCCGGTCACTCAGCGAGGGCAAGCTGAGCATCGCACCATCGATCCTCTGGAACTCTGGCTCGTCAATTGTGATCCTTCCATAATGTACCCTAGTCTCAATTCTGCCCTGATAATTACCCGACAGCTTGATCCGTGTGGGCCCTCCAAAGTTGATAAAGTTGCCCAACAGACGCTGCTCCGTGTTGGCCAACAGAATTTTGACATCCAGGGGTTGACATTGGGTCTTGGCCTCGACCGTGAAAGGCCCAAAGAGATCTGTGCCATCGACATGGACGGAAACGGGGTGGTGGAGCGTCGCACAGATGACCTTGGGTGCCGGCTGTGATTCATCCGTGTTCAGGAGATGGATGTCAGACTGAATCTTGCCGGATTTCGCGTGAGCGTACAGCCGTGCAACGGAGTATCGGCCGGAGATACCGCCAGCAACAGTACTCTTGATAGTAGCGGATTCACCATAGAAGCTCTAAATTAAATCGGATAGATGATGAGATTCAAATGCGGTGATTTAGTGTTCGCTCGCTCGCGTGTCTCCATAAAAAAAAAAAAAAAAAAAAAGAAAGGTTCAGTACGTACCTCGATAGTGATGTCTCCCCTGTCACTGCGGATGGAAAGGTTCTTGATGAACGTATGGCTAATGTTGCCGATCGACAACTCCACATTTGCACCCGTAATCGTAAAGGATTCGAGGCTCTCGAGGCACTTGGGAATGGTAACGAAAACTTGGAAGGTTACTGAACGCTCGAATTTCTCCTCTAGAGGCGTGTGGATCGTGTAGGTATATCGGTCGCCATCCTGGACGGGTTCGAGTGCGGCTGCGTTCTTGATGATCGATTCCTTTGCTTGGACACTAGTCTTGATTTGGACCATGTCCTCATTGCCACTAAGGATCGTGATCTCACCCTATACCGAACGAAAGACGATATATTTTTTTAAGAGTCAGGCACATGGTCTTTTTTTCATTTTCATTTCCGACAAGAAGAAAAAAAAATTGAAATGGTGGGCTGAAAAAACCAAGTATGTGAGAGCAAAGAGGAGAATCGGCGAATCGTTGCGCGTGTCTCTGATCGGTCCAATCAGTTCGCTGTCGGCTCACAAGCATAGAAAGAGAATTGCCGGTGTTGATGGGAAAAGACGAATAAAACCAGCGGCTCGCAAGGGCTCAATTGTAAAATTATGAATCCAGAAAAAGAAATGAAAAAAAGAACAGCTTCTGGCCTCTCCACAAAACTGCAAACAACAGCACAAAATCAAACAAATAGCATGGACCAATCGATGCTTAGGCAAGCCAGCACGACCTCGGATGCACATGGACCATCTGTATAGAACGAAAGACAGAGAGCAAAAAGGCGAATAGCTGGTTCACTGGTTCAAAAGATTGACAAAAAAAAATGGCTGCCATAGTTGTGTTGGTCTCTAATTGTTCTCTTTCAGAACAATGAAGAAGAGGCCGATGGGGTGGCAAGAGAGGAATGCGGCTGAATACAATCCAATAATCCCTGTTGTCCATTGAGTAAAGAGAAGCAGCTCATAAAAAACAGCTTCGTCAGGCACACCAGATCACACTTTGTTCATCCAAGGATGAGCAATTGAAAAGCGTGTTGTTACCTTGGCAAGTCCTACGACATTGATGGCGATGTTTGAGCAGAGTTCCGCACTGATCTGCACATCCTCGTTTTCATAGTGTGCAGGGAGGAGCGGTTTGGTAAAGAAACCCATTGTTGTTATGGCTATTAATAAAGTATGATGTAGATCGTGTGTGTGATGTGCGCTGGTGGTATAGCAGACCCCTGCAAATACGACGTGGATGGAATGCGATGCTGCTGCGGGATTTAGGTGTATCAAAGGGGGATATGCTGTGGTCGTAAGGAGAGATTGAACTTGAAGTCGTTTGAGAAAAGGAGTAAAGTGCTGTGGTGAGGGACAGAGAGAGAGAGAGGAAGAAGCGAGAATGCAGGATATATAAATGGAAACCAGGGAGACGAAGGATGAGGGAGAGAAGAAAGAGAGGAAGGAAGGAGGCCAGGGCTCGGGAGTTCTTAATAAAACGGACTGAAGGAGTTGAAAGAAAGGAAAGAGACGAAAGAGGTGGCGAGAAAGGTGTTCAAGGCCAGAAAAAGTATTAATACCCCAGTTAATACAATGGGGGGATCAATCCAATATGCTGGCCCTGAAAACAAAACAACTTTTTATAACAACACAAAACCATTGAATCTCGATGACAAGTCGATGCTTAAGGTCATCAATGTTACTCCTCAGAAGAATGTGTCATCACAGTCGATTCTTTGTCTAATCAAGAGGCAAGCATGTAGCGCAGAAAAGCACGCGGGAAAGCGTCGACCCGAAACGAGCGATTAGTAGAGCGAGCCAAGGACAGCCTAAAGAACGCATTAGTGTGCTGAGCTAGCCTAGGCTTGATCCGCAATCGGCACCAACTGTATTTCCCCCTGGTTCCCAAGTAACCAAAGGTACCTTAATCCAAGTCTGGACAGGATCCTATATTTTCATAAGCATGTTCGTGGGATCGATATATTGAATTGAGTATAATCCACACACGAAATTGATGGGGTCTAGTAACAAAACGACGCAAAAGCTCTCGGCCACGAGGCAGAAAAAAAGAACATCTCTTCTCTTCTCAGCCCATAGCTTCGTCACCTTGTCCTGATCTGGCATCAAAAATAAATAAAAAACGTTTTTCATGGGAGATTGCTCTCGTATATTTCCGATACTCATTCCTCTTTTTAGTACATGTCGTTGGTCATCATCACCCTATGCTCGCCTTGCTTCTTCATAGCAAACCAGGGCTCTCATTTCCTCATTTTTTTTTTAAGAAAGAGAAAGCGGACATTGAAGAAGTGCGGACTACGATGCTTGCCGGGAAATATACTATCCAACCGTTGCGCACGGTGGCCATGCGGCGTTTCTAGTGCAACCATGCAATATAACAGTCTCCACATACAGTTGTACAGCATTGAAGTTAATACCATGATCCAGAAAAAAAAATGCAACATTCATAGGATATGGATACGCCCGGATGTAGCACTGGGGGTCTACATGTGCGCTGAAATACCAATGTCTCTAAAAAAGTAGTATAGAGAAAGTAATGAGGCAGTGTAAGGTACTTTCCCTGGAGCATGTTGACGCAACCAAGTATCGAAAAAGGTATCGGACCAAAAAAAATAAAAAATAAAAAAACGGTGCAAGGCAGACAGAGGACAGAACAAGAGGCAAGGAAAATGAAGAACACGAAGGACAGAGCCCTTTTTTTTTTGTCCCTCAACGTACTCCTTTCTCCGACATGGATAACATCATCGAGATGGCGCGATGGTTAGTTGGCAAACGTGCAAAAACGTCCATCGAATGTTCTTGACCCTGCTGGTTGTATTGATTCCGCATTTGGTTATCTTTGCACGTCTGTCCCCCCCCCCCCCCCCCCCCCCCCCACCACACCACGGTCGCTGTTGGGTTTCAAATAATTACCAGTACTTTTGAGGCGCCGCTTGAGTTTCGACTTTCCCACGAACAGGCAATCAAAAGGCCCCCGCTTCTCGTCTCGGCCATCATTCGCGTCATCGCACCTTTCTGTATAAATTTTTATTTATTGTTGTGCTGGTTGCGATTATTATAGTTAAAAATGGTGGAAGGAAAAATAGATCAATGCAGGATAAATAAAAAGAAGTTGCTACAATAGTTTACAAATCCCCTCACTTGGAGACTACGCGTCTTGTCGAACTCGCCGCTGGACGCGTCGCAGATGATTTCGTCCCAGTCGTATGAGCGGGAGAACTAGACCGAGACTTCATGCTGCTTGCTTTCGAGAGCCGGTCTGTCCGTTGTGTCCTCGTGTCCGGCTTTGGCGATTTCGATGGAGGCGGTGCCAAAGTCAACGATGATGTTGAGGAATTACCTGGCAGGTACGACGACGAAAATGATCCGAAATATGAGCTTGCGCCATTGACGAGCTCGTTCATGGGCGAATTCGAAGTGGACACAGACGCCGATGGAGAAGTCGATACCAGGGACAAGGAGGATGCAGATGATTTGGACTTGAGCGAATGGGTTGAATTTACTGAAGTCGTTGACGTCCCGGAAATACCCCGCTGGTGTGAGAGAAGATACGACTTGAGAGAGGATGCGAATCCGCCATCGACTTCCTGAGCATTGTTCCGTTGCTCTTTGACAAGGTCAGGAAGGGACTCTCGCGACGAAGACAGTGCTGACGGTGTCTGGACTGGAAGTGTACTAGATCTTCCTTTGCTTTCCAAGGAGCAGATGGAAGAGCTTGAAATCCTTGAGGCATTGGCTGGTCGAGGTGTTGGTGCGGAAATTGTTGGTGCAGGACCAGGTGAGATGGGTCTGCCCATGATTTGGATAGTCTGACTTCTGGTTGGGGCAGCGATCTTTGGTGTGAACTTTGCGAATACTGTCTCGTTAACATGTCGCTTCTCGATCTCAGCCTGAAGCGTTTCAAGATACGGGGCGCCCTCATACATGAAGCTCTCCCCTTGCTCTGCAAAATAGAACAGTTGAGGGGTAGTATGATTAGTTAGATGTGCGGATTGAAGTTAGGGACTTTTGAAAGGATACCATAGACACCTACCCTTCTCGAACTTTTCAATGGTCTGAATCAACGTGCTTTCGAGCTTGAGAAGCGTGGGGTAAGCACGACGCCTGAACTTTTCTTCCTCCACAAGCTGGAACGAGGATTGGAAGAGGCGTTTCGGGTCCCTTGCTGTATGCTCGAACGAGATCATTTTCTGTTCCACGCGATAAAAGTCGACGGGTCAGCCAATGATTCTTAGTGATACTTTGTGTAAAAATTCAATTTCAACAACTCCTTGCTTACCTCGATATGGCTACTCCGCGTCATCATCAGTTTGTAGACCGCCCCGGATTTTGAATATCGCACGTGGCAGTTCTCGATCTCAGTTTGTATTCTGTCCAGCTTCTCCATGAATGTTACATCTACAGTTGCAAAGTAAGTAGTTCCATGTCAGCAAGGATACCTGGGTATTAACGAGACAGGCAACATGATTCGGCGAAGCACTGACCATCCTGTTCAATAGTTGATCGAAAACTCTCTCGTTCCTGTTCGCTGACAAGACATGAGTCCCATACAGCAGAGAGCGCATTCCAGTGCTCTCCTGATTGGTACAGCTTGCGAGCTGTCAGCTCTAGCTGCAATGCCTTCAACTCTCTACCCAGCTGTATGAATAAAAGGAAAACCATCAGCTTCAAAGTACTGCTGCACCGAACTCTACGTTGACCTTCAAGACAGTGTAGTCGATGCATACCTCTGCTGCATATCTAACTGTTGCCTCGCTCCTGAAGGCGACTCTCTTCTCGGTCGACGTCCCAAGATCCTGGTATATTAAGCCAAGGACATGCTCCATGGCTCTGATCCTTGATTGGCGAGTATAAAAGTTCTGATCCAGCTCCACCAGTTTTATTGAAAGGCTCGATAGACATTCCTTGGAAAGGCACAAGGGTGCTTCGATCTGCAAGTAGGAAGGCTCCATAGTTGAATTCTCCAATTCTGCAAGCTGAAAGAGTTTGCACAGGGCATGATCGTAGTCGTCCGCTGGAATATACGCGCACTGGTCCCATCGTATGCGGAGCATGCCAACCATTGATTGAAACCGTTGTAACCGCTCCATCTACGTTTTTAGATCATAAATCTGGTTATTATGCATCCGACAGACAAAATATTTAGACGGAGGGCCTTGTCTCTATGCTTACCCATTCTTTCTCCAGTGTGCGATATGTCCTTTCAAGCTGATAACAAAAATTTCAGGTTAGGAAAGAGAGGCAGGGACAACCAGCAAGTGATTCTGAGCAGCAATGAAAGAGTAACATACCTGTAGGATCCGTGCTCGTGACATTGGCGGCATTGTCGTCTATGATGGCGCAGAAGGAATGTCGATGCGTTTAAAATGAAGGCTCAATGCATCCTGCCGCCGTATATAGCCCGTTCCAGCAGAGCAGTGGATGCTTACCTCTAGGTATTGCTCTGGCGACTCTCGAATATTCTCAGCGATGGTAATGATCCTGGAGACCCATCGCTCGATCCTTTCTTTCCGTCGTAGGATATCCTATCCATCCAGTGTTTGAACCAAACAGAACGGTAAATTTTCTAAAGAAAGAACACCCCATCCAAAATAGAAACATAAAATGTATGCATGCATGCATGCCAGGATGTACCTGATAAAGATCATCGCAGGCTCGATGCAGCGCTTGCCTTGTGGTCAGGGTGATGGGCGCAGTGCAAGGAAAGACCAGGAGATGCGTGATGTTGGCTGGATCAAGTCCGAGCTGGTGGCAATGCCCCTCCAGAGTGCTCTATGTACGCAATGGCCCATTGGTTAGATAAGAGAGGGTTTGGGCGTGCATTGACCGCGGTGGCAAAACACGAGCTTGGATGGTTCGACTGAAAATACTTACCATTTGGTCCTCGATCTCTGCGGCGAGCAGTACATGGTCCTTCCTGGCTTCTACCACAAACCGATCCAGATCAACGAGCACTTGCTATCAACAGGAGGTTCGTAAAAGGAGACACATTGATAACGAAGAGGTCAGTTAAGGGAGACGACAGGGGAGGCTGCCTTCTGGGTCGCCAGCTGTAACCCCGTCACCCACGGGGATACTCTTTTTTTTTTTTCCTTACCCAGATGACAGCATCCTGGTCGATGTCTTGTTGTTGGCCTTTTGAAGGCCCCGGAGTGTGTGACAGGGTCGTGGCCTCTGAATGGACTGCTGTCAAGGTTTCTGAAGGCGAGAGTAGTGGCGTGGTTGTGGCCATTGTTGTTGACGGGGATGTCACTGTGAGGGTATATTCTGTATCAGCACTCACAGCAGTCGGTGATTCCACTGTTGTTATTCTTGCGTCTTTGAGGGATAGGTGCTTAGCAGATGTCCAAACATCAACATGGACGGGCGATGCAAGGATGTGTTCCATTCCGCTGGGGTAGTGAATGGAGGTCATGGGTACGAAGGGGGAGTGTAAGGTGTTAATGGAAGATGAATAATAACTGTGCCGTTCTGGGCACACCAACAGACATGGCCCGTAGTCGGAAGAGGGATGGTGGAGAGGTGGAGGAAAATGAAGAAGGAATGGAGTGAAGAGTGATGGAGATTAAAGGAGAAGGATGTGAACTCCGTCCCTTTGATGCTTTGCTTCGCCGCCCGCTGGTGCATTTTTTTTTTTCGGCCCAACGTCCTTAATGAAGATGAGCATTATTGGCCAATTCCACCGCTGTGCAGTGTGCTTGCAGCCAACGTGTACATACCTCAAAAAGCGAGCCATTCAACAGAAACAGACACCTCGAACTACAATGACTCTCGTAGGTCAATTGTGCTGCGAGTTGTGTTGTCTATTTCATATCGACATGCTTATCATGTCTATTCAAATCGCTGCCGAACATCGTCAACCTTTTTGTAAACTCTCAAGGAACCCAATTAGAGGGTACATTTGCTTGCCATCTTGATAGCCATGGCAGACATACCAAGCATCAAAAGACTACAGCATCTAATGTAGCATCCATCTGCAAATCTGCTTTGCTCATTGTGGGAAGATGCTTTTATGCTTGTTCTCAAGCAATCGCTCTCCGTTGCAAGCGATGTTTTTTTGTCCTACCGCGTACATGGACCAAAATTCAAAACAGCGTTTAGTGCCTGTCTGGTTGGCTGGTTACTGCACACTGGCTCTGTTCTTCGACTCACACATCCTCCCCCCCCCCACCTTCTCTTTCAGCATTCCTAATTCTCTTTCCAGCCCCACTCTTGCCTGCAGCTTGCATCCCACGGCTACCACTTCCACCACAGAACCACTAAACAAAAGAAAAGGCAACAACACAACGAAACAACCATGGGGGCAGCGCTAAGTTGCATTGCACTACCTGCACTGGGAGGAGTGGGATCCATCCTCGCATCCTGTTTCTCCGCCGCAGCATGTTCCCTCGCCTGTCGCTCATGCAACTGCAACAACTCTATAGCAACCCGTGTGGGCTACGCTGTAAGACCCAGGCTCAAGCTATTTGTCATTCAAGTTATCCTGCTTACTATAGTATGCAAGTCGAACGCCTTCTAACCGTCGCTCTTGAATGCTCTCCACCTGTCTTCATATAGCTCATCATGCTCGTCAATTCCTTGGTATGGCTCGCAAGATTGACCTTGATACAACTCATTGGTACCAAGCGCCAACATGGTCGACAATACTGACTGGATATTCTCTCAACGAATACTTAGCTGGCATGGATATTGTTGTCGGATTGGGCCTCAAAACAGCTGGAGAGCATCACACATGGATATCTGCGACTCAACTGCGAGGACAAGTCATGTTACGGAGCATTTGGGGTACGGAAAGCCAAAAAAAAACCGTCCTTCACCTAGATGATGAGCAATTGTGCCTGTGCCGACTGTACAGGATTTATCTCTGATGTTCTTGCCTATGTTTTGTCACACTCCTGTAGGTTCAGCGTGTGGGATTCGCTCTGGCACTTTTTCATTTCATTCTTGGCGCGCTATTGATTGGTGTACATGATTCTCGTTCGAAGAGGGCTGCTGTCCAGAATGGGTAAGGATTGACGGTCAATGTGTTTAATATCATAATCCAATCCTGTTCTCTTATCCGCATCTTCATTGACATCTCATTCATTCCCTGCATGTATAGGTGGTGGGGACCCAAGGTGCTCGTCTGGATAGCACTGGTGGTCGCGTCGTTCTTCATTCCGACAGGATTTTTCGTCTTCTGGGGCAACTATGTGGCATTGATTGGTGCGGGCATCTTCATTCTCTTTGGACTGATTCTTCTCGTAGACTTTGCCCATACCTGGAGCGAAACCTGCATGGATAAATGGGAGCAGAGCGACACCAACAAATGGCAATTCATCCTCGTGGGCTCGACCATGATCATGTATCTGGGCGCCGCAATCCTGACAGGAGTCATGTACGGATACTTTGCAGGCAGTGGATGCAGCATGAACATCTTTTGGATCACCTTCAATCTCATTCTTGGTGTCCTCGTCACAGTCGTTGGAGTTTTGCCCGCAGTTCAGGAGGCGAACCCGAGATCGGGATTGGCGCAATCGTCCATGGTGGTGATTTACTGCGCTTATTTGGTCCTCAGCGCCGTCGCGAATGAGCCGGACGAGGGAACCAACTGCAATCCATTGAGTAAGGCGCGAGGAACGAGGACGACGTCGGTGCTTATGGGGGCTGTCTTTACCTTCCTCGCTGTGGCGTATTCGACATCTAGGGCAGCAACTCAGGGCGGAAAGGCTGGAATCAACAGTGGCGACTATGCGCCTCTTAACTCTGATTCCGCCGTTCCTCTGGTGAATAACCAACCCACAGGATCTTCGATGCGACGATCTGATGCCCTGCTTGCGGCTGTCGAGAGTGGGTATGTTGTATTTTTTGTTGTCGCCTTTTTTTTATTTAGGAAAAACGATTGCCAAAGTTCTGACAATAACCAAAAAAAAAAAATTACTGCGATTGACTCCTGCTAGAGCTCTTCCTGTCTCGGCACTGGATGAGATGGATGAAGATGACGATGACGAGGAGTACGATTCCAAGGATGACGAGAAGAACGGATGCCAGTACAACTACACGTTCTTCCACGTGGTCTTTGCCCTCGCGGCGATGTATATCTCTATGGTCCTCACTAACTGGAATACGTTTAAGGAGGTTGACGGCAGCACCGATAATCTGATCCTCATTGGGCAGAGCTGGCCCGCGGTCTGGGTCAAGGTGGTGTCGTCATGGATCTGCTACGGACTCTACGCGTTCTCGCTCCTTGCCCCTGTTCTGTTCCCTGATCGGTTCATGGACTATTAACTGGCAAATGTCTAATAAAGTGACCCAGTGCCTCTGGCGAGCACCTCCGGCCACCCCTTACTCAATAAGTAAGGCGATTGAAATGGGCCTCACTCACTAAGGACAGCTGCTGAAACTGATAAAACTATTACATTCAAGAGTGAAAGTATATATAATTTAAGAAGTTGCAAGTGAGCGAGGCAGCTTTTGTCCCCTCTCACTTACACTTTCCAAGTGGAAAACCTCGCTCGTCGGAGGGCGCTGTGAATAACGTATCCCATGTTTATTTTTAATTCATTGCACGTCAGGGTGCCTGGATCATGTCATACTGCATGCAGGGTATGCAATGCTATTTATCTACTATCTGATGTACTTTTCTGTAACTGTAGCTATGGATGTACTACGGCTGCGTTCGCCGTTTTGTCCATATTGTATAAGTTCGCCTAGGGTAAGCAACATTGGCAGAACATAAAGCTGAAAACTTTCTGTAATTTCGTATCCTTGGACCACTGTGTTTGCATGCTGCGAAAGTCAACATGATAAGCATACTTTAAATCCTACCAACTCCGTCGGACAACGATGAGTGAGTGTTGTAGGTCTTGGGTTTACCGTGTTTCTGAGCGGCGTCAGCGTGCGACGCGTGAACGAACTGGAACGGTGGATCGTCGTCGATCGAGAGCAGAGGGTGAAAATCGCGCGATTACTAGGTCGTAGTGACAAGAATCGAGGATCTTGGCGAGTTGTGGAGGAGGTAGCGGCGGAAGACAGTCAGATTTGAGTATGGCAGGGATCTGTTGTTTTTTTTAAAGAGACGCTCAAAGCGAGCCAGGATATCGGTGAACGATTCGAACTAATGAGTGGAAAACTGGAACTTAGGGAGGGCGACCAGGTCCGTGCTGGACCAAGTGAGAGAGGAGACTGAATACGGCTGTGCCCATGTTTGTTGGAGGCTGGTTGCGGGAGATGAGGAGGAAGTGGAGGAATGACCACATAAAGAGCGAGAGAGACTGAGAGAGAGAGATAGAGAGAGATAGAGAGAGATAGAGAGAGATAGAGGGCAGGAGGGGCAAAGCAAAAGACGGGGCAGAGAGTACGAATGCCGGCAAAAGGTGGAAGGGTGTACTAAAAAGAGTTCCAGCCTAGCGGGATTAGTCTGCCCAAGAAAAAATCGCGCGGATGAAACGAAAGGTCGTTGTCGCGGATAGATACACCATGATGACATGATAGGCAGAGACTCCCCAGGATTTTGCCAGCCGAGAGTTTATTCGCTTGTGGGTTAAAGTGCGAGCTGGATGAAGCGTGAATATTGTAATTTTGGCTAAAGTCCTCAGCGCTGGTTTCAGTGGTGTTCACCGAGGCATTAACGATGAACGGTGTACCTTATTTCTTTAATTTCTTTTCTTGTTCCTGATAACGATGACGATCCGGTGGAACGGGTGAAAAGAAAAGAATAGGCGGCCAAGTGCTGCGCCGTTCTCTCGGCCAACACCGCTAGACTAGTGATAGACACCAACTATTCCTAGTAATACAGAGAGAAAGGTGTGTGCTAGACTACTCGCGACCGACATATCATCACAGTACGCAGATCAAAGGACATGAACATGGGTATATGGAGCCGATGCTGGAGAGTATATTGGGATGAAACACCACCATGGCATGCGGCATGCAAGACGCATTCCGCGTGTAACGGTCGAGAGGTCCCTCCCCTCTTTCTGATGCCAGTGCTCTCAATATCTTGACGTCCATCAGGTTACCCTGCCTGCAGCTATTAATAAAGCGAGCTTCGCTCCTGCAGCATCCCATCGAAGGGGGGGGGGGATGCAGTGAAGGTTGCGGGGCTGCATTGCACAGTTTAAATCCCCTCGGAAAAGGTGCCCACCTCAAATTATCCTTTCGAATCACCAAACCGGGCGTGGGACAGCTCACCCTCTGTATCGACAAAACATATAATCGACACAGTTCTTCCTATTCTAAAAAATAATTCCATTCTGGTCGTGTGTCGACGGTCGCTTTTGAAGATGTCGATGTTTCATTTGCAGCGAAACGGCGGGGCAGCTGCATGGCCATTGGACATCACCGGCCACGTTGTTCAGAGGGGCCGTCGCTCTTTTAAAAAGATAATATATGCCGCGCCAATCATCATCATGGGTCCCCCTTTCTTGGTTACCTTCCATTGGAGCCTTAGAAAGGAGGACTAGCCGTGTGGCCCCTGATCCATCCGTTTTCTAGTCCACCGACATCCAGGCACACTTCCACATAAACTATGTGCGTAGACAAAAGAGATAACGAACCGGCCTCTTTTGAGTGTGAATGCATTCAAGTACCAGGAATGTAGACTAAACCAGATCAGCGGTTGCCTCCCCCACAAGTGGTAGAGAGACCCGGTCCTGCTATGCTCTGTTGCATTTGGTCAATGGTATTGTACCCCCGCTGAGGATGGGGAGCGATCTGATAACCAATGCTAAGATGACGTTCCACCGCCGGTGACGTGCTTCATGAGAACTCTTGCCAAAAAAAAAAAAAAAAGACAGAGCGGGGCCAGTGTTAGTTCATTAAAAGAATGTTTCTGGTGCGACTGAGAGCTCGGAAATCAGATTACCCTTCTACATGAACCTTGTTCCTGGGTATTCCTTCACATACTAAAGGTATCAAGCTTGCGACCTATCGTTTCTCTGGAAAAAAAAAAAAAAAAAAAAAAGGGCGATTGAACAAAGGTACATGAACGTAAAGTACAACCAGAACCTTGATCTATACAGAGAGAGAGCTATGAACATCTTTAAGAGGAGAGGTGTGGGAACAATTAGGGTACCCTCTCCATCATTACTCCATTGCGGTTCTCATCTCGGTGTGGGTGTCAGAAGATACCTAGACGCATATAGCCTAGGCCTGTATTGCACGGCATCATTGTTGTCTCGTGTGCACCTATCACAAAGGTCGAGAATTTGAGAGGATCTGCACTGTGCGTCTTTGTCCGTGGCCCAATTGCCCCGATCGTCAATTAGGAAAACGAGGGATTTATTTGTTATCTCGTGCATTGGTGCATGGACATTTGTTATTTTCGGAAAAAAAAGACCCACGTTCGTAGCTGTCTGGACTCGACATTTTGAGAGCAAAACAAAAAAAAAAAAAAAAGAGGTGAGAACCAAGAGGCAAATACTTAGTCTACTGTTGACTGAGGTGGACGATCACACCAAGTTCCGGGTCAATAATGCCTCATGTCCAGAGTTCGACGACTTTTCTTGGTGGCCATTACTATCTGCAGGCAGCAAAGGGGACTGAAATCAACCAATCTTTTTATTATCTTGTGCAACTAGTATTCCAGTCTAAACGTCTAACAGAGTTGTTTTTCGACGAACCGGTGGTCCGAACTGGAAAATGCGGATTGCGTGGACATGCACAAACGCATCAGAAAAATCCCAGCACGCGTCGCGCTGGAGTCTGAACAGAAAACACGCTCATGCAAACAAGCATTTGATAAATAAATAAATAAATAAAAAGGCGCGTTGCAACATGAACACAAGGACAAAATGCCTTTATGTGGTAGAATCAGGGTAATTCAAGTCAGACGAAGGAAAAAAACACTCTCAGTGTGTCTGATCCGTTGTGTTAGTTCAAGTTTCTCGGCAATTGCACTCTCAAGCAGCTGTTTAACGCCGTTATCGACCATGATTCGCATTTCGTCTCTCGTTCTTGTTTTTCTTTTTATTTCTTTTTTTCTTCCTCGAGTTTGAGTCAAATTATGAACAGTTGGTTCCGGGGATAGGACGCGGCTTCTAGGTTCTCCCATTCTCCAACATTGTGTTCATCTGCACCTAATATTGGTTAAACTGTGGCAATCCACAAATGGGTCGACATCTTGTTTTTTCGTCAGCACAAGACTTCATCTCCTGTCTCCTCTCGATCGACCATCCCGCGAACAGTGTGGCCATCACCAATGGTTACCCTTGAAAAAGAAAAAAAAGGCAAGGGTGATGGAGAGTTGAATGACCTAGCCCAAGTAAGAGATATCCTGCTCTCCTATCTCGCGTACCTGTGCAGTACAAGTTGTTTCGTTTCAATCATTAGCCACCTCTTATAGGCAACTATTGACCACTCGTCCGTTCGCTGCCTTCAGATGATGATCCAATCGACGTGACCAATCGCCCTGAAAAATAGCGCATCTCTCGATGCTCAGTCCTCGCGTTCATCATCATTAGGCATAAATTTTCAAGAGATAAACGAGCGCGCTTGCAGAAAATAAAAAGATGTCGAGAGCAAGTGATGTGAGCAATGAGGGGGTGATATGGGAACACACCCTAAAAAAGAACATCATTTGCGCGATGGACTGTGATAGCACCTGTCTCCCAGCCGGCGAAAGAGCACAGTGGCCAAAATAGCGACCGAATGGGGAATAGACTCTATGGTGAGGAGAGAAAAATGGGACTGAAGCAGCACGAGCGCTAAACGAAGAGCGACACCCCGATCTCATCAAAGACCATCATTACATTAACATGCACGCGCTCACAGCTCTCCTGGCCGAGGGCCTCACCGACCCAAGGGATCCAAAGGAGAGATCAAGGGTAACTGAGCACCGTATGATCATTTCCGTACATGTACAGCGCATATTATTTTTTTCTCTCTCACCGTGGACCTGGATCAAGGGGTTCCATTTACATGAGTGGAGTTAAGAAGCCTGGCCGAGGAGGCAAAGAGGCTAACCGACTTTAAGCCCTGCACGCTGCGTGCCTCAGGTACCAGAGGTACCATTTTTTCTCTACATGATGTCTTTTTTTCTTTTTTTACCTGGGCCCACCATATAGCAAGCAACACACGTACATTCTTCAACGGAAACCTTCTTTCTAATCGTGTTTGGTTTCTGTAACAATAAAAAAAAAAAAAAGTATGAAAAAAACTGGGAATTAGTAAGAAGCATAACGAGGTGCGCAGGGCCTGGCATGCACTGCGCGATTCTTATCTTTTCTTGCGTGTCCAGGGATCGAATCAATAGGAGGCAGAACTTTTGAACGGTGACACGGCTACCAACGTTAGCGGACATTGGATGGTAGTCAACGATGGTGGTCTCCTTTTGAAATCAAGGGCTGGGAGAAATAATGGTTTTTTTAGGAGCGACGGCATCTGCATCGTTAAGACGACTCAATACTAGGCATCAAGATGAAAGAAAGAAAGATATAAAAAAAAAAAAGCAGATGCAGGACGTTAGATCGGCCCCTCCCCGCAATTGAACAGATCGCGAGATCACACGCGAGAAGAGACATGCCACAGAAATAAACAACGTAGTTTGGAGAAGCACTATGAGATCCTTCCAGGAATGTGCCCTTCATCTGTGTTAGCCTCATTCTGTTATTCGTCTCTTTTTGATTAAGAACGGGATTCTAAGACTGAGGGTAGTGATGCTGATCGTTCCTGAATCCTGAACAACCCAATTCGTCCTTTTCACGGTGAGGAAAATTACTAGTCAAAGACAACGTGGAAAAACTACTGAGCGATTTTTTTATATACATACATATCTTTATATATATTTTCTATCAGTCGTAGGCAATAAGTTGTCTTACAGTTAGTCTACTGAGATAGAGATAGCGTTTTTTTTTGTTGTTTTCTTTTTTTTTTGCAAAAACAAAGGGTGGCCTCTGACGTGATGATCCACGCAGCGCATGTTTAAGCAACAGACGTAAGGACAACATCAGTTGCACACACACTCTCTCAGCGTATCCGCTGCGCTATATCTCCCCCGCGCCCTTTCTTTTCTTTTGTATTGTTCTTCCATCGCTGCTGTCCAGCTGCGATAGAAGAAGAAGGGCAGCGTTGAGGTCGAGGGTGTTTACCCCGACCACAACAAACAAAATATGGTTCATATAGGGTTCAAAATATGCGCTCATTGTCGAAGGCAGTCGATAGCGAATGGTGTCCATTTGTACGTCTTTTCCATTTTTATAGATTACGCACAACAGCGGGTGGGGGGCGGTATCTATAGAAAAATAATATACTTCAGTGTCTCCCCTCTACTATTCCTGTAATCAATATCAAAAAAGAGAGCTGAATCTGGTTGTATTGATTCATCCGCATTGCACCCCGCGAATCTACACAGCTGCAGTGCAATCAATTGGGCCGCCACGCAGACAAATGGAGATATGGATGGTATGGGTCATTGTCGGGGCAAAAAGCCCTTTTTTGATCTCGCAAGGGGAGCTGAGCTGAGTGGTTGGCCATCGGGCGCCGAGACCAACAAGAAGCAGGAGGAGAAAGAAAAAAGAAAGAAAAAGAGAAACACAGCGAGTGGCGGCTGATCCAGTGCGGCCCATCATTATACAGAGGTCAGGCTAAGCTGGATGGGGTCAGAGTGGAGTCAGAGGAGGGACCAAGAAGCCAGGACGAGACATTTGGGAAGAAAAAGGAAAAAAGAGGGCCCCTTCTCCCTCTCACCCCCTCTGTCCGTCCACGGCCAGTGGCGCACACTCGCCAGTCGTCAGTCGCCAGTCGCCAGTCGCCCTCCTCCTTCTCCTCCCCCTCGTCCTTGGCTGGCGAGGGAGGGGGAGGGGGGAGAGGGCGGGCCCGCCACTGAGGACTGAAATGGAGAAACATATGTCCGCATACGGAGACCGCGGTTCATCCAATTGCAAAGGGCAGAGAGGGCCGCAGGAGACCCAATGGTCCTCACTGTGTCTGCAGAACTCGTTTTTCCGTATATCGACTATATCGCATCTCATTGTATTATATAACACGATTCAATTGGGGAGCGCTATTCAGTCCTCAGGCCGCATCTATACCCATGTATCTGGAGGAGAGGCCCTCCCCGAACTCGTTTAAAAGGGCGGCCATTCCCCACCACATCGCACTCTTCTTTTCTTCAAACCGTCTTTTTCCCATCCTTCGTTAACGCACCTCGCACCCGCTCTTTCACATAGCACACTGCACTTTGTGTTGTTGATCTCCCCCCTCCCTTCCGCCTCTTCCCTCCCACCTCCTTCTCCTCCACCCTCCCCCCCCCTCTCTCCTTCCCTGACCCTCCCCACTCTGTCCCCACCTTGACTCCCCCCACAGCAAGCACCTCTCACTCACTGTGAAGTGACACCCGCAATCAACCGCACCCTCAACCCCAAAAACAACTTCCACCATGGAGTCCAATCCCGCTACCACAGCCAAGGAGAGGACCGAAGGCACCCCGGTGACGATCGATGTCAATGTCCAGACCATCGACATTGAGGATCTGTACAACAAGGAGAAGTTCGACATGTCGACCATGGAGACCGGAAACATCTTCCAGCTCCTCAAGACCAGCGAAAACGGTCTGACCACCGCTGAGGCTGAGGCCCGTATTGCCAAGGTATGTGTCCTACACTCGATTTGCTTCTGTGCTTGTTTGGTCCCAGGACGCCGGATCGGCAATTTTGAGAGAGAGAGAGGAGGGGAGGGTTGTAGCATGAATCCTCTGAACGCTTCGTGTCACCTTCCAAACGACCAAGTGGACAATTCATCCGAATGCTCTCTTTTTTTTGTCGATCTGTGTGTGTGATGTATTTGTTTGCAAACAAAAGGCCTTGGGTCTGATCGCCGCAGTGGATGCTAACGATCCCTATGTTCTATTGTTTGGACACAATCTAGTTCGGCTACAACCGTCTTGAGCAGAAGGAGGTCAATCCTATCATGCAGTTCTTGTCCTTCATGTGGAACCCTCTGTCCTGGTAAGTGTCATTCTATGCCGGATCTAACTGAGATCATCGCCGCCTCAGCTTATTCTGTCTCATAAAGCGGTTTCACTAATTTTTCTTCACATTCGCTCTTCATCATATAACAGGGTCATGGAGGCTGCTGCCCTGGTCGCCATCGTCCTCTCCAACGGAGGCGGCGAGGCCCCCGACTGGCCCGACTTTGTCGGTATCGTCCTTCTCTTGGTCGCCAACGCCACCATCGGTTTCATTGAGGAACGCCAGGCCGGAAACGCTGTCAAGGCCCTCATGGCCTCCCTCGCCCCCCAGGCCAAGATCAAGCGTGATGGCCAGTGGGTCACACTCGAGGCTGCTTCCCTAGTCCCTGGTGATGTCATCTCTGTCAAGCTCGGTGATATCATCCCCGCCGATGCCCGCCTCATCGAGGCCGTCAACGTCTCCATCGACCAGGCCGCCTTGACCGGTGAGTCCCTGCCGACGAACAAGAAGAACGGCGACGAGGTCTTCTCCGGCTCGACCGTCAAGCAGGGTGAGGGTGAGGCCGTCGTCATCGGTACCGGCTCCAACACCTTCTTCGGTCGCGCTGCCAAGCTGGTCCAGTTGGCCGGCGATGATATCGGACACTTGCAGATCGTCCTTGCCCGTATCGGTCGCTTCTGTATTGTCTCCATTGCTATCTTCCTCATTGTCTTGGTCATTGTCCAGTATGCCGCCTTCAAGTACGACTACCGCCGTGGTATCAACAACTTGCTTGTCTTGCTCATTGGTGGTATCCCCATTGCCATGCCCACTGTCTTGTCCGTCACCCTCGCCATCGGTGCCCGTCAGCTTGCCGAGCACAAGGCCATCGTCACCCGTATGTCCGCCATCGAGGAGTTGGCCGGTGTCACCATCCTCTGCTCCGACAAGACCGGAACCCTGACCCTCAACGAGCTCACCATCGATATGGCCAACGTCAAGACCTATTCTGATGTCTCGGTCGAGAACGTTATCCTCTTCTCTGCCTATGCCTCCCGTGTCGAGAACCAGGATGCGATCGATACCTGTGTCGTCAACTCCCTGCCTGATACCACCCTTGCCCGTGCCGGAATTGAACAAATGGACTTCATCCCCTTCAACCCCACTGACAAGCGTACCCAGATGACCTACCGCCGCCTCTCCGACAACACCGTCCACCGTGTCTCCAAGGGAATGTCGTCCATCATCCTCGACCTCTGCACCCGTAACAAGACTGAGGAACAGGTCGCCCAGATGCACGCCGATGTCGATGACTTTGCCCGCCGTGGTCTTCGTGCCCTGGCTGTTGCTATGGAGGAGGTTCCTGAGGGCCAGGTCGAGTCTCCCGGTACTGGCTTCACCCTGATCGGTCTCTTGCCCATCTACGATCCCCCCCGTCACGATACCAAGGAGACCATTGACCGTGCTCAGGCTTTGGGAGTCAAGGTCAAGATGATCACTGGTGACCAGCTTGCTATTGCCAAGGAGACCGGTCGTCGCCTCGGCTTGGGTGACCACATGTTTAATGCCTCAGTCCTTCGCGACGGTCCCCCTGCTGATGACAACGTCAAGTCGAACACTGTTGATGAGCTCGTCCTCGAGGCCGACGGTTTCGCCGGTGTCTACCCCGAGCACAAGTACGATATTGTTGCCCGTCTCCAGAACTTGGGTCACTTCACTGCCATGACTGGTGATGGTGTCAACGACGCCCCTGCCCTCGCCAAGGCCAACGTCGGTATCGCCGTCGCTGACGCCTCGGACGCTGCCCGCTCTGCTGCCGACATTGTCTTGACGGAGCCCGGTCTTTCGGTCATTATCGATGCCATCCTGGGATCTCGCCAGATTTTCCAGCGCATGCGCAACTACTCTGCCTACACCTGCTCGATCACCATCCGTGTTGTCCTCTGTTTCTCTGTGATGGTCTTTGCCTGGAGATTCGACTTCCCTCCATTCATGGTCCTGATCTTGGCCATCTTGAACGACGGAACCATCTTGACCATCTCCAAGGACCGTGTCGTGCCCTCGCAGTACCCCAACCACTGGGATCTCAGGGAGATTTTCACCTCGGCCATCGTCTACGGTATCTACCTCACCGCCTCGACCCTTGTCTTCTACGCCGTGGCGATGCACTCGCGTTTCTTCCAGAACATGGGTCTCTCCACATTCACTGACCCCAACGACTACAAGATGCACTCGATCATCTACTTGCAGGTCTCGACCCTGTCCCAGGCCTTGATCTTCGTCACCCGTTCCCAGGGCTTCTCCTACATTGAGCGTCCGTCGTTGATCTTGGTGTGCGCCTTCATCTTTGCCCAGATCGTTGCCACGTTTATTGCCGTCTACGCCAACTGGGGCTTCACCCAGATCGAGGGTTGCGGTTGGGGCTGGGCTCTTGCTGTCTGGGTCTGGAACATTATCTGGTACTTCCCCTTGGACTTGATCAAGTTTGCGCTCCAGCACTTCTTCAAGCCCACGCTCAAGTCCGTCCAGGAGACCCAGCAGGATCTGCAGTTGGCCCGCACCCGGTCGACCCGCTCCTACTACTCTTCGCATTTCGACCGGTACAACCCTCAGCCCCGCAACTTCCTCCGGAAGAACTCGGTTGGCGGTCCCGTCACGGCCGACGGCAAGACCTTGGGAGTTCCCTCGCACGAGATGCGTCGTTTCAGCACCATCCAGGCAGCCCAGGTCTCGAGTGCCTTGGCCGGTCCCTCTGGCCCTTCGCAGTAAAAACCCTAACAGCAACAACAATTACAGGTGCTGCTGCGACCAAGAAAAAAAAAAGGGCTTTTTTGCTTTTCTTTTTTTTTTTCAGTCTCTTTACTCATTAGATTTTAGTATTTTTTTTTAGTTTCTTTCTTGCTCTCGCTTTTTTTTTTTTTCTTTTCTTTTCCTTTCGTTGTCCATATTATATCCACCTCTTATCATAATCATTAACAAAACCCCCCGCCATGTACAATACAACGAATAAATCCTTTGAAATGAAAAAAAAAACTCTCTTGACTATGAATCTTATCTTTACTTGCTCTGTGGTTGCTCACCAAACACACATAACATACACACAACGCAACACAAGAAAAACTTGTTTGTGTAAAGTTTTTTTGTCCATGCGGACGGAAATTTCCTCCTTTCGCCCTTTGGGAGGTTTTTTTTATCCCTCCCCCCAGCAAGTGGGAGGATAAACATTCGGAAAGAGAGAGAGAGAGCAAGTAGGCAATAAAGAACCATCAACCTTAACAACATTCGTTTACTTTTCCATGGATCATATTCATTAAACTATCATCACTCTTCTTTTTTTTTTTTTTCTTCTTTTCTTTTGAAATAAACCTTTGTTCAAAATACATAGTATACAGTTTTCTTTTTCTTTCTTCCTACAAAAAAAAAAAAAAAAAAAAAAAACGGACTTTTTTTTGTCTACGCTTTCGACCGCGTCCATTGCCTATCCATATAGGCCAATGAGTGCTCGTTAGAGCTCCATATGCACAACCTTTCTCTTCCTCTCTCCCTCTCTCCCTCTCTTTCACTCTCTCTATCGACCGCTACCATTGTTCACGCCCAATGACGACGATGACTGCGGACGCCGTCCTCCTCCAGTGTTACCATAACCTCCGCCTACCCCACCACCACTACCTCCACTACCTCCTCCGTTCTGGTTCCTGTTATGATGACCATTGTTGTTGTTGTTGTTGTAATTCGTCGAGCCCATCGCCCCAAAATTCGGCGCCGTCTTGGGCAAGCTCAGCTGTGTCTTGAACTTGAACTCGCTCAAGATCGGGATATGGTCCGATGGGAAGTGCGCGTTCGGGATGCCCACACACCGTCCCATGTACTCCTTCTCGACCCCTCCCAACAGGCCCAGGACCGAGAGATGGCTGGCCGAGTAAAAGATATAGTCGATCACCGCCACATACGAAGGCGTGTAATTCGTGAACGGCAATTCGTTGACGTGGCTATACGAAGACCGCAACGTCATCTTATGGGAGAGACCCTCGGTCGTGTAGGTTCCGTAGGCATGGTCTCCGAAATCGTCGTGCCCCTGTGCGACCGCTCCCTTCGTCAAGAACTCGTACACGCCCGAATTCGGCTCAGAGTTAAAGTCGCCACAGATCAGGGTCGGTAACTTGCCGCCGTTGCCGCCCAGCGCGCTCGATGACTGATGCTGTACCAAGTCCGATCCCGGGAGCGGCAGGGCCGCCCATTGTGTCGAGAGCTTGTCCAGCTCGTCCATCAGCATCGCTACCTGGACAAGCTTCACGTCCTTGAAGATCGGGTCCCAATGAATGTGGGTGTTCGAAACGACGACCCGGTTCTGGGTCTCTTTGTGTTGTAAGAAGGCGATCACCGCAATGTTGTCCTTGGTCATCACTCGGTTGAAGATATCGTCCGTCTGCCTGAAATCGGGTCTCTGCAAAGCCAGGTGGTTGAACTCCACGAGGTGTTTGTCGATCAAGTTGAACCTATGAGCGATCGTAATAACGTTATTGAAGAAAATTAATTTCGTTATCTTTGCACAAGACATCTCATGGATCCTGCTTGGGATAAAAAGGTAGGGAGCTTTACTTGGAGGCCTTGAAGAGGATCGCACAGCCATCCACAGTCCTACGATCCTTTTCCGGCATGGTTTTCGCGCGGGATTTTGGCCAGAAGACACCATCATAATCCCCCTGCTGCTTCATCTGATCCTTGAAGTAATCCTCATACTGTCCCGACTCGAGTTCCTAAAAGTGCACCAACCAAGGAACCGCCGCATAAGTACGAGATCCATTAACCTATAATGAACAGCTGCATATTCTCAATCGGAAGCGACCGCTTACCTGGAGACAAACAATATCGGCACTGTAGGCCAGGATCTCCTGGAGGATCAGCTCCTTACGATACTCCCATGCAAGAGCCCATGAAGGAGTATAGCCATACATCTGTGGTGTTGCGTACTTTTCGGCCAAAATATTGTAGCAAAACACTGTGAATGTGTCGGACCCTGTCGCGGTGGGGGCGCTGTTATCCTCCAACATGACCCATTCTCTCTCAGACGGAGGCAACGGAACTAGAGTAAAAAATAAATAAAAATATTAGTCAACAGGACCAACAAACAGCTCGCCTTTCGCTCTAACATCATGGCTCGAAAAAAATAAAACATCAAAACATCAAAACGAGATGTCAAAAGCAGCTTGCCTGGACAGTTTTCGCGCAGATACATAATGACGGCACTGGTTCCTTCTTGATGAAGCAGCGTCTTGAGGCTCTCATTCAGCGGGTTTCCTTCGAGCGCAAGCACATCCAGCTGAAAAAGCATGCCCATCTCTGGCGGCAAAGTGACCAACCCATTGTCGACCAACAACAGCTCCTGAAGATTGCACAGCAGGCCAAGTTCGGGCGGGACAGACGTCAGCTTGTTTCCAGAGGCGTCCAAAATGGTCAGGTTCCTGAGTCGGCTGATCTCTGGCGAGAGGTGGTGCAGATTGTTGTGGTTGACATAGAGCGCCGTCAGGAACGAGTACCCAAAGAGTTCGCGACTCAGGTTCTTGAGCCCAATGCCGCCAAGGTCGAGAATCTTCCATGGTTGAGCGTTGACATCGTTGCCGGTACCCTTGTCTGTGCCTGTCGCAGCTCTGTCAATAGCTCCCCCGTCGCCGTTGGTCGTGGATGAATTCCCGTTCTTCGAAAGACTGTTTGGGTCCGTGATGGTGATCGCAGCGCTCACGTTCGCGCTCCTGGCAACAGCAGCTGCAGCTCGGGCCCTGTAATGCGGAGTCGCGGACTGTCGAGAGATTCCTGCATACTGCAATTGCTGCTGATAGTGTGTGGTCGCCATCTGTGGGGTGAGCGAGGCAGGAATCGACGCTGGCGAGGACACGCCCGACTGCTGATGGATCTGAGTATGATGATTGAGCTGTTGAAGGTGATGCTGCGCCAATGCCTGATGCTGTTGCTGTTGCTGTTGTTGCTGCTGCTGTTGTTGCTGTTGAAACTTCTGGGCGAGGTTCATCTGGACGGGGTAGCGGGGCATTCCTGTGTTGTACATGCCCGGTCCCATGTGGTATCCTGACGAGGTGGGTGGGCCCACAAGCGAGGACGCTGCCGGCTGACCAGCCGGAGAGTACATCTTGGAGCCCGATTGATACAGGAGTGGGTTGAAGTGCTGGTCTCCCATATCTCAGTCAATCTGCCCTTGTGTTCTTCCTGGATGAGTTGTGGTAAGCGAGTGTGAGGATAGGAAGGGGAGTAAAAAAACAAAGAAAGGAAACAAAAGAAAAAAATAAAAATAAAACGGCGTTGTTCCTCGAGTTCTATGAGGGGAAAGAGCGGATACTCAAGCATTAGAGCGTGGCTTCACCAGTTGAAGCTGCACAAATGCTGGGAAGCACAGCGGATAGAGAGAGGTTGGTGATGGTGCTTGCGACGGGACGGGGAGAGCAGATCTGCTAGAAATGTGTCGGTGGATGATGTCGAGAGTCCTCCCCCCTCCCTCCACTCGGGGTCGAGCAAGTGAGGGCAGGTAAAACCATTGGTGCAAAGCGAACGCTGATCGGACACGACGTAGTGTTCAGACACCCTTGTTGGCACTCCCAAAGACATATCCCTTACAAACAAGCGATGCGGCTGACATCCGACTGGGTCTTGTGTGGGGAGGGGGTGTTGAAGGATGATGCCGCAAATCCATGAGAGCCAGCAATGCTTGCAAAGCCGTGACAGTGGGCCTTGGAAATAACGACTTTTCTGATGGGATTTAGCGGTATGTCGCACAACCACGCGTTTTCTTATCACCCGTCGAAGCTGGCTGTTCACGGCAGACACTGGCAATCGATGGACTGCATAGAAGACAAGCACGAACGGGGGGGGAGGAGGGGGATCCGTGTGATTCCAGTGCAAGCATCTGATCGTAAAGCAAGGCCGATAGGTCTATGCATACGAGTCCACCTTGTGACAGCCTCAGCTCTCTGCCGCTCACAACGCGTGCTATTGCTTCCCCCAAACACATAGACACATGGACGCAACCTCACTCCGGACATTTGATTGTGGGGTAAAATGTTGCAACGGCCGCTCAAAGAAACTGGCACAGAGCATCCTAGGACCTAATCATATGAATGGCCAACACTGCTCGATCGTTGGACCATCGCCTCATTTCGAGATTGGGGTTCTGGCAGGGCCTCGTAGCCGAATGAGTGAGAGCTGTAGCGCTTCCGCTCCGGGTTGCCGTCTTGGCTCTAGCCAGGCTTACACTGCCAGCATATCTGTAGAAGCGATAGAGAACTGTCCATGTGGTTGTCCCTCATGAATAAGGTCATTTGTGTAACCAAGGACCCCGCATTCTCTGAACTCGCCATTTTAATCGATCGACTCAATCGCAAAAAAAAAAAAAAAAAAAAAAAAAAGGACAGACATACAGACAGACATTCAGACAGATGGAGCTGCTTCCGGCGCTGACTATATATTTTATGCCTTACTCTCGATAAGAGTACCGACAATGGCAGCCCAAAATGAAAACAAGTGGATTGAGATAAAGGACAGCTCAGTAATGCCCGCTCTATCGCGTTAACCCCGCTATATATTACGTTTAATTGGACTCTGAACCCTGGTCTCAGTAAGATATGGCTCGGGCGCCACCATCTCCAAGGACTAGTGGCAGCAGATAAAGAGATAACGAGGCCGATGATCTTTTTGTAAAACATTAAATGAGGCCTTTGGGCATCAGTGTGAACGTCCAAGCATCGAGGGGAGTATGATGGAGCAACACATAGACTCCTTCTATGGCGTAACTCGTCTCTTCCCCACATTAGTCTACCAGCACATGAAAATTTCAATATGAACATGCCACACCGTTATCAATGAGCATCCCCCTTCCTTGCCCCTCATCGTGCATCATGAGATATCAGCTCAGCTCAGCTCAGCTCAGCTCCATAGACTGTAAAATCATCGTTATCGGGAGGAAGAGGGAGAGGTCCGGAACAATCCAGAGCTTCCATTCGCCAAGGATGTCTCGCGGTTCCCCCATAAATGAATCTCAGACCGTTTGCGGGGGACCGGAGGAGTGGTTGGAGTGTTCAAGGCCCGCACATATCCCACCGCAGCCGCCTCGACCGAAAAGTTTTTCTTTTTATTGCGTATCTATTTTTTTATGCTAGTCAGGTACAACATCTTGGGTATTCCTTGATCTTTTCTTTCGTGGCGGAGTCCATTGCCACGTTATCAATGACATAGTGTGGGTCAATACGGCTTTCCTCTTTTCTTTTTCTTTTTTTACCCCAAAGAGGAAGAAGCATGTCATCTGTGCGCAAGCATGCGCATGAGGTAGAGATAACCGGGGGGAGGGTGGCGAGGCTGTCGATTGCGACTGCAATGACTGGCGAAAGAGAGCCGAGTCCGTCATGGTGGTCAAGGGCTATGGGGAGAATTGAGTGTGGGTGCATGTGTATACGATAGTGTGTGTTACCACAGCGTGCGAAAAACCTACGGTGCCACTTTTTTGGGTAATTGGAAGGGAAAGAAGCGACAGCAGGGACGGCCCAAATAAGAATATTTTTTACTGCTTTGTAGAGGAGATCTCCTCGGCCTTGTTCCAAAGACGCCCACTGTGCCAGGCAAAGGGGAGTGACCAAGGAACCAGAGGAGGGAGCGAGCTTCTCGGGCTGTATGGCACGCTCCTTCCCTTCCTGGAGAAGAGGCCTCCACTCCTTCAGCGATGGCAGCGATGGCAGCGGTGGATGGGCGAGTCCATCCAGAGGACGCGACTGCGGGGGGAGGGAGGGGAATGACAGAGGATGAGAGAGGATGAGGGAGGGATGAGACTATCCTGGCCAGAGGGGGGAGGGTCTCACCGAGTGATAATGCACAATGGTTTCGACCCCGCAGACTGAGCAGGAGTGAGAGGTCTTTCATGTGGGACACAACCCCACAGAGACAGGTCCCTGCGCGTGGTTGCATTCGACCGTGTGTCGTATTGATGGCGAGGGTGGGTGGGTGGTCCAGACGCAAACAAAGGAGCTCCCCCCTTTCCGCGCCCCCCGCTTATCTTGTGGGGGGGGGGGCATTACATGTACCCCGGTGCTGGCCATGGGCGGAGGGAGGGGGAGGGAGGGAGGTGTGTTCGAAATAACCCGTTTGATTTGCAGTGGCTGCGGGCTTTGACAAATCCACAAAAGGAGAGATTCACAGGCCGACGAGTGGGGGATGGTTATATATAACCAGGGCGGACTGAATGGGACAGACTAAGCACACGGGCTTCCTTATTCAGTCCGATTGAGTCGAGAGGCTGACCGCAGACAGCGGAGGCGAACTCTAACGGGGGAGAGATAAGGGATCCTTTACCTTTTCGCTTTCTTTTGTTCGTTCGTCCTTCATCGTCGTTCTCTGCGGAGACCCACCCCGGGGCAGAGGGGGGGCTATAAAAGGGAGGGGGGGACATGCCCAGCGCTACTTCTTCTCTCTCCCTCTCTCTCTCTTTCTCTCTTTCGTTCTCTTTCATTCTCTTTCGTTCTCTTTCGTTCTTTTCCCTCTGCCTCTCCCTCGACCCCACACGCTGCATCCCACTCCCCGTTACATGCCCTCGCCCTCTGTCCTCGCTGCCGCAGACCTGCTCCTCGCTCTCTCCTCCACAGCAACAGCCCCTTCCTCCGCCAAAACCATCATGTCCCCCTCCCCCAAAAAGCATCTCCAGAAGCCCACCACTACCACCACCACCCCCGGCGAAGTCGCCCCCCGTCCATACAAGTGCCACCTCTGCCCCAAGGCCTTCCACCGTCTCGAGCACCAGACCCGCCATGTCCGCACCCACACTGGCGAACGACCCCACCAATGCTCCTTCCCCACCTGTCTGAAGCGCTTCTCCCGCTCAGACGAGCTGACCAGACACATGCGCATCCACTCCGCAACAAAACCCACAAAGGCCACAAAGCCCAAGAAGGAAAAGGAGCGCCCCTCAACCCCGGCCACCTCCCGCAGTCCCAGTCCCTCGTACGGCCCCACCAAGCCCTTCATGAGGCTCACCTTGGACACCTTGGAGGACGAGGCTGAGAACGATCCGGCACAGTCGCCCTCGATCTCGCCCTCACCTTCCCCACGCATCATGCCTCTGCGCAACTCCCAGCGCGACTCCTCGGTCTCTGCACGGCCAGCACCGTACCCGACGATGGCGAAGAGGGATGTCACCTACCAGCAGCGCCAGCAGCTCTCGCCACCTGCTTCTGCCAACTCCTCGCCAGCGTCAATGGCCATGTCCATGTCCGATTCCGACTCTGACGCCACCATCTCGCCCCTCTTCACGCCCGAGTCCTCTCCAGTCCCAGTCTCGTCGATGATGACGATGCCTCTGATCTCGGGCTCGACGCAGCTTTACGGCCATTCCTCCGTGAAGGCTCAGGAGCCGTCCGCTTGTTACTACCAGCGTGCTTATCCGGCACCGGTCCTGGCACCTCTCCGCGGACTGCATCAGTCAAGGACTCTGCCCCCAATCTCGCTTCTTTTCGAGTCTATCTTCTAAGGCGATCGTTTTCCTTCCTCACTCGCTTGTTGCCCTGTAAAACTGTGTATATAATCTTTATCTTTCGATCTCTTGACATTTGCTATATTATTATTTTTTTTACACAAACTACCACCATCATCCTCCACCCATTCCATTGCTTGTAACAACAGAACCGTAGCTTATAGTATCATATATATAATAATATTTCAACCAACCAACCAACCAACCAACCAGCTCCTCCATTTACTCAATTAAAGCCTTCATGCTTGCACGAGCAAACATCTCTTTGGCATAGTAACAGCGAGAAATAAATTTAAAAAAAAAAATCAGCGTATGTTAACTTCATTTTATGTCAGGAATCGCGTTGTATGTTGTGGGTCGCTGTGTGTATAGAGTAGATAGCGATCGTCTAAACACTTTATCTGGGCACAAGTGAAGGGGTCAGGCCAATTCATTACATTGGTTGATCCATCCAGTCTGCGCGTATAAGACTACCATGGTTGGAGGGCATATCAAACCCAAAGGAGAACGTTCGCGTACCAGATCGCCCCTCTGTATGAAATCCTGGTTTCCTCGTCTTTTTCTGCGTTAGCTTTTATCGAAAGATAGAAAAAAAAAAAAAAAAAAAAAAAAAAAAAAAGGAACGAACGAAGGCCCGCACGCGCTTCAAGCGTTCTCTTTTTCTTTCATTCATCTTTGCCATCAAGAAAGTAATAAAAAGAAAGAGGGAAAAAAAAGCGAGCAAGAAAAATAATTTCTTTTTATTTTTTTTGTAAAAGAAGTTCTCCTTCCCCACAAACCAAGCTCAGAAAACACCCTTTGGGAGAGGATGTTGTGTTGTGTGCCAAGGACGGAAAAGAAAAGAAGCCTGTTGTTTAATCCTTCTTGAGGGCAGCAGCGGATCCCTTCTTGGCGAAACGCTGGTTGCGGATGAACTTGGGGCAGACACCCTTGAGGGAAGGGTGACGCTGGGACTTTGGCTTCTTGATACCGTTACGGTGAGCCTTCTTGTCTATTTTGCGCAAAACGTCGCAGATAAAAGAAAAGAAAAAGTAGATCCATGTTGAATTAGCCAAACGTCAAGGAAACTTGCTTCCAATAGAAAATATATATATATATATATATATAAAAGAGATCGACAAAGGGAAGGGGTGTCCTGAGCCTATTGAACATGTCCTGCAAGGATCTTCAAAGCACACATTCATATCCTGTTAAAAATTGATCTGGCTGCGATGCTTCAAGTCGGCCGTATGATAATGATTCCATAATAGCATGTAGACCCCCGTGTTGTGTTCAGGTCCATTGTCGAGATCGATAGGGCAGAACCGGGAGGCAGTGGTGTAAATTGATGTCAGGGGGGAGGGATGCTGGTCGTCCAAGTACCGAAACTGCGTCAATCACTGAAGGAAAAAAAAAAAAAAAAAAACCCCCCCCCGCGTTCGCTGTAATGTCGTACACTGCTGTTGAAGTCAGAATAATAACAACCACGGTCGTCTCGTCTGCAAGACCAAAATATATATATAAAAAAAAATGCCGAAAGTGAAAGAAAGTATGTAATTGTCGATGGTTGTAAGGAAAGAAAGCCGGTTTCGCCCTCTTTCAAAAAAGAATCAAAAGAGTATCCACTAGTCCAGCCTGCTTGTATTCAAAAGATCTGATTCTGAAAGGACTCCATCCTGAATCCAAACTTGTTTGATCAGGCACAAAAAGTAAATCCTGTTTCGTCATGCGGGAGACACTGTTACATACTCTGGTTGTGGTTGGTGTGGTTCTTGGACTTGGCCATTTTTACTTGCTATATAGACAACAGGAAGTTCAAAACGGAATGTCAGTTTCACGATCATAAATCACTTTTTTCCTCTCCAAGTGGATCCATGCCCTTTGAAATCCATTCGAGTCAAGTTAGAGCGAGAAGATGTGATGATGTTGTTGAGCTTAACGTTGTCCAAACGACTCAATTGCGTGTACTGCTCCCAAGTGCCGAGCTGCATTCAAACGATGACACCGCGGCGGTCGGTTGTGAATGGGGAGTAGATGGTGGGTAATGCGGGATCCTTTTCTTCTAAACCGATAATTGCTCCATTCATGGTCGGATGCTGTTGATAGAATGGTGCCGTGTAGCGTTGGTTCCAATCGATGGATGGTCGTCCGTCGTCAATGTATCCATCTGATATGCGCGAATCCCAGATGCACTACCTCGTTAGATCGAAGAGTAAATGTAGAGGGAGAACAAACCCCTGCAGCGGGCCTGCGAGCCATTTGAACCTCTCTCCAGAGTGGCTTGTGAAAAAATTTCACAGAGCTGGGTCGCGTCCTGGTGCCAACCCCAGGAGGACACTGAGATACGAGCCCTGCATACCTCTTTATTTCACTCAGAATCACAGAGCGCCGCGTTCACTATCCATGTGTGGAAGAGGGGCACAGTAAGCAGCTGGCTCCAAAACGTACACTTGGGAACAACTGGAGCAGACAGTATTTTTTCTCCAATAATATCGACTTTGATCTAGGAGCGCGATTCTCAAACGCGACGTGGAATGTGGTTAAAACGAGGACCACGAGGGGTCACTAGAAAAAGAAACAAAGACTTCTTCTCCTAAAGACGATCCTCCCTTTTTCTTTCAGAGCGCTCAATGCATAGCTGTGTGTGCGAACGAACCCGTTTATTCCGTTAAGCTAAAGTGCGAGACCCATCAAGGGGCTCTGAATCTGTCCAAAAAAAAAAAAAAAACCACCATTTATGCCTGCTCGCCCTACTCATCGACCTTGTTAGCCTCCTCTCCGGCCACAGCCGCGTAGTTCTCAGCGTAATCTTCAGCAGCCACAACGGGATCGGCGGCGATACGGACACATGCCTCGAGCGCATTCGACAAACTGACAACCATACCAAGGTTGGCCTGTGCGTACGCCTTGAGATTGTCGTTATCGGCAAGATGGATGAGTTCCTGACGGTACTGCTCCAGCAAGTTGGCCACAAAGATCGGGCGTGTCTCCAAAAGGGCATTGTTCGAGTTCGCGATAGAGCTTTTGTCCATGAGCTCCAAGACCGCAGAGGACCCAGTCGTAATCTGCTTAAGCGGCTCGGAATCAGAAGAAGAAGCGGGGATGCTCTTGATCGAGTCCTTCACCAGGGCGCGGTACACATCGGCAGTCATACCGCACGAGGTCACCTCCAGCTTGCTTGTTCCCTTAGGAGCAACAGCGCCTGTTACTGGGCAGCTAACATACACGTCCACGACGTTTTGGACCTTGTTTAAGATGTCAATCACTGCAGTGAAGGCATCTGCGAACGGGGGGAGCGTCTGCAGGGCCTTCAATGCTGAATTGATAATTCGAACGGCCATGCTTAATCCTCTGGCGATGGCGGGTGTAATGAGCCTTAATTCTCCAACAACAATGTTGATCAGAGGAGTAAGCGCAACCTTAATGAGCTGCTTCACAACATCTGGGATAGGAAGCAGGTTCAGCGCTAGCTCTAGCTGGTCGGAGAGAGCTGAAATGACGGTTTTCAAGAGGTTCTCAGAGTTGGTGCAATCTGGGGCTGGAGTGACAGCTGCGATCGGGCTTATGGCAGGAGGAGCTGGAGCCACTGGAGCCACTGGCTCCGCCGAAGACTCTACAACTGTATTGTCAGCGGGCGGCGCTGGTGTGTCCACCCTTATTTCGCCAGCGGGCGGCGCCGGTGCCTCTGTTGTGGGAGCTGGCGCCTCTTTCATTGAGGGCTCCTCCGGAGCAGCACTAACACCGTCCCCCTTGGGCTCAGAATTCGAGAGTGAGAGTTGGTTGAGGATGGCGCCGCGGTATTCGAATTCACTGACGGTGCCCTCAGTCTCATCTCGTTGTAAGGCCTGTCCAAAGTATGTTTGTGCTTTTGTTGAGGATTGATGTGCAGAAACGCGTTAGAGTAACCGACCTAGAAATGTATTATGAAGTAACAAGACAAAAAAGGTCTTCCCGATGTGCACCGCAAGACGAGTTTTGAGTACTGACCTTGTTCTGAGGCAGCCTGGGCAGCAAGGCTCACGGCGGCGAGAAGACAAAGGGAGGTAGCGAGCAGCTTCATTGTATCAGTGAATGTTGGCGGATGACAAGTAGTCGAATGAAGAGGGGTATTATACAACCGATGGAGTGAAGGTGCGGAACAAAAAAAAGAAAGCAAGTAAAAAAAGAAAAGGAAGAAAGTAGAAAGAGTATATCGGAAGCTTGTATGAAGCACATATTTATCCCTATATCTCAACCATCGAGGAATTTAGGAGCTCGAAATGAGGAGGGTCAACCTCGAAGGAGGAGTGGAAGGGTGGTACTAAAAAAGAGACTATAGTCAAGGGAACGCTGTAGAGGAATGGAACAGAATAACACAGCTGTCTGCTTTATTCCAGTATCAGCCTTGACTTAATCTAACTAGGCCAGGGCATTCAACAGGGCTACCAATACGCACAGCACTCACGCGCGTCCCTGGTAGGCGCCTTTTCCGACTGATCGACACACCCTTGCGTGTCGACTTGCAAAGAAGGTACGTCCGGCGCGTCTTGCGACACAGCTTACCGCTCATTAGAATATTGAATTTGGAGAACGTCTGTCTTTGCTATTCACCGTAAAAAAAGAAAAAAACCTTCGAAATAGGGAGCAAGTGCATTATGGGGATCAGGGGCCTTCTACATATCAAACTCTTTATCTGTCAACCATTTGCCACATTCAGATTGATGGCGTCTTAGGCACGGTTCGCGCAGGATAGCAAATGGATAGTGCTGCAGTTTGTCGATCAGGTTAAGACAAATAAAAATTGGTGGCAAAAAAAGGGTTCATGGGGTTGGTGCGAACAGATCGTTTCTGTGTAGAGGGGCGATCCTGAAGAGTGATCCTTGCTGCAGAAGAGATTCAATGTCGGCGCAAAATGTGGTCATGGCGAGATAGAATCTTTGTTCAACGTGGCATATCAGTTGGCTATCGCGCATTTGCTTTTCTATATTACTCTCTACCTTTGACCCTCTGCTTTTTCTCGCCCACTTTCCTACCCTCGCGCCTCTTCCACTGAGGATCCCATATAAAGCTGCTTGCAGTCACTGCCGATGTACCATACTATACATGTACATGTTGTCTGATGTCAAATTGAGAATGACAGTTTTGTGCGGATAGATCGCACTAATTGACTTATGCATAGGCTCAGTCAAGCGCGCTGCTCATGATACCAATGCATCTTGCGACACCGAAGCACCCCTTACCGTCCGAATCCATTTACGGTCTCTTCAATCACGCCTTTTCTGTCGTTACGCTGTTGTGTAGTGGATGGGGCTTGAGCATTTTTGGTACAAAGCGTGCTGGAGCAGTGCAACCGAGTTTAGACTGCGCAGGATGCGATGGCAGGGCAGATCCAAAGTTGATCTTGTCTTTTTTGTTGATATGATAGTCACACTGTCGCTTCACTGACATAAGCGCCCTACCCATGTAGTATGCGCAGAAGTGCAAAAAAAAAAAAAAAAAGGTATGTTAGATATGCGAGACTTAATACTGTGAAAATTATACGTACAGCAGAACGAGCGGAGCGGGACGTCCTTTACTAGACCGCGGTTCAAACGAAAGATCCTCACCAAAGCTAGAAGCACACTGATGCCATTCAGCACTAGGATAGGCAGCACAAGGCTTATACTGGGGGTCATCGCCGTGGATTACGTCGGCGGATGCCGTGTCTATTGTTCCACGAAGGGCATTGGTGCTCCTGAAAGTATCAAGCAGGACACGTTTAAAGAAAGGGTCGACAAAATTTATTTCCAGTAATAGCCGTGATAAAACAAAGTTTCGAGGATGCATCTGGTGCAAACTTAAAATGATGATATGCCGCTGGCAAATGAGATTGCGCCAAATGTTGTGTCGTTTTGGTGCCCCAGACATTATCGAACGAACAAAAGGGACCGGGGCTGTTGCCAAGGAGGGCGCTGCAGTTAGATCCTAGTGCGGGTGGCGATCATGAACTTGCTTCGCCACCGTTCATTATGTACAAAGGGCTGGTTTCCCTGCAGGATTGAGGAATTAACAAAAACGCGCGCAGAGAGATCTGATTATTAGGATTTGAACTGGTTGTTTGGTGGTAACGTTGGATCCGCTTGGGCTATCATGAGTACCGCTGTCCAACGGTGTTGTTCCAGTTTTCCCCTTCATTCCAACTGAAGGCGCTCGCACTTGTATGAACAGAAAGCAGGTGGAATAATGCTTCAATATCTTATCTCGTCCTCTCCTGCCTTGCTGCTCGGTCTCCGTTAAAAACAGTCGGCAGAGGTACATATCTATATTCTGATCTGCTCCGTGAAAGCGTCATCGGTTGACACGAAACGCGTCTAGCCGTGGTACCATCCGTCGCACGCCCGCTTGTCAGCATGGACTCTGCAGACGTACATCATGTAGACGACTGTAGCTGCGAACGTGTATTTGAAAAATATAACCGAGGGACCTGACCGACGAGGACATGCGAGCATGGCGTTATATTAAGAACACGCAGATCCCTGATCAGAAATAGCATTGACAGCGACTACCATTGCAAAAGAAAGAGCAGCAGATGGTGAGAGAGCGGGAGAATCAGAGCAACACTTTTTTTTTTCTTTTTTAACAAAAAACAGGTGAGCAAAGTAAAGCGAAAAAAGAGGTTGGAGGACATGAGTGGTGCCAATGGTTTTTGAACAGCTTATTTTCCTTTTTACTTTTCTCGCAACTAAGTCGTGTCCGATAACTTGCAGGAACGTTAAATGAATGCTGAGCATCGAGAGTGTTTATATATAGAACGGATGGCATCGAACCATGGGCATCGCGCCAGAAATGGGTACGGATAGACCGACAGTCAAACATGCATTCGAGATATGGGCAGGCAAAGTTATCGGCGGTAGCAATTAGCATCAGCAATAGCGACAGCAACAACAATGGTTATTAGAAGAGGTATTCCATTAGGATGTGAAACAACGTGCTTGCCTGCATTCGAGGCGGTGTGTCGGGAATATGGATCGCGCGCTACTGTAATATACCCAAGAAAAGAAAGCGGCGAATGGAGTGGGAGCAGGAGGAGTGGTGTCGTCGTGGTGTCTTCGTTAATTTGTCCCGCATACGTATATATACTCCACAACTTCTGCCATCTCTCCCTTTTTCTTTTTCTTTTCTCTTTCTTTTTCTCATCATCTCATCCTCATCTCATCTCTGCTTCACCCTCACCAACCTTACTTACTTACCCCACTAATCACATCAAAGTAGGTGACCCTCATCTCTCTTTTTCTGTTTGCAAAGGAGGAACCCCCTCCTTGTCTTTCGTTCTTTCATTCTTTCTGCTGCCGCTAGTTTGCTGTGTCTGCTACGACATCTGCCTCCCCCCCTTTCCATGTCGCTGTCAATGTCGCACGCGCATCCACCGTTTTTGCAACTTGGTGTCGTACGCCTCCTGCTCCGTATCGACCTTTGATCGTTCTGGGAAAGGAGAAAAGATGACATGGTCATTGGCTCTTTCTGCTACCACCATTTGGTGTCAATTGCTGTCGATGGCCCTCTTTTCATACTCGCCTGTTTGGTGGGGTTGAAAGGGCAAGGAGCGTGGTTGCCGCTGTTCCTGTCCGCTCTTGCAACGTTCTTTTCGTTTCTCTCCCCTCCCCCCCCCTTGCGTGTCCCTGTACCTGAGCTTTTTATCCATTTTGTATTTTCTTTTTCTGGTCATTTGTCCAAGTTCAGGGGGTGTGCTTTTAGAAAGAAGAAGTCGCACGCTTCTCTATGACTCCAATTCAACTAACCATTTGCGTGTTCCTTCGTTTCCTTCTTTCCCTCTCACTCCATCCGCTCCACCTGCGGTCCTGTTATCCAGAATGGTAAGTCATTCACCGCTTGGATCCTGTGCCGATGCCCGCTCTCGCTACATAAGATGAGATCACTAACGAGTCCTCGTCATGTTTGTCCAACTGAACCTTATAGGAAGACGAAGTTGCTGCCTTGGTTATTGATAACGGTTCCGGCATGTGCAAGGCCGGTTTCGCCGGTGATGATGCCCCCCGTGCTGTCTTCCCCTCTGTAAGTGAATGGAAAATGAACTGTGGACGCGTGTGGACTCGCACGCATTCCTGCTGAGAGCAGCTCTCACAAACAGATCGGGTACGCAAGTACAAAGAAATATGAAACTAATCCAGTGTACCTATTTTTCTATTCTTGTTTCACAGATCGTTGGTCGTCCCCGTCATCAGGGCGTCATGGTCGGTATGGGTCAGAAGGATTCCTATGTCGGAGACGAGGCCCAGTCCAAGCGTGGTATCCTCACCTTGAAGTACCCTATCGAGCACGGTATTGTCACCAACTGGGACGACATGGAGAAGATCTGGCATCACACCTTCTACAACGAGCTCCGCGTTGCCCCTGAGGAGCACCCCGTCCTCTTGACCGAGGCTCCCCTCAACCCCAAGTCCAACCGCGAGAAGATGACCCAGATCATGTTCGAGACCTTCAACGCCCCCGCCTTCTACGTCTCCATCCAGGCCGTCTTGTCCCTCTATGCCTCCGGTCGTACCACCGGTATCGTCCTCGACTCTGGTGATGGTGTCACTCACACCGTCCCCATCTATGAGGGTTACGCTCTTCCCCACGCCATTCTCCGTCTCGACCTCGCTGGTCGTGACTTGACCGACTACCTCATGAAGATCCTCATGGAGCGTGGTTACTCTTTCTCGACCTCTGCCGAGCGTGAAATCGTTCGTGACATCAAGGAGAAGCTCTGCTACGTCGCCCTCGACTTTGAGCAGGAGATGCAGACCGCTGTCTCGTCCTCTGCCCTCGAGAAGTCATACGAGTTGCCCGACGGTCAGGTCATTACCATCGGTAACGAGCGGTAAGTTTCTCACCCACCCATGTTTCCAATGTTGATTGATGCGTCATTTCAGATTGGTTCAAACTCACTAGTTGCTTTTGTCTTTTATTATTGATTGAATCTCCAGCTTCCGTGCCCCCGAGGCCCTCTTCCAGCCCTCGTTCATTGGTCTTGAAAGCGTCGGTATCCACGAGACCACCTTCAACTCGATCATGAAGGGAGATGTTGATATTCGTCGTGACTTGTACGGAAACATTGTCATGTCCGGAGGCACGACCATGTACCCCGGTATTGCCGACCGTATGCAGAAGGAGATCACCGCCCTTGCCCCCAGCTCGATGAAGATCAAGATTGTTGCTCCCCCAGAACGCAAGTACTCTGTCTGGATCGGAGGTTCCATTCTCGCCTCCCTCTCGACCTTCCAGCAGATGTGGATCTCGAAGATGGAGTACGACGAGTCCGGTCCCTCGATCGTCCACCGCAAGTGCTTCTAAGCGCGCGATGGATGCTGGAGAGAGTTGTACGATGGTGGAGAAAGCGTTCAAGAGACGACGCAGAATGTAAACTGAAACTTGGAAGCCGCTTATACTAGGATATGCGCTGCCTTTAATTGTGCTAATACAAACATACCAAACACACCAAAACACACATGTACATGCGCCGCTCGCGTTTGATGCTCCCTATTATGTACTCCTTATCAATGATCTGTTCTCTTTCAAATTTTTTTTTTTTTGGATGTGCAAGAAAGACCTGTCTTTATTTGCACGGGAGGAAGCACGTGATGAATGGGACTCGTCACGGAAGTGATGAGAGCAGATGACATGGGGTAGAAAAAAAAGAAGAGAAAAAGGAAGGCACTACACATCTTTCGGTGCCTGATTCCTTGACAGCTACATCCATCCCTCTGAACAAAAGGTACGAATCGACACCGTGACCCAAGAGACGCCATCGTTTGGCCTGTTCGCGCCACAACGGACTTACAGGAATAAATTTATTGACAGCGCCATCCACTCTGAACCATGTCGCCCCTGAGTCACTCGAGCACTGGACTGACAGATCTGCTTTTTTCGGGTTTTTTTATTATTCAATTGTGCATAGGTCTCATTATTATTATTATTATTATTATTTCGCGAGCCGAAGCAACAACCTCTGTGTCACACTCCTTCAGCAACCACTCGGGAACTTATCGTGGAAACCACGCAGCAGCAAGGAACAGCACAAGCCCGGCTTGACTCTCAATTGGTTCTAAACAAACGCCTTTTTTGACGTACCAGACGTACGGATATCAGTGATCAACACGCTCGGATAATATGGCACCATCATTGCCCGGTACAGCTGGGCGCCGCACAACCACAGGTGGCTCCAGTGCCTCGTCTGCCGGCACTGTCAAACGCGAGGGGTCTGTTAAGCGACGGGGACGGCCCAGACGAGCAGCAGAAACGCAGGAATCGGATTCCGAGAGTACACCCAGGGGCAGTCCATCAGGAAGGAGGCCGACCAGGAAAGCGTCTTCTCGGTCAAGCACTCGCCAAGAAGCAGGAGATCTGGATGAGGATGGGAGCGAGGAGGAAGAGGACGAGGATGGCCAGGAAGCTGCAGTTGAGGATGCAGCTGAGGATGCGGTTGAGGATACAGTTGAGGAGACGTCAGTACCGCCAGAAGACCTGGAAGAAATCGAGGGAGAGATCGACGAGGCGGGTGAAACCAAGGTCACCAAAGATGGCGAGCTACTCGGAGGTACGAATTGGTCAATGCGGTCTTCTTAAAACTCTGTTCGCGTTAGCCTCGTCATGAAGTTACTAATTACCACTAATGATGTTTTTATGCATGCAATAGGCCGGCAATACAAATGCAAGACATTCAAGTTACCGGAAAGAGGCGACAGGATTTATATGCTATCCATGGATCCAGCACGCGTTCTCGGGTTCAGGGACAGTTATCTATTCTTCCTCAAAAACCCGCAGCTTGTCCGCGTCAACACAACTGTCGAGGAAAGACGGTGGATGATCGAGAACGGGATGCTCATGGCGAATTTCAAGTCGAAACTCATTGCTGTTGTCACCGCTCGCTCGATTTTCAAGTCCTTCGGAGCCAGGATCATCAAAAACGGCAGGAGTCGCGTCGATGACTATTACGAAGCAAACGCAACAGAGGAAGACGCCTTGGACGAATCGGATGGCGATATGTCGCGCAATGCTGACGACCAGAATAGGTTTGGCAGAGCAAATGGGGGTGGCGAGGGCACATCCATGTTGTCCAAACGTAAATTGATGCACGATGATGCGACCCGACATATCACGGACCTGAACTGGCAGTATGAGAGTGCTATGGCTGTTCGTGCACTCAATTCGCGGCTAAAGATACTTCGCACGGAGAACCCCAGGTTTTTGGATCCTCATACGAACATCGAGCAGATTCCGAAGTATTCGCAGCCCAATCGATGTGTGGTCCTTACGGCCGAGGAGGATCATCCTGCGGATTCGACCGCTCGTCCAGTATCATCAGGAGAATCAGAAGGGTCATCGGATGCATCCGCACCACCAGCTGTGGTGTCGGTCCCTCGCTCGATCGGACCTGTCGTGGAAGCAGCTGTGAAGATTGAGATCAAGGGCGGCATGCCACCACCTCCTTTTATCCACGACCCGAACGTTTGGGCCGCGATTCCGGAGGAGATTCAACGCCAGCTGGAGGAAGCAGAGACCGCAAAGGCGATGGAGGAAGAAGACGACAACGAGGACATGACGAGATACCCGCTCTCGATTTTGAGTGGTCAATACCAGGCGGCATATCCTATGTAAGTGTTACTGTGGTTACAGGACAGGTTGAATATGTGTCACCAATGTAGATATCTAACATCAAGTGCATTTTCTTGCGTAAATCCTTATCTAGCCATCAATCTCGATTTCAGCAACCCTACAGGATTGTTCTCCCCCAGAGCATGGGAGCTCATGCACAATATATCCACCATCTGTGGTCTACACAAGCTCGTCAAGAAGCAGCTTCGACGCAGCAGAGTCATCCGCCGGCTCAGCAGCAGCACGGCCAGTCAATGCCACAACCACATCACCAGCCTAATATCCAGCAGCAACAGCAACAGCAACAGCAGCAACAGCAACAGCAGCAGCAGCAGCGTCCGCGGATGCATCAGCAATGGCCACAACAGCAGCAACAGCAGCAACAGCAGCCTCAAGTGCCGATCCAATATCAGCCGCAAATGCAGCAAGCCGTACCTCCGCAGTATGGCCGCAGGCACTGAAGACCTCAAAGTCCAATTTTTTTCCTAACACACACACATATACGCATATGTACACACACTTGTACTTTTAGACCATCCGTCCTTTTTGTTGATCCCTTTTCCCTTCCTAAACAGCAACTGGACATCGTGTAGCGTTCGACAGCGAAACAAAATGCCAGTCGTCCTTTAGTCATATCCCCCTCTCGCCTCTGTCATTTTCACTCGCTTGGTTCCTATATCACCTAACTTTATTGTAATAAAAAAAAAAAAGCAGCGTATTTGACAGCGAAACAATGAGTAACAAAAATAAATAAAAAAAGACTGCGCTTAGTGCGAAGGCGAATGACGCGGAAACAATAAGGCAAGGATTTTCGGAGTTGATGAAGCAACTCCGTGGCTAAGTACGTGGATATGGACTGAGGCCTGTTGACGAAAGGACACTGGGCCCAGGTTGATCTTTTTTTGGGGGTTCTTTCAGGACCAGGGGTTCTCGTTTTGTTTTCAGGGACCCCGATCGCTAAATCCTCACCCTTTTTTTGGGCCCGAAACTGAAGGTTCCACCGACTCAATTCCAGTTTGATGTTTACACTGGACAACTTGGACGTCTCCCTTTTTTTTTTTTTTTTTTTGTGGTAACTGGTAATTGATGGCATGTCAGGACAGCATCTCTGCGCTTTATTCGGCAAATGTGCTGAGAAGACGGAGCATGTTTAGAGATGATTTTGCCGAGGGATCAAGAGGTATGTGAGCGTGAAGGGAAGGGGAGGGCTGTTGGGTAATGTGCCATAGACGCTCTTTTCACAAAGAGAGAGAGAGAGGAGAGGAAAAGAATATGTGTATAGAAATAGCAAGGCGAAGAGAGCCGCGCCTTCATCGATCCTCATCGATGAAAGATAGAAATGCGATTAAATATATCTATAGCTTCTTCGAACCATTAATAAGACGGGCGTTTGATTAGGCCATCAAGCATCGTCGCCATCCACGACGGCGCATCGTCTATGCCCTAATACTTGATTCCCTTCATTTATGATCGCAAGCGCGTGGATTTGAGAGCATGGACCACGGGCACACTGCTAGTTGTAGACTAAGTTGTATGAAAAGAGAATGGGTTTGAGAGCGTCGCTATATTTAATTATTCCTTTCCCTCCTCAACCAACACGAGCGAACATAGTGGAGAGCAAGGCGAAGGGAATTATGTATAGATGAGAGACGGAAGAGCATAAGGGCTCCGGGGATACCTTGTGATAGAGGGAGAAAGGTAGGCGACAGGAGCATCGCTGTGAAGGTTGCGAAGGTTTGCCCTGGGATGCATGGCTGCATTCGTTTAAAAGCGTGGAGTGAACCTTTTCTTCTTTCTCTTCTTTCTTCTTCATCAAACTCCTTTTTGCAATCCTCCCTTCCTTTATTTTTTTTCTTCATCCACATAACAACAAGTAATACTTGGAATATATTCATCCGCTTAGGACCATGACTACCGTACAATCATCGACGATGGATATCCCCAATCCTTCGCACACTTTCATGGAGAAGAAACCTCCACTGGTGCCCCGCCAGTCCACGAGCGATGTCCTCTCCTTCACCCATATCATTGCGGACCGCCTGGCACCTGGTCAGAGCGTCTGGGACTACTTCTCGCCCGCTCCTCCCACTGCCTCTGCCACTCTCTCTGATGTTGCTCGCAGCGGGGCAGCGTCTCCAGCACTTCCCCTCTCGCCCATCTCACCCACTTTTCCAACATCGCCGACGACGTTCAGTTTCTTCGGGAACAAGCGACAGAGCGTTATTGTCGATACCAGCAACAACAGCAGCAACAACAGCAAACTGCCGCCTCTTCCGCCTTCACAAGAGCCACAATGTGCATCACCCACCACAGCCGAATTCCAGGACAACATTGCCACGACGACCACTAGTGTCACACCCAGGGTCCAAAAGCGCAGGTCCACTTTTGTCCAGTCCTTGCGTAACATGCTCAGCCTATCCCAATTGATTTTACCCTCGTCCGCAAAGATAGCTGCTGGAGCACAGCCTGCGGGTCCGCCGCATTATAATATCCTGGTGCTGGGATCGGATTCTGCGCCGCTGGCGAGTACGCTCTACAAGATGTCTAGTTTGTTGCCCAGCACGAACAAGATTAGTCATTACCAGGAGATCTCTGGGTTCTTTGTCGCGTATTTCAGATCGAACGGTTCATTTTCGTGTTCGCCAAAGACGTCGACGGAACTGAGCGAAAAGGAGAGGAGGAGACGGTCTGGGGCGTCATTTAGAGCTGAGGGAGATGAGGAGGTGAAGGCGAGAGGGAAGGGGTTGGAGGAGATCGATCAGGAGGGAGGAGGAAGCAGGAGACATTCAACGATAAGGAGGTCGAGTGCAGAGAGTGAGGCGACGCTGCTGAACGCTGCACGGGGAGGACACTCGAGGGATGGAACGACGGACAGCGATGAGGATGACAAGGCAACGCTTTATCAAGAATCCCTGTCGACAACAGCAACAGCAGCAGTACATGAAGATGTCCCCTTGAGTGCATCCGCGAATGCGACTCTGTCTGTGCACGCGTTTTCACTCGACACCACCTGGCCGGTCCCTCGAATTCTCGCACAGACGTTTTGGTTCCCTCACGCACATGGAATTATCTATATCGTGGACGCCACCCGCAAGAATGACCCCCGTGGGATGGACCACTTGCTGAATGCACGACAGTTCCTGGCATCGTTGGTCAAGGACGAGCATTTCCGGAGGAAGGATATCCCTGTAGTAGTGTTTGCGAATAAGGCGGGGATGGATGAGGAGACGTGCTTTAGGGTGGACGAGATTGCAGAGATCCTGGGGTGTGAGGAGTGGGATGATGAGGGCAGGGTCACGGTGCAGGGCGGTAAGGATATGGAGACAGCAGGAGCAACAGGAGACGCACAGAAGGTGAGGGCTTGGTGCGTGAAGAGCACAAGGTCGGATGGAGAGGGCGAGGGCTTGAGAGAGTCTGTAGAATGGCTCAAGAGCCGGATGGGTGAGATCTGGAAGTCGTAAACAAACCTAGGCACATCACGCTTTTATCATTACTCTCCACTCATCCCACTGGTTCCTCACTTCACTTTGCATTCCTGTAGACTAGCTTCATATTCACTTCCACCTCCTATTATTAATAGTTAATAATAGTTATACCACGCTGTCCAACGCGAATCGTATGTGTTAACCAGGTCCTGTTTGAAGTATTCGACGCATCAAATCAAAAAGACAGAGATGAACGGATTGATTTTTTTGGCCAGACCTTGTCAATTATGAATATTTTGCTAAGCAAAACTCCTGTAGTTGATAAGTTAACCAAAAAAATCAATCCGCTCATCTCTCTGCAAAAAGAGTCATGACGATGGATACCCAATATGGACGAGGCCGGAACGTAACGAAACGATGTAGAAGAGGAGCTGCAGGGAGGTCAATCTGGGAGGGCAAAGGCAAGCAAAGTAGAGGATTAAGGGAAAAAAAAAAAAAAAAAAGAAGGGTCGGAACATTCAGGGAGAATGAAATAGGGTTGCATGGGATAGAAGAGGGCATGGTAACAAATCTTATCAGATCCTTTTTTTTTACGCCCAACCCAGGGCCAAACAAGATAAAAAAAAATCTGATAAGGGGCTGCGGGTCATCTTTAGATCGGGCGTTCGCAATGTGACACTTCACCACACCACACCACCTACCTTTTTTTTTTTATTATTGTTGAGCATGCATCTTGCTGCGGAGGTAATTATCTGTACCTGTAGCTTGTACCAGGGAAGCACACATGCGATGGTATGGTTCTTCAGGAAGCATCGCTACTTGTCCACGGGTAATTTACAAGTTACCCCAGCATTGCGGACGAAACTGCTGTCTTATTTTATTTCTCCGCACTTTTGTTGTTAGCTGAATGGTTTTTTTAGAGAGAACAGCGTTAGTCTAGTGTTCGGGTAAGGTTTTTTTTTTTTTTGTTGTTTGGTGCTGACAGCGAAAATAATATATAGGACAGCGGCGACCATTTCTTCTCACCTGTTCCTATTTTCGCCTTCCCCTCCCTCCCTCCCTCTCCTCTTTTCCCTCCTCTGCCTGCCTGACCCTTGTCTGTGTATTACTATACCCCTGGAGAAGAAGTATCACGCAAGAGTGCAAACATCTTTCACCACGTATACGAGCGCACTGTTCGTTGCACTCTTCGAAAACAGCACACCTGTCCGTCTCTTTCCTTAATACCGCTCCATCCACCCTTCTGACCCCCGCCCATCCTACACAATTCATCCCAGAACTACAGCTCCCACTATCTGTCATATCACCAACATGAAGTTCCAAACGCTAGCACTCTCCTTCACCCTGGTCTTCACCCTCTACCTGGTCGCAGATTTCACATTGACCTGGCTGGGTGGATCCGGCTCCCGAGACATTTATTACTACAACAAACGCGACCTCTATTTCGTCACGCTCTTTATCCTTCCTGCGATCGCCAGCCATTTGGTCACAATCTGGGGCCACTACTACCGTGCAGATAATATCTTTCGGGAGAGCATCGCCAAGGTCTCGACTGCGACGGCTAGCGAGCGAAAGAGGATCGGTATTTGGGAGAGACATGACCCATGGTTCGGGTTTACGGTCAGGTACTGGATGCTGGTCTTGGTCTCGGTACTGTTGAACCTGGTGTGGTTCCTGCAGCCGATTGTCACATATCTGCCGCAATCAATCAAGTTCTTGGGGGTTTATGGGGCTATTACTGGTAAGTTGTTGGTTGGTATACCTCCTGTCCTTTGAGGAGGGGGGTTTGACAAGTAAGCCATGGGTAGATCTAATGATGATAACCGACAAGCATTTTTTTTTCTTCGATGGGGATGAACTCATTAGCGTACCTGGCCTTTGGATGTGGTTATGCTGCGATGGGGTCCTGTGGAATGCTGCTTTTGCTGGTGCTGCGGCGATCGATGCTGCAGGCCTTGGGGTTCACCTATGCAGATATCCTACCGTTACATCGGTGGATGGGCGTGGCCTTTATCTTTTGGGGCACCGTTCATATGGTCAGCTATATCCTTTATTACGTGCACTTTGATGCCTTTTGGCGCAATTTCAATTTTGATGGCAACACGCGTGGACCGCAGAACATGATTGCTCTGTTTGCATATGTGAGTACTTTTAAAAAGCCCGCTTTTTTTTTTTTTTTTTGGGTTCACAAGAGTCTTTTTTCATGGTCGAGTCGATTGAACATAAATCTTATTGTGCGTTTTTCTTTTTTGAATGCGTGTTAGGTTGCACTGCTGGGACTTGGATTCACAGCGATCCCTCAGATTAGGAGGAGCTGCTATCTGCTGTTCATCACCACCCATAGGATTTTCACGGTCATCGTCTTCCTGGGTACACTGATGCACTTTCCATACTACATGATCTGGTACTATGTCCTCCCATCCGTCTGTCTCTATCTCGCCGATCGGTTCGTTCCAAAGTTCATCCAGTCCTGCTCGATCGCGCGTAAAGTCGAGTGCACACTCAACAAGGAGGCCGATATCATGACACTGGTCATGGTCTCCAGGAACCGGCTCGAACCCCTAAAGCCTTATTACCCGGGTGACTATGTGAATGTGGAGATACCCGAGTTGAGCTCGATATGCCATCCGTTCACGATCGCGTCGTATTGGGCCGAGGATCCTTACTCGATGACGCTGTATATCAGAACGTTCCAGGAGACAAGGACGAGCTGGACAGGTGCCTTGGCGAATATGTGTGAAGAGAGTGAGGAGACGGTTCTGGTGGAGGCGAATATCGACGGAGCATTTGGGGATCGTAACCATGATTACCTTTCGACAAATGTCATGGTCATCTTTGCAGGTATTTTTATATTTTATATTTTATATTTTTTATTATTTATTATTTTTGACTACTCTATGGGAAGTCACCGGATGTGAGTGACAATCCTCATTGACAGTATTTTCGGTTCTTTTTGCTGATTATAGCTGGAGCGGCGATCACGTCGTTCATGTCGCTGTTGAAGGCGATTGCGGCGCAGATCGAGGCAGCAGAGGGGACGATGGACAACCCGGCAACGATTCAAGTCTATCTGATCGGCACGTTCCGATATGAGAGTGAACTCTACGCCTACGGAGATTTCATGCACCGTATCACGCACGACCCGCGGTTCACGTCCTGGCTGCACACAGAGCTCTATGTCTCGCGACCGGATAAGTATACGCCGCCAGCGGAGTGTCCTAGTGGAGAGTGTACGAGTGAGTTTGTGTGTGGTCGAGTGGATGGGGATGATGGTGGTAAGGCAGTGAACGAGTCGACGTCGTTGCTTGCAAAGGGCAGGAAGCTACGATATGGAGCTGCAGAGGTGAGCGTGAATGGATGTGACGGGTGTGGGGACGGTAAGGGCTGCTGTATGGAGGCTGCGAGCAGCTCTAGTTCTAGCTCGATGACTATCACAAATGCGGCGTCGGCATGTTCTCCGATTACGATTCCAGTCAAGGTCGATGATACGCCGGCGGAGATAGCAGCGATGTATCAGTACAAGTCCCTGCCGACATTTGAGGCAGCGTCCTCGGCAACGATCGCGACTGTGCATGCGAAGAAGGATCTTGTGGCGACAACGATCATGCTTGTGGTGCCTATGATTGTGTTCCTTTGGAGTCGGTCCATCCCCTGGGAGGGGACCTACAACGGCGAGACGCATTGGTGTAGGACGACGAGGGACAGGGATCAGCATAAGACGAACCGGTGTCTGTGGTCATATTCGGTTTTGCCGGGGATCTTGCATATTGTGGCGGCTAGCGTGTTGGGGTACTTGGGACTCTGGGCAGCACGGAACACGAATCTGTGGCAGAGTAGATCGTCTGGAAGCATCACGGATACGGAAGCGCATAGCGCAGGAGATGGAGGTGTGAAGAACGCGTACAGAAATCTTGTTCAGGGGTTGAGTGGACTGGACACAGCATCGCCTCGTCCGGTGAAGAACACCGACCTCGATAACAGGAACAGAGTGAAGGATGTGCATGTGGCAAAAGGGACCATTCCATTCAAGCGTGGTCGTATACAAGTGAACCATCATATTCAAGAGCTGAAGGCGCTTGGCATCGGACGCGAGGATGGCTGTGCAATGGAAGTGGAGGAGGCCAGGAGAGGAGGGGTGTTGGTCTTTGGGGGCGGACCGGATGCGTTTGTGGATATGATTGAGGAGAGCTGCAAGAAGGCACGGTGGCAAGTCGACTTTCATCGCGAGACCTGGGCTCCATGAGCTGCCGTCATTTCCAACGCAGTACCACATAGACCCGTGTAGCATTTTAGAATGGATTATAATTATAATAAACATATATTGCAACGTTTTCAATGGAGCCATTTGAGGCGGGATGCAGTCGCGTCTTATGGGACTTGGTGGCAACATACGAATATTTTAAAATTGGTGGCGACATAATGCGCTCAGCAAACATGAGGTTGGTGGCGATCTCTGTGGAACATTTTTTTTTCTTTCAAAATAAGAAGTATATAGGTATTTGTCCTATGCCTTGGCCTCCCGGACAACTTCAACGGTGCCAGACATGGCCAATCCGCCCTCAGGGTTCTCGACCCAGACCTCGTAACTCTCGAATACGTCCTTGTCCATGGTTGGGACCACGGCTGTGTTCTTTGCACAGATTTTAAAGGGCTGATCGACATAGAGAGGACTCAGGGCACGATACTGGAAGTTCTTGATGATCAATCCGGGATTCAGTTTCTGACGCAGATTCTCGAGCATGAAAGTCGCCGTCAGGGGCCCATGGACCAAGCAACCTGGCATGGGCACGGACACGGACACGGGATTGATAATGAAGATAAAAAATTGGTAGCGTTAGCTTTAAGGACTTAAAAGTAATGTTCGCTAAGAGATGTTCAGTTTAGACTGGAGAATGCACCTGGGTGGTCTTCGACCTTGTTCGCGTATTCGTGGTCAAAGTGGATGCGATGGCTGTTGAAAGTCATGGCCGAATAACGGAAGAGGGTGATGGCCGTTGGGTGGACCGCCATCGAGAAATCCGCCTGTCGTCGAGCTAGGGATGAAGAAAAGTCGTTGAGCCGACAGATCGCGTCAATCGTTGCGGTCCGAATACCCCATCCAAAATAATAATGAGCCGGTTCAAAGATCACGTACGTTTCACGACCTTGGGCTTGGGCGCATGGGGTCGCTTCTCATCCTTCTCCATGTAGACCAAGGTCCTCGTATCCGTCAATGCCCAGCCCTGCTCGTTCTCGATTAATTTCTCAAGACTGACAAAGACCATCGTATCACCGGAGCGACTCTGCTTGATATCCACACCCGTGCACTTGGTCTTCATCAGCATCTCCTGGCCCACCCGCAGCAGGTTCGACGGGTTCTGTTCGACTCCACCGCCGGCCCACATGCGTGCCAGGAAGGGTGCTGGGGGTGCATGGGTCATTTCGTATCCGTCCTGACCCAGATCCTGTTCTCCGATCATGGGAGGGAAGAAAGCATGGTGCCAGTTGACGGGCAAGGGTGCACCCTTTTTAGTGAGAGCAGTGGCAGAGGTAGTAGGGGTGGTCTTGTCGAGGGTCATGGCGAGTTGTTGGAGGCTCTGGGGCCGGATGGTATCGCGTTCGATGAGGACGGGCTTCTTGAGGATGGTGGTCTTCCAGTTGGCGATGATGTCCGCGGCGGAGGGCGAAGGGGAGGCGACGGAGGAGAGGGGGCGGAGGGAGAGGAGTGGGGCGGCCTTGGTGAAGGCGGGTCGGGTGCGGAGGAGGAGGATGGATGTCATTGTGTGAATCCCGTCGGGGTGAGCGGAGGAGGGGATGAGGAGAGAGGAATGAGGAGAACCGCGTTCGAGAAAGGGTCTTTCCGCTGTGGGAAACGAAAGGGTGTGAGTGCGTGTGGAGGTGTGGGGGAGGTGCAATTGAGGCCGATCGGTGCGGGGGACAGTCCCCTCCGGAAGGAGACTGTCCCCTTTCATGTGAAGTCCACTGTGGGCGACTACTTCCCGCTACTTCCTCATCACTCCCCATCCTTCTTTCCTTCCATCACCCCCTCCACCCCTCTCCCACTCCCTTCCTACCCACATCCCTTTCCTGTGTGTGGCTGTCCCCTGTCCGGCTATCCACAATACTCACCGACCTCGCCCTCCTCAGTTCAGGACATCGCTTTCAACCACATGTCGCCAGTCGCCACCACCACCTTGAACAGCAGGAGCCAGACTGATGCTCGTGTCCAGGCAAAGCTGTCGATCCGTCCTGAAGAATCTATTAACAGGGACGCGGATGCGGATGTCCTCTACCGACTCAACAACACCATCCAGGTGACAAGGCCCGTCTGGAACCAACTCCGTGGGACCAATGTCAATGCCTCGACAGATACTCAAGGTACGAATGCAGCGCTTTAGGTCCCAACGATCCTGGGTCTGATATGCGTATATACTGCCGTGGAAGGTCTTTTTTTCACAAAAGTCAACGTGCGATCATCTCGTGAGGTTCCCCGCAATCCCCGGCGGGGAGTTCTCCCACCCCACCTTCATGTCTTCACCCGTGCCAGGGCGTGTATGTGTGACCCGGCAAACCTTGATTTACTCATTCCTCTCCTCTTATTGTAACAAATCAGGCTCGGTTCCGGTCGCGATCGTCGTCTTCAAGGACAGCTTTCAGATGCACACGGCTTCCGAACACAGCGCCAAGCCGTTACTCAATGCCATCGTCGCCCGAGCCGTCCTCCTCACCTCCTCGATCGATGGACATATTCCCGAGGCAAGTTCTCTGATCCACTTTTTTTTTTTGCACTCTGCCATACTCTCTCATTTTTTGTTCCTGGCTAATCTAACACCACGGTGTATTCATTGGATATTAACCTATTAGACAGCAGAAAATGAATGCTTCATCACATCCGACTTTGCCAGGGTACATATGCCGTCTACAAGCTTTGAGAGCCAGGTTCAGATCACCATTCAGAGGACAGATCTGGTTGTGCTGGACGAGATCATTCTGGCTGCAACGACTACGGATGCATACGAGATCATATCTTCAGGTATGTATCTGTTCTTTATCTTCTTATCAACTGAATACAGTATGGTTGACAATAATAAACTAAACAGGCCTCTCATTGCTACATAGACCCCAGCTTGATCTCAAGTCACTTTTTGCCGCAAGGAGGCGAACCCGTAATCATTCGATATGAGCAAGTCTACTACATCCAAGGTCCCAACGGCGAGCAATTGCCCATCAAGGTTCTCATGTGCAACTCCGTCTTGCAGGGCATCATGGAGGAAGAGACCAGTATCATTTTCACGGATATGGCAGGAGAGAATCTCGATCAACCCACAGCTGTTGATTTTTTCGAGTCAGCGATCCCCAACAGTCACCTCAACATCTTTGAAGACGAGGCAGATCCGTTTGACTTTGACGGCGACTTTATCGCCTCACGCTTCTTAGTCAAGGGCCATCATCACACGGGACCCAAGAGTGCATTCAAGGACCTTCACTTCTCTGTGGCCGATTTGGAGGATGATGACGATGATGAGGAAGAGGAGGACAACAATACGTTTTCGGATGTCATGGACGATTCTGGCGACGAGATCGACGGCCGTAAGATCCACAGAGACACTAATGGACATAGCCGGCGCATGCGATCCTTATCTAGTCAGGAGGCATCTGTTGAAGGAAAGGAGCGGCCAGTCAAGAAGACCTCTATCGACTTTTCGCCATGGGTCCAGAAAAGCCATTATCCATCCCACAAATTGTCGCCCCAGCCCGCACCTGAAGATGATCCAGAGGCAAGAATCTTTGTCGATGTGGCACAGCTGGGCAAGTTACGTGTCTTCAGCGGCGACTGGGTAAGCATCGTTCTAATCAGGAACGATATGACATCTCGTGAGGCATTCTAGGGCGCTGCAACTTACGCTCACGGTCAAATTCGTATCATAGGTACATGTATCCGTCAAAGAGCCAAAGTCGACTTCCCGCTTTTGCAGGATCTATGGGTTGACATTCCCCTCGACAGACGCCATGAAAGGATTGCCACGAGTATACTTGCCTGCAGGACTTCATTTCAATCTTGGCACACCTTCTTGTCTTACCATCGATGCAGCACATCTTAAACAAGAGGAGCCCGTTGTTGCCAAGGCGGTCACTGTCGCTCGCGTTGCATCGTCGCCAACAGTTGACAAGGCGCTGCAGACAGCATGCTTGGAGGCGCTCAAGGAGTGGTTCGAGGAATACGAGCGAGTCGTGTGTGAGGGAGATGTCATCGGGGTTGAGATTGACGAGGAGGCTGCCAAGTTAGCTCCTAAGCAATTGAATTCTGCAGATGTTTCTAATATCGACATCCGTCTGTCCCTGAGCCCCTCGGATATAAAGACGACGATTTATTTCAAGTTGACACATCTTGAGGATTCCGGCAAACCCAATAAGCACACACAGCTCGTCGACCCTTCGGTCACAAAGATGATTCAATCGGGATTGGAGCACTCTAGAGTCCCGCCCAAACTGAAGCGTCATGGCTACAGTCCTGCTATTCCAGCATTGGATGATCCCTCAGCACCTCAGGCTTTCCCTCAGCTCCATCAGCTTGTATCTTCAGGATTGCACCCGTTTTCGTCCAAGCTCGGGTTGAATTGTACGGTATTGCTGCATGGAGCCAGGGGCATTGGAAAGAAGACGATTGTCGACTGGGTCGCTGATCTCGCAGGGATCCATCTCATGGAGGTCAACTGCTTTGACATTGCCAGTGACACTGACGCAAAGACCGAGGTCGCTGTCCGGGCCAGGTTTGACAAGGCCGTGGCCTGTGGGCCCTGTATTCTGCTCCTCCGCCATATCGACGCCTTGGCGAGGAAAAGCGTCGCCCTGGAGACTGGTCAAGGTACGTGTGCTTTGGAAAGAGATGTGTTTGGGATGTTGTTGAAGGTGTTTGTTCGCTTGGGATCTCACAACGCTTCACACCGCGCTTTTGTCAAATAGAACCCATCTTATCAACTGTTCTCAAGGATTGCTTTACGCAACTGGGCGATGCTTTCAAGACGATGGGTCATCCAGTGACTGTGATCGCTACTACAGGCGATATCGACAAGGTGCCCACGTCTGTCTTGGGATGCTTCCTGCATGAGATTGGAGTAGATGCTCCCAACGAAGCACAGCGTCTCGCCATCCTGAAGAACTTGACTGTGGCCACGCCCTTGGGACCAGACGTCTCTCTAAACTCGCTGGCGACTCAGACTGCAGCGCTTGTTGCCAAGGATCTGGTCGACTTGACTGGACGTGCCGGCTTGGTCGCTATTGACCGTGTTGAAAAGTCCATGTAAATATTCATCGCTTGTTGTTTTATTGATTTTCGCAAACTCGGAAAGGCTCATTTTAGCTGACGATCATGTTTAATGTTCTCTGAATGAATATCTAGTGAGGAATGGAACAAGGGTAATGTGCCAGCACAGAGTCTCGTGCATGCAGGTGTGGCGGTCACTGCTGCCGACTTTGACACGGCCCTGAATAAGGCTCGTGCCTCCTATTCGGATTCAATTGGAGCGCCCAAGATCCCTAATGTCACATGGGACGATGTCGGAGGCCTGGCCTCTGTTAAGAACGACATCCTGGACACCATTCAGCTGCCGCTCGAGCATCCGGAATTGTTTGCCAGCGGACTCAAAAAGCGCTCAGGTATTTTGCTTTATGGACCTCCAGGCACAGGAAAGACCCTGCTCGCAAAGGCTGTGGCGACATCTTGCTCGCTTAACTTCTTCTCTGTCAAGGGACCCGAACTCCTGAACATGTATATCGGAGAGTCTGAGGCGAACGTGCGTCGGGTGTTCCAGCGCGCGCGCGATGCAAAGCCCTGTGTCATCTTTTTCGATGAGTTGGATTCTGTGGCGCCGAAGCGTGGCGAAAAGGGCGATTCTGGCGGAGTGATGGACCGTATCGTTTCGCAGCTCTTGGCTGAGCTGGACGGAATGAACGGAGGTGAGGGCTCTGGAGATGTCTTTGTGATTGGAGCCACGAACCGACCGGATCTGCTGGACCCTGCATTGTTGCGTCCTGGACGGTTTGATAAGCTGTTGTATTTGAGCGTCAGCACGAAGCACGAGGAGCAGCTGCGTATTATCCAGGCGCTGACCCGCAAGTATGTTGCGTCTCAATGTATTTGAAATGCATTGCACGCAGTTCTTTTTAGCGAGAGTTTCGACCGCTAACTCGGAGGTTTTCTTTCTTGTAGGTTCCGTCTCCACCCTTCATTGGACTTGACAAACGTAGCCGAGAAATGCCCTTTCAACTACACGGGTGCAGATTTCTATGCCCTGTGCTCTGATGCCATGCTCAAGGCTATGTCCCGTACCGCTGATGGCATCGAGAAGCGTGTTGGTATGCTGCAGTTGTTGAACCATTTCTTTTCGATCCATACTAAACTTTGGAGATGCATTGGACTAACATAATCCATTTGGGATCTATTGTATAGTTGCCATCAATAGCGACGAGACATCTACACTCCCACTCCCTATCACTTCTCAGTACTATCTCGATCACTTGGCCCAGCCAGATGAGATCCTGGTGCAGGTGACCGAAGAGGATTTCGACCAGGCGCTCGCGGAGTTGGTTCCCTCTGTTTCAGCCCAAGAACTGGAGCATTACCGCCAGGTTCAGAAGATGTTCAACAGCGATGATTTTGCGAAGGACATGGAGGCAGCCGCTGCAGCGGAGGAGGCAGAGGCGGCAAAACGACTGGGACAGGAGCAGGCTGAAGCGATGAGAAAGTTCGAGGAGGCACAGAGGCAGTTGCAGGCTGAGGAGAAAAGCCGCGACGCTCCAGAGTTTTCATCGTCCGAGTCGGCGGAGGGCAAGGACAAGGGCAAGGGCAAGGGCAAGGGCAAAGGTCGTGCGGCAGACTATAGCCATGTGGAGGAGCATGTTGCACAACACCATGAGTTGCAGCAGCATACAGAGGAAATTTACGATGGACCGGGTGGGCCTGCCGGGCTGGAGGAGCCGTTGGTGGTGAGCGAACCGGATCAGCAGGCGATTCAGCATGTGTTTGATCAACAGGGAAGCGGAGGATCTGCCAAGAAAAACAAGTCCTCAGGAGGCGGCAAGGGTAAAGGCAAGGGCAGGAAGTAGCGAGGGAACTCCGCGGTCGACGCGCAGAAAGATGTACAATAGAATCCCATACACCAGTAAAATAAAATGAAACGCATTCTGTTTATGATGATAAAGACGATTCTTTTTAAAGACCGGCCAGAGAGCGAAGGTGGGCGTCTTTTTGGGCGCCGGTATCAGCGACCAGTCTTGAGACACCTCGCTCGAGACTCGATAGAAGATCAAGAGGACTCGATGCTGTGGGCAAATGACTAAAGGCGCCAGGACTCTCCCAGTAGAGACGACGAGAGGCACTGGCCTCCTGAAGGATAGCGATCAGACCAGCTTTAATTGGGCAATAGTCGTTGGAAAACTCGCAGCAAGCCACGCGATTGGACAGCTTCCTCCCTTTCCTTGCTGTGCCCCCAGAACAGCTTGCAACAACCAACACGGACACCTTGACGACAGCTGGGCGACACTCGACAACATGACTTCTCTAAAGCGCATGAAGGTACTATGCTAGAAGCAAGGTGCCGTTCGCATAGAAAGACAAACGGTGCCAGGAGTCTGGATTCTGTTACTGATCAATTCGTTGTTCCATTCGGCAGGGGATCGCGATCTCGAGACCCATTATCTACGGCAATTCGGCCACACCGCTGAACGGGAAGAAGGTCGGCGACTCGGACCATACTCATCGCTGGACCATCTCTGTGCGAGGAATCAACAATGAGGACATCTCCTATTTTGTCCGCAAGGTTGCCTTCAAACTTCACGACACATACGATAACCCCAACAGAGGTACGCTTTTTTTTTTTTTTTTGCTGAAGCGACAGGAGTGCCTTATCTCTGGGATGGCTACCAGCAACCCAAGCAACAGCACTGATTTTTTTTCTTCTTTATTCGTTATAGTGATTGAGAAACCACCATTCGAAGTAACAGAGACAGGATGGGGCGAATTCGATATTATCATCAAAATCCATTTTGTACAAGCGAGTGGAGAAAAACCGCTCACACTCTACCATCGCCTGAAGCTGCACCCATATGAAGAGGATGGTCCAGGGAATCCATGGCCGAAACAGAAACCTGTCACCAGCTACGCATATGACGAGATCGTATGTGTTTTGATACAGGATCACTGCAGTGGACTTTATCGCGGTATGGAGAGCAAGAGAGAACTAACGCTTTACAATTGATCGTATTAGGTGTTCAATGAGCCGGTTGATAGTTTCTACAACATCCTACAGGATAACTCGACATCCAACATCCCACTGAAAAAGACGCCCCATCATCAATTCAGTTTACAGGCTGAGCAGGAGGAAATTGAACGCATTGACAAGGCTATCAAAACCACAGCACAGGAGATCGCAAAGCATCGGGAGCGGTGTAAGCGGCTCGAAGCAGAATTGTCTGCAAAATGATCATACTAAAGCCATATCCTGCGGTCATCCCATCATGAAGCATGCTCTGCAGCAAAGGATCTAGCATATGGGATACACAACTGTCCATGTAAAATAAAACAAAATAAAAAAAGACCGAGAATAACAGCTGTTATACACATGTTTTCTACATTTTTATGGTGGTTTCAATGATCCTTCCTATGCTCTACTTGGTGGTTGGAAATGATCCGCAGCTTCGTGTTATTAAGCGTTCCTGGCAATGTCAACGCGGACCAATCTGTCGCCATCCCATCCATGCTTTTCCAGGTCCCGACGCGTCTCAATTGGGTCCTCTAACGTCTGCTCGAGGAAGAAATTGAAAAAGCCCTCCAGGGTCAAGTAGCCCTTGGCATTCTTTCCAAATTGAATGCCCATCTGTGTCAAGAAGGCAGCTGGTGGTCGACTTCCGTTGGTCTTGTACACAAAATCTGATAGCTCTGAGGGTGACAGAGCGTCGTCGTGATCCTTGTCAAAGGTATTGAAAATGTCTGTCAAGGCAGCCTTCAAGGATGCAGACAGCTCCTTGGCAGAGTCCAGTAAAGGTGCACCGTCCGTCATTGTTGAGCCGTATCCATCGAGCAGTCCTTGGATCTCGCGTGTCAATTCTAACAAAAGTATGTCGAGCAGCCGAGGAACGTATTAGACAATGCTTGGTTCGAGAGCAACAGAAGGGCAAAGAGGCGCTTGCAGAGCAGCAGTATGAGCCTTACCACTGATAGGTTCGTAATTTGGATCCACCATGCTTCCGATCTCAAGCAGCGAAAGGGCGTCCTCGAGCTCGTTTAGGACATATAATGCGAATCCAAGCAAATGATAGCATCCAGCATGTCCCGGGAAATTATCTACAACGAGGCGATAGAAGATCATACGAAGGGTGAGCAATCGAATACAAAGCTGTGTGTTCAGGCACCATTCGTTTTAAGCGTAGGCGCCTCTGTACTTACCCAGAATGCCAACCATCAACTGTGCTGCTTTGCTCAACGAGTCGATCTCTCCGGATGTCTGGAACCCCCTCAAAAGTTCCTGCGCCTCCTCATAGTCCTTTTCTGACTTTGCGATCTGGGCGTCCCCGTCGTTGTTCATTTTTGCCATAGCCAGGTGTCTCTCCTTATAGTATTCGCGCCAGTCTGATGGCTCAGGTTTGTTCTGCTCGCCCAAGTCTAGTCCTGCAGAGTCGAGAATTGAGGTGATAGTGAACCTGTCTCCAAAATCATCGACTGCCTTGCTGCAATTGCAGTGTTGTCGGTACAATTACGATAGATGTTATTGAAATAATCAAATATAATAATCCATTGAACATATTGTATGTGCTATGGCTGATAGCCAGCAACGGACAAAAAAAAACGTACTGTTCCCAGACCTCCTGCCGGTTGATGAGCGTATGAAGGCGTTTGCATGTGGCTCCAAGATGAACCATGTCCAGAGGCTCGAGGTAAGAGGCGAGGACCTCGATCAGCTCCTCCGTCAGTGCGTCGAATGTCTTGTTAGGTGTTGCCATGGCCATGGGTGCGGGGTGTAGTATGGGCGAAGGTTCAGAAAGTAAGCGTGTGGTCAGCTCTGTGCGCGTAAAAAAAAAAAAAAAGAGTGCCATGAGTGGCTGATTGTTTGGGAGAAACATTTAGGGTTGTCGGTGCAACCAACCAAGTGCGTGTTGCTCAAACGTTTCAAAAACTACATAGCAAAAGGAGCGAGCATTCTTATAAAGACTATTTCCTTTCTTTTCTCAATCAACCTAGGCACTACATAAGGTCCAGCCTGTTGCGGTGTGCATAGAAGTAACAAGAACAGTTTTTCGATAATCTCTCAAGAGCGCGTACCTTTGATTTCGTGTTTACGCACTCCTCCACTCTGTACGTACTGCTTCGTGTCAAGTGGCAGGTCTAGAGCTACGACTCTTTAAAGTTGTAGGCCTAGGGAAAGCGACAGTGGCCCCGTGGTGCGGCGTTTACCATTTCCTGTTCAGTATTGTGGTCCTTATCCGGGCTATGAAGGATAAATATTTGAATAGATGGATACTCCTTCAAAGCGGAACCACCATATCCCGGAAGCACTCTACCGATGATAAAAAAAAGGAAGGGGTGAGTGAGCTGTTCAGATTGGTCAAATATGGTTTTGCCACCAATTGTTTCTTGTTCCTGATATTGGACGCAGTTTGAGTGACACGCGTCTGTAGAAGACGCCGACTTTGATGGATGTACGAAAGTGATCACCCTCCGTTGCTTTCATGGCGGCCATGGAGCGTAGCTCATGGCGAACTCGATCGCAGTGCGGAAGGACATTCGCCTGTTCCTTTTTCTTTTTCAGATAGCTGGTGTTTTTTATTCTGAGTATAATTAAGAAAAAAAAAAGGACTCAGAGGCCCCCCCCCCCCCCAAACCTGCCCGAAGACAGATTCAGGGATCTGATAACCGTCCAGCCAGACCGTACCACGCAGAAAGTACACACTGTCGGGTGAATTGACTTCTCCAAGCGCGTCTGTCGTCCTGTATTGCTCCGTAAACTTTATTTACGGTACAGAACTTCTGAACGGTCACCTAATCCGTAGACGCTCCCGTAGGCCGTCTACTTCCTGAATCACCGTGCCAGCCCAGCCCTGGTTGGACCCATGGACCTGAGTTGAGGAGAAAAGACAGAGGAAGGAAAATCGCTGGCCAGTTTATACGGTCGAGATGACTGTTCGACACAATCCAGGATGAAAGCAATCATGAAAACGGAGACAGTGGTTATGGGACCAGGTCACTCCTGATCAGGTTTTTTTTTTTGCTATCCATTTTGCAGGGTTGGCAACTGTGGGATTTGCGGTCACCACAGTGGCAAAGTATAGCACAGATATAATTGGTGGCAACAGGGAATAGCAACGATGTCTGTGTTGGGGTCCTACCTCTTGAGCGACCTAAGGTTGACAGTGCCCCGCTCTCTATGGGCTGACACCTTTTTCAGTCTCCTTCATGTACAGTTCAGAAAGACCCAAAACAAAAAACAACAAAGGGAAGGGGAGATAGGAAGGAAACGGCACATGCTATTGTTGTCTGCCAACTACTTAGGCACAGTTCTCGGGCTTTTTTTTTTATATATGCCCTTGGACCTATCTGCTACTGCCTTTGGCGAATACTATCTTTCTACTACTGTCTATACGCTAGTACAGTGCTCAGCGCACCCAGTGCGTTTCTGAGTGTCAATAGACTGTGCGACATGAAGCAAGGAAAACAAAACAGAGCAGCACCAAATCGCACAGACAGGGATGGTAGAAGTTTGTTGATTGTGGTTTGATTTGTTCGAGTTGGTCTGGGCACCGACCACTTTGTATTTCCCAGGCGTGTCTGTAAGGAATTTTTACTGTCGCACTATTTGACCTATAGACCAGTAGGCACGGATGCTAAACTAGAGCCTTGGTGCTATCGGACCCTGAGGAAATATGATCTAGTCTAGCACCGTGAGGAAGGTGTAGCTGCGGACGCCATGTCCGCACATTCTATCCAAGTAGTCTACGGCCACCCTAGAAAAAAACCTGCAGCGCCGGTACTTCTGGGGCTTGCCAATAGGAGGGCCGGTTCCTTTGACGTCGTGTACTTGTTGACTTTGCGTCATCATTCGATAATATACAATGTATATGCGCGGAACCAGGTCAGTTCCCCCGACTGAACTGAGCGCCCCAGATCTCAGGCACGCGAGGACAAGAGGCGCGAGCGTCACGAAGGTTAAGGTACTTTGCTTTGACGTCAGTCAGACCCCGTCACTCCAGTCGGAGTTGATCTGGGAACTTTGTTGGTGGAATAGATAGCAGTGGACCGACAATCGGATTTTTGCCGAGATACGCGTTAAGTGATTGAGGGAGGGCATATCATGGTAGCGTATAGTGCAGCTCTTCTATGCGGCCTTGGGGGTTTACCATATCATCGCATACGAAGGGACGGCTCTACTCGGAAGATGAGCCCCACATGGTTGATCACATCCACCATTTCCATGAATACACCCTGGAGCCGCTCATAGTGAATTGCATCGATATAATGTCGAAAGCAGGGGAAATTTACGAGCATAAAGAGCACCGTTCCGTGCCTTGGGAGACAAGAACGATGACTCCCCAGTTAATGTATCCCCAGCAAAAAAAAAAAAAAAAATATATCGATAGGCCGTTGCTGCATTAACTGTATTTGACAGGAGGCGTGTACAGTTGCACCCATGCATGCCCATAGCGCAGCGCCGAACGGACCCAGTCCGAACAATTTTCTACTTCCGATCTGCCCTTCTTTGCCTTGGCGTCAGTGTTGTCACAATGGGAGCCCTGTCCCGCCCCATCCCGCGTTGACTTACTCTTCTCTGAGGAATGTTGATGTCAATAGGATAGTGAATGTGATTACGAGAACGTGGGTCCCTTGGCATGGAGCAAGGGAGTCTTTTTTCACTTGAATGATTGACACATGGACGGGAAGAGAGGTATGCAGATCCTGGCCATCTTTCCCACATGGTTGTCTTCACACACGCACACATACCCCATCGGCTGAAAATGCACCATGTGTCAGTTTTAATTTTTCTGAAGCAGAAGTGTTCATTTTACTGAATGATTTGGCCAAGCATAGCCTGTACGAAATTGGATACTGTAGGCTGCAATATACTCTGTTGCCTATTCTGCCGCAGCGATTCAATGAGGGGGAGAGAGGGGGAGGAGAATCAACACTGAATCAAAAATTGAGAGCAATGGGCCAAGAAATGGATCGGGATCCCACTCGACAGACAAGGGTAGAACTGAGCATAAGGGCAAAAGGGGCAGGGCGGAATAGGGTTAATGACTAGCGACGAAAAAGAGACATAAATGAATGCAAAGAAGGGTCGAAGGAAGAGAGCCCTTGCTTTTGTTTGCTTGTGATAGATGGATGGTATCACTCTTTTCTTCTCATAAATCGGATCGGTGCTGTGTATTATCCACTAGAGTAGACTACAATCGATCGGACGGATATATGAACACCGCCCACACGCTCTCTTTCGTTGTTATCGAGTGGTCATGTCATTTGTTGTTATCTGCCGGCAATGACAATTAGAAAGTGGATCCCATTTGCCCCTGCTTTTGGGTTCGATACTCATGTTCATCTTTGCTACTTTGGTACCTTCATGATGCGTCTCCCATTTGGAGAGCAGCACAGGTTGAGAGGCAAGGCAGGAAGGACAGTGGGAGTGCGTGTATTTAGATGGATTAGAGCAGAGGAGCGCCACCCATGGACAAGAGGTGGGTGAGCAGGCGAGCGAGTGGGTCGAGTAAAAGCGATCTAAGGGCGCTCGTTCCCCCGACCAAAAAGGAACATGTAGGCTCAGTTCCGATCTGTGGTTCAAGTCCAGCAAGGAGTGAATGGGAAAACGAATCGCAGCGGTCAGATAGACATGCCTCTCTCCCTGGGCTAGCCTGATAGAGTTAATTCAGTCAGCACATGCTGCTTACTGTACAAGTATAGTATTCTATGTCGCGTGCAATGGAGCTGCTTATTGAATTGAGCAGTCGGAGGGCACAGATGCAGATACGGAGATGAAATATATTGCATTTATTATTCAACTGCTCTGCTCACTCAATCAAACTGCTCTGTAGTGCATCTACCCCCTCTTCAGCCGTTAGATTTTCACATCGTTTTCAGGAACCAGGGTCTTCCCTCTAGTCCCCATATAAATACGATCCCCAAGCGCAGCCATCCTCCACTTTCCCTCTCCCTTTCTCCTCACCGCTGTGCCTGAAATCCTACGCTCCCTTCTCTCTTTCCCGTGCTAACGACCCCCTTCACATTCTTCACAATGGCGCCCATTCCTCGCATCGCCGCAAACCCCCTCTCCATCATCACCGGCGCCCTTTTCACTGCCTTCTCCGCACCCAGCAGCTCGCCACCCACCAACGGAGCCAATGCCACAGTCTGGGGCACCGAATACACCGGATCAGCTTCTCTGCTCAACCTCACCCTCTTCAACACCTCCTCACCTACAACTCCATCCTCAACCACATCATCTTCATCACCAACACCATCTCCTTCCTCGACGAGCTCGCCCACTACCCCCATCTCCTCTCTTGTCTACTACAACACCACGACCAACACCTATACCGGATGCAACAATAACACCTTCGCCTCCACTGATAATATCGCCTTCTTAAATCCTCTTCAGTTTGGAGATATCAAGTCCTCGAACTCAACCTGCGGCGAATGGATCCAGATCCAGAACCGTGAAAACACCGAGCAGTCGACCTATGCCCAGATTGTCGGTGTTTGCGATGACTGCGAGTACGGTTCCGTCGATCTGTCGATCGGTGCACTCAGCGAACTCGCACCTGATGTGCCATTCGAGAACATGATCTTTGATCCCACCTCGAACAACACGATCGTGGACCTTATGGACCTAGAGTCATCCCTGCCCATTGGATCGACTGCCATCTCGCCCAAGAACCTGCTGAATGTTGTTTGGTCGCTCTCGGATCCCCCAGTCAACCCTTCCTCCGTAACGGCGCCCGTGCATGGAAATGGTAAACCAACTGCCACCGCAACCACGACTGCTACCGCTACGACGACTACGACAACTACCTCTTCGACCACGACCACGACCACGACGACTGCCTCGCCCTCGCCGACTGCTCCTTCGTCCTCGCCCCAGTTCTCTGGACGTGCGACCTGGTACTCTGATACGACTGGCCAGTGCGGTCACTCGTACTCGCAATCAGATATGATCGTCGCGGTCAACCAAGACCAGATGGGTACGGGTAAAGCTCTTTGTGGCAAGAAGATCCTGTTGACGCTGAAGGGATCGGATGTCCAGGCCGTTGTCACGGTCGTGGATATGTGTCCAGGACAGTACTGCAAGTTCGGAGACCTCGATCTGTCCCAGGCTGCGTTCAAGAAGTTCGCTGGCCTCGGTGTGGGTGAACTGCAACTCCGGTGGAGCTTTATTTGAGGAGAGCTAAATATTAGAGGGCCACCTCGTTTGTTTCCTCTCCGCTAGTTTCTTTTTTTTTTTATTATTACTATACCCTTTTTGTTTCACTCCACAAGCGTTTCCTTCTCGGCCTATTGTTCTCTTTTTCATTTTATTACCGTCCCTTCCATGTAGACTAGACCTCATTTTATCATCCATTTGCATTTCACTCATTTCTTCTTCATCCGACATTTTCCTAGACTTGGTCACTTATATAGACCACACTACCTAATATTAGCCATCCTTCCCATCCTCCTCCACTCTTCCGCAAAACAGCAGCAGAAACCAAAATAATATAATCAATGGTGAAGTCGCTTCTTGCATTCTGGAAATGCAAGCGACCGCGCCTTTGTTATCTTTTGCAACTCTTCAATCAATATGTTCTCGTTGTCCATTGATGCCTATGCTTGTAAATACGTGTTTATGTGTATATAAAAAAAAAACTATTCGACAGTTGTCTCCCTAGCACGCGTGGGATCGCGTCTTTTTTGTTCCAAGAAACCCAAGAAATTAAGGAGGGGTGTGCTGGATTGTCTTGCACAGCAGTTCAGGAGTGCAAAATATCATATCTGCAAGGAGAACCATGATGTTTCATGGACACAACAATAAGTACAATAAGTAGAGCAACCTACAAGCGGGCGGATCCCAGCTACTCCTCTTCCCACGGGGGAGGAGAGGGCTCATTCGAGCCACTCTGAAAAACCACAACGATAAGCCGACCTCATGGTTCCTTGGTTGATGTTACAATGTCTTTTTTATGTTTTATTTTTTATTACTGGTTGGCTGTTTAAAAAGTGCGTAGAAGGGCGAAATGCAAGTTGGATGGAGTGGGTATCATAAATTGTGCGAATGCTAAAATATTGTTCACCGCTACTTCTCGCGATCTACCACGATTTCCTCAGCTGCCGTAGGAGGATTCTTCCAAACGTCCAGCGTCGTGTAGTGTTGTGTGCCAAAGGTCGGTTTCTGTACAGTGGATATCTCTCGTTCAAATGCCTTCCATTCAATTCCCATACATAGTAGACGCCCTCGAGCCCCGATGGCCATCCCAAAAGATCATAATCTCCTCTCCATCCCCTCGCGTCATTGTCGATCTTGCATCCGAATACGTTGAGAACGTCGAGTTCCTTACTGCTGCCAATGGTCGACCGCCGGTCGCGTACCTCCCACCGTTGCCATAATCCCCGCTAAACTCGCTGTCCATGTAATCAAAGTGCCGGGCCATGATACTGGCGATCCATGGATCCAATTGACCATTGCCTTCAAGGGTCTCGGCTTGGTGATCCGATCGATCGAGAGTGTAGCTCTTAGGTGGCGGGACGAGCCTTGCTGGGGCTGATACTGGGGCTGATGCTGGGGCTGATGCTGGTGGCGGTGGTGGGGACGAAGGTGAAGCGACGTAAGACGTGGACGGGGATGATGCCAGTAGCGAAACCAGTGCGGTCGGCGCAGGTGTAGATGGCGTCGAGGATCCTCTTGCCAGAATGGGTTCGGACATCATGGTGGGCATCGCATGGCCAGATTCGGATTTGGGTGCAGGCGATGATGAAGTCGGACTAACATGATAGCTTGGGTGAAGAGGGCGGGGTTCCAAGACCATGTTTGGCGGCCTAGGTTTACGTTTGCCGGACGCCATGGACTGAGCCGAGGAACGCGTCGAGGGTGCCGTTACCATCACTGTTGGTGTATACTGTTGTTGCTCCTTCTGTCGATTTTTTGCGTCGTAACCTTCGCACGCCTGACCCTCTGTAAAAAATGTCTCGGGGACCTCTTCCTTTCTACCTGCCTCCGCCTGTGCTCCGGTTTCAAGCCTCCTGGCCTCAGCGGTTCTTCTCTGGGACTGAGTTCGCTTGAGAGAGTTGGAAGAGTACAGGTTGTTGGATTTTTGGATCATCTCGCTGTTCTTGGCCTTGATGTTGTTGAGACGCATAATTTTTGGAGTAGCCTTCTTGTTGATGGCCATGAGGACGGCCTCGTCTAGGACTCCAGTCGAGATACTAGATGCGATTGAAATATGCTTGTCGTAGTTTTCATCAGCAAATGACACTTGGGGAACTAGATAATGCAAATGAGCACAAAGAAAAGGCACGTAAGAATGATACTCATGTTTGCGCTACATCCTTAGGTTTAATTTCCATTGTGATGACTTACCTCCACCAAGATGTGCCATTTCTGGTACGTTGGGAATATATGCGATCCTAATAACATCCTTCTTGCCCTCCATTTCACTAGGGAGCTGCCATAGGAGAAAATTTAATTAGTCCATGGTACGAGAGCCATCATGAGTGGGAACAGGGGAGCTGAAGAAGAGGGAGGTAACAGACGAACACCAAACCAAAAGCATAGCACCTATTTCATGTCCATGTCAGGGACCATTCTCTGAAATGTTGAGAAAAGGGTGCGCATGGCCCCTGCAATGATGAAATGCCCATGACCAGGGGCTAGTCGCGTGTGGAGTATTAAAAGGTGGTAAAGTGGTGGATTAGGGATGTCCAGGAAGGATTGGAAATTAATTAAAATGAAACTGATTCACCAAGAAAAGGTAGGGTGCCCAGGAGGTTGAGGCAATTTCAGGGACAGTAAAGTGTCACTTGTGGCTATCCTGCTAGGCAGCAGATTCAGAACTTGTCGATGCTGGCAAGGGACGGGGGGACAGGGCCACGCGAGTATGTTGACAATGATAAATTGAGTTTGTAGGTTTGCACAGAGCAGTCATTGGGGACATGTGTGGCATGGGGGGGGAGTACAAAGTGCAGAGACGGCAGGCAAACAGTAGCGCATGGTCCCGCCTTCGGGAGATATTTTGTCTCGCCTCGCCCTGTCTGATCCACAACATTTATCCATAAAACACACCAAACAAACATACGAGAAATCACAAAAAACGGACACTCTCGAATCAATAATGCATTCCATTGCCGGCAGCCATGAGCGAAAAAGGGATGGGGAGAGGAAAAAGGAGAGTGCCAAAGAGAGAGAGAGAGAGCCACCTGCTCTTTACTTATCGCAATAGGGAGGGATGACGACTGTTATGATGTAGTGTCTATGGGTGGTTGAAGCAAAACTGCAAAATTACAGACACCAAGTGAACCATATAAAAACCCATTCAATACATATCCAGCCATCTACTACGAACAAGAGACTTTTTTACCCGCTCCTTGATGAACCATCTGTGTCAAACGATGTTCACCTGCATTCGAGAGATCTTTTTGCATGTCAAACTGAAAAAAAAAAAATGGACGAAAAGTATCAGAGGGAGAGCAAACTTACCCCGCGCCAGACCTGGTTACTTTCGTGTATCTTCTTGTTGGTATCGTCGAACGCATCCACAGATCCATCAAACTTGTAAAATTGTCCCTCCTGGTCAATCAGTCTATTGCCGTCCACATCTCGCCGCTGCTGACGCTTGCGCCTCGCGATGAAGAACACAATGACAAGGATGATAATCAACCCAGTAAGACTGCCGAGCACAGGTCCCAATATAGATCTGCCCCCTGACGACCCGTTTGAAACACCGGTGCCTGGTCCAATGGATCCATCACTATTGCCGGTATCGAAGTCGACTTTTTTGACACAGCTGGCGACAGGGCATTGACAGCTAGATTGGATCACACTGAGGCGACACTCATAGCTGGATTCACAGGGAGGACAGGAGCGAGTGCTGGGCGCGCAGCTTGGAATCGGACATGGGGTAGTGGTTGGAGGGATGGAGGACATAAGACTTGAAGTTGCTGCTGATGTAGTCGTAGATGAGGAGCTGGAGGGAGGTGAAAAGAGTGCTGTAGAGGATGGCCGTGGATCTTGTAAGGCGAGGGTGGGCATGGTTGATATGAATTTGTATATTTAAGCTGAGAGAGGTGAGAGGTAGGTAAGAAATGATAATAGAAAATATAGAGACAAACAAACGGTCGAGAGGAATGAGAAGTGAGGAATAGGAAGTGAGGAGTAAGAATCAAAGAATAAGAAGTAAAGAATAAGGAGTGAGGAATGAGGTGAGGAATGAGAAGCGAGAGGTGCAATGAGAGGAATGAGAAGGAGTGGGGGTGAAAGTGAGAGTGAAGAAGTTGTCGGAGAAGGACAGAGTTCGCCGAAGAAGAGGCTGGGCGGAGTGTGCCTGAGGTGTATTTAAGGTAGAAGGAATAAAACAGAGTGGAGGGGGAAGGGGGCGCAAGTGCAGTCTGTACAGACACATCGGACAAAACAGCAGCATCGACAACTTTGAAGGCAACAGCAACGCCGAGAGCAACAGCATCCTACGGAGAAATATTCGCTGGAGAGCCCTCAATGGTGACCTTACATCTGCATTCATCTTCAGATATTCAGATGCCAAGGCAGCATAGACTAAGACCCGTCCATGTATATCCGTATGCCCAATGCCCGAGACACATTCACGCTGCATTCCTTCGCCCCTCTTCTCGTTTTCACGTTTATCCATGGGGTATGTGCACGACCCTCAGAGCAGGTCTGTCCCTGAAAACATGTTTCAGGCGCCAAACTGTAATTTTTCGCATTCATGGTCATTCCTATGGCCAGATGACAAGCGGCCGCGCGCCCAGTACCTATCCAGCTGTCTGTTAGACATGTCTGAGCTAAATCAGCGAGCCAGAACGGGTGCATACTCCTAGGCAGGCAGGATCTACGCTTCTCACAGTCTAGGGAAAACAATTTCAGAACGCGTGCACGCGTGCGCCCTTCAGGGTTTCCTCTTCTTTGGGTGTGATCCAATGAGGACCTACAAGGCCTTATGTCACGTGCAAGATATCTATTAGATATCTCTTCATGGTATTGGCTCAAGCTTCGTAGGTTTCTCTTTTGCCATAGAGCTCATTCAAAACCTTCAGGTAACGATGGCAAACAACACACTTCCCATATACATCCGCCCACACCATCACCATTCACTCCATCCAACTTATGGAGAAGAGAATCAGTCCTCCTTGCAGTCTCAGCTTCAGCGTAGGGCGTATGCAACTACAGGAAGAAGCAAAGAAAAATAAATAAAAAATGCGGTGCTCAAGCAGTCAACTGGACACAGCTCAGCAAAGCTCAGCTCCACTACAGGAATCCTCATAGGGTCTTTTGACGAGAGAATCCGCATTTCGAATGGTGGACATTGCATCCCTGAACATGGTCAAAGGGAAGCAGAGTCAGGAGCCCTTAATCGCTCTTTTTCGCCTTGTCCTTGGTCGCTTCTGAGCAGCCCTCGTCAGGTCGCCTCTTTTTTGCTTTTTCCTTTTTCCTCGAAGCGTGGTTCTTTTCCCAGCAGCCCGCAATTCGCATTATTGGAAGAGAGTCACAACCCATTATGCTAAGCACTTTAAGCCCTCCCCGGTCTTGGGTCTGGGTCTTGGCTTGCTTCCTCTCCACCTCCACCTCGCCCCTTCCAAAGCTACGAGGCTACAAACCCCTACCACTCTCTCTTCCCGACCCTATTTCATTTCTATCTACTTACTTACTGCTTCCTTCTCCCTTGTCCATCCACATTTCGACTTGACCACCTCCTTAACCCTCTTAAGAACAGTTTGCGAGCTACAGTCCAATCGCCATGAAGCACTATCAAGAGCATACTCTTCCAACAGCATTTTCAAGCGACGTCTCCGACTCGGAGGACATGTATGGAGGGTCTGATACAGATGACATCCATCCCTCATCAGACTCCGAGCTCGTCTCCCACCCCTCAGATAACGAGGACCACCCCCAGTCGCTATCGGTCCCCGCCTCGCCTTCCCGTTATACCGGTCGTTCGGCCCATGCTTTGGCCAGCGATGGCGAGAGCGACGGCGAAGTCGATCATGAACGGATGGGTCTCCCCCCCGCTTCTTTCTCCTCCCAAGACTTGAACCAGCACTCGCCCTCCAGACGACTTCAGGAAAGCAAGATGCAGGACGATTTCTTCCTGGTCGAACCATCAGACCTTGATCCTTTGAGCCGCTCCCAGAGCTCACTCTCGTACCACTCGGACCATAGCCACCACGACGACCCTATGCACTTCATTTACCCGTCCATGGTACTCTCACCGCCGATAGAGACTCATGTACCACGCGCGGACGATGCCCAAGAGCCCGCAGCCGATAAGGTTTCTGACTCTCAGGACAAATCGCACCTATCCTTAGCGCATGACACCCTAGCCTCAGTCGATTCGAGCATGGAGACTTTATCAGGAGCCCTGCAATCCAAACCTACGCCGAATAAGCCTGGAACGCAGGCTACAACAGAGGAGCACACCGAGTCGCAGCAGGAGCAGCAGGTTGAAAATGAATTCCATCAAGACACTGCCGACGAATCGACTCCATTGTCCGGTACTGTGGAGCTGGTGCCTGTACACGCCCTTTCAGAGGACATCCCTGCAAAGGAATGCAGCACGCAAGATGACCTGCCACCCGCCGGCGACAGTGGTCTTTTGTTACTTGACGCCAGAGCCCGAGATGCTGAATCACCTAAAACTGCTGCAAAAACCACCTATCAGAGCACAGGCAGCCCCAAAAACAAATCGCCAGCTGCTACCAGGACCCTTTTCGAGCGACCCGCTCAAGAACCCTCAGCGCACCTCACTGCTGTATCCAACACTATTGTGAGCAATACACCATGGGCTTATCTCAATGTCCTAGCCACCTGTGTTGGTCTCTTTCTGGTGCTACTTCTCTCAGGCTTCCTTGCAGCCAAATATCATGTCTGGTCAGCCCGGCCTGCACACGTTGAGGTTTATGATATCCAGTATTCGGGGTATACACGACTAGCAGTTGTTGAATTGCGTGTGTACACAGCTCATTTCAAACAGGAAACACGCTGGACTCGACCACCAGGATTCCACATCCGCGTCTTGGACGACAAGAAGCCCTGGAGCCTTGAAGAGGCACCTTCTCAGCAAACACTTCTATTTGTAGAACCCATGGTCACCTGTGTGCCGGGTGGATATTGTACGGTGTATGTCCCTTCGCTTCAGGGACGTACTCGGAGTGGTCTGTCCCCTTGGCTTTGCTCTGACAAGTCCTATTATCTGCATATCTGGTTTGCTAATGGCACGCGAGCCTTGGACACACCGCCAGAGATCTTTACCAATCGAGGCAATGGAAAGCCGAAACCTCGCGAGTGCCTAACGGGATCCGGGGGATTCTTCGCAGATAAGAATGGGGCTATGGACGGTGACGACGAATACGACGACTATGTTGCATACTGGAAGGGACAGTTGCGGCATATGGCGGATGTAGTCACAGACCATTGTTCAAGCCTTTCCTCGTCCATGATGAGCTTGGGTTGGGGAAATATCCAATTCGCCATCTCTGAAGCCCAGGACATAGTTCAGGTCGCCCTCAAGTACTCCAAGCAATTCGGTCTCATGGCTGCCGACACTTTGCTGCAATGGAGAGATCTGATGCTCAGGACTGAAGACGATGTGTTGGACCGTGCGCGCGTTGCCTTTATACGGGCTCAAGGAAATGCCAAGAAGATAACCAGAGAGGCATCGTCGAGGGTTCAGCAATTGATGGATCAATTTCATGGCAAGCGTCAGTTTCGACCTTTCGACAGGGTTTCAGCAAAGAGTGTTCTTCGCAAGGCCGACCGGATCCTCTACAGAACCGAGGAGATGCTTGCGGATGTGGAGGAGAGGTTCTATTCGTCTGAGCGCGTGGATAGAATCGTGCGCAAGGCGGACAAGATAGTACTGCAAGTCGAGACCAAGGTAGAGCAGATGCTCGACTCTGAGCTTGCGCGCAATGTCAAACGCAAGATGAAGCGGAAGCTAAGCGAGTTTGCGTCGACGCCAACGGGCGGCAAGGTTGTCCGTGAGGTACACGCAGTCAAGAAGGACGCCAAACGTCTTTGGAGGGACGTGCAGAAACAGTTGCGTCGCATGGGATAAGCGGTGCATTTGCCCTCGCATTACACTGCATGTTTGTTATGTTCCTCTTTTTCGTATTTTCGTAACTTTTTTTTTTTTTTTTTTTTTTTTTTGGCTGCACAAAGCTGAGAATAAATGCGTCACCATAAGGTTAAAAAGACCGCTTCCTTTTACGTTCACCCCATTCCTTTATTCCTCCATTTCCTCATTCTCGATTCACTCACTCACCCACGCATGACAGCCACAGTAACAAGAGCAAGCGCGTTCCTTGCAAGAGTCGCCCGACAAAGGACTAGTCAGCTCTGTCGTCCCAGTTCAGGGTTCCTCTCAGCAACGTCGCTGCAACCAACCTCACCACCACCGGCCTCATTCCTCCTGGCACGCGGCCTTCACGCCTCACCACCAGGGCTGCGCAACAGACCACCGACATCTTCTTGGGGAGATCTAATCCCTCAACCGCCACGACCGTCTTCTTCAGTGGCGAATCCGCTTGAGAAGCTCATTCTTCGACCGCAGTATAAACGGTTCGGACAACAGGGGCCGAGCTCGAGAGGAAGCGGGCTGCCGATTTTGCAGGATAGGCGGTATCAGGTCCTAGGTGGGGTTATTGTTGTGGGAGGAGGAGGGTATTATTTGACCCATCTGGAGACGTAAGTGTGATTTGATTCGAGGGACACGGATCCGACAATGGCGTCCGGATGAGATCTACTTAGGTTCTGGCTGCTGATCGCATGTTGGCTGTTGGTTTGATAGGGTACCTGTGACGGGTCGACGTCGATTCATGGATGTGTCCCCGAAGCAGGAGGAGATGATGGCTAAACAGGCGTATAATCAAGTCATGCACCAGGTAAACTGCACTGCATCGCACTGAAGAGATGTTTCCGTAATCGTCATCATAGAAGGTTTGAACCTTGCTAACAGGCGTTTTCTTTGTGAATATGGAATGTCGTAGTTCGGAAACAAAATTTTGCCGCCGAATCATCCATACACGATATTTGTAAAACGCGTCGCGTCAAGGATCATCAAGGCTGCAGGAATGGAGAGTAAGACGCAGATTACGACACTAGTAAATCTAGTAAATACGTTTTCTTTTACAGTTATCTTGGACTGATGGTTTTTTTTTCTCTTGCTCTGTTCGTCCTCGAATTCATCATCGCCGCGATTAGATCTTGACTGGGAGTTCCATGTGATTCAGAGCGATGAAAAGAACGCGTTTGTGTTGCCAGGAGGAAAGGTCTTTGTCTTTACAGGGTACGTCGTCAAGTCTCGGCGCCTTTTTCTCGATAAATGACCCCCCCCCCCCCCCTCTCTCTCTTCTCGCTGCGGCATCAAATATTAATACTCAAATCCTTTGTTGCTTTCGCTTCGACTTGTAACGCAATAATAGGATTCTGCCAATCGCAGAGAACGAGAACGGGCTGGCGACGGTGCTGGGACACGAGATTGCGCATCAGCTGGCACGTCATTCGGCAGAAAAACTGAGCTTCACAAAGATTGCCATGTTTATCGGAGTCATTGTTGCCCTCGTCTTTGATCCGTCCTGGGGAATACAGCGTATTATGATGGATCTCGGCATGATGGTAAATGAAATCTCTCGCTCTCAGCTTCCGATTTTCGATCTAGACCAATTTGTATCGTCGTATTATCAATCCGCTAACACTATGCGTACTTTTTCACCCCTACATTACCCCTTTGATATAGCTGCCATTCAGTCGGAAGTGCGAGACAGAAGCAGATCAGATCGGACTGCAGCTCATGGCACAGGCATGCTTTGATCCCCGGGAGAGCACTCATATGTGGGAACGCATGGCTTCACAGGAGAGGGGACCTTCGCTTGCTTTCTTGAACACCCATCCAGCGAGCAAGGACCGTGTCCGCAAAATGGAGGCGTGGATGCCGGAGGCTCTGGATACGTACAACAAGTCGGACTGTGCAACAACCAACTCCTGGGCGGACATGTTCAACAAGTCCAAGCTGGCATCCTGGTAGTCAATGAGAACGAGTACAACTTAGACCACCATACAATTTAATGAACTACATATTCGCAAGATGACTGAAGAACATAAGTACATATAGTTTTAATAGAGTTAGACAGTAGTATCGCAGCATATGGTGACTTCATAAGCGCCTAGATAGGCTCAACCTCCAGATCAAAATCGTCGACCTGCTGAAAGTATTTGATCCGCTCTTGTTGCGCTGCCCATTGTTCTGCAGACCAGCCGCTCCTGTCCTCTGCCTTGCCCTTGCCCTTGTCCTTGCGCTTGTCCTTGTCGCTCACAGATGCAGAACCCTTGACACCGCCGCGCTTGGATACTGGCTTAGAGAGTTCACCAGGCGCAGATCGTTTCTTGCCCAAAGTTCTTGCTCTACGCCTCGTGTCCACCGAATGTGTCGCTGTACGTCCGCGTCGTAACCGCGTCAAAGACTCTCTCTCGTCCTCCGAAGCCGATCCAATTGATCCATCCGAGTCATTCTCGTCTTCCTCGCTACTGCTGCCCAAATCCACCACATTGTTGTTCCTGTTCTTGCTCATCATATTCAGCTTCCTCCTACGTCGTGGTAGCATCGCCTCAAGTTGTTCCGTCAACATGTACTTCTTCTTTGGCCGCGAGCGTCCTTTGCCCGGACCTGTGGACGGATATTCCAGCGACATTGGCATTCCGGCTTCCGGTTTCCTTGTAGGTGTACGATCAAGAATTATTGGTGAGAAATCGCTCGAAAGAATTGAAAGGTCCGAATTCGTAGAGTCGTCTGAACGAGTCTTCCTTGGTGGTGTAGAGGTAATATCGGTGACAGCTTCCATCTCGATATCGTGGCTGTAGGTATTGTCATCAAGAACTGGGGTATGTGCGTTGCTGTGTGCGGTCGAAGCAGTCGTGTCCGCCAAGGTTTGGGCATTCTGAACACCGACGGCGGCCGCCTTTCCATACAGCCGAGATATACGCCTCGTGCTCCTAGTCAAAGTTTCTTCGTCGTCCTGGTCTGTGGCGATTGTTTCCTGCAGAATTGTATTATCGCCTTCGGTAGCCGTCGTACGAGCACCAGACTGCGATGTTGATGATGCTGTTAAACCACTCGAACACCCTTCGCCATTGGCCACATCCAAGCCCCTGCTCAGCTGGACCGCTCTCTGTATATCCTCTGCCGAAAATTCTGCGGCCTCACTCCGGCTCCTGTCCGCATCATGACTATCACTCGAAAGCGGATCCTGCTCCACAATCTTCCCTTTGCCCTTGACGTCGCCTCTCCTCCTGTTCGCAACCCTCTCCAGAACAGCCTCACGAGTGGTAAGTCCATTTTCATCAATCGTGCTCCTGTCGATGCTGGTGCTTGGACTGCTGATTCTGCTGGTTGTGGTGTCGACGGCCATGGCGGAGGCAGAGACAGCTGGGCTGCGGGCATTGACCTCGTTGATAGCCAATAGTTTCGGCCGCATGCTCTTGGTCCTCTGCAGCTTCCGTTCGACCTTTGAGAATCCGAACGGATCATCATCCTCATCGTAATCGTCCATCGCCCCGTCCTTATCCCAGCTCAAAAATGCTGCTGTTGCTGGTGCTGCTGAAGAAGAAGACTCAAGACGGTCCTTGTGCTGCTGTTCGTCCGGTTCCAGCTCTAAAAGCGTAAAATCAATAGTTCTGCGCCGGGACTGGTCGTTCATGCATGAGCTCGATTGTCGGGAATCAAAGTTCATCCTCCACGGACTGTTTCCTTCGCCATAGTAATCCTCCTCGTCATCGTTATCGAAGAGTAATGGGGGAGGCGGAGAGAGCGAGAGTCGAGAGAACAACATCGAATTGTGATCGTCGCTCTTGCCTGAAATCCCGCTCTCCACATTCGCCTCGTTGTGTTTCCGCAGCTTTGGCGACGAATCCTTGAGCATATCGGTTGTAAAGGCATCCGTTGTCATACTGGTCTCGAAGTTGAGCGCATAGTCATCGTGAAGATCTATGGGAATTTTCGCATCTGTGTGCGCACGAGTATTATTATCCAGTGTTTCCCATGACCTGAGTTTCCGAGGGTGTTCGACAATGACCACAGCTTCAACACGCTCTCGGCGGGGTCTTTCGACCTCCTCGTCTTCTGTCGGGTTATTGCTTGCTGTCGTTGTCGTAGCAGGGGTTCGCCGCGTATCGCGCATAATCCTTGTACCTCGTGTCGTCAGCGGCGCATCCTTATTGAGTGATGCATTGGCTTTCGCATCCGACTGCATTGGATGTGTGGTTGTGCTTCTGCTGTTGTCATGATTCTCTTTGTCCGCTTCCAGTGCATCGTTATTATTGTTGTTGTTTTTCTTTGATGAGGCCGCAGTGATGGCACGTGTCCTCGTTCGTCGATTAGGTCGTGTATGTTGTGCAGCAGGAGAAGCTGATGCTGGGGTTGTATGGCGTCTGGTTCGTGTTACTACCATGGTGGATGTATACAGGGAAGGGGGAGGGTGCGAAGGATGCTTGTGTGTAAAAGAGAAAAAGAATGTGCGGAGAAGGTTGGTGGCAAAGTAGGTTAAAAATTAAGGAATAGTAACGTCACGCGCTTATTTTTATTTTTATTTTTTTGCAAATATTGAAATAAACAGGTGAATGCTTGATATCACTAATGCCACTCGACCCGGATCCATATCTCCTGGCGCTGACGCGTGTACGCGTTGGATCCTAAAGTCTCGAGTTATCTACGTATCATAATCGCGGTTTGTCAATGTCGCCTAACATCCGCAATCCACTCAGTCGCAACCTATACTCGCCATCAGGCACCGGTATTTTCATAACAGGCGGAATCTTTGTGCGACTTGTAGTTAGTAGATGCTAGTCCTGCCCTCTCCTCTTCTTCGCGGACGCATCTTCGTGTGCTCTGAGGTCCTTTATCATCGTGTCCTCCTCTTCTTGCCCTTTGCCCAATCCTTTGCCCTTTCTTCTAGTTTGTGGCCCATGTCCGCCATTTCTAGAAGCCTTTCGTTCGCTCTCGACCTCTCCAAGGTTGCAATGAATCAGCTGAGTGAGATACCCGCTCGTGTCCAACACGTTCTGCATATTGTCTGCCATCTGCGCACGCATTCCATGTATGAGATTCACTCCTGGCTCATGATGAACCAGCTTGTTAACGTTGGCGCGTCGTGTGCTATTGCTATCGTTATCTTTCACCAGATTCAAAGTACTAGCCCACTGAACAGCCGAGACGACCAATTAAGTCAACGACCGTGGCACATACTCGTTCGACGCGATCCTTTCGATGACTTGACAGAGAGCTGTCTGGTTGAATGAAGATGGGCATGGTCTTCATTCGTCCCTTGACCCCCTTGCTTACGGAACATGGACGAACCCCTCTCGGCCTGAACTGCTTGTCTGATGAACTGGGCTGAAAGTTGAGATGGCACGTATGACAATGTACTCGGAATAGACCCGATACTCCTCGGCGAGAACATTACCTGGAGATATAATCTTGAATGCATCACGGCGCCGTCCTCCCGAGGGTACAATAATCACACTCGTCAAAAAAGCAACGCTGGCCTCGGCCTTCACAAACAAGATATCTTCCTTGTCCTTCTCTGACGGCGATGTCGCATTGCACATGCCTCGTTTTTGTAGCATAGCCGCCTTGCTCTCGATCGTGAGCTCGTGCAATGATTCCACGGATAGCTGGAATAGCTCGGGCCGCGCTGTGTCACGACCGTAACTATGTAGAGTGATCATTTTCGGCTGTCCATTCGCAAACTCTGTATCATTGAGCTCCAGCGACGAAGGCGTAACGAATGTCGATCGAATAGGCGGAGCGACGGTCCCGTTGTTGTCCTGAGTTCCGTCAGTTAAAGTATTGGTTTTGAGTCCATACTCTAGACTAGCCAGTGCACGATACACGTCAGCCATTTCAGATCAGATCACTGTTTCGCGACAAATCGACCGTCCGTACTGCGTCCTGTAAGATTACTTCCGCGTCTCCACCTTCTGGAGTTGGAAGAGTGTAGACTGCAGACTTTACTCCCTTTTCTTCTATGGAGAAAGTCGCGCAGGAGGTCTTATTACTTTTTCGCGCTTCTCACCGACATCCTGCAATGATCATATTTTGCATGTTTGTTTGGTCTTTGAGGGCTACTTCCTGCCTCATGGCCAAGCAAGTATCGGGAAGTGCGTGTGTCAACACCGGATTGTCTTTATTGTAAAATGCTCAGTTTGATACTGCATCCTGCTCAGTATTTCATTCTCCTGGCATTTGACATTGCGCGTATCGCGTTGTTCTACAGCCGATTACTCTCGCTTCTTTGCCTTGACCGAATCTCATCATCCAGGGCAACGAGTCCACACACAGATCCCGATCTAAACAAGTCTGCAACCGAAAGCGGATAATTTGACATCTGGCTGTAGAACCGCTTGTGTCCTCTCGATAGTCCATCAGTACTGGCACCAACACCTGCTCCTGCAAAGATAGATCCGCTGCCCGGTATCATCCCTGACAGATTCGAGGCTGAAGACGATGTAGACATGGCAGCTGAAGGCGCTGGCGTTTGAGTTCCAGGGTGGAACGTAGCGTTATTGAGGGTCTCTGAGAACGCTCGCGCATGCGAGGAATACCATGGCTGCTGTCCGGTCATCATCATGGGCCCCTGTTGCTGAAGTATCCTGTCTAGTTCTCTCTCCTTGGCTCGCATTGCAGTCTCTGCCTGAATCAGAAGCGCCTTGATGCCTTCGTGGTTGGCCTCGAGCGCCAATTTGTATGCGGCTCCATCATCCAGACGATGGTTGGCTCCGTATTTGAGTAGTACCCGTACAGCAGCCTCATGTCCATGCTTACACGCTAATTGAAGAGGTGTTCCCTCGTGAATGTTGACATTTGCGCCATGCTCAAGTAATATTGCAATAATGTTGTCGAAACCTAGTTACCAAAGGAGAAGAGTGAGGGGATTATGAACATTGACGCTCTTGGACTGATATTCAAAGGGCCCTATGGTGATTAACACGCAGTGATATTTCGTTTGCCTACCTTGAGATGCTGCCGTTCGCAGAGCGCTGCATCCTCCCCACATTGTATCAGCCCCGCTGCTACACAGAACTTTCACTGCCTCTGCATGTCCATATTCTGCAGCCTGTCGCAATGGTGCTCCCGCCTTGGTCTCGATGTCAGCACCAGCTTGGATCAACAGCTTCAGTATCTCGACATGGCCCTTGTGTGCAGCAACTAAGATCGCCTCCTCGCTAAACGCATGTACGTCCGCCTCATAGTCCATCAGTAGCTTTACCATCTCCAGATCGTTTCCGCGCACAGCATAGCGTAGAGCTTTGTCGGCGTCCTTTTGGATGTAGAGTCCACCCGCCATGACCCGCTTCGCCCTCCTGGTAGACGGGACGACACTTTGAAAAGCTGACGGTCCCTGCTCCAGCTGTGCACCACGATTCTCTGCATAGTCGAGGAGCGCTCTGACGGTGTCGCAGAAAGATTGTTCGTATGCAGCCTCGAATGCCTTGTTGAGTCCGCTCTCTGAGGGCACATAGTCTGGTTGTCGAAGGAGGAGCGAGACAACGTCTAGAGTGTTCGAAGAAGGAATTCATTGCAGTCAGCTCAGCTGCATATTTATGCACGTAGAAGAAATAGAGTACAAAAAAAAAACGGCAACGCTGTAGGAGTTCGCATCTGGTGTTTACTTTGCCGACCGTTCTTTGCCGCCTCCCGCAGAAACCAATCAGATCTAAATCGAAGATCAATCCTCGGCTCGCTTTTTAGCAGTTGGGAGACTACGTCCATGTGTCCCTTGGAACAGGCCCATCGAAAGCTGGATGAGTTGAAAGAAAGAGGGGAAGTGTCAGTGGTCTAGTACAAAAGATGCCGACCATGATTTGGTCGCTTTGTCTTGCAGCGCACTAATGCGGACAATCACTTGTCTAAAGAGAGGTCCATGCATCAACACCCATCCCAAGTAGGATCATCCATGGTAGAGTGACAAGTAGAATAATATAAAAAGCACATGCAGCCCATGGTCTGTTCTGAGCGTTTGTGCGATGATGTGCGATTGTATTGTGATTCGCCGATAACCTTCTTTTTGAGGCCCACTGCGAACGCATGGCTGCTGCGTTGGTTGGCAATGGTCAAACTTTTTTCTTCTTTGTCACACAGCTTTCAAGGCACAATGTGATGTGCGTGTGTATGTGGTGTGTGTATGCGTCCAAGTCGAGCTACTCCTCCGAGCGGTATGTTTCATGCCGCTGTTGTTTGAAAAAAATTCGTTATCGCCCCCTTGATCTCCGCCCAACAGAATTCAAGGACGTAGCCTACAGCGATGCAGATTGGTCCTCTACACTTCCTATTTACCCTTGTTATTTCCCCCCCCCCTTCCCCTCATCCATGGTGATGCAAGAAGAGCAAAAGAAGTGGATGGACAGACACAGAACCACTAGTTTTTCGTTCAACGGGAATCAAGGGGGAAAGGACATGTTGAACAAGCAAGCAGCCAAGGAAACAGCTATCCCCCCATCTTCTGTCATTATTTCTTTCGTCCCTTAAAGTTCAAAGTTTCAACCAGAGTTGCCCAACTTACATAAACTCCTCTGAATCTCGAAAGGGGGCCCCCATGGCCATCAGGAGCATGACCACAGGAGAACTGAGAATAGAGCTCGTCAGCCTGTGGAGCTCAATCACCTTGCGGGTCAGTACCTGATCTGGGCCATGCAACAGCCAAAGGTACTTTGCACGCAAAGATGGTGACCTCGAAAGACGGTAGATCTGACGACAGCTTCTTACAAAGTTCCGAGGAGAGATCAGGCGGCAAATGATTTCCTCCAGGATCTCTGTCGGGAGATCTAAAATATGATTTGTGCTCATTGCTGCTGCACAGTCCATGCTCTCTGCTGGTGCTGGCGTTGTTGCCGATGCTGTGTTTGGTGCTGCCGTGGAAACTACAGATGTTGAAGTGATGATGCTGATAGACGAATTATTGCAGGTTGGGTCTTGCAGTTGCACATTGTCCAATAGCGACGTAGGGAATGAAAATGACGACGTTGAATTTGTTGAAAAAGGCGTTGAAGCGGTAGATGATACAGGTGTGCGTTGCGATGACAGTTCCTCGAAGACGAGCGTGCTTGAGCGAGACGAAGCAGGAGAGCTGGATGAGGCCAAGGCAGTAGTGTCAAAAGAATGGTCGGTTGCTGTGGCTTTCAATGGCCGCAGATCCGTAGTAGGGCACTTTGCTGCGATTGCTGTGGAGATGGGGACTGGTGCTGCTGCCGATGTATCGGTGGTTGTCGCTGTGGTTGTGTTTGAGGCCACAGCACACGAGGACAGGTCCTGGTGGTGGTGGTGCTGTTCGGTTGCGCTCTCGCAGAGATGATTCCCTGAGCAATTGGAGGGTGAGCCCAGGGTGGGATCGATACCCTCGCTGTGGGCCGGGTAAGGCTTTCTGTTGTCCTGAAGGGTCTCAGCGGTCATCCTTGAGGGAGGGGGGAAGGGGGAAGGGGGATGTGTGAGAACTCGACGGATATGTTCACCGATGCAGTGTGACGGATAGAGGGCGGAGAAAGAAAGAGATACAGAAACAAAGTGGCAAAGAGACAGGAGACAAGGAAGCGGAGAGTGAGAGAGAGAGGAATGTGTTTTAGAAAGGCGCTGCAGACGTTTTTGGAGGGGGCAGGGGAGTCGGTGGGAAAAGGGTATAGCACTGTGCAGCAGTGAAGAGTGTGGGGAAATTAAGAAAGAGGGAGAGGCGAGAGAACGAAGAAATGAAAGACACAGGTTTGACTGGGCAGAAGAAGAAAACAGAACCACTACGTCGAGATGCATCGGATAGTCTATAGTCTATACCGATGATGCCTTGTGCCCTACATGAAGCAACAGCTTTTTTATGCAGTGGACATAAGAGGGCTCATCCCTCACATTTCTTTTGCTGCAACCACACTAGGGCCATATCACGATATCACGCGGAACGCCGGCTATTTACGAGGCTTGCAAGCAAAGGTAAAGATGATGAAGCAAGTGTCGATTCCTCTCTTCCTGCAGGATGTTATTAAACCATGGCGCCAGCTCTGCCAACACGTCCGTGCGCACCCAACCCAATCAGAAGCCCGGCTTGGCCTCGAAAAAGGGCCTCAGACTGGTTGTCAAATTTAGTGGCGATGGGCTCTTCGGCGCATCGAAGAATGAAGGAACATGCCCTATGAGCGACTTCCCAGGCTGAAGACTTCGCCCATTCACGCCATTCTCTCATTCACACACGGTCATGCCATAAATAGAATGAGTTGTAAGCCGCTGGTGTTGCATTAATGGCCCCTTGTTGTAATGATTTTGCTATGGGTCTTACACATACTGAGATAAGTAGGCTGGAGGGATCTGAGAATACATCAAGCACAGTAACCACCCTAGGCAACATAAATGGCGTTGCTATGAGTGATCCATGTGGGATTGTGAAATAAGTATACTTCCTAGAACTCCAACGGGTCCACTTATACAGGTAGTACTCCTAACACATGCACATTTGATCCACGCTGACTGAGGGCAAATCCCAGAATAGTGGGTCAGCTATGGAAGAGGAACGCCTTCAGACAAGAGACTTGGAAGACTCCTCTCAGCCTCAGCCAGCACAAAGGGAAGGTGGCAATGGAGCAAGACGAAACGGTTTACACACACATACATACACACACACACGCCAAGTAATGAACTTGCGGCGGCAGATCTAGAAGGCCGCTTTTTGTACAGTGGCCAGATGTAATTTATCATGCAGATCCACCGGATTTCAAATCCAGATCTAGCTTAAATGAATGCTGCGGTTAAATGATTTAGTTACTCCTCCTCTCTACAATGCACCACCAGTTGTCGCGATCGTATCCTGATTGCACTACGGTCGCCTTGTTCGTCTGTACAACCAAATCCTCCAATTCTCCTTTATGGAACAGATGATAATATCGGTTATAAACAGGTGGAGCCGTTGTACTGCTATCCGGTGTCGCGGCGGGTGCATCTACAATTATTGGAGGCGATGATGACGAGGATGTGGATTCCATTAAGATCTGCCGTGTACTCGACGTCGTTTCCTGCTTTGCCTCTGTCTCATTGTCCTGAATAGTCAACTGGTCCATTGACTCCGCCACTGAGGGCTCATCCGTTGTCGACGGAGTGTTTGCTCGGTCCTTTCTCTTGGCTCCCTGAGGCCTTGATCTGGCGCTGTTCCTCTTAGGCTCGGCTTTTTTGGGCATAGCCCAAGGCACAAACACATCCTGGACGTCCTTATCAAAGTCCCGCTTTCCTGTTTGCTCAAGTGCCCAAACAAAAATTAAGGCCCTCCCTCCGATCCTTACAACTCTCAAGATCTCCTCGATAGCCGCGACTCTTCTTTCTGGCGAAATAAAATGATGAATCACGGCGATCGAAATGGCAAAGTCCTATAATAATGATCAATTAATTAATTAATTAATCATATGAATGATTAGTATGAGATAAGCGTTCTACACAGCGATATAGAGCATCCAGGCGCTAATAGTTGGCATACAAAGAATTGTGAGCGGTAAGGGAGCGCAAGACCGTCGCAGACCATGGCCTCATGACCACGTTCGCCACAGATGCTAATCAGGTTTGAGCTCCTTGATACATTATAACAAGAGGCATAGTAGAAGAGAATCGATGGAGAAGTACAAACTCGATGATCAGTTCAAATCCGTCCTCCGTTCTTCCGAGTCCCTTTCTGCTGTTCACCTTACCTATCGGATCCGACCATAAACAGTTTCGGATTGACGCCAATATATTTGCCATTGCCGCACCCCACATCTGCACCGACATATCCCGGAGGCATGGTTTGTAGAAACTCTTCAACCACGGGCCAGGGCTAGTTCAAATTATGGCGCGATAGTTCGACGAAATCGCAGGATAGAACCAAAGGAAATGACAAAGAACAAGAAGAAGAGAATTATTGCATTGGCATTGTTATATCACACGTTCGTTTTTGATGCTCTACTTTGGGCCTCCTCTTTCGGCCCTTTTTTTTTTTTCCTCAATTATTGGTTCACATATGATCCCGAACGCACGATCTGTTGTCCTGTGTCTCGTTTTCTGTGTCTCCTGCTCGTGTTGCCTTACCTTGTAGCGCGTTGCCGAGAAGTGAGGCGCAATCAGCTGATAAACATTGTGGACATACTCCTGCTCCTTCTGCTCGGCGGTCATGTCCAGGCCTTCTGCCTGGAAGGGCGAAGGGATGTGGAGTGGATTCTTTTTCTGGGCCATGGGGTTGATTCGTTTTTAGGGAGGCAGGGAGGGAGAGTCGATGGCAAAGCAAAGAATGAGATCTCGCTTCCTCACTCGCAGAAACAGTGTTCCTGTCGCAGCAGCAGAATTTAAGCTGTTGACAAAGCAGTCCGCCGCTGTCAAAAGACGATTGTCGTCCAGCTAATCAGCCTATGTTGTTTTTGCTTATTGTTTTTACGTGTTTCTTTCCCAATCCCGCTTTTCCACCTTCCCACTCGCCTCCCTTTTGCATTACACCACACCACCCGCCAGAGCAAAGCAGTGCAAAGCAGCGCAAAGCAGCATCCTTATCTTCTCCCTCCCTCCCTCCCTCCTCCTCCTCCTACTTCCTGCCTTCTTTCTCTCTCACTCACTCACCCACTCACTCACCCACTCACTCACCCACTCACTCACTCACTCACTCTCACTCACTCTCTCTCACTCACTCACTCTCTCTTATCGCTTGACTTCCTTCTCTTTCTCGGGCACACTCTTCCTCCTCTGGCGCACTTCTCACCACCCCCTCGTTCTCCCTTCCCTCACCCTCGCTTCTTGCACCCGGCATACATTCCATCCCCCGCGCTCTCGCCCACCACAGCTCTGCCCTCACAGCCCCCCAATATGAAGGACGACTCTCTTTCCTTCAAAGAAAAGTACCTGAGGCTACGTGAGCGCTTCGACAGAGTGTCAGCGGTAAGGATCCATTCCAGTCCTTATCCACAAGAGAGCCATCTCCAGCCTCCTCCCCCTCGACTTCGAGTGCCTTCCTCCCTGCCTGGAGAATGAACTGAGCTGGCCCTTTTGTGTTATGTGTTGAATATGCCCCCATCCTGAGAGTTTCAGTAATTGCAATTATGAGCACTTTGTTCTAACGGAAATCTTTCTCTCCGCCATTTGTTTCTCCCATTCTGTTTCCCTTTTCCCAACAACTGCCATTTCCCTCCCCCCTCGTTCGCTCGCTTGTTCGTTCATTATGAAAACGACAACCATATCCGCTTATCGGCGGACTTTTAGACCCAGCGCCAATATAACACCGACCTCCAGACTGCTCGACTCAAGGCTCGCAAACTAAAGGAGGAGAACAAGTAAGGGATTGCAATTTATTTTGTTGCACTGCACTGCTTATATGTCGCCCATTCATGCCATGCCATGCCATGCTATCATGCAACCCTACCGCTGCCATTGCACCTGCCACTGGCACATGCCACTGCCCTGAGACTTGCAAGCAACATATCATATATTTTTATCTCCAGCGGCTTGCTTTCCCCCTCCCTCCCCCCCTGCTTTCCCTCACCGCTGTGCTCCTGTCAGCTGCCTCAAAATATCCAATGCTATCATGGAAATTAAAACCGACGCGTCTCGTTACTTATACAATTTTATCCGCATCCTATTCCCCCTTCTGATAGCCATTTGCTGGATTTATTGAGCGACATGCAGCAAATTAAAGGCTCGGGGTAAGATGTTTATGCAAATTGGGCCCGCCGCCAATTACCAACTGCAGCCTCGTCAAGGGCGGATATTGCAAATCATCGCGTAACATTGATCTCGGAAAAAAGACCGAATCCTGACGCATATATCTTTCCTATTGTTTTCCTTCTATTCAATTAATTAGACCATCAAGTGATAGTGATACATCCATAGACGACATGTCAGACTTTGATGACGAGGACGAGGATGAGCTCAAGGAAGAAGGACATGGAGATCAGAGACACGGACGTTCCAGTACGAGGCGGACAGATGTCATAGACAGGAGGGCACTGACAGGCAGGAGTCGTAGAGGTAATCAGCCAGCAACTGCGACCTGATGTTGGGAGATAGATCACCATAGCACACATCTCGAGATAGGAATAAGCAAAAAGAAAAAAAGAACAAAGAAAGAAATCGTCATTTTCAGGACGGCAGGCACTTTACGTTGCTCTGACACTTGTTCCATATTCGCTCTCCTCTTTGGCCCGATTCCACTACTTGTAGATATCACATCTGGACATGGATCGCAACTGTTCCAAGACTACATGAGCGCAGCCGGATCGAGGAATGGTATCGGCTATGGCGCTGGAAGTGGCAACTACAACGATATAACCAGTAACAATAGACAGGCCAGCGGTAGCGCCTCTGGATCAGCTGCTAGAGCGGGACCGATCGTCAAAAAAGAAAAGCCTGAAGGAGCACCGAAACAGACGAGGCGGGCAACGGCAAGTGCTTATTGCCAGACCACAATGACTGGCATGCATCGGTTTCATTTATTTCGATGCCTAACCATTGGCATGTCTTGCACTTTCATGGTAATAGAAACGAGCGGACCGTGGCCGACCACGGGCAGTCGTGCCGCTTCCGACAAATCCTGATGGCTCACTGAACTACCCCATTGTTGTTGGCAAGGGCACCAACGAGGTCATTATCGAGAATATGGGTAAGTCTTCATACTCGGATGCAGCATTTACTCCACATTGTCATTGACTCGTCTTCTGACAAATGCACTGCGTTTTTTGTCGTTGTATTTTTGTCCACAAACTAGGGAGGATTGTGTGGCAAGGCAGAGGATATCACAACCATCGCTATATCTTCCCAGTAGGATTCCGCAGCAAGAAGCAGTACACATCACTTTCGGACACATCCCGGAAGACCTACTTCATCAACGAGATTTTGGATGGAGGAGAGCAGCCCATCGTAGGTGCAGCAGCCATTCTGATGTTGACGTGGTTTTTTTTCTATCTGCTTCATCTAATGCCCTAGTAATACAGTTTCAAATCACTCTAGAAGACATGCCTGAGAGGGTCTTCCGACACTCCTCGTCCAGCGGCGCATGGGAGCTAGCATTGAAGGGACTGATGGAACTCGGCTACAACGCAAAAACGCATGCCTCAGGGCCCGACATGTATGGTCTGACCAATCTGGGTGTTATCAAATACATCCAGGAGATGCCGAACGCCCATCGATGTCGAAGATACATGCCCCTGAAGTGGATCATTGAGGACGACCCAAACTCACCTTCTTCGCAGGGCGATCCCGCTGGAAGCAAATCGCCTGGTCGGAAGAAGAAGATCAACAATAGTCTGTACGCCAGCAACCACGAGGTTCTCTTGGAGACCATGGAGGAGGCCGCGGGGTCGAAATCTTCATCAGCATCACGGCCATACGCCCCTCGGAAGTACACAAAACGAAAGACAAACCTGACATCGGAGACGGCTGAAGACAATGCGTCACACAGCTCATTCGTACCACCGCCATTAACAGCAGCGGCAGCGGCAGCGACGGTATCGGAGTCAGAGTCGGGAGTGGATCCGATGGAGGATGTGGAGCACAGCGTCGATCAGTCAAGAACGACGCCGGCTGCAACGACCCCTACGATGTCAAGGGCGACGATCGCACCAGTAACACCGTGCTCTTTGAGCGGACAGGAACCATGTTCTCCCAATGCACCGCAGGTGCCTGAAGGCATGTACGACAAAAGCTCAATGCACCATTATGAACATAAATACGAGCATGGTTTGATGGAGCCTTGAGACAACAAGCAGACTGAACGACTTTTACGGCAAGAATACACATGCGCACATATATCCCATTCGCCATTTTTTTTTCTTTTCTTTTCTTTTTTTTCTTTTTTTCTTTCTTTCTTTCTTTCTTTCGCTGCATGCACTAATTCTGCCACACAACGAACACACACACACACACACACACACACACACACACACACAAACTCACATACCACCTGATATCATAGCTTACAATAGTTTACAATATTTCTTGCATACTGCAACCGCGAAAAAAACCAGTACATATAAGAAAAACCATAACGATGACACTCATACAACGACAACATCAAATATGCTTTCCGTGTCCACGCCTCGATGCTACTAGTCCAGATACCAATTGATCTCTTCCCTCAGTTCAGAGTCCACTGATGAATAGAAGACGATGTTGGCTTTTTTTTTTGTTTTTTTTTGTTCCTGTAATTCCTTTTATTATGATCCTTCGCCTATTCTAGACTTCGTGTTCTGCCAAAAGCATATTGGGAATGCCGTCGCGGATGTTGTAGATATGTTGACAGTTCGGGCAGACCATCTTTCCCGATTTGATATGGGTCTATCATTACAAATAAAAGAGAGGTTTAGTTGATTGAATATGCATCCTTCGTATCCGATCCTCTGCTGACTGGGAAAAAAAAAAAAGTCCTTTAAATTACCTCGAGAATAACGCGGTGGAGGATTTGAAGGAATTCGTCGTTGTAGGCTGCGTCTGCGGGCAGTGTTGCGGGAAGATCATTGATATCGAGCTGCAGCAAAGTCGTCCAAGATTGCACACAGGTAGAGAACGAGCAGAAAAAAAAATAGGATCAGTATTACTACTATTATACCCTCATTATGTATGTTCCTAGAGCAAATTTGATCCTCAAGACGCCCTTTCTTTCGTTCGTGGCCTGATATTGTGGCTCGATAGGGTGGGTTTTTCCTCTTCTTCTTCTTCTTCTTCTTACCTTGAGGCATGTTGCGACAAGGGCCTCGTATTCGAGCTTTCCGAGCATGTTTCTCAAAAAGTCCTCGTTCATCTCTGCCTCCTCTTGCTCCAGTACGACCTCCTGCAATTCCAGAGGAAAGTTGTTTGCGTTGCAGCCCTTGACGTGGCACTGAAGCATATTGTGTGTGATGAGTCTCATGGTCGGTAAATTGTCAGTGTTCTGTGTCGGTGTTTGTCGGTGAGTGTGCGTTCAGTTGATGCAAACAAAAAAAAATAATAATGAACTGGGTCCAAGCAAGGCAGGCAGGCACAAAAAAAAAAAAAAAAAAAAAAAAAAACATCCCATAAGCCACTAATTGGTCAAGGACAGCCAGCAGTAACCTTTACGAGAGCGTACCTTGACACAAGAGCTACACCTATAAGCAACACCATAAAACCAATGCCCCACTTCTTAATTCAGTTTGCGCAACAGCATGAGGAGGTACAGGAAAACAACAGGAATGATTAGCGGGACATCATAATACCAAAGTTCTATTACTTACAGTGGCTCTTTTTTTCTTTTTTTTTTTCTGGCCCTTGTTGGACCGCAGTTCCGGTTGCCAGAATTGGAGGCACTGGCAACGATAGAGAATGTGCAGATGACATATAACCCTGACGACTATAGCCTAGAGGTGGGCAGGAGAGATGCCAATGCAACCAATTGTTAATGTATATCTAGGCTTTGACAACCCAATAGCTAAACTTTTTTCTTCTTTCGATACAATAGTCGCCATTTTTGATTGTGGAGATCGAGTCTGCAGAGAAGGCGGCGTCGTTGCTGAAGCGTGCCATACTTATCAAGTAAGCATCGGATACACCTCCTTATCACCTCATTTATCAGGCGAAGAAAGATTAGACGAAAACGGATAACTCGATAGCGTCTTATAGTATCGTCCTCTCAACTTTTTTTTTTTTTTTTTTTTTTTTTTTTTTTTTTTTTTTTTGGAAGAACCATTACGGAGCTCTGGGGCACAGGATCATCATGGGACGAGCTGATTGAGAAAGTGAAGGAACACCCCGAACACTGGCCACAATACCTTCACACGACCTTCAAGTTCTCGGTCGTGACCTTTGGAGGGACGATCGAGATGAAGGACAAGCCGGCGATCATCAACCGCTTTTCCTTCACGGGTTTCCTTGGCAAGATTGATCTCAAGAACCCGGAGGAGGAGTTTCTGTTGATTGCGGATTATGGGATCGATCCGGACGTGGTCGTCGCACATACGTTTTATATGGGCCGTTTGGTAAGCAGAGCAAGTGCGCGCGCACCCCCCTTTACGGACAGCGACAAGCGAGCAATTGCAGGTGCAGGCATCGTTATTCTACTGTCTTCCTAATATCGAAACATTGTTTTGTTTGATGCAATAGATCGGAAACGGAAAACGCGACTTGATCGACAAATTCAATGTGAAGAAACGGAAATACATCGGCAATACCACCATGGATGCAGAACTCTCGTTGATCATGGCGAACCAGGCGCTCTGTGCGCCCGGAAAACTGGTTTACGATCCCTTTGTCGGTACGGGCAGTTTCTTGATGACCTGCGCGCATTTCGGAGCCATGACTGTTGGAAGCGATATCGATGGACGACAGATTCGGGGGAAGGGGAAGGCCAGCATCCAATCAAATTGTGAGCAGTACAACTTGAAGGGCCGAGTACTGGATGCATTGGTGTTTGATGTCTGCCACGCACCTTGGAGGAAGATCAATGGAGGCATCTTTGATGCTATTGTGACCGATCGTAAGTGAATTGGGTGCTGTTGGTACTACAGTTCGATTTTTCGTTCGTGACACCAAGGAGTGGAGAAGTGAGGAACTAAGTAGTCTGTTTCGCCATTTTTTTTTTGTCCGCTTACTACATACAGCTCCATACGGTGTTCGTGCAGGCGCCAAGACACTGGGACGAAAGGATCCTTCTAAGCAGGCGACCGAGCCCAGAATGGCTGTCGACGAAGGCGTTCTCGCACATCTGTAAGTCTATTTGTACACTTATTTCGCCATCGTCTTCCATGTTAATATGAGCAAGATCCGATCCTAATTCTTCTTTCTTTTCTACAGCCTCCCTGATTACATCCCTCCAACAAAGCCTTACGAAATGTCCGAGGTCGTTGCGGACTTGCTCATGTTTGCTGTCAAGAACCTGGTCCGTGGTGGTCGACTCGTATACTGGCTCCCCACGGTGACGGAGGACTATGCGATTGATGATCTGCCTACACACCCTTGTATGGAGCTCGTATCAAACTGTGAACAGGCCTTTGGACAATGGAGCCGTCGATTGATCACGATGGAAAAGGTCAAGGATTGGGATGGAGAATCCGCATTGGGACCACCTACAGGAGATATGAACAAATCGACGACGGTACCCAAGAGACAGGGACATTTCGGATTCCGGGATCGGTATTTTGCCTTTACCGCTGTCGAAAATGCAAAGAGAAAGAAGGAACTGAAGGAGGCCTATCAGAAAGGAGGCCCGGAGGGAGTTGCAGCGTATATGAGGCAGGTCGAGGAAAAGAAGAAGCAGCAGCAGCAAGAACAACAACAGCAAGAACAACGGCAAACTGAGATTCAACAACAATAAAATCGCTGCCTTTCTTTTTTTTTTTTTTTTTTTTTTTTTGGAGCCGATTCTTGTGATTGACATAAACGACGCAAGAGTGAACATGGAGTATGGAATTTGGATTGCTTTTTGCTCTAATGCCAGATGAGTAGGTTTATTGTCTCGTGGGATAGGATATGTTACAGATTGTCAAATGGACTTGACAAACGAAAAAAAAGGTGATAAAAAGTGAGAGAACACCAGAGGGCGTGCCTTTTTTTAACCGCGTCTTACACGAACGGCGTCCGCAAGATCCTGCAGCATCTTGACGGTGTCATCCCAGGAGACACAGGCATCGGTGATGCTCTGTCCGTAGACCAACCCTTCCCTTCCCTGAGGGCCCACATCCTGACGTCCCTCAACCAAATTCGACTCGATCATCAATCCGACGATCGACTTGTCGCCCGCGCGGATCTGGTTAGCCAAATCAGCAGAGACGAGAGTCTGGTTCCTGTGCTGCTTTCTTGAGTTACCATGGGAACAATCGACCATGATGACCTCAGGTAATTTGGCCTTGGCCAAACCAGTCTTGACCTTCTCGATATGCTCCTTTTCGTAATTGGGACCACCGTTTCCACCACGGAGGATCAGGTGGCAGAGCTCGTTACCCTTCGTGTTGGTGATGGCGGCGAGACCCTGCTTGGTGACGCCCAAGAAGTGATGGGGCTTTGCGGCGGCGCGGATGGCATCGACCGCGATCGTGATGTTCCCGTCAGTTCCGTTCTTGAATCCCAGGGGGAAGGAAACACCCGAGGCCAATTCACGATGCAATTGCGATTCCGTGGTCCGGGCACCGATGGCGCCCCAGGAGATCAAATCTGCGAGGAACTGTGGGGAGATGGTATCGAGAAGCTCACAGCCGACGGGGACGCCCATATTCGTCAGATCACAGAGGAGCGAGCGAGCGAGACGGAGACCCTTGTTGATCTGGAAGGTGTCGTTGATGTCGGGGTCGTTGATGAGTCCCTTCCAGCCAACAGTGGTTCGGGGCTTTTCAAAGTAGGCGCGCATGATGATCAACAGTTCCGACGAGAGCTCGTCCGCGACGGGTTTGAGGAGCTGGGCGTATTCGAGTGCGGCCTTGGGGTCGTGGATCGAGCATGGGCCGACGATGACGATGAGGCGGTCATCCTCTCCCCGGAGGATCTTGGCGGCCTGTTGACGGGCGAGCGAGACGACCTTGCGGGAAACTTTCGACTAAGAGTAAAGTAAAGAAAACGTTATGAAGGTAAGAATACGAACTTTTGATGAACCTGGGGGAGCATAAGAGGGACATGATTGATAATCTTTCCACATGTTGCGCTCCATGTGCTTGCTGTTACCATTGGGTGCTCCTCCTGGATGATCTGCGGGGGCAGGAGAGCGGAGTATCCGGAGACACGGAGGTCCTCCATGAATTCGGGGCTGATCTCTTCGTTTGAGTGCATCAGAGGGACGGGCGATTGGGGGCGTTCGGCGGTTGCTGTTGAGGGGGCCATCTTTGATTTTGTCCTGGGGTTTATATAGCCAAGCGAGGGATGTGTGAAGAGTACTTTAGACTGATATAAAGATGAGATTCCGATATTTGTTTATATGCTGTTGTTTGATAGATGGAAGAGGGGGGGTTGCTTTGGTCTGTTGTTTACGGAAGGTAGGGTATAGAAAAGAGGAGCAAAGGCAAAGCGGATGCAATTGAAGGTGGAGTTGCTAATGCAGAGTAGAGAGTAAAAGGGAGCTGTGAGATGGTCCCTGGATGGCGGCGGAGGGGGTATTTATACGTCTTATCGGTCTTTCGGTCCTTGGAGCGAAGACTCATAGAAAAAAATCGTTATCTCGTTTTTTCCGTTTGTAGTGTAGACTAGTCCAAGTATCCTGATCAAGTAAACTACGGACTTCACTTCAAGTACATGAACTGAAGAAACCTCTTCAATAAGGAAGAGCAACCAGTCCTGTGTACCTTTACCCCGTCCAATGCTGCTCACCGGTAACTGGCAACCGAGCAACCAACCAACTGCTCAATGAAAATGCTGGCGCACGATACGCTGGGCTAAGCTTCAGTTTTTGTGACAATTCCTATTAGGATAAAAGACGAATACACTTTATTCTCTATCTCTGTCTCGCCATGGACTTTTGATTAATCCGTCTTCCCTCATTGTTAACTTTCATGATCATGATCATGGTCGCCAAGTTGGAGCATCGTTATCATGATTGATCAGAAAAAAAAAATACCGAAGAAAGCATGTTCATTTTGTCTGTCTTTCTTCTCCGGATCAAACAAAGAGCCCCCGCTCTTGTTGTCTGCATCCATCTAAGACCGATAGATTGACTCGAGTCATCGACTTGGGCCTGAATAATCAACAAAAACGACTAGTTGTGCCATGCTGTAGTGCAAAGAAAAACTCAAAATCCAAATAGACAACCAAGCATGCGGACAAAAAATATGAATACAAACAGGGCGACACTTGTTTTCTCCGGTCGTACAATGAGTTATCTGCGTTCATTTCATATGAAGATCGGTGGTGAATCTGCTTGACTCATCACTTTTTTCTGACATGGCCCTACTGCAGGAATTTTTTTACTTTTACCTCCGCTCCACACTCCACGCTAATGTAGCAAAAAACAACAACAAAAAAACTCGTCGAGTCATCAAAGAACAACAAAACCATGGAACGGTGTCCGTGGAGTAGCAGTGGCATAGACAAAGTCTAACAGTGGGTCCATGTGCTTTTCTCTCTTCGCATCTTTTTCATTTTAACGACACATAATCAAGACCTATGGTCTTTTTTCCTTTTTTTTTTTTTTTATTTATTCCTGTCTGGTTCTGAGCGACGTTCTTCCCGTCGATCCCGTAGCTTTTTTTCATTCTCCGTCCATACTCTCCGTGAAGGGATCGCCATAGAACGTCAACTTTGTATGAGCGAACACTCTGCATGTTTATCATTCTTCACCAAATACACAAAATGCAAGGTCTAGAGATCCATGCCATGATAAGAGCACGTTTGTTAGACTACTACACGTTTGTTGATGCTGATTTGTTTAGTAAAAATTATTAGCGATCGATGAATGCCAGAAAGAGAGTTTTAGATTGAGATATAGATATAAAAAAATAATTAAATAAATCACCCTCCTCCCTACTGGGCCCTATAGCTGCTGCTTTTGCTGCTGTAACTTTTGTTGCTCCCTCAACTGCTGCTGGTGCTTAGCCTCAGATGCAGCCATCGCTGCTGCGGCCATCGCACGCACCTTTTCATCCCTAAGCCGATCCTTCTCTGCCCTCTCCTTCTCCAACCGCTCCTTGCCCAGCTGCATAATTCTCTCCTGCCCCTTCAATGACTCTCGCTCTCTTTCACGCTCACGCTCCCGAAGCAATTGCTGCTGTTGCTGATGCTGTGTGAATGCCTCAAATGACTGGAACTCGCTCAGATGACTACCACTGCTACTGCCACTCGCTCCACTCAGCTTGGGTGTCATCGGCAACAATGGACTCGAGAGCCCATGGAATCCATTCGCGCCTGATGATGATATGGAGGGTGTGCTTGGTGCTGATGCCGTGCTTGCTCCAGATGTTCCTGCGGCGGCGGCGGCTTCCTTGGCCAATTGCTGCTGCTTCAGTTTTTCTTCCCGCCGGCCGTCGAAATGCTTCTTGTACTTTGCAGTCTTGACGAGTTCATCCGCACCACTGGCGGCCAGCTCTTGGCACAACACACCACGGATATGGGCAAGTGCCTCGGGCGTGTCGTCCGCGCCCAGCCATACTTCCACGCGATCTCCTCTTGTACGACGCGCGAATACTATAATTTAAATTTAAAACAACGTTAATAAAGCGTTCCACACTCACACACACATACACATGTATATCACCGACAGATCTTCAAAGAAAGACAACGTACCGGCACCGGTTCCTTCGCCGTGATGGTCGAGAACGTCTCCTGCCATAAGAATCAAGACCGTCTCCCAGACGATATCCAGCAGAGCACGTGGTGGACAGAGTGTCAAGCGACCTCCGTACTTGTTCTTGGGGTCCTCCCACATCGGCTTGATACCCTTCTTGAACCAGTGCAGATTTTGGTTCACCTTCATAGTCGCAGGCCGAACACGCTCACGAACATATTTCCATGAAGTTGCGAACTGAGGCACCGTATGACATGAGAACAGCGGTGTGATTGCGCTCGAATATGCATCCTGCACGCCAGACTTATCCTTTGCGCGAGATGTGTCCGAAAAGAACAGAGTCCTAAAAAGAGTAGACATAGAAACAAAGAGAACGGTTTAACTCCTGCCATTGCGATTAGAATATTCTTCAAAGAACAAAAGATCGTTTCATACCATTCATCGGACAGCGGCATCTCGTCGGGATACTGTCTCGCTGCCAAGAACTGGCGAATGCGTTCCAGCTCCTCCAACTGAGCATCTCCTTTAGCCCAGTTCGGGAAGAATCCGTTCTGGATCATCGGTGTTGTCACCATCTGCAAGCGTCCATAATAATCGTCCTCGTCGTCACCATAGTCTCCGCCAGGAGTCATAGGGGTGCGCGGTGGGTGTTGGAGGGGTCGCATCGAGAAATAGTCTGACGGTCCATCGCGTGCACTCCTGGGTGAGAACATGGCCGGACCACTTTCGCTCAATGTCTGTAAGTTGTTGGTGGAACGCGTGCTCAATAGTCGGGCCGGACGAGGACCACGACGCTTCAAATCAGACTCGGTGCCGCTGCTGCCAAGCGGACTGCGGGGTGCGGAGGATACAGAAGGTGCAACAGGGTCCACTGGAGGATCTGCTGGATTCGAGTGTGAAAAAGCCCCGGGACTGGCAGGAACGACAACAGGTGCGGGCGCAGACAAGGATACAGGAGTAGTACCTGTGGCGGAGGGAGGTCCTGCGCTGGCAAACGTCATGTTGTGTGTTGGCACCCAAGAGGGCGTCTGAGGTACAGGCGGGACAGACTCGTTAGAGGATCCTTGGCTCGAGCTATTGTCGGCATGAGCACGGTTGCGCGACCTAGACCTGGATCGCGAGTGGGACCGAGTTCGTGTCTTCTTGGATTTATCGGCCGTACCTTCCTGCTGCTGCTGCTTATCGCCCTGCGAAGCCGACTCTGCCTGGTCGGTTTCATCTTTGTCCACATCCTCTGCCTGCGTGCCATCCAGACTCTTATCCACGTTATTCTTTCGACTTCTGGATCGGCGGCGACGGCTGGGCGTTGTTGGTGTCGTAGGGGATCCTGCAGCTGGTTTGCTGTTGTCCTCCGTGTTGTTGTTTCCGGTGAGGTTCAATGGAGGTGGCACAGCCTTTCGAGCGCGAACTGGTGAGATGATCTTGGAATCAGACGGTTCAGACGCGGGTGACACTCCTGCATTTTCCTTGTCCTGGGTTGGCGAAGGGCGACGCTGAGGGCGTGGGCTGTCAGCACCGATGGATTTACGATGACCGTTCGTAGGAGTGGCGCCGCTGCTTGTCTTGACATCGACTGTATCTCTCCTGTTGGGGGGTCGATATGGCTGTGATGCTGCGGGTGTGGCGACAACAGGAGGTGTCTTTGAGGCCTGATCTTCGTCCATTGTTATCATCGAAGCCCAGGATATGCGCTTGTCGACAACAGATGTACGCGTCCCAGATGCCGTAGTGTCTTCAACTGCAGATTCCTTTGTCATTTCAGAGACTGAGTCCTGATCGTGTTCATAAAGCTGAATATCGTCCACATTTCCAACCGGGAGTCGATGATCATAAACAGCGCTCTGAACCTGTCCAGGTAACTTGACAGTGATGGTAGATGAAGGATAAAGGACCGGGGTGTGACGGTAGGCGTGTTTACGCTTGCGTGCAAAGGGCGAGGCTGGTAACGAGGTGGGGCCAGCCGCACCTGGGAGTAACAGTCGGGGGGAGGTATAGGGCGAAGGGAGTTCATGTGGGATCGAATAGGCAAAGAACGGCGGCACGGCGACATTTGAGCGATCTCTGGTAGACCTGTTCAACATCGAGTTTGATCGCGTAGAAACAGAAGGGGAGAGAAGAGGCGAAGCGCAGGACTCCCGGAGCGGGGTTAAAGGCGCATTAGCGGTGTCCACCTTTAAGGAGTTCAGCTGGAGGACAAGACCCTGCCGAGGAGATTTCTCGCCCCTATGTTCCTCTGGCACAGTGGCCATTGATGTGGCCTCATTGGATGTCACTCCAGTAGACGATTCAGATCTTGCTGTTGTATCCGCGGTTGATATTGCAGAGGTATCCGTATTCGCGCTGTTGCTGGAAACGGCCGTGAGTGGCGGCAGGTCCAGTAGATCCGTCGAGACTGCCGCAATGGCCTGCTTCAGATCCTGGACGGTGACCGTGGACCCGTTTCGGCTGTGGGTGCGATAGTGGGTCTTGAGATGCTGCTGCTGGGCTATTGGTGGCGCAAGCGACCCATTGGCAAGGGGAACCGACAGCCGCTTGTTCTGTCCATCTGTGTTACCTATCACGCTGCCGATGTTAATGCTGCTGTCGTGGTTGGCGCTGTCGGGGGAGCAGAGGGTGAAGACCGTTGAGGATGGACCCTTGAAGGGCACGTCGGACTCGATCTGCAGTCGGTTGTGGCCATTGACAGCGTGTGGGGAAAGCGGCGTTTGAACGTGCTGTGGTTTTGGAAAGACGAAGTCTGGTCGCAGACCCTCGCCTTGACCGCGCGACATGCGCCTTGCCTGCATGGCAGCCTTAACAGCAGCAGAAGAGGTAGGGGCTGGAGCTGGAGTGGAAGGAGCACCGGCGGCAATGGAAACGGATATGGGTACAGCAGTGCTGGTAGAGTCCTGGCCGGGTGAGAAGGATGATGGGCTGCTGTCCTGTTCGTTGGAGGCAGACATTTGATCGGCAGAGGGAGAGAGAGAGTCTACTTGATGTGATGCGGAGTGATGCGATGTGCTTTTTACTTTATTTTATTTTTTTTCTGTGCGAGGGAAGAAGGATGGGCCCGATGGGGGAATGAAGAGGAAGGAGAATGAAAGTCGAGTGATGATGATGATGACGATGACGATGACGATGATGATGCGAGTGAATGCAGGGCGAAGATGACCATGGACAGAAGCGAGGAGGGAGGAGGAGGAAGGAGGAGGAAAAGAAAAAAAAAAAGAAGTGTGAGAATGGGAAAAAGAAGGATGGGATAGACTATGGAGTGGAAGTGGAGAAGGCTCTTCACGCCCTTCCCTCCGCTCTTTCTCTTTTCTCTTTTCTCTTCCTCTTTCTCTTTCTCGCTCACCCTCTCGCAGTCGTGTTTAAGCTCTCGCGCTCTCTCTCTCTCGCGCGCGCTCTTTGTTCTCTCCCTCTCTCTTTTTCTCTTTCTCTCTATGTCTTTCGCTCGCGGGAGGTGCAAGTGTGAGAAAGCAATTGGATCGCTCACTATTAAGGTTTATGATATGGGTTCATATCTGGCATGTGTATTGTAGTATTGTATAGACTACATGTATATGGCGGCTGCTGCTGCTGCTGCTTTTCCTGTCTTCAGAGGGCGGAAACGGCTCTTCCCCACTCTCGTTTCTTGCTTTGAATTACTCGCCCTCGTATTTGTGTTTTCATTTAATACGATGCACAGGACAAGAGGCCAAGAAGGAAGAATGCAGCATCGTGCAGCTGCTCAAACTAGTTCCAGCTTAGCAAGTCGGAAAGTGTTTTTTTTCAGTTCACTAGTCTCTGAAGTATCCATACATCACTCCATTCACTCACTCGCTCAGTCGGTACAGCAAGCAACGCGTCGCAACGAACGAGACTAGACCCCCAATATATTTTTTCCGCAAATTCGCATGTTGCATGTGTAATGAAATGTTGTCTTCATTTAAACCACGCGGGTACAGAGTGCGGCGGGCGCCCATGAGGATCCCAGAATGTGGTGCATCTCTAGTCTATCGATAAAAACCATTCCCCTATCTATCGTTCTATCTTATGCGTACCTTCTTCTTATCCTTTCCCTCATTCTTCTCTCCCAAACTGAAAAGAGCTCATGCTCACCATGTACCAGAACTGGAGGATAAAGAGATCTCGCTGAGAGCACATCACACCCGCATTTGCAGCAGAGAACTTTCCTCCTCCCTTTGAGGTAATATACATGCCAAATATGACATGTAACATGAAACAGGGCGCCCGAGCAATTGCTCGCCTCGCTCTTTCCAATCATTGATATCTGAAAAGAAAGTATTACCCAAACACCACACCTTGCAGCATCTGATCATAATCAATGTCGGCGCTACCGTACTGTTATCTTAGGGTGGGTGGAGCAGGAACAGTGAATCCATTGCTGATACCATTGCAGCCGAAAAGCTATTGAACATGCACGAGAGCAAAAAGAGCAGGAGCATCGGCCATATGCCATGCTGCAAAGAAGCGTTTTGCCGGCTGAGGGAAGCGGCGCCACGCGTGCGCATGCTTTTCTTTTTTTTTTTTTTTTTTTTTTTTTTTCATTTGACTGTCCACAACAACAAAACTACAGCTACAAGTACAGCGCTCCTTTACACTCATCTCTCACGCTCTCGCTCGCTCATTCGCTCTGTTCTTATTATTTTGGTAAAATAAAACAACCACAATTTGTAACCCTTTGTGATATGATGAAGGCATACCCACAAGTCAACACGGCGATTAAAGAATGCATAGTGTTGTTTTGGGTCGGTTTCGAGTGTTTTATCAAGCGCTTTCTTCCTAAAAATAACAGAAATGGAAATGGGTTGTTGTTTTTTGTTTGATGGCAAAATAGAGCGCCAAAGGGCTACTCGATTTGTTCTATGCCGACGTGGATGGCGCCTTTCCGATGACGAAAATAAGAAGCAAGGTTTGTTAGGACTACGGGTGAGACGTTGCAAGTTCTTTGTACGCGTCTTTTCTCTATGTTTGACATATCCTGCATGGAGTATCAAAGGCGGGGGGTGTCTTTATAAATAAAACAGCGCCACCAAATCGTACAGGCAGTATCAGGTCGCACACAGCACTGGTCTCCACACCAGGATGGAGTAATTGAGCAAAGACACGTTCCTGCTCCGCCCGAGAGGAAAAGGTAAAAAGGATGGGTAAATGCGAACCCTTCATCAACTGCTTCTGTTCGAATGGGTTCAGCTGGAGAAATTCGCGAACTGCATCGCAACTCCTTTGGTTACTAAGCTTCCGATCCACTGCCCGTTTTTTTTTTTTACATCTCTTACGGCCAACGGTCAAAAGTCTTTATATTTTCAACGAATGAGAATTCCGCCCTGAAAAAAATGAAAAAAAATTCCGTCGGGATGTCCGTGGGTTGCCCTTGTCTGTTCCCCTGGCTGAGCGAGTGTGAGAAAACTAAAAACTGAACCCAATCGGGTCCGAAGCTGCCGCTTCCTTCTCTCCCCGTACTGCTCTACAGTACTCGACATATCCACACTTTCTAGCCCTTCCAGCTCCTTCACCCCACTCCTCCCTCCGCCCGTAACTCCTCGCCTCCTTTCCGTCTCTCCCTCTCTCCTTCTTTCCTTTGTTTTGCACACCAACCGACAACCGTGTCACCATTAAAAAAAATCATATTTTCCCTCTTTATTTTTTCCCCTCTTCTCCTTCATTCCAAACACACTCGACAAGAAAACTGATCAACAAGGAATGCCGAAATCATACACAGGAAGCGTTGCAACGGTAATCATCAGGGTCCCCTCTACCATGCAAGCAAACCCGCACCCCCTACTGAACTGAACTGAACTGAACTGGACTCAACTGGACTGAATCAGCTCGAATCTCTCGAATCGCATCACTCAACTTGAGGATTACCAGCAAGCAAGCAGTGAGCGCAGTGAGCACGATGTCGTTATTGCGCAGAGGGCAATACTTCCTGGAGCTCTGGACAGACCAGGACCACAACCGATAGCCCTTGCGTATTCAACCCGTTGACTCATAACCGCGAATTGTCGGATTCTGCTACCATAGGACCAAGCACTGGCAGGATTCACAGGCGGCGCGGTCTCGACAATATGTCTTCATCCACTGGACCTCATCAAAACGCGCTTCCAAGGTACACACGCACATTTGTATACTGTACCTGGAGGAAAAAAAAAAAAAAAAAAAAAACGACAGGAACAAGCTCGTGGTTTTTAACGCTGGCTCTTTTCGTTACTTTCAACCCTTTTTTTTTTTTTTTTTCAAGTGAATGCATCCCAGGCAGCGCCGAGGATCGGAGGCACATTCCGCAGTTTTCAACAAATCTATAGGAGTGAGGGTTTCCGTCATGGACTCTATCGTGGACTGACACCCAATTTCGCCGGCGCTACCGTCTCCTGGGGCCTTTACTTTTATCTCTACGCAGGCATCAAGGCAAGGATGGCCGTCGATCCTACGACTGGACGTCTGGGACCCACACAACACATGACCGCCAGTATGCTCGGAGGCGCTCTTACCGCGCTCGTGACCAATCCCTTCTGGGTGATTAAAACCAGGATGTGCACCACCCAAAGAACCAGTCCAGGAGCATATCAGAGTTTGATCGGAGGGTTGGTTTCGCTCGTCAAGACGGAGGGCGTGCAAGGGGTATACCGTGGAATTGTACCGGCATTGTTTGGAACGAGTCACGGAGCGATTCAGTTTATGGCATATGAACAGCTGAAGTACTGGAGGCAGGAGGTAAAGAAGAAAAGGTGGGAGAAACAGTTTCTGGAGGAGGTCCGCGGCAAGAAGGGCGAACCGATCTCGGATTCGTCTGCAGGAATCTCCTCCGAAGGAAGAACGGGCGTGAGCATGGATCCAAAGACGTTCGAGAAGTTGAGAGAGACGAGGTTGTTGGAGCAGAAACAGGACTGGGAGACATTATCGACGGTTGAGTATTTGTGTATGGCGGCGACCTCGAAGGTTGCGGCGACGGTGGCGACGTATCCGTATCAGGTTCTGAGGTCGAGGTTGCAAATGATGAAGAGTCCCTCGACTGAGGTTGTTTATACGGGCGTCATGGACTGTATCCGCAAGATCAAGAGGTAAAGGCACCACAAAGAAGGCAGAAGACGCGCGATCTGGTTTTTGCTGACTATTGACGCCTGTAACCTTTCCCACAACAATCTGGTTGTTGCTGTTTGAATAGAGCGGAGGGAATTCTGGGCTTCTACAAGGGCGTGGCGCCGAATGTGATTCGAGTGCTTCCAGGAACATGCATCACCTTCCTCGTCTACGAGACTGTCAGTGCCTGGTGTCGCAACCATGCCCGGTACGGACTCGACGAGTGAAGAGTGTCGTGTCTCTTCAAGCAGTGGGGTTTTCATTCAGCATTATATTTTGTTGCTTTGTTTTATTCCCTGACCTGGCCGGTGTTATCGACTTTCATTTTTTTTGTACTTGATCAACATAGCATCCATATCTATTCATCTTTTCTTTTTCCTTGTTATCATAGACCGCATCGTTTTCTCCTCTCATTTGGTTTTTGCTTTCCTTGTTTGTTTTTTCCTCTGATGATCCAGCTCTGACATTATGATATTACAGCGATTTGTATTTTCTGATGCCTCCAATAAAGGAACGATAATGACATCCCGAGACCAACACATCCAAAAAAATACTTCCCATCACTTTTTCTGCTCGCAACAAACGCATGCTTTAATCCGGCTCTGTCGATAATAATATACAAGTGTGATGTCTTTAATCAGATGGGGAAGGGGAGAGGTTCTATGATTGCTTCCATTCATGAAAGGCTCCGACGGCGCCCGCCAATCCGGCGTTCCAGTTCCACTGTCCTGCCTGCTTGAATTTCCGCCAAAGGGACTTTTCTCGTCTCTGGCGTCTGGATGTCTCCTCGAGCGCGTTCATCACCTGCAGGAACTCCTATCCGTGTCCCAATTAAAAGAAGCAGCAAAGAAAAAGAAATAAAATAAAAGAAAGAAAGAAAGGAGAAGCAAACAGCCGTTAGGTGCACGTTGTTTCCCGGTTGGAACTGAGAACAGCCCAGAATAAAAAGCATGGTGTCGAGACAGTCGTGTATCGATCCGAACAAGCCTAGTCCAGTTTCTGATCTGCGCGGTAATCCTTGCTCGTCCTCATAATACTCTGTTGCTCCTCTTGCTGGTGTTGTTGCCGCTAGAGTATCGCGTCAAACTCAGTAGATCCTGTCGCTGTCCTGATAACGCAAACTGAACCGCCCGCCCATCCCGCCTCTCGCTTCCAAAATACTGGCACATTTGTTGTTGTTTTTACCTCATCGCGAATAAACAGTGGAAGACCGTACTCGATCGTCCTCCGAAACCGTTGCAAAGAGTGATCCAGTGCCCGAGCGTCCCTTCGAAGCTGATCCGACACTAGCGAATAGGCCGTCAGCGAACTCAGTACCCCGCCGGTGAATCCCAAAAACGACTGGGAGACTGGGACGACCGTCATGTCATGGATGTTGGGGTGATCAGTCGAGAATCGAGAGTCGGGAGAGAAGAGTTGATGTTCCTGACGGTGTGTTGAAGGAGGGATGTGTGTGTGTGTGTGTGTGTGAGAGAGGGAGAAATTTATCCCTTGCTTCGACGACATAAATTTTTTGATTCATGAAGCCGCCATGGGGTACTGTGAGTTTAGACTCGCAGGTATTGGGAGTTGGCGGCCGGCAGAGCCGTTATGTAGAAGCGCCATGTTATGAGATCCTATATCGCCCTGATTCGCGTAGCAGCTGCATTCAGATTCCGTGCAAACAAAATATCTTGCTTCGGGCTTTGATCATGCGGTCATCCTTGCCTGAAAGCCACACACTTTGTGGAGACGAGGTGTTCATCCCAAGATACTACGATATATTCCAGGCTGCTGGCCCAGAGGGCACACTAACAGTTGGAAATATGACCCTCTCTGGTGTTTGACTGAAGTTTAGTCCACTGTGAGGCGTCAATTGTACCGTTCTCCGTGACGATCGGACGACGGCGTTTCGCGGTTTCCACTGCAGACTGATGCGACATTGTTGGTGAGTACAGGCTCGCTCGTCATACCTTGAGTGCCTCCGCTGCATTTTCCTATTGAGGATCAATCGCACAAACCGAGGCTGTTATGGTTTCGCCAGTCCACGCCGACCAGAACCGCTGCGTCTTCGTAGTCCTTCCCCATGACCTCAAAAATCCGAGAATGGATATAGCCTACTTATAATGCACACCAATGCTTTTAATTTAATGTAATTCACAATGGTCTAGATTCAGGAACAAGCTATACGTCAGGCCTAAAGGATAGCAGCGAAGTGGTTCCTAAAATGAAGGAAGCGCGATAGCATATGGAACGAGCCATGTTCACTATATATGCTGCAGTACCATGTTCGAGTCGCTCGATGCGAACAAAGATCATTGCTCGCATGTTCAAGCTAGCAGACGATCAGCAGGCTTTTATCTCAGGCAGTAAAGTCTCGAAAGAAAGCAACCGTTCCTAAAATTCGGTCCTACACAAGCATCAAAAACGTAAAGGTATGGGACACCGCGTTTGAACACAGCACGCGTGGCTTAGGCATCTCAGGCATCATTTCAGCATACTTCAGATGAAGAGCTGTTGATCCTCGTGAAGTTCAATCAATTTTGAGTCTCATCTCAAGTTCGATCGCCCAAAGTCGATTAACCTGGCTGGGATATGTCGCGTCAATTAATCCTGAAGATATCATATTCTTTCGCCGCCTCGCTTCCTCTTTACAATTGCTAGCATCGCTGAACTGGCACAAGAACGTCAACCACAATAACACGGCACGCAAGTCAGACAAAAAAAAAGTGATTCAATTTATTATGCGTGTCCATGCTGTAGCAAGTCCACTCCCTATCTGAACAGGGGATCGGGCGGTCGGTTGAGATGTATGGGCGTGCTGGTCATAAAAACAAAGGGGAAAATATCCGTGTGCAGTGGATAGTCTTTACTCCAAGGCCATCTCCTTCTTGATCTGGGCAATAGCGAGACCCTATAAGGATTCATTAAAGAAAAGAAACACCAATGTTAGTTACTGCCAATATGCTTGAATATACAAAGTGACAATCTTGGAAGAAGCTATAGCTTACAGGGTTAAGACCCTTGGGGCAAGTCTTGGCGCAGTCTGGAGAAAAGAAAAGCAGTTGAGGGGGTAATGGATTAGTATAGTTATTCAAAATGAAGGACCGTCATCTGTAGCGACCACGCTTCCTGTAGCGTACTCATGATAGTGTGGCAGCGATAGAGAGAGAAAGGGTTCTGGAGAGCCTGGCGACGCTCGGGTCCGAACTGATCTCTGCTGTCGATCATCCAGCGGTAGGCCTGCATCAAGACAGCGGGTCCGAGATACTGATCCGAGTTCCACCAGTACGAGGGGCAAGATGTCGAGCAGCAAGCGCAGAGAATACACTCGTAAAGACCATCCAACTTCTTGCGGTCCTCAATTGACTGCAAGTTCTCCCGCTCGAGCTCGGGGGTCTTCTGCTTCAAGAAGGGTTCGATCGACTTGTATTGAGCGTAGAACTCGGTCAAATCGGGAATGAGATCCTTGACAACATAGGCTAGATGAGACACAAATAGTGGACACAAAAGGTCTTAGTACGAACATAAACCATAGCATCAATTGACACTTAAGGTGATATTTGAGCACATACTGTGAGGCAAGGGGTAGATCTTGGTGGGCTTGGCATCGACGTCGATCTTGCAAATGCAGGCGAGGGTGTTGCGACCACCAATGTTCATAGCGCAGGAACCACAGATACCCTCACGGCAGGAGCGACGGAAGGTCAAGGTGGGGTCCATCTCATTCTTGATCTTGATCAAAGCATCGAGGACCATGGGTCCGCAGCTGTTCATATCGACTTCATACGTCTGCAGCTTGGGCTTCTCCGCAGGCTTGTCAGGGTTCTATTGTCCCATCGCATATCCATGGTTATAGTTGGAACAAAGTCGTGTGAGCTCGGAAAATTCACATAGCACCAACGAAGCGAACATAAAATAATTTTATCTCGGAGTCCTGCACCGAAAGCGGCAAGGGCCTGAGAATCAAATCGCGCTTCGGAAAAAAAAAAAAAGAAAAGAAAAGGAATCATGAGCAACAGGCAACACACATACCCAGCGGTAGATCTGGAAGGTCTTAGTCTTCTTGACGGGGGCTTCGGTCGCGAAAGAGCGCGCGACAGCGACAGGAGCCTATAGTGCGGGAAATAGCGAATAGAGTGTTAGTAGCCGTGTTCGGATGTCCTGAAACGACTCCCATGACGTGTGCAACCGGAACGTGAAAAAGGGAACCGACTCGCTGGCTTTTAAGCGAGGCTGATTAGGTTTGTGGAAAAGAGTGCTGTGGAGCTGTAGATGTCAAGGTGATGACTGGAGAAAGTGCTGAAGGCGATGAAGACGAAGCGGGAGGGGAAGGTGTGAATTACCGAGGGGAGGTTGTATTTCAACACGGGGCGCGTGAGACCGAGGACGGACTGCTTGGCAAGAGAGAAGGACATGGTTGTGGTAAGCGTGTTGGAGATGCAGAGGGAGTGGAGAAGTGGCGAGAGAGGAGGTGATTCCCGGAAGGCGATCAGACGAGGAGGGATGGGGATGACGAGAAAAGAAGAAAAGAAAGAGGGGGGAGAAAGAGGGGATGGTCAAAAGAAGGAATTGATGGAGAAGAGAGGAGTGAGAAGAGGGGGCGAGCAGAGGGTTTGTTTACGGTGTGTCTCCGACGGCTCCGCTCCGAAAATATCACATGACACGGACTCATCTACGCAGAAGAGGAGAAATCGCGTTCAAAGTTCGGAGCTAACACTCTTATTTTGGACACAAAAAAGCCAGGGCAGCACGAAAGATAATTAGACGCATCGTGTCTATTCAGTACCATGTTGTACAGTTACAATTCTAACAATATATTTTAGCGCGATAGGTCTAACCGAATGGTAGTATAGCATTATAATTCCATATAAAAAGAAGTGAGGTTGCTTGCAAGGCTCTTTTTGGGTTCCTGACCACTATAAGCGAGCGAGTCGCCGAGATTGCCACTACGTTACTGGCTGTTACTGGGTCCACCGCCGATGTTTGGAAGGGTTTCGAGTAGCTTATCGATACCAGAATCGCGCTTCTTCAAAAGTTGGTTGACATCAGATCCACTACCACCGACGATCGGAAGGTTTTCGAGTAAGCTACCGACACCAGAATCACGCTTCTTCAAAAGTTGGCTGACATCAGATCCACTACCATCGACGATCGGAAGGTTTTCGAGTAAGCTACCGACACCAGAATCGCGCTTCTTCAAAAGTTGGTTGACATCAGATCCACTACCATCGACGATCGGAAGGTTTTCGAGTAAGCTACCGACACCAGAATCACGCTTCTTCAAAAGTTGGTTGACATCAGATCCACTACCATCGACGATCGGAAGGTTTTCGAGCAGGTTACCGACACCAGAATCACGCTTCTTCAAAAGTTGGTTGACATCAGATCCACTACCACCGACGATCGGAAGGTTTTCGAGTAAGCTACCGACACCAGAATCACGCTTCTTCAAAAGTTGGCTGACATCAGATCCACTACCATCGACGATCGGAAGGTTTTCGAGTAAGCTACCGACACCAGAATCGCGCTTCTTCAAAAGTTGGTTGACATCAGATCCACTACCATCGACGATCGGAAGGTTTTCGAGTAAGCTACCGACACCAGAATCACGCTTCTTCAAAAGTTGGTTGACATCAGATCCACTACCATCGACGATCGGAAGGTTTTCGAGCAGGTTACCGACACCAGAATCACGCTTCTTCAAAAGTTGGTTGACATCAGATCCACTACCACCGACGATCGGAAGGTTTTCGAGTAAGCTACCGACACCAGAATCACGCTTCTTCAAAAGTTGGTTGACATCAGATCCACTACCACCGACGATCGGAAGGTTTTCGAGCAGGTTACCGACACCAGAATCACGCTTCTTCAAAAGTTGGCTGACATCAGATCCACTACCATCGACGATCGGAAGGTTTTCGAGCAGGTTACCGACACCAGAATCACGCTTCTTCAAAAGTTGGCTGACATCAGATCCACTACCATCGACGATCGGAAGGTTTTCGAGTAAGCTACCGACACCAGAATCACGCTTCTTCAAAAGTTGGTTGACATCAGATCCACTACCACCGACGATCGGAAGGTTTTCGAGCAGGTTACCGACACCAGAATCACGCTTCTTCAAAAGTTGGCTGACATCAGATCCACTACCATCGACGATCGGAAGGTTTTCGAGCAGGTTACCGACACCAGAATCACGCTTCTTCAAAAGTTGGTTGACATCAGATCCACTACCATCGACGATCGGAAGGTTTTCGAGCAGGTTACCGACACCAGAATCACGCTTCTTCAAAAGTTGGTTGACATCAGATCCACTACCATCGACGATCGGAAGGTTTTCGAGCAGGTTACCGACACCAGAATCACGCTTCTTCAAAAGTTGATTGACATCAGATCCACTACCATCGACGATCGGAAGGTTTTTGAGCAGGTTTTCAACGTTACTAACGTCTCGCTTGACAACAAATTCTTCCATATCGTATCCAGGCCTGGAAGAGGCCCCAGAAGCGACGTTGGCGTCCTTGGACCCAAGGGAAGTGGCCTTGCTCGCGCCGGGAATAATGCCCTTCATTCCATCCAGGAGACCACGCTGGACAAAACGGTTACGGGCATAGAGCTGGCCACGCTGATGAGAAGCGCAGGCAATGGCGGCCACGGTGGACAATATGATGACGGATGAGATCTTCATCGGGAGGTGTAAAAGTGAGGGGATGCAAATAATAAGAGATGCGGGTTATTCTGATGAAAAAGAAGAAAAAAATCATGCCTCGAAGAGGATGGCGCCAGCTTTATATATCTTTTCCTTAAAACATTGCTTCTCCTTGTTGCTCATGGCCTCCTGTCTCCGAGCTGCAATCTTACGAGCGGCAGACCTTTAGCCTTGAGCTCACGGAGTGAATCAAGACATGCTTATTCATGTCTCCTTTATTTTGGTCGCCCCCTGTAGAGAGTCCCTTGGGAGCAGCTTAGTACAACATGCGAAGGACACGGGGTCACTGCAGTGCTGCCGTTAGCAGGAGCAGAAGACAGGCCTATTTTGACATCAATGGTCCTTGGTTCGTATGCCTCTGGACGTTAGGGTCGGTCATCATGTTTGCCACAAGCAAGCAGAGATCTCTAAGGAGCCCCGAAAGCAGCCAGTCTGGGCTCTATATCCTAAAACCACACCCCCCCCCCCCCCCCCCCCTGAGGACACTAAAGATCTGAGCACTGCATGTCTCGATACAATGTTTCGGCCGTAGGCGACGTGTTTTCGAACCACAACCACACACAAGAGACGCGTTGCACAGACACCCGCAGATCTGATATTCCCCAGTCACCCACAGACGCGTTCCTCCTTATGATTCACAGGATACCCAACCACATCCACTAATCCACTGGGCCCCACTTATCTCCTACTTCACTCCATTCCCACGCGAACAAAAAAAGGGGGAGGAGAGGGATCGCCATCATGCTTCTCCAATCCGTCTACGCATCAACAAGACCCTCCGCACGATGGACCTCATCTCTCTACCGCCCATCCTCGCCATGGACCCATCCCACAGCTCAGAGGATCAACAAACTCTTCCCCACCTCAGCACAGACAGCAGCCCAGGGCCACTTCCTCTCCACCCAGCCACCACCGTCGTCCAGCAATAGCAGCTATGGCACCCCTACTTCGCTGAACATCAGGCAGCGCAAGTCCGGGACCTGGCTGCCCAGGTGGCAAACGGTGACACTCTCCCGGGATAAGAACTCGACTTCAGGCACGCTTCAAACCTCGTTAGATGGGAGTCAGCCAAAAAACGTCCCTCCAAATGAGGATATCGACGCCACCAAGTACCTGCTCTCTCCCCAGACGGCCTTTGCGGTGTTCTTACCCAAGGGATACCCAGAATCAGTAACATCCAACTACTGGCCGTTTGCAAAGTGGCAGTTTGTACATAATGTCGCGGGATCTGTAACAGCAGGTAAACCCTCAAGGACAAGATCTCGATTCTTTTATATCAATAAGGCCAAACCACCCAAAGGAATGGCTTTTGATCTGTGATGGTGCTTTCGATTTTTTTCATGGCCATCCTCTATAGTCATATCCACACAGTCGCTGTTGTTCGCGATGGGGCTTGGAGCAGGATCAATACCAATGGCTGCCGCGCTGAACTGGATCATCAAGGATGGACTGGGCCAGTTGGGTGGTGTCGTGTATGCATCGTTCGTCAGCGACAAGTTTGACTCGGAGCCAAAGCGTTTTCGGTTCCAGGCCACAGTGGCCATGCAGGGCGCAAACGTTCTGGAGCTGTTAACACCGCTCTGGCCCGGATACTTTCTGATCATTGCGTCAATTTCGAACATCGGTACGGAGCTGACAATCCACAAAGAGTTATGTCCGATGGCCTGAGCAGTACCATGGAGCAGATCAACTAATTACGTGCAAGCATCGAAATTTCGATAGGCAAGAATATGGCATGGCTGGCGAGTTCTGCAACACGGGCACAGATGAACAAGACCTTTGCTCTTCGAGACAAGTATGGACTGATTCTTTTTGGCAAGCTGTGCACCAGATTTGGGATAAAGGCCTCGAAGACTGATTTATCTTTGTTAAATAGCTTGGGTGACATTACAGGAAAATCAGGATCGCAAACAACCGCCGCAGGACTTGTTGGTAAGAACAAGGAAGAACTGGATCTGCAAACGGAATAGTCGCTATTGCATTGTAGGGTGAAGCAAGGTTCTAACACTTTTGTTTTTGGTTGATAGGGACCGGCTTGGGAGTTGTGATTGCGGCGCTGATGAACTATGTGGCGGAAGATCCAACAGTCCTGCCTCTTATCCCTATGTGCCTAACTTTCCTGCCGTTTTCAATCTTCAACATCTATTCCAACTACCGATCCTGTTATTATGTCACTACGCCATCTCTTAATGTCCCACGCGCAGAGACCGTATTCAACGGCGTTCTGGAGAATCTGGCTCTGGAAAAGAAGCGCGACAGCATAGAAAATTCCACGGTGACACCTCTTCTGCAGCAATTGGAGCGTCTGATCCCGATTCCGATGGAAGTTGCGCACAAAGAGGTCTTTGTCTCGCCTTACATATCGCCATTCAGTATCGACATCGATATTGAACCGGTTGTCAGTCGATTTGCTCGAAAGGGTCATGGAACCGAACCATTGGATCGCGCGTTCCGACAGACGGACTTTGTGCAAAGGGAACAATACTATATTATGGTGGATGAATCTGTCTTCAAGGCAAAGAGAGGAGGGCTTTGCGGTGGTAAGGTGGTTATCTGGTTCGATAAGAAGGCCAAGGGACACGATTTGATCCAAGGATTCTACCACGCATGTGCAACAAGGGCGATCCTGGCACGGAGAAGGGACGAGATTGGTGCTGTGTCCTTGGATGGGAATGAGTGGAATGAGGCAGTGACCATGGCGCACAGACAGGCAATAGAGACTGTGCCTCAATTGATAGATGTGATGAACCAAAAAGGGTGGGACACCGCCAGCCTGTTCCTGACAGACGGTGATCGCAATCGTATTCAAATAGAATGATCAGTGTCCGTAAATAAAGAGCACACGTTGGAAGCAGATATGAAATATCAAATATGAAACGAAAAGAAGAATGACGAAGAGATACTGGATGGGTCCAGGGGACGCAGCAGCATGCATTACAATGGCTATAAGAGTAGGTGGGCTCCTTTCATAATTCCTTGTTTCGGCTGAAGGAGAGTCGATTCTTTTACTCCTAGTGTGTGCTTTCTTATTCTTCCGAGGCACCCCCTGTGTTAGGATAGTCCAAAAGATGGACAGCAATATTGTTTTCGTCAAGGCGAATACATCGCAACCAGTTTCAAGATGCCGATGTTCTTTATCCGTTCAACAAGCCTCTCTTTCGTGCCATCCATCCTCTAGAGACCCTGCCAGTGCTATTTCCATTTGTGTCTGGACTCTTGAACCGCTCTTTGTGTCGCGTTGGACAAAGAAACAAATAAATAAAAACAAACAACCACCCAGTTTATTTTTAGTGCTCAATCCAATCTCCATAATTGCAGTTCGCCATTGCCGTTGCCAGCTCAGTTTAATACACCTCATCTGTACCTGTACCGCCCCCTGGTCTACTGTGCCGCCGCCGTGCTGTACGCCCTGAGGTTGTAATCAAGTAATTATGCTTGCACTCTGGGCGTAAACCAAAGCCCGTTCCTTTGTTCCCTTTCCCCTTTTTGCCGCACTGCACAGGGCTGTACTCGGCGTGCTCCCCACAGCCATTTCATTTTTGATGTTCTTGTTTCATTTATCATTCCTTTATTTCACTTCATCACACTTCTTTGTTCCATCGCCATCAAGCATCACCCCACTTCATCTTCATCACCAGCCCAGGCACTTTTGCCGCCAAAATAAAAAAATAAAAAAAAAAAGCAGAAAAGACGAATAGTTGAGATTGAGCAGGAAAAGCGCTGAAAACAATGTTCTCATCCTCCAGCTCACATTCGTCCTCGAGGACATCCTCGCACGGCTTCCTAGATCCCTCCGGCCTCGACTTTGATCAGCCCTCGACCACCACGGCCAGCAATATCCCAACCATCCACGAGGCAGACGAGGAAGAGGAGGCCGACTATGTCCACGTTCACCCCAGTCATCGTTCTGCGACTTCGGCCACCACATCGCCGTATCCATATTCTGAAAAGCAGGGTTCATATTCATATCAGGAACATGGGCAGGGACACCAGGCCGTACCGATTTACGAGGACTCAACTGTATCACATTCATCTATACCATTGGATCCATATCTTGCTTCTACACCGCCTTCGCGATCCTTAACCTCCTCGCCCTCACTCACCTCCTCGCCTTACAACTCGCCGCATCAATTGCCGCCACAGCAGCAACCGCCGGCGCGGTACCAGTATCCACGAACGCGATCAGGCCAGTTCAGCGCAGCTGGATCATCTTCAGGACTGCCCCTGTACGCCTCACGTACCCAGCGAATGCGGAACGGCCACAGCTCTTCTTTGGATCAAAGTGGGAAACCGATCTTTCGCGGCCCACCACCGCGCATCAGCTCAATGGGCGCAGGGGACTTTAGCAGCAGCGAAAGCGACTCAGGCGATGATGACGGCGAGGGATACTTTGTTGGCGGTCGCGGACTCGGAGGTGGGATGAGCAAACGATTTGCGACATTCAGGAGTCGGCGCGGCAAAGCTTGGTATCGGACGCGGGAAGCACAAATTGTCCTAGCGATCTGTGTAGTCTCGCTCATTGTCAGGCTGTGGCATATCGGATACCCGACCTCGGTCGTGTAAGTTCTCTTTTTTTCAATTGATCTCTGGAAGTATTAGGGAACATACGATGCTCCAAAGCGCGCACTGACATTCCGCTTTTTTTTTTTCTTTTTTTTTTCTGGTATTCTGTGATCGATCTGATTGTGATTATGCAAAAATCGATAACAACATGAATTAGATTCGACGAGGTCCATTTTGGTGGGTTCGCTTCCAAATATATCAAGGGTCGGTTCTTTATGGACGTGCATCCGCCATTGGCAAAGATGTTGATTGCGTTGGTAGGGTGGCTCTTTGGACTGGATCCCAGCTTTGACTTTAAGGAGATCGGACTGTAAGGCACAGAGGAGTTTGCGAGTGCAAACGCAATTGACCTGGATATGAACTAGATGAGAGAGCAAGGATATTTAACCATGGGGGGTTTTTTTTTGCTCTTTTGTAGGGACTATCTCGGACCAAAGGTGCCGTATGTGGCTATGAGGATGTTCTGTGGTCTCATGGGCGTCGCAGTAGTGCCTATGGCATTCTACACGGTCAAGAACTCGGGTCATTCATTACACGCGTCAATCCTGGCCGCTGTGCTTGTACTTTTTGGTGAGTCGTTCGTGCGTGCATTCTGAAACTGGAGCGCAGGAGCAATCAAAGAACGAGAGCTAACGCATACAATACGGTGAACCACCTAACTTTCTTGCACCGATAGAGAATGCGATCGTCACACAAAGTCGTCTTATCTTGCTGGACTCGGCATTGATCTTCTTTACGGCCTTCACTGTGCTGGCATGGACCAACTTTCACAACCAACGAAAATATCCATTCTCGGATGAGTGGCTCATCTGGCTATTTCTCACAGGATTGGGACTGGGGCTGGCATGTAGTGTCAAATGGGTCGGACTCTTTATTATCGCCACCATTGGTACTTCTACTATCAACCAACTTTGGCTGTTGTGGGGCGATCTAAGAGTCACTCCTCGGGTGTGGTTGGATCATTTCGCCGCTCGTGCGTTCTGCTTGATCCTGGTCCCAACAGTGGTGTACATGTTCATGTTCGAGATTCATTTCCTGGCGCTGGCATCCTCAGGAGACGGCGATGGTTTTATGAGCGCACCATTCCAGATGACCTTGGGCTATTCTCTGCAGGATTCGCCATTACGTATGTATTGAAACTGACAGGATTCGGTGCTACGCTGTTACATGTTTGAGATTGCAGTTATTAACTACGCCTCGGCTTGATTTTTTTTTTTTTTTTTATGTAGCTGTTGCATACGGAGCAACTGTCTCGATCCGCCACCTGGGCACTCAAGGCGGATATCTCCACTCTCATTCTTCCAATTATGAGACAGGGAGCAAACGTAGGTGATATACACCATGTCGAACAAACCTGATGATTTTCAACGCTGCGGACGAAACTAACGACTTGAGCAACTTGCAATCCTTCTATTAGAACAACAAATTACGCTGTATCCACACAAGGACAGTAACAACGACTGGATCATTCAAAAGAGAGACGGAACAGTTCCCGACGCACTCGAATTTCTAAAGAACGGCGATTATATCCGACTCATGCACGTCCCGACCTCCAAACGCCTGCATTCGCATGACCAAAAGCCGCCAATGACTGAGACCGAAAACCACTTTGAGGTCAGCGGATATGGCGACCCGGGCTTCGCAGGAGATTCGAACGATGAGTGGCGAGTTGAGATTGTGGACTATGAGGGCAAAGACAAGACTGCGGGCGAGAAAATGCACACTTTGCGGTCGAAGTTCAAGTTGGTCCATGCCAATATGTACTGCGATCTATTCTCGCATAAGGTCAAGCTGCCAAAGTGGGGATTTGAACAGCAAGAGGTGACATGCATGAGAAGTGCAGTTCTTGCCAAGACCACTTGGATGATCGAAACGAATTCCTACAGCGGCTGTAAGTTCCTGCCAGCCTGCAGACACCATGTTTGTGGTTTCTTTGTTGCTGTCTGCAACAAAATATTCAACTAACGCTATACATTTTTGTTGGTAAATAGATCCGAAAGATGTGCCTATGGTGAATTATAAGAAACCAGGATTCTTTGGCAAGTTTTGGGAGCTGAACAAGGTCATGTGGACTACCAATGCAGGCCTGACGGACTCGCATCCATATGACTCTCGGCCCTCTTCGTGGATCTGGCTGAGGCGCGGTATCAGCTTCTGGGGCAAGGAGCAGAAGCATATTTACCTCATCGGAAACTGGTTCACATGGTACCTATCCACGTTCTCTATCGTCCTCTATGCGGCCATCAGGGTTCTCTTGGTCCTCCGCGATAAGCGGGGTTATCGTGATAATTTCAAAGGTAAATGCTGTGAAAGCAAGCGGGGGATTTTTTTTTCTTTTTTATGAATATGAAGGTTGCTCTCGGCTTTGTGCTAAGTTCGATCTGTCTTTTAATCTTTCTTTTATCTTTTTTTTTTTTTCTTTTTCACTGACTTAGGTCTTCGCGACTACTACGAACTCTCAGGCGGCTTCTTCTTTATGGCATGGTGCTACCATTACCTGCCCTTCTTCCTCATGGGCCGCCAGCTCTTCCTGCACCACTACCTGCCAGCACTCTACTTTGCAATCCTTCTTCTCTGCGTCACCTTCGATCTGGGCTGCCGCTTCATCCCCAACCGATATCGGCTGGCGGCTCTGTTCATCGTCTCCCTGACCGCAATCATGGTCTTCCGTGCACGAGCTGCATTGGCCTATGGATCTGAATGGACGAGATCACAGTGCGAGACGTCGAAACTGCTCAAGACCTGGGATTATGATTGTTACCAGTATCCGGAGACCTATTCACAGTACCATCCGTACACGAACACGAATGATGCGAATGTGGTAAATCGGGCAATTGAACCCCTGTTGTCATCAGACAAGCCGCATGATTTTTTGGAGGGGTTATTGCCTCGCCATCCTTTGACGGAGGAAGAGAAGAATCAGAAGGAATCGACGGGAGACAGTGTAAAGAAGGTGGATGATGGAGGACATGCTTCAGGAAATCAGGAGAAGAAGAAGGATGAGAATGCGGAGCAAATTGTGGAAGAGAAGGTCGGAGAGGATGGGGATGATGAAGATGATGAGGTGCCTGAAGGAAACCTGAAGATTGAGGAAGATGAAGAGCAGGACGAAGAGGTAGTGGGCGAGGACGAGGCAGGCGACGATGTCGAGCTCGTTGCCGGTGTAGTTGATCCATGATGATAGAGAGAGAAATCATCTCGATAGGCCTGTCTGTTGTGTCCATCAAGGGGAAAAAAAATAAAACAGAGAAAGCAGGCATACGCTTACAGTTTTCTACATTGATATGTTCTACGGCCCAAGGAACTCCGTGGGCGAGGATAAACGCGTCTCAGAGTACAATTTTGCTGTGCAACTTTTTTTCTTTTTTTAGTGTCCGACTGCGCATAGGCAGGTATCACTGGCATCACATAAATACGTTTGTTAATATCGACATGGGCCTTGCCATATGACTTATGAAAATACAGGCGGCAGACTACCGTATCGTTGAGGGCTTTTGGAGCCCTTTGGCCTCAATTATGCGCATCTAGCAGCAACAAGCGCGTCATGTCATTAAAATTTTACGTATCCAGCTGATTTTTTTTATGGGTAGTTTTAAAAGGACAAGTACTTGCTCGAACTTGCATGTATCTATGTGCAGTATCAAGCTCATTGATGTCACCTGCAAGTTAAAAGAACGATGCACCTTGCGCAGGACGATATAGGTCCCGGATCAGTGATATGAAGCTCCTGCATTCGGGTTCCCCGGTCTAGTTACAAGGAGTAAGGTTCAAGATGTTCAGAAACGAGAAGAACAGCCTCGCAAAAGTCTCATATCCACAGTAATACTAAAGTCATCTCCTGCATGCATGCTAAAGAACCGGATCTTAGTCAGAAATTCCCCTCTTGCTCATCTCCTTAATCTTGTGCTTCATGACAGTATAGAGCTCATGAATAAGATCAACATCAGCTTGTCTCTGGCAATAAAGTCAAGCTTTCTGACTTATTGGGCGTCTTCTTTCGTTCGTAGACCGCTAGGTGGGCTGGGGGTTTGAAATATATTTGCTGAGGACAACTAGTCAATGCATGCTCTTGGCCCTGCATTCTAGACTGGAGTTCAAACTCGACGAAGGATCCCTCCAACAAAAGACAACTTGGCGAACTTCAAAATTGAGGCGTAGGCTCTCGTCCGCGTTGACTACGTCAAGCGTCTCCAACTGGCTTCTACAAACGATAGAAACGAACACATGTCGGAATTGCAGCACTACGAATGCATCGACCCTATGGAGCGGATCTTACTTTGATTGTAATCAAGCTTGGAATTCGCTATCAGCGCAGAGACAACAAGGAGAAATCTCCCCCCTGAAACCTCTTCCTATCATCTTCCAAGAGCATGTTTAGATGATTGGACTCTCAGTTGAGTTCATATACTTCATTGACTACTATGATACGACTATGGTGCTACGATCTACGGCTATCGACTTTCATATTTCACTCTCCTCAGCATATACAAGTCCGGCAAGGAGAGTATTCTAGTCTAGACCTACCAGAACGAACTGGCAACCGCAGTCTGAGAAGTTTACTTCTCAATCCACATCCATCTTTTCATTACCCACATTAGCCTTATTCAGTTCTTTTAAATCCCTGAAAAACACCGGCCACTTTTAGGTTGACCCGGTCCTTCTAATGGTTGTAAAGGATTGGCGGAAGCAATTCCAGTGGTAATTAACGCATATAAAAAAAGGGCTGTGGGGCCCTAATGAAAATGAACTTTTAAGCGGGCTCAATGTCATCCAGTTGTTGTCGTTTTTTTGGTTCTGAAACACTGTTGAACGGGGTTTTTTGGATCAATCGTTTGTCTCCTGAAATTCCTCCTCTTGCAAAGATTACTGTGGTTCGGGCACTACTGTATATCGCGTTGGCCTTTTCCTGAATGCGCCTGAACTTCAGCTCAAGTCTCTTCTGCCTCTGGGCACATAACTTGATTTATTTCGGATCGATATAAAGGGGAATGGGATCCAGATTGCTTCTGCAAGCAGCGGCATTCGACACGCATCAAATGATAGCAACCATGGTCTCGGAGGCTTTGAGCAGCGCTCACATAACCTTGTAGATCTCTTCAGAATCTTTTGAGGAGGAGGGGGGGGAAGGGGGCACCCTCATATGTCATGCCCATTTTGTTATAGTCGTACTTCGAATTCTCGAGGTGCAAGAGATCTGAAGGTGTTGGATCGATATACCTGAAGAAGACATGTGCTATCAGCTCTAGAATGACTAATATGCATTATTCATTTCTATGCATTCCTACTTCACCACTGCCTTGGCTCCTTGACTCTGCCACTGATGCAACAGTATGCACATGGCGTACGTGACTGGAGCATTCTCTTTACGGCTCGCAGAGAAAAGTATATTTTCAACCATCCTGCTGGATCGAAGAGTCCAAAAGCGGGATTGATCGTACATATGTTTACTCACCCCGTTCATCCTCAAGTTCCTTCCCTGACATGCCGCTTGGTGAACCAGGGACGAACTCAAAGGCGGGCGTGGAGACGAGCGTGAGGGCCTCGGTGATTTGGATGATGATGATTCGGCTGGACGCCCAGAGGTCGAGGCATTGGAGCTAGCATTTCGTGGGGATCTGCGGATGACACTTGAAGAAAAAAAAGAAAAAAAAAAAAAGCTTAGCTTTCAATTATGCGAAATACCAACGCGTTTAACGGTAAAGTGCGTGCTCTAGATATTGTTGACTCCTTTCTATATAGCCTATTGTTCGTAATCATAGTCATCCGGTGTCCATCAGTTCATGGCCAGGCACGCGTCTTTACAGATCCTCTGGCTGGGTGGTGGGTACGGATACATGAACCCTTTTGTTGTCTCCCATGGCTATCCAGCATTCATCAGTCCATGGTCAGGCCCCTTTTCTGCCTGAATTTTTTTTTTCTGCCGCGCGATCGTTAAGATCTTATTTCTTTGTCGCAAACACAACGGCCATGTGCAATGAATGTCTTTAGTAATGCGGACGAAATGATACGGACGTCTCTTTACCACAATACCGTTCTTTTTGTCTTTATGAACATGAATGCAGCCGATAATTTTTTTCAGGCTTGCACTGCGTGCTGGCATCTTTGAGTAACCAAAAGTAAAAACGAACCAACAGGACTAATTTTCCAAACACGAAAAAAAAAATTTTTGAAGGAAAGCGTATTGTATAGCAATGGGCCTACGGTATCTTGTGCATGTTGCCTTCGCCGATTGAAATGACGTTTTTAAATCTTTATTTCATTCCCATTCGCTTCTAGAAGGACATCCCGCATCTCTCTAACTCTGCTCAAGCTCGACCAAGGTACCATGGCAATCTTTGGGGTGCAAAAAGACGACTGGCTTTCCGTGAGCGCCAATCTTGGGAATGGGATTCAATGCCTTGATACCCTTGGCCATCAGGTCGTTGACGGCCTTGGTGACATCGTCGACCTCAATACAGATATGATGAATGCCTCCAGACTTGTTCTTGTTGAGGAATCCCTGGATTGGTGAATTCTCACCATATGGGTGAAGCAGCTCAATCTTGGTGTTGCCCAACTCTACAAAGACGGTGTATACACCGTGCTCGGGCAATGGCTAGGGAAATCAAAGAGTATTAAAAGATGTTTCTGCGATTAGTACTGATGCCTCGTCCTGGCTGAAAAAAAAAGAAAAAAAAGTCCAGGTTCATCTCCAGCAAAGAACAGGAATTATCTTGACGCTGTGTTCGAACCGATTGTCCTGATTCTGCATCGATACAAGTTCGTTATACTGGAACTGAAGTGACGTACCACTTTCTCGCTGACTTTGGCGCCCATCAAGTCGCGGTAAAACGCCGTCGATTGATCAATATCCGGCACAGCAATGGCAACATGGTTCAGTCGACCGAGACTCCAGAGTGGAGAGGTCTAGTGGGTATATAGTATATAAAAAAAAAACAAAAGTAGTATGAGTCTTCATGATCTCGTAACTGTCTCGGCTCGCGATCTCTCCAAAGTGGCAGTGATGAGTGATGAGGTGCGGAATGAAAGCGAGGATGAGAGACAGACCTTGGGGACACCAGTCGACAGTGCGCGTTTGGAGATGGCCTGGGCGGGGAATGCGCGGGAGAGGAATGGGCGGATCATGTTGTGTGTGAGTGGAGAGGAAAAAGAAGTCGGAGAAAGAGATGAGGAACCCAAACGGGTGGAGTTGTGGTCCGTTTTTTTTTCTTCCCACGATCACGCTTTCAGCATTTGCCCATCTGAAATTACCCTGTGGGGTAATAAACTGCAGTGCTCTGGCTCGGAGATTCTGAGACAAGACGCGTCCGAATCGTGTGGTTCGGCCAAGCCAGCTGGACGAACTGGTTACTCGGATCGACTTGGCAGAATGGCTGTGCAGCTCGTTGAACAGTGCAATAGCAATAAAATCATGCTAGCGAATCTTTTTGAAGCGCCCTCGTTTTCAAGAGAACACAGGTATTCCATCCACTCCCACTGTATGGAAGATATGCTGGTATCATTTCGACCGCATTTTAGAGACCTTCATTCTACATCGCCACTGTGTTTGCGATGCTTAGGAATGAATAAACACAAGTTTTATTGAACTCTACAAGACGCGTTGATGGCTCATAGTTACAGCGTCCATTGGCCGACCAGAGGACCTTATAACGTTTTCCAGCTCTCTTTGCGCTTTAAGTTGTGCACATGTGCCTTGTATGATTAATTTCTGCAGTTCTTGACCTCAAGCAGTTTCGGAACTATCCTGATTTACGCAGGGATGACAGTCGGCGCCGTAGATCGCAAGGTGATCGTGGCCATACTAACGATAATATATGCATTTAATAAGTCCATTTGGAAGCAATTTGTTGAAAGAGCAAAAGCTCCAAGTTCAGGGAGCTCGGTGGAAGCATCGATCAAAAATTGAGATACGGCCGGCTCGAGTCGTCAACAGGTCTTTCACGATCAAGCGCGAGATACGATCAAGGTGAGACTCGTTCTTCGTTTTCTTATTTTTCAGCATTATGATACTTTACTGCGTTGGCTTCTTTCATATATGGATGGGAATGACAGGCGCTTAACAGGGCAACTCATTGCATCGATCTTGGAAGAGGCGGAATAAATAATACCACGTACTCTTTAACTAGTCCTTGTTCAAATGAATCATTTATCGCAAAAAAACTCGCTGTGAAAAATATACTGGCCCCTACGTTTGCCAGAGACGACACGCGATCTCGTCTTCCAAACAAAGGGTTTGGTGCATTTGCTCTATATAGCTCAGGGTAAGCGCTCACTGCTCCAGTTGAAAGACCGCGCTATTTATTTTATTCTTTGCTTCACGGCGACGAGCGCGTCAAACTTTTTCGTACATGAAGACAAAGTTCAGTTACGGCTAAAAGACACTCGCTCCATGTTTATCGTACAGTTACAAGTCTTGCCGACAATTTATTAAAAAAGAAACCCAGGTTACTGAACACAGACGACACAACGAAAGAAAAAGAAAAAGAAAAAGAGGAAAAAAAAAAGAACTAAACACAAAGCCGAATAAACCCGAATAGCACTATCAGAAAACCGCTTTAGTTCTGCGACCAGAACTGCTGGTTGCTATTGTTACGACCCGATCCTTGGTGCTGGCCCTGATGCTGGCTAGGATGATAACCCTGATGGTGGTTAGGATACTGGTAACTCGAGAACATCTGCTGCTGGTAATAAGCTTGCTGCTGTCCCTGGTTCATTCCACCGACCCCTTGTTGACCCTGGAGTGAGGCCCCTCCAGCGACATTCGCGTTCTGCGATCCTGCGCCGCCAGATTTGTCTGCTCCACCATAGGTGTTCGCACCAGCACTACCCTTGGCACTGCCAGCATTTGAAGTAGGGGTCACACCTTGCTGTTGACCACCCAGGAAGCCCTGCATGCCAGGGTTGCCATACTTATTGTATGGGTCACTGCTCAAGCCGCCCATGCCGTGGAGTCCCGCTCCAGACATGTCATCGTACCCGGACTGCGAGTACTGGTGATGGCTTCCCTGGCCCGCGCCGGTCGAGCCATAGTTGCCGTAGTGAGAGTTGTTTCCTGATCCGGGCTTGCTCGAGTGCTGCTGTTGCTGCTGCTGCTGCTGCTGCTGTTGCTGGTACATCGGGTACATGTTCTTGTTCATGAATGGCTGACCGTATCCAGATTGCTGATATGCGTTAGGGAATTGGTTAGGCGCCATGTAGTAGTAGGGGTAGTAGGGCATGCCTCCAGTCATGTTGGGGTAGGCCTGCTGTTGTTGCTGCTGCTGCTGAAGCGTTTGCTGGGCTTGGGTCGAGGCTGTGTTGGAGGCCCCAGAGGTACCGACAGTCGAGGAAGCGTCCTGGTTGAATTTGGAATCGCGTGTCTGATAGTTGCCCGCGGTCACTGGGATCTGACTGTAGCTTGTAGGATCGTAATACATGGTCCTCTGGAGGTCGCTGCCATAGAGAGCGGCATAGTCATTAGGAAGCGAACCCATGGGACCCATGCCAAAGGCACCCAGCTGGTTGGCACCGGGCATGTACGATCCGTAGGGTGAGCCCATGACATCGTGACCCATGCCGGGGTGGTGAAGATGCTGCTGACCAAGGTAGTTGGCGGCGGGGTCCTGCTTCATGTACGAGGCGTTGACTCCAGCATTTGCTTGTCCAGCTGCAGCGGGAGTTGATCCTTGGTATCCTGTGGCGGCCGAGGCGGCATTGGGCTGACGACCATAGGCTGCTGGCTGCTGAGCAGCTGGTTGAGTAAATTGAGCCGACTGAGCAGGCTCTGCTGGCTGGGCTGGCTGGGCTGGAGAGGTGCTTTCTGCTGCTGCTGCTGCTGGCTGCTGCTGGTTGGGCTGCTCGGGCTGGGTTTCTTCTTCAGCTGGCTCAGGTTCGTCGTTCAACGTGAAGCTGCCAAACTTGAGACCAACAGTGTGAAGGTTGGCTGATCCACCGGGCATGACAACTGCGGCATCCTGGTTCAAGCGGCGAGGTTGGGGGGCTGCCTTGTGCTTCAATCCTGGAGGAGCAGTTGTTATGCTAGTGGTAGTATTAGTGGCGGGTGTGACAGCAATGGCAGCAGGCGAAGGAGCATTCGCCTTGACGGACTCATGCACGGGCACGGGTTCAGGCTCAGGCTCTGCCGCTGGTTCGGGTGTAGGTTCTTCTGGCTCCTTCTCTGGGACAGACTCAGTGACCTCTGGTTCGGGTGTTTTCTCTTCAGGTGTTTCTTCAGCAGTGGGGGTGGGTTCAGGGACAGATTCAACAATTGGTTCGGCAATGGGTTCAGTAGCGACTTCGTTAGCGGGTTCGGCAACAGGTTCGGCAGGCTTTGTTTCTTTCTCGACGACAGGTTCAGATGCAGCGGCGGGTATACTTTTTGGTGAAGCGACAGGTGCAGGCTGAGGTGCAGGTTCAGTCCTATATATAATAAATAAGAATCAAAGCTTAAGTTAACCGATTTTTTGGATCAATATCGGCCGCTATCCTTAAAAGTGGTCTTCAAACTCACTTGACAATCTTGGCCCATGACATTTTGCTTCCTGCAGGGATCGTGGCGGTGTTGATCTTGCGTGCTAGTGCTGATGCTCCTGATACTGAGGCATCGCTTGTATCCGTGCCAGTAGTAGTGGTCACAGGAGTATCCCATGAATCTGTTGCCGTGGTAGATGCGGCTGGAACTCCCGAAGATTCCGTGGCAACAGTGCTAGACTCGGTAGATGCAGCCCATGAATCTGTGGCGGCGCCGGCTTCGGCAGCGGGGGCTTCCCATGAATCAGCAGCGGTGTCCTTTGTGTCTGCTGGAGTGTCATTGTTGGCGGCCCATGCATCGTTTGCTGCGCCTGTGGTTGTAGAAGGAGCTGCCGATGCAGTATGGGCTGGTGCAGTATGGGCGGCCGCAGTGATGCTGGCCCAGGATGGCGCGCCGTTCGTGCTAGTATGTTTCTCGACTGGTCTGGATCCATTCAGGGATGGGTATGCCTCATCCTCTGCTGTCTTTGCGGAGCGATCATGTCGGTCTCCACCATTCTGGCCACGAGGCACTCCCCTGGTTGATCCACCACGTCCTCCGCGGAACCCATCTACACGTCATTGCAGAAGAAGACAAGACACGTCATTCAGTTTGCTCTGTCTTGGTTTCTCCTTTTATCTCGGCAAATGCTCCTTCAATGTGCAATGTGTGGATGATCTGCATCGATGGACAAGAAAGCAAAGAGATATCGAACACTACTCACCTCTACCGCGTGATCCGCGATCTGCGAATCCGCCGCGCTGGCTGGCGGCACGGCTGGTGTCGTTCCTGTCGGTCGTGGTCTTTTGCTTCGGGAGCTTCTTCTTGCCCTTGACTTCGCCCCATTGGGTGGCATGGCCTACAGAGATAGCAATTGCGCCGTTAGATGATGTTACGAGCACATAGCGCCTGTTAGTCTAACCGCAATGTGTCGTCGTGAGACTAAGAGAGACTAGATCAGGCGACTGCTGCAACTGGAACAAGACCCGCCCCGCTCATTTGTCTGAATATTCTGAATATTCATTTTAAATGTCCAATCCTGCATGCTGATGACTCGTTTTGATACTAGCAAGTCCCCGTGTCAAACCCCGCCGTACCCATCATACCCATCTACCCTGAGGCTTCTTCTGTCGATTTGCCCAATTGTCCATTCCATGGTTCGAACGACTCGTGCCACGTCGTTTTAAATACGGGTTTCTGTCCGGCTGCCCGCCATAAACATGCAACGGGCGGGAATGGCAAAATCCCTCCCCCACATCCTCTTTTACACGCGATCCATCGCCAAAGGAGGAGGAAACAATCAATTTGACCCACATGTCGTCTTGCAAACATCCCTGCATACGCCACCCAACCTCGACAGTGCGCGCTTCCAAACCATAGAGGGCGTACAAAGGAAGCACCCCTCTCGAGTAGTTATCGTACACAAAAAAACGAGGGGGTAGGGGTAGGGTCAAAGGAAAAGAAGCCAGAGCGAATAGTGAAAATAGACCAGGAAGAAGCCAGCGGGGGAATGGGAAAGAAGATAACAAGTAAGAGCGAGACGTGTTGCTTACCTTCACTGATGCGGAGTGTTGCGAGGTTGACATCTCCATTGGCGTCTTGGATGGCGTAGAGGAGATCTTCCTCTGTCCAGTCTGCGAAGAGTTCCTTGAGTGTGGCGAGTGATCCTCCATGCTCTTTGCGAAGCTGGCGAAGGTCCTCTGGTTCGTCTTTGCCCCCTGGGCGTCGTTGTGTGAATGTACTATGAAATGTCATTTGGCTACTGTATGGGTTGTTGTGCGAGTGTGCGGAGGAAAAAAGACAAGCGTGAGTATGAAAGTGTGGGGAAAGAAGGGTGAGACGAGTCGAGTTAAGGCCTTGATGAACCTGGGGGGAAGGAGGGGGTCACCAGATCCGTTTGAAAATAAGCGGGCACTCATCATGCAACAACCGTTAGGGCGGCGCCGAGACACGACAGCCAAGTCGTTCATTCAGTCGCGTGGGAGTAAGCATGGCTGATCAGATCATCAACCAGCGGTCGCACTCCACACCGCTTTATCATCAAGAGTGATATTTAATAAAACACCAGTATTCCTCGAGACCAAGTGCCTGTTGACATCAACAAAGTGGGCCTACGAGGACAAGGGTCCTGCATTCAAAGGCACGAGGTGCTGCTTTTTCGTCTCAAGTGTCAAATGGATCCCCTCAGTGGCCCTCTCTTCTTCATCAACACTACCAGGTCCTTGTGCGATGGGCGACCAATCATGTAATCATGTAACCGAGTAAGAACAGCCCTCAGTGACATGCATCATTCGTGTGCTCATCTTATTTCTTTTCTCTTTTGGGTGTTACCTTTTTTATATATGTGCGTGTGCGTGTGCGTGTGCGTGTGTAGCAAGCGTCGTGTGTGCTGTGTGGGGGGAGACAGTGCTGTTGGTGGGGGCGGTACTGGTCGGGGGTCAGGGATGTGCGGTTGCGGGGGATTGGGCGCGGGGAAGTATGTTTGAGTAGAAGAGAAGAGAAAAGAAGAGAGAAGAAAGACTTTCGGGGTCAGTCCAGTCTGGGTCCACTTGGCACCCGCCCATCGCCCCCCTCCCCCCCTCGTCCTCCTTCCGCAAGACAATTGTCTCGTCGCAATATGGACTCTCTCTTGTGACGAGAAACGAATGAAATATAACATTTGCGATCAAGCCTTCGTTCGAGAGTGTATTGTTTTTGGCACACACAGACGCTCGAAATGTAGAAAGAACCTCCTCCTCGTGGCCTTCGACATTCCTCCCCCTCCTCCGCTTTTGCAATCCTGCTCCATATCTTCGCCCTCCCAGCAACATGGCCACCACGGATTCACCCCTGGACTTGTCCAAGCTCAACGCGCTGTCCCACGAGGTCATCTCCAAGCAGGCCACGATCAACATCGGTAAAGACCAAACTAGGAATCTACTCCGATCACTCCCCTTTCTCAGCACAAACACGACATACCACCAAAGGGACCCAGGAAAACTCTCAAAGGCAAAAAACTGAACAGCTTCAACTCTTGCTCCCAACAGGTACCATTGGTCACGTAGCCCACGGTAAATCCACCGTTGTCAAGGCCATCTCCGGTGTTCAGGTACCAGCGCCATACTTTTTATTCATGAAATATGTTTATTTTATCCGCAGTAGTCTAATGTTGCACCTTTTTATGCTTTTCGATAGACTGTTCGTTTCAAGAACGAGTTGGAACGCAACATTACCATCAAGCTAGGATATGCCAATGCCAAGGTAAACGCGTGGACCTGGATGTTCTTGATGATTCAACTGCACAGATAACCCCTGCAGGGAGGACACTTTCGCTGAGCGTCAACTTTTTTTTTTGTTTTCATGGCCTCTTCGCTTCTAGATCTACAAGTGCCAAAATGAGGCGTGTCCACGTCCTGGATGCTACAAGTCATACCGCAGCAGCATGGAAGATCACCCCAAGTGCGAACGCCCTGGATGTGGTGGTATCATGAAGTTGGAGAGGTGCGAGGAACATGGACTACAGGAGAACAGGAAATGAATAGGATTTATCGAAACAGACCTCTAATACCAACCACCGACCATTGGTGCTTTCGTTCAATTGTTCGCCATTAGACACGTCTCGTTCGTCGATTGCCCAGGTAACACACGCCCAACATCATGAGCTTTGGGATCGATATACGCAAGAATGTAGACATGAACAACTACTGATCCGACGGATGATCATCAAATTGACACCATGGCGACATTTATTCTGGTCGAATAGGACACGATATTCTCATGGCAACGATGTTGAACGGTGCCGCCGTCATGGATGCCGCACTGTTGTTGGTCGCCGCCAATGAATCTTGCCCTCAGCCCCAGACCAGTGAACATTTAGCCGCTATCGAGATCATGAAGCTGGAGCACATCATCATTCTGCAGAACAAGGTCGACCTGATCAAGGAGGCCGCCGCACAGGAGCATTACCAGAGTATCCTCCAGTTCGTCAAAGGAACCATTGCGGACTCTGCGCCGATTGTCCCGATCTCGGCTCAGCTCAAGTACAACATCGATGCTGTGAATGAATACATTGTCAAGCGCATCCCTGTTCCCGTTCGTGACTTCACGTCAGACCCCCGTCTCATTGTCATTCGTTCGTTTGACGTCAACAAGCCTGGTGCTGAGGTTGACAGCTTGACTGGAGGTATTGCTGGAGGCTCCATTCTTAACGGAGTCTTGAAGGTAAGGCTCTCAAGTAGGACATTTGATTTTGTAGCCATGATAGTCAAAAAGCCATCTAAAACACTCTATTTTTTATCACGTTCTAGCTGGGAGATGAGATTGAGATTCGCCCGGGTATTGTGACAAAGGACAATGAGGGCAAGATCAAGTGCAGACCTATCTTCTCACGAATTGTCACACTGCTGGCAGAGACCAACAACTTGAAGTTTGCAGTGCCCGGTGGTCTGATTGGTGTGGGCACCAAGATCGATCCCACACTCTGCCGTGCAGATCGTTTGGTCGGTCAGGTCTTGGGTGCGGTCGGAAAACTACCTGAGGTCTACTCTGAACTCGAGATCAACTACTTCTTGCTCCGTCGTCTCCTCGGTGTCAAGACTGATGACAAGAAGCAGGCCAAGGTCACGAAGTTGACGAAGAACGAGGTTTTGATGGTCAACATTGGTTCGACCTCGACTGGTGGACGTGTTATCCAGGTCAAGAACGATATTGCCAAGATTGCGCTCACCGGTCTTGCATGCTCAGAGTAAGTGCCCTGGATGTGCTACTGAACGATTTGTCATGTAAGGGATCCTGTAATAACAGCTGCTAATCGTATGAACCACTTTCTTTCTTTTATAGGACTGGTGCCAATGTTGCATTGTCACGTCGTATTGCCAACCACTGGCGTTTGATCGGATGGGGGAAGATCACTCGTGGCTCTGCTGTGCCTATCTAAAGCAAGGAGCCAAGTTGAAGGGGAGAGATAGAAGGAGTCAAATAAAATGGAGAATGCGAGCTTGTATGTCCGACAATTCTACGGATGAGAATGAGATAAACCGATCCATGAACCAGGGCGCAGGGTAGAGCGCGCACTGACATGCTTGTCTACCTGAGCATCTTGCGGCCTCGACCTTGCATGTTATGTCTTCGCACGTCAAACCCGTGCTCCTTGTCCCTGTCCTCTTCGTATCTCTGACGACATGTTCTCTTCCAGGGAGACCACAGCCCCGCAGTCTATTTTTACTTGGACAAACAAAAAAAAAAAAAAACCAGAAAATGACACCCCAGGCACAGCCTTGACATATAAATCCTATCACCTTGCTTCTTCTCGTCTTCTTTTTCCGATCTATCTCTCACCCATCACTCATCCAGCTCCATCATCATCATCATCATCATCATCATCATCATCATCATCATCATCATCATCATCATCATCATCATCATCATCACCTTCAACACAGCTATACGCTTTCATATATCAACAATGCACAGAACAACGCTTCTCACTCTCATCCTCTGCCTCCTCTCCATCGCCACCCTCCCTCTCACAACCGCCCAAACCTGCGGCGCCGCTCAGGCCTGTGCCTCTCCCACCGATTGTTGCTCCGCCGCCGGTTTCTGCGGCTCCACTGTCGACTACTGTGGCGCCGGCTGCGTCAACGGGCCTTGCTCCTCGGCTCCACCCGGTTCCTCCTCTGCCCCATCCTTTCCCACAACTCTTTCCACAATCGAAACGGGCTCTGCGACCCTCTCCCCCACCTCTCCCGTCACGGCCACTCTGACGGTGACCACGACGGATATCCTCACGACCCTGACCACGACCACGGCTCCCATAACCACAACAACGCCAGCTACACCAATTTCTGCGACCGTGAGCTCGACGAGTACTCTTTCGACCTTCCAATTGCAACCGACCGGAAAGCCGAATAGTGCGCAGGATAAGAAGGGTATTGAGTCCAGATTGGCCCTCGTCATCGTTGTCCTCGCGGGCTTGTTTATGGTTTAAGGAACAGAAATATATGAGAACAGGAGCCGACCCTATCGAACAGCATCAAGTGCATTTCTTTCAATCCACCGTATACATCACTATCATAGGCACAACTCTATAGTTGACATAATTATCCAATTAGCACCTCCTTGTAATAAACATATTACTACACTTTTGTAGCCCCCGTACTAGCACCTGAACTGGGTCACCAACGCGCTAGTTAAAATACTTTGCCATTATTTGTCTCCTGAGTGTCTGAATGTCCCAAGACTATTTTTGGTGGCGTATCGTGAACTGCCATGGATCCCACTTCTTCAAGGAACGTGTTCAACTCGCAAATATGCTTCTGTTTTTTTATTTATTTTATTTTATTTTATTTTATTTTACATGAAAGAAGGCCTTATTCTCTGTCCTGAGCTAGAGTAGTCAACGCCTGTGCTGCGTCCTTAGCATCCTCTATCCGCTCCTGTACAGACGACAACATCTCAGTATCCTTCTCAACAGCAAGCTCCTTCTTCTCCTTCAACTTGCTCTCCTTCAACTTGCTCTCCTCAACCACAACAACATTAGTCGGCGAAGGCGCCTCACTATCCGCCTCGACCACTACGACAACAATCCCACTATCCCGTGGACGCAATCCATTCTTCGTCCGGTCATCTCCTCCATTATTCTCCAGATCCGCACCCAATGTCTGCTCCTGCTGCTTCGCCCGCTTGGATAGGCTCGAGAACGATTTTACGTTGGCATCTTCATCCTCGCCATAGTTATGCGACGACCGCTTGCGATGGTTAGGGCTTGCAGGATAGGAAGTACTCGATGTCACAGAAGATGACGGTGACATTGGAGGCTCCTCCGTCAATTGGTCTTCCTCCTTCTCTTGAAGGCCCTTCTTGCTGCCACCAGACTGTTTCGAACCAGACTGATTCTTGTTAGTGACACCGGATGTGCTTTTCTTGCGCTGCACGTTCCACGGCTCCTCTTGGATAAAGATCGGCTCTGGCTGAAGGGATCGTGCCAGCATTGGTTGAGGGGACGTCGGCTGCGGTGGGGCCGAGTGATGTGGGGGCGGGTGATGAGGATGATGCGGCGGAGGAGGGCCGTGAGGATGCGGGTATCCATACGAAGGGTGATATGGGTAAGGATAAGGATAGCCATGTGGATAGACGTGAGACGAGAGCGAGCCTGGCATGTAGTGACCTGGATGAGGTGGTGGCGGTACATCTGATCCCTCGTGTCCCCAGTGGGGATAAGGCGAGGTGCCTGCAGAGGACGATGAGAGCGGACCCATGGAGGGGGATCGCGACATCATCGGCGAGAGCATGAACGGCGAGACTGGGGGCTGCTCGTCCGAGTTTCGATGATGGTGGCGAGGAGAGGTCGAAGACTGGTGTGGAGAGAGCGTCTGGCTGCTGGTGCTGTTGCCGTTGGGATGACCTCCATTGGCATAGGAAGGATGAAGATGCTGCTGAGGAGGGATTTTCAGTGGCGGCAACGTGGGACCAGAGCGATGGCTTCCAAATTTGGCATTGGAGGAAGGAGACGACCCAGATGAGGCTCCAGAGTAACTGTTGGACGAAGACCGCAGGGACGGTGATGTCTGGCAGTCCGTGGGGAGTCTCTCACCAGAAATCTCCATCGCCCCAGAGGGCGACTGTAGCTGCAGATTGGCCAAGGATGAAATTGGTGGCAACGAAGGCGAGGCTGAGGTCGGCTGGTGCTGCATGAATGGTGACAGCTTCTGCTGCTGATCCTTGCTCAAGGAGCTCTGGTGACCCTCGGCCTGGCTGACAGTCATCGAGAACGGGTTCTGGCGCGCAGAGGGAGAGGGCGACACGGGTGAGGGAGGGAATGTCGATGTTGAGGATTCGGACTTGGCTATGTAGGGCGAGGAAGGAAACATGGGCGAGGCCGAGAGGGAGCTGGCAGGGCTGGCACAGTCACTGAACGAGCTCTTGCGCTCATGAGGATGACGGAATGAAGAGCCCTGGACATCATCAGGAACCTTCAGGATAGAGACTGGTGGAGGAACAAGGGCTATCTTGGACTGGCGATCTGATTCCTTGTCTGAGGAAGGACTGGACGCATCGGTGACGATGACGGGTGGATGTGCCAATGCCTTGGATGGCGTCAGTCTTGGGGAGGCAGACCGCGAATTGCTCGTGTTAGCAGAGGGAGAGGATGACTTGGAAGAAGTCTTTTCCACGCGAGCGATCTGTTTGTCCTCGTCGTCTTCTTCAATATCCTCATCATCGTCATCACCATTGATCTCTCGCTTGACAGGCTCGGACGTGTCGACATCCATGGCCATCCCATCGTCCTCTGCGGAGCCATCCGCAGTAGCGGGGATGGTGGATGCGGCCGGCTCTGCGCCTTCGGTACCCTTGGATGACGCTTCGGATGGGTTGAGGTCGATCGGGACCTGGAAGCCCTGCTCCTTGGCGGTGTCTAGAGACTTTGTGAGGGCCAAGTTTTGGTCGGCAAGAAACTTGATGTGGGCGACTGCTCCGCGCAGGACATTGACGCGATGGCACTTTGAGGTGACTTCTTCGAGATGTTTAGGAGGCAGCAGTTTTGTCAAGTCATCAATTAGCTACAGTAGTTGTTAAGGCAGGAAGAAAGAACGGAACGAGGAGACGTGGGTTATTAAGATTGTTCCTGCCTGCATGAGTACTATTCTATCCCCGGCTGCAGCTGCACCAAAAACAAGACAGCAAGGAAGGAGGGCGGTTGGCGGAGTCAAGAGCCGGGATAGTAAAGCATCTACAGAGAAAAATATACCAGTATATATTTTTTTCCTTACCTGGTTGATGCAATCTCGGCGTTTCCGCTCCACACGGTTGTGGGTCTCGCGTCGGCGCTGCAGCTTATCGAGTGCAGTACGGGTGTCGAGGGGCTTACGGTTAAGGATGTTGACGCCTGCGAGGTCAAAAGACTTTGTGGTCTTGTAGGACTCGGAGGAGATGCTTCCCTCGAAGCGGAATGTCTTTGGGGCTGTGATGGGTGCAGTCGATTTTGATGTAGCCGAAGTAGCCTTCTTCGAGGAAGGGGATAGATCTGGTTCTGTCTTGATGGATTTGGAGGTCGTTTTGGCGGCATTTGAACCCATGTCCTGGGCAGCCGGAGAAGGAGAGGGAGGGGCGTGTGTGTTCGAGGTAGATGAGGGTGTTCCATCGCGGGCAGTACCATTAGCAGCAGGATGTTGAAGGTAGTGCGGTGGGGGAGGATGGGTGTGGTGATAGGAGGGATGGGATGGGTAGGGTGGTGGGTATGGTCCAGCAGGGTATGGGTGATGATATGGATAGTATGGCTGCTGGTGTGAGGAGTGTGGTGGGGGCGGATGGTGAGGGTGTCCTGGATGTGGTGGGTAGTAGTGGGGAGGTGGGGGTGGATGTGATGGGTATGAGGACGAAGCGTGGTGTGAGGAAGGCTGTGGCTGGCTGGAGTGGTGGGGATGGTGGTGCGAGGAATGCGACTGTGACTGAGACGACTGAAGCCCTGGCCAGGGGGCGTTGTTCGGTGGGACCATGATGCTTTGATTTGCCATATTAAGTCGTTGCTACCGTTGTGAAGAGGTAATTGTTCGTTGCTGTGCAGGCAGTGGTGATCCTGGGAAGGAGTGAGAGCGAGAGGGGGGAGGAAGGAAACAGAGTAGTGGGCAAGCTTGGAAGAGAGGAGAGAAAGGGCTCGGGCGTGAGTCTGTGAGGATGTAGGGGATGAAAGAACAAAAGAATGAAAGAACAAAAGAATGAAGGAATGAAAGAATGAAGGAGCGAAAGAATGAAGGAAAGAGGGAAGGAAGGAAGGAAGGAAGGATGGACGGAAATATGGGAAGGAAAGAAGGAAGTATGTGCGTTGTCCCAAAGGAAGTGGAAAGAAAGTGTGCCTTTGGACAATTTCGCCCCTGCCTTGTACGGCAGTCCTCTGTCTCTTGCTTGGGTGCTCATTCGGGTGTGTGTGTTGTTTTTTCGACAATCCTCGGTAACAAGGGGACAGGGATGGTCCTTGAATTCTATTCGATCCTATTCAACTGAACACAAGGACTATTTTAAACGAAATACGCCGGGGTTAGTTTTAGGGTTCCAGTGCCTGTCCAGCTGTCCGTTTGCTTCCATTCTTTTTTCCTCTCTTCGTCCCCTCTTTTAAACCATCCTCATCTTCGTCTCCTATATACCGCTACCTTGCCTTGCATTGCAATGGCATACCTGCTCTTATCCTCACACACATCCTCGCTCTGACGCCCGCCCTCTTTCTCTGTCTTCATCGCCTTGGTTGCTGCTGGTCCCTGTCTAGGATGGGCGTATTGACATATAAAATAAAAAAACCCGATTGCTTTATTTGTGTAGGCAATGACATCCTATTTCCTGGGACACTGGCATTTCCTCGTGTGCTATCTAATTCGCCGTGTTCTTCACATCCACCATATTTATTTTCTTGTCGTTCTATTTTCCTGCACTTCAGTTCAGTTCATACAACAAACAACATGGATTACATTCGCAATGCACAAGATCCTTTATTGTTCTGCTCGTCTTTACCACTATTATCATTATTACTTATTCTTATTCCTATTCTTATTCCTATTCTTATTCCTATTCTTATTCCTATTCTTATTATTGTTGTTGCTGTTGTTATTATTATTATTTATGAGCGTGTGCCCTATGTCGTTTAAGGATGCTCTTCGGGACCGCAGGTGCAAAGTTGTTCCTGCTTTTGGACAGATCGCTGTCTTTTTGCGACGAGACGGACCCTTGGAACTGTGCAACCGTGCCTTTGTGGCAGCACACACTCCTACCCACATGCGTATAGACTAGAATAATATTTGTAGTTTACTAAATGGTACTTGCTAACCCCCGCTACCTGGGTTCGTCGTCATGTTTATACTTTCCCTTTGCTCCTATAGTCTACGTTGACACCTCGATACGGAGGGAACGGAGAAAACTGAGGAAGCAGCTGGGCGGAAATAAAATCCAGATGACTCCTTGATCCTCAGTGAGCACTCTCGCATCCTCGGATAGTTGTGTAGTCATCAAATAGATTACGGTACCTACGGTGTATCTCAGCCCATTGCATTTCCAGATGAGTCCATGTGGACTCATTTTTGTTGTATTTCTTCCAGGCTAACGAACTAATACAAACTTCTCTGGAGTGTACCGGTGGCGAACAACAACCTCGAACGAACGAACTACAGCACGAAATAAACATTACAGAGGAAATGGAAATCGTGGAAGATGCCTACCCACGCTTTATTAGTCTAGAAAGTGCAGCACCGTTCCCAGTCGTACAAATAAATCGTAGTCCGCCCATCCCTCGTCCGTAAGAGACATGGACAAAGACAAAAAAAAAACGGCGATTGGAGCTCCTTTCCCTCATTCTTTGTCAATGGCTGGGCTAGTCTGGCTGGAGTACACACACAGGCACGCCATCGCAGCTTAACTTAAAACACTAATGTCTAGACTTGCCATCCTCGTGAACTGGACTATTGGTATTTTGTCCATCCAGAAGAGTCGCAGGGTCACACTCACCTTCGATAGCAAGGTTTAGGAAGCGAGGTTTTGGACGCACAAAATCTTGTCCGGTTTGTTCAACGCCTCTTGCCCTATGCGCAACAACAATGAGCGGTAACAGAAAGTATAGAAGGATTCCATAGCCAGCTGATAGATATCCCATATTCAAAAAAGGGCCTGTCTGAACATTATAGTACTTGCCCCATGTAAGTTCATGGTATGGCAGGGGCAGGGTCTGACACTACTCGAAGACGACAAAGTCGAAGTTATACGAAGCATTAAATTACGAATCTAGGCTATCCATTCCATCAACATAAAAGTGCCTTTGCTCTTTTCCTCTCCTTCTTTTGTCCGTCAGAGACAGCACTGTTATCTTATTGTTATTGACTTTGTCCGTTGCTGATGAGCTCCAGATGTAAAATGACTGACATTGGTCCTGATCCTTGTACTTTCTAACCACACTACTGCCACTTTTTTGAGGCCGCCATGACAGCGGTACAGTTCAGTCTTTAAAGGAAATCCTGGAGAGTTTGAACAACAATAAATACCCCCGAAGAAAGAACAGGCGGACGAGGATAGATATTCTAGAACGAACGAGCGTACGTTGACCCTAAAGGTAAAAAATCTGTAAATTGGATTGAATCCCAGGCACACACAACACTTCGGAGCTGTACACGATCGTAATCCAACTCGCCCACTTTGATTGAATAATAAGAAGAGAAGAGCGAGGTGCTCGTCCTGTTTCTTATTTTTCTCTGCCCACTGGGTCTTCGACTTCCCCATATGGATCATCCAGCTGGAGTGGTCAGCATTTATTTTTAGGAGTCTCTCTTCCATCGAACATTGGGAAAGACAGTTGGACTAAATTACTTTTTCGTTTACCGGGATTTTGTGCGAAAAAAATAATTTATAAGTGAACTGAGCACAAGAGCAAAGCATGATATTGTTTCCATTTTTATTTGGTCGATGCAGCAAAAAACCCTCGTTATGGAATTCTGGGAAAAGAGAGACGACGTTGGGTTTGCAATGCCACACCACACGCATCACTCTAGACTAGACTATACCACTGCTGTTTGTCTCGTGCACCGCACGTTTCCCTTGCGCGGTCCCTCATGAGTGTCACCCCTTCCTAGTGAGAAAGATAGGAAGAACCCTATTTCATTTCCCATATACCACTGCAGATCAACTAATTTTTTCTCTTGTCGGGTGAACATATCAAGTAAGCGCTACACCACCCAACCAGTGTTCTCGCTACAAAGTCGCGGCTTAGTAACAATGAACGCCTCTTAACAGACATATCTTCTGGGCAGGTAAACGCACTCTCATTAGGAACCCTATAAAGTTGACCCAGCGATGTAGGGGAATGTTGGTTCAGTATATATTTTTTTATTAGTTCGTCCTACTTGCTAATGATTATTCCTTTGATACCTTCAATCCTTTGTTTCTTTGTGAGAGATAAAAAAAGAAAAAGAAAAAAAGCGGTATCACCTCCGTCAAAAGTACTAAAAAACATTCACAACAAATGAGTACAAGTCTACTGACGTGCTCTATAGGTTGTTGAACATACCAACTACTTGCACCGCATGTTGCACGCGCATCCTAACTTCGCGTCGAGGAAGGAAGTATTAACTCCCTTACTTAGTAGGTTTATTGGATCCAAGTTAAATATGCCTCAATTATCCCTGTAATGTGTATACCTGAGCATCTTAGATGAAAGTCTTCGAAGTCATACAAAAAGTATGGGATAATCTATTTGCAACCTGAGTTGCCAGACTTCTCCAACAACTCCTGTAGGATATCCAAGTAAAATATTAATACTCGGTGCATTTGCCAAAGACAGGCAACCTGAGCGAAAACAATAGACTCCCTCGTGCCCTCGTGAACACAGAAAAGGCTTAAGCCGTAGGCTAAACGAGTTACATGGATTTCCGCATGGGTTGTCAAGTAGTTCAAAAAAGTATTCTTAGTCCAAAAAGAAAAGTTTCGCGTCAACAGCAGGATTTGAACCTGCGCGGGAGATCCCATGAGATTTCGAGTCTCACGCCTTAACCGCTCGGCCATGTTGACCCGTGATTGCAGCGGCCTACGGGCCTACATATGCCGCACATAGCCACATATCTCTAATTGCACACATCCTTATTTGCACATGCCCTTTATTTGCACGTGGCACCGTCCTGGCTCGCCTACGAGGACGCGCACAGGCTGCCTTAGACTCTGCTGCTCGGCGCAGAAAAGCACTTTTGCAAGACATCAACTCACAACGCGCACGTGCATCGCAAGCGATACATGCCCAGTACGGTACCCAGCAGGCACGGGAGCGCCGACGCCTGCGTAACAGCGAACGTCGACTACAGCGTCAACAACAACGAGAGTTGCGTCTACTGCCTCAACGCCAAACGTATCCATTGCTGCCTGTACACCAGCTGTCTGAGGAGGTGGGCACATTATATCCAGACAGAACCACAATTGGACCAGTCAGCTTATCACACGCTGAGGCAGTTGCTGTGTCACAGCTGCGAGAATCTCCTGTCGACAACACAGCACCGCGAGTCATCTCCTCCGATGGCTCTTTGATTAACACTGGTCAAGAAGACGTAGCCATGGCCTTTGGGGTCGTTGATCGATCGCAGCCCGTGGTCAGGTGTGTGCAGGGCCGCACAGACGGGTACGCTTCTTCAGCAAAAGCAGAACTCATGGGTCTCCTAGCTGCCATCCTATCTGCACCACCAGACCAAAACATTATTGTGGAGCTCGACAACCAAGCGGTCGTGCAACAATACCAGCAGCTTGTGCGTTCCCGTGCGGACACGTTACCTCGTAAGCGGTTCCGTAGTACGTACTCTGGACACTGGGCAGCACTACACAAAATTGTCCAGGATCGGTCTGGGTCGGTGGAGGTGAGGTGGGTCCGTGGGCACAGCACCAACACTGGCAACAATCTTGCAGACACTGTGGCGACAGCCGCCGTCCGAGTCGAGTCAATGCCCTGGTCGGTTGATTTAAGCGAGCAGCAAGACATCCGCTTTTTTGCACATTGCCACGATCATCTTGTGGAACATGATCTGCGGCAGCTACTCAAGCAGCAGACGACAATCAGGCGTCATCAGGCCTGGACAACCCAACGTCGTGTCAAGAGAGCGATACCAGATCTTGCCGACGTGGAGTGGCGGTCCACCCTTGCCCATGTCCACGACAAGCGCTCTGTGCACACGTTCTTCAGCAGTGCTGCTGATACGTCCCAGAGGACACATCATATTAAGAAGCTGCATGGTATGCTGCCTACCCTGAATACCATGAAGGCTCGCCACCCGAGTCTATATCCTGACCGTGTCTGCTGCGTCTGCGATGTTCAGGACGAAGACAACCATCACCTGTGGACGTGCAGTGCTACTAGAGATGTCCACAAGGCGATCTGGCGCGAAGGGCTACAGCAGATTGATAAGTGGGGACGAGCTGCAACGACCGCATACAACAAGAACAGCAAGAAGCAGCAAGAGCGTGATAGGATCCGCGCTGGAGCCGCCGCTGCTGCACCGAAACCCATTCGATGGGTTTGTCCTAACAACGAGACCCACATCCGAGGTCTATCCTGTATCGCCGGGACCCGATCAATGCTCAAAGGCGACGAGTATCATGACCGCTCTCCGGATCTGACCTGGAGCATCAGCGATTTATGCCGTGGCATCACACCCGTCAGCCTTATCAAGGAGTGGGGCAGTCTATTTACCTCGCCATCGTCGATTGCGCGCCAGGTCATTCACAAGTTCGTCGGCTTTATTGAGGAGAAAGCTACGGAGCTGATCTGGAAACCACGCTGCAAGGCCACCATTGCTCGAGAGCGAGAATGGGGGATCACAGCCAAGATGAAACGAACTCCATACAAGGGACCGAGAGGGGACTGGAGTGATGGGTATGGATATATTAGCGACGATGACCAATGTCCGTGTGGTGCATTACTCGCTGACCATGTAAACGGGAGCTGCCCTGGCCCCCTGCTTGACCCAGACGCAGCGGATCGGACGCTGCTGGATTGCCTGCAAGGGAGGAGGCGGTTGACAACCATGGAGGGGATGGGGAAGATACCCTTCTTGTAACAAGGTGTTTTCAGCTTTTAACACACTGATGAGGTGTGGCAATTGTTGCGCAGGCCCTAGGGGCAGGCCCGGGGAATGTGACCTGTCTTTTGGCGACTGTGGATCGGTTCCGCTTTGGTGGTGAGGACAGCGATAGTAGATCTTTGCTAGTTAGTCTGATAGATTCGCAGAGTCAATTGACTCGAGAGACAAGTTGTTATAAAAAAAAAAAAAAAAAAAACATATCTTTAATCGCACAACCTCTCTATCTGCACGAATGTTTCTTTCGCCGCTGCGGCTCGACATCTCTTTTTGTCTGAGCTGCGCCCAAGCCAGACCGGCTTCCGGACGCTCTCCATCTCATCTCCATCTCATCTCCATCCCCTTCACTCTCTCCATATACATTTACACTTGAAGATTAGTCAGCGCAGCGCCAACCCGGGCCCCACTTCTGTATATAAACGCGAAGAATATTATGAATAATAAAGCGGTTTCGACCCCCAGAGAAAGATATAATACCCTTTGCGACTTGACTAAAGTTTATTCCACTTTTCCCTTTTCCCTTTCACTCCTTACCTACCCTGCCCGCTCATCGCCTTCCCCTACAAGCCTACCTTATCTTGCCCCGATTCTGATTTCCCGTAACATGATTGATCACGGGAAATTACCCTTTTATACCATAGATTTTGGAACGCGCCTATACGGATGAGCCTGGAAGCGGCCTTTTTTTCTTTTTTTGTAATGCCCTGGCCCTGCGACAACTGTGGTAGATCGTTGCCAGTTAGTCTGATAGATTCGCAGAGTCAATTGACTCGAGAGACAAATTGTTATACATATATAAAAAAAAAATGCCCTGACCCCGCACCGACCCCCGGCGTAGCGGGCGGCACAGGTAGCCGCGGGGTTGCCTCTGGACGTCCTCAGCGGCAGGAGTTAGCATTGAACACGCAACAGCTATCAAGGACGGCGGACGAACGATTGCTGAGTCAGTACTAGGGTCGTATGAGGTTGGACGTGATGGAGAGGACGGGAGGAAGGAGAAGAGTGAAGTTCCTAAAAGTATAGGGATCAGACTAAGAGACGCCACGGGCGTAACTGGTAGCGTAACGTTAGGGGACGCGGCTCTGTCATGCATGGAGAGCATCTGGGGCTTCAAGGCCTTTGCAGACCATGCGTCTCGTGCTCATGTGGATTTATGTTAATAAAAAAAAAAAAAAAAAAGCAGCAGGTCGCGTAAAGCGCAAGGCACGTGCGGTACTTGCCCATGCGGTCAGCAATTATGAAAGCAGGACATCTGTGTCGGTGTAGGCTGGGATGGATGTAGCTATGCTGCTTGTAGGGGACGTTATGGGGCACAGCCTCTGTGGACTACAAATCTCATGTCGGTGAGGATCCTTGTTAATAAAAAAAAATGCCCTGGCCCCGCGTGGGTTGGCAGGAAGTGATTGAAGGGACCAACCTGGACGGGCGCAGAGCATAGAGGAAAGAGCGAAAGCTTTGAGAGGCGAGGCAAAAGGAAACCAAGAAGCGAGGACAGGCCACGAGAGGGCAAGGGTCAAGCTTCACACAGGCGATAGACAAGGCCATTTGGCAAGCATTTGAGAACAAGATCAAGGGAGCATCGGCGATCCGGCAAGCAAGCAGCGCATTCGATCGGGTGGAGAACGAGGGAAGGAACGACCATCAAGCGACCTGGACGGTCCAAGGTTTATACCACGGACTGACACCAGTAGCTCTCACCAAGGACTGGGTGAGCCTCTTCAAGACGACGACTTCGATCGCGAGATACATGGTTGGTCGATTTGTCAAGGCCATCGAGGAGCTCGGACGGACTGAGATCTGGAACAAAAACGATGCAAAGTCACCATCGCCTGGGAAAGAGAAAATGGGACTACCATGAGCAAACGCGCCCGGGACGCAGTTGTGAAAGAGAGCACAGACGTAGTAGCAATGATTTTATGGGATCTACCCTGAGGCAACGACAAGCATCCAATGTGAAAGATGTCAATTTCTTAAAATGTCAAAGGACCGTGACTAAAGAATGACTTTCGCGCACGAAGGGGGCTGAGGCCATCAATTCACCGTCATTGATTATGAAATACGGGTCCGTTGCGACATAGTCGGAGCGGGCAGCTTACTGTTTGATTTCTGTCCCGCCTGCAGGTTTCCTGTAGACCACAGTTAATAAATCCCATGCCTCTGAGGATTCTCTAAAAAAAAAACTCGAGACAGAGCAAACGTATATCTCTGCGCTTCTTCAATTATTGCAGACCATGTGACAATATTTTTGCATAGTAAATATAATTATGTTCTTAAATCGAATAAAAGATAATCTAATTGCGTACCATTTCTTTGAGTACCAACTGGTAACTATCTAACCTCCCAACGCGAGATCGGCCTGAAGCATTCCTGGCGTGTACCTTCTCGCTCTGTCACTTTTGGATTTGTCAGTCCATTCCCAGATCGATACGTTTACTCAATTTCTTGACAAGATGGACGGAGGAAACAGGTATTATTGAGGTACTACACATGTAAAATTACAAGGACTAGAGTAGAAGGGTAACAAAAATGGAAAAGTAAAAGACAATGTCTACTCCCAAGCATCGTCGATTTCAAGGGTCCGATAGAGATCCTCGGTTGCTTGACGCAAGGCCATATTCTCAGCAACTTCCCTTCTCTGGCTCAGCATCTGAGGAGAATAATAAAAAAAAAAAAAGATCAGTGTCAAGAGCGTTCAATGCGTTCCAGAGAGCCAGATAAGCGAGGTATAGGGTATGGTCGCTTACATCTATCCGGGAAAGAGTGCTTTTAATAGCGTTTTCTCGCTGGCTGAGCTGCTGCTGCAACTTGAAGCATTGTGCATTCACTGCATCAAGCTCACGAAGCGTTGATCGTGTCTTCTCTCTCTCCTTCTCGACAACCTTGGATCGCTGGTCTAGTTCGTTCCGGAGCTGGTCGTTCATTCTCGAGAGCCCTAGTTCAGTTGAACTGCGAATAAGGGCAGAATTTTGCAGATGTTGAGAGCCAAGGGGTGTGCCAGGTCCCTGCGAGTCCACAAGGGTTCGATTGCCAGGTTTGCCATTGTGAATGTCCACGAGTTCCTGCAGCTGCGCGTTCTTTCTCTGAAGCTTCTCAATTGCCTTTTGAGCAGCACTATCCACCAGTCGAAAATAAAAGAACGTCAAAATTAATGGCCTGCACTAACATCGATGCAAAACTCGTTTGTTCTCCCTAGGTTAATGATAATCCATACTTATTCTCATCAAGAAGACCGGCGACTTTCTCCTTGGCTCCTTGACGCTCGCGCTTTACTCGCTCTTCTGCATCTCTGGTTCGCTTTTCGAGTTCGCGGAGTCGCGCATTCCAACGCTCCTCTGCATCCATCGCTCGCGTTTTTTCTAGCTGCAGCTTGCGTTCAGCATGTCTGCAACGATTTTCAAGATCGCTTGAGCGTTCGCCTGATCCTGACCTCGTCTTCAGTTCCGCAATCGTCTTTGTCAATAGCGCATGTTTAGCCTACATTCCACGCCGTCAAGTTCACAGGCGAAATTAAGGAAGGAAGGAGGCATGATGGTCAGAAAGATCAACGTTCACATCATAACTTTTGCGTATTTGAAAGGAAAAAAAGAATGTAGGTCAAATGGCTCGAGGTTTGCTAAAAAAATCTGAGCAACAACTCTTTTCAAATGATCATATCCGTCTTCGAAGATCATCCTATAATCTATCCATTTCTCGCGGATTAGATCACCGCGCCAGCATGCTAAGGTTTAACACAAAAAACCCACGGATGGCTTTTGGACACCACTCGCAGCTGGCCTCTTCGTGTCATTGTGGGAGTGTAGAAAAAGGAAAGTGTGTGTATGCATGAGTATGGGAGAGAGGAAGAATATACCAGTCAACATTACCTGCAATTCTTCGTTCTCGGTCTGCTTCTTGACCAACTGTTCGCGCCACTTTTTCTGACGGTCAGCTGCATTGCGCACAATAGTCTCGAACCGATCCAGTTGCCTCAGCTTCAGGTCCAATTGTTTTTTCAAGTGGCTACAAAAACATATAATGGTCACAGTTAATAGATGACTTATGGCCTGTAGACCGAAAAATGGCGCTTTGCCTTGGTGACTTACACCAGCTGGCCAGTGGACTTGTCTTCCAACTCTTTTGCCTTCTTTTCAAAGAGTATGAACAGCTTACTAAGGGACTTGAGACGATTGAGCAGGTGTTCTGAAAAGTAAGCAAAGTTGGTAGACGGCTTCGGAAGAAAGTTGTTGTCCAAGCGACTGTCGCCGCCGAGAATGCTTTCTAGATGCTGAAGGACTGTGAGAAGAAGCGAGTTTCGTTCCACAAGATCGCTTTTGGATGTTTCGCCTGAAATATCATCGTCTCGCTGCTTCTTCGACACCTGCAACTCGAGTTCCGTCAGGCGTGATTTCAGCATGGCAATGGTCGTTGCTCTATCACGGAGGGCTGTCTCCAGTTGCTCTTTCTCATCTTCGAGAGCCGCCACCGAGTTGTTCAACTGTCTAGCTTTCATATTCTGGAGCAAAAGAGCGAATTTAACGACAGAGATTCATTTCAAGCTCTCAGCAGTACTGTACCCGACCGCGCACGTACCAGCCGATCGACTTCTTGAGACTGAGAACTGAGTAGATCGCTCTTTTCAACTCTGGCTGCCCTGATCTGCTCAAATTCCTGCCGGATTTCCAAAAGTTCGCCTGTTGTTGCCTCCAGTTCCTATAACGAGCAGCTTAGTTGTTAACTAGTGTCGTCTATAGCGACCCCACCGAAAGAAAATGTGAGATGCAAATCTACGCTTCGACTTACAGAGTTCAGCTTGAGTTCCATTTCTTCGTAGCGCTCCTCGATTTCCTTGGACTGCTGGGAGGCCACCCTGAGTTGTTCCTTGTAGTAGCGCAGATGACCATCACGGCCGTTTAGCTCGCTCGTAAGTTCTGCAATTTGCTCTGAGGCCGCCGCAAGTTTCTGCGGAGTAAAATACGAACCAATATGAGTGGACGGGTATACAATCTCGCTACAAGGTTCAGCGAAGACAAAATACACGCACCTCTTCGAGCTCATCCACTCGCTCGCCGTATTCACGCTCCAACTGCTGCCGCTCTTCGCTCCATTTAGTATGGCCCTTTGAATCTCGTTCACGGCTCAGCTGCTCAAACAGTTTTCGCTGTTCAGTTTCGACGCGGAGCTGAGACTCCAGCTTCCGGTTGTGCTCACCGATCTGTGCCAATTCCTCACTCATCAGCTGAGATTCATTCGCGGACATCGATTCAACCTGCACGTTCAAAGTCGAACCAGATTGCATTTTCTGATAGAGAAACCATGAAGCATTCAGTATTCGGTCAGTTTCAATACCACGGTCAATCGCCAACAAAAAGCAATATGTACCTTCACCTACCGATTTCATCCTAGCAATCACCTCATCATGGACAGCTTCCGCTTCTCGCCGAGCCATCTCCAATTGTTCAATCCTGTTCTCGAGCTCTACAATTGCCACGTCCTTTGCCTGCAACAAGTCGCGCGCATTATGAAGCTCATCCTGCAGCTGAGCCAGCTCAACTGTCTTATCTTCGAGTTCACCAACCAGATCAGCCAGTTCTTGGTCGTGTCGAGCAGCATCCTCATTTCTCCATGCTATCAGGTCCTGTGTCTGAGCCTCAAGTTGTTCGTTCATTTTTCGAAATTCCTCCACGTCCATATTTAAATCCGAGATCTGGCCTCTCAGTTGCTGACGGTCTAGCGTCCATCGTTCGGAAAGGGCGTTCATGTCGTTGGTGTGCATATCCTGCATCTGGCGCATATGGTCCCGCTCATGCTCGAGTTGATGCGACAGTTCCGCAGCATCGATCCTAACCTTTGCGAGCTCGTCTCTATGTTGCTCTAGCTGATGATTCATCTCGTCTTCGAACGCCGCCTTCTCTGATTTGGTAAGTGAAAGCTCCTGAATGAAAAAAAAGAAAAAAACAATAATAATAAAAAAACAATAAATAAAAAATAGAGCTTGTCATTAGAACGAGATAGCATTGAGCACAGCAAATGTGCACAGAGGTACGTGTTCAAAACGCACCTGCTCCAGCTCAGATCTGATATCCAGCGAAGCATTGAGTTTCTGTTCGAGTTCTCGATACCGTGCTTCCCAGCCCTCATCTACTCTCGACTTCTCTAGCAACCGCGTTTCATTCTGCTGGTACTCCGAGAGCTGGTCGTGGAGCTCTCTGATTTGGTCCTCATACTTTCCAGACAGCTCCTTCAAGTCCTCGATGACGTCCGCCTGCGCATCAATCTCTCCCAAGCGGGACTGAAGTTGCTGCAGCTCCAGGTCTTTGGCCTTTAAGTCCTGTTCCAATGATTCCATCTGCTGCGATAACTGCTTTAGCTTCGACTTCAATTCCAGACCCTCTGCAATTGCGTTCCGATATTCGTCCTCCTGCTCCTCCGACATGCCGTGTTGAAGGTCGCAATTCTTTTGTTGCTGAAGAACCTCAATGGCAGCGTGTGCTTCCATGAGGAGCCGCTTGTACTGTTTCAGCTCAGAGAGCAATGTCTGTAGTTTGACCTTCAGTTCAATGTTCTAGTTTGAGTAGTTGAAAGCCAGGGCGGCGAAGCTTTTCCTATTAATATATACTCCTGCAAAAACCACTGAGACACAGCGCGAATATAACAGGGCTTACCTCGTGTGCTGCTTGGTCTAGTTGTTCAGGAGAAAGCTTTGCTAGCCGATCCTCCAGAAAATAGACTTTCAACTTGAGACTGAAATTCTGTTTGTTGAGCTCGTCAATGATCTAAATACAAAGCGAAGAAGCTTCAGTTTCCTAGGCACACGTAATAGTTAGAAGTATTGAGGTAAAGATGAGATACCTTTTCTTGCTCCTTCAAGGTCATGGTTGCGGGCTTTCCAGTGTTTGCACTCCACCGATCAATAGTCTTTCGCGCTTTTTCGCTAGTGTCCGTCATGCCTGAAGAGCTCGCATGGCCACTGAGCGCGTTCAAGCGGGGATTGCTCCTAATAGATTCGTCCAAGTTGATATCGGCGTCAATGGCGTCAAAGGTCAAGTCCAGCCTGGACTCCTCCCCCTCCTCTTCTTCTTCATCCAATCCATTGGCGCCATATTTCAGCAGCAGAGACTGATCGGGAGATGCCGTCCACTTTCCGTTCTCCATATAGCGACCCTATAACCGCTTGTAAAGTTGTGGTTGAAGGGCTTGAGGGGAATCGGTTTCGCTGACAGACTCCCTGATACCGCGGTCAAATAGTCGCTATTCAGTTGAGATGAGTGCCACTCCAGCGACAGGACGAGAGGGATGGTAAATGAGAAGAGTCGATTTTTGGAAATGCTGGATGTGTTGTTGTTCTGACTGTCGCGTCGCAGACAAATTGGGCGGCAAAGTGAGAAAACTTAAGGTTAGGCGTGAGGAGAGATGTACAAAGCCACGCTACTTTTTAACAGAGGTTAGATTCCTCGTTCACAGTTCAACCAACCGTCTTTGCGCCAACAATCTTCCATCACGCAAACAACCACCATGACCATCCAGATTGTGCCACTCGGGGCCGGACAGGATGTTGGCAGAAGCTGTATCCTGGTCACGATCGGGGGAAAGAATATTATGCTCGACTGTGGAATGCACATGGGGTTTAACGGTAAGGTCCTGCAGCGTGTCCAGGTTGGTGTATAGAAGCACAAGACTCATCTTTATCTGACGCCAATGTCTTCGCAATATCTTTCTATAATTCCTAGATGATCGGCGCTTTCCAGATTTTTCATATATTTCGAAAACGGGTGACTTCACAGAGATGCTCGACTGCGTAATCATCAGTCATTTCCACCTTGACCACTGCGGGGCTCTGCCCTTCTTTACGGAGATGTGCGGCTACGACGGCAATATTTATATGACACATCCAACAAAGGCCATCTGCCCTATCCTTTTGGAGGACTACCGCAAGATCACTGTTGAGAAAAAGGGGGAGCGCAACTTCTTCACCAGTCAGAACATTAAGGATTGTATGAAGAAAGTCATCGCTGTCAATTTGCACCAAACCATCATGGTCGACGACGATCTCGAGATCTGTGCATACTACGCTGGGCACGTCCTTGGAGCAGCCATGTTTTATATTCGAGTGGGGGAGGAATCCCTGGTCTACACGGGCGACTACAACATGACGCCAGATCGACACTTGGGCAGTGCATGGATCGACAAGGTTCGGCCAGATGTCCTGATCACGGAATCAACCTACGCCACGACCATTCGCGACTCAAAGCGATCAAGAGAGCGAGATTTTTTGAAAAAGGTCCATGACTGCGTTGCAGAGGGAGGCAATGTTATCATCCCGGTCTTTGCGTTGGGCCGAGCACAGGAGCTTTGTATTCTTATCGAGACCTATTGGGAGCGCATGGACCTAAAGGTGCCAATCTACTTTTCTGCAGGACTGACGGAAAAGGCGAACCATTTCTATCGACTCTTTATCAACTGGACGAACGAAAAGATTAAGAGCACCTTTGTACAGCGCAACATGTTCGACTTCAAGCATATCAAAGCATGGGACAGATCGTATATGGAGTCTCCAGGACCCATGGTCGTCTTTGCGACTCCTGGAATGCTCCACAGCGGTACATCTCTCGAACTCTTCAAAAAATGGGCACCAGATCCCAAGAACATGGTCATCATGCCCGGTTATTGTGTCGCAGGCACAGTCGGCTCCAAGGTCTTGAACGGCGACAAACAGATCCAAATAGACGCCTTCACAACAGTGGAAGTCAACCTTCAGGTCAAGAATCTATCTTTCAGTGCACATGCAGATGCAAAAGGAATCATGCAGCTGATCCGACAGTGCGAGGCCAAAAACGTTGTTTTGGTCCATGGCGAGAAGAATCAGATGGGGTACCTGAAGTCCAGGATCATGACCGAGTTCGGCATCCCGTGTTTCGATCCCGCGAATGGAACGACCATCAGTATTGAGACGAGCCATGTGATCCCCATTGAGATGTCTGCCAGTCTGTTGAAGCGACATTTGATTCGTCAATCTGAGGGCCTCAAGGATAGCAATGCCGGGTTGACATCCTCCAGCAGCCCCGATGACAGCTCTGACGACAGCGCCGAATCCCTCAACCGCAATATACCTTCGACACTCAAACCAAATGACAAAGTGCTGATCCAGGGCATGCTTGTCATGAACGATGGGAAGCCAATACGTCTGGAAGATGCAGAGGAGGCCCTGGAGAAGGTCGGAATGGCCAAGCATAAAGTGCGCTTCGAGGTTCGAAAGGCGTACAATGCAATGACGTTGCGATTGGCTGTGGAGGAGGCCGAGTACTACAGAAACATGGACAAAACAGGAGATAGCAAAGACATGGATACGGACAGTGCGAAGAGTCCTGGTTCAGATCCATACCAGGACTGGGACAGTGATGTATATGCGCTGGATCTCGTCTACGTCGCTCTTCAGAGGACAATCGGAAACCATATCAAGCTGATGCGCGAAGATAACGCCATTCTGGTCCGCAGCGTCAAGATCAGGGTACCGGAAGACGGGGACGAGTTTGAGCGAGGCGGTCTGTTGATTGGATGGGATTATGAGGATGAGGACCTCGCCACTAGGATATTGTCTGTTGTTACACTCACTCTTAAGGACAATTGATCATCATTATCTGTACAGTAAACACTTTATCGCAGTATCCCTTTCAGTCGGGGTTTGATAGCCTATTTATTGTAAATAGCTGCCCTAGCTAAAGACTTTGATGACTCCATCGCGGTCCCCTGAAATGAGCATCATGCAGGGGAACTCCGTCAACGCAATATCCATAATGGCATCCAGATGGTTTCGCAAGAGCTGCTGCTGCTGGACTGTGATAACGTTGCTTCGCCCAGTATTCCTTGGCTTCACGCCCATCACTGGGGTTACTTCGTAGTGCACAGGTAGTCCCTCGAATCGGCCAGTCCTATGTGATAGTTGAATAAGAAGTGGATGCTGCATTAGATCTGGACGGTATACTTGATATCTTACAGGCGAATGCAACTTGGCATTTCATATGAGCATACTTGTATTTGGGCGGCGGATCATGCGAGTCGTGTCCGCTGATCACGTAGGAGATTTCAACGCGACCGGTATCCCAGTATCGCATCTTTCGGTCCGCACCCCCTGTGATCATGTAATCGCAGTCGGCTGGGAATATTACGGCTCGCACGCTCTGGTCAGCAGAGACATTGGAGTCGCTTGATGTAAAGGAGTTACGAAGTAGTTCGCTTCCAGAAAGGGGTTCTGTCGCTTTGAATGTGTCGAATGAAAGCGCCTTCTTTTCGTCCGCATTCCGAACGCCAAAGACTTCGCGACACTCAACATGCTCGATATCCCAGACAGAAACCTCGTTTCTGCCAGAAGCAATAATGACTTTTCCTCCGCGGGATGACGGGTGAGGTTCTGGGTGAACAACGAGTCGGCTGATCCTCGACTTGCTCGGGTGGACCCAAGTGCGGATGGCGATCATGAACCGTAGGTCCCAGAGGGTCAGCACTCCCCTATTGGTACCCACCAGTAGCCATGCCTTCATATGATCTATGACCATCGCCGTGATAACTCCTATACAACAAAGAAAGAGCAGCTGGCAAGAGTTATTAAACGTAAAAGAAGTTTTCCAACAGGATATTCAAATACGTGATACAGAGCGCAAAGTGAAGCTCATACCATGTGATATATTGTTCTTCAATTGCCAAGCTGGACGCATCGTTCCCAGCTCCAGCGCGTGAATATTTCCACGGTTCGTTGCATACACCAGTAGGGATTGCGATTCTATAGGAGAGTCATATACAGTGTTAGTTAGAGCGTACAGGTACGAAATCGTCGTGCCATGCTCGATATTTATTTTAAACGACATACCTGTGTTGTAATGCTCCATGGTCACTGCAAACTCGTCGTCGAGAGTGATCTTACGCACCACCTCACACTTTCCATACTTCCCCGCGGAAATGTAGTGAACGCGGAAGATGTGGATCGATCCATTGTCCGATGCTGCTGCCACGCTGTGTGTGTTCTCAATGAACGATATGCATGTCACTCGGCCACCTATAATGTCATTCAAGTTTGATAGGTTAGTTTTCGGAAGCAGTATGCTGAGAGTTGAGTCAATACATAAGATCGTTACCAAGAGCATTGTAGGACATTCGTGCCCTGTTGGTGACATTCTTCTCCAGTCGAGCAGTGTCCCAGATCTTCACAGAGCCGTCGTCAGAGCAGGATACGAAAAAATTATGATCGGGCGACACACATATCTGATTCACTGCAGCCTTGTGCTCCGCCAAATGTGCCACTAGAGTCCCTTTGGGTCTCCATTGACTGCGCACAGTCTGGGAATTATTACGGTGCATACGCCGATGCCTCGAGAGTGGCGGAACATTGGGACCAAAATCATGCGTGGGTGAATGGAAGACCTTCAGAGTCTGGTGCGCTAGCAGCTCTGTCAGATTACGCTTGCCTCCGTCTATAAAAAAGTGAGCAAAAGTTAATGAGTTCATGTCAAGTGGTTATCTCATGATAACTTGAGGGGGAAAAAAAAGTGAGTAGGCTTACCGACAGAGTGAGTGAGGACTCTGCTGCCAAACGCCTCAGAACCTCGAGCATTTCGTGAAGATCCTCCAGGATAAGCAGCCTCAAATTGAGCTTGCCAAGGCGAAGAGTTCGGCTTCGGCATGTCTACACCAGATCCGGCAATAACATCCTGGACCGTTTTTTCGTTCACGGGAAGTTCGATCATGCCCTGTGCGTTGGTATCGGTCATACTAGTTGCAGCCGCAGCCTTTCCAGACTCTGAGCTGACAGTGTTTCCCTGGGTGAGTAGAATTCGAGTGCGTCTTGAGTTCTTATCCATGACGATGTTAGAGGTGAGAGACCTCGTCCTTGATGTCTCCGGACTGTTAGGTAACGATTGAACGATACTTTGGCCGTAGTTGGAGGACTGAAATGTGATGGGTGCGATTGAGGACGCAAACGAAGCAGTTGACTGGCGTTCGGATGCTGCCTGAAGATAAAGGTTTGCTCCACTCTGTCCGGGGGCGGAGGGATCATATGGGGTACCGTCATATATAGAAGCCGAAGAGCTGTCCTTGATCCTGGTCGAGCTGTTGATGGTGCTTTCGCTTGATATTCTGGACATGTTACCAGTTGTGCTGGATTTTACGATCTTCCGATTTGGATGCAGTAGGGCATTGTCGTACAACTTTGCCTTGCCAAGCTAGTCAACAGAGGGGGAAGGTAGCGTATGTTAGTTAAGTAAAGAGATGAGTTTTTAAAGGCACTTGCACCGTTTGATCGCGGTCTTTTTACATGAGTATATACACGGGTCAGACTGTAGTCCTTCTCGATCAGCTCTGGGGACAGGAAAACTGTGCGCGGGGTGATACCGATCTTCCTTAGATCCACGCTACCATCCTACTCGAGAATAAAAAAGGGAGGCAACTGCATTAAAAGCATGCGCATCATCTAATATCTCAGACGAACGAAGCCTTTCCGCTGGGCTGCCTACCTTGGTGATGCCTTCCACCTCGTCTTCGCGGCCTTTAGGTCTGGCACTCTGCCGTGACCTCGATAGCTTCCAAATATATTCCCGCATCGCAGCCAGCTTGTCTTCGTCCTCATGCGTCATGCCTATCGACCGAAGTTTTTCGAGATATTTTTCGTCCCTACAGCATACAAATAGAGCCACGTAAGTTATAATCCGGTTTGACGATCCAGTTCGCTGACGCTCATGCACAACATACTCTGTTGACTTGACAACAACAAAGAAGGGGGAAGGATCATTGGACCGTGTAGAATGAAGGTCCAACGGCACAGCAATCGAATGATTAGACGATGTGGAGACTGTGCGCATATTAGCGGGTCGTTCTCGCACAGGTTTCCAAAAAGATGTCCGGTTGGCGACGGCTGCCCACTGGATTGAACTCTCAAAGACATTCCGGCTGAGTGGTGGTTTGACGTTTTCTCTGAGGCAAAGTTCGTTTACTTCTCCGACGTCTGATTTCATGAAGGGTCGGATTATTGGATGGATCATGCACCATACATCGGCCACAGGTAGTCGCTGTGCAGTAGAGGCAATAAACCCGATAGCACCATAGCGGATCCAGAGATTGGGATGGCAGAGCAACGGAGCCACAACGCTGACAAGATCCCAGATGGCCATTTTCTGGAACAAGCCCAAGTCGCAGAGACTTGCCAAAGACTTGAGGACCTTTTCTACTACGAACTCCTCAGAATCTACATATATCCGCAACGTTATTAGCCGGACTAGAAAAGATGATTTACGCCGAGAGAGGTAACCACGACACGCAATACGTACCTGTCAATGCTTGGACCATCAACGGCAAAATATATTCCTCAAGACTGCGCCCGCCCACGAATGTTCCGACGCCAACAATGCTTTCAAAAAAGGCGCTGCAAGTGGAGTCATTGCACAGATGTTAGTTGGTGTGCTAGAAACCTGAAATTGGTCGCGTATTGCGCTCAAACCCTACCTGCGAAGCATCCAGTCTCTCCCGTTGAGATAGGTAATCATATGCGATAGCAAGACGTCGTCCACGCGTTGCTTGCCCAAGAATATACACAACGAGGTCATATCGGATAAAAGTGCTCGCTTGACGCTGCTGTCTGGGTCCACAAGCAGAATACGGATTTGGTCTTCAATCGCTACCTGCAAGTCATGCAGTGCAGAGTCGTAAGTCGCCTAGAAAATGCAGAAACATAGAGGGGGTAGAGGAAGTGTCAAAGACTATATTGATATATCAATATATCATCTGTTACATTTTAGAGCGTTAGAAAAAAGCGTTGTCTTGACATACCTCGTATGGAGAACCATCTGCTTCCCCATCACCCTCGTTTCCTGTAAAAGCACCGTCGTTCTTCAACAACTAAAGATCAAATTATGAGTTGTGAGCATTTTGGTCGACACTTTCGTTGACTAAATGCTTCTTCTGCCAGATACTCACCTGAGCAAGCTCCAAATAGCGAAGAGAAGTTTGCGCAAACTGTGCTATGCAGCCTGCATATGCTGATCGTACTAGGACTTCCTTGTCCGAAGGGAATCCTTGCAATGCTGGCAAAATGTATTCTGGGAATATCGTCACGTTGATTACATCCAGGGTTTCCACCTCGTCTAGCTGGAACCATGAAGCAGCAGAGCGTGATTCATATATCAGTACGTGTGTTCCAGAACCGTGTCATCTAGTTTATCTGAAGCGTATGCTCACCATTTTCGCAAGAATCTTTAAGGCGTGAGCGCGAACAAGTCCGACTTCGTCATTTAAACATGATACGATGTAAGGAACAAGGCGGTCTAGTTTGATGTCGTCGGCTACGTGTCTCCCGATGGATAATAACATGTCTAGCGCATGGATCTTGGACGAGGGAAAAGCAGTATTTCTCATAGAAGAACACAGTAATGACAGGAAAATAAGAGCACCTTCATCTATTGCTTGAAAAAAACCACATGCGTTAATGTCATGCCTAGTCGCCTTTTCTGTTAGACTTTCCAAGGCTCAGCTTCTTACTTGGTCCATAGTGCGAGTCCGTAGTCCGTGAGGTTATTTTTTTCGCTATCGACAAGGATTGCTAAATAAAGATAGTAAAGTTATGAATTAGATGCGGCTCAATGTAATTCCCAGAACATCAGCATACAAGTGCTACTTACCATGTCCTGTGATAGTGACCCAATAGATGAACCTATTGCCAACAGAAACAGCGTTTAGAGAATGGCCTGGTTGAAGAAGAATGAACAAACTGTCCTATTACCCACCTTCAACACTAGTTTCGTTGGCTTGATGGGATCCGAGGCCCAAAAAGAACGAGATTTTGTCAAAGTCATGGTAGATTCTCTCAATCTTTTCGTCCGCATCGGTTTTCGGTGGGTGTTCCTGTGGGTCTGGATTGTTGGAGAATACTGCACTCTCGACTGTGCCGGAATTGGACGACTCCCCTGCAGACTCTGTTACTGAATGGATATATTGATGCAGAAAGGTGTAAAAGTATTTTGGGAACGCGCGATCTCTCCTATTGTGCGACAATAAGAAGAGCGTTTAGTTTCAGTCCAAGTCCCTAATTTCAATGTCTGTGTGTATACTATGTATGATATGGCATACCATTCAGCAAGGTATTGATCGGCACTGAATCGCTTCGATGGGTCCAGCTGAATCATGTGCCGAATTAAATCCTAGAATATCGATGTCGGTTAGAGTGATGACGCAAATGCACGCTACTTTCTTGGTGAGGCCAGAGCGGTATCTCTTACTTTGATATGGTCGTCCTCGATTTTATTGATATATGGTGCTGGATCGTATTCTCCGCTGCGATATTTGAACATTTGTGAGAGCGAAAAGATGGGTGTCCCCTCAGAGAAGAGTTCTGCAATAACACATCTGGTTGTAAGAAATCGAATACGTTAGCAATGTATATAACGACGCGAGCAACCGTATCTCCGAAGTTCTTCATGCACGCATGGCCATACCCAACTGAAAAAATGTCCATGGCTGTCGTCAATCCCGCAAAAATGTTTTCCGGATCTTCAGCCTGCTTTTGTTTCGCCGTGTCGACTCCTGGTTTATAAAATCGCTCTGGAGCAAGATAACACGTTCTCCGAGAAGAGGTGTCGAAGAAAAAAGAAAAGTCTGCCGGATTATCCTAACGCGAGCAAAGAGTGTGGTCAGCCTGATATTTCTGCTGTTCAGTCTTGCCTGGCCCTTAGGCAAATAATTCGCTTTCCCACCTCAGGCAAGAATGTGGGCTTATATCCAGCAAAATCGCTTAGGTACACCCAGTTCCAAGATGTCATAAGGCAGTTTTCCGTCTTGATATCGCCATGATAAACCTACAATTCAATGACAATATCAGCATATGTGGTTGGTCCAAATGCTTGTAATGTCAAACATCTGCTTGTGCACTCTTACATTTCTGGCATGGGAGTCTGCGAGACCCTTGAGCAATTGATATGTGACCCATTTCTTTTCAATGAGGTTCATGAATGGTCGAGTGCTATGTTCATGTTGCACCAATTGATCGAAGAAAAGGTCAATACAGGTGACATAGACCACTGAGAACGACTTATTCATTGCCAGCTATAGATGTACCTGATGCGGTCGTAAAGGCTGCTGAAGAAGTACTGTCTGATGAGGTATCCAGCACGGTCTGTCTCCAGCACTTTTTGGAAGGCAATTGCGTTTGGGACATCAGCCAGACTCTCCCGTTCCTCTATAATCGGTTTCCACATCACAGTGTTAGCATTTATCCGAGTGCCAAGAACGCTGTTGACCCATTCCATAGACTGTGCTTATTGACGCGTACCATTCAAAATTCTGGCAATCTGCTTCAAAGAATAGCCTGTTTCTGGTTTGACGAATATCTTGACCACGACAGACCCTTCCTTTTGACGGCCACGGATCGTCTTCATAAACCTGGCACTCCCAAGACTGTCGCAGAGGGCGAACAGACCAATTTATTTAAATTCACTTGGTTAGAGGCACGCTTTATTGCTTTATCATATGTACGAGGAGCAGGCTGATCAAAACAGGGCTTCGAGTCTTGCCTCTTCTCATAATGAATATCTCCTAGTTCGCTCACATAGGAGTCGATGCCTGCTGTCGCTGCTGATGGCGTGACAGTGGAAACAGAGTTGCCCATTGCACACTCCTAGTATCTGTCTTTTTCCGGTGTATGAGGTATGTCGTGTATGCGTGGTGCTTCTGGCGTTTCTGCGTGTAATGACTTGGCAGACAAAGTAGAAAGTCCTGAGTGAAATGAAAAGAGTTGGTTGAGGAGAATGTCAGAGCATGGGGTGAAAGCTTGCTCAGCTTGCTCCTTGGATACCGAACACCAGTTTTGGTGGCCCGCTTAAGGGCGTTCTGCATATGATATGTACCACAGCCTGTCGCAGCGCTCTTTGGGTTCACCATCTCGTTCATTTTCATCCATCCTTCCCCCTTTCCCCCATCATCTTCTCGCCTCTTCTATACACTTTTTTGCTGCGAGAAAGTTAAGAGGGAGCCATTGTTTCATTTACCTTTTAACTTACTCCACAAAATTACAAAGATCGTCAGCACTGTCTTAGTTGCCCTTTCATATCTACCAACTTTCTACCAGCAGCTTTTTTCAACAAAAGGAGAGGAGCCGCAGCCGAAAAGAAATGCTGCAAATGGATGAGGACGTCGGTCTTCCAGTTGTCGGTGTCGATGTTGCAGTCGACGTCGATGTTCTGAAGATCTACCTGGAGAAACTTCTCGTGTTACTTCTCGGGGCGGAGCAGGCGGACCTCGATATATCCTTGTTCTCGTTCCCAGACTCGGCAGAACGTCTGCGCCGCTTTGCTATTGATCCTCAGACTCCAGCCCTGTATGTGCTTAAGGAGATCGAGTCTGCCAGTGACGGTTGTAAGTCCCTTTGATACCACGAGATGGTGCTGTGCTTGATTCAGGACCCAATACTCAAAATGGCGGCGATGATAGCCATTGATTCATTTCGATGCACGTCGCTTTGGGGTCTCCGTGAGGGTCAGTTTTGTGATAAACAAACGCTTTTTTTTTGGTAGAAGAAGCACATGGGAAGGTTTATCCTTGGTCGTTTTGTTGAGGCGTTGTCTTATGACTCTGTTCCCCTCCCCTCTTGCAAAGCATCGTACAGACGCGCATGCATCCACCCAAGTATAGGTTTATCAACCCAATGCTGACATGTGCCCCAAATATTTTTCTTTTGTTTTATTTGATTTGATATATTGCCCTGTTGATGTTGATATCTAGCCAATTCGTCGCAGGCATTCTCGTACTCGGTCAGCCACGAGCTGACATATCATAGCAATCATGTTGGTTCGCTTGCCCTCATCAAGCGCGGTCCTACCATCGATACCTCAAGACCTTTGCAAACTCAGGTCCAGTTCATCAACCTGCCTGGCCCTGCTGCGAACGACGGTGGACTTGGTCTCTCTAGTCCATACGAGGCTCTTCACTCCTATATCCATTATGCCGTCAGTCCCTACTTCAATGCTTATGTGAGCACCAAGGGCGGCGCCGAGAGCGGTGCTTCAAGCAAGCGGCCTGATGATAAGGATGGCAAGATGGGTGAGTTTCACACCTCAAAACCACTACCGATGCAGGGTTCTGAGTGTCACAATTGTATGGCTAACGCTGTTTTTCGTGTATATAGGAATCCCAATGGCTAAGAAAAAGATTGCCGAACTGGAACTGTCTCTCTTGCATCTGCAGCAAAACGTCGAGATTCCCGAGATTTCATTGAATATCCACCCCGTTGTGCAGCGAGCCATTGACGAAGTAAGCGTTCTGTGCTTTGCTCCGAATACTTAAGATTCTCCTGAATTAATCTGTACTGATACAAACACTCGTGCGCGCTGTCATTCCATTAGTGCCGTGCTGAGGGTCGCCGTGTCACAGTGGATGCTCTTGATTCATCGTGCTTTTCAGACTCGACTTTCTTGAACAAGCTGCAAGGAGATGTCAATGGGTGGATTAAGGAGATTCAGAAGGTCACCAAGCTGTCACGAGACCCCGCTTCAGGAACAGCCATCCAAGAGATTAACTTCTGGCTCAGCATGGAGAGGGCGCTGGAGAAGATTGACGAGCAACTGAAGAGCGATCAAATTGGTGAGTATAATGCCTTTATGAATGAGTTCACGACGTCTCTTTGTGCTAAATAATTCCCATTTCTAACTCACTTTTATATATATTATTAGTCCTCACCCTCGACATTTTGAAACATGCGAAGCGTTTTCATGCGACAGTTAGTTTTATCGCGGACACTGGTTTGAAGGAGGGAACTGAGAAAGGTATGCCATGCATCGCTTCACTGCTCGATATGAGCTGGTTAATGCAAGAAGAGACACATTTAATTAATTGTGCACACGACTTTTTCTTTTCAAACTCATTTTTTAGTTCACAAGTATAACCAGCTTATGAAAGATTTCCCATTGAACGAGCTGTTGGCCGCAACGGATGCGAATAAGGTCCGCGACTCACTCCTACAGATTTTCGGACATATCAACAAGAAGCTGAAGCTTTCGTACGTATTATACCTGGTTCGCGCTCAACGGGAACCTCAACAGATAATGTTAACATTGTGTCCATGTGATTTGTATAGGCCCTATCCTATTCGGCGAGCTTTGCCCCTCGTTGAAGCGATTTCGAAGGATCTTAACGACCAGTTGCTACGAGTATTGGGAAGCAGGCGATTGATGTATATGGACTATGATGATTTCGAAAAGGCGACTGCGGGAGCTGTGGAGGTCTTCAAGACCTGGGACGAGGTCATTAAGGAATTTACCAATGTTGCTCGTGAGGTGACCCGCAAACGATCGGAGAAATTTCTCCCGATCAAGATCAACCCAGCACACGCTAAGCTCCAGGAGCGCATTCTTTTTGTTCGCAACTTCAGGAAGCAGCACGAGCAGCTCCATCAGACCATCTTGAAGGTCATGACAAAGCCTAGCGGCTTTGCGACCAAGTCTTCTTTAGAGGTTGAGGAGACCGAGAGCGTTGGTCTCAGCGATGTAAATGCAGTCGAGGAGGTCAGGCTCGCCTACGAAAGCGTCAAGAACGTCGATGTCCTCGACGTTTCCGTCGGTATGTATTTGCATGTTGTGGAATTCCATGCTGCAATACGTTAAAAGCATTCGTTAACACTTGCATCTCTTTTTCGGCTCACAGAGGGCACAGAGATTTGGGTGACTGCAGAGGTGTCTTACAATGAGCGAGTCTCCAGGGTCGAGAACCAGATTATTGCTCGACTTCGTGACAGACTTGGAATTGCCAAGAACGCCAACGAGATGTTCCGTGTGTTCTCAAAGTTCAATGCCCTTTTCGTCCGCCCCAAGGTAACGTCACTTTTAACATCGTCATTGGGCCGACTGCAAGTTATATGCTGCAGAAAGATTAATAAGTCATACCCATTTTGTCTCCTCACAGATTCGTGGCGCCATTCAAGAATATCAAACGCAGCTGATTGAGAAAGTGAAGGACGACATCAAAAAGCTGCATGATAAGTTCAAGATGCAATACCGTCATTCGGACGCCTACCACATGTCGCAGTTGCGTGATCTGCCCCCGATCTCTGGACATATCATCTGGGCGCGTCAGATTGAGCGTCAGCTCTCGACATACATGAAGCGCGTGGAGGATGTCCTCGGAAAGGGCTGGGAAATGTATGCAGAGGGTCAAAAGCTACAGAGTGAGAGCAGCAGTTTCAGGAAGAAGCTGGATACCAGGCCGATCTACGAGGCATGGTTCAACGAGATTACCCGTCGTGAGCTCACAGTGTCTGGTCCATTGTTCGAGATCACCCGCAACCGTGCCCAAGGAAACGTTCTACAGCTCGGGGTGAATTTTGATGCCCAGATCATCACCCTTTTTAAGGAGGTCCGCAATCTCCTCTGGCTAAAATATCAGGTTCCACACAATGTCAGCATCATTGCCAAGGATGCCAAACGAGTCTATCCCTTCGCTGTCAGTTTGATGGAGACTATCCGCACTTACAGCCAAATGGTCAACAAAGTTCAGCGCCACGGAGAGATTGCCACACTTGTCGCAGGATATCGCAACGACGCGCAAAAGATGGTTTCTAAGGGTGTAAACCTTCGATGGGAGCACTTTGCCAACACGTACGCCAACGTCTCTGCTTACATTGCCCCCGGCAGTGCTGTGGATGCACGAGAGAACCGCCATATCATGTTCGTGCGCGAATTTGCATCCGTGGTATCGATTTTCCAGGACAAGGTGGACTCGCTCATCTCGATCTATGACGAGATTGTGAAGTTGATCGATGAACTTCCCGTCTGTCTGTTCGTTCACTCGACGTTTGCCAGTATTCTCATGCGCATTCAGAAGCTGGTACGTACTTGACATCAGTATCCTATTTTTTTAATCAACTATACCCGCATTTCAAACATTAACCCTGCACGTTTAACCTTGCTCCAGATCGATCGCCTCAACCTGGAATCTTACTCTAACTTGGATCAGTGGGTTGCTCAGCTTGATGCCAGAGTGGAGGCGCTGCTTGTTGGTCGTTTGCAACAGGCGATCAAGGCATGGATGCTTGAGTATCAGCGTGATGACCACGAAGAAGGCGCTGCTGATTCCAGGGAGTTGACCATTCACAGCAAGAACAAGAAGCGTCGCACGAACCGCGAAACAGAACGCGCAAATGTTGTGACCAAGGCGAACGAGGTGAAGCCGGCTTTAAAGGTCCTTGTCCACGAGATTCGCATCAAAAACCAGGTCATGTATCTCGATCCTCCAGTTGAGCAGACCCGCGCTAGCTGGTACAGCCAGCTGCACGATTGGCTCTCGGTTGTCTGCACGTTGACCAGAATTCAGAGCTCCAGATATGAGATTGGACTTGTCGTTCAAGACAGTGTCGAAGATTTGACCTACTCTGACTTGGTAATGCCCGTTTGCTATGAACAGGACCTGCCAACACCTGCCAGCACCTTTTATTAATGTCTCATACTAAATCATCATTTTTATTTCGTTTTATTATACAGCTGACCAAGATCCCAGACGACTCTCTTCCTAAGGCATACGAGATGATTGAGGCCAAAGTCACGCAAGTCAAGGAATACGTCGACATCTGGCTGCAGTATCAATCACTTTGGGATTTGGAGTCCCAGTATATCTTTACTCTCCTTGGTGATGATTTGGCTAAGTGGCAGCAGCTCCTTCTGGAGATCAAGAAGGCGCGCACAACATTCGACAACTCTGAAACTGAGCAGTCTTTCGGTTCTGCGGTTATTGACTACGAGCAGGTCCAGTCCAAGGTGAACGCAAAGTACGATTCTTGGCAGCGCGAGGTGCTCAACCGCTTTGGCAACATGCTGGGAACATCCATGAAGGAGTTCCACGGTGCAGTTTCCAAGGCCCGATACGATCTTGAGTTGCACTCTGTCGACAGTAACGCAACTGGTGAGGCAGTCACTTTCATCACCTTTGTTCAAGATCTCAAGCGCAAGGTCGCCAAGTGGGAGCACGATGTGGAGCTCTTCCGACAGGGCCAAAAAACTTTGGAGCGTCAGCGCTACCAGTTTCCCGGCGACTGGCTCTACTGCGATCAGGTTGACGGCGAATGGAGCGCGTTCAACGAGATTTTGAGCCGCAAGAACAACGCCATTCAGGATCAGATTGCTGGACTGCAGATGAAGATTGTGACCGAGGACAAGTTGGTGGAGCAGAAAATCTCGGAGATCTTGCAGGATTGGGAGAAGAACAAGCCAGTGCAAGGAAACATCAAGCCCGATATTGCCACTAACACCCTCAACATTTTTGAAGGGCGTGTCACTCGAGTCAAGGAGGAGTTTGACATGGTTTGCCGCGCCAAGGAGGCCCTCGACCTTGACCTCTCCATGGACGATCGCCTGGAACCAGTCCTGGAAGAACTTCGCGACCTCAAGTCTGTCTGGAGCTCTCTGGCCAAGATCTGGCAATCCATCTTTGAGATCAAGGACACCCTCTGGTCGACTGTAGTTCCTCGCAAGATCAGAACTCAGCTGGATACCTTGATGAACTCAACCAAGGATATGCCCAATCGCATGCGTCAATATGCAGCCTTCGAATACGTCCAAGAATCCCTTCGATTGTATCTCAAGGTCAACCCGTTGTTGACTGACCTCAAGTCCGAGGCTCTCCGCGAGCGTCACTGGCGTCAGCTATTCAAGGCTCTTCGTGTTGAAGGGCGCCTGACTCTGTCTGAAATGACTGTTGGCAACATTTGGGACCTCGACCTCAGACGCAACGAAAGTCTTGTCCGCGACATCATTGTCGTCGCTCAAGGAGAGATGGCTCTTGAGGAGTTCTTGAAGCAGGTAAACATTTGAATATTATTTGCAACGCAGCCTTGATATTTGGCTTCAGCCGTCCCTAATCAATTTTACTGTCGCAAAACATAGGTTCGCGAGACATGGACCAACTATGTACTCGATTTGGTTAACTACCAGAACAAGTGCCGACTTATCCGTGGTTGGGACGATCTATTTGCCAAGTGCAGCGAGAACCTCAACTTTTTGTCAGCAATGAAGCTATCTCCATACTACAAGGTCTTTGAGGAGGAAGCGGCAGGATGGGAAGAGAAATTGAACCGCATCCACGTTCTTTTCGATGTTTGGATCGATGTGCAGCGTCAATGGGTTTACCTGGAGGGTATCTTTACTGGAAGCCACGACATCAAGCACCTGCTTCCTGTTGAGTCGTCGCGTTTCCAGAACATCAATTCTGAGTTCTTGACTGTCATGAAGAAGGTCTACAAGTCCCCCTTTGTCTTGGACGTCCTCAACATTGCCAACATCCAAAAGTCACTCGAGCGTTTGGCCGATCTCCTGGGCAAGATTCAGAAGGCACTGGGAGAGTACCTGGAAAGGGAACGTTCTTCTTTTCCTCGCTTTTACTTTGTGGGAGACGAAGATTTGCTCGAGATTATCGGAAACAGCAAGGACGTCGTCCGTATTCAGAAGCACTTCAAGAAGATGTTCGCTGGTATTAGCAGCATTATCCTCAGCGAAGACGTGACCACCGTTCTTGGTATGTCTTCCAAGGAGGGCGAGAATGTTATGTTCAAAACCCCTGTGTCGATCAAGGACAACCCAAGGATCAACGACTGGCTGACACTTGTCGAAAAGGAGATGCGTATGTCCTTGGCGCAGATCATGGCCGAGTCCGTGCAAGAGATGAACGTTTTTTACTTTGCCGAGACCCTCGACCCAACTATGTTCCTGAGCTGGATGGATAAGGTTCCTGATCAGCTGGTCGTTCTTACGTCGCAGACCACTTGGACTACCTCCGTCGAGCGCGCCCTTGCTGCCATGGGAGAGTCTGGCGCGTGGAATGAGCAGTTGATGCAACAGGCCCTCGATTATGTCCAGCGAGCCCTCGGCGTTTTGGCGGATACAGTTCTTCAAGATCTTGCCCCCATTCTGCGCAAGAAGTGCGAGCATTTGATTACCGACCTTGTTCACCAGCGCGACGTGATCCGTGTCCTCCTCCGCAACAAGATTTCTTCCTCAAAAGACTTTACTTGGTTGTCTCAGATGCGATTCTACTTCAACTCCAGCCATGAGGATCCGCTACAGTGCTTGACCATCAACATGGCCAACGCCTCCTTCTTGTACGGCTACGAATATTTTGGTGTCACCGAGCGCCTAGTCCAGACGCCACTGACAGATCGCTGCTACCTCACTCTCACGCAGGCATTGGAATCGCGTCTTGGTGGTTCGCCCTTTGGACCCGCCGGTACAGGAAAGACGGAGTCCGTCAAGGCGCTGGGTATTCAACTCGGTCGCTTTGTACTTGTCTTCTGCTGTGACGAGAACTTTGACTTCCAGGCTATGGGTCGTATTTTCATCGGTCTTTCGCAGGTCGGCGCCTGGGGATGCTTTGACGAGTTCAACCGTTTGGAGGAGAGAATTTTGTCCGCCGTCTCACAGCAAGTTCAGACGATTCAGCTCGGTCTCAAGGAAGCTAAGACCAACCCGAACCACGAGATTGAGTTGGTGGGCAAGAATGTGAGGGTCAACACCAACACCGGTATCTTCATTACCATGAATCCTGGATATGCTGGACGATCCAACTTGCCCGACAATCTCAAGAAGCTGTTCCGCAGCATTGCCATGACCAAGCCCGATAGAGAACTCATCGCTCAGGTCATGTTGTCGTCGCAGGGTTTCCGCACGGCCGAAATGTTGGCGTCCAAAGTCATTCCCCTATTCAACCTGTGCGACGAGAAACTGTCCCCTCAATCGCATTACGACTTTGGTCTTCGTGCACTTAAGAGTGTACTTGTCAGTGCCGGTAACATGAAGCGTGATCGCCTTCAGGAACTTCGGTCATCCAACCCTGAGAATCTCACCGCCGAGTTTGAGCGCATTTCGGAGGGCGTCCCTGAACAGGAGATTTTGATTCAGAGTATCAGGGAGACCGTTGTACCCAAGTTGGTTGCGGATGATATTTCGATTTTGATGGGGTAGGCTGGGGCATGCGTCGATTATTAGCTTTTGAAGTGTTTTGCCCATCGCTTACTTTATATGCTTTTTGAAGATGTGCTGACATGATAATGCTATATTTTTCTCTTATCTTTTCTCTAGTCTTCTTAAGGCTGTGTTCCCTGGAGTCGAATATAACCCTGTCAGTCTGCAGCCCTTGCGTAAGGCCATCAAGGATATCTGCGATAAGCGTCGTTTGGTTGTCGGAGACCTTTGGATGGAAAAGATCTTGCAGTTGTATCAGATTCAGCGCATTCACCACGGATTGATGATGGTCGGACCTTCAGGAAGCGGCAAATCCAACGCCTGGCAGGTCCTGCTCGCAGCCTTGGAGGTTGTTGAAGGCGTTGAGGGGCAGTCGTATGTAATTGATCCCAAGGCCATGTCCAAGGAGGCCTTGTACGGTGTTCTGGACCCCACGACCCGAGAGTGGACCGATGGTCTGTTCACTAATATTCTCCGCAAGATTGTCGACAATGTCCGTGGCGAGAGCACCAAGCGTCATTGGATTATCTTTGACGGAGACGTTGATCCTGAATGGGTTGAGAACTTGAACAGTGTCCTGGACGACAATAGGCTATTAACTCTTCCCAACGGAGAGCGATTGAGTTTGCCGCCAAATGTCCGCATCATGTTTGAAGTCGAGACTCTGAAGTATGCCACACTCGCCACTGTCAGTCGCTGCGGAATGGTCTGGTACAGTAGCGATGTCATTGATCGCTCGATGGTCTTCTCCAACTACTTTGCTACTCTTCGTAATGTGCCCCTGGATGAAGTCGACGAGGAGGTCACTGTTCGCCGTGTCGAGACCGAGGAGAACCGCGCTGCATCACCCATCCTTCTTACCCAGCAGGCTTGCGCCAGCATTCTCGAGCCCCACTTTGCTGAGGATGGGCTTATTCCGAGAGCCCTGGATTATGCAGCTACCCTCGAGCATATCATGGACTTCACAACGATGCGCGTCCTGGGCACTCTTTTCTCGCTCCTCAACAAGAGTGTCCGCAACGTTATCCAGTACAACAGCCAGCACTCTGATTTCCCCATGGGTGCGGAACAGCTCGACAGCTACATGTCCAAGCGCCTTGTATTCTCGGCCATCTGGAGTTTCTCAGGAGATGCCAAACTGGAGCTCCGTACCCGTCTCGGAGACTTCGTTCGCGACGTGACCACCATTGAACTGCCCCAGATTGCCAATATGTCCATTATTGATTTCGATGTCAACATCAACTCTGGTGATTGGGTTCCATGGCAGGCCAGGGTCCCTGTTATTGAGATCGAGACCCACACCGTGGCGGAGGCTGATGTTGTTATTCCAACAGTTGACACTGTTCGTCACGAGGAGGTCCTTTACTCGTGGCTCTCTGAGCACAAGCCGTTGATCCTCTGCGGTCCTCCTGGTTCCGGAAAGACCATGACACTATTCAGCGCTCTACGAAAGCTGCCAGAGATGGAAGTCGTCGGTCTTAACTTCTCCAGTGCTACTACTCCCGAACTGATTCTCAAGACGCTCGAACAGTACTGCGAGTACCGTAAGACGCCCAATGGAGTCTTGTTGTCGCCTGTATTGCTAGGTCGCTGGCTTGTGGTCTTCTGTGATGAAATCAATCTGCCGTCCATGGACAAGTACGGTACTCAGCGTGTGATCTCATTTATGCGTCAATTAGTCGAGTGCGGTGGTTTTTGGAGGACAACGGATAAGTCTTGGGTCAAGCTGGAGCGCATCCAGTTTGTTGGCGCCTGTAACCCTCCTACCGACCCTGGTCGTATCCCTCTTACTCATCGTTTCCTGCGCCATGTCCCACTGGTCATGGTCGACTATCCCGGAGAGATCTCGCTCAAGCAGATTTACAGCACCTTCTGCCGTGCTATGCTTAAAGTTGTCCCATCCCTTCGTGCCTATTCCGAGCCTCTCACTGCCGCCATGGTTGAACTGTATCTCTGCTCCCAGGCTCATTTCGTTCCTGAGATGCAAGCTCATTACATTTACAGTCCTCGTGAGCTGACGCGCTGGATGCGTGGTATTTTTGAGGCGATCAAACCTATGGAGACACTCAGTGTCGAGGGCTTGGTGCGCATCTGGGCCCATGAAGCTCTTCGTTTATTCCAGGATCGTCTCGTGACAGAGGAGGAACGCAAATGGACCGACGACGAGATCGACCGTATTGCCATGAAGCACTTCCCCGGTCTCGATCAGGAAGCAGCGCTGGGTCGTCCCATCTTATATTCGAACTGGCTCTCGAAGTACTATGTTCCAGTCGACCGCGAAGAACTCCGTGACTATGCCAAGGCTCGTCTCAAGGTCTTTTATGAGGAGGAGCTGGATGTTCCACTCGCGCTCTTCAATGATGTTTTGGACCACGTCTTGCGTATCGACCGTGTCTTCCGTCAGATGCAGGGCCACATGCTGCTGATCGGTGTCAGTGGAAGCGGAAAGACCACCTTGTCGCGCTTTGTTGCCTGGATGAATGGTCTGAGTGTTTTCCAGATCAAGGTTCACAACAAGTACACAGCCGCTGACTTCGACGAGGATCTCCGAGTTGTGCTTCGTCGCGCTGGTTGCAAGGGTGAAAAGGTGTGCTTCATCCTGGACGAGTCCAACGTTCTTGATTCTGGATTCTTGGAGAGGATGAACACTTTGTTGGCCAACGCCGAGGTCCCTGGACTGTTTGAAGGGGACGAGTACGCTTCGTTGATGACGGCGTGTAAAGAGGGAGCTCAGAGAGATGGTCTGATGTTGGACTCGAGCGAAGAGCTGTACAAATGGTTCACTCAACAAGTCATGAAGAACCTGCATGTCGTGTTCACCATGAATCCGCCCGAGGAAGGATTGGCTTCCCGTGCTGCAACCTCGCCTGCCTTGTTCAACCGTTGTGTACTCGACTGGTTTGGTGACTGGTCCGACCAGGCATTCTTCCAAGTTGGCCAGGAATTCACCACCAGCTTGGATCTGGATCGACCCCATTATTCGCCTCCTCAAAACTTCCCAGTAGTGTACCGCAATCTTCCTGAGATGCCGACTCATCGCCATGCTATCACCAATGCGTTTGTCTATGTGCATCAGTCGCTCTATGAGGTGAACGCTAAGTTGAGTAAGAGAAACGGAAGGCGCGGCTATGTTACCCCTCGTCACTACCTCGACTTTATTCGTCACTATGTCCGTCTCTATAACGAGAAGCGTGAGGATCTCGAGGAACAGCAGCGACACTTGAACGTTGGTCTTGACAAACTGAAGGACACTGTCGTGAAGGTTGAGGAACTCCGAAAAAGTCTTGCCATAAAGAAGAGCGAGCTCGAGATCAAGAATCGACAGGCCAACGACAAGCTGCAGAAGATGGTGGCTGACCAGCAGGAGGCTGAAACAAAGAAAAAGAGATCGGAGGAGATCCAGGTTGCGCTGGGGATCCAAAATAAGGAGATTGCTCGCCGTAGGCATGTTGTCATGGCTGATCTTGCCAATGCCGAACCCGCTGTTAAGGAAGCCCAGAAGGCTGTTACGGACATTAAGAAGGCTCAGCTGACTGAGGTGCGTTCTATGGGTAACCCTCCCGAGGCTGTCAAGATGGCCATGGAATCTGTCTGCACTCTTCTTGGACACAGGCTGGAGAGCTGGAAGACGGTGCAGGCAATTATTCGTCGCGATGACTTTATCTCCAGTATTGTCAACTTTGATACGGATCGACAAATGACGCCCAACATGCGCGCCAGGATGAAGGCCGAATACCTTAGCAACCCCAATTACAACTTTGAGACTGTGAACCACGCCAGTAAGGCCTGCGGTCCTCTGGTCAAGTGGGTCATTGCTCAGGTGAACTTTTCTGAGATTCTGGACAAAGTCGGACCTCTTCGTCAGGAAGTTCAGGAGCTTGAGGATAGTGCCCAGGCAACAGTCATGCAGGCGTCCAGCATTGAGAAAATGATCGTGGAGCTTGAGAACAGTATCGCGACTTACAAGGAGGAATACGCGGTTCTTATTTCAGAGGTTGGTTCTATCAAGAGCGAGATGGAGCGCGTCAAGTCTAAGGTTGACCGCAGTGTTACCCTGCTCGATTCGCTCTCGTCTGAGAAGGTTCGTTGGGAGGCTGGAAGCCATTCGTTCGACACCCAGATGGCGACCACTGTCGGAGACGTTCTGCTGGCATCAGCTTTCCTGGCCTATGGCGGTTACTTTGACCAACAGTATCGTGAGCTCTTGTTCCACAAGTGGGCGGACCACCTCACTAAGGCTGGTATTCAGTTCAAGACCGACATTTCACTTGCAGAATACCTTTCCACAGCAGACGACCGCTTGTCCTGGACTGAGCGCTCTCTTCCTGCAGACGACCTCTGTGTGGAAAATGCTATCATTCTCCAGCGCTTCAATAGATATCCTCTCATCATTGATCCCTCTGGTCAGGCCACGACTTTCCTGATGAACGAGTACAAGGATCGCAAGATCACCGTGACCAGTTTCCTCGACGACTCCTTCCTCAAGAACCTGGAGAGTGCCTTGCGTTTCGGTAACCCTCTTCTGATCCAGGATGTCGAGCACTTGGACCCCATTATGAACCCCGTCCTGAATAGGGAACTGCGACGCACTGGTGGTCGTGTCCTGATCCGTCTGGGTAACCAAGACATTGATTTCTCGCCAGCCTTCACCCTGTTCCTGTCGACCAGAGACCCGTCTGTCAATTTCCCACCAGATGTATGCAGTCGAGTGTCCTTCGTCAATTTTACAGTGACAAGAGGCAGTCTACAGAGCCAATGCTTGAGCAAGGTGCTCAAGGCAGAGCGACCTGATGTGGATCGTCGCCGTGCAGACCTTATCAAGTTGCAAGGAGAATTCAAGGTCAAGCTGCGTCATCTTGAAAAGTCGTTGCTTCAAGCTTTGAACGAGTCGAAGGGCAACATCTTGGACGACGACAAGGTCATCGGGACTCTCGAGACCTTGAAACGTGAGGCTGCAGATGTCACTCGCAAGGTGGAGGAGACCGAAGGCGTTATGCAGGAGGTTGAACAGACCACGGCTATCTACACGCCGTTGGCACACTCGTGCAGTTCCATCTTCTTTGTTATGGAGCAGCTCAACCGTCTGCACCACTTTTACCAGTTCTCGCTCGACTTTTTCTCGGACATCTTCAACTTTGTGCTCCATGAGAACCCTGAACTCAATGGTGTCAAGGATTATGGACAACGCCTGGACATTCTCACGCGCGATCTCTTCAACGTCTCTTACAGAAGAGCGAGCCGCGCCTTACTGCACGACGACCATATCACATTTGCTATGCTACTTTCACAGATCAAGATTCGTGGAACATCCTCTCAGGCGGACGAGACCGAGTACGACTTTTTGCTCAGTGCCGATTCTAATCCCAAGGGTGAAGTCACGGCCGAGTTCACGGAAGAACAGCGTGCTGAGAGGATGGATGAGTTCTCGAAGCTGGCAACTTTCAAGGATATGCCCGCTCACATTGCGAGCAACCCTGACGCGTGGGCCAAGGTTTGGAATGATTCCAAGGCTGAAGTACATGTTCCTGTGTTCTGGGAGCCCTCTCAAGTCGATGGTAAGTCTCGATGATGAATGCATGGAGTCATGGCTGTTTTAATTTTTATGCGCTAGACTACTGACAGGCACTTCTTCGCTTTTTATTTTTTGTAGCAATTAACGAATTTAAGAAGTTGTTGGTGATCAAATGTTTCCGCCCAGATCGTCTCCTGGCCGCAACAACCAAGTACATCGATCAGTTATTCACGCCCAACTTTGTTAGCCAGGCCGACTTGGATCTCGCCAAGTTAGTGCGCGAAGAAGTCAAGGCAGCAACGCCCATCTCGCTTTGCTCTGTGCCCGGCCACGATGCCGCGTATCGTGTCGACAACCTGGCGCAGGAGCAAGGTGTTCGCCTTGCCTCTGTTGCCATGGGATCTCAGGAAGGTTTTAGCTTGGCAGACCAGGCGATTGCGTCTGCGACGAAAACTGGAAACTGGGTCTTGCTCAAGAACGTGCATCTGGCACTCACTTGGCTCGGTCAGCTTGACAAGCGTTTGCACAGCTTGAAGGCACACCCGAACTTTAGGCTGTTCTTGACGATGGAAACGAACCCCAAGGTGCCTGTGAATTTGCTTCGACTTTCACGTGTGCTCATGTTCGAGCCCCAGCCCGGAGTCAAAGCGAACCTGCAAGAGTCCCTTCGCGGCATCCCTGCAGCCCGCCATGCCAAGGGCCCGACCGAGCGCGCTCGTCTCTACTTTATGGTTGCTTGGCTTCACGCGGTTGTTTTGGAGCGTCTTCGTTATGTACCCTTGGGATGGACAAAGGCATACGAGTTTAATGACTCTGATCAGGACTGTGCGTTGAGCACCATTGATGTCTGGCTCGACACTGTAGGTCAGGGTCGCGCGAACGTCTCACCAGACCGTATTCCGTGGGATGCCATCCGCACGCTGTTGTGTCAGTCTGTGTACGGAGGTCGTGTGGATAGCGATGTGGATCAGCAACTGCTGGAGAGCTTTGTGAACTCGTTTTTCAGGCCTGAGTGCTACGATCTGGAGTACAAGCTGGTGGAAACGACTGGAGACGATGCGGGCTTGACTGCGCCCGAAGGAACGAAGATGTCTCAGTTCTTGGAATGGGTCGGTGAGCTGCCTGAACGTGAGCCTCCAACGTGGCTGCGACTCCCGCCTAATGCCGAGCGCGTCCTGTCTACACACAAAGGTAAGATAATCATTTCTTTGGGTCTTCTGTCATACACGAACATTGGTTGCCTCATCTCCTTGTTTGCGAAAAGGCGTCTGACATAGTTGTTTCTTTCTTTTGTGTTTTATTTTTTATAGCTGTTACTATGCTTTCCAAGATCAAGAAGATCAAGAGCCTTGTGGATGACGACGATGATGACCTGTAGGATGTCGCAAAAGATACGAGGCTTGGAGTCCATTGAATATGATACCATTGCAAAGAGTAAAGAGAAATAAATGAATAGCGTTGTGTGTTGTGTTGAAATGGTTGTTTATTATGGCTACAAATGAGGCACACAGACGAAAGACAAATATCCGGGGCCACTTCACTAGGCTTCTACTTTTTCTTGACAGAAGTTGACTTCTTTGTTAAAGCCGAGGGAACAATCTATCTCGACAAAAGCGAAAGAAGCATACGCGTTAGATATCGCATGGAACGGTTTGTTCCAAAACAATGTCCTTTCCCAAAAGACAGTGTCCATACCTTGCGGATCAAACTCAAATCGTCAAGAGCATCAGCATCCGAGGCCAGCCATTTGCAATTCGCAGGAGCGTTGGGCTTTCGCTTCGAGTTCTTAGATCCAACCTCAGACTCCTGTCCGCGCTTCCTGAGCATCCGCCTGGCAGAATTTGCTCTAGAAGTCGGCTCTAGCGCAAAGTCGTTCGTAATATCCAAGTTCTCCTTGTCGTCGCGCAACGCCCTCCGCTTGGCATCAATGACCGTTAGCATCTTTTCTCTCAGACCTTCCTGTTCCGTCTAAGGATGGCAAAAAATTGGTTGAAGGTGAGTGATTTGCTTGTGCACAAATGCAATTGCAACCGCTGATAGCCATTTCGTTTGCTGGATTCGCGTACATACCTTGTATTCTTCTTCCGCGAGCTCTGTCTCAAGTTCATAAGCGTGCTGTGCACATTCGAACTGGTAGTCCCTAAATAATCGTGCGTTGGCAATAGTTGTGTCCCGAATCTCTGCCAAATCCTCGAGCTGATCATGAAAGTCCGGATGCACGCCTGCAGAGCGAAAAGGAAATGCTTCTTATTTCAGTATCGTCAACTCCATCGATCGAAAATGAGACGATATCACCTGTGATGAACGTACTACTTACCACTTAAAATGGCGTTCATTTCCTCCTTATATCGGGCCATCTGGTATTCGTAGATCCTAGGTGTATCAAAACAGACATGGAATTGCAATCGTGTCAGCACAAGTACATCTATTCTTCAGGTCTAACAAAACGACGTTGAGAAAGAGAGAGATATTGGTTCACGGGTTCATTGGTTGGCCATACGTTTGCTTGTTCTCGTCGAGCTCCAGCTCCAGTTTCAGCAGTCGTTCCTGAAATTCCCGTGCACGTTTCTCCTTCTTGCTGTCTTGTACTTCTATCGCCACTAAAAATACAAGGAAATGGAAGTGTATTGGGTGCATTAGCAGCTGAGGACGTCCATCCAAGTACGGTCGTACGCCGCGATATGTACGTGCGGCCACTAAAACAAATGAGCGGGATGCACCAATGGTACGAAAACACCCTCGACTGTGGTGGAATCCACTCACTCCTTCGTCAGACAAAACTATTGATGCAATTGATATCACATCCAATAACGGTTTGATATAAAAGAAAAAAGCCAAACAAAAAAAGCACAGCAAGATATGGCGAAAAAGAAAAAAGACAGGCACAAACACAAAGCAAAGGAGGAGTAACATACCGTCAGACAAGACATCAAAGTCATCTCCAAGAAGACTACGTCCATCCTCCCCATCATACTCCATAGCCCCATCAAATGCAGAATCGTGTTCGTCCATCTCTGAAATAAATCCACCTCCGGCCGTATAGGAGTCCTCGCTTTCGGAAGGACCCTCGTAATAATTCACTGGAGACTGTTTGCTGTTACTCCGGTGGCTATTGCTTCCTGTTCCTGGAATACGCTGGGATCTGCCTGCGGAAGAGGCCTTTTTGGACGAGGTCGTGGTCGTGGATGAGCTGTTGTAGTGGTTGTTGCTATTGATGCTGTTGGTGCCGTTGAAATGTTTTGAATCAGTCGCAGACGAGGATGAGGGCATCGCTTTCTGTGACGGGGGCATTGGGCAAACGAAACAACTCGTTTATTTGTCCTAAGTTCCTGTGCCGGCTTATCCTTTGCCTGGACGACGGTGGTATGGGTGAGGAAGTGAAGGAGGTTGACAGAAAGGTAATGTTGTGCTTATGCTGAAGTAGAAGAGAGAACGTGTTTCTGGCTGTGTGTGTGGTCCAGTCGGCCCTGGAAAGGGTGGGGGAGGGAAGTGATAGAGAACGAATATAACGAGAAGCAGGGGGAAGGAATCATTTGCGGTACGATGGCTTGTCTCGTTTTCCTTTGCCAGTCCCGTTCAACTGGCTCAACTGCAACCCATTGGCTTTATTCGCGTTGAATGAAGATATGGAGAACAGGGGCACCAATATGATAAGATGACCTACAACCATTGAACATGAAGCGTAGATCCTTGGTTTCAGCAGAAAGCCCGTCTTTATTCCTCGCCCTCCGCGAGCTCCTGGATCTTGGGGGCAGTGCCAGACCATATCGAGGGCGTGTACTCCTCCTCCTTGGGAATGGGCTTGGGCTTCCTGCTCTGACTGGTGGTCTTTGAGGCCAATGTAGGTTTCGACTTTGGTGTGGCCTTGACTGCCGGTGCCAGTGCTGGAACTGATGCTGATGCAGAGGTCGATGACGCTGACTGTGAATTCTCCTCCTGCTCGTCCTCGGGCGTGATGATCCGTCCTCTCGACAAGAACCCACCCATGGTCTTGCGCTGCTTCTCGTCCGCCTCCTTAGACTTTTTCTTAATCTTCTCAAGCTCTGCCTTGACACCAGGAACTATATGTACGTAGGTATTGGAGAAATGAATAAAACTGTCGATCGGAGTCTTTCTTTGCGGTTAAAAGTATAACACTGCAGGCGCCATTTCTTTTTTACCTTTCTCGCCAAGGCTCAAAAAGTCAGCTTCAGCCCCTGCAAGGTTGCCGTCTCCGAGCTTTGCCTGTCCACGACGAAACTTTGCCTTGACACTATTGGGATCATTCTTCAGTGCCGAATTACAAACCTCAATCGCTCGCTTGTAGTTGGCGTTCTTTAGGTGGCATGCAGCCATGTTCGCGTATACGACCGCCAGGTTCAATTTGATCTCGTTCCTCTGCTCCTCAGTCGCAGCACCTTCCTGTGGGTGCATTGAGGACATCATCGGCATCCCCGACATTTGATTATCCAGTCCAGAAAGTGCAAGGACAGCCTAGTAAAGGACAATGAGGGGAACAGGCAGGTCAGTCTTGGTTCTTGGAAAGGGTTAGCTGACCACGGTGGTAGAGTGTGGTGTTAGATGGTCACTTACCAGGTGGTATTGTGTCAAGGCTAGAGTCGTGGTCATTATTTGAATAAGACAGAAGTGGGAAGCAGTCAATGCGAAGGCCAAAGAACGCGCTTTTCCTTCTCTTTCTTATTAATGTTGTACGGTTGATTAAAAAAAAGAAACGCTCAAAGGTACCTTTTTTGGTGTCGCCCTGCTTAAAGGATTCGTTACCGAGATCCTTGTTGGCAAGGGCCGCAGCCATCTTTTCCTGAATCGAGGACATTGCAGTTAAGTTATATATGTGTGAGAGAGAGAAAGTGAGGGGACGAGAAAAAGATGAATCGGCTAGGTTAAGAATCAAGGATGGCGAAGAGGAGAGAGAAGAGGGGCGATGTTCATGAAGAAAAAGAAACAGAAAGAATAAAATAAAAAATGCGCTGTGCCCCAAGCTGCCAACTCTTTTTTTTTTTGCACGCGCTCATTCGTTCGTTTCCTTGCGGGCTGATTTTTATTTTTGGCGGCATCGTTTGCCACCAAAAAAACCCCCCTCCCTCTTACACACTTACACATACGCGCCTACATACACAGCCTTGCCTCGTCGTTTCTTCAAAAACATGTAGGAAGCATTGGTCTACGAGAAGCGAATAGATGCTTCATCGAATCTAACGCATCCGCGCTACTCCTCAGAAATACGTTCTATCATGCATTTGAGGAACAGCAGCCCCCTCTTTCTTCCCCTCTTTTGTGTTCATTTCACTGTCTCAGTATTCATTCCCATGCTCAGTACGCAAGTATACTTTACATTATCATCCCTACTGCAGTATACTCGTGTATGTTGAGTGCGCATAATTACATTTATTTATTAGACAAGTGTCCATGAGATTAAAAATTACAGCGGTTGGTGGAAAGGATGAATAAGAGTGCTGCTAGTTCTGCTCGAGACCGAACAACGGCTCCCGTGATTGATGGTGGGGTCGAATTGATGACGACTCTGTACAGGTAACGCCCGGATCACTTCACTTGTCCGGGCCACTCTAATACTTCAGAATGATGTAGAAGGCGTGGATGATACCTAGAAAACAAAAAAGAAGGAATACAGAGAGTAAGTAAAATTGTTGCGGAAGGCGGCCTGAAGAGTATGTAGAGTTCACTTGGTGTCATAATCGTCATGCGCTGAGCACACTTCGAAAAGATAATGTCCGGAAACCAAGATTAAACTCTACAAAGGGTGGTGCGATGAGTACAAGCAACGTACCAGGAATGTAACCCAGGATGGTCAACAGGATGTTGATGAGGAGATCAGTGCCGCATCCTTTCTATTAGTTTCGCACGAAGAGGAAAAAAGACGTGTGAGATATATCATCCAGTAAATAAACGTGTCGATAGCCCATTGACAAGTGTGTATGTGTGTGTGCATCTCGAGTGTCAAGAAATATTACCTCCAAGAAAACTCCCAGAGGAGGGAAGATGACGGCAAAGATAAACTTGAAGATGTCGGAGAAGGTAAGAGCCATTGTTAGAGTTGTTGTAGTAGTAGTTGTTGTGAGGAAGTGAAATTTGTGTTGAAGTTGAAAAAGATGTCCCAGAAAGAAAAGTGCAGGGATGGCCTCTTTTATACTGTCCAGCTGAAGACGTGCCGTCATCATCACTGCACTTGGATAGATGGTTTTACATTCGTTCACCTTTGCACCCGGACCAACGGAGCGGACGATCCCTGTTCCGCCCTGCTATTTGTGTCTTGTTGTCAGTGCGTCATCATTTCATTTGAATCGAGAACCCAATGATACAACCATTATGTGCTCACTCCATGCCCTATTCGGGCTTTCCTTCTTTGCTCATCATTTACCAAAAATGATTGCTGCTATTGCTGAAAACTTTTTTTTTTGTGTCCTAGGTAGTCCAAGGCCGGCTTTTGTCAGCATGCAAACAACTTGTGTTCAAACGGACTTGAGGCAAGCCTGGAGCATAATCATGAGCCACCTCATTGGCCTCTTGGCGAAAAAAAAAAGAGCCGTCGATCATACATCAAACAAAACCTGGATCCAATGGTGTTTTGGTGTACGTTGGTCATCACCGAGACTCTGTGGGCGTAAAAGCACATGCAGGAACAAAACTTTCTTCCCTAATAGCTTATCGTCGCTTTTCGTTGTCTTCAAGGAATGCATGTTTGCAACACGGATACGGCCGATTCTAAATTCTGGGTTGTGTATTTTAGGACCATACGTCTGTTTATGGCTGTTGTTTGGAATTCAGTACCCGGCCTGCCATGGACGTAAAATAAGGTTTCGCGTCCTGAGCACGTCGTTGATTCCTGCTGCCATTATTGGCGGTGTCAATTGAACGAATGTACGCCTTATCTTGAGGCTATAGCTCTGCAGCCTAGTCGATAGCAACAGCTATATTATCTCTCTCATAGCGGGACTCAAATGCAACGCCTTCTTTCTTCTCAGCCACCATGAGCAGCGATAACCATACAGGTTTTAGCATAACATAGGATCAATTAAGCATGGTCGCCTGGCTCCACATTCCACATAACTACATCCAGAAGGCGCAATAATCTCTCAAAGAAAACATCGCTCCAAGCGTCCGTGATAGTCATTGTTCCTTCATTTGTTTCTAATCCATGACGTTGCGTGGCAACCAAAAGATGGCTTTATTTCGAGATATCGGCACAGACAATCAGCAGCTTCGAGAAAAGATGTGACGGAGTAAATGCTGAAGTCCAGAAACCCACGAGCGCAAGAAAACCCTTAGCGGTAGCGACGGAGCTGTTATCAGGAACGCAAAAATAAATAAATATATGATTAGCAAACAGTCGTTCAGTCGCGCGCTGCAAAATCAGATCTTCATTCCCGTGTGAGATACGTACGCTGAGGGTGTTGCGTCTCTTCCAGTTGGCGCGGCGACCAGAGCCGATGGTCTTGTTGAAGCCGTGACCCTTGCCGTGTCCACGGTTCTTCTTGGTGGCCGAGGTCAAGCCACGGGCCTCACGGCGCTTGTGGACGGGGTTGACGATCCAGTTGATGCGAGCATCGCGGCGGATGGCCTTGTGGGAGGGATCGACCAAGATGACCTCAAAGTACTTGTAGGTCGAGTCCTGGTTGACCCAGTAGGAGTTGAGGACGCGCAAGTTGCCGCACTTGCGGCCAACACGCTCCTCAGCAGTGGCCTGGAGCGAGCGCTGGTACTTGAGCTGGTTCACTCCGTGTCCGCCGGGCTTACCGAAGGTGGCACCCTTGGCAACGGGCTTTTTGCGACCACCACGGCGAACGCGGATACGGTAGATGACGTATCCCTGCTTGGCCTTGTAGCCGAGACGGCGAGCCTTGTCGGGGCGCGAGGGGCGCGAGGCACGGTGGATGACGTTCAACTGGCGGTACTCCCAGCAGCGGACGCGCAACAAAAAGCGCATGACGTCCGACTGCTTCTTCTTGGCCAACTCCTCGAGATACTTGTAGGCTCCCATATTGTCTAACAGCGAGTGATGAGTAGTTGTTGAAGAGGCAAAGATTGAGTTGGCTTGTTCCATAATATCTGTTTCGCTTTGATCCGTATATGATGCTTTGTTGATAGCAACTGAAGTGTATTCAATTGTCTAATCCTGTAGCTACTAGTGCTGGCGTATCTGTCGAGCTCTGTTTTGTTCAGCTCCGTGTGATCCTGATCGTCAGAGATCCAGTAGTGTGTGCAGGCGAGATGCCGAGATGAGCGCTGCTGTTCATGGGGATGCTGTTTGCCATCTCATTGTTTAAGTAGGGTCGTGTGCTTGGTAGACGTCTGCGAGAAAAACCGTTGAATCAAAGATACATCCTTTCCCATGAGATGAGAGTGCTGAGTGATCCCCAAATCATGTTGCCATCGATAAAAAGTACTGGAGAGTGAACCCGACTTGTAGCAGACGAGGATGGTTGTGCGCATTTGATGCGATTCATCGATGGCTGGATAGATGGATGTGTATATGGGCCGCCCTGGTATTCATCCATGGATCCGTGCACCCAAATAAGGCAGGTGGATGTCTGACCTCTTTTGAAATTTGAAAAGACAGAACCAACAATGCCACCCCTCCTTTTCTTAAACCAATTTCGTCAATTAAGGGCTCACAATTGATCTGAGCGCAGGGGTAAACTCGAAAGGTATCTAAAGTTCCTGGCCAAAAAAAAGAAAAAAAAAACTCTGTTCTTCCACTCATACGCTTCATTTTTTCACTTGCCACCTCAGTCCTTTTATATCATTTCCAATTGTCCATGGCCGTGTCTACAAGGAAACTGTATTGGATCACGGCAGGTGTGTTCCTCTTGGTCGTCTTCCTGTCATATCACAAAAATAGCATTATACCTTATACCAACCAGCCCAAGAATTACAACGATAATGACGAGGGCTACGAGAGCTCTGCTAAGGGCGCAGTCTACACTGGCGACAAGTCGACTCCATCCCCACCGCCGACTGGTTCTCAATTACCCAACGTCCCTGGCAAATACGACACCCTTATTTTGATCCCCTCGAGTTGGACTCAGATGCACAATCGCCAATGGGTGCGTCAGACCATCTTTGGGATCAACAACAACCTAGAGCCGTGCAAGAGGTACGATGGCAAGATCATCTACAAGTTTTATATTCATGGGTATGCAACTTGGCTGAAGACGCCTATCCATTCGGCCGAGTTCATGCAGGGACAAATCCGAGATCTTTACGGCGAGTTCATGGAATACAACGACCATTTCTTCATCAATAAGACCGTGACCGATCGACATGCGGTTTGGGGTGATGCCCTTGCTTGGGCTGTAAGTGTCTCGTAGAAGCATTTGTGTGCAAAACGGAAGCAATCGATCACTCTAGTGCAAGCAGCCATTGACACACAAGATGCTGTTTGCTGTCTATTGTTAGGTTGAGACATTCATCCCTCAGGAACAGATTACAGTGGATAAGGTCCTGATTTTCGATTCCACAACCCTTGTCAACCTGCCTAAAATGGAAGAACGCGTTAAGACGGCCGTCAACCCGAATGGATTCCTCTACACTTGGGGAGCACCAAAGCCCTTTGCTGGCATGGTCTCGTACAATGTTGCTGAGCAGATCGTCAAGAGCCTCACTGCCATCAGGGAGAATAATAAGCTCGAGGACCTCTTCACCGCCTCGACTCTTTATTTTACTAAACCAGCTCCTAAATTCAAGGTCGAGAGCGGCCCTGCACAAATCTGGGCAAGCGACATTGATGAACTTCAGACCGCATCGCAGGCCATCGGCCCGGTCTACCAGCTCGAGGATTGGACGCCTATTGTTCAGAAGCTGGTCATCCAACCAACAGCACCATGTGCTGCGGATACTAGCCGAAAGAAGAACATTGCACTCCTGACCTCGTCCTATATTTATGTTGATATGTGCATGGCCGAGGCGTCTCTCCCCTCTGCCGCGAACAAGCGCGACTATGCCGCCAAGCATGGCTACGACTTTGTGGCCCGTGCTGCAGAATTCGCACAGGAAGATTATACAGGTCGTCGACTGGTTTGGGGAAAGATTGCGGCTATCCAGAAGGTCCTTCCACATTACGAATGGCTCTTCTGGATGGACATGGACGCTGTCATCGCAGATATGGGCAAAGATCTGCGTGAGATCATTCAACGCGCGGAGGAGGCCAGTGTGGGCAAGGAGATCAGCCTGATCGTTGCCAGGCCTGTCAAGGACAAGATGCTGAATGCTGGAGTCATGTTGATCAAGAATACAAACTGGAGTCGCCAGTTCCTCAATGAGGTTCAGACCCGGAAGGACTGGTACCGCAAGTCTAGCTATGAGCAGGCGGCTATCTGGGAGGCCATGCTGGATCCCAAGTGGGCTTCTGGGGTAAGCACTCTGCAATGTTCAACAGGATAAATATGAAAATTATGGTATCTGCTCTGCATACTGACTAAGTTTATATTCATTTGATATCTATAGGTTTATTTGTTCGATAAGGACGACCGTACTATGAACACCTTCCCCAAGCAATACCGGGAAGGTGACTTTGTCATTCACTTTGCTCCTGCAGGATGTCCCTCAGTTTCAGTACTGGAGGCATTGCAGAAGATTAAGAATGGTCAGAGCTTGCTCGGCGTGAAACGTTCAAATCGTAATTGAATAACTGTCGACAGCATTTTATTTATGAAATAAATCGTGTCTTAGACAAATCAACTACTTCCATGGCCATGTCTCTTTTGCCAATGAGCAGAGTACTGTCGACGCGCTAGTCCAGCGACTCCTTCCTCTTCCTGATGTGTTCGTCAACGTGATCTTTGATGGGAATCGAATCCATGGCACCCTCCTTGCCGACTGCCAAGGACGCCGCATGGCTTGCCTCTTCCAACGCTGCCTGGAGCTGTTCCTCGCTAAAGCGCTTGCCTGCCTCTTGATTACGGAGGAGATTCGCGATAAAATACCCCTATTTGCATCGAGAGAGAAGTGTTAGATGTCATTCACGCGCGTTGTTGCCTCCGTTGTTACGCGGGTATCGGTAACACCAAAAACTTACAGTGAAAGAATCTCCAGCCTAGTTGTGTCATACAAACAGAATAGAGATGACGAGTTGTGTTAGTGCATGGAGCGTACTTCGGATCAGACAAAATTCTTTCTTCGCGTACGATCACATACTCCTGTGGTGTTGACGACCTCGCCCTTAACAACACTCTTTCGAAACTCTTTCAACTTTTCGTCTTCCTCCTTGATACGGAATCGTGCAACCAGCCCATCTCCTCCAAGCGTAATAACAATCCCACTAATCTCGCCATACGCTTTCTCCAGCACTGGAAAACTCTCTGGTGCTGCAATATCAGACGAGGACGTGACCGAATCCGCATCACCGCCCTTGCGCTCCGTCAAATACGCATACAACTCCTTTGCTTCAATGTCATTGATTATCAAGTAATCAACAAGGTGCATCGGATACTCTCTAGGAAGCTCCTTGGTAAAGGGCGACGGGTTAAAACAAACCGTCATGCCTCGTTCCTTGGCCGCGTGCATGATCTCGCCTCCGCTGCTCATCTCGTTCTGCATCAAGATCCAGTCACCCTCTCCAAAGTTCGACAGCACATGGCGTGCTTCCTCCAAGGTCATAGTTTTGTTCGCTCCTGGAAACAATACAATCGAGTTGTCGCGCGATTCTTCGCTCAGTTGAATAATGGCCCTTCCTGTTGCCTAACAAAACGAGATCCCCCCAGTGCGGACAAAAAGGTGTACATAAAGACACATTAATTATCGATCCGCAACAGAGTATCCTCCCACTTTGCAGATACTTTGGTCATTTATTTTTATGCCATTACCTCCTTCTCAGAGACTTTGATATACGATGTATCGACTCCAGCTTCCTGCATAATCTTCATGACCCATTTACCATCACTTCCGATCTTTCCTGCATGGTACACATTCGCACCGGCCCTTCCCAGAGCCACAGATTGATTTGCGCCTTTGCAAAAAGGCGGGAAGCGGTGTAAAGTCTCAGATCAGCGCAGGTCGGAATGCGAGAGAACATCAGTATTCTGGATGTTACATCAATTTAAATGAAAATACCTTTGCCTCCGGCGCTCACGCTGTAAGAGCTGGAAGAGATCGTCTAAAAAAAGGAAGAGGATAATTGGACGGGTGTTATGCGTGGGAGAATTATGCAGAAGAGTCAAACAAGTCATCTATGGTTCTTTGGCGAGCAGATAAAAGGACGCCTTTTATTACCTCACCAGATCGAACGATATGCGGCACGACGTAGAAATCATCTGTGGGATGCGTGGGATTTGGTTTGGGTTTATTGAGAAAAAGAGGTGATCAGCTTTTGGCGGTGTAAGGTTGTGGAGGGAGCTGTGCTCTACATGAATGGTTTTGTTCTCATGAAGACTTGCCGATGTTGATGGATCCGTAGACGAGTACTTTTGGCTTGGTCAGATCCATGCTGTTCGATTCTTTGGCTTGAAAGAGAGAAAGGTGCTTGGTGGAGATGAAAAAGAGAAGGAGAAGGAAAAGCTATACTTCACACGTTCACTCTGACGCCCTCGTCTCCACATTCAAGTCGCAACTGGGATATCAATTGACCAATCATAAACGTGTCACACAGTGGGGCCATCAACCACTCCCCCGAAACTCTCCCCTTGACATCATCCTTTCTTTTTGCAGTTCAATTCCCTAATAGTACTACTCGATGGCGGCAGCAGTAAGGAATCCAGGAAAAGCCTACACAGAGTTCCAGGAACAGGACCTCATTGGGTCTCATTCCGAGAAGAGTGTCAACCAGTTCGACATCTATTGTCCTCAGGAGAGCTGTCGCTGCAAAATCCTCCTCGCTTCCGCGGCAACTTTGGTCCAAAGGGAAAAGAGCAAGGTGCGGACTCGTACGCCAACCGAGATTGGCGGGCAGCAATGCTTATTATACGCAGACAATTGCTTCCTACTCACTCCTTCCATTTCTTAACCCACAGTTGATGCTGCCAAAATTACCCCTGGCTGGTGCGACCATCTCCACTATTGACCAAGCCCTGGCTTCTGAAAAGAAGGAAGGTGCTGTAGAAGAGACTACGAAGACCAACGAGGAGAACACGGAGAAAAGCGAATCATCAGCATCGGTAACAGCAACAGCAAGTTCAGGCGACGAACTTCAGTCTTTCTGGAGAGTCACAGATATGATGGCGTTCGAGAATATTGGATTCAGCAAGATGTTGCCTAATGGCACTCAGTTCCTCTCCTGCGCAGACTGTGACACCGGTCCATTGGGATACCACGAATCCAAGGCACCAAAGGCTGAGAAAGAGTACTTGGTCGCCCTTAACAGGGTCCGTTACAATGACGGTTCGTAACAAACTTATTACACCCGGCTATATCTAGAACCTATTTCAGTGTGAACTTATGAATAAACACATACGCGGGAGTATATTGAGGACTTATAAAAAAACACACACAACTGTCGCATGTGCGGACGGATACTTGTCGTTGTGCTATTGATGGGGGTCATGAACCGTCCAATGGTATCCCCTGGAATACAAATGCCATCCGACGAATGACGCTGATTGACCGTTTCAAAAGTCGACAATATCTCGGGTCATGTCAAGTGGGCCACGTTACTTCTACTCCTGAAGGGAAAAGATGGCAGATGGACCCTGGTCACCTGTGGTTCTAGCCATAAACTGCCACGATCTGTCTGTATGCATGCCAGTCGTTATTAAATTAAACAAAGGCACGCGTGAATGCCAGTCGCCAGGGTCTCGCGGCTTCATCCTCGTCTTGGCCGTTTTTTGTCTCTCGTAGAGCTTTAGTTACCCCTCTCTCCGATAAGCTGACAAAGATGATTATGATTGCTCTAGTCCCCCTTGCACTGTGTGTTGTCCATAGCGCTAGCCTCGGGTGTTGGTCATCCGTACCCTAGCATGACACGAGCCCTTGATTATTAAACATGGCCTTGACCACCACATTTCAACGCTCAGAAAATAAAAAAACAGATGGGCATGGCATGCGATAGTAGAGCGCGGGTCATCCTGTCTGACCTGCTGACGATCTTTAGCATCGAGTCGTATTTTTACAATTCCCCCCTCTCCTCGCCCCTTTTCGTACAATGTCGTCGCCCGATGAATAACAATTCATTTGCCCCAGTGCTTTTAAAGTTGACCTCGCATTTGGGTTTAGATGGTGTTTGACAAAGATGCAGACTGCATGTGTACATGTGTGTGTGTGCGCATGCCGCGTGTTCCCCGCCATAAAATGACAGCAATATAATGATAATGAAGTGATAATAATAATAATAAAATACATGTCTTTCTTCTACCCCCTGTGCATCGTGACATGATCTACTCGAGGATATTGATTGCCCTGTGCTTAGTCGAGTGGACCATGGACCATGGACCATGGATCATCACCTATTGACCATGAATACTGTAATGTACACAAGTATGTACACAATACAACAGGAGAGTGAAATCGGATACAATACCATTGAGGTCTGGTTATAGTGTGTTGCTTACTTGCTCTTGCGGCTGAAACAAATAAAAACCATCCTTGCTTTGACTATATCTGAAAGACCGCGTCTTCCTTTTCTCCATCCATTCTCCATCCACCCCCTCCCCTCCCTCTCTCTTTCCTCCCCCTAATCCCTTCTCATTCGCTTCCTTCCCTTCCCCATTCACCTGCCCAATCGTTCTAAGCACTCCTCGTTCTTCTTCTCCCTATTCTTCTTCTTCTCCTCCTCCCCGTTAACGTTCTGATCCTATCCTATCACACTTCCCTCCCGAGACCTCGCTCACCTTGCTTCCCCCTACCGACGCAGTATTGACGACCCTATCCCCACGCATTCTTCCTTTTTAACACTCAACAAAACCTTCAAAGCGCATACCGCACGCCGTTTTTATTTTCTTTTTTTTCACGCCTCATCTGTTTATCACTTTCATAACCTCCAAGGATATTTAACCATGGCCGCGACAGTAAAGGCATGGCATCGCGACGATTGCCGTCGACTCTCCATCAACATCGAGCAAATCCACTACCAGGACCTCAAAGACAAGGTAAACAACCCCTCATCTTCTTACTTTCCTTCTGGCCGTCTTTTCTTCTCCCTCCCACAGCACGCTCTTCAAAACCATTCAGTATTCATGTTCATCCTCTCTTATTTTTAATACGCGCTAGCTCCAGAATACGTTCCAGCTCGATAACGATTTCACAGTCAAGTATGCAGACCTCGACGGGGACCTCTGCACCATCAGTGGAAATGAAGAATTCGAGGACCTCGTCAATTCGGACCTAGTCAAGGAACGCAAGAGCACGCTTCGCTTGCAGGTCATTTCCAACACTGGAAGCTTCAGTAGTCGTCCCAACAGTCGTCGACCGAGTATTCTGAATCAACGCGATTCTTTCGACCAATCAGGTACCTTGACCCTGGATTTTTTTTTTTTGACGAGGCGAACGCGCTTGTGAAACAAAAATGCTGTGCAGCAAGACTAAACAAGATTTTGTCTTCGTTCCAACTTTACTGTACGATTGAACACCCTCCCCCCTCCCCCAACAGATCCAAGGCTGAACACTAGCATCTTCGACGGCGAGTACACGGACTGCGACATGCTCGAGATCCTTCGCGACATCAGTCTTTTTATCTGCGCCCGTGGCATGGATCGACACGGCGAGCATGGTAAACGCCATCACCACATAGCATAGCATGCATGGGGTTATTTTATTCTGCTGGATACCAGGCGTCAAAGCTTGAAGATACTGTGTCCACCCTAACATCCGACTCTTTTTTATCTACTTTAACATCCGCTTTTGACAGATGCTATGGCAGACCTCCCACCAGGCGCATCGTCTTGGGTCTCTGCTGAAAAGAATCTCATCAGTAAGTACTGTACTTTATAACCCTTGATTGCATGAAAAAAGGAACTGTGGATGCAACCTTAAAGAGTACTTAGCCCATCGTACCATGTTCCTTTTTTTTTTTTTTTTTTTTTTTATAACTGGAAATTAGCACCGACAATGGCACAGAACTTCCAGCGACTGAGCTACGCCAAAGCCGTCCGTGCAAAGTTCCCAATGTCGAACGGCACCGACCGTACGTTTTTCCCACTTTTCTCGAACATGTGTGCATGAATTTATCCCCCCACAAAAGACACATTTCTTCGTATACTGATAGGAATAACTTTGCCACCCACCCATCTCTTGTAGTGCTGAAGGGACTTGATGGCCATGTCTATAAGTGGTCCGTCGAGACTACTGGTCAATGGCTGATCAACAACGGGTACGAGGATGCTGTCCAATCCTTCAAAGGTAACAAGGAACACCCCCACATCTTCATCTGTTCATTTTGTCGCAAAATAACAATGTACCGCCCCACGCCAACAAACTAATCCCGTCGTCCATAATTTGGTCCGCCTGTGTAGACCATGATATCACAGGAGACGTGCTCCTGGACCTGACACACGATACCCTCAAGGACATGGGCATGGCCTCGACAGGACGCCGGATCCGACTCCTCAAGATGATCGCAGAGCTCCGACTTCTTGTTGCGGACCTCACCATCCAGGAGGCCACAGACGAAGCCCAAGCGCTTGAAAATCTCGCCATCAACTGAGAACCTCACAACAAGAGCTCACACTCCCCCCTTCATTCTGAGAAATACTTTGTTTCTTTTTCCTATTTTTTTTTTTTTTTTTTTTATATCTCCAAGATGCACGCATGATGCTGGTGCTGGTTTCTAACTATCAAGCGCGTAAAAAAAAAATACAAAATAAAGATCTACAAAGATATACCCCGCACCCAACAATCACCTTCAGATTCAACTTGAAGTCAATCCAATTTATTTATTTTATTTAGGGCAATATCCGCTCGCTCCTGAACCATCATTGCTCCAGCAAACAACATTCTTCTCCCTGTGTATTCACAAAGACTTGCGTCTTGCAAGGCAATAGTCGCCCCACACCTTCGTTTGACCCCTCGTCAATGCGACCGTCACTTGGTCCGGGATCCAGAACGCCCGTACCCACCGGTTCCGTCCCGCCCCCACTTTTGTATCCAAAAACCTTCTACAGTAAAGCCTCTCCCAATGCTCCTTGTCCTGCAGGTACCGGGGTTCAACCGAGTCCTGGCCCTGGCTTTCATCCTCTCCTGCACGACCGCCGTAGTCCAGGTCCACCAAGTAATCGCACTGGTCCAGAGGGGTCTATCGGCGAAGGAGTATATAATATAAAAAGATTCTTAGCAAAATCACATTGACAGCACAAGACCCTGAGCAGACCTTTAAATACAGCAGTCAGCACTTTCTTACATAATGCTCGAAAACCTCCATGTTCTGGTTATTCATCTGTTTCGGTACAAATGACGTTCCCGGCCGTCTCTCGGCACTCCATCGCCAATCGATCCTCAACGGTCGGTGCTCCTTGCCCCTCGCCGCCGACGGTCTCGCTTCCACAATCGGTAACTCGGCGTTTAGTGGGAGCTCCTGAAATTCTCCCGGCAGTAATCCATCGAAATGACTCTTCAGAAAGCCTAACTTCGCGCCTTCTGGTAAGAAATAGTGTGACGGAAACCGGTACCATTCCTTACCCACACAAACACGTACAATCTTTGCAGGGTCTCGGTTATTCGCTAATGCTGCAGCTCCTCCGGTGACAGTGGAATCTGATCCTTCAACGACCATAGGGCCTGGGACCTTGACCATATCGAACGCTTTCCTGTAGACATCGATTGGTGCGCTGTAGTGCTCATAAAGGGCGAGGATCCTGGACAATGAAACCGCGGCAGAGGCAAGCAGGACCAACCACACCAGTCCAGCCGCATATTTATGGATCGCAGCCGTCTGATACAACAACAACACGCGACCAAAACATGTGGAGAGTTATGAATTAGAAATCATTTGCTAACAGATTGAATTAAGACTAGGTGCTTGCAATGAAACAAGAAGAGACTAACCTTAGATCGAGTGACAAATCTGTCCAGGGTGCGTTGTATAATCTTCTGGGCCATGAACAGGGTCATGACAGCGTTAAAGCAGATGAGTGGGTACACTACGAACAGGAAGCGCTCTTCCTTGTGCGGCTGCGCCGTAAAGATAGCGAACCAGAGGTAGAAGGGCGATAACTTTAACGAGAACCACAAAAGTGGGTCCTTGAGTGAAAGACCGCCGCTTGAAGGTGGGGCAGGGAGTACATCTGGAATGGCAAAATACGTGATCAACTAGAAAAGCAACAACAATAAACTTTCAGAATGTGGCACATTCAATATCTATCATATACAATATATATATAATGAAACCCTGACTTACCAGCATCGGAAGCGAGAACAGTGCGGCGGGAAACAGGACATTGAAGTTCAGGAGGCCGTTTAGGATATAGAACCACCATGGCTCGGTGCCAAAAATATCCGGCCCCACATCGCCTCCAAAAACATTGTACAGGACAATGTTCAAAGGGACGATAACCAATTTCTTGTAGTAATATTGGTCGATAATCATGATGGGGACCTATTCAGTTGCAACGACAGATGAAAGTACTCCTAGTCAGTCTCCTTTACAATTTAGTCCTGTACGTGGCCAGACCTTGCCTTGCTAACAGATCGACCATACATGCCAAGTTCAAGCCCGAAAAAAAAGTGATCCCAAAGACACTCAACAAAACAAAGCACTCACCAAAACACAGCCGAGAACCACTATCGTAGACGTCGTCAACTGAAGAAGTCGCACCATGCGCCAGTCCCTGAATCGGACCGTCTTTTTTCTGCTGTGATTCCTGCTGTGGACCAAGAGCTCCTCGAGTGCAAATGGTAGGCCCACGGCTGCCGAGAAGGGCCAGCCAAGGAGTGCTCCCAATCCGACCCAGAAGATGGCCCAGAACGTCCGCTTTCCAGAATGGTGACGCGGCGGCTGCAGCATTTGACTAAAGAACATCATGGTGGTATACATGGCAAATGTTGAAGGAAGGAAGGCTATTGTATCGTGGGTCAATTCGGATGAGAAGCCAGGGTTAGAATGTCACTGATATAAATGGGATCAGAGTTCCCAGGTCGCCGTTCAAAAATCGGTCGCCCTCTGACGGTTGACCCCTACCATTTGAAGCAATCCATGTTCCTGCACTGCTAATAAGGACCAGTAAGAGATACCGTCCTATCCTCGGGTCGACCTCATCCACAACTGTTCTATAAAGTGTTGCCTCGCAATGTGCCGAAACTGCGCCAAGTATAATCCGAAGAATGAAAAATACTTGTAACTAATGGTAATACAGAAGAAAAGCACATGAATTTGTGTGAGAAGACTCGTGAACATAAGCTTGGGCCACCACTCTTCGCAATTAACACCAAACACAAACATAAAAAAGGAACTCACACGATTGGCGCTCATAGCAAGGCGGGTGATCTCTGCAGGGAGGGCGTGGGCGAGGATGTAGGCCCAGCTCCTGATGGCATACACTGGTGAATACTCCCATGTCTCGAGTCCTGTTCCGTACTGAAGGTAGTGCATAGGCTCCCAAAAGTTGAATACTTCGTCGCAGTCAGAGATGTTGGAGTACGTTGCTGCCAGGGCGCGCACCAGAAACAGGGCCTTGAATGCAACTGAGAATGACGGACAATAAGGAGACGCGTAGTCCCTGTTGAGTTGAGGAACAAAGCGTTACTGGGGTCAGTAAAGACTGTCTATAGTGAGCTTTGCCTTATCGCTTTAATGAATCGATACATACCGCAACCGCAGGGGCTCGCCTGTTAAAGGGTCGAGGACTTCACTGTTTGTGTCACTGTTGCTGTCCTGACTGTCATCGTTGTTGTCGTCGACTATTTTCCGCCTGTCCATCAAGATTCCGTTGAGTTTGCCGTTGGCCTGTCCATTGCTGCTGCCATGACCATTGGTTGCAGAGATTTTTCTCTGCTTGAGTGTGGTTGTAGCAGTGGTGGCGGTAGCGGTCGTACTGGCTGCTGTGCCTGTCATGCTTGTCTCTGTTGTTGCTGGCACCACGCGATCAGCTACTGGGCCATCGTTCCTGCTGCGTGAGTTGATTCCCGGAGTAGAGCTTGGCACCATGTGAATGGATGAGCAAAACGAGAAAGGAAGAAAGAAGAAAGAAGTAAAAAGAGAGGAGAAAAAGAGGAGAAAAAGAGAGAAGGAGAAGAAGAAACAAAACGATTCAAGAGAACGAAGGAAGAGTCAGGACACCACTTGGTGCGCTTTCCCGTTTAATTGAAGGGAAAAAAGGAGCGGTAAAGTAAACTTCGTATTCAGTCAGAGCGTATACGCATGCACGATAGCCTGTCGAGGCAAGAAGGTGGGTGGTCGTTAAAGTGTCATGAAAAGGGAAAAAAAGATGTCAAATGATCCACGGAATGAAAATGAAGGAAGATAAGAGGAGGGACAGAAGGACATGCAGAAACAGAAGGCTCCTCCACATATTACTTCAGTTCTGGTGTTTATTTGCGTCCAGTGAGTGCTCACTGTCCATCCCTACATGGTTTGTACGAGAGCAGAAGCACGGATTGGGTTCGACGAATATCCCTCGGACACACACACACTCACCAGTTTGTGCCACTGGTCTGGCACTAATGGCGATAGCATCAGAATGAGACACAGGGCACCATGCCGAGTGTCGAGTGTTCCTGAAAGTGGGGGTGAGTTCACAGACACGGCACCTCACCCCTGCCCATCTTTTATTATGTATTTGTATAGCATGCTGTGCGCGGCAAAAGATAAAATGCATGCCATAGACGCTATCGCTATTGCTATCTCAGACTTCATGGACCGAAGCTTTCTACACAATACCGAAATAGAGCACCACCAGATTTTCCGAGCCCGTGTTTCTAATAAGAGGCGAATCAACAGAGAACGACGAACATAATTGAGTGATGAGGAAATGACAATCTCTCTGAATGGGTCGCATCAAGTGCACTTTCGCTTGTTGTTTACCTGATCTCGTGTGCCTCTCCTGGGAATACAGTAACGGTTATGCCTGCCTTGACTTCCAAGACTTTGTCATCGATCTCCATCTCACCCCATCCCGATTGGAAGTGGAATGCTGAACATCACCACCAGTACAAAGAACCAAAACAGAATAAAAAAAAACCATAGTGAGATAATGTCCATATTCATGCCCAGACGCATCATGGGGCAGATGTTATTTGAACAGTATGTTTGTTTTCTTGCTCAACTTACTCTCTGTCATATCATTGTGATGGTGCTTGGTTGCCTGTTCTCCAGGTTTCAATGTTGCAACTGCAAGCTGAGTGACATGGGGGACATCGCCATTTTTGAGAAGAACCTTTTTCTCAACGGTCGAGTCATGTGAGACATAAGCAACAGGGAGTGAGTCGAGCGAAGTGATCTTCATGTCTGGATGGGTATAGACTACAGAAGGAAGAGTGTGGGGAGTGGAAGGGTATAGTGCAACTCTAGGAGGGGGAGGCAATGACAGAGACAGAGACAGAGACAAAGATAGAGACGAGGACAAAGAAGAGGGAAGAGGCGAACAAGAGCAAGACGCAATTCTCGGAGTTTCCGCAGTGCTCAACTGCAACGGACATTCGGCATTCAGGGTTCAAAAAAATGAAATTCGTTTCTTCGCCCACAAATGGTGTCAACTCCTCCCTGTTGCACGGCGCGCGTTGCCATTTTGCACAGCGATCAGTATACCAAACCTTGGGATTCTAGGATTCTAGAATTTGAGCGGTGTGAATGCCTTCCACAATTGAAAGCTTTTGACGCGACGACTAGTCTTCTGCAATTGCCGTGCCGTATATTATCAGTCGCGCGTAGACTATGTACCTTGTGGACACTCATCTCGGCACAGATCTAGGACATATTGGGAACCAACTGACCAATTGCTTTCTGGATAGTGGCGGAAGAAGAGCGTGGAACATGAGCAGCATGAACAACGGTTGGTCCCACTTGGTGTCAAGGCTGCTGACTTGACTCACGATCTGTCAATGGAATATATAAAATATAGATCAAAGGGCCCTCTAAAAGAATACGCCCCCCCTACCCCCGCACCATCGGGTACCGAATAAAGGAATCTGCTCAGCCCTCTTGAACATGACTCTTTTCTTTGTCGGGACCAATTGGGGGTCCAGACAGCACCCCCCTCTCTCTCTCCCCCACAAACTGCCTCTAGTTTGATTCGCAACACGCTATTCCAGCAGAATAGCGTTTCGCTGCGCCGCATCCAATACCACCATTTATTGCTCCAACTGTGCCCGTGGGAGGGATATGCCTTCCTCCTTATTCCACCTCATTCGTCTTTCTGTTGATTCACTTCATCACCTAAGAGAGCGGACTTCCTTTTGACATTTCACTCGCCACAACAAAGCTACACACTTCCAAACCAAGCAAGCAAGCAACCGCCACTACACCGCTGCCCATATACATTTTATACTTCAACCGTCGTCTGTACTCATTCGCAATGCTTAAGCACGACGAGCCCAAGGACAGCAGCAGATCTGCCGAACGTTCAATACCGGACGCGACTGCCGACTCAGCAGTGCCCTTAGTTGAGAAGCTGGGCGCCATGAACCTCATTGCATCCTCGACTTCCTCGGCCAGCACTGTCGCTGCCGGTACCTCTGGAACTGGGGTGTCATTGGATGATTTTGATATAAATGACATGGACGATCCACTCGCCGGATTTGAGGCCCAACGAAGTGGCATCAAGGATCTCTCTCTAAAGGTAGTAATCAGTGTCTTCATGTCCTTATTCCTAATCGCATTATCCCCCACTCCCTTTTGTTCTTTATCTTTTTCAGTCTGCTGCTGGTGTTCGTGACCGGCCTCACGACTGGCGAAATGGGCTGGCGTTTGAACCTTATTCTCTTGTCAATCATCTATCGAAGTTATTATGTGGGCTCTGCTGAGAATCGCATAACTAACAAGCACTCGTCAATCTGGCCATGTTACCTTCTGCAGGAGCAATTCCTGAATCCGACAGAGTCTAATATCGAGTCGCTGCAGACCCTGCTGGCAACAAGGATACGGGAGGGCTCTGGTGAGACCCTCTTCGAGATTGGTGTCGAAGGTAATTTAATCCGCGATCAGATCTATATCGACGAGAATCGCCTTGCCTTTGTTATGTGCCAGACATTTATCAACTCGCCGCGCTAATGCAAACCCTATCTGTACCTTGCATGAAAACAGAGGACGGAGCTCCGATGAACCTGACCGACGCAGAATATCAGACTGCACTCACTACGGTCCGGGCAGCGGCTTCTGCAGTTGGTGCCGAGGTCGCCATCATGTATGAGAAGAACACGGATCTGTCCTTGGGATCTGAGGCAGCGCCAATTGAGGGTAAGGGTAAAGGGTCTGCCGAGGTAATAGCGGAACCAACAGCTCCCGTAACAGCCGAAGGCGGTCAGTCAACGTTCAAGACTTCCTACGTTATGATTCGAAAGATACCAAAGTCTGTTGAAGAGCTACTGGAGCTCCGTGTTGCAGTTGTTGGAAACGTCGTATGTCTTCTTGTTTCGTGAGGCTCAATGCTATTACTATGATGTATTACGATAACGACTCATCCAACTCACGTTTTTCTCTTTCGACAATCGATATGTGTATCAAGGACGCTGGAAAGGTTTGTGGCTATCTGCGGCATGAATGAAGTGGTGCGCGCTCGAGAAAGACCAGAAACTGACGTTTGATGTTTGGCGAATCTACCAGTCTACGTTGTTAGGAGTCTTGACCAAAGGTGTGCTCGATGATGGACGCGGAAAGGCACGTGTCAACCTGTTCCGGTAAGTAAAGTAAAGGCGGACATAAATTAAGTGCTTCCTGTCCTTGTGCCTGATCTGCACTCTCATTGCTAACTCTTAACGTTTTGATCGGATTTTTAGCCATAAGCACGAGATTGACTCGGGACGCACATCGTCTGTCGGCATGGAGATTCTCGGCTTTGATGCTAAGTCTCAACCAGTTCCCACCATGTCTCATGGAAGAAACGCTCCTTGGGATGAGATCTGTGGAAAGGCTGCCAAAGTATGTGAAGATGTTAGCCTTGCAGTAAATTGCCCTGTACAGCGAGTCCATCTCTAACACCATGACGCTGCTTCTGCAGGTCCTGTCTTTCATTGATCTGGCTGGACATGAGCGATATCTCAAGGTTAGTAGGACTTGCGCTTGTGTACATTTACGGCTCTTAACATGCATGTGGCTCGTATATTCACCATGCTCTTTTATTCCTAGACCACCGTGTTCGGGATGACTGGTTGCGCGCCCGACTTTGTGATGCTTATGATTGGATCCAATGCTGGCATTGTCGGCATGACAAAGGAACATCTCGGTCTCTCGCTAGCCCTGGGAGTTCCGGTCCTCGTTGTCATCACCAAAATCGATATGTGCCCGCCAAACGTGCTGGAGAACACTGTGAAGCAATTGACCAAGATCTTGAAGTCTGCAGGCTGCCGAAAAATCCCCATGTTTGTCAAGGTATGGATTCAAGATCTGATTGAATATGTAAAGCTAGTACGACAATGATGGTTTCTTTAACGCTTTTCTATATCACAACTGTTCCTAGTCGCATGAGGATGTGGTAGTAACCGCTGGCAATTTTGTCAGCGAGCGTATTTGCCCTATCTTCCAGGTCTCCAACGTTACCGGAGAAGGCCTGGACTTGCTTAAGAACTTCTTGAACGTACTGCCGATCAGTCAAGAGTACAATAGAGATGAGCCAGGTATAGAATTTTTCGTTTTCTGGAGCAAATTGGCCTTTTTTATGCTCGCAACAAGATCATTTCTAACGCGTTGAATACCTCCGTTTCCAGTCGAGTACCAAATCACCGATACCTTCTCTGTTCCATTCGTTGGAACAGTTGTCAGTGGAGTTGTCATGAACGGTATCGTCCACGCCGGTGACCAGCTTTACCTTGGACCAGATGGAAACGGTGCCTTCCAAATGGTCACCGTCAAGAGTATCCAGCGCAAGAGACTCAACGTTCCATTGGCCTGTGCTGGCCAAAGTGCCTCGTTTGGACTTAAGAAGATCCGTCGGTCAACTATTCGCAAGGGAATGGTGATGCTCGACAAGGAGACCACGCCTCCACCGCGTGGATGCCGAGAGTTCGAGGCCGAGATCTTGGTCCTCTACCACTCGACTACTATCGGTCACAAGTACCAGGCTATGCTGCACTGTGGTGCCGTACGGCAAACTGCACGAGTGCTTGCTATGGATAAGCCGGATCAGATTCTGCGCACAGGAGATCGAGCGACTGTCCGGTTCCAGTTCCTGCAGCCCGCGTACCTCAAAGTCGGGGCACGACTCGTAAGTTTTGTCCTTATTGCTACATGTTAGCGTGTCATTGTCACGCAAGCGCTCTTGCTTTACAGAGACTGATATTTGTGTTCATGTTTTGCGCGTAGATCTTCCGAGAGGGACGAACCAAAGGTATCGGAAAGGTGTCCAAGATAGTCGCGTAATCAGCCCTTTTTACTCGTAGGACTACTAGTTGCTAGCTGTATCATACTCTTTCTGTGCCATAGTATTGTGTCATAATACATATTCGTCTGCATGCATACGCGTCTTCTCTTTGCCAATGATGAAAAATAATGTGCGACGCGCCATGGACGCGCTTGCTTAAGGGTTAATATACGCGCAACACACCCTTGCGTGTACGGGAGGGCGAGTCAATTTAGGGTCCTATTGTTGTGTCTGCATCGCTTCTCCACAACGACCACAGACAGACATACATCATGGTAACCGCCCTTGACCTATACTACAGGATTACAAAGACTGATCTGTTAATGAATGCCTAGTGACTAATTGACATTTGGTTTCTGCGTTTCGCAATACGGTCAAAGCAGGATTCAGCAGACGACCACCACAGATATCAGTCCAGCGACGAAGAGGACTTTCAGGACTCCCTGGACAAGTGCGTTACGCTGCCAAAGCCTATCCTTCTTTGGCGCACAACATCGCCGTCAACAGCAGGATCAATACCGCCAAAGACATGTTCAACTCTTATTATTGGCACAGCATTCGGTGGTAGCGCGCTCCTCCACACTATTGAAGCAAAGACATTGCTCGGAACCCTAGTTCTGCCTGGCATTGATCTGGTACGCTATTTCATTTTGTTGCCTCGATCGCAAGTATTTCAAGGGCCATTAGGCCGAGTACTGACGCGAAACAACTCGATCTTGTTCCTGGAAACCATAGAAAGATAACGCAGTGGACGTGAACTCACGATCGAACGCCAACTGCAACATCTATGCGCTGGACGCAGATCCGACCGTTATCATCATTCCTTGCAACTATGAAATCAAGGACCAGGACAGTTTGAACTTTGCAAAGACTATCATGAACAGCATTCAGGCGAGCAGGTACATACCTCTTCTCTTCCCATTTAAATGGACAATGTTTCTTTTCATGCACGATGAGATCGCGAAGTCTCCCCCTGTGCTGACAGCCCTAACGGAGATACTTTTACTTCTTTTTTTTTCCGGCTGTTCATGTAGGGTCATTATTCTGGATACACTTTCGCCATCAACATATTTCTCGGGGTCTCCGGACATCGAGTTCGTCTACCCTTGGCTACGACTTTTGCAAACTGCCGGTTCAACAACTGTAAGAAGCAATGGACTGAACACCGTTGAACTTTTGCGATGACAAACCAACACGACTAATGGCGCCCCTGTGGATTTCCCTTTAGGTGACCAAAATCCCAACACTGGAAGTACCCAACCTGGTCCAAAATCTTGGAGCAGCTCTAATTGCCTATGTAAGCTGCGAAACCTGCCTTTGTGAATTGATATTGCCATTCAGCCTGATATGCTTTGAGCGTTCAAGTAACACATATTCTTTTTATTTTATTTATTTTTGTATGGCTTTTTGCCAAAAAATATTTGTATAGTGTGAGGTGCGCGGGTTGAGCGAGTCGTATCTGCTTCTTAGTCTACAGGAACACGTCTACGGCAAGTCTTTGACGACTGCAGCAACATTACGCGGACTCAAGGAAGGATTGGCGAGCTTGGGCTGTTCCGAGATCGCCAATGCGGTTGATGTGTCCAACGCAGGTTTGTTCATTCGGGATAAACGCGTTGGATCGAACAGAACACGAGATGATCGTATCTATGCATAAATAGTATCGTGGGGATAAATGAAGCGAATATGCAAAAAGATGGAATAAAAGCACTCGGTGGAGTCAAGAATATAAAAAAAAAAGAATGGCCCTGTTACAAATTCAAAAGGGATATCGTGTTCTCAATATTAGAAAGGATACTTCCCAAGCCAGGAACGGTGGCCGAGAGGAGCTACTTTATTGGAAATGGAGGAGCTTTTGGTGCCTACATCCTTAACTAAATATTTTAACAGCCTCATCGAAGCTCACAAGCAACGCGTAGACAAGTAGCCAGCTAAACAGCGAAACAGACATAGACAGGCCTACACAGGAATAGAGAATGGGTAACAACGCAGACAAGCCTGCACCTTTTGGGCGGTTTACTCACCCACTCAACTTGGGTTGCTGTACTGCCTCCGTCTGCATGTATCTATCTGCTCCTTATGTAAGGAATTGTTGCGGCAGGGAGTTGCGATCCATTCCTGCCTCTTGACGCATCTGATCGAGAACCAAGAGAGGACCATTGCTGCCGCGGTTCAACAGGGCAATGCAGCTTTCCAGAGAACTTCTGTCCCTATCACCCTTCAGGCCAGGGAACAGTGGTTGGGAGACAACAGCCGTTGGCTAGAACTGTACCGCGCAGTCCACTCACTCTCATCCATCCATCGATATGCTCGTTCCCAGCCGGACACCCCACCGTTGCTGAAGATGCGTCTTTTGCACCCACGCAAGGTTCGTCCGCAGAAATTAGCAACTAGCGACTGTCGAGCACCGTGGTAAACTGTCCAATAAGCGCGTTCATGGTGTCTATGTGGCAGTGGTATGAAATATGTTTGTAAGCCAGTGACCTCAAACGCGTCTGTCCGATATAAAAGTATATATTACTCTACTGTGGCCGTGCATGCCTAGTTTATCGCCATCTACTGTGTGATATGAAAAAAATGAAAAAAGAGCTCTCCAACTGCCCAGATGCATAGAGTGCAATCTTACCGTGGGTCGTGTTTTCTTGTGTAGGTGAGATCGTCCAATCGCATTCTGCGATTCCTTGATAAGAACGATTGTACATGCATTCAGTGGAAAAGAAGAAGACAAAGAAATGTCCGGCTTGCTGCTCGCGGAATATTGTGGTCTATTCGTGGGATGACACAGAGACTGGTCTTTGCGCATTCATTTTAGCGCGATCTATGATTTGTTATCTCTCTGCCTCATTTTCTTTCCTCCGCCCCAACTGTGTCTGATTTCGTGGATGGTAGATGGTCTATCAGTTCTTTATGGACACAATTCCGCTGTGAGCGTCTGTGTACGTTTGTGTGGATTGGGGAAGATCGTTTTTGCTCTTGAGGGTCGTCAGATTTCAAGACGTCAAATCTTTTTGTATCCTTTTATCTTATCTTTCTCTTTCTCTCTTTTTTCTTTCTTTCCCTTCTTTCTGTCTTTCTACTCTTCACTTTCGCCTTTCGACTCCTAGTTCTTCGCCTCCTCACTCACCGATACCTCACACAACACCTGGATACAACATGAGATTGGTCATTCGCAAGGACTATGATGAGGTCTCCTACCACGTCGGTAAGCAGGTCCCCTCGCTGGACACGCGTCCTCCAGCTGCTTCATCTACTCAGGCTATGCCGTTATGATGACTCCCATCACTAATGCGCCCACACACAACTCTCCAATTGTCACCTCGATAGCCAAGTATGTAAAGGAGCGTGTCAATGAGTTTGCACCCTCTGCCAACAGACCATTCGTCCTCGGCCTCCCCACAGGTTCATCTCCAGTAGGCGTGTATCGCAACCTAGTCAAGTTTTACCAGGACGGCGAGCTTTCCTTTCGTCACATCGTCACCTTCAACATGGATGAATACGTTGGATTGCCAAGGTAAAGCGGGAGCAGAATGATATTGGCGTTCAGGAACTGCGATCTCAAAGGGACGTCGCTGGTGTGCAGCGACGAAATAGCGATTCAGAATGTAGCGTGAGAAGAGATGGTGAGAAAAAAAAAAAAAGAGGAGCAAAATCGATTCATTAGGCTGACAAGTTGTAAGGAGCTGTTGTATTTTTTACATATTTATTTCTGCTCTTGACTAACCAAACACAAACTCATAACGACAGGGATCATCCTCAGTCCTATCATACCTTCATGTGGAACCACCTCTTCAAGTACGTCGACATCCTTCCCGAGAACGTGAATATCCTTGACGGCAACGCCCTAGATCTGGATCTCGAATGCCAACGATACGAAGAAAAGATCTTTGCTTTCGGAGGCATCGAACTCTTCTTGGGCGGTATCGGACCCGACGGCCATATTGCCTTCAATGAACCCGGCTCGTCTCTCAACTCACGAACCCGTGTCAAGACCCTGGCTTATGATACTATCGTCGCCAACGCCCGGTTCTTTGATAACGATATTACAAAGGTTCCCAATTTGGCCTTAACTGTTGGCGTTGGGTATGTATTACCTTGAGTCTGCGTTCGATGAGATGAGCAGGTGTTAACTGGACTAGGTTCTTGTGAGTGGCAATAACACAGAACGAATAGACTACAGGACATGGCAACGTGACGACATTAGCAGCTGTACCAAAGAATGAGATAAGAGATAACAGGAAGTAATTATGGACCGGAGCAAGGACGAGTTTTTCATAAAGAGACGGTCGAGAAGATGGGGGGAGGGGGGAAAGGAGAAGGAAGCACTTTCATTCAGGCATTGCATGGTGGCACAACTTTCATCCTGTTGTTCTTGTGCTAACCTCTAACTTTATATCCTCCTCGTGCCTTTTCTTTTCAGAACGGTCGTAGATGCCCGCGAGGTTTGCATTATCATCACAGGCGCACACAAGGCACTGGCACTTGCCAAGTGTATTGAAGAAGGAATGAATCACATGTGGACGGTCTCAGCCATCCAAATACATCCACGCGGCATGATCGTGTGCGACGAGGATGCGACACTGGAATTGCACGTCAAGACCGTTAATTACTTCAAGTCGATCGAAAAGGTGCACGAGGAACTGATCGGTTCAGGCAACGTAGGTTTACAGGGTGGGGTTAGATCCTGGCCCGGAGCTCTTCGGTCGGCCTATCATGCATGAGAAAACGCGTGCAAAGAGCTGAAAATCAAGGAACAAAGAGGAAAAAGACCTGAGGGTATCGACAGAACAAAGAACAATTGAGATGTGAAGTCTGACCTTTCCAACACGCGATCTTTTTAAAACGCTTGGTCATTTTACCTCCGCAGGAGCTGTCATTGTACATAGTCTAGTCTTTCAGCACCACTTATTCGTCAAAGCCAACGATAAATGAACAGTTTATAACGCGGTTTCCTTCTTTCCTTTTTATTTTCTTCTCTCCACCGTTTTCTTTCTATAGATCGCAAACTACGAATAGACTAGAGACTAGAGTTATCAGCGAACGTACTCAGAAATATACCAGGATGTCTGTGAATGTGAATGTGAAAGTTGAAGTGTATCACGTGTGGTCCAGTATAAATGGTGTATTTGGCCACTCCCTGGTTTGTTCCTCCTCTTAACTTGTCCAAGGTGTGTTTGCAGGAGAATTATCTGGAGCAGGAATTCCATCCATCCATTCATCCATCCCCTTTTTTGTCGTACATCCATCCATCGACCTGTTCGAACTCAATGACGATCTTGATCGGCATTGGATTACGGTCTCAGCAATGGCAATGGATTGAACCGTTAATCGGATCGAGACGCTAGATTCTGCAGGTGTTTGCATCCTCTTTCAGGGATCAGATCCTTCAGATCTGACAGACACAGTGGGATCTCACCTTCTCTATGCTATAGAGGTTCTCTGATAGGGATCTCTTCCTGGAGAGACACTTCAATTGCTCGAGGGATGTATCCTGCCTGTTTGGGCGCGTAGGCTTCGACCGACAGCACTATCACTTCACGCAGCCAATCGTCAGCAATTCTATGCCACCGTTGCTTCTCTTTCCTATTCTTCAGCCCAACTTTGCAAGAACAGGCCAGAGCTGCTCTCATTCCCCATCTACCCGCCTCTTTGTATTTCTTTATCTTTTTGCTTAAGCAACACGCTTATGGCAGGGGAAAGGAATTAGAGAGAGAGGGCAGTTGGGGTCTGATACATCGCAGCGCTGTGCTTTGGGCCCCACCTTTGATTTTCTTTATGAATCCCCTTTTTATGAAAAAAAGGGCGACACTCATACGAGAAACTCTGGTATTCATGCTTTCTTTTTTCCCTTCATTTCCTTTCTCTTTTTATTTTGGTTGTATGGGGTATCGTTTGTCAACACAGAAGCATTATCGAAAATGGTCCGCATCTCCGTCTTGAACGACTGCCTCAACAACATCAACAACGCCGAGAAGCGCGGCAAGCGCCAGGTCTTGATCCGCCCTTCGTCCAAGGTCATCGTCAAGTTCCTGTCTTTGATGCAGAAGCATGGTACGTCTACAATTTTCTTCAAAAAGCAACACCGCAAGCGTCTTAATCGCTGTGGATCTTTTGTTTCTGCTCCTCTTGTGCCCCCTCTTTTTTTTTATTTTTTTAATTGCCCACCGGAGAATAACTGGATGAATGTTGCGCAACCTATGCACACCATTTCAGCACTCATCTTTTAATGCTTCGGGAGAACAAAAAACACTTCTTACAAGCTGCTGGCACTTTTATCGTGGCCTTTAGCCTTTAAAGAGTGGATACATTCCTTCCCTATTCCTTTCCTTTTGTTTTTTTTGTTTTTTTAAAAAAAAAAATCCTTCTAGCTTCTAGTTTGACTAAGCTAAGGACGCGACAAAGCAAACGATACTCATATTTTTTTAATATATGCCACCTGTATCTAGGTTACATCGGCGAGTTCGAGGAGATCGATGATCACCGCTCTGGCAAGATCGTCGTCCAGTTGATTGGACGCATCAACAAGACCGGTGTCATCTCCCCTCGTTTCAACATCAAGTTGAACGAGCTCGAGAAGTGGATCGCCCGTCTCTTGCCCTCGCGCCAGTTCGGTTATATCATCCTCACCACCTCTGCCGGTATCATGGACCACGAGGAGGCCCGTCGTCGCCACACCGGAGGAAAGGTCTTGGGTTACTTCTACTAAATTTGCTTCCCTTGCCGACAGTTTCTGTGCAGGCGTCCCCTTATTCCTTTTTTTACGTAATAAAAAATCGACAAGGGTCGCTCACCAAAAACATATCATGTTCAATTCTTTGTCAAAGTGTATGCAACATGTATTGTCTATGGGGTACTTTTTTTTTTTTTTTTTTTTAGTTATTATTATTATATATATATATTTTTTTTGCTGTGCAATTTTGCAGTAATGGACATTTCTTTTTGGTATTGGGCGAAGGTGAATAAAAAAAAAAAAAAAAGGAGGCGAAGATATAAAAAAAGTAACTGATGGTTGGTTTTTGCCAGTTTTCATCCTGGGGCAAGTGTTATTATGGTGTATCCCGCACTCGATGCTTTGTTGGCAGTAGTTCTCTGCGTCGTGATCCATAAAATCTTTGATCTGTCAAAGTCCTTAAACCAAAGACTACGGGCTCCCTGATCTACTTTTTCTCTATGCTGCAGTTGAGTGCTGCTAGTTACTCCTGATACAGATCCGTTTTTAGTCAGTGGTACCCTCAGGCTTCTGGTTGATGTCGAACAGACGAACCTGGTGCATGGCAGGGAGTTTTGCGATCAGGTTGATTACTGTAGCTGTCAGGTTGACAAAGAAGGCGAATGGCGCGTAGTGCGTGTAGTGCGTGCTGAGCAAAAACCTATCAAGATGAAAATAAACGATACAGGAAGCGAGAGAAAAATTGTGAGTGGTGGATACAGAAGACATGCTGTTCGTCCCAATTGATAGATGAATTGCCAAGCACATGATGTTCGTGACAAAGCCGTTATGCAGAAGCCAAAGAATGCCCTGACACTCGAGGGCTATCCAATCTTGCATGATAGCCGACGAGACGAGAGATCAAGCCACCGAGTCGTTGGAAAGGGAAGTGAAGTGGGGCGGGTGCGGATTCCGAACGACAAGACTTACAAGACGATAGGCACGGTGGTGAGGTACTTTCTCGTGGCAGTGAACTGGACACCTCCATCAATCTGCTCCCAGAGAGTGATTCCGTCGTAGGCGCCTTGAGTGAACTCGAACGGGACACCCGTTACTGCGTGGAACATAATGTAGCTTCCCTATCATCAGAGCAAGATCCAACATGTAGAGGTTAGGTAACTACAGGTACAAGACGAATTGGAAATCAAACAAAAAAAAAAAGGGCCAGGCGGATGTAAAAGAGCTGCTTTGAAGTCCCCACGCCGGTATCTAGGATCCCATAATTTACTCCCGGTTAAATCCAAATCCCGCAAGCTGGGAATCTTTTTCCCTCTTCGTCTTCTGCGTGATCCAATTACTCAAGGGCGCAAGTCCTTGGGTTCTTTGTCGCTTTTGTCTATCCTTGGATTGCTGGGCCAATGGTCCAATTGGCCAACTGACAGATTTGTATGATGATAATATCTCATTGGATTGCTCCGTTTGTGTCCCCATCAAAACCATCACAATGAAAAGTGCGCAGAAGGAAAGGACGTCCTTGAAAAAGAAAAAGAAAAAGAAAAAGGTTCAAAGAGACCACATGATCCAGTTTGGCGACGAGAGCAACCGATAAAACGGCACTTACAATGTTGTAGGTGAGCGTGGTCAGTGTCCAGCTCAATTCCGGAGAGATGCCGGGGATGATATTGAAGATGAACTTGAGGAACGCAATCAAGATGATGTTGGTCATCCATGCACCTAATTCGAATAAAGAGATGAAAACAGAATCAGGGATTGGCTCAACGAGAGACAACGAGGCAGTCGGGTGCTGATCAGGGCGCTGCCCCCTCCACGGAGACATAGCAAGGACACTGCTTGGTGTGTATTATGTGTGTGTCCCAACTGATGGCTCCTTGCCGTTTGCTGATGCGCGGTATGCCGCCTAGCGAAGAGACGACTGTGGGCGAGTCGAGCTGAACAGGAAACAGGGACGTGGAACCGGAGGAGAGAAACAGGACACATTGTGGAGGGACATTGAACAGCGGCAAAGTACAGTGGCCTACCTTTGTCGTTGACCCAGGATGAGTTGAGGTTGGTCTGGGAGTGTTGGTCGAGTGACTGGACATAGTCCGTCTTGTATACAGATGCAAGCTTGGTCATGATGGCGGATCAGATCTCGAGGGAGGGAGTCAACAGGCCCGGGTGGTGTTGTGAACAGAGAACGGCTCGAGTGGATGTGGGATCGAATACAGGAAGGATCCAAAAGCGATGAAAGCGATGAAAGCGATGGCGATGATGTTTCGACGAAGGAAGGAAGGAAGGACGGAAAGTGATGTGATCGCTCAAAAGAGATAATTTGACAAAATCAATCAGCTCCACCCAAAATGTACTTCGTCGCACCGTACCCGTGTGTTACAGACGCTACGGTGTGGTGCGGTGCTTCCCTCCTTCCCCAGACCGAGCGAGCTCCGATGTGACAGAAGCAATTCACACACATCCATGCACCCGATGCATTCGAACCACTATGGTGGGCCCCTGGGTCTTTCGTTGTTTCTCTTCCAGCTCCATTCACTAGTAGACTGAGTAAGAGAGGGCGTGCTGGTCTTCGCCATGGATAGCCCACCCGAGGGACCATTGCAATTGTGGAGATATATTATTTAAGGTATGCGCACCCGGTTTTAGGGAATGGCTGACAAAAAAAAACGCGCTTATCCTTCCTGGGCACGGGGGAAGGAAATACTTTCTCGGAGCAGAACAACCTATTTCTGCTCGCCTTCACACAACTCCCAACTTCCCTCCCTCGGTCTCTCTTTACTCTTTTCATCCTCCCTATTCCGCCTCGACACCCCGCTGGTATCCATCCTGACAAGAATTGATCTTTCAATCAACATAATATTGTCAACAACCCCACAGCAACTCGCATTATATTCACTTCGGCTCCCAGCAAATCCCTCACACAACAGCGCAGCAGCACAGCCATGGCCACAGAATCGGAAAAGTACCAGCAGCAGGACACACTGCCATTCTCCTCAGCCGAGCTCGGTGCATTCCATCGGTTCCATGCACACACATGGAACGACGACGAGCAGTTCCAGGCTGGGCTTAAGATGATCACCCAGACACAGGGTGTCGCGCCCTCATTCTTGGAGCTGCTCAAGATGAAGCAGTATTACTTCTCGACTAGGTATGTGTGCAGATTTCGAAATCACTCTCGAAGACGCTTTTTTTTTTTTCCGAATGTGACAATTCCGACATGACAACTGAACTCTCGTTGGATTATCCCTTTTTTTGTTTCTTTTTTAAAAAGAATGGGTACCAAGATCAATTTGGACAATTATCTCGCCTGGAGGAAGCACTTGGAGCAGCCTTTGGACGATCCAAATGTCCCGATTTTCAAGCGATTCGATGAATACGATTTTGACAAGGATCCAAAGTTCCAGCAGGGCTTACCCAGCATCGTTGGGCAGCTCATCAAGGACGGCAAAAGTACACTTGACAAGGCAGCTCTGCAGAGAGAAATGACTAAGGCTAAGGCATTCTATTACGCAAGGTATGCGTTTATAGCAGTTGCAACTTGATTCTGTCATACCTGTCCCCCTGGCGGAGATATAATACTCATTAAGGACCACGGCATTCATCATTTGTACCCTGTAGGTTCATTGAGTTGTTTGATTTCCCCGCGTATCTGACATGGAAAGAAATGGAAAAGTCGCAGGTCGGACCCGCCTGTCCATATGCACATCTGTGGCAGGACAAGGGCAAGGACTCAAGCAGCGAGTTGGCAGAGGACGCCCAAAAGTTCTTAACAACTACATCGCCAGTCTCCACGGGCGCGCTCAAACTCCATGTGCATTCACCAACAACGAAAAACGTCTTCACAGGCGTTCGTCTTTCCAAGCTGAGCCAGGCCTTCTCTGCTGCAGATGATGACAATTCGATCACATCCATCATTTGGACCGCCAACTCTGGAACCTCGAGCCAGGATCAGCGTGATCCAGAATCTATGATTGTCACTAAGGATGAAAAGTGGTTCAGTGGAGGCGTCGTTGCAACAGGGGCTGCAAAGGCAGGATCAACACAGGATCCCGAGCAAGGAAAGATGTTACTCCGTCAGTACTTCAGTCTCGTGGATCAGTTGGCCAATATCCCTATTGCAGACCAAAAACCGGTCGTGGTCGTCGTGGACGGCATGGTGTCATTGTCAGCAGCCTATCTCGCTTTTGCGTCCGGTTTTCAACGCGTCATTACCGAGAACACGACCCTTTCGTTCACGCCCATCAAATCACTGGAAGCTGTTCCCGACCAAGTCGAGAATCCCTTTGCTGGATTATATCTACTGGGATGTATCCAATCCAATGCCATGAAGGACGCCAGCGCTCAGTCGCTACCCCGCGGAGTCGGCCATTATCTCGCCTTCTGTCCGGACAACATTTTGCGCGGGCCTGATCTGCGCAAACTAGACTTGGCTGACTTTTTCGTGCCGTCGTCAAAGAAGCAGGACATGGAAGAGGCCGTTCTCTCCGTTGCAGGCTGCCCGCCTCCTCATACCACACAGGCTGTGCGCATGGCTCTCAATGCCGAAGTTGTGTATCCTGGTCCGGCCAAGATCGACGTTTGGCGATCAGAGATCAAGGAGTGCTTTGGGGTAAGAACGACCGACGTGGACCAAATTATGAAACAACGATCTCCTTTGAACAAGGTCGCAAAACTAACGTCATTGATTATGAACTGTCGCCCCTTTACAAGGATGCGAACTCGTTGAGTGACATTGTGACCAACCTGGAAAAGTATGACAAACCATGGTCGCAAGCGATTCGCACCTACATTGCTTCGCTGGAGCCCGTTTTCGCAAAGGTAAGTTCGTGCTTATGAAGCAATTTCTTTCACTTTTATCATTTATTGACTTTAACTTTTTTTTATCTATCTACAACTGTACCTATAGCTTATGTTCGAAGCCATCAACAAAGCGGCTGAATTGGCCTCGTTCCAGGAATGTGCTCGCCTCGAGTACCGACTCGCTCAGCGCTACAAGGCTTATCTTGCGTCCTTGTCAGAGGACTACGATGACGACGAAACAGAAGACAATATAAAGACATTCTTTGAACAGATCGAAGGCGAGGAGGCCGAGCTGTTCACCTTCCCTTTTGCGGACTGGATCAAGGGGCACGAGTGCGACGATGAATTCGATAGTCCATCGACTACCAATGAATCTCAGGAACAAGACCCCAGCAAGGCATGCCCGTATCTCGCCTCCAAGAACGGAGGAGAAAGTGCTCTCCCTACTGATCACCCCAGCATCCCTGGCGTCGATTTCTCGGACCCTGAAGCCGTGAAGGCGTGTCCATTCTTGTCTTCCAAGAAGGAAGAAGAGGCTACTGCTGCTCAGTCGGGGCCTGTCCCAACAGATCATCCTAATATTCCTGGTGTGAACTTTTCGGATTCAGAGGCAGCCAAGGCATGCCCGTTTTTGTCCGCAAAGCAAAAAACAGAACAGGATGAAGCGACGCCTAGCGCGCTTCCTTCTGATCATCCTGCGATTCCTGGTGTCGATTTTTTGAACCCAGACGCGGCCAAGTCGTGTCCATTTTTGTCCGCCAAGAACTCGCAGTAGATATTGCAATAAAGGATGTCTGATTTATTTGTATCTGTGACCGACTGCAGGAGCAGATAAATGATACTGGTTGATGTGCATAATGTGCCCAATATCAGGGCCATCGAACTATCCAGGTATAAGCACGATAACGGACGATACACGTTAACCGGTCGGTCTATCAGCAGGAGCTCCAGCCTTGGTTAGGATCGTGTCCGCGACCATCCCATCCGCCCCAGGCACTGCAGAAGTCCGTTGCTACAGGCACAGGGTACGGATACTCGGCGGCCACTGGCACCGGATACGAATACGGAACCGAGTACGGGATCGGGATCGTTGGTGCAATGTTCACCTGGGGCGCGACGTTTGTGTTGGTGATCACATTCGATTCCGTGGTCGCAATGGTGTGTGGAGCGATGACGGTGACGGGCATTCCGGGGCCAGCTGGTGGACCGGTGAAAGGTGTTAGCGGTGAGGTTGAAACGAAGGTACAGAGGAGCGTATAGAGAGCGCAGATATGAGCAGCAATTTTGGTTGTGGTAAGCATTTTCTTTCCCCTTTTCGTGCGCTTTTGGCAAGAAGAGATTAGTGTCGGATGGCGTTAGCGGCAGGAAGGAGGGTAAAGGAGCTGCGACGCAACGTATTTATAATGGCTAGAAGTTGATACCGGTGATCAATGATATCCATGGCTATTTAGACGATCCATAGCCCCAGAAAACAGCTCAGATCGGCTCATTCGATCGAAGATCATACCTCTCTATCGCACTTTATCAGCGATATTAGCAGACAAGACCGCTGCAATGCCGCTAAAACGATACAATTAACGATCGGACTCTTTATTCAGTCATCATCCGAGTCTGCCTTTGCCTGAATCTTCTTTTTCTTCTTGGCCATCTTACTCGCCCTCTCATCCATGTACATGGAAAAGAAATCCCCTGGCCGCTTCTTTCCGCTCGTCGATACTGCCTTGGACGTCGTTGACCCTAATGATGATGATGACTCGCCGACCTGATGCTGTTCTGAAGGCGCCGCTTTCAAGACTGCAGGATGAACTGCCGCCTTGTACTTTATCTCCTGATCCTTCTTCTTCATTTTTTGTAAGGCCTGCGGGCCTGCTACCGACTCGGTCTTCACTGCAGATTTCGCTGCCAACCCAAATCCAGATCCAGATCCTAAAGACGCGGCAATAGCTTTCGTATGCGCATGACTTACGCCAATGCCACCACCGCTACTGCTGTTAATGCTGCCAATATTCCGCGTCCGACTATCTTCTTCATCCTCAGCTTGCTCCAGCAGCTCTTTCCGCCTAGCGGCCATCATCATCTTGTGCTCCTGGTATTTGTCCGGCAGAGCGTTCGTCTCTGCTGCCTCTGCACGCTGGATCTCTGATTGTACGATTCCTCCAGTCAATTGTCGCTTGAGTTTGGACTCAAAGGCATTCATGGGTACATGGCGCATCTGATCCTTATGAGAGATGAACTTGGCGCCTAGTCCCAATCTATGGCAGTAAAATAAAATAAAATAGTGCTGTGTGGTGTGAGTCGAAGGTGTGCCTTCATGTAGCTATCCGCAATCGATATGATGCCACTTCAAAAGTGCATCTTACCCTGGCTGTCGTGGCTGTATGACTGTGGCGGCTGCGAATCCGGAGCTGTTTTTGGCGTTGTCACCTTCGTCGTCTGAGAAGGCGTCTGCGTTCAGCCAAGAGGCGACGGTGTTCCGAGCAAGGGAGACGGAGACATCGAGTTGTGTTTGTAATGTGCCGAGAACCTCGAATTGTTCTTTGCGTTGCTTCTTGGTGAGATGTCCGCCAACAGGTCCTGCCGTTGATCCTGGTGCAGACGCTTCTGTCTTCGTGTTGTCTCCTGCTGCTGGTGCCATAGTTGTGTGTGTGTGCAATGTGTTTGAAAGTGAGTGAGATGCTGCATTTTTTTTTTTTTTTTATGCGAAGCCACTCTTCTTGGACTAGCTCGAAAAACGGCTTTGCCACCAATTTTGTGAAGTGGTCAGCGAGTTGCAAAAGGCCTTTTTTTTTTTTTTTTATTAACGAGAACCCTCATAGACATGGGACTTATTAGAGCGAGTTGCAAAAGGCCGGGCCAACGAGGTCGAGATTCGCAATCATCACATTCATCAGAAATAACTACACCATTCGATTCATAGAAGTCGAGTTTATTAAGTAAAACGACTTTATTTTTGCATGATGGCGTTGGTTTATTATGGTGCTCGGGACATAGTAGAATCAATGTCCACGGCTAAATCCATGGATCGAGCGCAGAGTGTATTTTTTGCCACCAATTTTTTTTTCTTTTTTTGGTGGCCTGCCAATGCGAAGTAGGCGTTCTGTAGCTTGTCGAAATTGCTCGGCCAGGCCACCAAATAACATAATCAAGGATAAAGGCGACCCTCAAAATAACACGTTCAAGCGCCAGCAGTAATTAGTAACAACTGCAACAAGACTCCAACGCCAATCTTTCAAGCATACAAGTCCTCGGCAGTTCTGGCAATGTCGGTAAGTTGGTCCCATAGCAGTTATTGGCCAGAGGAAGCGAGGTGAGGTCGATCATCCCCACCCCTCGAAAACTGCCCAACACCCTTTCCGGCGACAGCAAGTTGTGCGTCATGAATGCCAGTCTTCTTGATATCAACGGCGTCGACCGTGCAGGTCATGTCCAGGACTGTGATGTGGCCTTTTCTACGTTAGAGCAAAGTCTAGGTGAAGACGCAGCCGAAAAGGACTTTATATAACCCGCACCAAGCGGGCGCTCTAGGAGATGCATATAACGTGGCCTTGATGAACAGTACACGTCAACTTGTCCATTTCATTCTTAACCTTCCGATTGTATTTCAGATGGGCACTATTAGTGCCGTATGCTGTAAAGCGCCTACAAGTACTCTACTAGTTACAGCACTATCATGCACTCGTCCTTATCCCTCAATTTTAGAGCAAGAGATGACATCCTGTTTTTCTCGAGCCATGTGTTCCTTCGGTGTCCCTCATGTCTATATTGATAGTATTGGATAGTACGACGCTTAAGCACTGACAGAGCCGTTGAGTGATCCAGTATTGCTTGGAACTATACCATATCAATGCTCTTGCATATGGCGACGGCGAAGGGTATTGAAGACATCGTTTAAGCACAATAGCGACACTGGATGATGCTCCAAGAGAGAAAAAAAAAATGTGCGCGTAATTATCTATTTATCAAATAAAGGTCAGGCTTGGCATCAAATGATGAAGAGGCGGTATTATCTAAAGTGAAGTAGTAAACGGTGTGTGATGGTGGTTGGTGAAATAGCACGTTCAAAGAGCCGTAACGCGAAGAAGGGAGCAAAAGATAGATACAGTGTCATTTCACTCAGAAATTGCTCGTTCGATATCATGGTACGTATCTCAGCAGCTTCATCCGAGCATACATTGCAGCGCGCCTCCGTGCTCTACATAGAAACGCGTGAACTAGGGAATAAAATCCTAGGGCTGAGACATTTAAAGTTGCGAGACCCGCACAAAGGAACGCTGCAAACTTTCTGAATCCCTCGGCCTATATCACAAAGGGCTCTCCAACGCACCATCCGATTCTCACTTGCTTAGGATAACGTACGTCATCTCGGAAGCAACTGACCGAGAGGGAACTTTGAATCGAGCTTAAGAAGCGAGACAAAGGTGGTCCTGTTTATCAAAAATGAGTAGCTAGTGATGGTTATGGTCATCGATCTCTGCTGCTCTGTGGACTTGCTGATGGATAACTCGTCCTCAAACAGGTTATAGCCAGTAGATTTAGCTCTTTAATACCTTCCGGCCGAGTAGTTGAGCAGAGTTTTTTTTTTTTTGAGGTCAAGATTCTATCGTGTCTGGATCGACTCTTGTAGTTGCTGGAAACGAGTGCACTAACATCGATTTGCTCAGAGAACAGCGACTAAAGTTATCGAAGTCATGCGAGGAGTAGAGCTATTGCTAAAGTAGAGCAAGAACAGCTATTATCCTTATACTATGTTGAACTGCGAGTGTGTCGCTGCTTGCAGTCCTGCACACGTAATTCAGTGTTATGCCCAAGGATGTTGCTGGTTAGGACTCATGTAGCCGAATGATACATACAAGTCAGAAGATTCTTCCAGGGCGCCTTTGGCGTTCACTGTCGCTGACCTCGTATCCGGGGACAGAAAGACAAGCACTCTTGCTCTAACATCTGCTTCATGTTTTTAGCAAGTTGCTTCGAGGCACACTTGGATTTGGACGTAAAAATAACGATTGGACACTGATGATCGATGTTGCGCGGGTGTCGCTAATACTTTGCTCCGCGGTTTAAACTGCAGTTATCAAGATCGCAGCCTAAAAAAACTGGGCTCGGTTGCGCTGCGAGATGTCAAGTTGTCATCATATTCAAGGCCGTCTCGTATCAAAGCAGCGACCAAATGCTCCACAAATGTCGCAGGACCGAACTAAATGTCTATTAGAAACTGCATTGGTCTCGGCCAGGTAGTTGACTAATCGCGTAGGTAAGTTATCCAAAATAGTATACAGTTTCGGTGTCAGGGGCCGGTTTTCCATAATGTTTGGGTCTGGAAGCCGCCTGAGCTGTCATTGCCAAACCCATGTAGAGAATGGTTGGACCAAAAATCTGCTAACGCCCCTTGTCCCTGGCAACGATTTCAATGCAGGCATATCCTTGCGCACAAGAGCTACAGCGAAATGGGCCTGAAGGCTGTTTGCTATTGATCTTCAATTGTTGCGAGCCCCTTCAACAAAGCTCGCTTATAATTAAATGAGCAGCATGTGCTTGACGCCTTGCTGACTTGCAGAACTTAATGGCGACCTTGAATGTGTTGTCCCTGTGCCTTGTTGCTCCTGAGAAGAAAGAAGAGAGTTCGACTAAGAGAAGTATCCCGCCAGAGGCAACTGGAGACTGTTTGTGCATCGTAGCGTTCCTCCTTCTGCTTGACGAGGGAGCTCTGTTGAATCAGTTACTTGGATGTAGTCTGTTCAGGAAAAGTAGTCTATGTGTGGTACATGTCTACAATTGTCTTTGGCCTGTTTGTCATAGGGACGTCAAGGATGAACACTTGTTTATCGATGTGTTGGCCCAAAGCAATCATTCCTACACCATACCGAACAGCATCCATCGAAAAAAATAAAAAAGCGTTCTTGCCTTGGAGTGGGATCCACACACGCAGCTTACAAAAGCAGTCGATCGACATGCATATGCCATTCTCAATATAGACAAGACAGCGGTACAAATTCACCAAGGGGCAGTTCTTGAACAGACGCTTCCTAGGATTCTTTTTTTGAGAATACATGGAGACGGATTATTTCTCGGTAACTTTCTCATTCCTAAACCTTAAATGAAATAGGGACCATTCCTTCCTTTGAAGCATTTTTGCCATTAGGAGCACAAATCGTCGCGTGCCCTCCAGAAGAAGCACTCTTTGCGGGTTTTTGTACCGAGGAGCGACCACGTCTATTTTGTCGATATGCTTGTACTCAAATTATGGTCTACTTTATGCCATCCGTCTCGCTGTTGCAGTGATGGGTTCCATGGTGCGGTAGTCTCCATTGCCCTCCAATTATTTTCAGGCACAGCAAAACCAGTCGGTTTCAAGTTCGGGTACAGTGGAGAATCTTTTTAAAACGGCATGATAAAATAAAGTTACATTCTATCACCTTGGAAGGTGCGGAACGAGAGCCTGAGTACTGAATCTATCGACCTGTCCGACGCGATCTCAGGCTTTTCTCGATAGTCCGCCATCGGTATCCATGCGCTGTTCTATTTTTTGCCTTATTGCTATGGCCTGCAGCTCCAGTCTAGTGTCCCAACTGTATGCCATCATCATCGCACAGAGACATCTCGAGATGCTGGCACCTTATTCTGCTCCGCGCACTATAAAAGGCATCCTTAGCCCCTGTTCTCCAAGCTCTTTTGAACACCCTTCATCTGCGTTTCCCACCCACACACCTCTGTCTGTTTACCCATCCCAAAGCTGCCTCTTCCCTCTCTCCCCTTACAACGTCTCAACCCTCCTCACAACACCACCATGAAGTTCCTTGCTCTCCTCTCCGCTGTTGCCATCTCGGCCGTCGCTGCCCAGTCCGCTGATGACGAGGGTCGTCTTTTCTACACCGAGCCCACCACTGCTACCGTCTGGACCGCCGGCAATAACCACACCGTCAGCTGGAACAACAAGTGCAAGTCTGAGAACACCGGCGACTTGAACATTGTTCTCTACCTCGGTACCGGAGCGAACGGCGGCACGGAGCAGGTCCGCGTTCCTGGCATTGAGGCCATCGGCAAGTTGAACTGCTTGAAGGGCAACACTGCCACCGTCGTCCTCCCCGCCAACTTGACCACCAGCGATAAGTATGCGCTCCACGTCGATACTGAGCCCCTCCAGTCGTACTCTTCGCCCTTCACCATTAAGGGCATTGACCCCCCTGCGGCCTCCTCTGCCGCCGCTTCTACTTCAGCCGCCGCCACCACCACCATTGTTGCGCCCCCCACTGCCCCAAGCTCGGCTACTCCTTCGCCCAGCAAGGTCGCTGATGACAAGACCAGCGCTGCTGGATCGCTCAAGACTCTCGGTGCTGCTGCCGTTGTCTTCGCTGGTGCCGTCAGTGCCTTGTTGATCTAATTTGTTCACCAATCCAGTGTTGCAGACACGTTCTTTTTATTCCCCGCATGCCAATCTAGGAAAGAATGCGAATGCATGAACGCTTATATACCTTCCTACGACTCCGACTCCCCTCATCGCAGCTCTCATATCTAGTAATAAACAGTCAAGTAATTGCACAACTTAGAAAAAATATTAAATTATGGCGCGTGTAACCAAGATAGAGCCGTTGCCAGCCCTGTTGTAATTACTAAAAATGCATGAATATGAGAAAAACGGCCAGTGCTATGTTACGCAACGCGGATGCCTTACTCGTCCCAACAGTTGCGCTATCCTCATTGGCGCAAGTGAATGGCGGGCTTCGATAATTGCTGGGAAAATCTGAGAGCATTCATTTGTACCCGGGTCTACTGTCCTTTGGTCCCTGTTGATGATTGAGCAGATAAGGCGTCATAACGGATTCATGTCCCTGAATGGCATTGAAAAGCGTCCAGGGTTGATCATGTCCACGTCTGGGCGGCCTGTGAAAATGAACGCCATCGGCCATAGTCCGCTTGCTTTTAGGCTGCAGGTATTCCGCCATGACAATAGACGACACAGGCTGTGTAACGGCTATGCATATCCCTATTACCCCTATAGACTATCAGCAGGATGTGCATAATTCCTGCAGGGACAGGGGAGCAGGGGAGCAGGGGAGCCGCGTATAAAAGGAAAGCGTAACGGCCTCCATTCATAGGCAACCTCTCCTACTCAATCCACTCCAGGCTCTCCTCCCTCCGCATCTCTCCCTTCAACGTCTCTCTTGCCCATCTTTCATTCCCAGGAACACTCCCGTATTCATAATGGCAAGGCTGTATATGTTCCTAGCCATTAGTGCCGCGCTGCATATAGCCGTCCAAGGCGCTCCTACTACTCCTGCTCAGGTACAGACACCAGTCTAGTGGTTATTGCACTCGATCTTGGGTCTCCGCGCTGTGATATTTCCTAACACGTGCCTTTGTCACCAAGCAGAGCATTTGCAATACTCCACAGTGCACTCAAGTCGCAAGTAACATCCTCAAAGACTTGCGCCCCAACGTCGATCCGTGTGTTGATTTCAGCGAATACACCTGTAAGCACATCTTTTGTGCTTTATCCATACTTGTCATCGTTGAGCTACCTCCAGTCGCTAACGTACTCCGCACGGTTTTCTCTTCATCTTGTTCATGACAGGCGGTGGATTCTACGAGCGCGAGACCATCCCTAAGGATACATACAAGTTTGGTTACTTCACCATCCTGCAGGAGGAGAACAATGTAAGCAGTGGTTACAGTCCGCGACACCTCGTGAAAAAAAAGACGCGTCTCTGTTCAATAATCTTAACTCATCCGTATTCTCTTGAATGTTTCCAGGATATCGTTCGCTCCCTCGTCACGGCAAGCGACCCCAGTGCTCCTAAACCTAGCAGAGACAACGGTGCAGAGAAGCGTCTTATCCAAAAGATGCAGAGCTACTACGCCGCATGCATGGATGAGACCACGTTGGCCAAGGTCGGTCGCAAACCTCTCGTAGACCAGATCCAAAAGCTACTCCATGTCTATCCTGTTGCAAACTCTGTTCTTCAAGGAAAGAGCCCCACGACACCTAATGGAGCTTCGCCTGACACTGGCAAGAAGGCACTGTCCACCGTCATTGGTCAGGCTATTCGAAATGGCCTGAATACATTCTTCGAGTTCTACGTCGACAACGATGTCAAGAACCCGGACCGTCATGTGATGGTCATCTACGAGTCTGGTTTGAGTCTTTCTGGGGGACAATACTCCAATCCAAATGTGACCAAGGTCTACGAGAGGGTCATTGCAGAGATGTTTTACCTGGTCCAGGGAGACGAGCCCGCTAATATTTCCAGGGTCCCCGATGTCTGGAAAGAAGTCGCCAAGGACGTGCTCGCGTTCGAACAGACCCTGCTTGAGCTCACATCCGGGTTGGAGAGTCAGGATCCCGAAGACATATACAATCATCCTTATTCTTTCGCGGATCTTACTAAGCGCACGCCCTCACTCGATTGGGAGGTCATCTTCAAGAACGCGTTCCCGAATGATGTCAAGGCCCCCAAGGAGGTCTTGCTCAATGCTCCAGACTACCTTAACAAGTTGAACGCCCTTTTGGAGAAGACTGCGCCCAGGGCCCTGCAGAACTATTTCGCCTGGAATTTGATTCGCACGTATGGCAGCAACCTTGACACTAAGCGCCGCAAGCCCCTTGAGGACCTCAGTGGCTCATTGAGCAGCTGGACCGCAGCGATCACCCGCACCAAGACCTGTGTGACCCTTGTCAACAAGTATATTTACGACATCACCGGCCATTACTTTGTCCAGGCCACGTTCCCGAACAGATCACGTACCAAGATCAATGAAGTCATCGACACCCTCCGCGAGACCTACGTCAAAAGCTTTGAGTCCTACGATTGGTTGGATGACTACACCCGAAAAGGCGCCCTCAAGAAGATCAAGGCGATTGTCCAGAAGGTTGGCCAATCATCCAGCGGCCCCAACGACAACTCTATCGCGTCCTTAGATAGTTTTTACAAGGACCTCAAGGTCGATCCCAAAGACCACTTTGGAAACCTAGCTAGATGCAGTGCTTTTGAGACTCAGAAGCAGTTCCGACAGCTGCACAAGCGCGTCGACAGGAAGCACATGGACATGAGCGCGCAGACCGTGAACGCATACTACAGCGCAAACACAAATGATATCAACATTCCGGCTGGTATCCTGAGACCCCCGTTCTTCCACGTCGACAACCCCGAGTACTTGAACTACGGGTCCATTGGAAGCGTCGCTGGACACGAGCTGACCCACGGATTTGATAACGACGGGCGCAAATATGATGCCACTGGAGCTTTGAGAAACGTATGACTTACAGTTTACTGTTAGTATATGTTGCATTCGACATGTTGGACAAGGCACGAACTCATCGGTTTTCTTCTATTTTTAGTGGTGGTCGAATTCATCGATCGCAGCGTTCGATAACAGAACGTCTTGCTTTGTGAAGCAGTACAGCAACTTCACTCTCACGGACGACAGGGGAACGGTGCTCTCGGTCAACGGAAAGCTTACTCTGGGCGAAAACATTGCTGACAATGGAGGCATCAAGAAATCGTTCGAGTCGTGGCAGAGACGTTACAATTCCGACCCCGCCAGCAAGAAGTAGGCCAAAAATCGAATCGTTGCTTTTTGTCTACAAGCACAAGATTCTTTATGCGCTGTACCGCATAAGCTGAGATCACCAGAAAAATAACGACTCTTTTTTATTTTTTTATTGTCAGGTACAACAACCAAAGATTGCCTGGTCTTGAGCACCTGTCTCCTCAACAGCTATTCTTTATCCAGTATGCGCGTACATGGTGCAGCAAAACACGTCCTGAAGCCGTCAATAGAGATCTTTCGAATGTCCATTCTCCCAGTAGGTACCGCATCATTGGCGTGGCCCAGAACTCGGAGTACTTTGCCAAAGCTTTCCAATGCAAGTCCGGCACCCCCATGAATCCAGTCAATAAGTGCAATCTCTGGTAGAAGTGTCTCATTGCAGAAGCTGACGAAAACAAAGGATGTAGCATACAAACGAAGCCATGCAGGACAGGGTGCCTATTAGAATAGAAGAATGCCCTCAATACACAAATTTTGTTCTACCAAACTGACGTTGATATCCGAAAATATGAAAGGAATTATTCACTCAGAGATGACTCGGAGAGCAGAAAAATGACTATTGAATGAACAAAGAGCTCAGTATACGTCTATTGCTTTAGTTGGGTAGCATGGGGAATTTTACGTGACCCAAGCAGAGGAGTTTATTGAAACAACCGACGTTCCTGACCTATGCAAGTCTGGTCAGCGACAACGTTTATGATCTGGTCAGTCATTGCTTTGTCCAGACCACCCTTATGGACACCACTTGGGCCAAGGTCAGTGAGATGACCGAGTTCCTGCACCGAGAGCCACGTCTAAACGGATGAATATGTTTGCAATGGGTGCTTTGGGCAAGATCGAGACCATTACCAAAAGATCGGCGCTTCCTCTAGCGGCCCCAACGACTTCTCCGTTCTCGTTTCTAAACAATTTCTATAAAGAGCCGAAGGCCAATCGCGTGAACTACTCTGAACACCGTATCGGGAGCATCGCTTTCCAATGGAAGAAGATATCCATGGAATGTAAAAAGACAACCTCGAATAGACTATAAACGATATCAATGCTTCCGTTGATATTTTGCTATCCGTGTTCTTTCATGTTGGCAACCCAGACTAGCTGAGCTATGAATCAATCGAACATATTGTTGGACAGGAGATGATCCATGGGTCCGATTACGATGGATGGAACTTCGATACTGCCGACCGTCTGAGAATCATAGGGTATCATTCCATACATCATACTATCTCCTGGCTTGCCTAAAAGCTTGCCTGTACCATGTCTTTTTTTTATTAAACATTTAGAGGTCCTAGCGGTGATCCAGCTCGTCGATTGAGGCATTCAATAACATGTTGGATTGCTTCGTGATCCCAATACAACAATTTCACTTTGACAAACAATATGGACAAGGTGGATACCGCCGACGGATATTACACCCTCGGCGAGAACGTTGCCCGATGATGGAGGCATCAAGAAGTCGCTCGAAAGCTGGGAGGCGCACTAGAAGCTTGATCTAACTAGCAAGAAGTAAGCACCGAACAAAAGAAACACGTCTTTATCCTTGCATGCATCTCTTAAGAATAACATACTTAGTGATTCGGTCCAGTTACAACAACAGCAAGCTGTCCAACCTCGAAAAGTACACTCCGGAGTGAATTTTTCTTCATCCAGTACGCACATACGTGCTGCAGTCTGACGCGTCCTGGGGATGTTAAGAAGGATATCAAAGACAACCATGCCCGTAGTAAGTACCATATCATCTGATGCTATCCCGGACGCGAAATACTTCAGTCAGGCTTTCCAGCTCAAATCCGGCCGCCCCTATGAACTCCATTAACAAGTGCAATCCTTGGTGAAGACGGTTTATTGCGACATGGTTTAGTAAGAAATAAGATCGTCCTTATAGATATAATATCTAGAGCGCATTCCAACGAAAACATTCTCGGGTTATGGTCAGCATGTGGTAAGGATGGTATATTCTTTAAAAACAAGGTCTATACTGGCAGCGAGATGGTTTCTAAATAATGATTTTTTTTTTCTATCCTTCTTTTTTTTGCACATAACACCTAGTTCCTGTCCACAGCTCTAAAGGCCCCATCCTGGTCCTTGCATCTCGATCAGTCGACTCTCTGCGCGCTGCACCGCAAACTTTTCCTCTTCACCTGAAAAAATGGGACTCTTCTTGACCTGCGAGACGTCGTTCAGCCCCAGATCATCCATCATCTGTCGCTGAGCCGGGGTCAACTGTCCCATGGTCGAAGGATCCTCATCTGCCGAGTGTGCGCCCGATCCACCTCCAAAGATCTCAGAGATGGGACCATCTGCAGAACAGACCAGCTTTACGTTAAGTTCATATAACGCATCGATGAGTGTAATCAGACGACGGGTCTCATTGCGATGTAATGTCGTGGGCTTGAGTTTTGGGATATCAGTCAGGATCAGGGTATCGATGCTTCCTGCAAGGGTCAAATAGTCTGCTGAGCTTAAAGACTAAAAGAACGCAAATCGAACGTAGTAAATTAGGACCCACAACTCCTAGGATCATAATAAAGCCCCAAAAGATCAGTGGCCATCGCCTTTTTTTTCTTACTCTGGCGCAAAGTTCATCAAAGGAGCACATAGCAATATTTCCTGCAGTGTGTGGCAACACCAGCTCCCGTCCCAGGAAATTAAATCGTCTTTCCTGTACCGAGTGTCCATTACGGATCTTCTTGAAGTATTCGTCAACCTCTGATTTCGTCTGCGATCCCAACGGCCAAAAGAACCTCTTTTCCTCCACCAGGTTCACAGGTTGTTGGACGATTTTTGGCAGATCACTCGAGGAGCTCAACTTGCTCCTGTCGACGGGCTTTGCGGACTGGAAAAACGTCTTCTTTTCTCTCCGGTAATCAATTCCACCATCCAGACATTTGACCACGCAGTTTTCCTCTAGAACCGCAATTCCCGGCAGAAAACTTTCTCGCTGGATTCCATTCTTGTACAATTCTGAGGGATGTCTGTTCGAAGTCGTTACTAGGACTACTCCGCGATGCACCACAAGTTCCTCCAGGAGTCTCCGCAACAACATCGCATCCGCAATATCCGTAACTTGGAACTCGTCCAGACAAAGCACTCGGCTCTCCATGGCCAGAGAATCTGCCAGGAAGGGGATGGCATCGCTGTGTTTATGGGTCGTCATCTTCAGATTATGGAGCCGTCCATGCAACTGAAGCATAAAGTTGTGGTAGTGAATGCGCTTCTTATCCGATCTGGGAAGAGAGTTGTAGAACAAGTCCATGAGCATCGTCTTTCCAGTGCCGACATTGCCGTAGAGATACAGTCCCTTTGGAATGGCTGCCCTGCGAATCTCCTCTGCCTCCCTGGCGAGTCTTTCTTCTTCCTTTTTGTTGAACATGTTGGCGATCTAGCATATCCGAACAATTAAGTACGTTAGAGATCGAATGAGTATGAGATCCTCTTGATTTCTTTTCGAAATATTAATAAGAGATGAAAAATAGTTCATTCCGCACCTTGGAGAAAACGCCACGTTTCTTGTGCTCCTGTTCCGGTGCATTTCCCCCGTGGACAATCGGTGCAGGGTTGTACGCCATGAGTCGATCGTGCATCTCCTGCAACGTCTCAATAATCGTCCGTTGGTAGGCGTCCGCCTTGAGGGATCCCTGCGCCAGCAAGCCGTTATAAACAGCCATTGGACCTTAAGCCAGGTACGCAAAGCAATTCCGGTGATCAATTAGTGACACTTCTCAAAGCGACTATTGCGTTCCTATTAAATGTGCTTTTGAAACTATTTGTACCCGCGGGGTTCAATTCCTGCTTCAAATCCGGCTCAGGCGTTGCTGTAGCCATGCAGCGCCTGGTATTTGTGAGTGAGAGGATCCTGCTGGATATTAATGGAGTGCTATTGAACGCATAAGGCCTGAGCACAGCGCATGTCGAACTGTAGGAGAGCTGCTGGGTTGCAGTCAGGGACAAAAGATTGTTGCGACGAGACGCTGAAAGAGTGGAGAGTGTTTGTCGTGAGTTGCGAAGATGAGTCTGTGAGGCAACGATCCTGCTGCGTCCTGCACACTGGAGCGCAACTGCGCGTATGTATGCGCCTGCAGCTCTTGTCATGACTGAAGGTACGTTGTGAATGGGGGGATCGGGAGAAAAGAGACGATGTGTTCCGATCGGTTGAGTTCACTCGTAGGAAATTGGGCGATCTTCCCCACATTTGTGGTTTACTATCATGTGATATCGCCACCAATTCGCTTGATCGAATGCGGATTACACCGAAAGAGCGAACACAATTCAAAAAAATAAATAAATGACAGCATACACAGAGTATCTCCACATGTTGTCTAGAAAGGCGTATTATTTTGACAGTGGTAGTATTGTGCCAATGGAGGATGCAGATGCACTAGTTATCATTGCTACTGCGGTGGTTGTTGCTGTTGAGGTTGTTGCTGATCCGCCCAAGAGACCGAGGGTGCCCGTGTATGGTTCAATGTTGGCGATCCCAGCATCACCTGCGAGTTCTTATTTTGACTAGAGAAGAGGAAGAGTCAGAATAAAGACAAGCACAGTTTAGTGATGATAGAACCGCCTTATGTAAAAAAAAGCTGTCGAGATATATGCCGCAAACAAGCACCTGATAAGCACCTTACCGAGGTCGCCCCTTTGGCCGCGGGGGACTCTGAAAGTCCTGTTGTCCCGACATCGTTTGATTTTGCTGCTGTTGCTTTTGCTGTTGCTGTTGAAGAAACTGTTGTTGCAAAAGATGTTGCTGCTGCTGGTTGAACATCTGCTGGGGATTATGAGGTTGTTGCTGTTGTTGCAAATGCTGCATCATTTGTGGATGCATTTGCGCCATGTTTGGATATCCAGGATTCATTCCCATGCTCATCTGTCCAGCTATAGGTCCTCCCGACATCTGACCTATGGGCTGCATTAGTGAGCTCGGTGAAATGAAGCCGTTGGGCATCATCCCAGCTGGGAGTTGACCCATGGACTGCCCACCCATCATAGAGTTCATTCCTGCAGCTGCAGCTACAGCTGCTGCTTGCTGCTGTTGAAGCTGCTGCTGTTGCTGGAGTTGTTGCTGTTGCTGTTGCTGATGTTGCTGTTGCTGTTGGAGCTGCTGTTGTTGCTGTTGTTGCTGTTGCTGTTGCTGTTGCTGTTGTTGCTGTTGCTGCGTTTGTTGCTGTTGCTGCTGCTGTTGTTGCTGTTGCTGTTGCTGTTGCTGTTGCTGTTGCTGTTGCTGTTGCTGTTGCAATTGTTGTTGCTGTTGGAGTGGAAGCTGGCCCAAAGTCGGGTTCGCGAGTTGATTCGCAAATGTAGCGCCAGGTTGCGTGGGTGAAGTCAGAGGATTGCCACGGTTGGGCAATGTCCTGTTCATCATCGTAGGATTGAGTGTAGGCGAGATCAGATCACTCTGACTTCCTCCAAGACCATTATTGCTCGCGTTCATGGTGCCGCTACTATTTGCTCCGAGATTTGGAGTTCCAGTCTCTTCTTTGATATCAAGAGGTGTTGGTGTAGATGCTGGCCTTACTGTTGTAGATAATACAGAAGAAACGACGTCCCCGGTATTGTTGGTTCTGTCTGTAGAACTGGTGGTGTCCTCTGCTGCTGCTGCGGTAACGCTGTCTGTCGCCGTATTCGGTGACTGTGCTAATTGCCCTGCCTGTGTTGCCTGTACTGATTCCTGATTCTCTTTCTTTGTCAGCACTGACTCCTCTGGACTATTGAGCGATCGACAATGGCCAGTTAGTCCAGATTTTGTAGAATAAGAACTCGCGACATTGCCCTGATAATCTTGTATTCGAAACTTACGTTGCAGCATCCGCGTCGCTGTAGCCGCTCCAGTAGTGGTTGGATGCTCGATCCACATGGTACATCCGCGTTGTTGGGCAAAGATAAGGCCCTCGACTCTTTCGTGCAGCGATCAACAGCTTGTTCCAATCTATGCAAGGTTCATGGTTTTTACGTTCAGAAGGGTCTCCAACACTAATCATCCATTTGTCTCCACTGAGAATGACTGTTTAGGTGTTGCTACTTACATAGAGAGTCTCGAATAGCGCCATGTTTACGCATTTCCTTTCGTTGGGCTGGCAAACAGTTAAAAAAAAAGGCGCTCGATGAGCCGCTTGATACCATTACCACCGTTGGATTGGGCCTCCAAAAATAAGATAGGATAAAGGAAACATATTTGACAAACATACCGACATTGATGTATTCCCTCGGCCGCCGCGCTTGCTCTGCGAGGACAGTGGTTGTGGTGGTGAGGGTGATGGTTCCTGTGGAGGTTGGAGCGGGGACCAGGTCGAGGGCAGGGGACTGCTGGCGCGAATGCGAGGAGTGTGCCTGGGAGATGGTTCGGGAATGGTGTCGCCTGTGCGAGGTGGGGAAGTGGAGGGCCGAGGAGGAGGAGTCGTCCTTCATTGCGCCGAGAGGGGATGGATCTTTGTCTGTGTTATAAATACACTCTCTCAAGGCCGGGATCAGAAGCTGCTGCTACTGCACTACAAGGGATGGCGAAGTGACGACGAGGGGATCGAACCCGTTTGGGAGGGATGGAAGCAAGTGTGCAAGGGGATGCGCGAGCAATTATTGGTTAGTCTCTGTATTTCATATTTACCCTCTAGAATGGTAGTCTAAATTAAACTTCTATTTGAAGAGGGTATTATTGTTAGAGATAAGAAAATTGAACCAAAAGTTTCTAGGCCGTCAAGAGTTGCCCTGGCTCATCTGGATCCTTTCTTTCCTCCCTTCCCTTCCTGTTTCTGTTCATCGACTCATCTCATCCTCTGACTCCTACCGGTATTCAATCCCCACCCCTTCTTTTTATCCGCAGTATACAGCTTCAGTTGAAATCAGGTCCACTATGAAGAATGCAAGACCCAACTCTGTCTCTGTACTGCCCTCGCATCACTCCCAATTCAAGGACAAGCCCGTCCTCGGCGGCGACAGCAACGCCCTCGGAGTCCCTGGGTCCCTCGTCGGACGCTGGACCCTGCGCCGTGTTATTCTCGTAGTAGGAGGTGTTCTTTTTATCTACATCACCATCACAACCATTTTCGGCCCTACCCCCGAACATCTGCGTAAAGGACCCATCGCCACTCGTCCTGAGGCAGATCCGTACTTGGATGTTCCCAAAGACAAAGACGCTTATAAATACGCCCCCGACCGCAACATCGAGAAACCCGCGCCGGAGATCAAACTGCCGCTGATCGAAAAAGAGGTCAAGAACCCATGGAATGAACCTCATCAGGAGCCCGAAAGGGAATCCAACCAGGAAGGAGATGGCTTGGGCACTGGATCAGGGTCAATAGGATCGAACGGAGAAAAACCAATTGCAGACGATGAGGGCAATGTCCCCGCAGGAATCGATAACAACGATGACAAGTCCCAGGATGGCAATTTGGGGGAAGAGGTTGAGGAGACACCTCTGTCAATTGCGACCAAGGCCAGGAAGAACTCCCCCGCCACCTACGCCGAGTTACTGTCCGCCAACAAACGCGAGTTCGACTATGCAGTTGCATTGCTTGTGCGCGAGGCCAGTCTGGCGCTCAAGAACACAGAAGTATACTCGGTCACCAACAAGAATCAAACAGCACCCTCGAACGATATCCATGATTACCTCTCGCTTTCGAAATACTACTGGCCCAATATCAAGACAGAGAACGGTCTGCCCTATGTTCGCAAGGACGGTCACATCAACCCTGAGATTGAGACCGTAAAGGACTACCGCCTGCTGCGAACCATGATCCGTGAGGTCCATATGATGGGAATGGCGTACCATTTCACGGGCGATAAGGCGTATGCGGAAAAGTGCGCAATGCGTCTCAAGGAGTGGTTCTTGGACGAGGCGACGTACATGAACCCTAACATCAACTATGGTTCGTTGCAGAAGGGTCAAAAGCTCGGTGCTCGTACGGGTGTTCTGGACATGTTCACCATTTTCCGGTAGGTTGCTTTTCATTATTATTTTTTGTATGACCAATGGATGACACTACTATCCGCGGGGTTGTGTTATTTGTGAGATTTAGTTTTTGTGGGACAGGGCCCAGATGACGACTGACAATGCACGAGTGAGAATGCGGGAATTAAATGCCCAGCGGACACTCAGGGACATTGGTAAAAATAGATAAAAATGAAAAGCTCTGCTCTGCTCACAATTTGATTTGTCCCTATCCGTTTTAGTGTCTTTGATGCATTGCATTACCTGAAGCAAGATCCTGACTGGCCCACGGACCTGATCCCCAGTCTCCAAGCCTGGTTCACACGCTATGTCCAGTGGCTCGAGACGTCCGTCCTCGCCAAGAACGAACGCAAGGGTAACAACAACCATGGTACCTACTTTGATGTCCAGATCATCGGTATCTATATCTTCCTCGGCCGCATCGGCGATGCCCGTGCGATCGCAGAGTCGGCACTCACCAACCGCATCGACATCCAGATCACAGGAAAGGGCGAGCAGCCCGAGGAGCTCGAGCGCAAGACGTCCTGGTACTATTCTGTCTTCAATCTCCAGGCCCTGATGACCCTCGCTCGCTGGGGCGATGATCTCGGCGTTGATATGTGGAACCATGTCGGACCTCAAGGACAGTCGATTAAGAAGGCTATTGACTTCATGTTGCCATATGCACTCGTGAATGGCGAGGGCTGGCCTGTGGAGAACATCAAGGGATTCCCCATGGGCGACTACCTCAAGTGTCTCCAGATCGCATGGAACATTTACGGCGACGAAAAGTACCTGGATGCGATCGCACAGCTCGATCCCAAGATCCAGGAGGAAATGGCTGCAGGTAACCTCAAGACTATCAGCACATACCTGTGCGATATGAGCACACTCTTCGAGGGCAACAAGCGCGGAGGACAGGGCTTGATCTGGCACTGGTGCCTGACCTAGGCGTCTGTGTTTGTACCATCACCATACGCCTCTCGCGTTATATTTTACTTTCATCGAATGCATCTCTTCTCCCACCACAACCACCATTGCTTTGTAAAACGCAGTTAGATAAACCTCAATAAAATCAACGAATATTCATTATATGAATTGTGTTTGTATTTTTTATCAGTGTATCGAAGCAGCAGCAAAAAAGTATTAAATAACAAAAAACCGGGAAAAACAGTTCAATCGTACAAGAGAGAGGGGCGACTTCATGTACGTGGTCGCTTGGCCTCATGCGTCGTTTCATCGTCAAAGGTCGCTGGTCCATCAAACGAGCCCATGCCGAATCCGTTGGTCGTATCATCCCCATCCACGTCGAATCCCGCTGCTGCCTGGCCATGATCAAAGTCCCCTGATGCTCCTGTCTCTGTAGGTGACCGTGGGCGCTTTGTTGGGTGGCCATTGGTGTTGCTGCTAGTGCTTGTCGCGGCAGAGGAGCGCGAAGTCGCGTGCGCGCTGCTTGATCCAAATTCTTCCTCATCCGAGCTCTCGATCTCGCTCTCCTCCTCGGCCTCGTTTCCGGGCTCGAATTCTTCGTCATTATCATCAGGAATATCATCGGTGAGAAGGTATGCCAATCCGGGGCCTTCCTCCTCTCCGTCGTCCGGGTCATCATATTCCTCTTCTTCATCTTCATCCTCTTCTTCATCATCATCATCCTCCTCCTCTTCCTCCTCGTCAGATCCAGATCCGACTTCTTGGTGATGTTGTTGTCGAGCATTCTCATCGTCTTCCTCGTCCTCGAGTTCATCATCGTCCTCCTCGTCGTCATCAATCTGCTGAGAGTCTCCTGCGGTCTTACCGCCAACCATTGGACGGCGATTCTCCTGGTCCTCGAGCTCAGAGTCGCTGTTGGATTCAATGTCCTGAGAAGATAGCGAATGGTGATGGGATTCACAATTAGTAAGGAACAAAATACACTGAGGAGACGTGGAAACGCAGAAGAAACAACCGCGCGACTCAGTTGTAGTGGGAAAAGGGAATGAAGCATTTACCTCATCTCTCTCCTCCTCTTCATCGTTCTCGTCTTCGCTTCCGATATCTTCGCTTTCATCGTCGCGAGAAGGCCGACCCTCTTGCGCTTCCTCATCGAATTCTTCGTCCTCGTCCTCATCCTCATCTTGTCCCACTTCCGCATCATCAATCTGATATTCACCCTCATCCTCGCCCTCAACCTCGCCCTAGAAAACGTGTTTTTTTTGTCGTTGTTCGAGCGTCAGATGGATGGCCGCTTCTCCCACACAAGAGCAACGAAAGAAATGACTACAAATCCCCTTCTCTTCAAAGTCTGCGGAATATAGGGAAATGAAGCTTGCACAGAACATGCAGTTTTGCACTGAAGGTGGATAAATGGGGACTTACCTCTGCATATTGATCCTCTTCCTCATCACCGGATATGGCCTCACCAATATCATCGTCATCTACATCGAGTTCTGTTCCGTCTCTGTATCGACAATTACAAGGGACAAAACGAAGGCGTCAGAGGTCAGCACAGCAATCTTCTGCTACTCACTCCTCAATTTTCCTTGTTATACATGTAATATACCTGTCCAGTCCATCAATAGTGATTAATTGAGGCAAGATCTCGAACACGGCATCGCGATAGTTATCTGCTTTCGCGATCTCGTTATCGACCAGCAAGATATGCGCCAGATTCTCGAGTGCATCCTAAGTATAAACAAGAAAAAATTGTCGTGAGTATCCTCGAACACCAAGCGATCACTCTGTTGATGAGTACCGAAAAAAAAAAAAGAATTGAAGGACTTACAAGAGGCTGAAGGACGTTCATGTTCGAGATTTTGTTCCCGCTCAAGTCCAGGCGCACCAGGTTCTGCAGATCGGCCTCGGCCAGCGCCTCAAATCCCCCGGACAGATCGTTATCGGCCAGCATCAACTAACAAAAAAAAAAAAAAACGTTACCATTATTATCATCATCATTCTAAACGAGGCAGATAACCGAGGACAAGACCCAGATAGCACACACGTCCAAACACTGACGAACGCGTCGTCGGATTCAATTCATCCTCCGCGCGCGCTCTCAAAAATGTCCCCCTTTCTTTATTTCAGCCTTTTCACACTCGAACCGACTGCCTCCCCCTCCTTTCTCCCCACCCTTTCTTCCCTCAGTGGAACGTTGTTAATGTTTTTGTTGTTGTTGTTGTTGTTGTTGTTTTGTGCTTTAGTCCTGCTGTTATTTGTTGTTCGTCCAAATTGAATAATCCTGAATATAAAGGCCCTGCCTGTCTTCACACTTACCGATCGCAACAAGGGCAGGTTGGGGAAGCCCTCCAAACTTTGGCACTGTGCGTTGCTCATAGTGAGGGTGACCAGGTTCTGGAACTCTTGCAAAGGCGAATACGACCCATCGTCTTCGTCATCACTCTCATTCGCTTGGGGTGCTGGTGGCTCGAGCAGGACTTGAATCGAGGGGATCTGAAGTCCATCCAGTCTCAGCTCGGGTTCCTCCAGAGGGTTCTCGACCCTCAGTTGTTGCATCAGCTCTGGCTCCATCATAATCGTAATACTGAAGACGTGGAGAAAGGGTATGAGTGTGTGAGTGAGGAACTGTGTGTGAAGAAGGGAAGAGGGGAAGGAGGAAGAGGAGGAGAGATGAGCGTGCGCGGGTTCGGGCTGGTCGTGAAAGAAGTAGATCAGTCTGGGATAATAAAATGTGGTGCTCTAATTGCTTTGTAATGATCCCGAGACGAAGACGCGAAGAAGGAGGAGAAGAAGGGGATAAGCGGATTATCGATCAATTGGCGCGATTGGAGGGCAATTGAAGGGCAATTGAAGGTGGTGAAGAGAGAAGAAGAAGAGAAAGAAGGGAAAAGCAAAGGAAGGGCGAGTGTGGATGCCCGAGGAGTACGCGAGCGAGAGGAAAGGCCAAGGAAGGTCCGAGAGAGGAGCATCTCGACCAGTCAGTCCCCTCGGCTGTAGTATGACAATCGGCAGCGGAACGTTTGATGTTTTGTGTTTGAACACGATTCAGATAGTCCGCGATGTGATAATAATAATACATGGTGTTTGGTGGTGGGACCCTTGTTCCTTGACTGGCTAGGGGCATTCCCCCGCTGAGAGTGCTGTCGAAAAAAAAAAAAAACAAGGATGCTGGCTCATATTTTTTTCTCTGTGTCGTGCCTGGGTTTGTGTTTGTGCATGAAGATGGATTTGCGGCCAAAAAGAAGGGTCGCACGGTGCCAAACCATTTCCGCAAGAACCCTGTGCACCATCGCCCTTCATCAACCAACTGGCGCCCTTATTTCTTTGCTCGCTCGCCCACTGTCCACAGACAAAGCGCAGGTGTAGAGGTGGCGGAGGGCATCGACATATCGTTTGTACAAGATGCAAATGGTTGAGGATGAAGACCATTCTGCATAATAACAATCCACTGGCTGCTTCAGATAATAAAAAACTTTAATACCCGCTCAAAAAACAGAAGTGTGCACGCTCTTTTTTTTTTTTTTTTTTTTTTTTTTTTTTTTTTCCTTCAAGTCAGCGGAATACGATCCATGGTGAGAGAAAGAAAAAAGCACACAAACTGTGTTTATGTTCTCAGCTATGCACATATAAAGTACAAGGTCCTACTATATCGATAGCAGTAATGATGACCATCAACGACAATAAAGGTTTCGTCTCTTCCACCACCGCTTCCTATTATCCTACAGCAACTTGGGCTTCTCCACAGGCAGCGTGAATCTCTTGCCCGGTCGCTGGTCTTCAATCTTAGGCAGTCCCAACGCGCCACTGTGCAACTTCGCCATGAACGTTTGCTCGCGTTGCTCCCTCGCCTGTTCCTGCTCCGTCTTTTCATCCGCCGTCGAGGCCGCCGTCGATGGTGGGGTCGAAGGCCCTCCCTTTCCTCCTTCTTTACGCTTCTCATTCGAACTCATCTCATTGTCATTCAGATCCACGTCCCCCAACGCAACTTCGCCCTGCTGGCTGTTCGGCTCGCCAGTGAAGCCGCCAATGCGGAACTTTGATGGGTCCACGTTCACTTCCCGGGGGTCAAAAACGTGTTGGTTCGATCCCGGAATTGATGATCCTGTCGAGGTCGCGGTCGAGGGCGCGCCTCCTGCGTTGATGTTCGAAAGAGAATTGGGTGCTGACATCTTACTATGTTATCGTTCACATCATGAACAACAATGTTAGCATTTGAAGGAAAAAAAAAAAAAAAAAAAGCATCCTTAAACTGCTCGTACCATTATGTATTCATATAATCTGCTTACTTTGATGATAAGAGTAGTGCGTTGATATTGATGGGATGACAAAGAGATGCTGAAGAGAAAATAAGGGTGGGAAAGTACTTATACTTGCTGGATCACGAGATGATTGTTCCCTTTCAGGAAGTACAATGACGAAAAGAAGGCTCTCCTTCTTGCCAGATCCTTCGTCATTAAGCGTCCGTCTATTTTCGAGTGCTGTAAGCATCGCCACGTATCCTATCCGAGACCACTCATTTATTGTTGATCTTTCAAGTTTGGCAATGTGAGGATTTCTATCTAAATTGTTTATTTGAATGGGCGCAAATCCTGTTTGCATTCGTTCTTCCTTTTTTTTTTTTTGTCCTTTTGATTCTTGATATAAGTTCTTTGACGCTTGCGGTGAAGGTATGATGGAAGGTCGTGAATAGCAAGAGTAAAAGTGAAAGAGAATGTCTCGAGAAGGGGAGAGACAAGAGTGGGAGAGGAGAGTGTGTGGGAGAGATAAAAAAAGACGATTACAGGTAGCTGGTGTGGAGAACCTTCTTCTTGTTCACAACGCCCTTCTTGAGAGGCTCGTCGTTGTACAAGTTGGTACGGAAGCGACGCAGGTATTGAATACCAGTGATCTCAAGCGAAGTAGGTTGGATATCCAGGTCATTAAAGGTCTTGACACCAGTCAACGCGTCGTCAATCATCATCTATGATTGCAAAGGAAGAATAACAAATGAGATCGTTAGCATTTATGACCTCAAGATCTAATCAGCGCTCTCCACTTCTTCTCCACACTTACGCGCTCGATCTCATCGGCACCGAGGGTCTGCCATGGGAGCAGGTTCATGGCCTTGGCCATCAGGGTGGCAATGGGCTTGGGAACGTTGATCTCTCCGATATCAAGGTTGGTGGTCTCCTTGATAAAGTCAAGCAACTCCGCGTACGTGTACTCTTGGTCGCTATTTAATAAAGAAAAAATAATGTAGATGTCAGTACCTTTGTGCGGATCAATTAGCGATATAGGGTAAGCATTATCACTTCAACTTACCCAACAAGCTCAAAGGTTTCGCCAACGGTGTTGGAGCCATCGAGCATCTGGTGCATGGCACTAGCAACATCGGAGACGTTGACAGGGCGGACCTTAGTCTTACCGCCATTAATGCGGACGGACAGACCGCGAGACACTAGCATAGATAACACCAAACAAATGTTAAATAATTAGTCCTTCTATTTCAATTGATTCATCCATGAGCAAAGTGTGAAAGCCCAAAGATCAAAGGTCTTACTAGCAAGTCGGGCAAGGAAGCGATCCTCTTGGCCATACATGAAGGATGGGCGGACAATGGTGGCGGAGGGGAAAATGCTGCGGACGACCTGCTCACCCTCAGCCTATGTTATCAAAATGCCGGGAAATCCTGTTATTATCGAGTTCCAAAAAGCGTCCTCGCTGTGCTATTGCAAAGATCGCTGTTTGTACCTTGGTTCTCAAGAATTTAGAGGATGAGTCAATGTCGGCGTTCATAGAAGACATCTGGATGAAGCGATCAATATCGTGCTTCTGAGCAAGCTCAGCAAGAACGCCAGCAGCTTCAACGTGAACATCAGAGAAAGTAAAGTTCCTAGAAGCACGATCAAATGTTCGTTAGCGACTTGTCATCTAGCTGGTTCCATCTTCCGTTCATGAATAAAAAGAAATACAAAGTCAGTGTTTGCATACTTGGTCTCATAGTCGCGTCCGAGCAAGTTATAGACGGTATCTGAGTGGCGGATGGCGGCCTCCAAGGAGTCCTTGTTACGAAGATGAATCTCCATAGGAACAATCTTTCCGAGATCGCCCATAACCTTCAAGTGGCGCATATCATCCTCGTCACGGTAGGGAACAATGATATGGGCACCCTCACGAGCTATTGCAAGATTGAAAGAAAACGTACAGTAAACGTCAGAACAGGCCAAATCCGCTCCCGGGACACTGCAGCTGTTGTGAAATAATTCCAGTCGGCATCGTCGTATTACCGAGGCGGTTGATAAGATAACGTCCAAGGAATCCAGTGCACCCGAAAACGGTGATGACATGTCCGTTGGAGGAGGAGCTAAGACATATTGGAAGCGGACATTATGGAGCATGAGTGAGTTGATGATGATACACCCATGAATCGAGAATGGTGTCCATGGTCCTGATTGTCGCATGCGATGCAGCTCAATTGATAAAGAGCGTGAGGCCACATACCGTCCACCGCCACCTGTACGGATGATGGTGCGTCCAGTCTTGGGTGAGACAATCAAGTCGTGGGCGAAGCGCTATAAGTCGTGTAAAAGAGATCCTGTTTAGATGACCTGACATGCGCTGTTTCAAGAGAGGGATTTCAGATTTGAGGATGATATTGGAGGATACTGTACCTTCTGGGCAAGACCAGCAACAGCCTGCTTGGACTCTACAAGATATCGAAAGGTCCAGAGAAGAGCGTGCGTTAATATCGGGTCGGCATATAGGGCGAATCAAGGGCATAATATCGATCGGCTGGTCGACACTGAGGCGGATATGCAGTGTCGCGTCCTCATCGCCTAGCTCGGACTTCTCGGAGTTAAGGATCCCGTCTTATGATGATGTTCTGCGGATCCCGTTATCAAGATCCTGTATGAGGCATCCGTAAAGGTAGAGCATCGCGGTGTTGTGTATCCGGTTCCAAGGTGAAGGTACTGCATTGTCGCAACAGGCCAGTAGTGTGTGTCACTCAGGTAGGTCGCTCTCCCAAAAGTCCGGCGCCGAGATCTGAGGTGTTTCCGTATCGATGACAATAAGAGGCGATTGGAAAGGCAGGGAGGGGGAATGTTTAGCGAGGATGCACGTTACGTTTGGCAAGGTTGATTCCGGCAATCATGGCTGTATGACGGAGGATGAAGAGTAACGAAGGGATGGTGATGAAGAGAAAGGAGAGATCGATCAAGGCCTAGTGATTGCCTGCGAATCAACTTCCTCCGAGCGGCGGACTGGCGGTAGGAAGGAGTGTGCGATGGAAGTAAAGGTCATGTTCACGTCACCTTTCGCTTATTTCCCCTACATTCTCCTCTCGAGGAACAAAGACTTCGTAACCCAACACGATCATCCCTCAACTCCCTCGTTCCCCTTCTACTTTACTATCCTCCCAATCATGGCCGACAGACCTGCATCCACCCCCAGCGCGGGTGCCGCAGAGGATCCCAACGCAGCAGCTGCTTTGAGCTACGAGCAGCAGTACGCCCAATGTAAATGACCAGACCAGAACCACCTAGTGTTCATCTCATTCAGTTTTTTGAACAGAAATAAAAAAAAAAAGCATGCCTTTTCTTTCCAAAGTGCAAGAGTGGCTTCCTCATAACCATCCTTATTAATCAATAGACGCAGAGGCTCAAGCTGCCTATGATGCTTACTACGGCCCAGGAGCATCCGCTGCCTATGCCGCTGCTGTGGCTGCAGGAACCGCTCCAGCTAGTGATCCCAATGCTGCCTATGGTGCCCCTGCTGCTCCTACTGGCGTCGGTGCTGGCGCTGGTTATGGTTCTGGCGCACAAGGAGAACACGACCATAGCAGAGGAAGTGGAGATGCCAGCAGGGCAGACTATGACTCTTCTCGTTCTGGATATGGAGATTCAAGAGGGGGATATTCATCTGCCCCTTATGGCTCTGGATTTTCGTCGCGTGATGGAGCCGGCTACGGCCATTCCTCGAGCGACCGTGATGGAGGCCGCGACTCTGGGCGAGACTCTGGACGGGATTCTGGACGGGATTCTGGCCGCGGTGGCTATGGCGATCGCGACGAGAGATCTGGATCGTCCTATGGTGGAGATCGCCATGGATCGTCATCGCAGCATGGAGGTGGTGGATATGGCGGAAGTATGTCTATTGCTTCACCGCATGAATCAATGTTTTTAATTTGCGAGCATGGGCATTGAGACTAATGGCCGGCATTGACGATTCTATCTATTAGATCCAGATGAACCCCAGGTTCAGAAGAGCTCAGATACCGTGTACATCAGCGGCCTGGGAACAGATATGTCAGAGAAGGACTTGTCAGCGAAGCTGGATGAACTGTTCTCATCCATTGGACGCATCAAGATTGACAAGAGAACAATGACACCTAAGAGTATGTTGTAATGATCATTGGTTGATCACTGAAATCATTCAGAGGACTAATTGACAGGAGTACTCACCTCTCCGTCTTCTTTTCATTGTTCAGTTCGCATTTACGTAGATAGTGCTACAGGCATACCTAAAGGAGATGGTATGCGATCACGAACGTCACCATAGCTATGCACTCTATCTTCAACGCTAGCCCTGACATTATTCTATCCTCTCCCATGCCTTTAGCCACCATCACGTACGAAGATCCATACACCACCGATGCGGCTATCAAATGGTTCAACGGCAAAGACTTTCACGGCCACGTAAGTAGTTCATTCCACTATCTTCATCTATGTTGCTATGTGTTTCATTGTCCTGTTCTCATTTGCAGATATTAACTGTAAGTTTATACATAATCTCTTAATATTTATTACTATAGACCATCAAAGTGGAGATGTCGGAACAAAAAGTATGGGCTGGTGGATTCAGCGGCCGTGGCCGCGGACGTGGTCGCGGCGGCTTCGGAGGTGGAAGCGACCGCGGGGGATTTGCAGGTGGGAGCGACCGCGGAGGATTTTCAGGCGGACGCGGTGGTGGACGTGGTGGCTTCAATGGTGGTGGTGGTGGCGGACCACCACCACGCGAAGGCGACTGGATTTGCGACAGGTAAACCAATGGATTAGCCTGAAACAAGGCCTGGTTAATGTAGCCCATCAATGGGCCTGTTTGCTTACCATCTGTTTTGTTTCCTCCGTTCATTTCTTAAAACTACAGTTGCCAGAAGAACAATTTTGCCAGTAGACAAGAGTGCTTCCGATGCCAGGCTCCTAGACCACCAGGCGCTGGCGGTCCTCCAGGTGGCGGTGGCTCGCGATACGGAGGTGGAGGAGACAGAGGACGCTCAAGTTACGGTGGCGATAGTAGAGGAGACCGTGGTGGCTATGGTGGCGGAGATCGCGGCGGATATGGAGGCAGCAGCGAGCGGGGTAGTTACGGCGGAGGCGGTGACCGTGGCGGCTACGGTGGCCGAGGCAGCTCAGGTGGGTATGGTGACCGATCTGACCGCAGCGGCGGAGGAGGTGGAGGACGAGGCGGTCGCGATGACGGCGGAAGAGGATCGTACGGCGGTAGTGGCGGTGCAGATCGGGATGATCGCCGCTACGACCGTCGTGACAGACCCTACTAAGTCCAACCGGGCGCTGTAGCAAGAAGCGGGATCGCTCGACCCGCAGAGTCATTGAAGATTGGGTAGTGGAAGATATTGTCAGGCGGAAAACAGGACTGGATGTGTCTATTTTATTACGTGTCAAAAATGCAGAAAGCAACGGGATATGATAAAACGTTTGGCCTACTATGTCCGTTTTGGTGAGTATATGGAGCAATGTCGCGTATCTTTTTTGTTCTCGGGCGAAAGGACAGCCCTGCGTGTGCTTTGATGGGACACATTCAGCGGGAGAAGGGTTTGTATGCCGCCTGATTTGCTCGACAAGGCAAAGAACCATTGCTGGATGTAGCAATAAGACATACTAGGCATTTGTTCTTCGTCCTGTTTGAAATGAAGAAAGAAATATACAACTCCTCCTTTGGAACAGTAATACCATGGTCATGGTGGCACCCCCCGACTTGATGTCCTCCATAGCCGGTGCTTTCGTCTCCTCGGGTGTACTGGCCCTGGTGAGCTTTTCTACGGTGGTAGCCAAGGAGGAAGAGGAGGAGGAGGGGAGGGAATACGACCGGCTTCGGGAGCTAAACAGCCGCCTGACGTGCGCTTGGAGCCGGCCTTTTTGGTGACAAACTTGGCAAGATTGTTCTCGCTGCGACCGCCATTGTAGTTTGTGAATCTTGCAGTGAGCATCGAGGAACCTGATGATGAGCAGCCTTCGATATCATATTTTTCTGCAGACGTTGTTTGAGTCGGAGGGCCGATCTGGAGAGGAGTGAATAGCAGGCATTTGACGATTGATCAGTACTCTACTTTCTGTTGATACAATAAAAGCCGTTTCTTGCAAGAGATCTGACCGAACGCGACCTTCTCTTATGCGGAAGTTATGAAATGAGAATATAAAGAGATTAGGACTGGTATGAATAAATAACACTCGTAAAGGAACAAGCAGAAAGAGTGATACTCAAAGCCTAGTAGTCGAAGGGCATAGAACTTGACAAGATAAATAGTCTTTTCCAGTGGTACCAATCCTCTCGTTAACATTTTCGTCCGTCAAGACATCAACTGCCGAGGGCTTCTTACACATCGCCTTGACTCCTATTGCATTATAAGGCTGTATGCATCTTCTATCAGCAGCATTGACCCCAGGTCGGTTGCTTTAATTTTGACAAAGAAGGATATGAGCGACTTGAGGTTCGCTACTGATACCACTTCAGGGTCAATGTATCCGCTCATTTTAAACTGCTGGCCAAAGCCTCTGTACTTCCACGTTCACTTTTGTAGTCAGAACCTCGCCCAGCCTTGATGCATAGACATCGCCGAGTTGGTTGTAGGCATAATGCACGAAAAAGCGTGTGGTCAGTATGTAGTACAAAGTTAATGTAAGAATGAACGCGTTTTTTTTTTTTTTTTTTTTTTTTTTTTTTGGAATGTCGAGCTCCTCTTCTCGGGCCTTCCAGTTTTCCTATCCCTTTATAATCTATTGTTGCCACTGCTGAAAGTGCAATTCCCTTCCTGTATTCAAGTGAGTTTTCATCATTTGTCGACGCGTACATGTTTTTCACAGGACTGAGGGCAAGAGGAACGCTCCTCACTCTCTCTATGTAAAAAAGTTTAGCTCCTTCGACGCATTTTCTACGGTCTTTTGGGAGTAGAAGAACAATCCAGCTTCTTCTAGGATCCTCGGTCGTTAACAGTTTGATTGCTATGGTACAAGTTTTATTAGGTCCTTTTTTTTTTTTTTTTTTTTTTTTTTTTTTGTGGTATCAGATTCGAGTACTACCAGAACTGTATGACCTGTGATGATGATTATGTCCGATAAGGTTCCAGCTTTCTGATTACATCGAGGGATACAGCCAGGCATACGATTGTCAATGGTCCTCCTTTACTACACAAATCAAATAAAAATAAAAATAAAAATATGGTGTTAGAGATGTAAGTGTTAAGGACAGTGAAAGCCAACAACATTGTGTCCCAGCCTACATACCTTCTTTCCACTTTTGCGGCCACGGGCCGGAGTACTAGCCGGTTCAGCCTTTGCACGCGTCGCACGTCGGGTGGATGAACCTGTTGTAGAACCCGAAGTCCTTGGACTCGGAGTCTCGTTCACGTCCGATTTCTTGGTTGCCCTTGAGATGCGCCGCTTCCTTGGCACTAATTGTCCCGAAAGAGATAGAGATAAAGAGAGAGAATCAGAGCGAGAGAAAGAGAGAAAGAGAGAAAGAGATCCCTGTTAGTTTCAACAAAACATTGCTTGGTTATGTTCAGGACTATGCATGAAAGACGTACAATCGTCTTCATCCGGTGATGACGCGCGACTCGAATCGGTCTGCGATCCCTCTCGGTGGGCCCGTGTGGTTCTCATGGGTGATGGTGATGATTTCCTGGACGGGTCTGGTGCCACTTCTGGCACAAGGTGGTCGAATTCATGAAGGGGTAATACGAACTCTTCGCTGTTCTTGAAGCTGATACCCTGCTCCTCGTCCTCGTCCTCTTCATCGCCTTCATCCTCGTCCACAAACATTCCAGAATCCTCCTATGGAAGTGATGCGACAGTCAGTTAAGTGCTCACGTTTCTGTGATATCCTGAGATAGCTTCAAGTAGCGAGAAGTGCTGATGAGAAAAAAGAACATACCCGCTCGTCCAATGTTTGTAGGTCGTACATTGTGCCCAATTTCTCCCATAGCTCGGCTATCGCGCACGGTGTCGGTGAATGCTTGTTGAAGTGTTTGTGGAGGTTGATCATCCGAAAGTGTTTGTGCATCCCTAAAACACGAAGCATTCAATCAAGTCGTCATTAGTCCATGCTTCCAAGGCACTTGCAGGGATAGACGTTTAAAGGGATCTCTGTCGCCTTGGTATCTCATTTGAGCGATCCGTACCGACGGGTTTAAATTTGATGGCGGCATAGAATAACGCCATTTCCATGGTCTCGTCCCACTTGTTCTCTGTAGTTGACATTTCCTCGTCCGGCATGTTGGCGATGTGCGGCTGTAACTTGATGATCAGAGTGTGCAACATGCTTTCCAGAGTACGCTGTTTTTGTCAAGTCTGGACAGTCACTCTTGCAAATTGGTGGCAAAATAATACTTTATTGCCATCTATCACTCCCACCCAACGCCCTGTCGCCGCTCGTCTTCCCAACGCTTGAACCACTCCGTCATGGCATGCCGGCCATTCTCGCTTCCCACGCCGACTGTTGGTATGATTCTGGCGATATTAAGGGACCGAACAAACCCTGCGAGTTCATTAAAGCTAGAGTGTTCCGAATACGGAACAGGGTATATCTTGACCATAGGAGACGTAAAACTGGGCTTGAGCTCCAGACTCGTCGGTGTTGGTGTCCGGGGCTGCTCATTCGATCTGTTGTCCGCAGACGTGAATTTTCTCGAACCAGTGAATGTCCACCCTGTAGGTCGAATGGCGATAAGACGTGTGAAGGTCGGCGCAAGCGCATCGAGATAGTCCTGCAGTGATTCCGGCGACATGTCGGAGCCCATATGTACCAGGTGCACCTGCGCCTCCAGTCGATCCCTGGTCAGCATACCCATGAGCTCCTGATCTTCAAGACATCCTAAAATCTGCAGCTTCGAATGCTGAACAAAGACCTTGCTCTTGATGGCTTTGGCGATTGCCTTGAAGACACGCTCCTTGCCAATCAGATACGTGCCTACGCAAATGACGACCTTGCTCCTATCCATAGGCTCCTGCCATCTTTGCTTTGCTTTTATGCTCTGCGACGTCTTGGTCGACATTAACTGCAGTTTCTCGCTGTTTCCGGATTCCATCTTTAGCCAGGTCTCCATAAAATTCAGTCTTTTGGTGATCTGGACCACTGGCGCAGTGATGGCGGCATCGTTGTTAATACCTAGCTCCCTGCAAACAAGATTGGCTGTCTCTCGAATAACAAGTTCCTGAGATGGGAAAGTGTATCGAGGGTTACTGTAAGTCGTATCGAGATAGAGAATGTCGATCGGAATATTTTGTGGCTGACGAAGGATCGGGTCCACACACATTTCTGGGCATGCTCTAAAATCGCCTGTGTGAAGGTAGCGCCTCCGTGGATTCTCCAAATCGAACACAAACAGGACCGATCCAGGGCAATGGTTGGCATCCATGAGTCTGACCGTAACACCATTGACGGCAGTAGGCACGCACATGGGCAACCTGTTGACGTATTTGGAGTCTACCCCGAGGCGACTGATGACGAGATTTGCTGTGATACTGGAGCAATAAATTGGTCCATGGTCCCATGTCGATGTCAGGCCGCCGTAATGATCTGAATGGAAGTGGGATAGAAAATAGGCATCGCAGCCTTCCACTGCTCCATAACAAAATGCGTCAACTGTGAAGCTGGTATCTATTTCAGAAGATCAGGATAGCATTAAAAATCGGCAATTAAACTGGTTCAAGGTAATATGATTCATGCAGGTCCTTTGGATTTACTGGGCATCTTCTTGTAAAAAGGGCATGGTCTAGGGGCTTTTCGTTTGGATTGCCATTTGTTGATGGGTTTGCTGATGGAGGTGGATGGTTTCGGAGCTGGGGTGCTAGTGCTGCTCCCTAAACGCGGTTGAAAATTGGTGACAGCGGAGCGAATGGTTCCGATGATGGATGTCAATTGGTTCCCGAGCGATGTCTGTCCTGTTGCTTCTGATTCTGGTGCTAGTACTGCAGGCACTGGGTCAGATGCCACTCCATCTAGGCATCGGTTCACATGCGCATTGGGTGTCTAACAACAGCAAATGAAGTAAAGTATTAGTCTATCGATATTAAGATAATGTCTTACATCAAATACACATGCCGCTGTTTCTCTGTATACCATGGTATTGAGCTTCGACAAGTCCAGGCCACAGATAGGGCATGCATTCTCTAGTACCGGATCCACAGTAGGGTATGGGCCAAAGTCGTTTTGAAACCCATCCATACCCCAGTCTTGAATCTCATCATCATTGGGAAACTCGCCACGATCCACTCCCTCCCCCTCGTCCTCGTCGCAGTCCGGGTCATGGGCAGGGTTGGTTAAGGATTCGGATGGCTGGCCGGTTTCCACGATCGCTTCTTCTTCGGTGCTTTCCTGACAATGCACTGCCTCTAGAGCTGCAGAACCTGCATAACGTCTGCCAGGGTCGTCATCTGCTTCTTCTGCTTCCTGTATGAATCTCGTAATCTTGATATCTGTCGAGCTGAAATTGATCTCTGCCGCTCCTGTACGGATTGCAACGGAGCCACCCTCAACTTCTGAGTCAATGCCCTCTTGAAGACAACGCTCTTTCTGGTCCTCGTAATCTGGAAGGGGTGGTGAGTCCCATAGCTCTGAGCTCTTTGGCGAGGTGATGCGGGTTTCAGAGGCCGACTCAGTAATGGCTCCAACCGTTCCTGCGCTTCGAGTGCCCTGTGTAGTGTCCTGCTGGCCGCTCTGGGTGTCCTCTGCTGTGGTGCCAGTTCTCGGTAGGATTGTTGGGATCGCTGACGTCGTTGGTATGGAAGTGCTGCCTGAAGCAGCGATGCTGCACCCCTTGGTCCCTGCTCCTGTTTCTGAGTTTGAGTTTGAGAAAGACGAAGGAGAGGAGAGGCGGGGCAGTGGTCTGCGAAAGGAGAGGGTTCGTTTTTTCTTTGTGGAGGGTTGCTCTCTGACATTGATTTCGAAGCCGCTCTGAGATTCTACAAGGTCATGCTTTCGTTGGTTCTTGTCCATGTGTGTCCTTGGCTCCTGGTTGCTGCTGCTGCTGTTGCTGTTGCTGTTGGTGATGGTGATAGTGATAGTGATAGTGTGTTGTTGCAGCGATGTGTTGCGAATGGTTACTTTTTTGGTGGGTTTGGTCACCGAGAAGAGAGGAGCTGATGCATGATGTCGATGATGTTCAAGCGGGTGAAGAGATGGCGTCCCCGGTCAATTGACAAAGTGGAGCAGAAAGAGCGGGGATAGACTTTCCATTTTTGGCAGGGCATTATTTTATAGGCTATGACACGGAAAATTTAGCCAATGAGTGAAGAGGAGAATCCAAGAGAAGGGACCGGTAGTCTCCAAAGAGAAGAAGATCAAGAAGAAGGTCCGGAAGAAGAGAGGATGAAGGGGATGGGATGCGAGGTGCATAGGACCAAGGACAGGAGGGCAGGAGGTAATAGATCCGCAAAGGTGACGGAAGAGAGGAAGGACTACCCCTGGTCCTCACTGTCGACTGCTGCTGTTCAATGCACGGTATTGTATTTCTTTGGATGTGGATGCATTGAGTGGTGTGGTTGTTGTTTGTCTTGGATCGATAGACACACAGATATTTATTTTTGGTGCGTTGTATAATACATGAACATACATGCTGCAGTGTGCGTCATTCGGGATGCATCTATTTTTTTTTTCCTTTTTCCCTTTCTGCCGCACCTGGTTGGGTCGCCAGCAAACCGACTGCGACCAACTAAAAAAAACGAAATAAAAAGACCAGCATCCCACACCCACTCTCCCTCTTTTTTTTTTTTTTTTCTTCTTCCTCAGCTCAACTCTTTTTCACTCCTCGCCCCTCCCACTCTTTCCTTCCTTCCCCTGTACACTACCTCCACTGCCACCAACCACACCTACAACCCCATTCTCTTTCCTGTAACACTTCCTGTACATCACCCTTCCTATTCCTCCCTTCAACCTCTTGTAACAGCCCCAACAATGGAAGACAACAACACCTCCCAGAACGTGCCCATCACCTGCGCTAATGGCTGTGGCTTCTACGGGTAAGCACTATTGCTCCATCCTCTATCTCTTATTGTTCCCTGCTATGCCTGCTTCCTTCAATCGCTGTGCGTGTGTAAGGCGGTCGCCTTCTGCCCCACTCCACAGACTGGTTGAATGACCTCTACACAAAGAGCACACCCCTCTTTTTTGCACCCCTTGCCCTCTTGCCCTCTCCCTCACTATTCCATCGATTGCTTTGCTGTATCCTTGCTGGTATGCTCAGCAATTGAATGTGGTTTCCTCCCCCTCCCCCCTACAGATATATCCGATGGTCTTTGCCCTGAAAATGCAATTGGCCTCGTAATCGCATCCAAAGGGAAACAATCACACCTTAGACCCTATTGCCCTCATTGTCACCTATAAGTATTTATCATTCCTTTACTGCTGCTTCTTCAAACGAAGAAAGTCGCCTCTATCTGAACCGGGCAATGGGACAATGAGGCGATGTGGTGATGGCTCTCTTTTTTTATTATTTGATTGTTACTGTATCTGCATCTTTTCAGTACAGTCATCGATTATTCTCTTAACACCTGTCCGCGTGATCTCTGATCTCTTCATCGCCTGACCAAATGAGCCTTCCTTGAACGAATTGACTAATCCTTCGATGCTGTTCTGTCTTTTTTTTATGTGTGACCATATAATAGGAACCCCATCAGCAATAACATGTGCTCAAAGTGCTTCAAGGAGGTCAGCCAGAAGAACAATAATACTGCTGCCGCCAGCAGTGGCGCCACTTCAGCATCAAAACAGACAGGGCCTGAGCTGCCTCTGACCCATCTAGCCCCTGCCGCAGCCTCGCCCCCAACATCGAACTCCACCTCTCCAGCACCAGCACAGCCCTCATCAAGACCAGTAGTAGTGCAGCAGCAACCACAACCATCACAACCTCTCGTCCATCTCACACCCTCACCGGCAGTACCATCATCATCTCAAGCACCGGACTGCCCCGCTCCAGGTGAGCGGCCAGTTCAGGCCAACAAGGGACGATGCTTCATGTGTCGAGCAAAGGTACGGTTTTTATCACTCAAGTTGTAGTTTCATTGACGACTTTGATAGCTATTTGCCATTACGGTATGAAGCTAATCAAGTCTTTACTCTTATGCTTGTCAACTCATAGATCCCACTCGCGAAGCAGGCTATCAACAAGTGTCGATGTGAATATGTGTTCTGCGACACACACAAGGGAATCGACAAGCACGATTGCGACTTTGATTATGCCAGCATGGGCAAGGAGTTGCTGACCAAGGCGAACCCCAAGTTGAACGACAAGCCCCGGGGCGGCCGTAGCTTTACTCGCATGGACTAAAAGAGCCGTCGAAAAGATCTGTTGCTGTAGTCCCACTCCCACTTATCTCGTACAATTGCTGTTATACAAGATCGACTTTCAATAAATAGATGCAATTGATACGCATACGTGAGTTACAGATGCCTGTAGATGGCGATGGTGCATAGGCGACCAACGGGGAATGGTTGCCGCCAAAAAAAACGGTTGCGTTCCAAAAGTCACAACCATGACTGTCTGTGCGAACAAGTACATCCTAAAAAGGGAATCAAGCGTTCATATGCCATGTGGCAAAGATAGATACTGACTAGGAATGTCATGGCGATTAATAATCCAGCCCGACCCAATGAGCAGAGACTCCTTCATGAACACCATGGGATGCCATTTTTGTGCCACTGTAGCTCAGTCATAGCGCGCTACAGCAGAAATATGAGCTCATTATTGCTATCCATCCCAGGCAGGGCTATCGCACCCTTCCGCAAAGACATTACTAAGCGCTTCCTTTGGCGCCTGTTCTGCATAATTTACGATCGCGTATAAACGAGCAGATGGACGCATTACGCAAAAAGAAAAGAAAAGAAGAAACCCAAGCATTCAGTGCCGTATAAATACCATTGTGGATTCTCACTCCCTTATCCACTTTTTTGATACAGAACACCCTTCACTCTCTCACGCACGCACTCAATCCAAACACTACTCTCGTACCTATTCCCTCAGCTGTATAACAGACAAATCCTTTTGCAATGGCCGCATCAAAAAAAATTCTCTTTATCTTGACTTCCCACGACCAATTGGGCGACACTGGCAAGAAGACCGGCTGGTATGCTGAGGAAGTCGCCGAGCCCGCCGACATCCTCACCAAGTACGGTTATGAAATCGTCTTTGCTTCACCCAAGGGAGGCAAGGCCCCCCTCGATCCTAGCTCTATCGAAGCTGCCAAGGTAAAATAAGGACTCCTGCCATCCTTTTTCTTTTTGTATCCGTGTGAATGCGCTATCTTCTCAATGCACTCACAAGTTGTGGCAACTTTTCTAACTATCTATTGTGCATCCCACGATTTCAACTCCCACAGGACAACAAGACGGTCAAGGATTTTTTGAACGATAAGAACATCATCCACAAGATCGATAACACCCACAAGATCGAGGAATTCATTGGTAAGGAGTCCGAATTCGCAGCCGTAGTCTACCCCGGTGGCCACGGACCTATGTTTGATCTCGAGCATAACGAGGCTGCGCTCAAGGTCACCGCTGCCGCTTATGAGGCCGGCAAGGTCGTCGCTGCTGTCTGCCACGGACCCATTGCATTGACGGACGTCAAGCTCTCGGACGGTACCCTCCTGGTCCAGGGCAAGAACGTCACCGGATTCAGTGATGACGAGGAAAGGTCTAGCAAACTCGATCATGGTAAGAAATAGACGTCTAAATGCGAACACTTTTTTTAATTTTTGGTATGAAACTAACACCTCGTAATTGTGATTCATTCGCGTATGATGTAGCCATCCCAACCCTGTTGGAGTCCAAGCTCAAGAAGATTGGTGCCAAGTACCAAAAGGCCGACGAGCAGTGGGGCGTCAAGGTCGTCACCGATGGTCGTATTGTCACCGGACAGAACCCTGCCAGTGCTCCTGGATTCGGAGAGGCCATCCACGCCGCCATCCAGGCCCAGCACAAGTAGAAAATACCATTGCGACTCTCAAAAAAAGACAACATCAATGCAGGATGGGAGGCGAGCGATGTCTGCATCTGTAAATAAAAACCTATCAGAATTGATCCATTCATGACAGCAAAGAAGAATGATAAGTCGTGTAACAGCAACACCCTGCATGGTATGTGTGAGCCGTCTAGTCATGCATATGGAGAAACGCGAACGCGATGCTCTGTGCTGTGCAGCTGATAAACCCATCGGCATCTAGAGTCAGCTCTCAATGGCACACGCACCTGGGAATGTGTTGGAATGTCATCATATTGAAGAGAAACGAAACCGCTGAAAAACTGGGCAGAGACATTCCTGCCGTCATTTTCGGGGCGGGGTCCGAGCGAAATCATCGATGTGGCTTGAATACGGTGCATCAAGGTTGTGGTTGTGTAGTTGTGCAGTGTATGGAGTGAGGTCGTTAGTCTATTGCTGCACACGGCATGTGTGTACGAGGATGGTGGCGTGTGGCGATGTCGAAAGTTACCCGTTTTGTTTCGTTGTGTCCCCTCCGGAAACGGCAGCAAAGATAACAGAAACTGAGCTGGGAAGGTGCAATTGCAATTGCAATCAATCAATAGTATATTATTTTCAGTTCAAAATAGTCCAACTCCGCAAGTCCAACTCCAACGCAAGGAGGACACACGAGCCAGAAAGGAGCAGAACAGCCCCTCTTATCTTTCCACACACGGGCACACACGTACACAGAAGCTGGAGACACAGACACGTATGGATCGTAGAGTGGAGGACGAAAGAAGGAGAGATGCAGCTGGGGTCGTCCCTTGGCCGAGGATGGAGGGGTGGGGCCGTGGAGGCACCCGTGTACGTGTGTGATATACGCGACTGTATGTGGAGTGCGTAGACGACGAGAGGAGGAGGGAACGGTTGTCCGCGGGAATAAAGGAAAGGAGGCGGACCCACAAAAGGACGGAGGGCAAGGTGCACATGTCAGCCGAGGAAGTGAATACTCGACGGTGGCCCTGGTGGCCGCATTGCCCTTTGGATGGGCTGAGAAGAGAGGATATGCGATGCGGCACCTGCTCCCCTGCTCCCGTCAGCGGCCCTCTTTTCTTCCCGCCCGCCTCTCTCTTCTTCCTTTCCTTCTCTTCTTTCCTTCCTTCCTTCCTTCCTTCCTTCCTTCTTTCTCTTCCCACCCTTACAACCCCCTCCCTCGCCCAAACTCTCATCCCTATCGCCCGTTCTAACCATGGAGGCCGTTCAAGTCAAAGGTAAACCACCGCCCCACACCATCCTCGCTTTCTTTCTTCAGCAAGGACCGAACTCAATCACCCCAACCTAAACAAGCAAGTGGCAATGGCGTCGTTCGCGGAAGTTGATCCGAGTCCAAACTGGAATCCCTCCATGACTACCAGATTCCGAATCCGTTGCGAACTCGAGACATACTCGAATCTCGTTCTTTCTCGCGGTCTTTCAGTTCTCACGGGGAGGAATCCTGGAATCTCAACTGAAACGACCGTGGTGTGCACCCTATCCTTCTCAGCACACATACACGCCAATTGAACAGCGCGCAGGGGAAAATAATAACAATAGCTCTGTTCCTGAAAATAAAGTAAACAGCCGACACTAACCAACTATTAACCATCTCTTGCTCGATTAGTTCGTTACTACAATGCCCAGCTCGACAAGGAGTTGAGCAAGTACCCTCAGCTGAACCAGTTCCAGGCTGTGACCGGAGTCCCAAAGACCTACGTCGTCGTCGGTGCTGGAGCATTCGTCTTCTTGATGATCTTCTTCAACTTTGCCGGAAAGCTCCTCTCCAACCTCCTCGGATGGGTCTACCCCGCCTATCGCTCCTTCAAGGCCTTGGAGACCCCTCAGACTGATGATGACAAGCAGTGGTTGACTTACTGGTATGGCTTTCCTTCATAATCATCTTGGTCTTGGCAAGGGAATCAAACATAGTGTCCTGATAACGGATACCTTTTTCGAATGCAAATAGGACCGTCTACGGATTCGTCTCGATCCTCGAGTCCTTCACCGACATCCTTCTGTACTGGTTCCCCTTCTACTTCTTCCTCAAGACCGTCTTTCTTCTTTGGCTCATGATTCCCTCCTTCAACGTAAGTGGCATAATTTGTTCTCGGCTCAAAGAAACTCCCTGCCCTTGCTCCCTTTTAATTATGTACTAACGTGTCATTATACCGACCCCTCCTTGACCGTACACTTTCCAAATGTTTATCATATAGGGAGCTGCCACTATCTACAACCGTGTCCTCCGCCCCTTCCTGGTCCAGCACAAGTCTGAGATTGATGCTTCGTACCAGAACTTGAAGGCCAAGGTCTCGGCTGTTGCCTCTGAGTTCGACGGCAGCGCCACCTCCACCTCCACCTCCACCACCACCACCTTCACCGCTACCCAATAAACCGGTAAAATATTCTCTTGGCGCGGCTCGGCTTATGAACAGCGCTTCTCATCTCTCCCCCCCTCTCTCTCTCTCGTTTTTACCTCAGCATTTTGTTTGTATTGTCGACTTCATTAAAACATTCATTCAATTGACCCCCAAAAATGTGTGCTATTGATAACCATGGTCATAGTTCACGAGAAATATGAGGATGAGGATATATTAAATTGATTAATTGATTTGGGACGCAATATCTGTGTGTGCGTGTGTTTCTTTTTTCTTTTCTTTTTTTTTATTGTATTTCCTCTGTCCAATTGTTCTTTTCTTTCTTGTCCGTGTCTGATATTACTTCCTACCGCCAGTAGCGGGCTGTTGCCTTTCGCGTCGAGCGGCGTCTTGGAGCAGTGCCGTGTCGACTGATGCTGCGGGTAATTGGACATAGCGAACAACCGACCCACGGATAAAGCAGTTCTTAACAGCGAGCTGTGTGTTGTAGAGAGGAGCAAAGAGGTCGTTGGACGTTAAATGGTGCTGGCGAGGAAACAGATCTGAATGGGCCCGACGTAATTCGATTGTTTGGAAGATCCTTGACGGTACAGCATGCTATCTATATTGTTCGGTTTGCTCAGGATTGTCCTGTTCCGTGTTCACAGCCTCTTTCAGAGACGGCTGTCCTGGTAATACGCTCCATGACAATCATTCGGCAAAGCGAATGTTGAGTCCTGACAGACTGTAGGGACTGCGGGTGTCCTCCTCACCAGTGATCCTTACGCTTCAATTGTCGCACATCCACGAAACGTCCCTTTCCATAGCGATCCTGTCATCGATCCTCGATAATAGTCCATCATCACATCTTTCCACAAAATAAAGAAGCAGCACGCCTTTGGTTCCATACCATATGTGGGTAACGTCCCTCGTCCACGACCTTGATATTATCGAGTTTGATGTTCAAGAACTGATCTACCGAGACCAGGACTCCTGTGATGGCCAAGTCGTTCTTGAGCTCGACCGTGACAGACTGACCGACGAGGGTCTTGAAGAACGAATAGAACAGCTAATAGTCGGTTTTCATATATCCCGCCGATAAAAAAGAAAAGAAGTGTGTGGTAATGGGTGTCAGTACGTGGTGCTTAGTGGTGCAGTGCGGGGTGTAGGATGTATGCGTGGTTTCGCGATCCTCGAGGCAGAGATCGCAAGAGTCGCCATGCACCGACAAGTTCACCTGCATCCGGGGTCCTCTTTGAGTCACCATTGCTTTGTGTACCGATTCAACCTACGCGTGCTCGTCAAACACTGGTACAGCACGTCGAATACTGGCACAGCACGTCGAACGCACTGGCAAAGGTCCTTCCAAGTGTCATGCCAGGTCATTGAATCCGATTATTGGTCCAAGTCCTGTCTCCTTTCAATATGGTCATATGGTCGAAAGCATGCTGGGGCTATCCTGGGGTACTAGGGTCTGGTTTTGTCTCCGTTGTGCATCTCGAAGCGAATGGGTTGCTCACCATGGTCTTCTCTATGTGTTGCTGGTGTAGTAAGTTGTAGATGGATGTGCTGTGTAAAGGCCCTTCTCCAAGTTCATTCCCTTCCCCCCCGCACGCGCAAGCCACTCTGCCTTGAACCTCTTGCATCACTTCTCGAACGGACCACCTCTTTCCCTTCCTTCTCTTTCTCATCGTCCGAAACGAATTCTCTCTTCTTCAGGCATTAGCACCAACAACGAGCGGAACACGATAATGCTAACTCCACCAGAACAGTTTGGCATCGTCGAGCCAGGGCTCTACCGGTCCGACACCCTGCATCCGTCCCACTTCCCCTTTATCCGCTCCCTCAACCTCAAGACCGCTCTCCTCCTCACGCCCGAACTGCCCTCCCGAGCCATGTCCAATTTCTTTGAAGAGAACAATATTCGACTGATCGATCTCGCCTTAGGGTCATGGAAGAATAATAACAATAATAGTACCAATAACAGTAATATCAATAGCAGCAACGCGAGCGGTAGTACCGCGGATGGACAGCAACAGGATTCAAGCACAGGATCCGGAGGAGGAGCAGGAGTCGGAGGAGGGAACAGCGTCGTCGCCTTGACGACAACGCCCTCGGTCCCTGCAGCACCGTTCCAGACGAGTTGGTGGAAACCATTGAGCGAAGAGCTCATCAAGGATGGACTGGAGATGGTCCTGGACGCGAACAATTATCCTATCATCGTTATGGACACGTCGGGGATCCACGAGATCGGCACGTTTATGGGCTGTCTCCGTCGACTTCAGCATTGGAATTTCAGTTCCATCATCGTCGAATACCGTGCCTACGCCGGGAACAAGGCCCGCTATGTGAACGAACAGTTTATCGAGCTCTTTGATATCGATTGGATCACCTTACCAGAGTGTCTACCTACCTGGTGGATCGAACAGGAGCAGATGTGGGTATGTCATTCGCGATCTTTTATGTTTCTTTTCTTTTTTTTTGTTGTTGTTGTGGAAATGCTAAGGTCTGCCATATGACTCACGCGGTGTTTTTATTTTATTTTTTATTTTATTTTATTTTATTTTTTTTCACTCAACTGCTTTAGCGCGAGGAGGAAGAAGAACGAGAGATGCAGTTGCAACAGGAGCGCGAGGCAGAGGCACAGCTACAGAATGAACGGCAGCAGCCAATGGCCATCGCTTCAGCTGACCCACCATCATTGTAGCCATTTGCATATTGTATAATAGTACACTTTTTTCCCTATCGCCCTGTACATCATAATATATCCATCAAAAGTTTTGTCCGCAAAAGTCAATAGGTCTTCCCGCTTATGAATTGGTATCTGTACAAATGATTTTATTGAATCGTCTCTTTCGGGCATTACGACAGGAATAGTAGATATATAACAAGTAGTGGTATTGGAAGGCTCTTGCTTAGGTCCTCTCTCTTCTGAGCTCTCGTTGTTGCTGAGGTTGGAGGTCGACGTATGGAACGATATCTTAAGAAAAAAAAATCGAACAAAACATACATGTTAGTTTTTGAAAGGATACCAGACATACAGGCTCTGGGGCGACGAAAACGATCCGGTATGATTTTCTTTACCTTGTAACTCGTTCCATGGGGACATGATACATGCGCCGGAGGAACAGGACGCTTGTCTATTGCCAGGATGTCAGGATTGAAAATAGCATACAGTTGGCTTCATGTGTCAAAGGAAGATGTGCACAATCATTCGCACTTTAGCGCTAGGTATCTCTGCTTACCCGTCGGGACCAGTAGCATCTCCATTCCAGTTGCTTATTCGACCATCCAGACCAAGTGCCGGGGTCAGGCTTCGGTTGGATGGGTTTGGAGATACCTTACCATCGTTGTCGTCCTTTCTTTGGCTGTCGGTGTCCTGAACAGATGATTCGAGAACCGGCGACGGCGTGGCGACCTGCTCATCATCGTCAACAACCTTGCCCTTGCCCTTCGTATCCTGTACCTGCTTCTCCGGCGAGACATCCTCCTGAACCATTAGCTCCTCGATTCTCAAGTCCAAGTGCTTCTCCGATCCCGATAACAATCCCGGATCTTCGCTCGTCTGAACCGACACCTCCTTCTCCTGGTCTTTATCATCCTTGTGCTTTTTTATCTTTTTACTCTTCTTGCCCTTCTCCTTCTGCCTCTTCTGTTTTTCGCCCGATCGGTTCAGCTTCCGAGCCTTCATCTTCGACGACCAATTCTTCCAGATCAAATAAGCCCCATACGGCGGGAAACACACACCCGCACACAACTTCTGAGGGGTCATCACAAACGCACCCCTCCATGTCTGCTGGCTACTGTACCGCTCCTGATACAGCTCCTGCCATAACTCTGCAGTCCTCACGAAATCCTGCTTTGTCATTGCGGATGTCGCCTGGACTGTATCATCATGGTTCAGCACCCTACCATAATGTACCAGCTGGTACTGCCGATAATGCGCCGGTGAGAGCATGTGGGTGTGCCACGCCAAATCGATATCCAACGTTGGAACCAGTGCATGTCGCCCCGGCTGTCCAGCTCCGAGACTCCCGCCTCCTGCACTCAGAGTCGTCATCCCTGCGACCATGGAGCCACTACCGCCTCCGCCTGTATGCTTACTCTCCGCACGGGCCAGGATCATGAATTTCTTGTACCGATCCAACGACCGCTGCAGTACCTGTGGCTGACACCATGCCTGTCCACCGGTGACCATCATGGCCTTTTGGAAATCCCGCTGACGCAATGCCCCGGCGACTAGATCCATGGATAACCGGTCTTCAATCAGACCCATGTACGAGCTCATGATCCGGGCAAGGGTCGTGGGGCGGATGCCATAGTACTGGTCGGGCCCTAGATCCTGGAATGCCTGGATGACCTTGGGCCAAGTGCAGTTCAGGGAGACAGAGGTTTGGTCTAGCCCGAACTGGATCCGAGGGTGAAAGAAGAGATGATGGTGCTCACGTTGGGCTGCAGTTGGATCCGCGGTTCCTGTCCATGGTGAGAGTAGGGACCCGCTAATGCCGTAGTGTATTCAAAATTAAGTTACCGTTAATAAATCAGGACGCGATAGACCCCTCTCTCCCTGACGCGCCAAACACATGCATTCTGGTATGTAAATCGCTTACGCAAGAAGCATTGAGGAATCTGCACGGTAGGCTTCGATCCCATCCCAGAGACGCTTCGATGATAGGGTCTCGAGACTGCACTGCGACCCACATCCCGCGCAATCGATCGACATGCCATCGATCCGGAATTTGATATACGTCGAACTGTCCATCACATTCGTTCCACCGCACCACAGGCATTGGATCTCGAACATCCGATCTGTATCATCCTTGTCCAGATCGAACGCCTCATCCGGGTATAGCTGCCGCCACATCTCCTTGCTCGGCAAGAACGCCTCATGGTCCGTTGTTGGGTTCTCAATATCGATCGAGGCCACCTAAGCAACCAATCATAGATCATGCGCATACACACACACAAAGACACAAAGACACAAAGACAAGTCGGAGAATCAGTACCCGGAACCAGAGATCATGCAGAACTTTGTCTCAACAACAGCAATTTAGAAGCATTTGTTTGGCTTACGTATCGCTCCAAAGGAAATGTATAGTTGAGCATATGTGGGCCATAGCTCCTGAGTAGGTCTTCATGATACCGAAAAGGCGCCAGCATATGCACCGTCCACATCAGTGCCACATCTAGATTTCGTGTGTTCATACCATTGAGCATTTTTTTTTTTTTTTTTTTGGTTATCTTCCGTGCATGCGTTTGCGTCTGCGCGTTTGAGTTTTTTCGGCGCGTTTTTTTTTTTTTTTTTTTTTTTTAATGAGTCTTCATAAAACTCTTGCCGCTTTGTACTCCCCTTGCCTCCCATTATCCATTATGCAAAACACCAAGAAAAAAAAAAAAAAAAAAAAAAAGGAACCGCATTCGCGCGCACATTTTTAAGAAACAAAACAGGAAAAACACAAACACACACATACACACACACACACACGCACACGCACACACACCTCCTCCATAACCCAAATACAAACTTACCTAACGGCGGCAACGGAATCGCATCCGTTGAAGGCTCTAGCTGCTGCAGTAGATCCAAGTACATCAGGTACCGCTCCTCCGATCGGATCAGGAACAAAAAGTCTAGGTCCTCGTCATCTACGATCACAAGGCTCTGTACCAGACGCAGCAGGCGCAGATGTGCCAGTAGAGTCGGGGGTGTGACGGATTCTAGACGTCAGAAAGTCAAAAGAAAAGAAGGGAGGGGGGTGAATAGACAAGGACGTGGCGGTTGTGAATAGAAGGAACAACGAAATGTAAGAACGAAGTTGGTCATTGTCAGGGCAGGGCAGGGCAAGGCACAAATTAATGCAAAATGCAAAAAGTAAATTAGCGGGCGAGTTGAAAATACCAGGAAAGGAATGCGGAGGCCAGGGAAAAATAAAAAATGAACGGTAGCAGGATCATATTCAAAGAGACCCTCGCAGAGAGCCAGCATGAACACAGGTAGGTACACACAGCTCTTTTCATGAAGGAAATGGACCCTCTTTTACCTTCAAGATGGCACTTGCTGTTGATGGGGCCGACTCTGGTGGATCCTCCTTGGCTCCGTAGTATTGGTTCTGCTGATATTGAGTCCCGTCGTGCCTGTTGCTGTTGCGCTTGCCCTTGTACACCATCAGCCCATCCAATACTATTCCTAGGCTGCTGCGGCTTTGGCTCCGATGGCGTGCCGTCAAGAGTAACACTGTTCCAATCATTCGTCTGTCGATCTGATGAATCTGTAGGCTTTGCCGGCCCAAAGGTAGGCCCATGACTGGAACTAGTCGCCTCTGTTGCTGATGTTGGTGTTGATGTTGTTGCTGGAATGGTCATCTTTTTTTGCTTGTGAAAGAGGGGTTCGGGATAAAAGTGATAATATCGATTTTGGTTCTGACGAGGAAAGACCCGTGCTAGCTTGCTGTGTCTTGGTTTATAACGTTGAGGGTGAGGAGAAACAGTGAAAGACGGGCCTTGATTGGAATGAGGATTGTTGTGCTGTTGCAACTGGTGTTGATGATAGAGACGAGTGTTCTCGCGTGAATGTTGGTGCTGATGGACCTGGAAATCAAGATCGGCCGAGTTCGTTAGGGCGGTTTTTTTGTTGGTCGAAGCCTTGAAGTAGCTGCCAGGGATATCGTTCAGGACCGAATGGTAGCCGTACAGATTGGACTGGCTATGATGGCTCTTTTGTCGAGAGTGTTGCCGAGAGTGGGGATGGTCGATTGATGAGGAGGTCTTGGAGTGCTGTCGCGAGTGCGGATTCGAGTACGGTTGCGAAGAAGAGTGCTGTCGGGAATGTTGCCGAGAATGGTATCCCCTCACGGTTCCTAAGGTGGCCTTAGCTCTGGCTTTAGCGATGCCCTTGACCTGTTGCGTTGTCTGTGCCTGGCGGGTTGCTGCCAGAAAGGGGTCTAGTTGTTCAGAAAAAGATTTCGCACGGCGCTTTTCGTTCAGCTCCTGGCTGGTGGGGATGATGGGGAGGAGTTGTGAGGTCGTTGTCGAGGTCGTGAAGAAGAGAAAGTAGAAGGAGACGTAGAGACAGAGCGTCAAATAAAAGTTGGATGGAGTTCCTTGGTCCATCCAGGAAAGAATAGAGAAGCGCGTGCTAAAGTATTGAATACAAGATCATAAGAGGTAGAGGAGAGGATACGGTCGTCATGCACTGGATGGTATGGTTCCGTGAAAATAAAAATAAATAGGTTGCTTCGAGGGTGTTCCGTTCCTGTTAGGCTAGGTGTGTATGACGGGCGTGGAGAGGGTGGACGGGTAGACTCGATGGTCGTCGGTTCGTTCGTTGGTTGCGTATGCTGGTCGGGCACAAGCGCAGGGGGGCGGGAATGGAGAGGGGGTGGTGCGGCCGGAGATAAGTAAGGTTCTGGATGGGGCAGCAAAGAGATGCGTATTTTGCAATGAAGATGCTGGCCCCTCTCTCCTGGATCCTGCGATCCACTGTGCAATTCTGTTGAGTTATTACACGCGTGTGTCCGTTTTATTCTCTTCCCGGCAGCTGAAATTCTGTTTTCCGTGTGTGCCTGAGGACATTCATGCACTAGTCCAGCTTCAGCATCACACAACTCAAACTTCGCTTTTTAGACGCTGCAGAATAAACAAGATCGAGGGAGAGAGGAACACTCAAAACGTGAGGCGAGAGGGGAATGAGGGATCGGTTGTATGCCACGAGTCAAGGAGCTATGCGGCCAGCGAAGGGATCGGAAAAAAAGAAGGGAGAAGGACGAAGGACGAAGTGGTCGAGGAGAAAAAAAAAAAAAAAAAAAAAAGAAACCGCGGAGTGAGAACAAGTAGATGGTATGGTATGTTATATGTTGTGATATATGTCATGCACGGCGACAGAGGAACAAAGGAAGCGTGGGCATAAATGTTGTACCAACAGGAACAGGAACAGGAGCAGGAACAGGAACAGGAACAGGAACAGGAACAGGAGCAGGAGCAGAAAGAAGTAAAAGCGAGGGAAATGAAGAGTCTTTAAGTCCTTAACATACCGTGCAGGGTCATCGGCCCTCTACTCTCAACAATAACGATACAACAACTTTGAACCCCTGAGAAGGCAGCTCTTTTCGCTTCCGCTTCCACTGCATGCTGTTTTGTTATCATTCGAGCAAGGCTAGACACGCGGTATTGCGCACTGTTGGCGGCAAAAGAAGTGGACACGCGCTTACAGTGCAAATCCTCAGCTCAAGCTGCGACGCCTCTTCTTGCTGACATTAGTCTATTCCACCCCTATCCTGAGCCCGTGTGTCAGACACACCAGTCTACCCACGCCGTTGCAAAAAGCAACAGCAGCAGCAGCAGCAGCAGCAGCAACTGTAGCAACCAACAATCAACAAAGGACAGCATGACCTGGTCACTCATCTCGGTGTTCCCAGCCTTTACCCCAACAGCCATATAGACGACCAGCGCTCTTTTTTTTGCCCCTTTTATTTCTTGTCCCACACCTCTTTCAAGAGCGCACCCCTTGTTTTGTTTTTTATTACCAGGCACTAAACATGGAGCCACATGGTGGTAGTGGTGGTGGTGGTGATGGCTGCGTGCAAGTATGCGTTGGGGTTGATGGGAGATGGACTTGTAGTGCCCGAGCTCTTTGGTAGTCCAGCATCCTAATCCCGGTTCCCTCTATTATTTCTCTAGATTTTTTTTCCCTAGACGACAGAGACACGACGCGACACGCTGTCGGAGGATGAAACCCAGGTGACTGCCTGAAACAGGTCTGGTTTCTAGCCATCGCGCCATCGCCATCGCTGCTTTCATGCCATTGACAACTCCTTCGCTATTGGCCCTCATCAATGGGACTCTCGCCCAGCCATGCGCCTCTTCTTTGTCTTCCTTGTCCTGCTGCAATGCGCCCTGCTCGCTGGATTGGGTTTCCTACCGACTGACCTGATTCCCTACCACGAGATCCTTCCCCAGGACAAGATCTTGCACTTCTCCGGCTTTTTTATCCTCACCTTCCTCACCTTCTTCATCTGGGACCGGCCGCGCCGCTTCTACAACGTCCTCTTGACCGCGATACCCATCGGAGCACTAGCCTTTGGATCTGAAATCCTTCAGCCGATCCTTTCGCCCGTAAGATCATACGCACAGCGTCTCCCTCTGTCCCTCGTCTTGACCGCTAATTCTCAGCAATTGACTTTCATACATCGCTTGTAGACAAGGGCGTACGATAGCCACGATATTGTTGCCAACGCCCTTGGAACCACTGCAGGACTCACCCTAGCGACTATTGCGGATCACATCCGAGAGGCACGATACTCTCGACAACAAGTTCGATACGAAGCCATCGAGATGGTGTGACGCAACAACACAGGCAAAGCTATAGCATGCAGCCTAAATGGCCCCTCATATCTCTACCAAATATCCTTAAGGCCAAGGATAAGAACAGGAGCAAGGACAAGGACAAGGACAGGAACAAGGATAAGGAAAGGAATGGACAGATCTGCGTATGCGCGGTTTTATTGTGTTGCCTATGCGCGCAATGCAATGTTGCAGCCCGAACATTGCATACACCATGCAGCATTTCTCCGCAGTGGCGTTGGATGGTCATGGTGAAACGAGAGAGAGAGAGAGAGAGAGAGAGAGAGAGAAAGAGAGAGAAAGAGAGGGAAAGCGCACACGCGCGCAGGAGGGCATTCGCATTCAAGGCGTAACATCAAAACCAAAGTCAATGTGGGTCATTTTCATTGACTAGCATGATGCAGATCGATCCAAGGCGTCGTTTCCATATGCATGTCAATAAAAAGCAATTAGACTGTCATCACACAAGCAATGTATGCAGGCTGCAAATGTTTATCATGATGTTGCAAAGGCTTTTTAAAGTACAAGGAATGAGCAAAGGAGTGGACTAGGGGGATATGAAGGGAAATGTCGACTTCAACGATGTATCAACACTAGCAATCAGCTTAAGACGATGGTCGAACAGGTCCAGTCGGGAACGCTGTCTTTGGGAGAGTGCCCCGTCGCTTCAGAGGCAAAGGCGAAGGTGAATCTACACCCCAATCCTGAACAGTGATAGATGGCTGATCGCCTTCAGACTCCTTCGCAGGTGAGAATGCCACCACCGTGGGCGTGCATGGTCGAAGCAGAGATGAAGCCGGCGAACTGACAGACTGAGGTGATGCAGAACGGCTCTTTGATGATGGTTGGGTGTCGACCTTGAGTCCTTGGATCTGCTTCTGCAAGGGCCCGTGTTCCTTGTTCACGTTCTCCTCTACTGTCTCTCCTGAAATGAACTCCGAAGACGGTGATTCTGTGTGAGGGTGTTGAGGCTCGCCTAGTGAAAAGTGCTCGACATCCTCCTCGAATAGATACGAGCGATCCGCAAAGGTGCCGTCGGGCCTTGGCAATTGGTACACGGGCTGTCCCATCCCTAACAAAGCCTTGACCAGATCGTCGGCCAGGTGCAAGGAGTTCGGTGGATCCTCTCGAATCTGAGTCCATCCTATGGGTGGTGAGCCCGGAGGAGATATCAGCCAGTTCTTTTCGAGCTCCGGTGGGTGCAGATAGCGTGTTGCAGGGTCGTGGGAGATCTCTGTGTGCTACAAAGCATAATTCAATTGCGTGTGCGCACCGCAAAGCAAAGGTTGGTTTAGATTCGAAACGAATATGACCACAAACAAAGCAACTGAAAGCATTTGAAAAGCGTTTGTAAGCGATTGCGCACAGATGATGCACAGAGCTGATGGTCCTCTAGAGAAATAAATACGCTGAAGGGAAACAGAACAGAGAGGCATTTTCGATTACCTGGCCAAAGTAGACGCGGAGGATGGCACCTTCGAACTCTGTGGTGTGGAGCTGCGCCTTAGCCTGTTGGGCGTCCGCGGTCGAATTGTAAACGATAAAGACACGGTAGAAGGACTTGATGGGTGCAAAGTAGTAGACTTCGCCAAAGGACTCTGCCTTGGTTTTCAGCCTCAGCATGGTCTCCTTCTCAAAGTGGGGTGCATCTAGGTTGGTGACAATGAGAGTATTTGTCGGGAGAGAAGGTGAGGGTGAGGTTGACTCTGACATCATGTGGTCAAGGTGTAGGTCGAATGAAAGCTAGTGATGCAAAAGGGAAACAAGATAGATGTGGTAAGAGTGAAGAGGTATGAAGGAAGCTTGTTCAAGAGGATTCTTGGCCATGGTTGCCCAAATTATCACGTGGATGCACACGCCCAGCTGGGACCAAGCTGAACTGTTGCTTTCTACTCATTCCCCTCCCGCTCGCTTTTTTGACGCCTTTTCATGCGCACAGCGGATCTCATCAACCTTTTGCGGAGTCAGGACAGGTCCAAGTCCTCCACCAAGGTCTGTCTCACCTCACTCGAGCCTGCCAGACGACTTCACCTCCTTGGCGAGCTCTCCAACTGGCTTCTAGTCGAGCTGCAAAAATACCACGATCGACAAGCAGGTCCCGCAGCCCTTGAAACTTTACAGCAAGGATCCATCCGCAGCCAGATCAGACATACCTTGCTTGCTATCCAAGTTGTTCTCGACACTTCAGACAACATTAACGGCAGTGGCGATGGTCGAAATCAAAACAGCAACGTCACAAACGGCGGATCGTCTGATGCCCTGATTGCTACAATATCGCACTCAACATCACCTCCAGATCCACAGTCGACGTCTGCCAAGGCAGCTCTGCTGCTCGACGACAAGCACAAGGAAAAGATTCTCGAGTCGCTTTTGAGACCCATCCTGATCGGAATCGCGCCATTGGGCCCCCGAGTCGACTCGACAGATGTTCAGCTTCTATGTGCAAAGATCCTCTGCCACTGCACCAACCCGCTCACCAAGGACGCGCCATTTCCCCCAGAAACACTCTTTCGAAAGATGATGACACTGTGTTTGGCGACAACACAGGGGCAGCAGCCTACGAAGTTGGATCAAGATCGAAGTAAGACGCCTTTGATGGTAGATGCAACACAAGGATTGGCAGCATTGCTAAATTCGCCGTTGATCAAACTGCAGGAATATGGTCTCCGGATATTGACCTCGCATCGATTTCTGGCGCAAATGAATCAGGCCTGGGAACTGCTGGCGTCATTACAACCTGTTTTGAAGGCACTTGGGAACAATCTGCGGCTGTTGACGGGCGAAAAATCATTGGACCTATCTGATCAGGGTTCGGATACCTCGGACGCCAACAATCAGCATTCAGGAGAGGGAGGACACCATGGTGGTACAAACGGAGGTCTGACAAGAGGACTGAGCAAGGATCTAGAGGTAGCGATAGGGACGCGTTCAAAGGCATTGACACTGCTGCAGTGGTTCCTGCAGGAAGCTGGGAAGCCGCCTCCTGCATCGTCTATACCGTCGTCCTCGTCGGCCAAACTGAGCAAGTTGAAAGAGGCGACCGACATGAGTCTGTTGGTGGATCTTTGGGGGTCGGTTCAGCATATTGTGTTGTTTGGTCGGGTGCTGGTCCCGGCGGGCGAACGATTGGTGCTAGTCATCAGTGCCTGTATATACTGGTGGTGCTGGATCTTTCAACACGATGCGATGGCGTACATGATGAACACGGCTCCGGACACCTTGATGGCCTGGTATGGATACTACATCATTCCACGCGACCGCATGCCGGCACCGGTATCATCCTCGACATTTTCACTACAGCCCTCTATGTCTTCGAAGAGCGACTCGGACAGGATCACGGACAACATCAGGCAACAGAGCTATATCCTGGAGTATCTTTCCAAACTAATTCAGAATATAGTCACGCCAAAGAAATATCACGCCACGCTCTTTGTTGGGAATCCACCTATCGGGGTCGTGATCATGCGCCGGACGATTGAATTCTTGGAAGGGATATTGGAATCGACTTTGCCATTGACAGACCAGGGCTCGAACCTGGATCAAGCAGCTTCACCGCCATTCACGCACGATGATGATCCCCTGCTTGTGCGCAAACGACCGGCCTCGTACTCTATTCGGATTATCCAGGAACGGCCGGGTGTCTTGGAGGCAATGCTGAGGATCATGGTCGCATGCTCTGGTGGCTCCCGAGAAGGTGACAGTCTAGTGCTGAACAGTCGATTGTTGGATGTCCTAGTGCTCTTACTGTCAGACATTCAAGGACTCTTTGCGATACAGCACTTGGCCGAGACAACCGCGCGAAAGATACGCCATCTCGCACTCAACCTTCTGCAATGGATCTTGAACCGCGACTCGCCATTACCAGCACTGGAGGATGTAACAATGGACCACTGGACACTAGGATATACAGCGCTCGTGGACTCGATCATGATCCCTCTGGAACAGCAATTCGACGCGGGATCGACGAGCGAGCATCAATATTCAGAAAAGACGTTGGACGATGACATGGGAGTAAAGGCGCTAAAGGTCTTCAGGTTGTTCTGGAAGCACCATATCAGGGGACATTCTCTACTATCGGATCTCCTGGGACCGCGATTGCACCAACTCAGGATGATACCTATCCTTCTTCTCAATTCAACCATGGACGTAACTGGCCGCAGGAGCTCAAATGCAAAGTGGGTGAAGGAACGGATCTTGCTATTACTGGATTCGGTGGTGTATTTCGGAACCGAGTCCAGCGTACGGATCAACATGCGAGAGCGGTGGCCATCGATGCCCTTCTTGGTGGCTATTCTCGGCGCCAGCTTGAAGAGTCTGGAGTCGAATAAATACAGTGCCAGCGATACGTTGAGCCTGATGGTGGCACAAAAGTGCTTTGCCGCACTTCACAACTTTTGGTATGATCGCCTCGGCCTGGTGCAAGCAATTGAGCTAAATGTCTCTCTGAGTGAGGTCGGCCTTTGGAATTCGTTGATGCCTTCTGCCGTCGCTTCCGGATCCCATTCGAACCTGTCGACACCCTCAATCGTTCCGCTGCTGCTTGTCATCCTTGCTCCACCAGAAACGGAATGGTCGATGGATCTTATGCTGAACTCTGGCAAGACGAATAGAGGACGAGGCAGGAGAATTCGACATCTACTTTTCGAGAGACACGACCCGTTGTTGGTGGAAGCAGCTCTGGTGTTGGCACAACTTTCTCAGTTCCAGGAGTGTCAGCAGCGCTTGATCACAATGCCCGGGGCGATCTGGATGCTGACCCGGATGATGGTCGAGCGGTCGCTAGTCGGCAACGTGGGTGGTGGCGCCAGTAATGGCGATATATCCAGCTTTGTGGACGGCGAACGCGAGGTGTTAGAGAAGACGTTGTTTGAAGGTCTGATGAGGGTGATGTCGGCGGTAGATCTGGCCAAGTCGCTGGTTTCGAACAACACCTTTACAGAGTTCTTTGCGGCCGTCCTGGAGGCTGATCTGCCTCTGCACTTTTACAACGCGAAGATGAGCTTTGAAGGTACGCGCGGCGTTATAACCATCTTACGATCTCTTATGTAATATGGGCATTCAGAATTGAGGTTTTATTTATTTTCTTCTTCTTGTTCTATCTCCCAGCCTCAGCATCCAATGGGACGTCTCTAACAGCGGAGGGCCCGGCTATCGGCGAGCTTAAGATCGCAGTGGACTCAGATCGAGTAAATAAACCTGCGGACCGAATTTTACCAACGCCCCGTCAACACAATTTCCATCAGCAGCTCATACAACACTTCCGGACAGTCATGACGCCTCTACGGGATCAATTCGAGCGCATCTATCAATATGTCGGAGGACACCGTTCCCTTCAGGATGCGAACGACACGGCGGATACAGTATTCTGGATGCGGGAGTACTGTGCACTTGTGTTTCTCTACACACTTGAACCGCCGGGTCCGAATTCTTCGATGGCGTGGGGTTCGAGGATCGATAAGACAGCGTTATTGAACTCGGAGTCTGTTTTCGGAGTTGTCTGCAGGATGCTGACACTTGAGATGGAATACGATCTTGTTGATGCCGATCAACAAGCCGCGGGGATGGAGGGTTCAGAACAGAACGAGGCGAACATGAGCGCACAAAAGGAAGAAGCGATGCTACGACGGTTTAGTGCCGGATTGGCGATCCAGTCCCTGAGTTGGAAGCATGTCGATCATTGGCGTCAGCAGCACCAGGAGCTGTTACGAACGTATGACAGTATCACAACCACGGAATGGGGGAGACACACTGTAACTCTGCGCGGTAATGACGGGCCTGAGCTTGGGTCCTCTACAGGACCCATCCCGGTCAGCTTCATGGTCGAGGAGCGTGTGCTGATCTTCCCTGATCGATTGGCCTTATCCCGTGCGTCTTCATTCTTTCACACGCTGCTCGTTGGAGATTTCAAAGAAGCCTCGGAGCAGCATATCCGGATTCAGGATGTGGACCCGGACGATTTCGAGATGCTATTGGAGGTCTTGAGAGAATCGCGGATGACGGTGCGACTACTCCTACCAGAGGATCTGCCGTTTGATTTGGTGTTACGGTTGATGGTTTGTGCGGAACGGTTCATGGTGACGTTCGTGAAGCGCCTGTCAGAGCACTGGATCCTGCAAGCACTTGGGACAAGAGAGCTAAAGTGGTATAACCTGATGAGATCGACGAGCCCCCGAAGCGAGAGTAGAGGACTTCCGGAGGATGCAGGGCAGAAAGCTAAGCATGATCGAGACGAAACTCTTGAAGAATCTCAGGAGAAAAGGCAACGGCTGGACACAAAAGCTGAGGAACAAAAGGTGGACATACGCTCTGAAGAACCTCATGAGACGCAGAAGCAAGGTGTGGATCGTGGACCCAAGACTGATATTGGCAACGAGTTGGCAGTGCCTAATCTTCAGCAGCAGCAGCAGCAGCAGCAGGAACAGTCAGACATGGACCCCGTACAGGACGACAGCAACGATGACGAAGAATCGATCCAGGAGTGTCTGTTGATGGTCTACGAGACTTGCTCGAGCCCTCACTACGGCAGCATCTACTTCTCAGAACACCCATTCCATGGCCTCGTGTGGGACGCCCTCAAGAGGACGGTGCTTCGACTCGGATCTGTGGCCATCACACCACGGTTCGCAACCATGCTCGACAAGGGAGGCGAGGAACGTATTGAAGATCTTCTACAGATCCTGTACGAGCTTGTTGTGGACAGTGTACCGTAGCAAAGCAAAGTATTACAGGCAATTTGATATTCTACATCAAATTGACAAACTCATGAGCAAAGAGGAGATACAGAGGAAAGAGGCACAGAATAATGTTGTTCCTGAGGTTCTTTTTATTAACAACATTTATTACGATGGTGGAGTTTCCTGGGGACATAATGATTCTTTTTCACAAAATTCGGGGTGGTCCTTTGTTTTTCTGTTACTGTTGCTGTTGCTGTTTCGCTTGTTGTTAGTTGTTTTCATGTTGTTTTCATTGCCCTGGTGGTGGATATGTTACATTCTCAATAAGAACTCTATGGCTGAATTAACGTCTCCTCCTGAGGCAAGCAGTGCTCGCACATTCCTGTTGTTATCTGAGAAGCCCATGTCACGCAGTGATGCCAGCTGCGTCTCGAACCGCTCTTCTGGCGGTTGGATCGATGCCACCGTTGTCGTTGGTGCAGCTATCGAAGCCGGTGCAATGGCATTGGTCGTCGTATTGGTGGTGGTGGTAGCGGCGTTGGTTGTCGAATTAGTGGTAGTATTAGTAGATGGGGTGCTGGTGGTATGGGTTGGATGGACAATTGAAGGTGCTCCGCGGAACCTAAGAGCATAAAAAAAAAAGATATAGAGAGAACATTAGAAAACATATGCCAGCAATTCATTGAAGGAAAAAATATAAAATAAAATAAAAAAGCTGTATTGAGACTCACATTGAATGGTAGGATGGGAAGCCAGGCATAGGAGATTGCGCCGAATCTTGTTGCTGCTGCTGTTGCTGCTGTTGCATCTGCCTCATCATCTGGTTGAATTGCATCATCTGTTGGAACGTCTCCGGGTTATTGCCCATCGGTGAGAAACCTTCGCCCATGCCCGGGAACCCAAACGGGTTCGCTTGGGACCCGCTCCCGAACCCCCCACCCGTCCTTTGACCCATCATCGCCCCAAAAGGGTTGGCGTTGCTGCCAGACTGTCCTGTTGCTCCAGCACCGGGTCCCTCCAGTCCTGCAAACGGATTGGCAAAAGGACTGAATCCACCTATCCCGCCTGGGGAATTTCCTCCCATGCCAGGCATTCCCATGAGCATTGATGGAGCTACAATTGATACACCATTCCAGATTAATATCACGAAGATTCTTTGGATGAAGAGCTCTATTTTCTGACCCGCACTAAAGTGATGACTTACATCGGGAGGCATTGCTCTGAGGTCTCTGCGGTGCCCATGGATTAGGGAGGGCCGTGGTATTGAGTTCTCCAGCATGTGGACGGGTGTCTGCGTTAAGTCGGGCTGCAAACCGTTCATTCAAGTCATCCGTTGAGGGCTCGGGCGCACTTCTCGAGGCCTCCATGGGCTCCTGGACACTGTGATACATCCGACGTAGATGGTTAAACCCTCCGGGGATCATCTCCAAGTTCGAAAGCGCCCGATCGTTGTTCCTCAATGCCTGCTTCATCAACTTTGGATTTCTGGCCATGTCCAACGACTATCCATAGGTAATGAATGCAGAAATGGGAGTGAGCATTTTAATAATTATGAAAATCCTCTGAGAATGGTAAGAATGAAATGGAAGGCGCTGCCCTTTTACCTGGCGAAGGAAAGAAGGATCATTGAGCATCTGGGCAACCTCAGGATTGTTTTCCATGACCTCACGTGTCTGTGGGTTCGCCATCATCATCCTCCGGACAACTTCTGGATTCGCCATCATGTCCTATCACAAGAAGTAGATATGTAAGAGGGATTGTCGATTTAAAAAAAGCCCTGCTTTTTCATGCCATTTTTCCTATGCATGTAAGCAAGTGTCCATGGCAGTTAGCTCCGCTTACTCTGATAGCCGGGTTCTCAAGAAGAGTCGACATGAAGCCCTACATGATATAAATGACACCACATGAGCAGGAAAAGAAGAGTGTCAGTAAACCAGCCAATAGTAGGAATACAATCTGTGGTAGTGAGTGTGCCGATTGACAGTCCATTTAACATCCTGTTGATCCCAACCTGAAAAGAATAATCCGATGAGAGGATATCTGTATGTGCGAGTGTGTCGATAGCGAGCGGTTTGTGATCGTTCAGCTGAGCTCCTGTGATTGTCCACACCGTCAGATGCACTTGCGTATTGCCACCACTGGATGACATGTATATCGCGCCATTAGGCGCACATGGTTATCCCTTGTCATGCTGCTGAGATAATCCGGTATGATGACTGGTGCCATGTCCACCCCATGTGCTGTTTCTCTTTGCTGCTTGTCTGCTGTCCGCTCCTTGAAAGTGGATGATCCGCAAAGAAAGAAAGAAAGAACCGATTGAAGTGGGGAAAGGGATTTGGATCGACAACAATGGTCTTTCATCCAGCAACATACGTGTTCATCGAATCCTTCTGGTCCTGGTGCATTGTTGCTGCTGTTGGGTCTAACAGTCTGGACGGCTTGCTCGTTGGCTCGGTTTGTTGCACTCTTGACCATGTGGATGGTGTGACCTTCCTTTATGGCTATGAGGGGGAGGTACCAATGCCAGAGGGTTAAAGATATGTATAAGCACAGCTGAAGTGAAAAAAACACTTGCGTAAACGGAGGGGGTTTTTTTTTTTTTGTTTCTGCAGCCATCATTACACAAAGGGGGACTACTAGCATTAGAATGCCATGTGCCATGTGTCATGTAGAACTCCAAATGCTCTTGGTGCTGACAACATGAGATACTGAGCAAAACATGAGCAAAGGTGCAACTTACAATAGACAGAAAGCTGATCCTCATCCTTGAGGACTCTGCCGGAGTAGACAAGTCGGATGGAGGCAGCGGGCAGGTCTGTGGTGGCGAGTTTCTCCTTGAGCTGGAGGACGGTTGAGTCGGTTGAGATGGCAGTGGTGAAGGTTGAGCCCGAGGATGGACGGATGGTGAGGAGAATGGCCTGCTGAGGGACACTGGACTCGGTTTCTTCCATTGTGTGAAGGTATATATATATATGTCAGGAAAGAACAGAAAAGCGAGAGCGAAGTGGTATGGAGACCAAGAACAAAGGCGAAATGAGAGTGAAGAGGAAGAAGACGAAGAAGGAGCAGCAGGTCCAAGCGACGAAGGAACTGAGGCTACGAGTGAAAAAGAGAGCGAGTGGCAAGGAAGGTGGTAAGAAGGGAAGGAACAATGGAGGGAATGGAAGGAAGGAAGGAGGAGGGGGGGAGTTGAAGAGGAAAGGATGGGTGGCAGAAGAAGCAGAAGAGAAGTACGTGTGTCCTGTCCCGCGATGAGCAATGTGATTGGATGGGGCCGACAACTAGAAAAATATATGAAAAGGCTGCTGCGTGCTTTTTGTTGCACATGCACTCCGAAAAGAAAGCGGGAAGCAGAAGAGCGTTGGTGAAAGTGCTTGTCATCAGCACCTCAAGCCCAACCATTCCAAGTTACCGCCATGAATATATAGCCTTCAATAAAAAAAACACGTATAGCTTTCAAGGGAGCCACGCATGTACACTCGACTTCTATATTGTTCTATGAAGTATATAAAAACGCAAAGACTCTTTATCCACGCACAAGTTGAAAGTTGGATAGAGGATGCTCCGCAGACCCCTCTCTCCCTCATAGACTCGATGGACTCGAGAGCCAGGAAAAACAAAAAATAAAAACATTTCTCTATCTCTATCTCTATCTGTCTCTGAAACCCCTACAACATGCCCAAGTGCGAATAGTACAAGAAAAACCACGACCGCAGACCTACTACGTACGCCTGAAAAGATATTTCATGTCACTATGTCGCTCGCTCATTTCGTATCGTAATAACCATAATGGGTAGTCTAAGGTGTGTTCATCTCATTCTTCCTTTTCTTTTGTTTGCACCTTACGAACCCAGCGGCGCGCTCCATCAAGTGCAATCCTTGTGAATGGCCAGTCGAAAATCTCCTTTCCAGTTGCTCGCGCAGCTCGAACCAAGCGCAGGAAGACTGAGGTCCCGGAGGAGAAGAGGAGCCCTGCTGTCCATGCTTCCCCAAAAAATCGGCAAAGGCCGACGTTTTGAAGGGGGGAGAAGGATCCAGTTGTTGATACGTCTCTGACAAAGCGGCAGATGGCTGATACCTATTAGAGACAAACATGAAGCAGAGGCTATCTTCTGGAACGAGGCACCAATGCACCACTAGTATATCTTTGGAGCGGTAGATGCCACATTTCGCGACATCATGCAGAAGTCTGTCGTCCAATATGATGGCAAGGTTATCGTATTTTTGGGGTGATTCTCGTCAAGTCTTACCAGTAATGCCTCGAGGAGCCCCTGACTAGATCGAGGACGCCTGCCTCAAGAGCTCTCGAAAGACCAGCCGCACGTACAGACATTGTCATTTTGGGAGAACATGCGAACAAGGGAAGATCCGCTCAACCGACCTTTCGCAAAGTGGTTGGTCGACATTGGTACGGAGCCAACAATGACTTCAACCACTCTGAGCACCCCAGTCGTAAAGCAGTTCATCAAGGAAATTTACACCGACATTGAGACTGCTCCCTTGCAGCCAGCTCTCTTGTAGGTAAGGTCCTTTCTCTGTTTTAGACTGGATGTACACAACATTAAGGACGGCGGATATGATGGAGCGGCGGAACTATACGTAGCAGGGACTGGTGGGATGTAGGACGAGAGTTATCTGCTTGGCAAGCAGGTTCATGAGCTAACAGAAAAGCAGGAGGAACTACAAATTTATATCTTAGGATGGACAGGATTGAAAGAAGGTTCGTGTAACGTTGTATGCTAGACAAGAGGATCCCGGGATCCATGGCCGGGCAAACATCTAAAAGATAGTAAGGGACCATTTTTATCCATGCTGTGCTCCAGGCTCCATTCTACAACCCAAATACACCGCGTTCGTTTTTCCTTTAAATACTTGTCGCGCTGCCTATCCTCTTGAAGATAGAATTTTGAGTGCGCTTAAGGTTCGCTGTGACCATCGCGCGATGCCATCTGCAAATCAGGCACCGATGCTTAAGGATGACGCGTAGCACAGCACACTACAAAATCATTCCGTCTGCTCTGCTCTCTATCGACTGTCGCTGCTTTCGCCTACTCTGCATATCCTCCTATTTTCCATCCTCCCCGTGGCTGTTCACAATCAGCGGCTAAAAGTCGTTCAAATCTGAACTTCGCCTGACACTACTAACTGTCGTGTTCTTGGTAAACAATCTTATCTTTCTGTAGCGGAACACTTCATTACGCAAAGAACAAAGCACCTAGCCATCCGCTCTAACCGAGTTTCTGTTAAACAGCTCCCTCGCTTCGCCCTCCTCCGCTACAAGGCTTTTCGCGCCGCCATACAAGACGTTCGACATATGTATTCATCTTGTTAACGAAAAGGATAACGAACTTTAACATTGACGTGATACTTCCCCGTATTGGTAATCCACTTTTTATTGCAGAGGTGAGGATCAGGATGAGTGCAGACTGATGGTAAATGTGCTGAGTTGAAAAATCATATTAGCTTTACCACTTTCTGGCGAGGACCTCATCTTGTTGCAGAAAGAAAAGTCGAAAAGATACTCATAAAGTACAAGTACTTTTTAGATGGGTGTTACTCCCTGTACCAGGAATCGAAAAAAGCGTGGGCCCCCGCCAAGCTTCGTGGGTCCAAAATCTCTGGCGAACGCACAGTTTGAGGTGAATTTCCTTGATGACCAAGAACTTTAGTGAAGGCTGTGCGCTCGAAGTAGATCACATCCTGGGATCGAAGCTGTTTGAGAATTTTAGGCCTTGCAAGGTCCACATTGACGGCGATATGACCGCAGAGAAGGCAAAGGCTCGCCTGGAACGCACAACCAGTAGCTACGGCAGCAGCAGCAGCAACTCTCTGAGCATCAACAACATTAGCAGCGAAATCAATGTTCTGGACTATTTGCCCTGTTTTTATGGACACAAATGGTTTAGAAAAAAGACATGGGACGCAAAAAAAAAAGCGCAGATTGCATGTTTGGATTACTCCATCAGGGGTACCTTGCGCAAGGCAGGAGGAAGGCAGCTGGGAACAATGTAGTTCTTTGCTTTGACCTGGGCTCGTTCAACATTCAAACCGGACTGGCATCAAAGCACTCAACGCTTGAAAAACGGCTTGCCATCAGAGTAAGTCCTAATGCGTGTCTTGTGTTACTGTTCCAAAGAGGATGAACGTCTAATGTATACTCCCGTATTTGTCAGCACTATCTAGGCAAAGAGCTTGGGGTATGTCGTGCTGAGCGCACAAGAGTATTATCTAAGCGAATATGAAAACATGCTCTCGTATTACATATCAACTATGGGTTGTAGGACTACAAAGAACTTGTCCTTCTTTTCTAAAAGACGTCGTAGTCGTCGAAGACGCAAGACTGATATATATGACGTGATAACCATATCCGAGTACCACTTCCACTTCTTACATCCCCTTATAGCATCGTGCATCTTGGATTTACTATGGCGATGCCCCGCCACTCCCATCTTCGATTTCATCCGCGCTCCAGAGAAACGTGCTCCATAACCCGCAGATAGCATTCGTCCACGGTCCTGCCCTCTGATCGGCTCTCTTTCTCAAAGAATATTGATCCGCTCGTACCACCGAACCCGTCGATCGGACCATCTGCACCATCGTGTCCCTTGATTCGGAAGACATCGTCTGTCCTAATTGACCATATTTCCCCCACCCGCAGCTCCAGAAGCTGCGCTGATCTACATGTGTATAAAACGGATTCAATCATAAGGGATTATAATTCGAAGATCTCCTCATCTACTGCTCTTTTGCTTGACAATGTTCAATAAGACTTCTTTTTTTTTTCTTTTTCTTACCATCTAGTACAATCATGTGGGCAGAGCCGCACGCGACACTTACAACAGTGACATCAATTGGCTCGACCGAATCCTTCGCAAAGAAATCCACAAGTTGTGGATATGAAGTGTTACGCGCATTCCTTTTCTCCACATCCGAGGACCCTTCTCGCCTGCCTATCCCAAGCTGTCCATGGTCATTCAGCCCAAAACTATACACATCACCGGACTCTTTGTACATTCATGGGTAATGAAAAGAAGCGACGTTAAGTTCGCATGATTGATATGGGCACGCAGCAGGAAGATTTGTTATTTGGAATGGGACCGCATATAAAAAAAGGGTACTTACCCGAAAGTGCCACACTGAAAGAGGCTCCACAGGCAGCATCGATAATGTGCATGCCTTCCAAGGACTCAATCGCTTTCGGCACTGATTCTGACACCAGATCACCATGTCCGAGTTGTCCATATCTTCCGGATCCCCAACTATATAGTGTTCCGTCCGTGGCCAAGGCAACCATGTGCGCCTCTCCAGCCCACACCTTCTGAAACTTGACTGAAGATAATCGCCCTGTTATTGGGACCGGTTGAGGCCTAGATTCCGTGGATGTCCAATAATGTAGCCGGCCTGTTAGGGCATCAACGACAACCGTTAAATGGTCTACAGATCGTCCGCATGCAGCCGCATCTTTCGCGTTTCGGTAGTACACCTGCACATCGCCGCTGCTTGATGTTGGTGACAAAGCATCTGCGCCGTGACGAAGCCCGACAACATATCCCGCTGGAGTCAAGAACCCTTGGAGAGCCTCCCATCCAAAGAACTTGAGGGACAATCCTAGTGTTTGTGGAGCATCTAAATGTACTGCATTTGCAGAGGTTAAAGCGTGGATGAGCAGCGCTTCTTCGGGTCCGTATTCTCCGCAGATCTCAATCAGCCCATCTTTGTTTTCTGCAGTCAGCAAGATCAAAAGTGCACGAGATAACGTTAGAGCTTGTAGATTATGTCCTGTTGTCTGAAGGGAGCTTTACGTAAAGACATTCACTCACTTGCCAATAACAAAGGACGCCCACCCCGCAAAGAGAACGCGCGCTGCATTTTTGGGGACTGAGGATGCTTGGATGCTGTTGGGCGAAGCCTTAAACCCAAAACTGAATAAAGTCATTTTCGTTGGGAAAAAAAAAAAAAAAAGAATGAGTGCTTGCTTGTTGATGCAAGCATGCGAATGAAACCAAAAACGATGAAATCTCATTCGTTTTTATGCCCCCATAACTTTATTCGTTTCAGAATCCTTGCAGGCGATTGGCATTTATTATTTGTACTTGTATGTAAATGATGGTGAGGAAAGACAACAGGTGTCTTCACAAGAGCGCAAGAATTCGGTGATAGTCCTCTTCGACGCCCAGAAACGTCTCGTGCAATTTCTCGATCCTGTCTTCCTTGTCAAGGGTCGCCAAAGCCTCAGCATTGTGCTTGTAGAGGCGTCCCTTGACCTGAAGCCGGAAAGCCTTGTACTGCGCCTTATTCCGCTTGTCCAAGTTCTTCAATAATGCCAGTTCAAAGCAGCGCGCTACTTGCCTCTATTGGAATATGAGTTGTCATATTTTGGTGTGAGTTGATGGGTTTCTGTAAAGGCCACACAACCAATACATGTAATATGAAAGCCGTAAGCAACGAACCTTGGTCAGCTTGTACTCTTTCGCGACCTGCTCTATCCTATCATTTTTGATCGGCGCCTGCAGATCCTTGAAGACGCCCTTGGCAGTCAAGTGCTTCATATCGTTCTTATCTCTCAGATCGCTGAAATCGTCATTCGGATCCTCAACTATTGCTCATGTTGAGACATTATCATCAGTATCGTATTTCCTCAACGAGCGCCGCCAAATGCGTCATCTAGCCAAAGGGTTCTCTACCTGTCATTTCTCGAATTTCCTTGCGGCTGCAGAAATCGTTGTAGAGTGACTGATACATCCTGCTTCCATGCCCCTGCTGTTGGTATGGTGGCAAAATCAAGAATTGACTATTATCGCAAGACTGCAGCGTTAGCTTCCTGGCCCTGACTATTTAGATCGGTCATCATCCGCCCCAACAAATCCATTTGACGAGATTGTACCTGATCCTCATTCGAATTTGGTCCGGGTAGTAGTAATAAGGGTACATGTTGCAGTACCCCACAAAGTTGTATGTGTCCTGTCCGTTCTCGGAAACTCGCTCGAATAAAAGCCGAATCTGCCACTTTTCATCCGTATCCTCAATTAATGAAGCACCCTCGATGAAAAAGATCGCAAAGCACTGAAGTCTCTTATGGTATTCGAGAAATCGTGGTGTGTCGAACGTAGCCTGGTATGTAACAACAGAGCCGGACGTGATCAGCACAATGTTTTCGTTTTCCATAGGATCAGTATCCTTGTAAACATCTGTGCTTCCTGACCTTGTAGAATTCAAAAACGCTGTTCTCGGCCCCTTCATGGTTGGTCGTATACTCTGCCACCTTTGTGCCCATGGGTCTGAATTCTTTGTAGTCTCTTTGTGCGGTCTGAATGAACATGTCGTGATTGTCGATAATGTCTATTGTTTTCCAAGAGGAAATAAGTTAGCTTTGGATAATTAACATCCTCCATAGTATAAAGGAGCTCTGCCAGAGCATGACATCTTACCACTGGGCAAAAAGTCTTTCATGGTGGCATAAATCTTATCGGCGGTCGGTTTCTTGTCCTTGTAACCCATACTGAAGCAGGACGCGAGTGATCCTGATGCAAACTCGAGCTGCTCAGTTATAAAAAGAGGTTGACACCATTTAATGAGTATTGAGAGTATGCTCTTGTGTCGGATACTGTTTATGCAAGTGTGCCTCCTTACGTTGATGACCAGGTCTTTATATCCGAAAATCTGCTCTTGTTCTCCAAACATTGGGTAGGTGTACACAGGGTTGAACTCAATGATATCCTGCTCGTCCTCATCGTCGCCGTTGCCAGGCCCTGCCTTGACTGTAGAGTGAATGAGAATATACTTGGCCTGTTAATCGTTATAGTCAACAGTCGATGAGTCATTGTTCCTTTCAAAAGCGTTTTAGTGAGCGTTTTTTCACAGACTGCATTTACCAAGACGGATGTTGATGGCTTCTGATGAGTTTGTTACCCATTGCTTTAGCGAATTCATGATGTCGGTCCTGGGTCTGTTCGGCGTGCAAGTCGATGTCGAGATAAGACAGTTGCGAAAAGGAGCATTGAAAGTTGTTTCACGAACCACAAGGCGCGTTGGCCCCTCCTCGCTCACATGTGGCTTATTTTGTTGACTGGTGCATAAATGAAAAACGCGACGCGACCTTGGTGCCTGAACTGGAGCACGACGCGTTTTTGATAGCCAATCAACTGACCCCCTTGACCAGTATGATTTTGTTGCTTATGCAATACCTCGCCGGTATCTCCATGCCCTAAGAATAAAAAATCATGTGTCCAAAAAAGCAAAAAGATTGCTTTGGCGCGGCTGGAGAAAGAGATGGTACACTGCATGGAAAAGCGAGAAGCCCTGGAGTTCTTAACTAGTTTGTTCCTTATTTATATCGTCAGCGGTATGTGGGCTCTCCTGGCCCAGCAATTGCTCGAGGAATAAACCTCGTCTATGGCTCAACCCAGTACTCCAGAGAAACGTCCGCTATTTCTACGCGCCCCAACCCAGCCTTTGCCTCTTGCTTTCTTTTCTTCCTTAGCCTCTCCTCCACACCCATTTCCTCCACTCGCGACCAATACATACTTTCACCATGTCTGATGCCAAGCACAACGCCATGACCGCCCCTCGTCCTGCTGATGAGGAGTGCATCCAGAGTAAGTCGTGATTGCATCGCTCTTTCAGCTCGACTCCTCGGAGACCTAGTGTGTATTCGCAAACACTAAATTTTCTCACACTTTCTGCTTGGTATAATAGTCTTCCGCACTATTAAGGATGATGTCCTGAAGGAGATCCACCGTATCAACCGCGAGGATGACCGCCATGGTCTTCACGAGATGGACAAGTGTAAGGGTTTCAGGCGCAGTATTGGGGCAACTCGCGAATTTGCTGACAAGCAGCTTCATCGTCGTACTGAGACGACCTTTTTTTTATTCCTCTCGCCGCTCGATAGTGAAGCACATTACCGAGTACACTCCTGTTCTTTATGCTACCGAGGATGTTGCTTTTGGCCGGTAAGGGACCATACATCGCTCGACATTGTGGGCCAGAGATTGCGAACGAACACTGTGTGCTGACTTTTTATTCATTGGCTACATATCGTCATTAGTAACTACTTTGCCAAAATCCATCTCGGCAGCGAGAAGTATGTTCATGTTCGGTAAGTTTCTCCTCAGTTATACATCCCAGGATACAAACAAGCGGAGATGAAGACGTGAATGTATTTCACCCAGTATGAAAATTCGAGTGCTGTTTCCCCCATTTTTTCTCACACTATGGCCTCTGCTTTTGTTTCCATGACAATTGATTGAACAGTGCCCACAAGGGAAACGACAGTGTTATCGAGTTTTACTCCCTTTTGACCACCCCCGAGTGCGCTGTCTGGGAGAAGGACACTCCTCTTGAGTACTTCATCGATTAAGCGACATGTAATGCGCCCCACCTCTTGCATTTCTCTTGCAGTGAGCCGAAGATGATCGAAGAAGCACTCCGTGTACATAACAAAACCGATATCAAATAAAAAGAACGTACAATTGTAAGCGAGAGGAATTGTCTTCTGTGATGGACACCAGCCGCGAAAGTGCGATTGCGGTGGGGACGAGTGTGGTAATGAGCAGACGAAAGGCTATGTCAGGGAATAAGGGCGCTGGACTGTCCTTTGTGCGGTGTAGGTCTGTAAGGGGGACGGCCTCGATCGTATTCCGGACATAAGCCCGCTGCTGCAACTTTGTTGAATGACAAATGTCTTTCGCCTCGGCGCAGATCCGCTCCCAATTCACATCCATCCGGAGGCTCCATCACTTCGAACCTCGCTTCACTTTCTTTTCCTCTTCTTCCTCTTACTCTCGCGCCTCCCGTTCCTTTTGCTCTTCAGTCACACAGCAGCAGCACCAGCAGCAGCAGCAGCAGCCATTGAACACCAGCCGAAACAGGATTCTAGGCACCTGTTTCACAGTCATTAATAAGCAGCCGCATACCTTTCCCGAGTATCCCCATACTACCACCCATATCAGAAATTATTCAACCGGACGACATATTAACCGGTACATCATGTCAAACCAACTCTCAATTGATGTCTTCGAAGCTGCAGCCGCAGGCGACCTGGAAGGGATGAAGTCTCTCGGACGTATCCATCTTGAGGCCAAGAACGATCGCGGCTGGACACCTGTATGTCAATATTTTTTGCAATTTCTATCAGACAATGACATGCTTCAGTCCTCCTATTACTTCCCTACATGCTGTACTCTCTACTGGAAGCAGTTTGAAGTCTGTATCAAAGGCGCGGCAATGCTTGCCGTGCAGTTCATGATTCCACTGTGCATTCAACCGGATATTCATTCCCCGAAAAAAAAAATTACGTTGCACATTCATAGCTCATGTTCGCGGCGCGTTATGGACACGCCGGCGTGGTTGAGTACCTTCTCGCCGATGCCAAGGTCGATTCCACTGCTGTCAACAAGGACGGGAAGACCGCTGCAGAACTAGCAGAATTTTGGGGGGCCACCGACGCCGTAGCCGTGTTCGATCGATTGGCGCCCAACAAGAAGACGGTCCAACATAGTGTCGGATCGCCGTTTGCATCCGACCCCATGTCAGCCGGAGCCGGTATTGGAGCCGGAGGACAGCAGTCTGGGATTGCTGATTGGTGGAAGAAGCGCACTGTGCACGAGACAAAGCCCTTGCACTTTACAGGCGCCACTCATAACAGGTAACACTCTGCATTTTCGATCATTTTTGGTGGCAAAATGTTTGTAAAGTACCTGTGCTGATCTGTATTGCCTCCGCGTGGTTATCAGATTGAGCTTCCTGAGGACAGACGAGGAGTATCTCAAGGAGTCTTTAAAGGCCTCTTCGACAAGATTTATTCTCCTCGCAGATCACGGAGTCATGTTCAAGTCCACCACCAAGCACTTAGCTTTTGCGAGCTATGAGGATATTAAGCATCTGGTCGGATCGGATCCCTTGAGTAGCTTGCCCGAGGGACTGGCCCTTGTGTTTTTGGGAGCTGACGAGACCGAATCTGAGCAGCCTCAACAGGAGGGTGAAGTGTTGGTCCGAGGTCGTCGTGGGGCTGGATACTGGGCCCTAGATTTGTCTGCTAAGGGGCCACGATCTACTCAGGAGCTGAGGGATTCTATCGAGTCGTTCATGGGCTCGTATACGGAGAAGCATGGCCATTACATGGCCGAGATGCGTCCAGCTGCTTTTGGTCTATCGTTCCCCGAAAGCGCATTGCTTGCACAGGCGAGATCTGTTGTAGACTGGAACAAGAGGAATCAGTTCTGTGCAGGATGCGGACGAAAGAATATGTCGCTCGAGGGTGGCCACAAGCGAGCTTGTCCCACGACTATCGCGCAAGACGGACAAGAAGTGCCATCAGATTGCTTGGCCCACAAAGGTGTGCAGAACTTTACGTACCCTCGGACAGGTAAGCTCACAGATCGTTTTTTGATGGTTGCGCGTGCATGAATCCACACACGCGAATGGCTTTTTGTTAACAAACAAACCAATTACCGTTCTGATAGATCCCGTTGTAATTGTGTGCGCCATTTCGTCCGATGGCGAGCGCGTCCTGCTCGGTCGCCAGGCAATTTGGCCAAAGGGCATGTACTCATGTCTCGCCGGTTTTGTCGAGCCCGGAGAATCCCTTGAGGAAGCTGCTAGACGCGAGGTCAAGGAAGAGTCCGGTATCCGTCTTGGACATGTCATGTACCACTCCTCGCAGCCATGGCCGTTCCCTAACTCTCTTATGATAGGCTGCCACGCCGAGGCTTTGAACGAGGACCCCGATGTGACCAAGGAGGATAAAGAACTTGAGGACGCAAGGTGGTTCACAAGGCCTCAGATTCTGGATGCGCTCAAGGGTTCGAGAGGCGCGCTCTGGGGTAAACCCTCAGGGGATGATACCCTTAGGTTGCCGCCTGCCACCGCTATTGCGCACCATATCTTGAGGGCCTGGGCTACTCAAGAAGGTGAGGTCCCACAGCCTAAAATGTAAATCAAGGGCTGAATTATAATAATAAAGGTGCCACAATAGACAGTTCATAAGGTGAATTGCACGCGACGCGTTTTTCGTTAAAAGAATACCTCTTCAGCTTGTGGAATAGGAGCCGAGGTTCATGCATACACTTCTCTCTGGTCATCGTTCTAATATGATCTGCTTGAATTTTGGCTCCTTTTGCTATGCCATCGAAGGACATCCCAAGACCCAAAATAAGGAAGACATAGCGCAAACAAGCGCTACACAAGGGTTCCGACGTGGCGCATATTGCTCATAATCTACAAAACGACGTCCTGAATACTCTTCAGTGTCATATGTCAAGGTGCTGAAAAGATTCTCCACCTTGGCACGATGCCGTGCTCGCCTCTTGAACTTCCGTTGTTATGCATCACTCTACACCGCGCTTCCTCTTGCTGACTTGCCGGTACTTCCACGTTTCGGACTACTTGAATTTTCTGCCCATTGCAACGTAAGAATTACCATGTCATGTTCTGCATTGCCGTCTCTATTTCCCAATAAGCCCATACTGCATCAGACAATACACTTTCTCTCCTTTGCCGCCTTTATTTTAGTAAATTGCTGCTACTTCTCTACCATACTCGGAGAAAACTCGCCATCGAGACTGCAATGACGTGTGTGACCCGCCTGCATATGCCTTCGTAATGTTTGTCGCATGTAGAGTTCTTGGTGACGACTTGGGCGGGTAGTCAAGCAGCCTTGTGAAGAGACAACGTCTTTTTATACTCGGAACACTATGGTATATGCTCATATCTCCAACTTGAACCTGTGAGTTCATGATTCGTTCTTTCGTACGAATATTACCATCTACGCTTCGGCAATGCTGCTCCAAGAACTCCTTATATTTGAAGCAAAGTAACACCACGAGTGCTGTGAGCGCAGACTCATAGCATACGATCTTAGCACTGTTCATAACATGCGTCAATTGTTTTCTTACTTTTAAAATCGCACGAGAATCCAAATCAGTAAGGTATTCCTCGACAGTATGAAGGATAGAGTATCACTCTTGACGATGACTACACTTCACTAAGTGGCTACGATCTTTCCTTGAAGTTTCCAATGGCAAATTGAATGAAAACATGAAGTAATAGAAAGGATATTGACACCATAGCGAATGCAAGGCGATAGACCGCTTGTCAAAGCAAAACAAGTTTGTTTTGCCATTGATCTCTAAAATGTACTTCTCTATCGCTTTGAATAACGCGTAACATGCCGACCTTTCACACGCGAATGCTTGAGCCGAACTTCTTATGGCTCTGACATCGAGGTTTAGATCTGTCTCAAGCTTACAATAGCTAATAGAGAAATAGAGAACCGTACAATATGCCCGTTTAACAACCTTTTTTAGTAATAGGTGTGAGAGAGGAATAATTATCTAACAGATTTTCAAATCTGATGCGATTACTGAAATGCAGGGGATCTAACAGCGAAAACTACACGGTTTGTTTTTATTTAGACGTTCAGTGATGCTACGTTAGCTTGATCGACGCGTCGTCGGGGCGCGCGCCTTTATACCCGAGCGGAACAGGAGTACTTTTTTTTTTTAGTTTAAAGGAGGAGGGTTGGTGACATTGACATTTTGGTAACCGGTCTTGGCAGCGACAAAGCTGAAAACGTTCGACAGCTGCTTGTTGACGTCACCCCTGCCGAGGTTACCGAGTCCCCAGTTGGACTCGAGTGTCGAGAGGAGAGAATAATGGGTATAATAAGTGCTATCAACAGTGTTCTTCAGGCTACTGACGGAATCACCCAACAACAAAGCCAAAACATGGTTGGTCTCGTCCGTGTAGTCCTCGGCCTCGTCAAAGGTAACGACCACGAGAGTGTTGCTTATGAAGGCAGGGTTCTTGAGCAAGGGGCTCAAGAAATTGACCAGCCACTTGCCGGCATAGCCAACGGTCGTGTCATGGCCATCGTTCTTGATGTTCGGGGTGAAGAACGAGTAGTTCGGCAAGGCATTGTTGTTCAGATCCGTAGTCAGCTGGGTGGAGGGGACGACATTCTTGCAGCGGGCGGCGTTCGTGGAGATATACTGGTGGCTGATGAAGGGGTTGTGCTTGCGGTAGTAGAGGCTCTTGTACGAGGAGTCGGTGTAGCAGACCGAAGGCATGCTCTCTTGATAGGTCTTCCAGGTCAGGCCCTTAGCCTCGAGCAGGTTGACAATCGAGGTGTAAGAGGAATCGAAGTTGTAGGTACCATCGTTGTTGACGCCATAATAGCTTCCAGCAATGGAGGCAATGTAGTTGGGCTCCGAAGGGTGAGTCAGAGCATGGTAGTTGTTAAGGAGGATACCGCTGGACAGGAGGGATTGGAAGCTGGGGTCCGAGTAGGCCAGAGCATAGTCCTGTGGGTCAACGACAACAAAAAAAAAGAGGGAGGGGGATGTTAGCGGTGGGATCGCCCTCACCTTTGCCGACAAAGATGAAGGATATGACACAGTGGAAGAACACATACGGTATTCTCGAGGAAGATCATAAAGACATGATCAAAGGCCTGGCCCGCGACAGCGGCGGTGACCTTGCTTGTGGGGGCAGCTTGGACGGTGGATGCCGTGGCCAGGACGGCCATTGAGATGGAAAGGAGCTTCTTGAACAACATGGCGTTGGAGGCGGGGTATAATGGCTGTGGAGTGAGACCGGTGTGGACGATGGACGGAGAGATAATAGGGCAGGGAATTGACGTCCTTTTATATCACTCGAGGAAAAAAAAAAAAAAAAGGGCATGTCTCATTCCCCACGCACCCTCCCTTTCCTTCGCCGGACATTTGCCATCTCGTTCACCTCCGAATTCGTCATATCTCCAATGTGGCACAGCTCCCCTCCCATGGGAGGTGTAATCCAGGTCTTCTAGCTCATATTGGGCCGATTGATTATGGTCTGACAGTTGTCCAGGGCCTGCTGCTAGGACTGAATGGGATGAGAGCATCATCTGCGCTAAGAGTTTTGTTCTCAACTAGACCCAGAAAGGAAACGCACGCGATCAACTCTTGCCGGATTGGCTTGTCCTCTCCTGCAATCTCAGCCAATCTCGGGGACATCCACCCCTGACAGCATGCTCAACCAACACCGCCTGCCGAAGAGCCGCCTTCTTATTTGCCGAAATGCAATCGAAGGAAATATTCGATGGGACGAAGTGTGGATGCAGGGGTGTTACCCCGTACAAACGCGTACATTTTGAGAGCACTCGACCTGAAAAGGCGCGCAGGTTACATGAGAGCACCCGACCTGAAAAGGCGCGCAGGTAACATGAGAACATTTCGTAGAATCCAACTGGACAACTCAGAGCGGCCATGTGTGCTATCTCATTGGTCAAGCCGATCATGGACGCTCTCATATCGCGATTCAAACTCCGGCAAGGAAAGCCCCTGCTCGGAACAGCAATGGCCAATGACCAAGGTCCGTCCATGCATCTGCCTGCTTACAGACTAACGTTGGATGCGTGTTGTTTTCGTAATATATTGGAAGTGGGTGCTTTTCAAACGTCATTCACATACACACGCTTGGATAAATACGTCTGCTCCGGTTGATTTTGTGAGCGATTGTTAGTAACCGGGATGCGCAAACGACCGCAAGCATCGGTCTCTATCCCACTGCATCTCTCTTTCCTCCTCGGTAAAAGAAATCGGCAAGGGCTCGAGAGTGAGATGGATAATTGTATTCGTAATCGAGATGAAAAACAAAAGTTGGCAGAAAGTAGGAGCTCTACGTCCTAATTACCCTACAGTGTTGCTCATAGCGTCGCATTCACGCGCCAAAACCTGGCAATTGACTCGGACAACGGATGGAAATCAACCTGGAAAACCTATGCGCCGAAAACAACAGAAGATGGGAGCACGGAATTGGGGATGGAATGGCTCTGGACCATTGAGGTTGTTCAACTTCGATCGAGCTCTTGTGAACGAATTATTCTTGATTGTGCTTGAGTTGTTGGCTGCCGCCCTGCCCAATGGTTGCTCATTGAACCATTTAGTGTCACTTGTCCAATCATTGGATGTGGTTTTATATGTAGTCTTTGAATCCACACCTGAATGGCTGCCTTGTTTGCAGGCATGATAAGGTGACAGGCTTATTAAGGACAGTTCCTGCGCTTCTGTTTTCTCATCTCCTTCTTCCAACTCGGCTCTCAAGTCGATGGAGGATCTGTTGCCTACCATGGAAAGTTGGAAGAGTTGAATGTCCACGTCGCATTGTGGACTTTAACAGAGGCTGACAGGAGGTATTTACGTTTTTAGTCCCTTGCTTGAGAGCAAATTCTACAAAGAGTCCGCTCTGCGCTAGTGTGTGAAAACGCCGAGCGGTAGAGACTATATAATCTTCTGCTTTCCTCTCCTCCTCCTCCTCCTCCCCCTTCTTCTCCTCCTCGTCAGCCTCTTTGCTCCATCTTCTTCCCCTGCTCGACAATCGATTATATCGTACTCGGGTTGCACAGTACGCCTGCTTGTGTATATATACCTTCCCCGTCTCTTTCTCCCAAACCTTGACACGATCCCTTCCCTCTGCCAACAAGGCACGCAGAACAACCTCCCTCGTCACACACGTGAGCGTAGACTAGCAAGCACAGCAAACATGAAGTGGTCTTTGTTCGCTCACAGCATCCTTTTCGTTGCCGCCATCCCATCATTGGCGCACGGACATGGCCCTGAATTACGACGCAGACAATCTCCCCCGGCTCCTTCTACTCAGCCATGGAACTACCCCTCCCAATTCATCCTCAGCAAGAACTTCACCATCACACCAACGCCCACTACTCGCTACTATGAGTGGACTATTTCACAGCAGACTATTGCGCCAGATGGACTGGAGCGTCCTATGCTGCTTGTCAATGGTAAGCATGATCTATGACAACTTGTCTTATTCACCTAAATCAAGGTACGGGCGAAAGACTAACGCCCCTCTTTACTCTGATTTGTATCCATCAACCCTCGCAGGAATGTTTCCTGGTCCTTTGGTCGAGGCCAATACTGGGGACCGAATTGTTGTCAAGGTCACCAATAAACTCAACAATGGAACTGCGGTTCACTGGCACGGCATGTTCCAGAATGGTACGTTACTGCTCTTTGATCCGCGAAGCTATAAAGTTATTATTGGATCTAGACTAACACAAGTACATATGCGCCTCGCAATCAAGGTACCAACTGGATGGATGGCAGCACAGGCGTGACCCAATGTCCAATCCCACCAGGACATAGTTTCACATACAACTTCACTGTCCCTAATCAATGGGGAACCTACTGGTGGCACGCCCATGCCGGGTCTCAATATGTCGATGGCATTGTCGGTAGGTTATCTCCATTTTTCGTATCGCGATGTTCATCGTCTCAACCAAATCATTACTTAACAAATCCATCTTGTGAATTATTAGGTCCATTGATTATTCACAGCCCAAATGAACCTCATCTCGATCAGTACGATGAGGATATAATCATGATGATTTCTGACTACTACCACAATCCATCCGGACCACTCGCCGCCTGGTATCTTACCTCCGAGAGTGAAGGCACGGAGCCTGTTCCTGACAATGGACTGATCAACGGTCGCAACTCATTCAACTGCTCCGGTGACGCAAATGCACAGTTTCCAACCAAAGCGGCGTGCAACTCTAACGCACCTCGCGCTGTGTTCAACTTCAAAGCTGGACTAAAATATAGAATCCGCCTCATCAACTCGGGCGCCTTTGCGGATTTCCAGTTCTCGATCGACAACCATACTCTCACGGTCATTGAAGCCGATGGCGTGGACATGCAACCGGTCGATGTACAGAGAGTCCCTATCCATGTCGCTCAGCGGTACTCAGTTATTGTACAAGCGAATCAAGCTATCGGAAACTATTGGATTCGCGCAGCCATGAACACCAACTGCTTCAATGTTGACAACGGTGCCCTGAATCCCAATACCACAGCCATCGTCCACTACGAAGGTGCGTCTAATTCGCAGCAGGCGGATACACAGGACTGGGGATCCAAGCCCTGGCCTGGACGGTGCCTGGACTTGACATCGGAGATGTTGAAGCCATTTTTTGCCCGAGATGCTCCTCCTGCGGATGTGCAGATCATTCTGGATATGTCTTTTCAAACAATCACCAAGAAGCACGTCAGTCTCGGATATGTGAACGAGACATCGTGGGTGCCGCTAAAGAAGGCTGCAACTCTTTTCCAGGCAAACAAAGGAAAAACAACGTTTGCTTCATCCCAGTTAGTCATCACCTTGAACCAGACCCAGACTGTCGAACTTGTAGTCAACAGTAAGTCCTAGATACTCTTGATTATGTTGGATGTATACTGCCGCAAAAAAAAAAAAAAAAAGCTAATCGGTTTTCTCTGTCTCGTTGCAACGCTCACAGACTACGATGAAGGATCGCATCCCTTCCATTTGGTAAGTCTTTAAACATGATTCCATATTAACTTTGACAATGGTTCCTACAATGCTCATTTTTATTTTTGCTGCATCTTACGTGTTTGATTGCATAGCATGGGCATCAATTTTACGTTGTTGGTTCGGGTCAAGGTAGATACATGCCCGGCAGGTCTCCATTGAATGCGACGAATCCTCTCCGTCGCGATACTGTGACTCTGCAAACATATGGATATACAGTCCTCCGCTTTATCAACGACAATCCAGGCATGTGGGCGTTCCACTGCCACATCGACTGGCACATGCAGGCAGGGCTTATGATGCAGTTCCTGTCGCTGCCTAGCGCTGTTAAGGTAGGCCAAAGGACTTTTCGACATCTTTTTTTGTTTGTTTGTGCTCTTGGAGGAGCACAGGCATTAACTGTTCTATTTTTTTCATGTTTTAGGCATTCAAAATCCCTCCAGAGCTCAAGGCAATGTGTTCGGCAAATTGACCAAGTAAAGTGTAAACGCGTGAGTTCAAACAAGAGTTGTCTGGTCAATCGCACAAAATAAACCTTACCGTGCCATCCATGCGGCTCTCGCCAAAGAATTAAAGCGGAGGTATCCACGAACAGCTATATGCTCTGACTTTTTGACTTCAGTGCTTGCGATACGTGCCATTTGAAGCGAGGAGCCCTCTTATCAATCCGACGCGGTCTGAAAGCTCTTCAACTGCAGTATGAGGATGTCGGGTTGGAGTTGAAGCGTGGAAGAATGGACGTTAGAGATGATTGTAGAGAATTCCTTTGAAGGAGTCACTTAGGCACATTAGGCACATGTGAAGGATTCCACGATGGAGTCCTAGATGGCTCAGAACAAAGGCGACCTGGTCTTTCAGGCACGCACGGTTGTGCTGTATTTTTTATGGCGCTGGCTCGTCTTCAATGGTGATTGGACTAGTGGGCATGATGTTTGTTCATGCTTCGCTCTGATGGGTGTTCGAGAACAACGATGACAAAGATATACACACGCACACACAGCCCTGGTGAATTCCCCTGTGTCTTTGAGGGATTGCGGGTTGTGGAGAAGGGTTCCACAGAAATTTCGATTTCGAATGTGATTGGCCCCAGCCCCGCATACAACTGTCAGCGTTTTTTTTCGGTTTCCTTCGGGCATGGTGCTGGCTCGTCAAGCTTGCTTTGCCCGAACGGAGGTACTTCTGGGGATTGAATCTACTCCATCCCATCCCATCCCAACAAAAGGAGCGGAGCCCACGGTCCGGTACCTCCGTGTGGGGTACACGAGGTCCATGCCGTGATTGGCCCTTAGCCTGGAGCTTCCTTCCAGCTGCCCGGGGCACACCCAGCACATGAATTCCTTCTTTGGCGGATGGCCCGTATAAAAGCGTCGCTCGCCCTCGCTCGTCTCTCCGCCTCCTCTGCCTCTCCTTCCCCTCTCCACATCGACTTTTATTTGCCGCCACTTTGACTTTCTTCCTTCTTCTGAAAAAGAGCCCTCTCCCCTCAATCCCATTGTCGATAGACCGCCTGAATCCCATAATGACCATCTACCGCTCCGCCCTCCCTGACCAGGTCATCCCCCAGATCAACGCCTACTCCTTCGCGACTTCAAATCCAAACAACACTCCGGACTCGCACACCATCCTCATCGATGCCTTGACCAAGAGAACTATCACCTTTGGCGAATGGAAGCGGGACACCCGTCGCTGGGCCACCGGTCTTCAATCCCTGGGCTTCAAGCGAGGAGATGTCGTGGCACTGTTCTCCTTCAACCAGGTTGACTACTCCATCACCATGTTCGGCCCCATCCTCCTCGGTGGTATCACCACAACCGTCAACTCTGCCTACACTCCCGACGAACTTGCCTATCAGCTCGAGGACTCGGGAGCATCCGTCATTGTCACACACCCAGAGCTGCTTCCTGTCGCCATTGAGGGAGCCAAGAAGGCTGGCCTTCCCACGAACAGAATCTTTTTGTATGGCGACAAGGAGGTCGATGGATTCAAGCCCTACAGCTCAACCTTCCCCCCAGAGTCGACTCCCGAGAATCAGTTGGCCCAGGTCGTGAACTTGAACGGTCAGCCTGCCCTCGAGACAACGGCCCTGATTTGCTACTCCAGCGGAACGACAGGAAAGAGCAAGGGCGTCGAGTTGACACACGTTAACTTTATCTCGAACACCTGCCAGGTAACACCGCTGGAGGGAGACGTTCACATGCATGACAATGTTGCGATGGCCGTGCTGCCCCTGTTCCATATGTAAGTGTTGCTGTTGACCTGCTTGTCGCCTATCGCGCTTGATTCCATTGGATGCCCTGTCTGACACGTGTGTGTTTTTCATGTCCTTAGCTACGGTATCCAGCTCCATCTCATGTATGGTGTCTACAACGTAAGTGACAAAAGGCGGCAACTTTGGCCTGCTACCGGACAACCGGACACTCTGGAAGCCGATCAATCGTTGTTGGGAGTTGAAAAAAATAATATTAACTGACCTCTGCTTTCATGATTACCAAATAGGGTGTTCAAACCGTCGTTCTGCAAAAGTTCAACCCCGTCGATTTCCTTAAGACTATTCAGGACCACAAGAGTAAGTCCTGGTTTAGTGCCATATTTCAGGAACAAGATATGATGAGAGACTAACCCTCGATTGTTATCTGAACCTTATCTAGTCAAGTCGCTCAACTTGGTTCCTCCTCAAATCCTGATGCTGGTCAAGGCCCCCATTGTGGACCAGTATGATATCTCTAGCATCCGCTTCGTCATGTCCGGCGCTGCCCCTTGTTCACGCGAGCTGAGCCAAGCCCTTATCAAAAAGTTCCCCTTTATCCAGTTCCGCCAAGGCTATGGCATGTCCGAAATGTCACCCGCCTCTCACGTCGGAGTATATGGCAAGCCCGTCCATGGCTCGATTGGAGGTGTGATGCCCAACCAGGAGGTTCGCGTGGTCGACCCCGAGACCGGAAAGGATGCTGCCAAGGGCGAGCCTGGAGAGATCTGGGTTCGTGGACCCAACATCATGAAGGGTTACCGGAACAATGTGAAGGCGACAGAGGATACTATTGATTCCGAGGGATGGTTGCACACTGGAGACATCGCTATCGTCGATGATGAAGAAAACTTTTACATCGTGGACCGTTTGAAGGAGCTGATCAAGTACAAGGGATTCCAGGTTGCACCCGCAGAACTCGAGGCCCTGTTGATTGATCATCCATTGATTCTGGATGCTGCCGTCATTGGAGTGGATAACAAGGAGCAGGCAACAGAAGTGCCCTTGGCTTTTGTGGTCAGGGCCCCTGGACCAGGACAGGCGTTGACGGAGAAGGAAGTCGAGGAGTACGTTGCATCCAAGGTTGCGGCACACAAGAAGTTGCGTGGCGGCGTCCGCTTTATTGAGGTAGTTCCCAAATCTGCAGCTGGAAAGATTCTTCGCAAGGACCTTCGCGTGATTGTTCAGACTCCAAAGGCGAAGCTGTAAAAAAATAAAAAAAAAACTCCACATATACCGTCATAATAAACTATTGTTTTCATTAATGCAATTGCAAATGTGAGGAGTCAACGTTTGGATGCTTGCGCGAAAGCCATGGGGCGAAAACAAGGCAAGGGTTCTTAACTTCTTACCACTGACTACGCGATGCGCCTCAAAATAAGGTTCAAAGAACCATGCCACATCCCCAGACTTCGCACTTACCACACCGCCTTTCCTTTTGTTCCATTCTCATTCGAAGACATACTTCAGCCCTCATTCAGTTCCTGGGCAGTCAGCATTCGACTTTCTCTCCATTCCACCCTCAATGGCAGCATCCGCAATACCGCCTATGCAGGAGTGCCTCGAGTTCGTTGCAGCCGAGGGGCGTTATGAGCTGCAGCAGGATATCTTTCTGGACCAGGTTTTACCCCACCCCGTCATACCCACCTTCGTCTCCTCGGTGTCTGTGAAATACAAGGACTATCTCAATGGCTCAGGAAACGGAGCAAACTACGAGGGAGTCCTCTTGTCAGCCATAAATCTCGACCGTTTGGATGAGCAGCTCAAGGACCTCAAGGTTTCAGAAGAACGGCCTAGGGAGGAAGACGATAACCACGATGGCAATAGCTTGGCAGGAAACTTTCATGGGAATCTCGTAGACTTACCAGGCTTGAATGACGATAGTTCAGGATACAAGAGCCCCAAAAACGGGATGATGTCTCCAGGACCACCACAGGTGATGACACCAGGCCCACCTCCGCTCAAGGACTCGACTTCTTCCAATCGCCTACCAGATATCCACTACAATGGTCTGCCCAACGCTTCTTTTACAACTAAACCCCTTAGTCACGCAGCGAGTTTTCCACAAATACCGACGCAATTGCAGGAGGAAGGAGCCAACCAGGTGGCGAACTATGCTGCAGTGGGACCCTCCTCTGCCTCGTCTGCAGGGTTTACATCGTTCTTCAGCGGAAAGCGCAAAAAGCCTAAAAGCAACATCACAAAGACCAACTCAACATTCGTGGCCAAAATCACAACCAACGAGAACCTCTCAAAGATACTTGCGAATAGAGTGAATGAGGACGTATATTTGTTCTGGAACACAGGCAGGACGTTCAGCTGGAGTGACCTTGGACAGAAGCCAAATGTAAGGATCTGGGGGCCTTGTATATATTTCTTTTCTTTTCTTTTCTTTTTACTGGAAAGGCACCATTAATTTACTCCGCAAAGCATCGCCTTCTGCTACGACTAAATATCTCCTCGTAACAATGATGAATAGGAGCCATTGTCACATATATCGTTTACAAAGGCGTTCCCAACCACCCACGATGTCAACGTGCTGACCCGTAGCTGTGACCATTTGGATGTCATCATCGGGTTCTCCACAGGCGACATTATCTGGTTTAACCCCCTCAGTAACAAGTACTCTAGACTGAACAAGCAGGTAAAATCCCATCATGCCCTTGTTTGGACATGATGTGTTCATGAAATGAAATGCACAGACATTTCTCTAATCTGAAGCACCTCCGAATTTCAACATAGGCTATTATCAAGGATAGCGCAGTGACAATGATCAAATGGATGCCAGGGTCTGAAAGTCAGTTTATGGCCTCGTTTCAAGACGGGACTATAGTTGTAATGGACAAGGATAGAGACGACAATACCTTCACAGCCCCAACGCCGCCTCATGAAAACAGGTATGGTGCATTTACACGATGCGCGTTGGTACTTCCAGACTGTATTTTTCCGCTTGGCTAATACACTAGTACTTACGTCGACTTAGTTTTCATGCCACGAAACCGAAGCATGGAAGACACAATCCGATCTCTCACTGGAGCATCTGTAAGAAATCCATAACCGCGTTCTCGTTCTCGCCGGACCTTCAACACGTCGCAGTCGTGGCCATGGATGGTGGGCTAAGGATCATTGATTTCCGGCATGAGCGACTCATTGAGACTTTCCAGTCGTACTTTGGTGCCCTCAACTGTGTCTGCTGGAGTCCGGACGGTAAATACATCCTGGTAAGGAGGGTCCCCTCAGAGTGTGGATTATGCAGTTTAATTTTCCACCTCACATGAGTTGCCCATTAACCAGTTTTTTTATTTTTATTTGTTATTGTTGTTGTTGTTGTTGTTGTTGTTGTTATTGTTTATTACAATAACGATAGACAGGCGGCCAGGACGACTTGGTGACGATATGGTCCTTTAAGGATATGCGGATCGTGGCTCGCTGTCAGGGACACCAGTCGTATGTCACTGGAGTAGCTTTTGATTCTTGGAGATGCGACGAGCGGAATTATCGATTCGGAAGTGTTGGCGAAGACGCAAAACTCCTGTTATGGGACTTTAGTGTCGGTGCACTGCATAAGCCTAAAATGGTACGTAAAGAAGATATTCTGTATTTTAATTGCAATCGTAGTGAATTTTTGACAATTTTTTCATTTTTTTTTTCCATCTTAGCAGCGGAGAGGAAGCAGCGGCACTGTACATGGAGCAAGTGGGTTCAAACCCGGTCATCGTAGCAAAGGAAGCATTACCAGTCTCCGAGGCCCTGGCGGACATAGCCTGTTCTCTGGACACAACAAATCGGCCCTTTCGCAGCAACTGGTTCTACCAAAAGATACCCTAAGCGAAGACACAACTACAGCAGCAGTGATTTCGGAGCCAAGTAAAGGCTCTTCAGCAACACCGTCCGTAGCTTCATCAACTCGAAAGAACAGTATCCTGCATCAGGACGCACAACTGACCACCAGCAGCTCCGAGAGCGCCTTGTTCGGCGACACATCGTCCATGCTGTCGACACTGATCTCAGAAGGCGGCGACGGTTCTCAGCAGGGAACAGCGACGACGAGCAGTAGTAGTAGTATGCATACGGCGGACGAAAAGGCACACAAGAAGTCGGCGGCTCAGCAAGCACGCGGCGGTCTTCCTAGTATTAATATTCCACGGTACAATACCAGCGATGTCAAGAATGGTGGCGAACATGGGCATCACAGTATGGGACTCTCATCCATGTTCCAATCAAACAAGCATCATCAACAACAACAACAACAACAGCAACAGCAACAACAACAAATGGATGCAGCAGCAGCACAGGAGCCGTTGGTGCGGCCACCTGAGCCGCGTTCCCGCGTCGCGATGTTGCAGCCGTTTATGGTGGCGGCGATCCATCATGAGCCGCTGTCGAGTATCACGTTCCGCGAGGATGCGGTCATGACGAGCGACCGGAGGGGGCATATCAAAGTGTGGAAGCGGCCGTCGACTGGGTTTCCTCTTCAGTAGTTGTGAACTGAGCAAGTTTTTTTTTTAGAGATAATAAAAACGTACTTGGAAGATCGCTATGATTTTTTGTTTTTGTTTTGTTTTGACAAACAAAAGACAGCTCAAACAAGAGACCGGATAGAGGGCCGACCTCTCCATCTTTCTCTCCGTCGATGCTTATATTATTCTTCCGCCATCAGTTTTTTCTTTCTTTCTATGTGATTAGAAGTATCTCTATGTATGAATGCTTAGACAAAAAAATGGGTATAAATCCGACTATCCTGATGCACCTTCATCTCCTGGCTCTTGAAGTGGTTCAGTTCCAATTTGATCTTCTGCGCGATCGCCGGCGTAAGACATGAGGCCGTGATGCTCGTATCGGCCGTCCGGTCATACTGTTCGGGCGTCCACGTCGGATAGACCGTCGGTTCCTCGGTCGAAAACTGTATTTGCCTGCGAGGACGTGCTTGATAGAAAGACGGATCTGTGTAGTAGTATCCTCGCTCTCCATGGTGGTAGTGTTGATGCTGAGGCTCAAGCTCGTCGAGATAATGGTGACGCAAGTGGTGATCCTGGGCCAGGTGGTCATGTTCCTTCTCGTGTTCGGCATAGTACTCGTGCATAGGATGGGGATCATAAGGCTCTCGGGCCAAGAGCTGCTGCTGGCAACGTAGGTGATGGTAAGCCGTACCGCCCACTCCCGCCAGTCGGTGCTCCTCTAAATGCATCGAAACCTTTGTGGACGGGGACGAGGTTGAAGATGCTGCAGTGGACGAGTTGGACATGGTTGAGTATGACTCGGGTGTTAAAAAATTGCCTAGATCGTCTTTGCGAACGCCACCCGCCGTGGATCTCTTCACCTGGGTCTCCATTGCGATGTTGTCGACAGAAACGCGGGCAGCCGAGGTAGGGAGCAAGGTATTGATGGCCTGGCCAGTCGATGTGCGACGAACGCCTTGCTGACGAGACCTCGAGGCGCCGCTGGCTTCGTAGTGCGCGGAGAAAGAGGAAGAGAACGAGCTGTCATCCGAGGCGGAGGACGAGGTATTCGCGCCCTCATATGCCGACTCCAACGAGCAGCACGAAGAGGGGCGAGAAAGCGTCGCGAGAGAGTTTTGGGGTGGGGACTGACATCTGTCCGCTGATGCTGAAGGCGCGACCTTGCTGGTGGACACTGGTAGGACTCTGGGCGTTGGAGGAGTGGAAGGCGTGCAGGAGCCGAAGGGCGCAGTGTCCCTAGAAGTAAGGTGCGTGATACGCTGAGGAGTATCTTTGAGGAGGCTGCCGGGTGCTTCATATGGCGGGTCTTGGGTCTCGAACAGATATGAGTCCTTGATCTGACTCTCTGAACCTCTCGAACCTTTCTTGTTGAGAGTGGCCAAAGCGTGATTAGCCTGTGCCAGGCGTATGAAGGGATCTTCTGTTGCAGATGAATGGTGTGCGGAATGTCGCTGCTGCTGATGATTATGATAATGGCGACGATGCTGTGAGCTACTCTGCGAGCGGATCGATGCAGATCGTCTACGGGAGGCTGTGTGCACGTGATGAAGTCTGGGCGAAGCCGAGACTGGGGGACGGTGGGCGAGTGCAGACTTGAGTGGTTTTGCAGCCGAGGGAGCAGGTGCCGGGACATGGGTGGTTTTGTTCCTTCTTTTGATCTGCTTGTTGAACACGTTATTCAGGGACAGTTTCTTCGTCGGTGCAGGAATTGTCGGTGTAGAATGCGACGGTGCTGGTGACACCTGCGACGTGGCGCGGTCGCGATCCCAGGGTGGAGTGGTGGAGTGGTTCATAGATCGATTATCCTTGGCTTTTGTGCCGCTGTCGCGCAGGTCATTCAAAGAGTGTCTTCGTTGAAATTCAGTGATCTGGCGTCCGGCGACGACCAAACGGCTCTCTACATGAGGCACAGATGATGATCTCGATTGCTTAGCCCGACGTTCTTGAAGGTTGCGGGATGCAAAGAAGGAGGAAATCGAGGCGAAAGAAAGTCGTTTCTTGACGGCTCTGGTGGGCGTAGAGTATATGCCATTGGTCCCCAGCGTGGTTTCCTCCTTCGAAAAACCGGTAGGTTCTCTATCTTCGGCATCAGTCTCGGATTCGGCGTCCAGCGCCGAGAGACTACTGATCGAAGGCTGCTGCTGTCCTGGCACTATCAAGGTGGGGCAGGTCTTTACGGTCGGTGAGTTAAGTGGGGAGGTCTCTGGAGAGGTAGATGGAGTGGTCGTCTGGCCCGAGCCACGCCTAAAGCCGTTTGGGCCTGAGGTAGTGTCCGTTGAGCTGTTGGATGAAACCGATCCCCGATGCTGGTTCGCCAAAGACGCGCTTAACCCACCGACATACAAGGTGCCAGTCTTGCCATCATCCTTGAACGATACCGATAAGATATCCTCCCTCGTTTCGATCGCATCCTTTGAGGTTCCCTGTTTGCTGATAAAGACATTTCGCAACTTTGCTGCAAACGACGATTTTTTGCGAAGGACTGGCTGCTGCTGTTGTGGTTGTGCCTGCGCTTGCACTTCTTTGCTTTGTCCAAGCTCCAATAAGATAGGGTTCGTGGATTGGTCAGGGTGCAGTTCCAGAGGGTGGATGGATTGCTGATTCGAGGGGAGTGTTGTTACTGTCTTGATGCTGTCAACCCGATCTGTGTCTTTCACGCAGTGGGGGTCGTTATTCTCCGGCAGTGAAGAACAATAAGCTGCATTTTGACGCGCTAGGTTACACTCTGGAGCATCTGTGGACGGGGTTGCTGTTGGCAGCCATGCTACGAATACAAAAGAAAAAGTGAAAGGGCGGGAGTAACGTGCATGTGTGAGTGATATAGAATAGGTGCGATGCAACATCCTGCTAGGCATCCATGGCTTCCCAGTACTGCTGTTCTCATCCGCTCAACCAGAGACCTCCTTCAAATCAAAAATCGTCTCATGGATAAACGGGGCTCCTGCTTATTATTCCAATATCCTCTAATTCCCATCAGCCGGGATCGAAGGAACCAGCTACCGCGTGAACTTACACTCTGCGTATTCCATCGAAGACAATGGCCTGGGCTTCGTCTCCGCCACGACCGCACCAGTTGTCAGAGTATCATTGAGGCTGCTGTAGTTAAGGTAGTCGCACCCGACCAGCGGGAGAAGACTTGTTGACATTGTCGTCGAGGGCCCTGCAACAGCGCCATTAATTACCCCCAAAGACACGTAGGAAGGTGTAGATTTGATTCCCATGATCGCTGCAGGGATGACAGACATTGGCATGATGGGCTGCGAGATTAAAAGTGGGGGTTGGCCTGTAGTTGTAGCTGTCGCTGCTGAAGTGCTCGTCATTGATGCTGCTGCGGTTTTGGGTGCAGTATATAGCATAGCCGAAGAAGAGCACTCTGTCAGAGTGAAAGAGGGTGATGTAGATGATGAAGCAGACGAACCAGAGGATGGGGGCGAGAAAGAAGATGGGTGGGAACCTTGGGGAGATATGTGAACAGGCACAGTGGCAGGAACAAGGCTTGGTCCAGGGACAGAGAGGGATGCGGGAGGAGTGGTGATGGCCAGCAGAGGTACCACCACAGAACTCTTGCTGTCGGTCTTGTTATCGATCATCAAACGCGAAAATACGGCGATCTTTTCTTGAACATGGCGACCCTGGTCAGTTCGGTTCATTGGGCGTTCCTCGGTAGATTGCTGTGTTCGTTGATATTGTTTTCGTTGCTGATGGTGTTGTTGAGGATCTGGCTGGGTATTTGTGGATGAAGGTAGGGGCGAGGAAGAGGGAGGGGGAGAAGATGGTAACAAGGTCGAAACGGGAAAGGATGAAGAAGAAGACAAAGTCGGGAATGCTGGCGACGGTATGCCGGAAGTAGAGATAGATTGAGAGGGAGGCTGAAGCTGCAGTTCGTCTTCAGCTGGTCGCAAATTCCCGGTCTTCAAATGAAGATTGGAGGCAGATGAGACGGTGCGGACTACGGGCTTTGGTCTGGAGGACGACGAAGGATGGACGCTGGCACTAGTGGGTGACAAACAAAACGAGGGCGTGTTCTTTGGATACATCTGTGAGTAGACGTGAGCGTGCGAGTGGGAATGAGTCGCCTTCTTGCGGGATGAGGGTGTCTCCATGGGTATGGGCCGGTCGAGACTAACCATTATGTAAGAGCAAACGAGGATATATAAAGAGGTGCAGACGATGGGAGGCCTGAGCAATGTCTGCCGATGATCCGTGTCGCCCAGAAAAAGTGTTGACTGTGGAGGCGTTATTTTTGAACAGGAATGATCGTCAAGGAACGGAGTAGGATGGACTGAAGGAAGCCCTCGAAATAAGGAAGGATCAAAAGCGGAGCGCTGCCCAATGGTTTAATGCGGCCGAGAAAAAAGACGAATTTCTTGACGGACCAGCAGGCGTGGACGAGTGAGTTGTAGAGGAAAGGAGTAAAGGGAGCAAAAAAAGCGGAGTGGCAGGAAGGCCAATGCGGACACGCAGTAGCATGGCACGTCAAGCAGAGGCACGTTCACTTGCGCAGGCGGGCGAGCACTACTCTCGATCCATTGGATGGATTTTTTTAAGGATCAGGCTAAGGAATAAGGGAGAATATGTTTGATGTAAGAAAAGACTCCTCTCTGTTTGAGCGAAAAGGAGACGGTGTGGGAGTAAAAGGTCAAATGAAAAATAAGAGTGAGCATCGATGAAGGCGCCCATGGTGGTGTTGCATAGACGCGGAGGGATACACAACTGCTCTGGGAGGGCGAATGGGCTGATAGCAGAAAGCCTGTCAAACATCAATACCGAACAGAAGAATATAGCCTGGCAATTGTTCTGAGGGGCAACTATATTTTTTTTATCAGGCGAGACGCAGAGCAGAGTATTATGGAGCCATAGGACCTACAGAGGCACATGTGGAAATAAATAGTAGCTCGACCCAAGCTCCTTCTGGCCTCTGTTTGAACGTGGCCTATTCTCAGAAAGTCGCCTCTCATGGTTTATTTTTTCCCCTTTCATCTGAGCGGATGGATCCCGTTCTGAAAGCTACTTTGGGAGCCATTTGGGAGGAAGCGCTGTCAGAAGGACACGGAGAAGGATGCAGGATAAAAATTCGGGATCAGAAAAAAAAAAACGTGAGCAGAGGACCATAGGACCACTAAGACCATTGCAGGTGGGGTCGTCTTTCAAATCGAGGGCAGGGCTGATCGACTCTTTCTACTACTGCGGGCCATGAAATGGCCAGATGACCGAACGACCGAACGTTTTTCTCACGTCGTCTACAACAACCTATATATCCACAGCGGCATCATGTGGCTGTTTCTAAAGACGACTTCCTCGTTCCTGTCTTCGCTGCCACCATATCAGAAACACTGAGTTATGTCGAAACCATAGACTGGACGTGTTTTAGAGGTCGCCACTTTTCAAATATCTCCACTTGTACGCGCTCGCGCATATTCCCTCGATTAGGGGTATTTGAGTCGAGTTTTTTGATCCGCGGCTGAAAAAGACACCAACTATGCCGCTTTTGAGAACCTGTGTCGGGTACGTAAGTACATTGTATACATCTGCGGGAAAACATTTAACACAGCACGTCTGCTGCAAATAGCCGCAGCCCAAGACCAATAACTTTTATGCTCTGATCCATCTAAACCGTGAGTCCTAGTTATCAAAAAAAAAAATATGCTCTGATCCATCTAAAAACGCTTATTCCTATTAGGGATTTTTAACCCCGTCGGAGTTGTAGCCTTGGAGAGGAATGGCCAGTCTACTAAAGACACTTTTGCCGAGACCGATCTTTCAAGAAGCGCCAAGGCGTCCAACAAAGTGGCATATGCGGTGCGGATGCTGTACTGTGCTGCGAACCCCGAATACCCGTCCATCCGAAATCGATGGCCAAGCTTGAGATGAGGATCGCCATGCACTGTTTCGTGGTCAATAAAAAAAAAAAAAGGCGGAATATATCCAAATGAGCTTTGATTCCTGGTATAGAGTTAAGAGAGGTCTGCCAGGACAAACCTGTTTGTTATTGTTTGAGTTAAATTCATATAAGAGTTGGCGTTGAGGCTCTTATTAAATTAAACATTTCGTTCTCTCCCTCCACACACAATCAGGTTTAGCTGCTGGGGCAACAAAAAATAGGAAGTCGGCGGATTGGACAAGATACAAGACACAACTGCGTAAAGGTATTCCCGAACACTTTGGCAACTGCCGCTCGCATAAATGGCACCTCAAATCCCCCTTCCCCCCTTCTCGCACCTTTTCTCTTCGTCCTTCCCTCCCCTCCTCCTTTTCAATCCCCCCAGCTCACATCCTTTTCGATCCACGTACTTGCCCTTTCCGTTAGACTTCTCGTACTCTTCATCACCACTGCATACATAAGGACATAAAATGGGTTCCGAGACACAGGCACCCTCGGTCCACTCAGACAACGCCACCGTGGTGCTTGATTCCGAGAAATACCACTCCAGCAGCATCCCGTCATCCAACCCTAAGCCCTCGGCATCAAAAACCTCCCTCCCTATCTCGAACGATAAGCAGGAATATATCGAACATCAACTACAGCAAAACCAAATGGAGGAAGTGATGGTCGATGATGTTAATAACTCAAAAGAGACTGACACCGCTGCCACTTCAACAAAAGGCTCTATCTACGGCAACCTCGACCCTGGTCCGCCTGAGCCTGATCATGGGGTCGTCTCCCTGCCTTTCAAAGAGCTCATGGTCGTCTTTATCGGATTGATGCTCGGAATTTTCTTGTCGTCGCTGGATCAGACCATTGTCTCGGTCTGCACCACAAAGATCGCCAATGAGTTTAACGGATTGAACCAGATTCCCTGGATCGGAACCAGTTATCTTTTGACCTCGACCACCTTCCAGCCCTTGTAAGTGCATCTCATTACGTTTGTATTAATAGTACGCCATATAGTGTCACTCTCCGTTCATTGGACAACTCTAACGGTTTCATTTGAAATTCTTTATTTCCCCACAAACCTTCGTGTAAATCAGGTATGGCAGGGGAAGTGATATTTTCGGTAGAAAGACAACATTCCTGTTCGCCATTTCAGTCTTCTTGCTCGGTTCTGCTCTTTGCGGTGCTGCCCAGAGTATGATCTGGATCATTGTCGCCCGCGGTATTGCAGGAATCGGTGCTGGAGGCATCATGTCGATGGTCATGATCATCATTACGGACTTGGTCTCGCTCAGAGATCGAGGCAAATACCAGGGCATCATCGGAGCAGTCTTTGGTCTGTCTTCCGTCATTGGCCCCCTTCTCGGAGGTGTCTTCACCGACCATGCTTCCTGGCGCTGGGCTTTCTACATTAACCTCCCCATCGGTGCCATCACTATCGCTGCCGTCATCAAGTTGCTCCATCTGCCACATACCAAAGGCTCTTTCAAGGAGAAGCTCAAGCGTGTCGACATGCTCGGATCACTGACTTTGGTCATTGGCATTGTTCTTGTCCTCCTGCCTCTGAACTGGGGTGGAAGCACCTACGAATGGGACTCGCCTATCGTTATTGGACTCTTCTGTGCGGGCGCCGTTGTCCTGCTGATCTTCTGCTTGGTCGAGTGGAAGCAGGCCCTTGAACCCATCATCCCCTTCCGCCTGTTCAAGAGCCGAACCAACACCGCCGTCTTCTTGACTTCCTTCTTTATCGGCATGGGTTTCTTCGGCATCATGTTCTTCATGCCCCTGTACTTCCAGATCGTTCGCCAGGAATCAGCGACCTCATCCGGTTTGGAGATGTTGCCTTTAATTGTCGGCCTCTTGATCGCCTCCATCTTCTCAGGATTCATGGTCTCCAAGTGGGGCCAGTACCGCCCCTTCATTTGGGTCGGACTTGCACTCTCGACTACAGGCACGGGTCTGCTGACGCTTTTGCACAAGGACACCTCTCGCGGCGCGTTTATCGGCTATCTGTTCATCAATGGTGCTGGTCTGGGACTCTCGATGCAGACAGTGATGTTGGCCATTCAGTCCTCTGTCGCCACGCGTGATATCGCTGTTGCCACCGCGAACGCCACGTTTTTCCGCACAGTCGGTTCGGTCTTGGGAGTCGCCATTTCTGGCACTGTTTTCAACAATGGCATTAAGAAACATCTTGGCCCTCTGATCGCCATAAACCCTGATATTAAAAGAGTCATTTCCGACTCTTACCTGGCGCCGACCTTTGGTCCCGAATTGGAGGCCCAGATTTTGGAGGCATACATGTTGTCGTTGACATCGGCCTTCCAGGTCTGCATCCCCTTCATGGCCCTTGCGTTCCTGTCCAGCTTGCTGATTCAGCACCACAAGTTGCGCAAGAACCTGGGACCCACCCCTATGGAGTAGAGAGCGACCTCTGCTGAAAGCTTTATTTTTTTTTGGTATTGTACCGATCCAATCAACAACAGTAGTCTTTTACTTTGCATTTCCAGTGTACCATACATTCCCACACCCACTACATGCCTTCACAAGCATACCACGCTTACTAGCTAATAATAAAACAAACATGGCATCCGCACGGCCCCCAAATGGTAATCACGTATGACGAGTCTGACTAGAATGCTTCAGCAGGATAAACAGATATGCGCAGAGAGTACGAAGGGGAAGGCGATAAACCAGCACAGTAGACTGTACTTCAGCTGTTTCATCTTTCAAAAAATCGCATAAGGGTTCTTTGGGTACTTGTAAGGGGCTGACTGATTTGTACTTCCTTTTAAGGCCCACGAAGAGAAGACGGGCAAGAGAAAACAATTGTCCAGGATACTGATACCATGGCCGGTGTTCGTGGTGTGACACTGAACCCAACGACCGTTTCCGAAGGGCGCCATAAAAAATCGTAACAATAGAGAAGGAGAATGGGTTCCGAGTGAATAGAAAGAGAGCATTACCGCATGGGAACGGGACAGAGTAAAACATGTCGAGGCTGGGTTACATGCGGCTTTAGTGTGAATGATCGTCCAAAAATGCGTATGCGTTTCGTAAAGGAAGAAAGGAAGAGACCATGGCTCCCAGATTTTTTTTTCCAAGAACGACGCTGCGTCAAGGCTCGCTTCAATGAAAGCGGACTCTTTGTTCAGGTGCAGCATATTCCTCGTTTCCTCGCTCTTTTCACCGGCTTTTGAAATCCACTTTTTTCTGATTGCCCCTGGTTCTACAACATGCAGCTTCGGGAGCACATAAACACATGCACTCTGACTAAACAAAGATACAGGATGCGTCCACAAGCTACTATGACTGCAAGAACGACGACAAACAAGGAAAAACACTGCAATTGCAGGATTGTCTGATCTGCGGGCTGAAATACATTTTTTTTTACCGTCGACGTGTCGTCGTGTCGTCGACCGTGTGCGCATCCTCGTCAATAAAGTGGAGGTGTTTCCTCGTTTCTTTTCTTTGTTCCTTAACTCTCTTCGTTCACTACCGTCAACCCACTTAACCATCTTTCCACAAAGCAGAGAGTGATTGTCTGTCAACCCTCTTTGTGTGCGCCCATGGCATTAGAACCCACTTCACTTCTATCGCTCCTCTCACATGCTACTCTACTGCAGTACTCGAGAAGAAACGTGCCAGATACAACCGTCAGAACACTTCTTATTTTATATTTCTATTTTAGAGTCCTAGGTCTCCCGCACCCCCAAAAACCTCACTCTCACCTTCGCACTTGATTCCCATTCGAATCCAGCTGAAGAACAACCATCTCCTCCTTTCTCTCGCCGATGGGTATGGGGGCAGCCATGGCTGAAGAGCATAAAAATAAATCTGATCAACACGAGTCGCAGCCATGGTTGTCCCAAGACCAGACCCAGGAGCCAAGATGTTTTTCAAGCATGCCGCCACCCACTTATATCGCCAGCTTGATTGCAAACAAGCTGTTGCCCATCGGAGCTGAATTGTTCCACCAAAAGTCCAACGCCAATTGTGTTCTTCGCGTTGGCAAGCAAAAGTTCTACGTCCATGTACAGATGCTCGCGGTAAGTGTTACTTTGCTCGTTTTATGTACATCCCTCTCCCTCTCTCTCTCTCTTTTTTCTTTCTTTCTTTCTTTCTTTCTTTCTTTCTTTCTCTTTCTCTCTTTAGCCCACACCGTGTCTAAATTCTTTGACGTCCATTTCCAACTGAGAACCCTTGGGCGTAAAAAAAAAAAAAAAAAAGGGAAGAGATTACGGCGCTGGTGTTTTTTCTTGTGCCAAGCATGCACAGTTTTACACAACATATCAGTGTAAAACAATTACGGACAAAATCCCTAATTGTTTTACACTGGTATGTTGTGTACTTGCCTCAGCCCAATTCTCTATCCCCCCTGGAGTTCACTATATTTGGGCATCTATCAAGCTGCGCGTTGCGCATACATACAATCCTCCCAGAGAGTCGTGCGCGAATGCAATTTTACTATAACTCTTTCTATTCAATCCATTTGCCACCAATCTGCCCTCACCCTCCTCCTATCTTCGTCCTATCTCCATCCTCACTTCTGAAAAAAAACAAACACACACACAAGTGGATCATCAAAATGGGGTAGTCAAATTGTATTGGCGTACGACTCTCTGGGAGGATTGTGTGTATGCGACACGTACCTAAAACTCTCTCCTGTGCCTTTCTTGCCCTCAATCTGTCGTTCTATCGCCTATAAAGTCGCGTTCCCCGACCTTCCAATTGATCTTTGACGACATGCTCAAGAGCGGAATGTGGGACTCGGACATAGACAGCTGTAGCGAAAGTCAGTCCCAGCATGAGGACTCTGACTCGGATCATTCAGAGTACGGGAATGATGCGGAGAAGTTCCAAAATCGAGCACAGGGACGCCATGACCACGACGACGACTACAACGACGATGAACATTTTACGGACGACGATGATATGACCATGGATGAAGAAGGTTAGGGTTAGGGGGGAGGAACGATGAAAAGGATGTGGTGTAACAAAGATTGGGTTCGGCAATTTGCTGAATTCTTTATTTTTTATTTACTTGAATATATGAATGTGTGGTACGGGGCTTTCCGTCGACTCGCATCTAGAAAATATCCAAGACATCGACCCGTCTCTTCATTTCCACAGCCATATCGGGGAAGTGACCAGGAACACAGACGGGACTGTAGGAGGAGTTGAGCCGTCCTGGCGCAAGAGTGTCGAAAACTCGAGAACCGATTTAGACCAAAGAGTGGCGATTCAGGACGGAGATCATCAACAGGATGACCACGGATCTGAACAGGAGCATCAGCTGCACCAAAAGTCGGAACCTTGGGACGATGCACTGCCTGAAGTCACTGTGGAATTGAAGGATCCAGTGGAGAGTTGTTTTGATGAGCTGCTGTATTGGGTAATGTGCTTTTCATTATGGTTTATTGATGTTGCCGTCAGCATTGTTATTGTTGTTTGTTGTCCTGTCTTTGCATCGACTAATTTTGATGCTGCTTGCGTATCTACAAAAAAAAAAAAAAAAAAAGCTTTACACGAACGACCATTCGTATTGGCTGCCCTGTTTTACCCCAGAGAACTACGACGCGATTCTGCAAAACATTTGTCATCTCAACATTTTGACCCCACCGGTGCTCGAGATTTGTCTGCTCTTTGAGGAAAGCACGAGCCTAGACCTGGGCCTGCGAGGCAAAGCGCAGGAAAAGGCACGCGCGATACTTCTGGAGGCCATGCGTTTGAATCCTTCTTTGGTAGAATCGCTTTCAGGACCACCAACATCGACCGCAGGAGCAACGGCAAAAGCGGCAGATGCAGCTGAAGCGCAGGAAGCAGGAATCATTTCGCATACGTATGCCCGTTCTTAGGGCAATACCTTGTCTCTTCCCGAAGAAAAATAAGCACGCATGCGCATCATCACCGCGAAAGCATGTTATCTTTTCATCCAAAGGATGTACAGCGCTCTTCGGCAATGCACCGAAAACCAGAGCACAGGGTAGACAAAGTGTTCAGTTATCAAATGTCGCGCGTTCCTGTTTAGTTATTAAAAATGATTGAGCGGCCGACCTATTATTGGCGTTGCTTCATCGATCGTTGGATCCTTGTGCAGTACATGAAGATGGAGTATCCTGGCTCACGACATCCCAGCAATTGTTAGGGATCAAGACATGGACTACAGATCATTGCGAACAATGTATGCATACATGTACATGTACATGTACAATGGCTTCGCCAATCTTTACTTTTTCCCCACCCCTTGTAGCCTTTTTTTTTTTTTTTTTGATAACTAGGACCCACAGGGACGTCCCCACCCCCTGTAGCATAGTATACATGTGTCCCATAAATCTAAAAAGAGCGACACAAAAAACGCTCTTCTAGCGCATCGACCCCTGAAGCCAAACAATCGTCCGCTATATCCTATTACATAAAAAACGTCCCCAATTTTTTGTTAAACGTACTTCGCCCATCACCTCGATTTAAAAGCTACGCGGGCTTCCAGGAAATGAAGCTCAAAGAAGGATGCGCAAAAAACAAAGAAAACAGATAAAAAATAAAATAAAAAAAAAGCAGAAAGTGCGTGGAAAATGGGTGGAAAATGCGGGAGAGGGCGGAAAAGAAGGATTGATGAGTCGAGATAAGGTGCGACGCGAGAGCAGAATGAGATGAACGAAAGAGAAAAGGCGATTCATGTTCCGTGCGCGCAAAAAAAAAAAAAAAAAAGGGTCGAGTGGACACACTCTCACAAATTACCACAATTACGAGAAGACGGCTCTGTTGGAGGATTCGTTTTGGGGAGTGTGCCACGGGCCATCATATCTTTCGTGTGTCCCTCAGACATCTCATGGACCATTTTTTCGCTCTTTCAGGTGGTGGGAAGAAGGCTGTGGATCAGAGTTGTGTGGAGGAAACCACGCTTTGCTCTTCTTTTTTTGTGTCATGTCGGACCCGAGACGTTAGCCGCGGGAAGTTCGCCTAGTAGTATATACAACATGCCATGCTCCAGCTGATCTCAGTAAGAATCATTCTCTGCTCCAGTCAAGACCACCATCCAGGCCAGGTACTGCTTCTTCACGCGTTCATCATGGATAATCCGCCTTGCCAGACCCAGCCATTCTGAAACACTCAGATCCTTGAGCCCCCATTCCTCGTGAGTCCTGTACTCGATCACGTACTCGGGCTGTTTCAGCTCCATATTGGCTTGCGTCAGATTAACCCAGTACTGTGTATAATTAAGTGGAAATCCGAACGTGGTTGGTGGTGCTGCTGGAGGATTTGCTGGTCGCTTAGGCTTCTTGGGTTTCTTGGGTTTCTTGGGTTTCTTGGGTTTCTTGGGTTTCTTGGGTTTCTTCTTTTCCTTGAGACCTTCCGGGTCGTCGTCCTGGTCCAGAACAAGGTCCTCCAACTCCTCGCCATCATATCGCATCTTTTCCTGCGTATCATCAGCGACAATCCATCCGCCCAGCTCTTTAACGGGGTTTACAGATGTAGACATGTCGCTACCTCTCTCGGTCGCCAGCTGGTATGCATACACTCGAAGGGTGGGGTTGTATGTCGGGATTACAGAGGGAGAAACCAGAACGATAGCATAATCACTCAGCTTGATCCGCTTTGGAATGTCCTCATACTGCTCCCAGAGCTCAAGCAGGTACGAGCTTAGCCCGAACGTATGGAACTGATCGTACTCAAAATCGGGAGCATCGTCCTGCATGACCTTCGACAACGCGATCTCCGAGTCACTCTCGCCTAAGAGGCGTGCCTCTTCCAGTGCCTTCTTTCGGTCTTCGTCATCCTTCAGTGTCGCTTGCGAGAGGATAAAGAAATGGTCAATGTTGGCGTGACCATACAGATGTCCGACAATCACGTCCTGGAACCTCAGCGCGATATCCGTGTACCGAACAAAGCAACTGGGCGAGTACGATTTGCGAGCTGGAGGCACATGTCCTGTCAGGTATGCTGTCATCCCTCTCTTCCTCATCGACTCGAGTTCCACCTCTAGCCAGTCCATCTGGTCCGTTCCTGGCTCATCCTCCTCGTCGCACCCGTCCACGGCCGCGTTTTGGTTGAAAAAGTAAAGAGTGTTAAGGGCCATGACGGAGATCTTGTCGGGAATAACCTCGACTGTATAGTATCCGCCATGCTGGAACGTATGGTACTGGCTCTCTGGAATGAACTCGGACCAAATGTCAGAAAAGTGCTGAAGAATCCTGTTAGGTCCTGCCTCCATAATGTTGTGGGGATACACATCGTTGTTGCCGATCGAGGGGATAACTGGGACCCGTTGCTGGAACGGGTCGTCTTCGTCAGGTGTAAATGTCTTGAGGAACATGTTGGCGATTTGTCTGTTCAGGACCTCAATCTCCTTTTGTGTGCGGGGATATTCGTTGTCAGAGTCATGTCTAAAAAAAACGGCAAAGAGTGACTTTATATCATGAGCTTCAAGAAGGACAGTGATATTCATATCATAACAGCGATCCCCGCTCCATGCCCGTCGATTACAGCCCAGTTGACTCCATCGGGAGATCTACAGTCGTCATCGTCAGTTTTACGAACAACGGGTCTGACTAGCTGGCATACAGGTGAAAAGCGTGGATCAAGTGATAATTTAACGCACCTTGCATTATCTCCAGTCCACACCACAAAGTCAATCTTGCCGATGAGATTCTTGTCGATCCAGTCAAAGGTCGCATTGGTGAGTGTGAAGGGGCTGTCGCAGATCGAATAAGGGGACCCGTAGACGCCACCAAAGCCGTCAGTGCGACCAGGTCGCATCGTTTGCCACTTGTCATCATCGGTTGTGTTCCTGTGGCACGACGATGAGATCGAGCCGCTGGCGATATAATATTCATCGGGGTGGATATCTGTGATATGCAAGAACTGTCCTGTGAGACGTTCATCGGGATCATGGTTGCGACGGATCTGAGCTGCACAGAAGGATGACAAAGGCAGGTGGCTCAAGAGGCAGGACAGTACGCAGCATGCAAGCAGAAACTGTGCAGGACGGCTGCCAGACCAGAGTGATCCTCTAGGACTTGATGTTGTTCGACAGAAGGCATTGCCGACTTGCAGTTGAATGTACGACTGCAACGACGGCGACGATGACCGACCACTTGTGGATTGGAGACAAACACGGGCTCCAGTGCTCTTTGGGCTTTTTGAGCGAGGTGCTTGCGTTTGATGGCTCGCGGAGGAAGAAAAAGCCCCTTGGTTGCGACCTGACCAAGGCGGCAGAAGAGAGACTTTTTCCATGGATCGAACCTGTTTCCCTTATTACCTGTTGCCTTTTCCTTGAAGAGGCCAGAGCAAGACGGGAAAGTGGAGCTGTTGGGATTTGTAGAGAAGACAACGATGACAACGATGGCAATGAAGGCGAATGAGGACCACAAGCCATTAGATAGCCTGTATGTACGTGATTTCATGGTTTCATCTTTCAACTTTATTTTACACAACAAATTTATCTTCAAAGCGAAGCTCGCTTTCCGGAAGGTCCTTATCCACACACCTTCGACTATAGCTTTCTCGAAACATCGGTATTAATCATAAGCGGAGATGCTAGATAGTGATTCATACAGAGCGCTTCCCTGTATTTCGCTCGCGCCACTAGGGTCAACTATTTTAGGCCCGCTTCCTTCATACCTTTCAACTTCACCTTTTCGAAGTTCTGGAAGTTGGATCCGTCGCTATGAAAGGACACAGGTCTTTACCACCCCTCAGGTTCCCTCAACAGGAAGCAGATCAGGTCCATGATTCGATAGCAGACGTTACATATCTTTATATCACGTATAGAACGCAAAGGCCAACTCTGGATTGTAGGGATGCCCACAAGAAAATAAACTGTCGAAACCGCTGTAATACTGTGGACACAGGCGGCTCTGCTATACACGAACCACGGCCACACGTGCGGCTCGGACGCTCTTTTCAGAGGAGTTGTGTCAAATCTTGCTTGCCCAATTGCTCTAGTCAATTCCTCCTTTTACTTCACACCAAAGGGACTGGCTGCTCCTGGCCAAACAACCATGGCGCATTGACGAGGACAAGGCTGGAATGGTTCATTTTTGGTCTAGATCTCTCTATGCTAGTCTATCTTTCGCATCGTCTTAGTGGTGAAATTCATCCCATCCACGTCCGACAGTGCGAGACAGCTCAGTCGGACAGGGCACATGGCCGTTCGTGTAGTAGCCGGCAGCAACCTTGGCCTCCATCTCGACCTTGGAATCTGGAGGGACCAGTTCGTCAGGGATGGGAACTCGCTCCAGAACCTATTGAAGAATTGGAGGTGAGTATTGTCAGAACAAAGCCGTCAAAAAAAAAAAAAAAAAAAAAAAGCAAGCAAATTCCTTTTTACCTTGATGCCAGCATCAACAAGGGCGTCATGCTTCATATTTGACATGGACGTGAAGCGATCAATCTTGGTCACTCCAAGCCAGTGAAGAATATCAGGCATAAGTGCCTGGAAGCGCATATCCTGCTCAAAGAGACACATTTTTTATATATTAGCGACGATCTATAATAAGGATGAACGTATTCAAATGTCCATCTGCTTAGGTTTGTACCTTGACGCCGGCGACATTCTCGGTACGTGCAAAGTATTTGGCAGCCGAATCGCCCTCTCTCTTGCGAGCATTGTATACAAGATACTTGGTGACCTCACCCAAGGCACGGCCCTCCTTGCGGACTATGCGGTAATAATACAAAGCGTACATCAAGTATTGGATAAGAGCTGTGAAGACAGAGTCAAAAGAGAATGAGTTCATGCTGCAGCTTACAATAGATGATCAATCCGACGCCGCCATTCTGCGCCTCTTTGATAGCCTCTTTCATGCCGAAAATGAGGTACGGGCGACAGGTGCAGATGTCGGAACCAAAGACATCCGAGCCATTGCATTCGTCGTGCACTCTGACCGTCAATCGCACGTCAGGGTCCGACAGGAGCTCATGGTTACCAAAGATGTATACGGAGGCGCCGCCGATCGGAGGCAGGAAGACCTTGAGATCGGGCCTTGTAATCAGCTCTGGGTACATTCCTCCTGAGTTCTCACTGGTGGGGGTATGCAAAAGCACAAGGAAAACAGTAACGAGTGAACGTCAGTAGTGACCAAATATCTGGTATGCAGTAGCAGGAAAGGGCAACTTCATCATCGACTTTGCTCTTACAACAGCGATCGACGCAAGAAGTCCTCGTCGACCTTCAAACGAGCGGCAACGCCAGGAAGGTACCAGACAGGATCGATGGCGCCCTTGTGGACATTCAGTTCGCCAGTCTCGTTCACGACCACTTTGCCATCGACGGCAATTCCTCCCGTTCTAATTTCCTCCTGGATCTCTGGAACAAGCATGTGGGCTCGCGTGATGGCAATTGTGGGGCGGATGTCGAGACCCTCATCGATCTCCTTTTTGAAGTACTCATTGGTGAGGTGCCCGAAAGGGTCAAGGGCGACAATCTTCGAGGGATCTGACCATTGGGGTTGCTGCTTGATTTCAATCGGAGGCTGCGTATTCTCAAAGTTGGGCCGGTGCTAGATCCGAGTATTCAAATGTCAACCAGAACACAGCAGATTAGAAATGAGCTCCAACGAGAAGAGGATTTACGCTGCATGCCCAACGATCCCATACATTGTGTGACAGGTCGCCCATGGCAACCGCTAGGCCGCGGTAAATGGAGTATGGCCCACCATATGCACCTATCGCATTTCTAGAAAGGATCGGTGAAATTCATCCAGAGGGTTAGTGAAGTGCAGCATAGCACAGCACAGCACAGCACAACACAGCCTAAAATGCAGCAGCATGGTGGTACAAACATACCTGATATTAATGGACAAAGCATCGCGACCAATGATAACGGGTCCACGGACACAAGGATCAGTCTCACCCCAATTCAGCTTTGAAGGGTGCACATCCTTGTCATGGGCATAGGCTAGATAAAAGAATAAGAGGTACAGAGGTCATTGTAGTGGCCTGTCAGAACGCGATGATTGCGCATCTCATAGCAATGAAGAATAAGAAGTACGGATTATGCATTTACTTGTTGGAGCCGGTTTCTCCATATAGACATCGCCATGCTCAGTATGTTTGAGTTCTAAAACGGGGGATACCACGGTATCGCCGTCAGAATCTGCTGAATGGCCTATAGTATCAAGGCGCAGCAGCAGCAAGCAACAACATTCAATTTGAAAAGGATCAGAAACATGGTCAGCTAATAACTTCAATTTCGTTTTTCAAGATCGGCATTGTCGTCATAGTGGTTATCTCTTTGCATTCTCAAGGAGATCGAACAAAGGGCCCAGAAGCCCTAGATCTAAGAAAGTTGACAAGGATCAACTCCGCGCTATTTGTGTGGCATCTGTACCGTGACCTTGCCATATCTCTCCTCCAGAGTCGCCACAGGGTTTCACACATGAATATAGGTCAGAATACGTGCCAGAGTAGCTATAACGGCGCATGTCCTTGTGGGGATGACACCCATGGTGATGACACCTATGGTGATGATGGCGATGGTGCGGAAGGGTAGTATCTGCCTGAATTTTATCGACCTAAAGACATGACAAATACAACGTAGGTAAATTAATGCATTCGTTGCCAACTTCAGTGAGGGGTAAAGCAGTAATGATTTCTCTGCATCGATCCGCGCCTATTGGCTATCGAGGGAGTTCACTCTTGAGGTGGTCGACATCATCTCGACATACCTTTTGAGAGAGCTGCTTCTGACTGGACTGCAGATCTGCGAGGGTGACCAGGATCTGGGACAGGATAGAGTCCGACATTGTAGAGTCCTTGAGCGAGGGATGGATTACAAGAGAAGCGAGATAAAATACAGTGGTGTCTGGCAGAAGAGTGAAAGAGGAGGAGCGTAAAGGGGATTAAGCAAAAGGGGAAGAAACAAAAGAGAAACGGGAATATCAGAAATAAAAAATGAAAAATGAAAAGTAAGAAAGAAAGCAAAGCGAGAGATTGGAGATTGAAGATCAGCGTCTTTTATATTGGCGAGGACGCACATCAACAGCAAGAGCGACATTTTTGCTGGATCCATGATCAAACATGATGTGCATTTGCCGATGGTCATGGTCAACTGGCATCTCTAGATTCATTACGTCCAATAACGGGGCGCCAGCACGGTTGCCGACTTATTACGCGTGCCACCCCACCCACAGCCCTCCTCTCCGTCCCATTCAAGTATGGATCAAACGCGTCTAGGCGGTCACTGTCGTAAACTCCAAAATTAGCATGTTGATCTGTACCGCAGATCCAGCAATGTGTCCTCTCTCCTCTTTCCTCTCACCACTTCATGACTGACTCTGTAGAAAGCATCACGTTGTTGTCCTCAATGAATCCATTAACGAGAGCAAAAGAGCCGCCATAAGACTGGACTCTGAACGTAGAGAGGGGGCCGCCTCAGTTACGTGTATTAAGGAGCGGCTACTGCACCTCTTTGAGCTCGCTATAAGTAGCAGTTGCACCCAAACACACGATACACGACAACTATTATCAGGACGCACCAGGAGAAGGTCTGAGCAAGACACGTGCCTTCACCCTTTCCTATTTCACATCGTACTTGCTCTCCGGCCTTGATTGCGCCTTTTAGAAAGCCTTTTATGGCCTGCCTTCGGTCCTCGGATAGTAAACGTCCTGCTTTCTGTTCAAGAGACCCGACCCGAATCTGCAGTTCCAATACACATAGTATATTACGCGAGGGAGACTCATGATGAAAAGGGTTATTGAGGCCTACGGCCAATGGTAGCTATAATTCGCACTGGAAACGCGGGGGTTTAACGCTGGGAGCAATGTAAGGAGTTATATTTGCGGAGAGGGAAACATGATGAGAAAGGAGCGGCTGAGGGTATAAGGCGGCGATGACAGATGAGTGCCCTGCCAAGGATCGGCATTTACAGCTTTGAATGATCCAAGGTCTCTTTCGATAGACGAGCGGTCGCTGGGCGTTATGAGAGTACGCGTTATGGTGTAACTGGCACTCAATTGCCTGTGGACGCGCTGAAGGAATGGGATGTTTGCTCTTCACAGTCGAATCCCGCCAATCAACACCCGTGACTAGAAATTAGCTTTATTGGCTATTCGCCCTCCAACCTTTTTTTGCTGCCCACTCCCTTTTTCGCCATTCCCAAAAGATCTCCATCCTCCATCGCTGCCATCGCCTCCACACCCACACCCACTCCCCTCCCTTAGCCACGCATGCCTCTTGTAAGCGCCCCCCAGGACCGCCCTTATCAACTTATCGTTGAAGCGGTCCTGTCGACCATCGCTTCCTTGCTTTGTTCGCGCACTGTGTGCAGTAGTCGCCTAATCCTCGCTAACACTTGTCTTTAACACTTGCTCCCACTGCTTTTCGCCATATCTCGCATCCTTCTCCCCAACAGGAATTTGCCCACCAGCACAAGTAAGGAGTAATTGTGTACCATTCATTCGGCCAGCATGCGATTCCTCTCTCTCGTTCAATTGCCTCCTACAACACACCCTTCCCGCTGACCCTTTATTCTTTCTTGTATATTTTGGGTTTCATTAGTGGCCAGTTCCCCGACCCTGGTCCATGGAAGCACGCCGAGCCAAGGCCCCTAGAGCTAAGTCATCCCCTCGGGCTTGAATCTCTCCCGAATCAACGTTTCGCAAAGGTGAAGCGTGCCTCCTTCGGACTGAATCTGATGGTCGTTGGTAAGGATAGGGGTTTATTCTAATTCCATGAAGTTTAGAGTCGGGTCTAACGTGTTTGCTGCATCTATTTTGACGGTGCTTTGTACCACCTCCCTTTCCATCCCCTTGCTAACATGTGCTCCTTCCGGGCTGGCGACTCGGCCCTCTCCTCATCATTATGTAGGCGAGAGTGGTTTGGGAAAGACTACTTTCATGAACACCCTTTTCAACTCGGACCTTAAAGAGGAGATCCTGCCCAGAAACCCACAGCATACACAGACGGTACAGATTCAGCCCTCGCACTACGGTACTTGCTTCGTCGTTACTGCTGAATCAAATTACTTGCGATCTGCCGCAAGAAACCTTCCGTTCCTCGTTTGGGACCATTACTAACGTAAAGCACTCCGTGTTGCATTCATTAGAGCTGATTGAGGACGGGGTCCTTTTGAACCTCTGCATCGTCGACACTCCAGGATTCGGAGACCAAATGAACCGTGAGCACAAGTATGTCGGTCCACCCGCATTTTACCATTTTTTTAACTGAGCATTGATGGTATACTGCAAGCATCTCTCTATCTTTGCTGTCTAGCTCTCTATATATGCCTGCTGGCCATGCCTATATTTACATTGCTTCAACTGCGTTTTTTTTATGAGCAAAAAACAAAAAAAAAAAAAGGCGGGCCAGCTCGCTTTTCTTTTTTTGTTCACTTTGTGATGAGAGCAATCTCTTTCTTTTCTTTTTATGTTCGACAGCCAGGCTGCTAATCTCATCATATTTCTCCTAATGCATTGGTCTTCTCTCTATTGTCCTATTCATGACTATGCAGTGTCGAACCCATCATGGAGTATATCGACCGCCAGTTCGAGGAGTATATGACCGCTGAGCGTCACCCTGGATTCCGACAGACAATCCCCGATACTCGAATCCACGCCGTACTGTACTTTATCGCCCCGAATGGCCATGGGTAAGCTACAACCTTGTCATCTCATTAAGCTATTAGCTACATTCCTCAAGATACGTTTGACAAGATAAACAAAAAATAACAATGCTCGAGCGTGCAGAAGACTCTAACAAACAACCATGGTACCTTGATGGGCTCACCATCATCACTACCACCTCATATAATCCTAGCCTGAAGGAACTCGATGCTAAGGCTCTGAAGTCTCTCTCAGCAAAGGTCAATGTGATCCCTGTCATCGCTAAGGCGGATACCATGACGGTCGAGGAAAAGGTGTCGTTCAAGGCCATCTTGTTGCGTGACTTGGAATACCACCGTATCAAGACATTTCCTTCCTCCTATCAGGACGAAGTTGACGGCGCCGAAGATCTCCTTGTATGAAGAGCAAAAGCAGAGCACAGAAATGAGCAGGATGTTTTTTTATTATTATATGTATGCACATAAGGGAGCATTTTGCAGGAGTACTAATTCAAATGCCTATGTTTTTTTCCTTTGATCTGAATAGCAACACATTCCATTCTCTGTCATTGGAAGCGATAGTATGACGGATGTTGGTGGCAGAAGGGTGCGCTGCAGGACATATCGCTGGGGCGTGGTTGAAGGTAAGAGGTCGTGAAGCCTGCGTCATGGACTATTGCATATCCAGAAAGAAACGTATTGAGTTTGTTATTATGTCCATTACCAGATCGACAACAGCACTGACACTGACCGCTATGAAACACTCTTGGTTTGCATAGTTGAAAACGCGGAACATTCCGACTTTGTCTACTTGAGAGAGCTGCTCATGTCGACCTGCCTGCACGATCTGGTTGAGACCACCCACAGTGTTCATTATCATAGGCACCGCGGAGATGCCCTTCGCGCCAAGGGCCGTCCAGTCTCAATCTTGGAGTGTGATGATACATTTGACTTCCAGATCGAGGGCACCAAGCAAAAGAACAAAGAGGACATGGCGCGCAAGGAAGAAGAGATCCGCCAGATGTTTGTTCAAAAGGTCAAGGACAAGGAGGCCGAGTTGCGTGAGCGCGAGGAGAAGCTGAATGCGAAGAAGGCTGAGATGGTCGCAGAGCTGGAACAGTATCGCGCCGTGATCGAGGCCGAGCAGCGCGAGCTCGATGAGGTTGTGACCCTGGCGCGCAGTGGAACCATCTCAAAAAGTTCGAGCAAGCTGTTCAAGGCCAAATAGACTACATGGCATGAGGACTCCTGGAAGGTTTATTCCAGTATCACGAGGATGGGATATTTTTTACAGCATAATATACATGTGGAAATTCTTAATAGTACTGGCGGCAGGTCCCCAGCTTCGTATTTCACCTAGAGTAAAGCTGCGTGTCTGTTCATCAATCGTTCCAATTCTTCTAAATGATACCGTCGCGTGCCAATGTCCTTGCGCTATTCAGGGTTTGTAATAGCAAATTAGGATTAAACTAGTGCCAAATGACATGGACGCGTTACACATCTCTCTTTCATCCTACCATGGCAAAAGTAACACTCCTGTAAAGATTCGCAGCGCATTCTTTGAAGTCTTCATGGTCTGGCGTGATGTTGATAATGGACAGTGTCGATATAGTGAGACCCTTGACAGTCTATTCACGATAGGAGGAAATGGTTTGCGCCATTTAGTGTCTGAGTCAACATCGCGTGCATCAAACGTGCAACGGTACTTACTGCTTTATTGCGAGCCTCAATCGACTTTGTGCTTGACGAGGATAAGGATGGCGAGGATGATGGTAGCGTGGTATTCGTCGAAGGCAATTCTGCACGTATAGATTCAGGCCCAAGTAGCTTCCTCCTGAGACCTTCTGTCGTGAGATCCAATGGTTGCTGTGGGGCCCGGGAGGGACTCTTCAAGTGGCGGATACCTTTTCTAGGCGCTTTTGGTGTAGTACTGCTGCTGAGGGTACGTGATATGGTAGCCAATTGCAGCTTGCTCCCAGCGGCAGAGTCCATGCTCCGATGCCGCGCAAGGGCATTCAACGATCGGGCAGAGCTGTCCTTGCTCGTAACGCCTACTCTATCCAGTGTCTGCGAGCGCGACAAAATCCTGTCACTCGGGATGTCTTTAGGGTTCGAGGGCGCTCCAGAAAGCAATGAAGTATTGGGAGGTGGTAAAACTGTATATGGCGACCAAGATTTGCTCCGCTCGAGAGCCATCAGTAGTTCGGTGTCCTGTTGCGAGGATCCATCTAAAGTTCATAAAGTATGGATAAGTATGGTCTGCGAGCTAGGGCGTACCAGGTGAATATGTTGCATCAAACATAGAATACACAGCTTGATAGCAGTACCTTTGTCAACCTCCATGTCGAAAGCAGAGACCCAGTCGGATTCATATCCAGTCTCCTGCTCGTTGTCGCATCCGTTCATGATGCTGTTCTTAACTGGGTCTTCATACTGAATATATGTCTCGGGATCTTCCGATAACGTGTGATGGTCCAACTGTACGTCTTCCGCCTCCTGCTTCAGGCGATCCAACGAGCGGACATTCAGCAGCACCACTTCCAAAAACTTTTCATGATCCACGAGTGGGTATGCGTAAAAGCACATGGTGCGGAGGCGCCCATTACTCTCCAGGCTGTCCTGTTCCTGATCATTATCCACAAGTACCCCATAAACCAAGAACATTGATGTTTCCTGGTATATCTTTCGCCTATGATCGTCGCAAGTGTCTATGCAAGCAATCCATTGGCGTGAGTGCGGTCAAACAAGGCATTGACAAAAGAGCGAAATATTACCAGCAAAAAGCGCTTACCTGTCGCGGTCTTTGAGACACCAGACGCTTCTTCCTGAGTAGATGGTTGCAAAAAAGGATTATCGTCTTGCTTTGCAAGGTTTGATAGCATGCCTTTCCTCTTCGTGTTTGAACCTGACTTGGAAGCAAGCCTCAGTAGCAGTCCGATCTGTCCTACAGCCTGCCCATCGTTTTCACAGTAGCGCATTTCCATGTCCATCTGATAAGTGAAATATATATTAGCCATGGGTCTGGTGTCAGCGTTGGGCCGAACAAGACAACATCAGTTTCTACCACAATCCCTTGCCACCTACAATGTCATCGCGATCAAATATTTCACTCAGGAATTGGGCAGAGGTCTTGCTCTCCGGAGAAACGAATCTACAAATGGAAGAGTAAAAGCGACAGGATTAGTGCTTTATGAATTGAATCTTGCGGAGTAAAACATATCAATGTCGGATACGTCTGCACATACACACGGCATGGTTCTGGGCACCCGGGCATTAGTAGCGAGAATGGAAAGTTGCTCAGGCTGATCTTGGCGATAACATGCATCTCTGTGTTCTCCTTCATCATCTGCTTCTCCTCTAAAATCGACGGCGTTGAATCTGATATATCGGACGCGTGTTGAGACTTGGGCATGGCGAATGTAATGTCCGGAAGCTCAGTGACATTTGGCTTTAGCTTTGTCCCATCTCGTCCTTGGAATACAATCTGCTGTCGGTTATCCAAGCTGGCTTTCTTTAGGAATCCAGGTGTTCTTCTAGAGGATGATGATAAGGATGTTGCTGAAGTGACGGGTTCAAACGACGGTAATATCCAGGAGCCCTTCCAGACAAGTTCCCAAGCCGGTGTTGCATCCATCTCTTCGCTCTCACGGACGTTAGGTCCTGCGCTCGCAAAATAGTCTTCCTGTAGCGAGGCAGCGTTTGTTGGCGACGAAGACGGGGGAGCATTGTCAGATGAGACAATTTCCTGTGCTCCTTCAGATATCTCCGTCAATGACGGTTCATGTTGTGGTTGCTTGAATGAAGATGGTGCTAGTCGATCATCACTCTCAGGCACTGGAAATCGGTGGTTTAGCGATGTGAAAAGGCGCTTGTTGGAGGGTTTCTTCTTTCTGAATGAAAAAGGGTTCTCCTCGTCGAAATATTCTTGTTGGCGAATAACTGTGCTTGGTGGTTCATCTTGATGCTCCATGCTGATGCCGTCCAAGCCGGTGAATGTCTGGTTCCGTAGTCAGCCTTGTCCAGGAAGACTTTTTTCAGCGTCCTCTTGTAGTAGACTAGTTTTGGTGTGGGAGTGAAGAAGTTGTTGGTTCTGTGCTGTAAAGAAGCACTCTGTATCAAGTTGGTGGCAACGGCGCTTTGAGACAACAAAATAAATATGGAAAGTCACATCAAGCGCGTTTCTGAAAAATGATACGCGACGCGTCTATGATAGGGCTCCATCTTCATATGGGCTGCTTGGGCAAGAGATATCAGTATCTCAGTTGCGCATATTCGAATGCGTCTCTAAACTGAAAGCTGAAGAAACAAATGCGGCTCGTTTGACGCGTTTGGCCTTCAATGGGGGACCTATGCGGTAGTAAACATTGTTATGGTATTGTCGAATCCATCTATGATCTATTCGCATCTTTCTACAATGCAGTATGATCTACACGATCTATACCTCTTCTACTCCTTTGCCATTACGCAAATCGATACACAAAGAGGGCGTGGATCAGAGATGGTGTAAAATGTTGTTGTGTGCTTCGCAGGCCACAGAATAGAATTAACTATCATGTTGACACAGACTGGGAGCGCGGCACAGCTTATCTTCGATGAATACTGTGAAGAGTCCATCGTCGTTACTACGTCGAGTCCAAAGGACGCAGCATTGCAGGCAGAATACAGCTATCCATGCGATGACTGTTGTACCATTATACCAATTGGGTTGGGAGGAGTTGAAATGGCCCTCACTGCTTTGTCCCACGGGAGCGGTTTATTGCATATGCTCTTTTTTCTTTGTTTTCTTGCACAAGGTCAAGTCAAGCACATTTTGGGAAAGGATTCTACCCACTCCCTCCTTTTTCTTTTTCTTTGTCACTTTTTTTTTCTCCTTTGTGCTCACCTCCACTCCACTTCCCAGCCCTTCCTCCCTTCCTTCAAGCTGAACATCAGTTCCATCGGACCATCATCCCTTCTCTCCTCCCTCTCTTCCTCTTATTCATCACACCACCACCACCCGCGGCAACTTACTCTCAAAACACACTTTTCACACTAACACTACAGCTGTCCAAGGAAGGATCGACTGCATTTCTTTTGCCATGGCGTCCTTCATTCAGTCCCTCCTCGACTGGCTTCGTGGCCTCTTTTTCAAGGTACGCCAACCCCCGCCACTGTTATCACACCATTTTCTCTTCCGTCGCGACTTTCGACTTCGCTACGATATATGTATATGTGTGCCACACTTCAAGCAGCGCTAACTAGTTCTTCGCACTACTTTGCATCGCCCACAGACCGAGATGGAGTTGACACTGGTCGGATTGCAAAACAGCGGCAAGACAACTTTGGTCAATGTCATTGCTGTAAGTATCATGAGCTATTGTTCTTTGTTGTTTGGCCTTGAAAGGAAGCTTTGTGTCCGTTTTTTGGACTACATAGGACGCAGAGAGCAGAATTGGCAGAATGGAACCAAAAGAGCTCTCCCAGGACGTCAACAGTAAACAAGGATAGGGCTCAACGTCGCAATGGCCATCCATGGATAATAGACACAACCTCAACCGTCGATGTCATACACTTCGTGGACAAAAAAACAGCAGCATTCAGGGGAGGGGGGGGGGGAATGATGCGGAACAATAGTCATCAACAGGGGGGAACAGCCGAAGGATAAGGGTCGGAGACTGCATGCTCGTGACTATGCCTGCTCCTTTGTCTCCCCATGGACTTTGTTTCTATCAACGGCTCAATCGACTCAGGTTTCTCATGGCGGAGATTTCCAACGCTAAACTAAGCAAAGTTTCGACCTCACTTTCCTAACAGCTGCTTTGTACTCTCTCTGCTCTGTCCTGCTCTGCGATAACAACTAGTCCGGACAGTATTCCGAAGACATGATCCCCACAGTGGGCTTCAATATGCGCAAGGTCACCAAGGGAAATGTGACAATGAAGCTGTGGGATATCGGTGGACAGCCCAGGTAGGCATTCCTTAGGTCTTTCGCCTCGTAAATGTCTTGAGCTGATATTCATGGACCAATTCTCTTTTTGACCAAACGCTGTTTTCTTTTCTGTAGGTTCCGGAGCATGTGGGAGAGATACTGCCGAGGTGTAAATGCCATAGTGTAAGCTCACTAATGACTCTTGCGTTTGCAGGTGTGGAGGGGGGACAAGATGATGACATTGAGGAAGTGTTTAGCGAGAAACTTTCTCGCGTGTGATTGGCGTTTTTTTAGTTTTCCCGTTGCTGTTACACAACATCAAGTCAAGGAGGCAACGAACTTTTACAAGCGCTGCGGATAGCAGCAAGGATACTCTGACGCTAACATTTCCATTGTTGAACGGCCTTTAGGTTTGTCATCGATTCTGCAGACCATGATAAGCTGGACGCAGCCAGGACAGAGCTCCGTAACTTACTGGACAAGCCTCAGCTGGCCAATATCCCCGTTCTTGTCCTCGGAAATAAGAATGATTTGCCTGGCGCACTCACGGTCGAGCAGATTATCGAAGTCATGTAAGTGGAGGTTGAAAACTAGGGGAAGCCGGCGCTGATCGTATTTCATTTGCATAGCCGCAGCTCTTGACATTTTCTCTATTCAATTTGATGGCGAAATACGATAGGAACTTGAAACAGATCGCCAGCCGCGAGGTATCCTGTTATTCCATCTCTGCCAAGAATCAGGTCAACATCGATATCACGCTCCAGTGGCTGACCAAGAAGGGCAAGGGAAAGTAAGCGATGGAGCTCTTTTTTCAGCAGCCGAACGCGAGCCCAAGGGACCCGACAAAAGGAAATCGTTGATCTATGCGCTCGATATACATACATTCACCTATACATTACACCCACAGCACTCGTTAAGAAGTAAAAAAAAAAAGCAAACTAGCAAACTCATAGCAACAGATGTAAAAACAATTTGTACTGCTCTGTAATTCTAGAAAAGATATGGGTGCGTAGTTTTCTAACAATTCAAAAAGATGCCTCGCCGCTTCTCAGCCTCACGGACCTCAAACTGGATCTGTGCGCAAACAAAAATGGCCCCACAGCAACCTAGCATGGTCATCCAGCCATGGACAGATGCGAACAAGTCCAAGATCATGTGCTTGACACCCTCCAGACCTATACAGAATCCGACAAGATTGGCAATCATCATCAGCAGAATGTTGCCCACTGCTCCGAGCGCACATAGGTGGCGATAATATGGCCAGGATCCCCACTAAGAGTACGCACAGGGAATAAATGATCCATGGTTAGCCGCCATCGCAAAATATCAGTCGCCATATATTTTAATGCATATGTCTCACCTTTTGTTTGGTAAAAACGCGTCCAGCAATGATCTCTGGCAGGATGAACAGCGAAATGAGCCAGCCCCATGCGAGAAGTCTCAGTTGGATATCATGCCAGATCGCAACAAACGTAAACACGACCCAGATGTTATACATCGCGTAGCGCGTTCCTCCTAGGGGCACATAGACGTAGCGGATGATCCACAGATTGAAGCTTTTGTGCCAGCTTCTCCAGAAGCCCAAGGCGGAATAGTTGTTGATCACACATCGGATCATGTTCTCAGGCGCCTCGATTCCATCCAGCAAAGCCCATAGTCGGAAGAACCTCCAGATAATTAAAAGCTTTAGCCAGATCAGCACCAGATTAAAGAGGCCGATCATGCAGATCTGGAGGATGGGGTCGTCATCCCAGGCTTGGCGCTTGCTGATCGCAACCATATACATGTAGTGGTTGGTAAACTCCATGATAAGGAGCGCAAAAATGAAGCGGCCTATCCACATGCCTAGCGCCTTGATCGGGATCGTCTTCGGGTACCGCAACTATTAGTGCAGATCGTTAGGGCCGATGTCAATTTGATCCGCACGTCGATAGGCCTGTAGAAAAAGCTTGTCAGCCAATGATTCGGCACATACCTGTGAGATAAAGTCGTTAAAGGTCATAATGGGGCCGGCAATGTAGAGTGGCGCATACAACGCATAGGCAAGATAGTAGATGAAGCAGTAATCCTCTGCCAAGGCAGGAATCGACACACGGTCTTTGTCATTATTAGGCGCCCTATCGCGGTCTTCCATCAGAATCTCGCGAGGCGCGTTGAACGACCAAAAGTAGTCGAGGTTGAAGGAGACAAGGCGCAGCATTGTGAAGTTAAAGTTGACATCCCACCGCCTATTCATGCCTTTGTTCTCATCCTACCACAAAAGATACGGAAATAGGAACGTATGTATCAGTTATCGATAAGCCAGGTAAGCCAACTGAGCACTGAAAAATAGCATTCCATTAGCCCTTGACTTACCAACCAAGCAAGAGAATCATGAAGGTCTGCAAAGTTATATCCGCCATATCCCTCGTTCAAAAACAGGACCGCCAGATTGAAGCCCCATGTCGCCACAGGCATCCATCTAGCGCCCCTTCCAATCTTGGCAATAACATAGTTCGTAGTGACGATCGCCCCGATCTTGATAATACTGTTGCCATACATAAAGTACAGATATATGAGGGAGAAGCTCAAAAAGAAATAGGTTCGGTATAGTGGCTGCTGAGGGTTCTTGAGCGCCATTGTCGAGGGAACAAAGATGGATCGGAAGAGATGGCTGAGTGGGATGTAGATGCAGACGACGGCGACTAATATTGGGAGGTTGTTGCGGAACCCTGCGTACTGCCCATCGCTGTTGTCCTGCATGAAGTAGGGGCAGCGTTTGATCGAGCGTTAGAAAGCGCTGCTTGCTTCTATCGTGTGCTTCCGCACTAAAAATTCCTTGTCCTACATACCACCTTGTAGCCAAAGAAGCCATCTGAGAGCAGGTCTTTGTATTTTTCATAGTTCGGGTTGTCCTCTACAAACGAAAATCATTTCTCCGTGGCAAGTGAAGTTGATTCAATGAGGGGAGAGTTTCAGTTAGCCACTGCTTCTAAGGATTGGTAGCTTAAAGAGTAGCAATTGATCTTGTTTCTGAAAGGTGTACCTGAGCTGGCCTCATGTGCAGTCCGGAACATGTAGGGTATACAGAATGCAAAAACCAGGTAATAGAAATAAAATTCCTTTGTGTTCCAGAGCGATGGTTGTGTGGTCCGGTCTTGTGCACGCTTGGAGTATTTATTGGTGGAGATGGGTTCATGATGATTGTGTGCAGTGTCCGCCTGTCCGACGAATGCAGAGTGGTCCTTACTGCTGTGATGAGAGTCATCCTGCCGAGAGTTGATGTCGAGTAAATGATGGTGCTCATGCTCCTGTGGCATCTTGAAGTAAAGGGGGGATGTCGTTTGGTGTGAGATGAATGATGGGAATGATGCAGAATTGCAAAAGAGATGAAATCGTTTAAGCTTTCGTACCTTGTTTAAATTTAGCATCTTCCGCAAAATTGGTGGCAAAGAATCCTCAGGGCAACCCTACCACGAGCTCCATAGTGCCGCCAATTGATACACACACATATCATACCTTGAATGATTCAGCGATAAGTCAATGGATATTTTGGTGCAAGTAGGCAGTTCAATAGACGCTAGTGCATTGTCATATCCTGTCAGTCATAGCTACTATTGACCTTAACAGGTGTTGCGCGCTATGTGTGTGTGAAATAGGATCAATTGCTTCAGAAAGAAGGCAACGGATGCGGCTGGGCAATCGGTCGCACAGCCGTAGTTTGGCTCGATTTTTTTTTCGCGTTTCGAAGACGCGTCTGGGGTAGCCTGCAGCCCTTCCGCCGGACGGGGTCCTTGGAGTCGCACCATTACAAGTCACGTATGATTCTATGATTCATAGTTCTTTCTTTTTTTCTTTTTTTTCCCCGCTCACCTTATCTCACGTTCTTCCTTCCATACTTTCTCGTCCACTCCACTTCTCTCCACCTCTCCTCCGTCTCCTCCACTAAATCACTCTTATTACCATGGTTGTTAACGTTGCTATTGTCGGTGTCGGCCTTGTCGGCTCAGAGTTCATTCGCCAGGTGCTCGCCACCCAGTCCAAGAAGATCGCCGTCATTGCCGTCGCCAACTCTCGCCAAATGCTTACTTCGACCCAACCCTTGACCGCCTCCTGGAAGGATGAGTTGGCTGCAAGTGGAGCCACGAAGCCCTTTACCCTCGATGCCTTCACTGCCTCCTTGGCTGCCTCTAAGGCTTCTCACCCCACCGTTGTCTTGGACTGCACCTCGAACGAGACTGTAGCGGCCTACTACCCAACCTGGCTGGAGGCTGGATTCCATGTGGTGACTCCCAACAAGAAGGCATTCTCGGGTGATTTGGCACTGTACAAGAAGATCAAGGAGTTGAGTAGCCAACCTGGATCGCCTCTTGTCTACCATGAGTCCACCGTTGGCGCTGGTCTTCCTGTCATCAACACTCTGAACGATTTGGTCAACACTGGCGACAAAATCGTCAAGATCGAGGGTATTTTCTCCGGCACCTTGTCCTACATCTTCAACAATTTTTCCACACTTGATGCCTCAGCCAAGCCTGTCAAATTCTCTGAAGTCGTCTCTGTTGCCAAGGAGCTTGGATACACAGTAAGTCCTTCGTTGCTGCATGCTCGAGAGAATCGCACCATTTTGATATGGGCAACATGGACATCTTTTTTATTTACTCCTACTCCATATTGTTTGTTTGTCAACTAGGAACCCGATCCCCGTGACGATTTGAACGGCATGGACGTAGCCCGCAAGGTCATTATTCTGGGCCGCGTCGCAGGTCTGGACCTGACCCAGGAAACTGTTCAGGTCGAGAACATCGTCCCCGAATTGCTCCGCAATGCCTCGCCCCAGGATTTCATGTCAAAGTTGCCCGAATTCGACGCTCATTTTGAAAAGTTGAACCAGGAAGCCGTTCAGAACCAACAGGTCCTTCGTTATGTCGGACTTGTCGATCCTGTGAACGGAAAGAGCAGCGTCACCCTTGCCAGGTAACTTATTTTATTTTATTTTATTTTTCGCAGTGATCCGGTCACGGAATGTTGACTTCTAATAATGTCGATTCTACATTATTGACTACAATAGATACCCTGCCAACCATCCCTTTGCCTCGTTGAAGGGAAGCGACAACATCATTGCCTTCACTACAGAGCGTTTCCCTAGTCCCTTGATCATTCAGGGATCCGGAGCCGGTGCTGCTGTCACTGCCTTTGGCATCCATTCTGATATTCTCAAGATTGCGGAGCGTACTCAGCACTAAAGTGCGCCTTATATTGTTTATCCTTCGCGAATCGAATATAATAACATACACATACTCAAAGCACTTTGTCTGGATGTGGACTATGAACTAAGAGTGAGTATTATTACAGCTGTACAAATGATACATATGCAAAGCAAAGCAAAACAAAGCAAAGCAGGGAGGATGTTAAGATCGGGTTTCAATGCGATCAAGTCGTGAAGAAGGGGGAGAGGGGCTTAATGGTCGCAGGCGCGCTATGAAAAGTGTAAGCTGCGAGTATGAAGGTGCCAACAAAAAAAAAAAAGAATCGTAGGCGCGAATATGTACAGACGGCAGTGTTTTCGCCAGTCATTGTTCAAAGCTCAAAGTTCAAACGCAAAGTCCGAAAACGGCGCCTCGACCTTCTTTTCGTCCTCCAAATCACCCAGTCCAATGGCATCGTTGAACTTTTTCGTCGGTTTGTCGGAGTCATCCTTCTTTCTCCCGGGTACATTATGTTTGCGACCTCCGAAAATATCGTCCTCATCTTCACTCAGTGAATCTTCGGACGCGTCGAGCTCAAAGAAAAAGCCATCAAACGGCGGTCGAGTTTTGCTTTCATCCTCCAAATCCTTGATTCCGAAGCGACGGCCTCCTTTCGGGTGGACTGTATCCTCATCATCGCTCCATGTAACATCAAGATGACCGTCTGGGGTGACTGTTGACTTTGGCATAGGAGCCTTATCATCCTCCTGCTTCTGCTCCTGTTCGTCTTTTTCCTCATCTGACTGTGCAGGCGAGGGGGGCCGTCTGATCTTTGCGGGCTCCATTGATGGAAGCCCAAGCTCAAAGTCTTCGATAGAGTGAACATGATAAGCCAGTGCTGAGGGAACCGTTGATAGCGCCAATGGATCGAGCTCGAATTCAGGGTCATATGGCTGCTCTGTAGGAAACAAAAAAAAAACCAGGAACAAGTGGTGAATAACAATGACAAACGATTAGTGGCAAAGTTAATGTCATTTGACAAGCGTCCAAAATTACCTTCAACAGGCGGTGGGCAGTACTCGATATCCCAGTTTTCATCGTCGTTTGGTAATGCCCGTCGCTTAGTTTCGGCTTCAGCTTGTCCAACTACAACCTTATCATGGCTTTCGACTGCCCTCTGGATCGACAGAAGGGTTGTAGCAGATTCAATTGGTGCCGCCTTGGCAAGGGCGACCATTGGTTTGACTCTGCTGCCATTGTCGCTATTGTCTCGGCTGTTGGAATTGACAATGATGTTGTCATTTGTTTCCTGAGTGACCGACTCGTCATCTTTGTGAACGACCAACCTGGTCTTGGCAGATCCCCGCTTGGTGAGTGAGCGACGTCTGGACTCCGTATTGATAGGGGTGCTAAGAGCAGAACTTGTGTTGCCACTATTGCTGTTTGTGTTGTTGCTTTCGAGAGCAGCGCTAAATGTGCGCGTCAGAGTACTCTTCTTCTTTGCAGTCGTGTCTTTGCTGTTGTTGTCGAGTGTTGAAGACAGCTGTTGATGGTTTGTCTTCGTTCTCAGTACGCCTTGAGCTAAAGACCATGAGTGACAGGCCGTACCAGTTAGTTTTACATTTATTGACACAGAAGGCTCAATACTGTTCGTAGCGTTTGAAAGAATGGACGCAGCCATTTACCTGTGGGAGAGTTGAGCGCCAGGGCCGATGGCTTACCCTGCAGCGAAGGTGTTTTAGTGAGATTTACCTTGAGTCCCTGCTGCTTTGCTGAGGGTGTGCGACTACCGACAAAAGAGGCTTGCTTGACCAAGGTCGCTGTGGCAGCGCGTGCGGCAGAATCAGCGGCGATGTCGTTCTCCTTGTCCACGACCCTTCCTGCTTGATTTGGATACATTGAGCCGTAAAAGAGTTGGCTGAAGGGAGCGAGTCTAAATGAAGGAAAGAGTGCTGCTGCTGCTGCTGCTGCTGTTGCTGAGGAGGAGGGTGGGATGGGTGTTGTTGTGCTGTGTTGTATTGTGTTGTATTATGTTGATGAAGAGGAGCGAAGATTGTGTCTTCAACCGCCTGGGGCTTGGACTTCTCTTTTTTGAGTTTTCTCGAATGTCAGTCGAGTTGAATTGAATGCATCTTCTTCCCGTCCCATTCGTTCCCTTCCCTTCCCTCCCTTCCCCCTTCCCCAAACCACATACGCGCCATGGCTGAGTCCGATGTCAAGCACTCCTTTGCCGAGAGTGACTCCCTTGAGACGGCCACCAGCTTTCTAACCCCCTCGACGAACCCTGCCATCCCCTCCTCAGGCAGACACTCGATCGACTTTAGCGACAAGGCACCCCAGGTCATGGAGTGGACCAACACCATCGCCAAGGAAAGCAATCAGATCCCTCCTACCTCCACCTCAGAACTGGACCAAGAACACAGCCAAGACTCCGGTGCCCTCACTCCAACGTCCTCTACACAGCACGACGCCGACCTGGAGGAGCTCCACAAACTTACTCCAACCCTAGTCGAGATCCCCGCCCCTGATATCCCCAACCTGCAGAACCTCACACTCGCGTCCTCGTCCACAAATCCCTCATATCTTTCCACAAAGCCCTACAGCATTAGTGGACATTATGCCCGTGGATTAGACTTGCCCTTGTCGGCGGTTCCCTCGCCACCGTCATCTATCATTGCAGAGCCGCCTTCACCCACACTTTCTCACGCCTCACTAAAGATGGGAACCACGTACTCGTCAACGTCCTCGAACGCGGGTGAGGAACCTGAGCAGGACGCTGAGATGGAGTTGAATCCCACAGCTGTCGCTCAGCCAATGGACCAGGACCACGAAGCTGAGAATATCACTAGCAGCACCAGCAGCAATCCCGCCGTGGCTCAACCCATGGATCAGGATCAGAAACCAGGGGAGTTTGTTGTTCCTCGAAAGGAGATTCTGACCAAGGAGGATCTGGAGCTCTTCCATGCCTCACCAACCTATGCCAACCTGTTCGAGTTCTTGGAGGCGTTGAACGAGAGCGTGGTTGGTGTTGTCAGCACTGCGGACTGCTATGAGAGTGAGGTACTGTTTGTTGATCTGGAAGTTGATGTTGCTTGTGAGTAGCTTATTTCCATCATTACTATTCTGACAGGGTTTTTATTCTTGGTTTCAACATATCCAGGTCGTAAAGGGCATGCTGGAGACGCTTGATCTTGTCAACGATGTCACAGAGGAATATCCCCCAGAGACTGGACATGAGAGTCGATTCGGCAACCCTGCATTCCGCAAGTTTTATGATCAAGTTTGTTTGGTGAGTGACAACTTTGACGACAGTAACTGGATGACGGACTATCCGTATCAAGTTGGTAATGCCTGACGCTTTTTCTTTTTTGTGTCACATCCCTCAATAGTCTGCTCCAGAGTGGATGGAGAAGCTGGTCACGCCCAAAGAGGCTGTCCCTGAGGTGACAAAGTACTTTGTGGAGTGCTGGGGCAATCGAAAGAGAATCGACTATGGAACAGGGCACGAGGCTAGTTTCTTGGCTTGGCTGTACTGCTTCGACAAACTGGGGCTGATCAAGCAGGAGGACTACAAAGCCGTTGTGATCAAGGTGTTTTTCAAGTATGCAGAGAGCGATTGTCGTGGGATATCTATGCGAAACATTAGATATCCATGACTAACAAACATTTTTATGATAGGTATATTGAAGTGATGAGGAATTTACAATTCGCGTACTGGTTGGAGCCAGCAGGATCGCATGGTGTCTGGGGTCTGGACGACTATCACTTCTTGCCTTTCTTGTTTGGTTCGGCACAATTGAGAGGACACAAGTACATCCGACCAAAATCGATCCACGATAACGACATCGTCTCAGAATTCGCAAAGGACTACATGTACCTGTCGTGTGTGAAATTCATCAACTCGGTATGTGTTTTCTCCTTCGTTGTCTTCCCTCAATTCTGGCTTCGGAAAAAGATTATGCGATTATTATGCTGAATATGATACGGTCATCTTGACACTACTAGGTCAAGACGGCTTCGTTGAGATGGCACTCGCCTATGCTGGATGATATCAGCGCTGTCAAGACCTGGGAGAAGGTCAACTCGGGCATGATCAAGATGTACAAGGCCGAGGTCTTTGGCAAGTTGCCGATCATGCAGCACTTCCTCTTTGGCTCGTTGCTGCCGTTCAAGGGACAGAGCGACACTCGTATCCTGGACGAGGACGAGGAAGAGGCAGGCGTGGAGGGTCATTCACACGTGCATGCCTTTGGTCAAGAATTCCCAACATGCTGTGGCATGAAGATTCCGAGTGCGATTGCTGCAGCGGCTGCGTCTGGTGCATCGGGAGACAGATCACTTCCTGGCGTGCCCTCGAACGGCGCAAGGAGATTGCCATTTGACTAAGGGACGAGGACCGCGCACGCATACCTAACCTGCCCCCCATATGCAGTTCACCCAGCGTATCTGTCCCATCTATTCACATACAATAAAGTATCTAAGGTTCCTCGGTAAAGTCAGAGATTAGGTAACGCTCGATGAGAAAGGACCTCAGTGTCCAAGAGTCCGAAACTTGTTCTGGTAGTTGCTTGTGTAAGTGTCACGAGTGGACTGCCGCTTTTGAAGCTCGACTCTGTTTTCCCGCCAATTTTTCTGAATCCGTCTCGGACGGGGGAGTTTTGGGTTGTGTGACCCTTTCTGTCCTGTACCCACGACTTTTTCTGGCCCACCACCCCTTCCTTACTCCTCTTTCTGTCTTTCTCTTCTCTCACTCCATCCAACCACAAGAAAGGACACTGATTGTCTTTTTTTTTTTTTCTATCAAAGGAATCTATGTCGCACCAAAGACAGGCCTCGAGCGGATCATCCTACGATCCAGCAGCAGCAGCTCCGCAGTACTATCAGCAACAACGAAATCAGCAGCAACAATATAATATCGTACCACCGATAGGTCATGCTGCACCACCTCCACCCCTGCAGCACCGCCATGACCCTGCGCTGGCACATCAGCAACCACTGCAACCGGCCCACATGCACCTGTTGCAGTCCTTTTGGATAAACCAGATGCATGAGATCGAGAATGTCCCCCAAGACTACAAGCTACATCATCTGCCACTCGCTCGCATTAAGAAGGTCATGAAGACAGACGAGGACGTCAAGGTATGTGCTGTGGACTAACTGTGTTTGTTTATTTGCTGACACGCTTGCATACATGCTTGCTGATGCATGTTGTCGACTGCACTTTTACCGTTCCTGACTGATACAAGTGCCTCTAACTGATACAGGCAAAAATGATTTCAGCAGAAGCGCCCATGATCTTTGACAAGGGCTGCGAGATATTTATTACCGAGCTGACCATACGAGCATGGTAAGAGTCTACTCTATGATCCCATACATATGTGCTGTACCACACAGCCGAGAACATCAGGTATAAATGAACTCTGCCTCAAACTTTTTTTTTCAACTCTGCGTAGGATCCACGCTGAAGAGAACAAGCGGAGGACATTGCAGCGCAGCGATATCGCGGCAGCGATCACCAAGACAGACATGTTTGATTTCCTGATCGACATTGTACCCCGCGAGGAATACAAGATGGCGAAGGAACCCAAGGGCCATCCAAATCCTGCTGCAACCGCTGCTGCTGTGGAACATCGACGCAGTCAGGAATCCTTTCCGCCGATGGGATCCAGTGCTGGTGCGCCTGTCCCTGGCAGTATAAACCCTGGTGGATTCGAAGGATACGGATATCCCTATGCGGTCATCGAAAATGGATCGTTTGCTATGGTATGTGCGACATCCAGGGATAAAGAGAGTATAATTCTGCGGCTGTTTAGTGGCGAATCCTCACAGCGCGACGTTTCGTCCTTTCTAATGACGCGATAGGGTGCTGGCGAAGCGATGAATCCCTATCAACAACAACAACAGCAGCAGCAACAGCTTCAATTGCAGTACATGGGAGCCCAGATGGCACAGCAGGGACACCAGCAGCCTCAATCGCAGCGGTACGATTTCCAACCTCAACAACAGCAGCCCCCATCGCATGACAATGAAAGTAATGGCTCGTCCCACCCGTCGCAGCTGCCGTCAGCCGCCTGGTAGAACTGCTGCCCCGCAGCTGAGATCCTACCACACCTCTTATGATATCCTTGCACCTTGCTTTAATAAACTCGTTCGCTGAGAGCGAAACACGTCACTTTGAATTTCAACGGCCAAGTTTCATTTCCGAGTATAGAAGGCGGTTGATCAGCTCCTCTTTCCACACACGCCTCTTTCTCATCATCATCACGCACTCTCATCAACTCATACTCCTGGACATCAATCATGTGGCTCTCAGATACTCAGAGTAAGCATACAGCGGAACGACAGGGCCAAAGTTTACAAAGGAGCGCCTTCAAAACTGGATACGCGATGAATAAAATACTCATCTCACTTCGTGCCCATCAACCCGTCTTCTTCCATCGCAATAGAGATCGGCGTTGGCTTGACCGCGTTTGGACTATTCTTCATGCTTATGGGCGTCATGATGTTCTTTGATGGAGGGCTTTTGGCTATTGGAAACGTAAGCGTACAATGCGCAGTGCGGACTCTGATTGTCTGACTATGAATGGATATGGATCAATGCCAAGGAGCATGACATGGATACTCATCCTGACAGGATAAGGACTACGACATGACGCACAGCACAGCAGTAGAAACTACAGTGGCATCCAGCCAGAATTGCGCGCGGCGCAGGATACTGAGGATCATGCCCGATCCTGTCTCTTGCATCAAACCCATACGACCCTCAACTCCTTATGGTGCATCCCAAAAGGCTGACATGGTGTTCAGATAAGACACTCATGACACAAGGACCTTACATCCAAGAATGATGTATTCGACCAGCATGACCTTCATTTCGACTGGTGCACCGCACAAGACTACTATGGAATCCACATGGGGCAATTATGGAACAAAGAACTTACCCAATCCTTGCGTCATCTATCCTGGGTTCATTCGTACTAGATCTTGTTCCTGGCGGGACTTACACTTGTCATTGGAACGCAAAAGACAATATATTTCTTTGCCCGTCCTCAAAAAATGCGCGGGACGATCTGCTTTTTTGGAGGAATTCTTCTGGTTTTTATCAAGTGGCCCATCATAGGCGTTATTGTCGAGTTTGTGGGATTCATCAATCTTTTTGGGTAAGGGGCTTCTTTATGAATGTGTGTTTTTGATATTGCAGGGGTTCGATCATGAACATTGGTCTCATTTTTTTTCTATATGATACTAGCGACTTTTTCCCGGTGATTATCGGCTTCTTGAGGAGACTGCCGGTCATTGGAAACGTGCTGAGTGCACCAGGAATCTCCAAGGTACGCATGTCTATTTTAGCTGCTCAGTCATCGAAAACACGCGACGGACTATTTGGACGGCTATATCATCGGCCCATATTTCTCATCATGCGTCTTCCATACATCTTTTATGACGCTTTATGATGGAGACAGTACCTTCCCGCTCCTCAGGACCCATAAAGCGTCGTACGAGTCTTTTCTTTTCTATATTTTTTTTTTTTTTTTTTTTTTTTGGTAACAATGTTATTTCCGTCCGCTGCATTCTTTATTTTGATGTTCAACCATTAACGGACGTTATTCTTCCCTAATCGATTGAAATAGATTGTGGATCGTATGAGTGGCCAAAGGCTGCCTGTCTAATTTTTAGCGCGTTTTTTTACATACATTCATACGTTTACTATCTGCAATACCCTCATTAATGAAGAACGTGTAAACTTGCTTGTATTTTGGACCGCGTCCATTTGTCTATTTGTGAGCCAATATCGATATGCGGTGTGAGATGTGAAGAAAGGGTAGCGCGTTTGGGTAACTGAGATGAAAAATAAAAACACCCTAAACATTGTTATACAAAGTAAAGACGAAAAATGAATACCACGTTCACTTTCTACCTTTCAGAACACAAGTGTTCCTTTTTTTTGGGCTTTATACTTTTTGTGCAACCATGGGAACAGGCACCCATCGTTGTTCGCCAACATGGAAAATCAAGGTTTTTTTTTTTATTTTATTTCGGCCAGGTCCAAAAGACCTTTTTCTTTTCTGAAAGAGATTCCCACAGCGCCCTTGCAACACGACGGAAAGACAAAGAAAGCGTCGTTCCCGCTGAGATATGATCCTCATGCGGTTTTATTTCCTCTCTTGTGAGTCTAGAGCAACAAAAAAAAAGAGGGAGACGAAATGTTCGCACGTAAATATGCCGGTCTCATCTGAATAGCCCGGGAAAAAAAGGTACAGCGCGATAAGGTACGAGTGGCGATGATCGATGATGGCGGACTGCATGGACGGGACTCACACGCACGCCTGTTCATGGGGAGAAAATGTACTAGGTCAGGACAAACGGGGGGAAGGAGGGAGATGTTGCTTCGGTACCAGGCAATGCGTCTCGTCTATTTCGGAGTTAACCCAGCAAGCTGATTGAAGGAAAGCACAGAGCTGACTGATCAACCAACATCAGGCTTTTGCTCATTCGGATGTGTGATGTGTGTTAGTTGATTGTGTCTCTAGTCAAGTCAAGGTCCACTTGGGTCAGGTTCAGCACAGAATCCTTAAAACCCACGTCTTCGCGCGCTCTCTCCCTCTTTCTCTTTTTCTCTGCTCTCCTGTTCCCTCCTTGTCGCCTCGTCCTTTCCTGCCTTCATAAATCCCTCATTCGCTTCTTTTTTTTTTTTTTTTTCTTCTTCGCACACTCATCTAGTTTGTACACCACCCCGCTCTACTCCACATATTCCACCCTCTCCTTATTCCTTCCTGCGTTTCCTCTCAACCTCACCTATTGCGTCCCAAAGAAACCGCTCATAGCCTGGTTCCCATCCTATTTTCACCTCTTTCTCTCACTATCGTTTCCACATAGACAGCACACAAAGAACACACAACATGAACTTCTTCAAGTCAAAACCAAAAACTCCCCACGAATTGGCTCGCAACCTCAAGGAGTCGATTCAAAAGCTAGATGGCCCCGATAAAAGAAAGGTAAAAAGATACTTGTGTAAGAATGGGCTTTTAACTATACACCACACATTTTGGCATCCAAAGGTGTTAGGTGGTGTTAGGGGAAGACGAGAGGCTCATCGTCATCCAATATCATCTTTATCCTCTGTCTGGTGGCAATTTTGACCATCACGATACATGGTGTGGATTCGATCTTTTCTCCGTGCCATCTCCGTGGTGTCGTTCTCAATTGCCCGGAGAGTCGCAGACGCAACTTACTGCTTGAGGGTGCTTTTTGCAAAGGGTGTATCCTTACACATGGTGCCCAGTTGATTTTGCAAGTTGCAAAGGATATTACCCCATGACACCACGTTTGTTCTCGCGCAACAAATGACGATACTTATGGAAGCGCCACTAACCATCACATCCCATGAACCGCTATGAATGTAATAGGCAACGGAAGATATCTCAAAGATACTGGTGGCCATCAAGACGATGCTCTACGGCGACAGCGGCAAGTCTCTATCTCGCAACGGTCGAGTGACATGACTATGAACAACAATCAGTGGACTTTACTAACTTCTGCCCATCTACTGTGGATTTGATCCTCTCCAGAGAACGATCCAGTTCCAGAGACAGTCGCTCAGCTTGCACAGGAGGTCTACTCCAACAACCTCCTCCAGCTCTTGGTCGACAACATTGCCAAGTTTGAATTCGAAGCTAAGAAGGATGTTGCCCAGATCTTCAACAATTTGCTCCGTCGTCATATTGGATCACGATCACCGACGGTCGAATACCTGTGCACGCGCGACCAGATCTTGTTTACGCTGATTCACGGGTAAGGGCTGATTTGATGCTGTCATCGCTCAGGAGGGTTTGAATGACAGGATCTTTTTTACTCTCTGGGGTCATTGGTTCTATTTTGGACACCAAAAAAAGGGCGATCGTATATGGACAGCAGACGGTAGTCTCGAGGCAACTGTACTTTTTGCGCAACGGATCATGGGGTGACAGTAGAAACAGAAAAACGGTCGATAACTGTGCAGCTGCCCAGGGCAGGGTAAGGGGGGAAAGGAGGATCACCTCTACTTCAACGTACATCAGCTCTGTTGTCCAATCCCTCGAGGCTGTAATATTAAGATGGGAGCAATTGGATAATTGAGGGCGAGGAACAGGAGACATGGAATATCGATTTTCTACTTGTGCGGCAATACGTTCACATTTCGGCCCTTTCACCCTTTTTCGACAACTGTACCAGCGTTGGAGCTCAGGACCTGACTATTGCCGCCCATCGAGCCTTCGCCTTCTCCCTTCATTTTATGCGGCCCAAAACATTCATTCGGTATTTTACCTTGGGATGACAACAAGGACAAACACTTTTTTCGACTTGGCTGGGCTGCATGAGATAATAAAAAAAGGGGGAGTAGAGATCGTGACAAAAATGGGACGCGTGCAAGTTCTCCAAAAAAACAAAAAAAAACAAAGGGGCTGTCGAAGCACAGGGCTTTGTGGTCAATCGTCATCCTCTCTCTCCACACACTCCAAAAACACCCCTAATTTGGGCACTGCGTCGGGATGTATACCACAAGTGGCTGATTTCCTTACTCTTTTGCGTGCTATTTTTCCATGATGTTAGTTACGAAAATCAGGAGATCGCCCTCAATTGCGGTATGATTCTCAGAGAGTGCCTGAGACACGAAGTCTTGACAAAGATCATCCTCACTTCGCAGCAAGTATACAAGTTTTTTGACTATGTGGAGATGAACACCTTCGACATTGCAAGCGACGCATTTGCGACATTCAAGGTACGATGCGGACGTGCCCCGACTGCGAGGATAACCACTTGCTGGGAGAAAGGTTTTAAACTAACACAGCCATTGCTCTTTTTTTTTTATATAATAGGAAATTTTGACACGACACAAGACGCTTGTTGCCGAATTTCTGGAGCGCAATTACGATGTCTTTTTCGAAAAGTACACGCAACTACTTCAATCGACGAATTATGTAACGAAGCGCCAGTCATTAAAGGTACAGCTCGAAATGCGGCGTGATATCGGACGCTACAGGATGACAACCTTCATTGGAGAACCGAATGCTGACATCGAACCCTTGTATTTTGTGTACTTCGCTATAGCTCTTGGGAGAAATTCTGTTGGACAGAGCCAACTTCACTATCATGACACGGTACATTGCCAGTGCGGACAACCTGAAGCTGATGATGAATCTGCTAAAGGACAGGAGTCGCAACATCCAGTTCGAGGCATTCCATGTGTTCAAGGTACAGCTAGTTTCGTCCTTGTCTGTCGGCTCATTAAACAACATAAGCGTTACTGATACACCACTTCGCTTGTGTTCATCTCACAGGTCTTTGTGGCAAACCCCAACAAGAACAAGCCTGTGTTGGACATCCTTTCAAAAAACCAGGACAGACTGATTTCATTCCTCAGTACCTTCCACAACGATCGCAACGGTATGTGCTTTTTTACTTTTATTTTATTTTTTGATTGACTATTAACCGGCCTACATGACTAAACTCTATATTTTGTTGATATTTTATTAGAGGACGAGCAATTCAACGACGAGAAGGCTTTCCTGCTGAAGCAGATTCAAGGCTTATGACCAGTCGAGAGCGAAAAGAAGAAAATAAAGAAAAAGTCGGTCGAGGAATTAACGTCCGACATATAGGCGTGTATGAAGAAAACAGCAGAACCATGCAACAACGAGAAGAAAAAAAACACCAGGCATTGCACATGAAGGTCTGTAAAATAAAAAATGGACTTTCAAAGGAGGGCTTGTACTTGACTGGGTATTGGATGTGTTTGTTTCGTGGAACAGAAACACGGGTGGTTCAGGGCGACATGGGGCACTGGATATAGTCTTTAATGTTGCCCTCATCCCTTACTCTGTACGACGTGACGGACAAATTTGCCCGGCAAAATTAAAATTTTCGTCATGTAAATTATTCGAAGTTTTTTACTCCAGGTCTGTGGACTGTGTGTGATATTCTTTGAAACAAGGTCTGGCGCCATTGCTACACAAGGGAGCCTTGCATACCTGGCACCAGATATTGCTTTGGAAGGGGTTCTTCTGGCTCATGTAGATCTGCTTGGTTTGGTATTTCCAAGAACACAGCATGCAGGTTCCTCGATGCTTTCGGGTCACTGGAAATTGGTTGTCATCGGTGAATCGGTCATTGGGAAGTTCAAAGTTCTTTGTCACTCGAGGTCGTTTCCAGACAGTGTCATCCTCGTTCTCGTCTTCCTTCTCCACAGCATTGTGGCGCCATGCCTTGCTTGAGATATGGACCGGATCGATTAACCCCCAGATAAGAGAGCTGCGAAACTCTTTGTGCGTGAGAAAAGATCCTTTTTTTCGGACTATGAGATAGGTGTTGATAATAGTCGTATCCAAGAGCCAGAAAAAAATTGGCATCCAGTTCCGCCGCGTTGTCTGCTGCGTGCTGTAGTAGAATCGAAGTTGATCGGCAATATCAACTCCACCCATATTGTAGTTGTAATCATCGATGACCTTCAGGATCTTGAGTTCCTTCCTGAAGCAGTTGCCAAAAATTGCTCGCACCTTTGCTCCGTTTGTACTTGTTTCTCGTGGTCGGCGCCATTCTCGAAGGACCTCCCATTCCGCACCTGCAATCCCGTGAATCGTTGTCATCATCGTCACCGGTCCATTATCCTGCCAGAAAACGACCAGTACTCCTCCAACCACAGCTCCAGACCGAGTATCCCAACCCAACTTGGTGCTCTTTTCCACCTGTGCTCTTTCGATCGAGCTTAAAGACCAGGGAGGGGTGGCTTAACAGAATTTCGATAAAACGAAAAAACGCTGTCGTTTTATTTTAACCGGGCAAATTTGCCCGGTATACAGAGGAACCTATAAAAGGAGGACTAACCCGCAGCTTTAGGTTCGCACGACCACAATTTACATCCCACACGAACACGCAACCATGTCGGAACTCGAAGAAAAAGTCAAAGCCATGGACATCAATGAGGAGGAGGTCGATGTAAGAATAAAGGCAACCATTCATTTCGAAAGAATGCAACAGTTCTACGCATGGCAACATCAAATCGCCTCGACTCCTGAAACTTTTCTTCCCGTCGCAGCTGCCGCAGGAATATTCGAGGAACTTTTATGTATATCTTCCTCTTTGAAAGTAGTTCAACGCTAATATGATCTCCCTATCATGTCTGTCATTTTGCTTATGTTGCATAGCTGAGCGAGTTCGACCTGACAGTGAAGAAGAAGAAGAAGAAATCCAAGAAGACTGAGGATGCCCCCGCAGAAGAAGCCGTCGCAGAAAGCAAGGAAGCCGCAGCACCTGCTGAAGGTAAAGGAGTAAATCCCAAGGACTGACTCCTGGATAAAATCAACGTGCTATCTTCTTGTATCCTGGACTCTTCAGGTGTCATGAACGAAGGCGTATTTCACTGCAACTCGCATTTTCGACACGATGACTCATCTACGGCTGGTCACTTGCTTCTGACTTTTCTTCTGCGCTAGACGAGGCTGATACCGATCCAATGGCGATGTTTGGCGAAAAGAAAAAGAAAAAGAAGAAAGTCAAGGCTGAGGTATTGACATTATCCACTTTGAAATTCCTGGTCTAATTGGTGCGTCCACTGCGCAGGTACATTAACATGCGAGAACTATGCGTCTTTGTTTTCCAGGACGATACTTCTGCTGCGGAGGGTGGCGAGGAGGCACCTACCGGAGAGGCCGGTGACTCATTCAGTTTCGGCGACCTGAAAAAGAGGAAGAAAAAGTCCAAGAAGGTCGACTTCTCAGCCTTCGAGGATGCTCAGGACCAAGAGGGCGAGGACAACGGTGCCCGTGATCCTGACGACATTTTCGCCGCAGAGGATGACGAGAGTACTCGAGCAAGCAGTGGTAGCAAGGTCGGAGGAGCCGACGCAGAAGAAGGCTGGATCGGCACCAATCGTGACTACACTTACCCAGAGCTCTTGTCTCGAGTCTTCAAGATCCTTCGTCAGAACAACCCTGAGCTTGCAGGAGAGAAGAAGCGTTACACGATCGTGCCACCCTCGGTGATGCGCGATGGCAACAAGAAGACGGTCTTTGCCAACGTTGCGGATATCTGCAAGAGGATGCATCGTCAGCCAGAGCACGTCATTCAGTTCTTATTTGCGGAACTGGGCACTTCAGGATCGATCGATGGATCCCAGCGCTTGGTCATCAAGGGACGGTTCCAACAAAAGCAGATCGAGGCCGTCTTGCGTCGGTATATTGTTGAATACGTTACCTGCAAAACCTGCAAATCTCCCGATACGCTCCTCACCAAGGAGAATCGACTCTTCTTCCTCCAGTGCGAGGCATGTGGGTCCACAAGGTCTGTCACGACTATCAAATCGGGTTTCCAGGCCCAGACGGGCAAGCGTGCTGCCCAGCGTACTGTAAGTTGAGCTGTCAATTCATGAATGATTCAAGAACTGCTTAGAGGACTTTGTTCTAATTACTTCTTCTTTCCTTTGAATTGTGTAGTAAAAAGTTTTTGCGGACAAAATGCAGAGAATCGGCAGCCATGCATAATAAAACGTATTCACTGTTCAATAATTAAATTCGACAAGTGCCGTTTGCTTTCTATGCAGAATTATTTTATTTTCGCAGTGGTCTAAATCATTACACGAGCTATTGGCGGACTATCCAGGTCCCACGGCAATGACAGATCAGGTATGATACCTCCAGGAAGACAGCCCATGGGACATGGCCGCCATTCGTCGGCGTCATAGAGCGTCCATGGCTCAGCAGCGGCAGCTTGCGCCGATGCCTGATCATCCGCGCCTTGTTCGGCTGCTTGGCCGTCTCCCATTTCTGAGTCCGTCTCAGGCGCTGCTTCAGACGCCATATTGGTATCCTCGCTCTGAAGCTCGACTGCAGGACCTTCATGCCATACTCCTCCTACGGACGTCGATTCTGATGGTATTGATGGCGAAGATGATGCTGATGACACAGTTCCCATTGGTGTTGCAGCTGAACTTCCAGCGACGATCCGTTGATCAATCTGCTTTAGGATAGGGCCAATTTTTTCCTTAATGTCTGAATCACACTCGATGACAGTATTGAGAACCGAGCGGATCAAGGGGCTGACATGGACCAGAATATTTTGAAGACAATCCTCCACGATATTGATAATATCGTCATTTTCAAACATGGATGGTCCCTGGCTCGCAGCCGCGTTCTCAGCAACTAATTGTGAAGCCATAGCCGCAATTGAGAGTCGAGGCGTTGAAGAGGGTAAACTGAACGGTGGCGAGTTATGTCCTGATAGTGATGGCGAAGATGATGATGACGAGACTGTCCTTCCGCTTCGTACTGGATTCAACTGCTCAGAGTAGTGCAGCTTGATCAAGTGTTTCATCCACGCCACTAGTTGAGAATTCAGAAATGGGATATACAAAATCATGGATCAATAAATGATTGTTCATAAATGCAGCGAGATCAGGATCAACGACGACGAACGCTGGCTCCATACATATCGTAATAAAATAGCTGCCCGTTTTGGCGGCCGATTTTTCTGCGACCGTAGCTGCTGGCAAGGCCGCTGCCTGTGCCGCATTGTTCGCCTCGATCAGTTTCTCCAGCATCCCGTCCATGAGACTGACCCAAAACGAGAGTGGCTCTCCGTTTTCGGTACTAATCGTGGCCTTCAGCTCCGTGTGCAGCTTAGTCATCAACGGCATCCAGCACAAGCTGACCATCCGCCCCAAGTTATCGAGGCTCAAATCTCGAGCGGATGATCTCATCTTTTTAGATTTTGGGATCAACATTCCTGGTTCCAGCATAATGGGGATTAAGGTTGCCAGTAGGTCTTCTCCTGATCGACAGCGTTTGATGAGGTCCCGTACGAGCCGTCCGATCACGACGGTCTCTTGTTTTGGCTGGGGCATCGTATTTGCTGCATGTTAACAACAGTACAAGATAATTATTGCTCTGATAACAGAATCAAGACCCATCACAGCCTGTTTGAAACCCTTTCGGCGTCCTGTAGTAGCAAACTGACCTTCGATCTGTCGCTCCTTCTCCTGTTTGTAGTTCTCAATCATCTGGCGTACATCCTCCGATAAGGCCGTCAGCATTTCTGGTGTCAACATCTCGTCCATCCGAACAGAAACCAACTGCGGTATCCAGTAATTATCATTGATCCATGCTAATGCCTATGATTGCAATGTAAAACACCAGATCAGTCGTTCAATTGATTCTTCGCGTCAGCCATGATCTCTTTCGGTAAAAAAAAAAAAAAAAAAAAAAAATACCTGCTGCGTAGCACTCCTAAGGATCGTCAGACTCGGCAAGTAATCATGCGTGGCTGTATGCCGGAGCTCCACAAACCAAACTGGCATTCCGACCTTCTCCACAGCCAAATACGCAATAGATTTCGCAGACTTTGACGACTGGAACGCATCCACATATCCGTTCACGAACCGAATGAACACCATCGAGTACATGAGCCGCAGGTCCTGGTCCGAACATGTTTGCGTCCAATCTCGCACTTGAGCCGATACAAACGCTGCGGTCGAATCAATCGCGTGCGGCAGCTTTCCGCGCGCCTCCCATGCTTTGACCTTTCAAAAATAACAATCAAAGGAGGAAATTATAGGTGTTTGGGATCAGCCTGCTGGGGAGTTTTTTTTTCTATGCCTCGAAATAGTGCTGAGATCTCTGAATAAGACCGATCCATACTCGTCGCAGGGCACATTCTTGAGCTCGGATATCTGGAGTACCATCCTCGGCCAGCTGAGGATAAAACCATTGGTGCATTTGAATGAATTCCGCCGGAGAATGCCATGGCACCAGTTTTGGCAATTTAGGCGGCATGCTGCTGTTAGTTCTATTGCTTCGGTTGGGCTGCCTCGCTCAACTCCTGTTGCTCTCTGCCGTCTTCTTTGCTTTCCGTCCTGGTAATGAGTGATGCTGTCGGAGAGAGAGGGAGCCTGTCTTGAAGGCATTTTTTTTTTAAGATACAAAAGCCACTGCATTGACTGGACGGCTATTCTTGCATTTTATTTTTTCTAATAGCATGGTCCCAGTAAGGCTTCGCCCGTCTATGAAAATGACGCCCAGCGTCAGGAACAAAAGGCGATTGATACTTATAGGGATGTCCATATAGTCGCCGCGTCTTTACTAGAACACCAATCGAGCAGGGAGAAAAAAGGAAAAAAGGGCGATTTTAGTACATTCATTGATTCAGTTACATATCCGTGCTGCCTTTGAAGAGCAGCAGGCCTCTTGCAGATCAGTTGTCAAGCCAAAAACCGTGGTTCACGTACGTATCCAGTAGACCGAAGATAGTCGCCCAATGCCTCGACAACAACAGTGCAATCACCAGCTTGCATGTCTTTCTCATATTGTCCGATCAGGATGGCCTGCGTGGTTTTGACGCAGGTCACACCTTCGGCTCCCTATTTCTCAAAGAAGATAAGAATAGCGTGAGTGTCCTCTCAAGATAACCAAGGATGGAGCCCTCCTGTCGTCGTCTACTGACTGGGGTAGCCAAGTGGGGAAGCGAGCGGTGGGATAGAAATAGACATGTCGAGAGCCTCTTCACAGGTCAAACTGGGCTCTTTGCTGGGCTACAAGACGCACAAGGCCCAAAAAAACTAAGAGCTGCCGTGGGACGGTAAGATCCAGTTTTTGTCATTGCTCATCAACGGGCTGTTGGGGTCATGAGGTAGTACCATTCCATACATGCCATCGGTGTGGTGATCATTCCATAACGGTATCCACGCTGCTGTCATGAACTGTGCACTGGTCCTGTGGTCCCCCCCCCCTAGGTTGAGATCCTGCCGATGGTTAAAAAAGAGTGATCCATCGCCTGTGCCACTTACAAGACGCGCGTAGATACTGTTATCCCCGCTCCGGAGATAAAAATACTTCCTGCCATCGAGAAAGAGACCATTAGCCTGGATGTCGTTGGAGTCTTCAAAGGCTGCGATCAACTTTTGAAGCTCAGTGGGTGCGACCTAAGTGATCGAAAAAGGAGGGTGCTGAGGTGTGAGGAAGTAGAACATTGGTATGCAGCAAAATATAGTTTCCCACATGAGCGAAATGAAGCACGAGTTTAAGAAAAATCGAATGCCACGGATGCAACCCCGGAAGAAGGATTCTTACAGAAAAGCCAGGGGAGGTAGCCCAAGTGCTGCCATCGAGACCATAGATGCCAGCCATGTGCACCTTGCCCGTGCCAACAAGGTTGGAGTCGACATATGCTTGCCAGGACATATTGTAGTGTGTGTATAACGGCGAATTCAGAGAAGAATGCGAAGGAGGAGGACGTAGAGAGGAAAGAGGGTGAAGCTGTTGAGAGGAGTGGAATGAAGGAATTCGATGGAGATTTGATGAAGAAAGGAACGACCAAGTGCTGCTTTAGTTCAACCTTCCGTAATTAAAATTTAAGACATGCTAGAATGTTATATGTGTCTAAATGTAATATAAAATACCAGAGCGCTAAAGTATCCTTTCTATACCAAGATTCTCTTTTTATTCGTGGGCATAAATGGACCCTGCCTGTTGAGCCAGCCCTTTGGCGCATCATTGTCTCCGTCGCATTATCTTTTAAACTGAGAGAGAGTAACGAAGGAAAGTATAGTGATGAATCGTTTCAAGTAATACTTCTCCTTCGGTCTGCGAAGAAAAATACAGCTAAGCCAAAGACAGTGGCGAATTAGTTTGGTAAGTTTACTCAAATTCCAACTCAGGGCTGTAGCGCAATAATTTATTTTTTGCATTTTCCCGCTTTTTTTGTGCATTGCATGCGGGCGAAGCACAGCACATGGGGATCGAGATTTGTTCGAGATAGGCATTCTGCATGCAGCGCAATAAGCAATCCTTTCTTTTCTTTTCTTTTTTTCATTCCATATTTAAGGCTAGACGTCCTCTTTGAGCACGCGGTGTTTCTTCTTCTTGGGGTCGGGGGCTACATGGGTGTTCGTGAACAAAGGGTATCAGTAAACAGGTCGTAACAGAATAAGTACAGCAAACAGCCAGCCCTTACCGTGAGAATTTTCTCCGACATAAAATTTGCGAAGAACTATTATGGCCTCGCCTCGGAAGTAGCCACCTTCAGAAGGATAAGTTGAATGGGGGAGATTGCAGCTAACGGACGGCAGTTTAGTTATGGCTTTTTTTTTTTTTTTTTCAAGGAGTATGTACTTAGCGCCTCATTTAACACGCTCAAGACTTACTCCGTGTGAATGTGAAAGACAGATCCATTACCACCGAAGCGATCGTTGCCAGCGCCAAAGTAGACTTGTCCAATACCTATAGTTATGCAAACGAAATAAAAGCGAGTTCGGACGCGTCTTTAGGGACCAGGTAGATATCAAGCATGAGAAACCAGCATGCTATCTCCTTTACCAAGTTGTCGTAGAGCGCTCGCACACATAACGCAGGGTTCGATTGTCACGTAAAGGATTACGTCCTTCCAAAAGTCTTTGGATGGATCTTGTGCCTGAGTCCGGTATTCTTCCTGGGACAAGATCATGTCGATCCCTTCAAACTCTGCATGGCGCGTCCCCTATATTAATCAACACATTCATATGTCCCATGGTCATTGTTCATATTCCTTGCGAGAGCTGCTGGATAAACACTGTTGGTTTCAGGCTCCTTACGTTCAGACTCTCGTTTGTCCTGTTCCTCCCCTGGCCAATGACTTTTCCTGTGTGTTTATAGACAAAGACACATCCTACAGGTACTTCGCCGACAGAATGGGCTTCCAGCGCCTAGGTTCAATGATACCAAGCATAGGACAGCTTTGTGAGACGTGTTCAAAAGATGGTTATTTTCTAATCGCAAAAGTAGGCATTGCTTTACCAAATCTAATGCAAGACGCATGCGCTGGTGATGCTCCGTAGTCTCTACTCCATCGTCCTGTATTGTGATGTCATTCTCGTTCATGGATGCTGCGATCTTGCGGGGGGATTAAAAGCAACTCTGAACGCATTTTTCGAGCAAGGCGTTTGTGAGAATCATAAATATCACGTGCCAGGTGTCCTGGTGTCAATAAATAAAAGCTGTATAGTAAACCGGTTACCCTGAAGTCGAAAGCACCGCTTTACTGAGCATACCCGGCTCGTTCGGTCAATGAGCATTTGATTTCGTTTCTGAGTTCATATCTCTCAGCGCAGGACACCGAGGCGCGCTACAGCGTGAGATCAGAAGAGCACACAATATGCTATCGAGCGAACGATCGATGAGTGAAATCACATTACCCTTGCGCCTTCATATCCAGGCACTCATCAATGTTTGTTGCTTCCATCTTTTGCATTGCGGCTCTTTGAACGTGCTATTCCACCGACCGCCATCACACATCGCTTACTGCTTCACTTTAGATAATACCACTTCTCCGCTATTTGGTATAAAGCCTGGTCTTTATCTGATAAATACATCATCCAGCCTCGCTATTGTTTAACGATAACTCTGGCACCCTTCATACCCAACAAATGCAAGGGAGTCGATATGCTACAGATCCGGGTAATGGTGAGCTGATCAGAGACTATGTTAATACTTAAACATTGCGCTACCCAATATTTTCAATATAGATATGGAGGACACCGAAGGGCGATATGGCTCGAGAAAAATGGGATGGGATCCCTCGCTCTAAAACGGAAGAATAAAAACGAGTGTATGATAGTACTGTAGCTAGTAGCGTATTTGTAACAGCATACGGATATAATATGAGATGCCGCTGCTATCTGACAAGGTATTCGACTAAGATGTCCGTTTGCGCTTTCATAGATAGTGCCCGTCTGACATATAATCGGGAGGCTAAGGGCGAGATGGACAAGTTGACGTGTACTGCTCACTCACCAAGGCCACGTTCTATGCATCTCCTAGAGCGCCCGCTCGGCATGGGTGTATAAAGTCATTTTTCGGCTGCGTCTTCACTTATTTAAATCTCCTTCTCTTTGTCATTTCTCTCATTTTTTTATCAGTGAAAAGCTGACATGAAGCGGCAATAATTGCGCCCACTGGAAGAATGACAGAAATGAGCTTTCATAAGGCCCCTCAGTAAACAAATACCCTTTTTATTGTACTCCCGTTCTGTTATTCTGCCCCCGGAGGAGAGGGCGATTGAGCGGATCTTTATTCCTTGGATGGTTGGTGAGTATCAATTAGGACTGGCATCTTGAACTTCCACTGCTCCCAAGTCTTCGGATTCTCGACCAACTCGCACATGAAATGCGCAATATTTGCCTTTGTGATCTTGTCGGGCTCGTAAAACGCGTGTTGGATCGAATCCAACACCCTATACTCCGAGATCTCTCCGTCGATGAAGCCATCGGGACGAACTGCAGTCCACTCAACATATTTGCTACCAGTACCGACTTCCTTGCTGATGTAATTGGCCGAGCGAACGCTGTCGGCGTAAGGAGGCAGCACAGCCGTCATGACGGAGACGAGTCGCTTTTCAAATCCGCTGCGGACGTGTGTATCGGATCCGTCGGGGTTGATCACGCCGACGGTATTGAGGAGGATGAAGCGGATGGGATTGGTGGGCTGGGCCTTGTTGATGGAGTCACAGACCATCTGGGTGGCCCTGACGACCAAGTCGTGTGGGTTGATCCAGATTCCTAAACACAGGTATTACGCGTCAATGAATTTGGCACGGGGAACAATTAAACATGCGCAAAAAAATAAGCTAAATTAAACTTACCGAGCCCAGGAACGCGCCCATAGTTCATACTGTGTCCCAGGGTGGAAATGACGGTATCATAACCCTGGACGTGGCTTGCAAGGTCGTCGATACTGATATCGAGCAGATTGGCCTTGATGACGGACAACTTGCTATCGCTGGAAAGAATGCTGGGTAGGTTTTCGGGGGTGCGGATGATCGCCCTCACCTCGTGTCCTCTGGCCAACAATTGCTGTAGGACCAATTTGCCAACATTGCCAGAACCGCCGAGGACGAGTACGCGCATGATGAGATTTGAGTGCTTAAAAGGAGTGGTGTTGCTGCTATTGCTGTTGTTGTCGGTGCTGATTGTTGCTGCTGATGCCTAAACTTCTGGTACTTGATCTTCTGGGATTCGTGCACTTTCCAGGGCAGCTTTTATGTCTGGGATGTCGACACCAGGTTACAGCCCTGAAGGGTGTACAGTTGTCAAAAATTTCCAAATTTGGAGGCTCCCATTTAATCTTGACAGTCGAAAAACCTTAACGGCAAGATGTTGGTCAAAACTCCAGAACGTCGGATAATTGTCTGCTTCGCCTTGGCTGCCTGTGTCATTAGCGCAGCTCTCTAGATTGAATGTGCCAAGCCCACCTTTGGTGATCGCGTTCAGGCCCAGATTTCCTTCTCCTGAAGGTGTTGGCATAGTTTGTTCATTACGCCGATAAATTTTTCGATTTCGGTGCGCAGTTTGACAAAGGTGAAGTCGACGTGGAGTGTTGACGCTTAACCCACTATTGATAGAAAGAGTCCCTCATATGCCCATCGCTCACCTGTCCTTGATTGTCAAATGGTGTATGTATTAGGAAATAATATGTTCTACATAAATACTGTGCTCCTTCAAGTGATGTTCTATACTGACGACCTATCCTAAATGCGTCCGAAGAGCCTGGGGTTCATCATCAACTTCAGAGCCAGCGTCATGGTCGTGCCCACAGCCATGACCAATCCTGCCCAAAGCTGTACTGGAAGATAATCCAGTCCCTTGCTCAGATCCAACAGCGCACCGCCCACAGGCGATCCGATCAGCGTACCGACGGCGATGCCTCCATAAACGATGCCAGTGACACTAGCCAGACGGCTAATACCACACAGATGTGCGGCAACCGTGGGGACAATGGCGACGAAACTTCCTGAAAAGAATCCGTAGAGGATACAGAACACAACCATGACAGGAACCGAGGTCCCAGCCAGCGTCCAGACTACCAGAATACTTAGACATGCGCAGAGACTTGAGATCAGGAGGACGTTGATGTCGCCAATGTAGTCGCTCGCCAGTCCCATTGTTACTCTACCAATTGCACTGGATCCGTTCAAGATGCCGACAAGAAGCGAGGCGGTCGATACAGAGGCACCGTGGTTCTGCACGTAAGCTTTTTTAATCGATCACCGTAAGGAATAAGAGATACGAAGCGTTAGAAAGTGGGGGTAGTGTGGATAGAGCTTAATGCTGGTTAACAAGAGGTAGAGCAAATGTACTTACTAGGGAAGAAATAATAAGGGTTAAAGTACCCATTCGCAATAAAGAACGAGAGACAAACCAGAAGGAAGAACCGCTTCTCCTTCAACACTGAGAAATCGACCATCTTCTTTTTTGGCGTCAATGTCGTCTGAGACTCATTGTTCAAGGCACCCGCAACAGCGACCTTCTCTCCGCCTATCACATCCGTCATTGTCATTTCACGGTCCTGTTGTTCGTGTTTCAAACGCCTGGTTCGATCCCTGCCGGACTCGACTCGGGCTTTGAACAGAAACGCCGCTGGGATCACGATCCCCAGATGGAGAAACGCAATTGTCCTGACAGTCCAACGGTATCCGATCAAGCTGAAGAGTGTCGTTGTAACCGGAGAGATTACAAGTCCTCCGAAGCCTCCACCTGCGACTACAACGCCCGTTGCGAGTCCACGACGTCTATGAGTTTGATACATTTAAATATCTTAACATTGTAGTCACCAAAGTTGAAGCTGGTACTCCGACCTACGGAGGGACATTACTATTACCTCTTGAACCACTGCGATGGTAAACTGAGCGAGGGGAAGAAGGCGAGACTAGCGCCGAGCCCATAGAGGATTCCCTGGAAAATGTACAACTGCCAGACCTGAGTCGAGAACGAGGTTCCAATAAGGGCTGCACCCATAATCAGAGCACCGACAAATGCACTGATTCTGTATCCAAAATGGTCTGCAAACTGTCCAGTCAAGGGCCCTGTCAAGTCCATGCCGACGACGTTCAAGGTGCCGACCCATGAAAGCTGAAATGTGCTTGAGGTGTTATACTCGTGAGTGATGTAACGGTCCTGTGTCGAGACAGTTATCCAGAATGATGCGATGAGAATGAGAACAACAACACGAGGGTGGTGGCAGCAGCAGCAGCACAGTAGGATGAAAAAGAGGTGCAGTCTAAGTACGGTACCTGGTATACACCATAGCCATTGACGGTGCCGATGACCATCGCCTGTACAAAGAACGCGGCCGCAACCACAATCCATCCATAGGGTTGCTCGTTATCGACATCGTCATGGCCATCAAAATGTTGGTGATGATGGTTATGATGGTGATCGCGATCTTGGGTATCGTTCTTTAGATCGTCCTCTGAAAATCCAACCCCCTCCATGGCTTCGACCACCTCTGCTGGGTGGATCGTCACCGGTACGACAAGAGTCGCTGACTGTGGTGGGACCAAGACTTCTCCATGCACATCCTTGTCCTGAGAGATAGCGTTGGCATCCTGAGCTACCATTCTCTGTGTTGATACGACTCGTGTCTTGAAGGCGCCTGCCAGAAAATGTGGTAATCTGTTTATTAGCGCCGGATAAAAGGGGTTTGCTGCTGAAGATTTGTTTGTACGAGAGAAATAAAGAGACAGAAAGGTAGATCAAAGCTGATTTTAAACAATTCTGCTGGCCCCGAGCGAATAATATGCTACATAGTCTAGCTCAAGGTTCATTCCGCATCTCATTCATCCAAGCCTGGTGCAAGAAGGGTACTTCCTGTTTTGCCCACGCAGAATACATCCATACCGCACATACATCAATGGATCGGATGGATCTGCCAGGGGATAAAAAAAAAACCGTGCGCCCTATTACTCACATCCAATCACCAAGATCCTTTCGTACGCTCAGAATGAGCGGATGCGTGCAAGGTTTTCGGCCCTTTGGCCGCCAGCGCTGCATACTACCGCCATCACCACTACACGCTCTCTTCTAGGCCGGGCCTCTAGGACCTCAGGCCTTAAAAATGTTATATAAATCCACAGGATAGAAGCATTCGTACTCAGCAAGCGCTATCAGTTAATATGAGCATACACCCTGTCTTCTCGGCCTGTGCTTCTACCGCGTTGCAGCTACATGGCCACTAGATGTTTTGATCTGAAAGCAAGACTCCTTGTGAAAAACGGAGGGCCTCTTGTTGCTGCTGTAGATACTCTGCATCACCCCCTTTCCCTCGTATGTCGCCGTTTTCTCCTAATTGGTGTAAGATTAGGAGGGTAAGATATCCTTAATACTGGTCATCTAGTACCTGGGCTTGCAATACCCAGAATACATAGCACACGGCGGAACATTTTGACAGTGCGATGTCGAGGGTGGGATATCCAGAGTAGGACAAGAATGAAGCCTTTCGGTAACATGGTCTGGTGAGGAAGATATCTGTGAATACCTGATGGGCAGGGCTTCACCGAGGAGATGCGACAGCTTTAATGAATGTGTCATCAATTTTAAGCGTCGTGGTGCCTGACCATGAATGCATTTTTTTATACGCCTCCTAAGCATGAGACGCGAGGCATATAGACTCGTGGGATAAACTCCTGAGCCTGTGAGAAGGCTATAGCATTCTAGCCGTATTTATAAGCCCTTCTCCCATGTGCGTATATGTGGTACCCATAGGACTCCGCCACTTGCCTGAGGCATGGGATTCCAAAAGTTAAATGAGGGCATAAGCAGGCACATCAGATACTTCAACCTGCATATCGCGCCCATCTTTCCTATTTGGAACTTCTTAAAAGAAGGCAAAGTCGACGAAAGAACGTTTTACCGTGATGCATATTTAGACGTTGTTGCCATGCTGATGGAATTGTGTGTTCATGTTCCCTTCTTGTTGCTTCTGGAATTCTTAGTGACGCCAGTCCGAGAGTCGAAAAAGACCTTTTCTTCAGAAGCGTTTTGAGAGCCAATTAGCACCATGAGCCATAACCCTAACTCTCGAGTATCGGTTCGAGTATGAGGTGGGCACATACCTTAACATGAGACCTAGTTAGGGTCAGACTGGTAGTGTCATCGTCCATTGAATGCCATGCCTTATCTGTCGGACGAAATATATGCACCATCTTCCTGCATGTTAAGAAGTAAAACGTAGAAAGCTTCCAGGAATTGGCCGTTGGTTGGCATGGAAGGATAAAACTGAACCTAAGTGGAAAGAAAATCTAGCTTTCTAGTTTTCTAGTTCTACTGGACTCTTCTTTTTTTTCCGCGAGGGCACGCCGAAAGCCGACAGGCACTTTCAAAGTGCATGATTAACGATGGAGGGTCGCACGAGCTGAGTCCGGGCCATGAGGAACAGGAGACAAAGTCGATCATTATAACATACAAAAATTGAAAAACATTGTCCCAGCTGGACCAGGGCTCACATGGAGGTCTTTGAATATAAAAAGTGTCCCCCTACCTCATACTTTTCCCCATCACAATATTCACAGGACCACAATTGTCTATTGGCAAATAGCGTCTTTAATACACTCCCTTTTACACCTCACTCCAATTGCGCATGACTCGCTCTCGTTCTGACGATATCACCATGGAACCCCTCAACCTCCCTGTCACTCAGCAGCCCCGTGGTCAACACGGCATGCAAAAGTCCTTTGCAACCGGTACGTAAAAAACGGAACTGCATTCATCCAACGGTTTTCAGGCCTCACACGAAAACCAAACCTCTCAACGGTTGCCATTTTTCTAATCTTCTTCATGCTATGAATAATTAGAGTTCTCCCCTGATGATGAAAACCATGGCGTGTACGGCAGTCTCATGAACGCTGCCGGTAGCTTCATGGGTGCCCTCGGCTCCATTCCCTGCTGCATCTGCTGCCCCAATCCCTACAAGGTATACATATATCAACTTTTTAAATTGCAACAATTGCTCTGATGTTTCCAATTTCACTCAGGCATAAGTGCGAGTACAAACACAAACATGCATTTGTGATTTACTCATCTCCAACATTTCTAACCGTCCATCTAATTTTTTTTTTTTTTTTTTTTTTTTTTTTTTTGGCACCTGGATATTGCAGTCTGTTACGCAAGGCCATGTTGGTTTGATCACTCGGTTCGGAAAGTTCTACAAGATTGTCGACCCAGGATTGACAAAGATCAACCCGGTGACGGAGAAGATGATCAAGGTCGACATCAAGATCCAGATCGGGGATATTCCTCAACAGGTTATCATGACCAAGGATAACGTCAATGTCCAGATCGACTCGGTCCTCTACTGGCATATCATCAACCCTTCGCAGTCTGTCTTTGGAGTCAGCGATATTAAATCTGCATTGATTGAGAGGTACGGAAAACAAACGATAGTTCGAACGCGCGCAGTTACAATGATCATAACATGGGGTCCGAATGGTGGTTCTAAACGCGTATTTATCTTCTATGTCCTTGGTTGTTGTTGTTTTTGTCTTCAATAGAACGCAAACGACTCTTCGTCACATTCTGGGCATGCGCGTACTTCAGGAGCTGATCGAGAACCGTGAGGCCATTGGCGAGGAGATTCAAGAAGTCATCGACGCGCCCGCACGTGAATGGGGCGTCAAGGTCGAGTCAGTCCTGATCAAGGATATCACCTTCTCGAAGGAGCTCCAGGAATCGCTCTCGTCCGCCGCACAGGCAAAGAGAATGGCGGAATCCAAGGTCATCGGCGCACAGGCCGAGGTCGACTCTGCGAAGCTGATGAGAGCTGCCGCTGACATCTTGAACACACCAGCGGCCATGCAGATCCGTTACTTGGAAACGATGGCCAATATGGCCAAGGGTTCAAACACCAGGGTTATCTTCATGCCGACGCAGCAGGGTCCACAGGAAATGACTCCTTTGCAGGCCAACCAGTGGGAGCAAATGAGCAAGCAATAAGATCCGCGCAACTGGTTTATTCAACGCGTCAAGCAAACATAACTGTCCAAGATATCAGTACTGCGTAATACCCCCCTTCAACCAAGTAATCCACTACCTCCAGCGTATCCTCTTTATAAATATGACTTTTATTATTATTATTATTATCTACACGAGTACATAGTACCTACTCTTCACCAGAGCCCTTGGCATCATTGCTTATACCCTTGCGAGCATGTTCTTGTCGGTGACATACCTCAGCACAAATAAGATCGCAGTTCCCACCGCCATAACCGTACCAGACCAGAGGATGACACCCGTGTAGTCGGTCTTGTGCCCAATCGAGTCGAGAATGGCACCGGAGACTGGGGATCCGATCAGGGATCCCACGGCCATGCCCGCGTAAATGATACCGGTCACTGTGGCCAGGCGCCCCAATCCGCAGATGGCGGCAGAGACAGAGACAGTTGAGGAAAGATAGGCACCGCAGCAGAGACCGTAGACGACTGAGAACAAGAACATCACCGCCACTGTCTTGGCAAAGATCCAGATCAGCAGAAGCGAGAGTGTGGCCGCGAATGTGGAGATTAAGAGCGCGTTGATACAGCCGATCTTGTCAGAGACCAAGCCCATGACGATACGGCCAACGGCAGAGGCACCGTTCATGATTCCGACCATTAAGGCAGCGGTGGAGGTATCAACACCGTGCTGTTGCGCGTATGCTATTCATGAAAGTGTGTTAAATAGCAAGTCAGCATGTCTTCAGGACAAGTAAATATGCGGGCAATTTCTACGAGAGAGGGAAAAAATAAATGATCATGTCACTAAGACTGGAGCTTACAGCTGATAAAATAGAAGGGGGTAAAGTATCCGCTGACGACAAAGATGCCGGCAACGAACAGCAGACAGAAGCGAAGGTCTTTCATGATGGTAAAGTCCACGAACTTGCGGCTCTTCTCTTGCTCCAGAGACTCGCCCTTGCTGTAGCCGAATTTGCGGATCCGCTTGGCGCGCTGGCGTCCAGACTCGAGACGCGTCTTGAAGAGCATACATGCGGGGATCAGAAGAACCAAGTGAGCGATCGCGACTGAGAGCATGGTGAAGCGGAAACCCTTGCTGTTTAACAGCTTGCTGACAATGGGCGACATCCACAGTCCACCGATGCCTCCACCACTGATGGCGATGCCAGTGACCAGACCGCGGCTTCGAGTGAACCATTGGGCAGGGAGAGACAGACCCGCAAAGTAGGTCAAAGAGGCACCGAACCCGTAGAGCAGGCCCTGGGTCAGATACAGCTGCCAGACATGGGTTGAAAATGCGGCTGCGACGAGGGACAGGGCCATGATGAGGACACCGACCAGGGATGCTTGCCTATGGCCGAAGTGGTCGCAGATGGAGCCTGTGAATGGACCTGCGACATCGAGTGCCATGACAGCTAGGGAGCCAATCCATGCGAGCTGGAACGTTGATGCGGTGCCTTTGAAGGTATGTGTGAGATAGTAGTCCTACAAAGAGAATCCGGGGATGAGTATGCAAGGCAGGGTGCAGTTGAAGCGAGGGCGCACAAGGATGCAGAACCGAGACTCCAATCGGAGCAAAGGGCAATTAAGGTTATTTTGAAGGGGCTGCGGAGGTCTGAATAGCTAGCTCCCCAGCTGTAGTGTGCGCGTGGAGGGAGTGGTGGATGAGTGGGCGTGGTAAAGTAGGGGTGGGTGAAAAAGAGATGGTGGCCCCAGTAAGGGTGTGAAGATCAGCTCAAAAGAGAGCTCTTCCAAACTTGGTGTGCATCGCAAAAAAAAAAAAAGGGTCGCATTGGTGCGCTGAGTCGGATTAGTAAGACTAGCGGGGAAAAAGAACAACCAAGGTTTCCCACGCAGCGGAGCATTATGACTCGAACGGTGTTTCCTTGTTTAACGGATTTAAGGTCGACAAAAGGGCGCAAAGGAGTCATAACTCAAAAAATAAAAAAGAGAGCGAGACGAAATGGAGAGAGATTTGGAGAGGGTGAATTCGGCTGTTGCGCCTCTATGGTGTCGGTCCAATGGGTGAAGCGCGGGTCGGAGATGAATCTGATGGGTACGTGCCACACCATGCCATCCCATGCGTAAACAGAAGGGCAGCCGTTGGAAAACAGGGGAAGGATTCGGTGGAACGGGACTCTCGATGGAGGCACTGATTGTAGTGTGTATCCTGAAGGTGTGCCCAGCATTGAGCCACGCGAGACAGGGGAGAAATGATTTTCTTACCTGGTAAACACCATAGACATTACAGCTACCCATGGAGATCATCTGGGTAAAACACGCCGCGAAGACAATGACCCAGCCATAGGCGGGGCCATCGACCAAGGCCGGTACTTCTTCTGGATCGATTGTGGCAGAGCCATATTCGACATCGGCAATTTCCTCGGATGTAGTGTACTCCTTCTTGATATCTTTCTCATTGGCTGAGATAGTCTGCTCTGAGCCGCGATGGGTCATTGTGGGCGAGGGACAATGCGATGTGATCATATCCTCCACTTGCTGGCCCTCTGTTTTGCGGTGTAGGGTTGTTGCTGGATCTGACATGGCTTGAGGGAAAAGGGTATGTGTATGTGTATGTATTTATGCTTATATGCGAATGTATTTTAGTTGGTATGTCAAGATCTGAGATGGTGGTACGGAAATACTAGTGGTTGAAGCCGAGATGCCGGGTAAGATCACACAAAATTTGGTGGCAAAGGAGTAAGACCGGATGCAGAGGGCACACTAGACAGGTCAATGATGGTACGTGGTACAAATCTGGGTAGGTGCGTTCTGGTAACTTTGGTAGGACAATGGAGCAGTTGGAGCAATTGAAAAGGATGTCTAGAGGTGAGAATCCAGTAAAGGGTGGGGGTGAAGAGAGAGGAATGAAGAGAGTGGAGCCAGATGTCGATCTGAAAAAGAAAAAGAAAAAGAAAGAGAAGAGAAAGCGAATTCGAAGAATCGGAGGGCTTTTAAATGTTGGATCTCAGGTACCAAAGCGGTGACATGTCTCACGATAAGGTTGATAGTTTGGAAGGGCGACATGTCCCCCACCGCTCTTCATTAAGGCCAAATGCTCTTTGGCGACATGTCCTGTGCAGCTTTTTATTTCCCGACGACATTATCTTTCCGACCGTCCACCGTGGCAGGCCGGTATGGATTGATTAACCTGTCCTAAAGCTTATTTATACTGGGCGACTCTTCTCTTTTTCCTTTTTTTTCTTTCTCTTCTTCGTGCTGCGCTCGGATGCGTACCGTGAAGCTTTTGTTTGAGTTGATCCCGCGGCGGACTTGCCGATGCTTCCATGGATAGAAAAATAGTCGGCGATGCTCATTTTATGTTGCACAAAAACTGTCCAGGTGGATGGTAACGCAATATGACGACAGCACAGCACTCATTCCTACGCGGATCTATCTGCAGTTCCGCTTCACTTGGTGAGCCTCTATTGCAGAGCACCATTGCAGAGCACCGAGCACTACCACCTTGATTCGTTTTTAAAAGTTATTACTGCAAGGCATGAGTCCATTAGGATACTCTATTTTTTTAATACACATGACAACTTTATCCGGCGACATGAAGGTATCAAGATAAATGCTGGGATTCAGTGTCGCTTCTCTCGGGCCTTAAAAGGTGTAAAAACGCGTGCGACACCTGAATTCACAAGCTCTAAATAATAATGGTGTAGTGAGACATTTGATAAACAGTGAAGACCACCTCCATGACGAGAAGATGATGGAACCAGTGGCGCAAGCATAATGACAAGCGCTCTTCCACGAGAAATATGTGCTTCAGTGTTATTCAGTAATCGGAAACCAATAGCCATAATCGCGCGCCTAGGCCTCCTATTTTTTCTGTGAGAGGACTCCCTTCCTTTCCCCTGTCGCAGTGCACATGTACGTACAAGAAAGTGCTCAGGCGAAAGCTAATTGAAAAAGACGCGTTGACGGTCACGGCTAAAAAAAAATAACGAAATGAAAAATGGTGGCAAAACAAACAAACAACGCGACACGACCCTGAGGAGCTGTTCCTTCCCATCGTTTTTCTGTTGATCTGCTTCTTCCCTTCCCTTCCTCACCCTCTCTTTCCATTATGAGCCCTAGTACCGCTTTGAAGCGCTCTCGCGATACTGAAGATCAGCAGCTTGACCATCTCGACACCAAGCGCATTCAAACCTCTGACGGAATCTCAAGTAGTCTCCTCACTATAGCCAAAATACCTGCCTCACCATCATCATCGTCATCGTCATCATCCGCAAGCAGCGACGCCATGCTCGGCCCACTGCTTGTCAAGAAGTTATCCAAGAAGGCTCGTATGCCAACTCGTGGGAGCAAGCATGCTGCCGGATTCGATCTTTATAGGTATATATCTTTTTGAGTACGCCTTCTCCGCTCAATTAGTTTGCACTTCTGGCATTTTCCCTTCTGAAACCAAAGCTTTTTTGATCTCGTGGGTGTAGTGCAAAGACCATGACAATCGCACCCCAATCACAGGGCGTTGTACCGACGGATATAAGCATCGCTGTCCCGGAGGGCACTTATGGACGTGTGGCCCCTCGTAGTGGTCTCGCAGTCAGGCACTTTATCGATGTCGGTGCCGGAGTCGTCGACTATGACTACAGGGTAGGCATGCCGTTTTATATTGCTATACCAATTGAAATGTCGGTCCGTGATACTATTGTAGGGAGTGGAATATTTAACGTTGATTGATTTGTCGTGCAGGGCCCAATTGGTATCGTCTTGTTTAACTTTGGAAAGAATGAGTTCAAGATCGAGGAAGGTGACCGTATTGCTCAGCTAGTCCTCGAGAAGGTCCATCTGTGCGAAGCCGTCGAAGTCGACGTATGTCCTTCTTTTTTGTTTTCTGCTCTTATGGGATCGGTAATACTCAGTTCCTCTGTTTCATATTGCTAATGGCGATCGTATGCTCAACTGCTTTCTTGTACTTAGGAACTGGATACGACTGATCGCGGCTCCGGCGGATTTGGCAGCACCGGTGTCAAGCTTGCAGCCTAGTTGTATTTTTTATTTTGTTAATTATGCGTCTCATCTCTTTGTTTTGTAAATGTTATTTGTGTAGATTGTATCGCCTTTAAAACTGTTGAATTATGAAAAATAAATGCCCTTAAGCTATAATTGTGATTAAACAAAATCGCATAATGATATCCTAAACTATCGTTGCTCCTGAGATGGATCTGATGGGCGCATAGGAGGATCTACAGGTTGTATGCGCTGTTCGGATGGCCGTGTAGGCGGTGCAAGAGATGATCTTACTGCGTCGGCATACGCAGGCGGCTTGCCTGCGGCCATCATAAAGGGCGGCGGACTCACATCCTGCTCGTACGACGGCGCTACAAATGAGTTCACGCTCTCCAGAGGTCCCCCACCTGCTGTGCCATGGGGCTCCTGCTGGTATGGATAGTAGGGCGTTCTAACATCTGTGCGCGCACGGTACATGTTCAACCGCGCAGCAAGGGTCATTTCGTTTGTCGGAATTAGGTGTGTTTGACCTCTGCCTTCAAGAACCGACGCGTGAACGGCAGCCTGGGCCTGGGCTGATGTCAGATTTCGCCGCCGTGCTGCGGTGATTGTATGATGCTGGTGGTTGACGTGGAGACAGCGCAAAACCACGGCGATGAGGCAGACGGCAGCGAGGCCTCCGAGGATGAGTTGGACGGCTATGCTTGTTAATGGATTTTGACCTTCTGCTTTTGGGGTAGTCGTCGCTGATGCTGTCGCTGTCGTTTCTGTTGTGTATATGATTTCTAGCGAGGCTGTAGGTGGAGGCGAAGTAGGGGTGGGAGAGAAGACAGCGCTGATAGTCTCTGGAACGGTAACAGATACCCACGCGCTTTTGGTGGGATCCTGAAGTTGGTTCAGCTGTCTTCGAACCACGACAAAAGAGGGCTCCTGCTTCCTTGGGTCTTTTGATGGTAATTGAGGTTGCATCGTTCTAATAGCTCTGGGCGAATGCGACTCGCTGTTGACATCATCGGTGGCGGAGGGGTAAGGGGTAGTAGTCAGGTCGCGTTCGGATGCGTCCGCGTTCCAATTGTACACTCTTATCGTCATAAGAGGGTCTCTGGGGCCGCGGTATTTTCTTTTGCGGCCCTTGTGATGTATATTGAGAGGAGTCATGACTGAGAGGGGTCAGTAGTTGTGAGTAAATAGCGCGTGAGGGATAGGATGAGCGTGCGCGACTATATTGAAGAAGTGAAGTGGACACTCGGATATTAATGTGGGGAATGGGAGAACCTGGTCGAAAGCGCGTCCTGCCTCAGGAATAGGGAGAGCGACGACTTGGAAGAGAAAAGGAGAGAAAAGAGACAGCTGCGTAGCGATATCTTTTCCAAAGAGACGACCGTCGTTTATTCACAAAAGCCGACAGCAACGCCAGGTCAGATACGCGTACTGGGCACAAAGTCACTGTAAAATGCCTCATAATCCATCGTCACGCCCAACCCCCGAGCGTTAGTTGGATCCTACCTCACAGTTGTGCTTGTAGGAAACAACACCACGGTAACCTGTGAGCCTCTACTGTACATGGTTGGTAACGAAGCATTGTTCATCTGTGAATAGGAGAAATGCCGCAAATATGAAAACGCGCGCATTTTGAATGCATGAGCCTACTGGTGCACCAAAGTGTAGATTGGCGCTCGGTGCCACCAACCCAAACCAGTGCGGGATTTTCTTTGTCGCCAGCAACCAACAAAACAGAAAATAAAAATCGCGCGCTTGTCGGGAATTCAGAAGAGTGCAGGGGATGAGGTCGACCATGGGACGAGTAAACATTGTGCAGATCCCTTCTTTTTTTCGAGCATAATATCGCAGAGACAAGGAAAAAAAAAGGCCTGCACCTCACTTTCTGCTCTTTGTTCATGGTGCTGTGGGGAAGAGGGAAATGTACCGCCTGCTGGTGAGGTACCAGCTCCGTCGAAAGATCAACGCGCGCTATGGACAGCTCTATATGATCCTCTCTTCCTGCATTCTTTTTGATGCTCGATATCATATCGACATGATCGATAGATCCACTCTGCCAGTCAATGGTAACCGTTATCGCGCCCCAATTGAGATCAGTAAGTACAGGTCAACCGAGGGCAGTATTTTCTTAAAATGGTAGTTGACCATCTTCATCACGTGATTCCATTCCCTTATTCTGACGTAGTTTAGGCTAGGAATCTTGTGATAATGGAAATATTTTCGCGGCATCCTCGCCTCGCGCATCACCTACACTCTTCCCTCCATACAACATGTCAGCCAAGGCAGCAACACCAGAGCTCAAGAAGTATGACTCGCGGAACACGGAATCACACAACCGCTGGATTGGAATCTGGATTGCGATCATGCAAAGCCTGCACCAGAGCCATCGGTCTTTGGCTAAAAGTCATCGGTCCAGCTTGAGCAAACCTTGGATGCACCTATAAGAGTTGAAGTCGGGGCTAACAACCATTTATCTTTAATTGATGCGCTGCGACACTTTAGGTACATGGACAAGCGTGTCTTTGTTCAGCTCAACGGCTCCAGAAAGGTCACAGGAGTTCTTCGGGGATTTGATCCCTTCATGAACTTGGTTTTGGACGAGGCTGTCGAGGAAACTAACCCTGCAGAGAAGTCGTCAATTGGCATGGTTGTATGTATCAGTCTCATCGTATTGCCAACGGATATGTAGCGTCGAGTGCTCATTGGCATCCATCATTAGGATGTGTTCATTAACGAACACTCATTGAACTTCATCGCTACGTTAGGTTCTTCGTGGTAACAGCGTAATCGTTCTTGAGGCACTAGAAAGGACTGGGAACTAGTATAACTGGAGCTAAGGGTCGGGAGGGCACTATGACGCCTTTTTACACACGGACCCAGCAGCAGTAAACGTCAATTTCAGGTTGAGCCTCAATTACGACTCTTCATCATATAATCAGCACAAGCAAAGGAATATTTGGTAGAAGGCGAGCCATGACCAAGGAATCGTATCAGCATCCCCGCTTTTATTGGACAACAACAGAATGTCTACTCTCCACCCTGTAACAATAAACATCTTTACAAACAACCGAATCTCATCTGGTTGTGATACAAGCTGCTTGTGCGAGGAGCGCATGCTGGAAGAGAACATGTGGAGCGGTATTGTCTTTGGACGGCAGAGCAGGGCAGCTCCTGGACTAGGCAACTAGAAGTGCTGTGCAAAGGCGATCTATTGAGACAAAGCCACTTTTGGTCGAGCCGCTCGATTTTTCAGTACCATGCTGCATGCCTTTGCCTCTCTTCATCCCTCGCTTGCTCCACTACTCCCTGGCCTCTCCCCCCTCCCTCTACATCTCCCCTGTCCTCGCTGTTTGCATGTCTTGCATTCAGTAACCTCTTCCTATAACTCAGACCAGATCCCACAGACACACATAGAGAGAGCCCTCAGTTCTTCCTCTTCCACTCACCCATCTGCTGTCCCAAGCGACGATGAATTTGTTCGATTCCTACTCAGCTGGCATCCCTCAAATCCATCGACCAAAAGAGTCATTGCTGGCATCACTGCGAGGACGGGAACTCGGTGTAAACCGGGGCAAGTCCTCAGTGATTGCTTCCCGGAGACTCTACCGTTCAATCTACCCCAATACTACCATCCACGGAGTGGATTGTCAATTTTCCAACCTCAAAAAGTTTACGCCATGCGGACAGGTATGTACTCCACTGCCTTCAGCTTCTTTTTTTTTTTTTTTTTTTAACTGCATTTCTCCACGCCTGCGAACCTTGGCAAAGGAGCACTTTTGCGGAGTTTTATTTAAGAAGGTGATTTCTAATCCAAACTGGCCCCGTGGGGTTGTTCTTTGTTTATCGCGACAATGTAGTACTTAATAGGCATGTCAAAGAACCAGCGAGCAGTGCACATCTATAGCTTCAAGGGCTCAGGAGGACCACCCGAGGACCGCCCAGCAGAGTCGCTTAACTTCAAAGATTTCTTTGAGTTGAAGCATGAGACGGTCGTCCTGAAGGAGTCTGAGATGCTCTCAAAGGACTTTTGCTTGGTGACTGCGAACGGGCGCTTTGTAAGTAGCACTGCCTCTTGGAGACCACCTTTGTCGCGATCGGTCGATCGATCGAATCTCTCAAACATTTTCTTGCAGGAGCGATATGTGCCTTCTTTTATGCATGCTGAATTGACCGAGGTTTTCTGCCTGCAATTCTCATCTGTAGATCATCGTCGCCGCTGTATCGCCTTGCACAGGGGTATCATCAGACGGTCGCGCGTATCCATGCTCACTCAATTGTATACCCAACCTGGACACGGTCGTGTTTTATGTCATTGAACTCGTGACAGGAAAGGTGCGGGGTCGAATCCTGGTCCTAATGATTGTCGGGAATGGCGACTGTCACCACGGGATCAATTACACCTATTTCGTTTCGTCTGGAGCATCGAATGCTGACCATTGCTTTTAATCGCTGGATCTGGACTAGATCATCGACAAACGGGAGTTCAAAAACGAGTACATCACCATTGCTCATCATACGGGTGTGAGTCTCTACGACTCGCTCTTTGCCGTCATGCTTATCCAGAGTCAGGCCATTCAGATCATCCATATCAAGGTATTAATTGATCGATGCGGACGAAATTATTTTAGGAGGCAATTGCTTAGCGAAGACAATTGTTCTTACTCTGATTACGTTTACTGCCATATTCTTTTTAGAACAATGGAAAATTAATTGACCTTCATCGGATAGGCTGGTTCAACCACGACGACGACGAATTGGTGCTGGCTCGATATCGTGACTTCAACGAACAGTTTATTGCACAGCAAACCATAAAATCCACTTCGCCATTCTATCATCATGGATACAGTCTGAAGGATGAGGAATCGGGTGATCCAAGGGCCAAGGACCGATTCGAGTCTTTTGCACTCGCGCCAACCATGTCATCAATGGCAGAGTTCTCTGCAGATGCAACATACCACCAAGTGCCCTCTAGTTCCAGCAGCAGTATTGGCATTCCATCCAGGATTAATCAGGCCAACTACTCGTACATCTCACAAATGGCATACAATCAATCATACTATGATGAGGTGCGTCCTACTAGCATTTTGGCGGTTCACTCTGCCTCCGCAGCGACATGACTGATCGGACCTGATGACTAATGTAGTCGAATCGTTCACTCAACCGGGTCTAATAGCCGCACGCTCAAACAATAAGCGGGATCAAACAGCGATTGATGGCGCATCTATTCAGGAAGGCGTTCAATGCTGATGACGGGTAAGTACTTGCATGTCATTTGACTACCATATGCAAAGTAGGCCTTGCATGGAACTTCTGTACCTTATTAATACATGTTGGAATATTCACGCCATTAGGGGAGCTGCACTGCGACACTTTCATCTGACATTCCAGCAGTTTGCAAACCTGGTTATGTGGCGGATGCAGTTCTTGGACGAGTCGACTATGCTTATCAAGTTTGGAAAACTGGATTGCGTTGTTGGAAGGGCATGTGGCCGTGATTTATTTTATTCGTACAGGCATGCAGTTAAATCTTTACCATGTCATTTACAATGGATCTTTGGTCTTCCACTCAATAGCAAGCGGATAGTACGTACCAAACAGCTTTCTTTGTCTTCTATGACATCCGAACTACGGAGATCTTGGCAGTATACGACAACGCATCAGAGGAATTTCTGCGGCTATACGAGGCATGGGCAGACCAATTCTGTGCCACAGCGTATACGACGGCTGGAAGGGGCAAACGGCATTATTCATCCACATGCTCCAACAACATTTATGCCAAGGACCACTTGAAAAAGACGCAGTACGGGATGAGGCACGCACGGAACGGGGGGTATTGTCTTGCTTTGATGACTCTTTTTGGCGGTCCAGCGTTCCCGGCAGATACGATTAACAATCAACCTTTTTGCTTTGTGTTTAATAGAACGGCCCAAGCGGTAAAGCGATCTCTTTGTGTGCTTCCTTATAGCCCACAGTCTCTGAGCGATAGTCCATATCTCGATCAGGCCCTATTCAGCTACGACGAGAAAGTTATATCCGCATCTGATCGGTAAAGCCGCTTTTTCAGTAATTATATCCGCTGGCGCCAATCTGCTCAACTGCAAAACTGACGTTTGCTAATAATATCCACCGTTTCAATTGTGATAGCCAACGACCGTGCCAGGACTTTCCGATCAAGTTTTATCTTCGTGGCAGCGGCGAGCTAAGGTTCAAGATCCATTTATTCAAGCCAGGCATGATCAGCAGCACCAGCACCAGTAGCAGCAGCAATGGCGGCGTCAGCAACAGCTCGAACAATAATACCGCTGGAGTCAGCAATAATACTATTAATGCATTGAATGGAAATATCATTAATACTGGCGGAACTAATACTATCGGCACGAACAACAACGCAGCGGCTGCAACAACGGGAACAGGATCGGGCGGCATGATGCGGTCAAAGCGATTTGCGACGTTTATTGCACATCCGTTTGAGCCATTCATTATCTCTATCATTCAATATCACTTGCAGCCCACGGTTCTGAACCTGCATCTCTACCGTCCAGATGCGGAGCCATTGTAAAATATCCTTTGTAGATCCAGTAAAGCCTAAAAAGTGACTGTTTGAGCACTATAAACACATCTCTCATGTGAACCTCATTTGGAAAGTAACTCAACAACGATCAGCAACGTCAATTCTAAGCGACCATGGGTTGGTTTTCGAGATCAACCGTCCCGGTACAGCAACAAGAAAACACATCCGCAAGTCAGCCTTCATTAGTCAAGGGTGAATCCTCAGCTTCGCCCACTGCAGCAGCAACAGCACCACCAACCCCTGTACCTGTGCCAGCTCTCTCCGCACCAGTGAGTGAAGCTGCAGCAGCGGCGGTAGCAACAGCAACCGATCCTCAGATACATATTCAGCAGACTCAAGCACAGGCACAGACACAGCCAGAGGTGCAGGGAAACTCGCCGGCAGAGTACGCACCCGAGGCCCTGGCTACAGCGCCTCGTCATTCGCTTCCGGCACAGGTGATGGAATTTGACGAATACAAGGCGTCGGATGATATCTTTGACCGGTTCAAGGTCTCGGATGCGATGAACCAGCTTGCGGCGTGCTCATGTAAGGCCACCTCTAGGGAAAAAAAAAATATGTATTTGATAGTGGCAGTTGGATTCTTGAGTTGATTGAAGACTTCTGACCTTTATGATTTTTTTCCCTGATTTCCTGACAACTAGCATTGGGATCAAATATCCGCAACTACTATCGTTACGGGACATACAAGGATTGTGCGGACCGATATGATCACCTGAAATTCTGTCTGAGCATTAAGACCAAGTCGTCGCAGGTCGCGCAGGTCATGATCCAGAAACGGGATGCGGAACTCAGGGCGAAGAAGAGGGCGATGCCCAACTCTGAGGATGTCTGGATAGCAAGAACGTATGTACTGCTGTTGGTCAAAAATTACTTCATGTATGGGTTCAATCGGGAGGCGTGCCTGTTTGTTGATTTATGAAAGCTAACACTCGGTTGCTGTTGTTAATTTTTTAATTTTTTAATTTTTTTTGGAAACGGGTTTGTGTCAAATGGAATAGACATCCGCCAGAGGAGTTGGTACGGCAGGCTAGGGACTCATAGTGTCCTATTTACGAATTTACGGCCCACAGATCATATTCGGCATTAAAGAAGTAGGCATAGTCAGAATCTCGGAGGATGATATGGTTTGCATTAGGATGAGCCTTTTTTTTTTTTTTATTCTTATTGTAGCTAGAGAAGGCGGTTCTCAGTGTGTTATGGCAAGAATTGTACAATCGAAGAGGGAGGGATGGAGCGAGTGAGAGATGAGAAGGGAGGGATATTATAGGGTCATTCAATGAGTGCTAAGGAGAGGACTTAGTCCGTGGATGTAGCGCTGGTTGATGTCGATGGGTTCCAGTGGATGGTTGAAGCTACGGCGTAAGAATTGGCATCCTGGGACAGGGGCTGCAGTGACTTCTGCGCTTGCTGCTGTTGTTGATGAACTTGATGCAGACGAAGATACTGTTCCTGGACAGACATAGGCGTAGGCGTGGCATTATTACTGTGTGTCGCCATTCTAGTCATACCACCGATATCGTCTACGGCCAACATGCTCGTCGAAATAGGTGGTGCACTCCAGACACTCTCGGCCGACTCGAACAAGGGTGTCTCTGCAAAGGCACCGGAATCGTGAGGTGAGCTGTTCATCAATTCGCGGCGGAGATCCAACGGCTGCTGATGCTGCTTTTGTTGGTCCCGAATGAACTGCTGTTGATAATTGCGATGGTCATGAAAGTCGTTCTCGTCTTCCTCGTCCTCGTAGTAATCCTCTCTCCTGCGACGACCCTGGTTCAGATCGCGAAACGTAGCCGTGTCTCTGCGTGAAGCACCACCCTTGCCATAGAACTGCTGCTCGAACTGTTGCTGTTGATATTGTGGCTGCTGCTGCTGGTACTGCTGGTGTTGCTGCTGGTGTTGCTGCGCCAAGGCCGAAGGTAGCATCTGAATACTTGTAGGTCTCGATCCGCTAGGTCCACCTGACGAACCGCCACGTTCATGACGCGACATTTCCGAGTTCAGACTGCGGTTGCTAGGCTTCCGGGCGACTTCACGGCCATCCTTGTTCTTAGACTGGATCAGTGGTTGGAAGTAATCGAAGACGAGTGTGGCGCCACGGCGTTGAGCCCACCAGAGGAACAAGAGCTTGCCGAGATTGTAACCCGGGATCCAGTCGAGCAGGAATGACGACCATGTATCGATCACTTGGACGGTTCCGTAGATGCTCCAGTAGGCGAGCCATTGTCGCGTTGCCTTGTCCTTGCGTGTCTGCGAAAACTTGGCCCATCGACGGCGCATCCTTTGCTTCATCTTTTCCTCGACTGTCATGGAGCCAGAGTAACTGGTCGAGGTGATATTGTCCTCTGAGTAGTTGGAATAGTCCGATGGTCGGCCCCAAGAAGAGGCCTCTGAACGTCGGCTGTCGTCAAAGTCCTCTTGGCTGCTGCTGTAGGAGTTGCTGCTCTGCATCGAGTCCTCGTTCATGGAGTTACTCATCCTGTTACGCTGTCTTCGCGAGCGCTGCCGACCGGACCGGATGCTGCCGCTGCTGCTGTAAGTGCTATTGGGTCGGCGGGCAGAGTAGAGGGGGCCATACTCTGTTGGTTCGAGGCCGAGACCGCGCGGAGGGGCAATGGGCTCGCTGTTGATGGTTTTGATGGAGCAGTAGGCTGGGTAGGCGACCGCACAGAGGTTGGTGGTGAGATAGACGCTCCGACGGTAGAGTTGGCGGCAGCCGTAGAGGGTGAGGAGACAGAGGAAGGAGAAGATGTGTTGGGGTCGGAGACCGATACGGAAGAGGACGGCTTTGAAGAAGAAGTTTTCGGAGAGGAGGGCTTCGATCTGCTCTATCCGCGAGAGATGGTGGCGGCGGATGTAGAAGGTTATGGAGGAGAGGTTCAGGGGAACGGTGGCCTCGACCCTGTCGAGGGTTCGGTCGAGGAGCGCCGTGAAGGGTAGGGGAGGGTCCGTCTGGGTGGACGAGTCTACTTTGGCGCGGGGGAAGGACGCCATTTCGAGGAGAAAATGGGCGCGGTCAAGAACTGAAAGGACAATGTGAGGATGTGTAAGTAGATGGTGAACAGGAAGATGGGGATGATTGAATGTGGAGTTGTGCCAAGAGACGATCGGCTGAGTGATGAAAGAGTCGGCTCAACGTTTCACACGAGCGTGCCTGCAGATGCTAAGACGCAGCCAATTTTGATTTTATTCCTTTGGGTGGGGTGGGGTGAGAACCCGGAGAGGATGAAGGGCGAGCAATTGAGCGGAAAACGACATATCAAAGCACCCCTCCAGCTCTAATAAAAAAGCTGCGCATGTCGGTTGCGCTTCGGGCGGTACCATCTATTTCATATCGACATGTTCGCAGCGCATGCTCAATTCGCCACTGCCTTTATTGTAAGATCTCGAAGGAGTGCGGCAGCAAAGGAATTGAATACCACCAGCCGTGGTATCAGTGGGCATGATGGATATAGCGGACTAAAACACTCGGTGAGGTATCGTATCAAGTTCGTCAGTGCTCGTTCTTAACGAGTGCTCAGCGAGAGATGGATGTGCAGAGCACGAATAGTCTACTTTGGGTGTGTCCAAGCTATGTATTTCACGTGGTGCACGATAGTGCTGACACACGAGGAATGCAGCGATGTGATGCCGATCGTGAATCCAATAGGGTTTGAACCAAGCCCTTTTTTTGGTAAAGTGACTGTTGTTATTTCGCGTGTTTACCTTTTTTTTTTTTTTTTTGTGATGTCAATGAAGTCCTGGTGCCTGCTTGCTTGACCTCCATCCGCCTTGCCCATTGTACCACCCTCACGCAAACACCAACTACACAGCCATGCTGCGAACAATGTGAGTCTATTTCTCTACCTCTGTTTGCCTCTTTCTATTCCTTACGACAGCAACAATTAAACTATCTGCCCTGCCTGGAAACACATGTCGACTGTATCTAACTACCGAATGTTTCTATCTTGACCTGGATCTTGTACTATAGTACCCCAAGAAACGCTCGCGTAAAGCGAGTCTTGAAGAACAGAGAAGCTAAGACAGAGGAGAACATCAAGACCGCCATCTTCATCCGTGGAAGCCAAACCAGCCAGACCGTCAATGATATGCTTGCTGATCTTGTAAGTTATACATCCTTTATCTCGATGTCGTCTGTGCATCCGGTATCTTCGTACTTACCTTCATGTCCATTCTGTAATGCTACAATAGTACATGCTCAAGAAGCCCTATGCCGTCAATTTTACAAAGAAAAATCAGATCCATCCCTTCGAAGACCAATCCAACCTGCAGTTTTTCTCTCAAAAGAATGACGCCTCGCTATTTGTCATTGGAACTCACTCGAAGAAGCGCCCCCACACCCTGACTTTTGCTCGTATGTTTGACCATCAACTCTTGGATATGATCGAAGTTTCAGTCGAGCATGGTGCCCCCATGAGGGACTTTAAGGCAAGTCATCTCTAACAACTTCAGTTATCGCACAGAAGCAATTGAATCAGACAGGACATATCATTAATCCTCTGTTTCTTATACTTGATACTACAAATAGACTCCCAAAAGCGCCATTGGAATGAAGCCATGCTTTTTGTTCAACGGAGACATGTGGGACCAGAACCCCAACTACATTATGTTCAAGTCAATGCTGCTGGACTTCTATCACGGACAGACGGTCGACAGGGTTGCATTGGCTGGACTGGAATATGTAATTTCGGTAACGGCTGGCCCCATGACTTCAGAGGGCAAGCCCGGCAAGATCTACCTGCGCACATACACGATTGTCCTGAAGAGATCTGGCGTGAAATTGCCAAGGATCGAATTGGTGGAGATGGGACCTAGCATGGACATGACCTTTGGCCGCATCATGGAGGCCAAGCCCGATGTCTGGAAGCAATCGCTCAGGGTGCCCAAGGAGCTCAAGCCTAAGAAGAAGAAGAACATCAGCAGAGACGAGATGGGCGATACTGTTGGCCGTATTCACTTGGGCAAGCAGGACTTTGATAAGATCCAAACTCGCAAGATGAAGGGATTGAAGAAGAGAGCTGCAGAAGACGAGGATAGCACGGAAAAGAAGCAGCGCGTCGATGACAGCGGTGATGAGGAATAAGCGTACCCATACTACGCT